GGGTCGCACCTTCGTCCTCGCACGGAGGACACGTAGACATCGCAAGATGGATCCTGGCGCAAGGAGATGTACCCTAGCGTAAGAAGAGGATATGCCCTGTCGCAAAACGTCTGCTTGTCCTTTCACGAACCGTTCACATATTCTATCGCAAAAAAAGACAGTTTCGCACAATCAATGACGAGAGCGAGATTCGAACTCGCGCCCCGAAAGACTAGATGGAGAGGTGGGTCCTGGCGCCATTGTGTACGCAATGGTGCCAAGGCCCACCAGGTCCTGATTCTATCTCGCCATTGCAAGAGAAAGAGCATGTGGGTCTTGGAACAGCATATAGTCATGGGTCCCAGCATATGGATATGGGAGCAGCGAGCATATGCACGTCAAACTAGCGTGTCTACATTGGACCAAGTCACCTTGCTTGCGAGGCTTCTCTCGAACCGCCGGCGTCCCGATTGTCGTCGCCTGTCGTCTCCCGCCGGCGTCCCGGATGGCATCACTAACACCCATTTCTATAAGAAATGGGTCTTCGACCAGGTAACGCGCCCGAAGAGCGTGTACCAGAAGGTGCTCGTGGGTAAGTCAGTGTCGGTGAGTAGCCGCAGGTGCGGATGGGGCGAGGCTGACTGGGTGCAGGGCGCGGTTGTAAACACGGGGAAAAGGCGGCTGTGAACGCGGGTAGCAGACCGTGAATATACTAGGCAGCGGCAGAGCGGGAAGCGAAGGGAGAGGACGAAGACGATGAGGATATAGACATTCGCTGTTGTATAACAAAGCTGACGCATGTACGAGTAGTTGTCGTACCTAGATGAGTAGTTCTTGTAGTGCATAGTGCTGTAGATATCGTTCCAGCATTGTTACTTGTTTGACGAAAATTTTGCTACGACGCGGATACCAGTTGTGAAGCCCAGTATGACTCAGGTTGCTTGAATACAGACTCTCCCGGTAAGGCCTACAGATCCTTCGAGTCTGCCTGCAAAGTAGTGCATAAACGTCGGCTGATTCGAACATTGTCCGGCGATTGCCGACGATGATTGGTTCCGCTGTGAAGTTCGAGGGGCAGGCGAGGTTCAGCCTGACATGATATGTGACTAAGCTACTGTAAGACGCGCTAAGGCCTCTTGGTTGGGAACTGCAGTGTAGTTCCGTCACCTGTGGCGGTCTCCGCGTGTGTTGTGGTTCCCTAAGTAGTAGATTGCGATGAGCGTGGAAAACCCAGTCACCTGGCAACCGTCACTGGCCAACGTAACTCGCCTCCTCCCACCATCTTCAGATCCAATCCGAGGCTCTGAGGTGAGTCAACAGTCGAATGACATGGCCTCCAGGACTGAAGATGAGCTGCCTACAGCGATCGGATGTCTACACACGATCAAACAATAGATCAGCAGCCAATTAGCTTGCCAGAGATCTCCCAGCTACACGATCATCATGGCTCGGTCCAGGGCTCTCACATCTGCTCCCTCCCCTCGGAGCTGCTCAGCATGGTGTTTATCTACTATCGAGGCAATCGACACCTCGATCCGGTGGCCAGCGATCCGATATGGACGCTCCTTCATGTGTGCCAGCGCTGGCGCGATGTAGCGCAGGATCAGTCATCTCTCTGGTGCAGGATCGAGGCGAACGCATTGAGCAATACCGTGCTAAAAGGCCATCCTGAAGAATCTCGCATAGCGCTGACCTGCACGGTGCTCGGACGCTACTTAGCCAACTCTCACAACCATCCGCTAGACATATGTATTGGAGATTTCCAAGAAGTCTGCTGGCGTCCGGTCATAGAGCTGATCTGGGATCACCACCCCCGCTGGAGGCATGTCGATGTTGCTTTCAGCGGAATCGAGCTGTTGGCAGAGGTTGCTAGGGCCTCACTGCCATTGGGGGTATCCCAGGTACCGATGCCGCTCTTCAAGTGCCTTCGCATCGAGTCCTTTGTCGTCGACCTACCATGTCTGGCGCCTGTTCTGAGCGCGTCAGGTCTCCGTCATCTTGAGCTCGACACATCCGTAACGGGAGCGCTGGCGCATGTCCTGCCGTGGTCGCAAATAACCCGCTATCGAGGTGCAGCGTATGCCGATGGGGGTCAATTCCTCCTGTCTTACATGCCCAACCTTGAAATCTGTGAGGTCCTGGCGGACCAGCACCCTGGAGACAATCTTCGGACGAGTAGCCAACTTGAATCACCCGTCTGTCCGATGTCCCGCCTACGAGTCTTGTCACTTGAAGGCTTGGCGGGCTTATGTCTGCGGAGCATTGAGGCGCCTTCGCTCGAGAAGCTGCGCATCAACGTTTACGACCATAGTCACCTCCTCGCCTACGTGAAGCGCTCCGGGCTCGCGACGCTCTCGACGCTCAGTACGGAGTGCGGTGTAGATGGGATGGGGGACCACCGTCTGCGTGAGATCCTTCTCTCATGCCCGGCGCTGCGCGTCCTCGCGCTTCATTGCGAAGGGGCCCCTCCGACGGATATATTTGCACTCCTCGCAGAAGACGCCTCGAAAATCCTCCCGCGGCTCGCTGTGCTCCATATCGTCCCGTGGCCCTATACAGTCCAATGCAATCCAGGCCAGGTCGAGACTGAAGCCTATTTCCGGCGCTTACTGCACGTTGCTAAGTGCCTCCTGGCCCAGGAAGATCGCTCCTTGCGCTCCGTCGAGATGTCTGTAATAACGCAGCATTCTTCTGTGCCAGATGTGGTCAGGCGCGTCGCGAAGGACGTGCTGGGGGATCATGTCTATGTGCTGACCTTGTCCGGATGGAGGGGTCGGCACTCCGTCAAGAAGCACTTTCAGGAGTTTCCCTCGGATTGATTGTATGTTTTCCTGAGTGTCCTTCCTGCGTATCACTGACCTTGTGATGTCAGATATCAATAGCCGCAATACGGGGCGATTCACTGAGATCCAATACGCGCTAGTTCCTGCCATTGACGCAGAGAAGCGACGGACGCGCAGGCATTTTGGCAAGGGCTGTAGCCGCTGTATCCGATCTAGCAAAGCAATCTGTCTCGCGATCGAATAGTCCTTTTTCACGACATGCTGTACTATGGGGTTTACCTCGAATTCAACGAAGGTGTCGCTGCAATCACGAATATATTGTATATATCTCGGACTTAGCTCTGAATATCGACCGTACTTCATTGAGCCCTGTTCACCCTGCGTTACATGCCGCAGTGACAGTAACCAGAGTGCGATCCAGACACGTAGCCCCTCACGCGCAAGTGATCTCGGTCCCCACCTCACGTCCTCCAGTGCTGCACGAATTTGGCATAATTCTGGACAGATAGTAAGAACAGTGGTCGAAGGCTTGGCTCTCGAATGGACAAGCCAGTTCCTGCCCGCAATGTACGCACCTCAGGAATGTCTTCGAAGATGGACTCCCGAGCCTTATACCAGGTCTCGTTGAAGGGCGCCATGTTGAAGACGATGCGAGCGATGTGGTCCTGAGGAAGGGGTGCCCCATTGGGCAGGATGCCAGACGAGGCGGAAGCCCGTTCGCTAGATACACTGCCGGTCCCCCACCCGTTCAAGTCGTGCCCTTCCGAGCCCGCTTCGCCCATAAGCCCGGCCATGCGCGCGACGTCGTAGTCGGGCCCCGGCAGCTTGATGCTGACGCCCTTGGGATACACGATGCGCGCGGGCGTGCTGAACGGGCTCGCACGGGCGAGGAGGCGTGCGCGCAGCCGCTGGTACGTCACGTCGGCGTGCGGGAGGATGGTGTCGGCCTCGCTGTTCTTCGATCCCGACTCGTCGTTCTTGGGCGCATCGTTGTGGCGCATGTGGTGCCGCGGGAGGCCGTCGGGGCCATAGACGTAGAAGCGCGGGGCGAGTGCGGCGTGGTGGTGGTCGAGGACTTCGTCCGGGGCCAGTTGAAGCTCGTAGGCATCGTAGTTGGTGGTGAAGGGCGCGCGGGAGGTGGTCCCGTCGCCGAAGCGGGTGGGCGGGCTTGAACGGCTGTTCGCAGAGGGGGTCCAGGGGGTGCGGGCGAGCGCTAGACTGCCTCCGGTAGGGCCATTATGGGTGAGGTCGTCAATATGGATGATTTCGGAGGTGTCGCGAGTGGGAATGATGCTCTCCGGTACCGTATACGCCCTGCTATCGGGACCGACGAGGAAAGCGGGGTCGAGCGTGCGCGCTCGCAAGGGATCGGAGAGAGGAGCGGCGAAGGTGGTGAGCGTGGGTCTGTCGATGATGTAGAAGGCGGGGGGCTTGTGGTCAATATCAAAAGGCTCAATGGACCTGGGATGATAGGTAAGTGGACTGAAGCTGGTCAAGAAAAGGTCGAAGGGATCAGGGGAAATTGTACGAACTCGATGAGATACAACATATGGGCGGGACACGTACGTGATGTTTCCAAAGACAAAGTGTTCGTCGTCGATGCGATATAGATCAGCGCGAATGGTATCCGTGGGCTGAATGAGGATGCTGGCCGCCTTCGGGATGCATATCTTAAGCGGATCCCGCGGGAGTGCTTCACCATCCACCACTATAGCGCTGGTCAGTCGTGTTTTGAAAAAGGTGTCAGCACACTCACCATCATCATACTCTTCCGGATTCCCCGTCCGCCCAACGATCAGGCAGTCTGCTCGCACATCATGGACGAGCACCTGCACATACCATCTACGCGGGCCCAAGCGCACGGTATTGGTTTTCGGATCAACAAAAGCGCTTCTGAAGAGCGTGTAGAGCGTCATGTATGCCCGGACGGTTCGCAGAAGATGCTGCGCGTACAGCACGTCTTCCAGCGCGCTCTCGCGCTCGTCTTCGGCAAGATAGCCATTCTGGTACATATAGTCGAGTAAGAAGCACATATGCTTCACCGTGGTAGCCGCATGGGTGACGAAGACTCCTTTCTGGATTGCCCGTGCGTATTCACATTCTGGAAGGGGGGGGGGGGAATAGGAAGTCCAGAAGATAAGCTGAGCGGTCTGTTGGATATTTGCGAGTCTCTCACCTACGATGTACTTGACGAACCATCTGAGAGGAACGCTAGGGGCACGCAGATGCATCGTGGCTCTGGACTCTTTGTCAAGCCCTCCTTTTTTACTCTCTGTTGAGCCGTGTCAATGCCATTAACGAAGATGTGGTGTCAATAAGTAGTTGTAGAAGGTGAGGGTAGCTTACCTCTACTCTGTTGGTAGTACTTGCTGAACGCTTTCTCAAAATTTCTTATGGCCCGCGCGGCTTCTGTCTCTGCCTCCTTATATTGCGCAGCCCATCTGGTTAATGCGACCTTGATCTTCGCAAACTAGAGTAAAGAGGGCGCCTCGAGTGAGTTCGATGGATGATTGATTGCAGAGCGGTACTCGCCCGTGGACGTGTGGGCCCATTCTCTGTCGGCATTGGAGCGGCCATATGCGGTACAAGATCCCAAGTCGCTCGCTACTGGTATAAGCCTGGTAATTTCGTTAGTGAAGTGTGATGAGGCAGTAGAAAAGAGCGGTGCTCACAGCAAATCACACGAGGCACGTCAAGACCGATCCTCGAGATGAGGGAATAAAGGAAACAACGCGAGGGCCCGCTTGGCAATGCTCCTTTGGGAACAAAGGCGGAGCACATGACGGTAGCAAACAAAGTCGCATGCGGTCACGTTACCTCTTCGATGTTGAACTTTGAACACCTCATATTCGAGCGACGGCCGCGGCACTCCTCAAATTGCGCTTATGGCGCCGACTATCTCATGTTAACTCGACATCGCTGCTCCGAACGAACAAGCCTTCACGCACACGAACGATAAGATTCGCGGCAATTGCCGCCGTGACGCGATACGTTCACGAAATTGAAGCGCAATCCGTCGAGGCTTTGTGGAGGGCAAATGACCGCAAAGCCTGCCTTTTCAACTCACGGGAAGAGTATACGAGAGTTTGCGTCACAATTCTCATCGAGGCGATGGATCAGTGTTGATACCCTTGGTGACAAGTTGACGTGCGAGAGAGAATCCCTGACACAAGATATTTACGGAAATTGATTCCTTGCTCTACATCCCCCTGAGAGGATATGATACAACTGTTCAGGGATCCCATGTTCCGAGGACTAGTTGAGCAAAGAACAAGGCCTTCCTTTTCGGGATACTCCTCGGATCACGGACCTTCGCGCCTATTCCGTCATCGATAATATTTGTGGCGCCTACTCACCTTGACTCCCGCCATCGCGTTCGTCGATGCCAAAGCCCACGAAATCTTCCGCGTCGTCAGGAACGAGGAAGAAGAATGCGCGAAAGGCTGCGGGCAAAGGAGGAGCAGCTCAGCCGCCGCCAGCACCGCCGAGCAAGCAAGGTCCGAAGCTGACGAAGAAGGAGCGCAAGGAGCTGAAGACCCAGCCGCGCCAGAAGCAGTACATCCCCCCAACAAAGCCTCAGCCTGCTCAGCGCGATCCCCTAGAGACGAGTGGACTGCTCGGTACCCTCCCTCCCCATCTTGTCGTCGTACTCCGCAACCTGAATAAGAAGGCATGGCCGACGAAGATCAAGGCGCTGGAAGACCTGCGCACGAACTGGGTCGACAAGTGCGGTGAAGATGAAGAAGCACACGCAGCCATCCTTGCTTCTATACCAGTCTGGACACACCACTTCCCCGGTCTCCTGCTGCACTCGTCGCGTCGAATACGCATGCTTGCGGTCTCGCTACACGCCGCGCTTCTGCAACCCCAGGAAATCCGCGAACAAGTAATCATGCACATCAACGAGGTCGCTACGGCCGACCAGCGCGAGCGCATAGTAGGCGCTTGGTGCATGGCCGCGCACGACGTCGATCGCTCAGTCGCGATCGCAGGCTCGAGAACCTGGGCAGCGTACACGAAGGCCCTGGCCGAGGGGGGAGAGTGGGACAACAATGCAGTGGCCGTGGACGTCTCGAATACTCTTCCTCTACCAAGACGCGCGATATTCGATCCGGACGGCGCGTTCAGCGCTGAACAAGCGTTGACCACAAGTGATCCGTCTGAGTCAGAAGCAGTCGAAGACATGCGTGCAAGGTTGCGTGTCGGAGCTTTGGGGTGCCTTCGCTGGATCATCGGTGCGTGTCAGCATTCGGCTGCATGTTCGCCCTACTCACGAACAGTCAGAGCACTTGCCATCTGAGAACGAGGAGCTGTCCGAGCTCCTGCATGCGAACCAGTTATGGTCGTGCCTTTCCACCGATCCGGACGCTTTTGGCCAGGATCAACCTGCAGTACGAAGAGCGGGATGGACGCTGCTACAAGCGACGTTGAAAGCACGCAAGGGTCTGTCAGCTTCACGCTCGCTCTCTACAATGCCTCACGTCGTTACCAGGTCTTTTCAAATCAGAACCAGATGTCCTTCGCCTCATCCTTCGCAGTAGTTTGACCGAAGTGGATAACAACGTTCAAAACGTGCTATGGGGACCTCTCATATCCTTCTTGCAGGGTGAGCGTGCTCAACGTCGCTTGAACAACACATTTGCTCACATAGCATTCCAAGAATATCCGCAAACATGGGAGCCAACAATACCAGGCCACGAATCCGATCAAGACGAAGGAGAAGAGGAAGAGGGCAAAGCGCCAGAGCCTAGCACTGACGACCCCCCGTTCCAACTACTTCTGACCTTCCTCGGCCTGGCATGCGGTGGTTCACCCGTCCAGGGCTATCCCACAGTGATGCTCATGCTCTCTACCATACCCTCAACAGTGCGTAAGTGGACTTACTTGTGGAAGGCACGCATGACACTCTTGTGCAGGTTCTGTTTTTCGATAAGGCACTGTCGCCGCTATTCGACCTCTTTACGGCCTTCTGGTCCGCGCTGCCCTCACTCTCGAGCAAAGGTCTGGCGCAGCAGCGATTGCTTGCGCAACAGAACTTGCTGTCGTCCGTTGTAGAATGTCTGGTATTCTGCATACGACGATGGTCCTCCCTCGAAGATAAAGCAGACACCGAGGCGCAAGCGCGGAAGCTCGAAGACCTCATCCGAGAACAATTTGCACGCGCATGGGAGGAGCAGACGAGCGGCAGTCTTGCGGTCAAGGAGTCGATGTTCGCCGAGATTATCATTAAGGCGGGCTTATCTGCGCTTCAAGGGCAATTCTTCGATGTCGCATTCGCGCTGATCAGCGAGCGTATCATGCAAGCACTCGCTTCTCACACGAAACTCGCCGTCGCGACTATGAAAGCGCTTCTCGATCATCTCACAGACGGCACACGGGCAACCCGCGCTCACGACCTTGCTACCTCGATCATTGGCACGCTCGTGGACGACGCTGAGGGGGCTTTCGCTGCGCCATCTGACCCCAAAGCCGTTTCTAACAGCGTCGCGGCGATCACTGTGACGCTCGACGTGTTCGGACCGGTACTTTTCACTCTCAATGACGGCGCCATCGGCCAGCGCGTCGACGCGCTCATATTTTCGCACCTCACGTCCCTTCTGCGCGACGCATTCCACCTTCTGGTTGCGTACATGAAGCTGCGCGGCGCGCAGGCGGCGTGGCCGTTGCTGCTCGAGGCGGTGGCGCCGATGCCGACGAAGCGGGACCTGCGCGAGCTGATTAGGATAGCGGAGCAGAGCGTTGTGGCAGCAGTCGAGAACGTGCCCATCGGCGATTGGTTCAATGAGACGGCAGATGAGCTTCTTGAGAGCGCGACGGCGGACAGGGAGAATGGCGAAATTCTGAGCCGTATCCTGGGATTACATGGTAAGTCATTCGCCATACCGAAAACATCTCACTGATTAATTATATCTCTTATAGAGTGCTTCCTATCGCCTACGAAGTTCTCTTCTGTCGTCAGAGAAATCGCGCGCAAGCTCGCAGTATCCGTCGACAACCTCCTGCAGACAATATCCCAGCCCGACCTCGAAGAACTTCGGCTCTCCACGGAACTGTTGCTCCCGATCAGCATTGACATTCGCCATGCGCTTCCCGTTGAGGATTTGCAGCTACTGAACAGAAATCTGTGGCTCGCGGCCCATCTGATACCTCGGGGCCCGGGAAGCGAGCAAGAGACGGCGACATTCGTACGTGCGAAGGATCTGTACAAGAGCTTGTCAAGGGAGTCCAAGAGTGAAGTGCACAGTGCTATCACGGAACGTTTGGCCGAGCTGTTGGAGAATGTGCTGGTTTGGGTTCGGTGAGTGGCAGAGATACCGACTGCCTACGATCTCTGACTTCTTTACAGACCTGTTGATATCTTCACCGTCTTCATTGATCTGCCAAACGCGCAACGCGACGACGAGCTCGCGGATGTCCTGGCCGTGTTCCCTCCATCTGATACACTCGACAGGCGTCTGGATGCCTTGCCACCCCAGCCCATCGATCCCAGTCTCGCGGTGCTGGTGGACACATTACCGCCCCCGTCAACATACGAGGATGCACGGCCGATAACTGCGCTATATGACGCACATGGCTATAGCTCATATGCTCGGATCGTCGCTTTGCTTCCCGAACTGCCGTCTCCGACACTTCGCGCCCTTGCGCGCCAACAGCCATGGGTTTTGCGGCACCTGATCGCATGGTCTATTGAGGCGCGCGACTTCATGGGGGTACCCACTCGGGCGAGCTCCCTGTTCGACGAGCGTGCGTTGGATGGCGGTGGTCTGGTTCCTGCTGCAGAGAAGGTCGAGGGCATTGTCGCCTACGCTCTCATCACCGAGATGGACGACGATGTGGCTTGGCGGGTGCAGTCCGCGCGCGCCCTCGCTGATGGCCGGGTGCCGCAGAACCTCACGCCCATCAAAGCCTTCGTCGTCGACGCCCTCCGCCGTGCCCTCGCGGACGACACAATCCGCCAGGCTCGCATCGTCACCGCTCTCCTGGACCATGTCTTCGAAGAGGTTCCGAAAGAAGAAGCTGATGGGTGGGTCGCGCTCGTTCGCACATCGCAGAAGACAGCCCCGGAGACATCGTTGGCGATCCTGGCCGCCATCGCCCGCACCGCGCCGGACGCGCCAAGGCTAGATCGCTACCGCAACGAAGTTGCGGCGAACCTGCAGGGCACCTCAGCCGCGCGTGCCCTTCCTATGGTCCGCCAGCTCGTCGCAATGGCTCCCAACGCCGACAGCGGCGTGCCCATCCTGCCCGGCCCACGCGCGGTCAATGTCATGAAGGCCTGCCAAGCGTGGATCGCAGGTGACGACGACGAAGAAGAGGACGAGGATGACGAGGGAGCGGCGGAGGACCTCGAAGCACTGCTTCCGCTGCTCTTCACGCATCTGGCGCCTGTGTTGCAGACCGTGCCTGGCGCGCACTGGGGGCTCATATTTGATGTGATGGAAAACAATATGGAGACGCTGTCGTTGGAGGACGATGCGGCGCTGCCGGCGCTGGCGAGGACCTTACGGTTGATCATTGCCGTGCGCGATCTGGCGACGACGACGAAGTCATTGAGGGCGGACTGGCAGGAGCGCGAGAAGGGAATTCTGGCGCTCGTGAGGGATATGGCGAGCAAGCGAGTTGGTGAGCAACACATCACGCAAATGCATGTTGCACGGTCCTGACCTTCGTCGCAACAGACTCGACCAAGATCTCCGCACCGCGCTCTGCATGTCGCGAGCTCCTGCTCACCGTCGTGCAGGACCTGCCGCCGTCCTTGATTAAGCCAGATACGCTGTCAAAGATGTGTCACCTGGTCACCGATACAGCGGAGTCGGTGCAGCGTATGGCGTACCAGGTCCTGCAGGGCGCGGCGGCGAAGCGAACGGAGCACCTGGTCATCGAGTCCGCGGTGGACACGGAGGATGAGTTCAAGGCGGAGCTGCCGTCAGAGCTGTTGGAATTGCTGTCGAGACTGGTTGATCCTGAGGATGTTGAGCAGGACGAGCAGGTACGTGTGGTTCTTCCGAGAGAGAGTAGGCAAGGACCTAACAAAGCACAGAGCGTCTCCGGCCACCTTCTTGCTTGGATGCTTGCGTTCGATCTGTTCGAGGGCGCGGTGCGTGATATGACGCTAAGAATCGGTCTCGTACTGACGCATTCGTGTAGTCCATGAAAGTTCGCATGGGTTATATTGACCAGCTTCGCTCGCTCAGCGTTGTGGACACGTATTTGATGCCCAACATCATCCACATGCTGCGTCTCGACCAAGGATTGCCGAGAGCGTTCAAGCTGGACCAGTGGGCTATCGATGAATTCTACGTGTCCTGTGAGTAGGTCACCTCCCGCCACAAGCATTCTCGCTAATCGTGCCCGTAGTATACGAGTCAGGCACCACTTTCGCCCTCCCAGCCTTCGCTGCACACATTTACTTCCGCGCCCTCTCCACCATCCCCTCGCTCATCGCCTCCTGGATCCAAGACTGCAAAGACCGCTCACTCTCCGCGACCGTTGGCACGCTCACCGCTACGCACTTCTCGCCTGTCATCATCGCGCGCGAGCTCGCGCACGTGCGCACCGCGGACGCCGCCGCTGACCTCGCGGACGAGAACTTTGTGGTGAAGGTTGCCCCCGCTGTGCACGAGGTTACGGCGGCGTACACCGTCGACGAGCACCAGCTTGAGATGAAGATGAAGATCCCGGCGGATTGGCCATTGCATAAGATCGAGATGAGGGATGTGAAGACGGTGGGGGTGGATGATAGAAGATGGAAGTCGTGGATGTTGGCGGTGCAGCAGGTGCTGTGGTTCCAGGTGCGTGGGTTTCGGGGTGCAGGTGAATTGATTGAGAACTGACGGGCCTGCAGAGTGGCCATATATTGGATGGCCTTGCGCTGTTCAAGAAGAACGTTACGTTGCACTTTGAGGGCCAGGTCGAGTGCGCAATCTGCTATTCGTGAGTGCCATGAAAGCGTTACTTCTGCGCGTGTTGACGGTTGTTTTAGCATCATCAGCGTCATGGACGGATCGCTGCCCAAGAAGCCGTGCAAGACATGCAAGAATCGTTTCCATGCCGGATGCTTGTACAAGGTCCGTGTCCTTTCTTCATCGCACGTCGTGTTTGCTCACCAATAACTCGTAGTGGTTCAATACGAGCCACTCCTCAAGCTGTCCTCTGTGCAGGTCCAATATATTCTGAATGGTCCGAATGTACACTATACAACATGAGCACTGTATCATAGGCCTTGTACACCGGAGTAGCGGTTGTAGCTTTTCGAAAAACAACTGTAGACCCAAGGATCACGGTCACCTGATTCAGACAATGACACAAGCGAAGTCATTGAGCCTGCAGGCTTGGAACCATCCATCACCTTCTCAAACGTCGCATGCACCTTTGACTCCCAGCATTCTCCTCCAATTGTGGTGGCAGGGTATAAAACCCTTTTCATCTTTTGGTTCCAACCTTCATCTACGCACCCACCTCTCATCCAAAATCCGCGCCGCAATGACTCGGCAGTACTCGAAGGAGGATTCCGACCTCATCGAGGAGCTCGAGAAGCTGGCGAAGAAGAATCGCAAGCTCGTCAAGTCCACCGTCCATCCATGCCCTGCGGATCCCAACATCAAGGTCCGGAGCTGGAAGATGGATGAGTTCAAGTACTACAAGATCCCGTCCCCGTTCCCCACGCTTGCTCGAGGCCTGTTCACCATGGACATGCCTCCGGAGTCCGGAGTGAAGCATAGGATTGTGGCGCGTGGATACGACAAGTTCTTCAATATCGGAGAGGTGCCTTGGACGACGGTGCGTGGCTTTGCATCCGCTGACTTTCTCGTACTGATCGGCGCACAGTGGCAATCGCTAGAAGCACACACAGCAGCGCCTTATACCCTCTCACTCAAGTCGAACGGTTGCATCATCTTCATCGCTGCGCTCACCGAGGACAAGCTTCTCGTTACGTCGAAACACGCTGTTGGACCCATTCGCGAAAAGAAGGAAGGCGAGGAGGAAGAGAAAACACGCACCCATGCGGAGGTCGGCGAGCAGTGGCTGCGCAAGTACCTCTCTAAAAAGAATCGTACAGAAGCAGAACTAGCCAAGGTCCTGTGGGACAACAACTGGACTGCGGTCGCCGAGGTACGTACTTTGCTATCCTTCTCGATCGCCTGCTCATCACTTCCAGCTCTGCGATGATAGCTTCGAGGAACACGTCCTCCGAATCCCTCCAGAGCTCACCGGCCTCCACCTCCACGGCATCAACGTCGCCACAAAACACTTCAAGACGCTCTCCCAATCTGAGGTCGACAAGTTCGCCGAGGAATGGGGCTTCATCCGCACGCTCTCCACCACAGTCAACACCATCCCCGAGGTGCGCGCCTTCACCGATGAAGTTTCGAAGACCGGCGTCTGGCAGGGTCAGCCCGTCGAGGGCTTCGTCGTACGCACGCACGTCACCGAGCCGCCAACAAAAGGCAAGGCGGATCCCTCGGTCTCCCCGTACGAACCCGGTTCGTCATTCTTCTTCAAAGTCAAGTTCGACGAGCCCTACATGATGTATCGCGACTGGCGCGAGGTCACCAAGGGCCTGCTCACCGCGCACAAGAAGGGCGAGATGTCTGCGAAGAACGTGTACAAGTCGAAGATGCGCCGCGCGGAGACGCGCGTGTATGTATCCTGGGTCATACCAGAGATCAAGCGCAATCCGGAGGCGTTCGCGCAGTACATGAATAATCGGGGCATCATCGCGACGCGGGACATGTTTCTAGAGTGGCTGAAGACGCCGGAAGGGCAGGAGGCGCTGGCGCGGGAGAAGGCCGAGAGACCCGCTGAGGCGCTGCCCGAGGCGAAGGGGGAGCTGAGTGCAGGGAAGAAGGCCTTCGGGAAGACCGTCATTGTGCCCGTCGCGATTCCTGGATGCGGGAAGACCGCGGTCGCTGTCGCCTTGACGCACATCTTCGGCTTCGGCCACACGCAGAGCGACGATGCGCCGGGGAAGAAAGGCGCCGTCACCTTCATCAAGAACGTCAAAAAACTGCTCGAGACCCACGACGTCGTCATCGCGGACAAGTGCGTCTTTTATCTCTGCTCTTTCCTTACACTCCAACTAACATTCACCAGGAACAACCACCTGAAGCAACATCGCCAGGCCCTCCGCGACGCCACCAAGGACATGACCCCACCCGTCCGGCTGCTTGCTTTGAATTGGGCGCTCGACAAGCCGAACGCGACCATCCACCGCATCTGCGGCGATCGCATCATGGCGCGCGGCGAGAACCACCAGACGCTGCGCGCGGACAAGGCGAAGTCGCACGAGGACGTGCTCTGGATGTTCATCAACAACACAGAGGAGCTGAGCGACACCGAGGTCGATGCAGTCGTGGACATGGACATGGCAGACCTGCTGGAGGACGCGGTGAAGCGGGCCGTGGAGGGGGTGGTGAGGGTTTTGGGGCTGGAGATGCCGGGGGAGGAGAAGATTAGGGAGGGCGTACAGGCGGCGTTGGGGTATAAGCCAATCCTCAAGAAAACGGAGGGGGAGCAGAAGGCGGCGGACAAGGGAAAGAAGGAGGCCGGTGGCAAAGGGAAGGGCAAGCAGGAAAAAGAGGAGAACCAGGAAAAGGCGACCGAGAAGCCCAAGTCCACCAAGCCGCCCCGCTACTTCGGTCTCCTCGCCGAGATCGACCTGAAGAAGACGCTCGAGGCAGCCTTCGACGCGCAGCCCGAGCACGCCGGCTTCTGGCGCGAGCTCACCAAGGCGAGCCGCGTCACTGGGCGCCCGCACGTCACTATCGTGCACTCGAAGAACCTTCCTGCAGAGGGTGAGCTCTGGGCGCGCTGCCGCGCCCTCCACGAGCTCGATGTGCCGCCCTTGTTCCGCTTCAAGGTCACGCACGTCGTCTGGGACGGGCGAGTGATGGCGCTGCCGGTGGAGGACCTCACGCTGGATGAGGAGACCGGGCAGGGCCAGGAGGGCGCGGAGTTCGTGGCGAAGCTCAACCACGAGACGCGCGAGCGGCTGCATGTGACGGTGGGGACGCGGTCTGCAAACGTGAATCCGGTGGAGGCGAAGTTCATGGTGGAGAAGTGGAGGAAGGGGGAGAGGAAGGAGGTGTCTTCGATCGAGTTGAAGGAGCCGCTGGTGGTTAAGGGAAGGATCAAGGGGTTGATGCAATGAGCTGAGCCGTGGGGGGAGAGTTAGGACGAACCAACACGACTGTATCATAGCACAAGACTGAGGACCTTCTGTATTCTTACTACTCATAACGTTAACGATGCTCATGATTGGACTCGAAAATCGGACAACAATGCGTGTAAAGTCGTATCTGGATGTGATTGTCGCTGAGCGTCCGTCGTAATCAGAAGCAGGCAAGTGGAGGATGCTGTAGAAGACTAGCCGAAATACAGCGACTTGAGCTGCTTTTCGACGGCGTCTGGGGACATCTTGATATCTGTGCGTAGCTACAGTCAACCACAAGACGACATGGGCTTCAAGAAATTTCTTACACTTCTGTGGGTCTGCAAGCGTTGCCCAACATCAGCCACGGCAATAGTGGTGAAAAGGAAAAACGCACTCTTGCTAAACTCCTTCTCGCGCTGCTTGTTCGTGAATTTCTGCAGCGCCGGCACCACCAGCTTGATCACATCCTCCCCAATACTCTCCCTCGCCGCCGGATCGTCCTCCAGCACCCGCGCATACTTGTGCCGCTCCAGCACCTCCTCCAGCAGATCGAAGAAGCGCGTGAACTTCTCCTTCGCGGCCGTCTTGCCCTTCTCCTTCGGGTCGTCCGCAAGCGCCTGCATGAGCGGGGAAAAGTTCGCGTCGAAGTAGCCGGCCTTTGCCGTGCGGAAGTTCGAGTCGAGCATGTTGGTGGTGGGCGGGGAGAGGAGGTTACGGAGGGATTCGTGTCGCGGCTCGAGGATGATGTTCTGCCGGAGGTAGGAGATGTTGTTGAGGAGGAAGATAGCGCCGAGGGCGGGTCGGCTGTGCGTTTTCGAGAGGTCGGTCAGGCTCTTTACGGTGGTCATCACGACGTCGACTGTTTGCTTATGTCAAAAAGGGGTACACACAACGAGATTTTGGTAGGCACTTACAGATATAGTGCTGGAGCAGGACCTGCTCGTCGCCCTCGCCGGACTTGCCGCCAGTCACCTTCAGTCCGTCGCCCATCTTCCAATTCCCATCGCCCAACGTCACCAGCGCTGTGCCGACCGCCGCTTGCACCTCAGGCAGGCGATCCATGTATTGCACGACCTGTAATGGGCATCTCGCGTCAGCGTCTGCGTGCGCGCTCAGGCTTCGCCATAGACCGGGCCCTGCGCACCGAAGTGGTGAAGTCAGCGAGTCCAGTGCTCATGTTCGCGCCCTTGCCCATCGACGCCATCCGCAGATCAGCCAGAAACTCGGGGAAACTGCGTAAGCACACCGCGCGCAGGGCGTGCAGGCCGTCCTTCAGCTCGTTCGAGTCCTTGCGCTTCTCTGCGCCACGCCGGGAGAGGAGCCGGTCCCAGCGCGTCTGGAGGGCGGCGAGGGACTCGTAGGACGAGAGCGCGAGGAAGGTGTGTTTGTGCAGGGAGCGCTTGATGAAGGCTATTAGCGACGTCACGGTGGTGCTGAAGAGCACTAAAACAGGGTTCAGCAGGGTGTTGTAGGCAGACGCGATAAGGGCGGGCGCTGTCAGCGGCGCGAGGTCTACAAGATAGCCATACTCTTCCTGCAAGGAGTAAGTGGTCAGCGATGCCACTCAATTGAGGCGGCTCGCGCCGCCGCGAACGCACCTCGGCGACGCTTAGCAGCGACTGTGCCCAATAGCCGAACTCTTTGCCAGCGTTCAGGCTATCGATGGTGTCTGCGCGGTCCAGGACGCGCTTCGCTTCGCTCTCAAGGCACTTCCTCGCCCACGCCCCGCGCATCTCCGCGTACCCCTTCTGCGCCTCTTTGAGCGTCGACATGATCGTCTTCGCCGCCGGATGCGACGGATGGGTTGCAGGCAGCGGCAGCGTGCGCAAGAACCGGACGAGCGGGTTGAGCGACGTTAGAATATCCTCTGGGAACAGGTCCGCCGTCACGTCTGTTCCTGGCGGTGGAGAGACGCCAGCGGAGGCTTCCGCGACGAGCTTCGTGTAGAGCTGGGTGAGCTTCTTAGCCCCTGTCTCTACCAAGTGAGCCTGATAGACGTCCGTGAGCGCGCGTACCCTTGTCAATGGAAGGCACTGCGAACCGTCTGCAAGGTATCTTGGTCCGACTGCTTGAATGCGATAGAAGCATTCAAACGCTCGACTACGTCAGTGTAGACGCTCAGCTGGCCTGGCTGAGGCCTAGAGAAGGTCAAAAGGAGTGTAGTAAAGATGATTGTGCCAAGACTTACCCTCTTGAGATCAAGGAGAACTCGGCTTCTATGCCTTCATGACTACTTGCGACCTCGTCTATCTTCAGCAGCGCCTTCTCAATGTCTGCGGGGTTCATGCCTTGAGAGATACGCGCTAAGCGGGGGAGACTTACTGTTCGCTCGGCGGTTCAAAATCTGTGTTGACGTGTACAACGGCAGGATTGACTTCTCCAGTCGTGCTAATCGTGTGTCAAAGCTATCCAGTATTGCTGATATTGTGAGCTTGAGCCAAATATATTTCTGATAGACCTACATGTCATACGATGGGATATCTGCCGCGTCTTATTGAGGTTCTGCTCCAGCTGCAAAAACAATCTAAGATTCGGTCGCCTCGCTAGACTTTTAGCATATTTACCAGCTCAATCTCTGCGCTCTCATCATCCATATTGCGCTGATATGCTCAGCTTAGCTGCGCGCGCGACGGTGTCCAAGGATGGTGAAGGTGCGGTTGAAGTTGTGACCACTGATGGTCGCCACGCGGCCACAAAATCCGGATCCGCCGGGCCGTCCATCGGAAGTAGCCGAAGTTGAATCTCGGAGATAGCCGGCGCTCGTTATCCTGAACTTCCATGACCTAAACATCGTTGTGCAACTCAGGATGCTATCCAGTCCACTCCGGGGGCCGCAACTCTCTTCGTACGCTCTGCTGTGGCTTTACAGCATCTACTCAGCGAAGTCTCGTGCTGGCCTCATCAAGAAACCCGGATGCATTGATTCCGCTTGAAAATGTCACGCGGCTGTTGCGTCGAGGGCGTGTCAGCCGGCTCTATTGACGAATATCCCAGGCTTCTCATCCACTCCTTCTTCGGTCACTCAATACCCAACAGTGTCCTCGTCTTATCTATCAGAAGGTGCTCTCGCGCCGTACGTTTCCGGTTCATACTCGAGCACGCGAACAGGCGTGTGCAGCCGTAAACAGAATTTCACCCACTCAGAGCTCGGATGGTGCTGGACCTAGCGGCGAGTGCGTGCTTGCGGCGGCCACTGTCCGAAAGCATACTGTTGAATGCCAAGCTCATGTTCGGAAGACAGCCATCCACGCGAGCAGCGCCTGAGTCTCGTCGTTGGCCACCAGGAAACCCCCTACAACGACAACTCCAAAGCACATGTAAACATCTTTTGGGGTCTACAACGCATCGTCTTCTTCAGCTTCTACATCCCGCGGCAATATCGCTGAAGGCGAGTCATCATAATCGACCGACAATTGCCGTACTGATATTGTTGCCAAAGTTACGCCCCGATATCTCCTGGCTTATCCTGTCTTCAGGAAGCTATCCCGATATCTTCTAGCGCCCTATCAAGGCCATTCTGGGCGCAATGTCCCCGCAACCCCAGAGTGTGCTCTGCCCCTTATCTGTCGGCGCTTCATCATGTCCATGGCAATTATTCTTGACGCGATCACATCTAACGTGCGCCGTGCTTCTATCTTCCTCATCGTCGAGGAGTCGCATGCATTGCCGGCGGACTGCATGGCGAACCATGAGCTAGCCCGTCACTGCCCGTCCTACCTCGCGTATATAAGCCTTCGAGAGGTGGGCCCAACTCTCCAGGAAGCCTCCTTCACCGGTTCGCCTCCCCTAGCACACGTCCTCCAGCCTCGGTCTTCGTACGCTATCAGCCAGCAGTCATGTTCTCCTTCGGCAAGATGCTCAACAGCGTTGTGCTGGCTCTGGCGTGCTCGTCCTTGACGAGTGCTGCTCCGTACAGCCCGACCGTGAAGTACAGCACCCACCGTACTCGCGAGATTGGCAGCCTCAAGGTCGAGTCGTACCACCCCCCTACGACGTACAAGGTGAGCATTCTTCCCGCGCGCAGCATGAATTTCCGCAGTGTGCTCATTACTCTTGTAGACCTACGGCAAGGGTTTGGACGATGTTCACGCTGCGCGCGTCAAGCGCGACGGTATCGAGGCCGCATCGACCTCCTTCGTCGCGTCGCAGCTCAGCGTGGACGAGAGTGCTGTTAGCTACCGGTCCGGCTACCAGGGCCCCGCCGCCCAGTACGCGTACATCCGCCAGAGCCACGTACGTCATGATCTTCATCCGGAAAGCCCGACTCTCTCAACTTCTCGCAGGAGAACATCCCCTTCGCGAACGCTGTGGCCAACGTCGCATTCAAGGGCGACAAGGTTGTTTCCTTCGGCCATTCCTTCGTTTCCACGGGTGCGCTTCTTTCACATGTACCTTTTACCCCGTGTTTTGCTGATATTCTTTCGTCGCACAGACAAGATCGCGGACTCGAAGCCCACGGTCGAGATCGACTCGTTCATCGGCGACATCGAGTCGCAGCTGAACGGCAAGTTCAACGACTACAAGTCGCTCGAGTACCTCGCGAAGCAGGATGGCAGCGTCGCGCTCGTGCACGTCGTGCAGATCCGCAACGAGGAGACCAACGCGTGGTACGAGGCGATGGTCGACGCGCACTCCGGCGAGCTCGTCTCCATCACGGACTTCGTCGCCGACGCGTCGTACACCGTCGTCCCCATCAACAAGCAGGACCCGACCGAGGGCATCGAGACGCTCGAGGACCCCGCGATCGAGGCCGCGTCGCCCAACGGGTGGCACAGCGATGGCGACAGCACGACCACCGACACGAGCGGCAACAACGTGATTGCGTACAAGGGCTCGCAGAGCTCGGGTACCACGGAGCAGAGCGCCGATGGTCAGGTCTTTGACTACGAGTACGACACCAGCGTGGCGCCGACGGAGGGCAAGAACGTGGAGGCCGCCACCACGAACTCCTTCTACATCATGAACACCCTCCACGATATCGCCTACCTGTAAGCATGGCTTGCTTGGGATTTTGCATGCATCATCTGACCTTGTTGCAGCTATGGCTTCACCGAGGAGGCATACAACTTCCAGAATGACAACTTCGGCAAGGGTGGCGAGGACGGTGACCGTGTGGTATGTTCTCTCTCTCGAGATCCATTTTGCTCTTGCTGATAGCTTTCCTAGCTCATGTCTGTGCAGGACAGCAGCGGCACTGACAACGCCAACTTTGCCACTCCCCCCGATGGCCAGTCCGGCCAGTGCCGGATGTACATCTGGGACTACACCAGCGTCAGTAACGTTTATCGTCCCTTTTCAACTCGTATTGACGACCCTGCAGACCTACCGCGACGGTGACGTCGAGAACGACATTCCCGTGCACGAGGGCACTCACGGCATCACCAACCGCCTGACCGGCGGCGGCACCGGTCGCTGCCTCCAGACCACCGAGGCCGGTGGCATGGGCGAAGGCTGGTCGGACGCCTTCGCCGAGTGGACCGAGTGGGACAGCGAGGAGATCACCGACTTCACCATGGGCGTCTGGGTCACCGGCAGCGAGGCCGGCATCCGCACGCACCCCTACTCGACGTCCGCGGACACGAACCCGCTGCGCTACTCGTCCATCCAGGAGCTCAACGAGGTGCACGACATCGGCGAGGTGTGGGCGAACATGCTGCACAATGTGTACGCGGAGCTGGTGGGCGAGTACGGCTGGACGGCGGACTTCAAGACGAACCCGGACAGCGACGCGGGCAACGTCGTCTACGCGCACCTCTTCATCGACGCGCTGTCCCTGCAGCCTTGCAACCCGACTCGTGAGTGGAGCAGCTCTGCATTAAGAAACGGCTCACTAACTCCATCATCCAGTCCCCACTGCTCGCGATGCCTGGATTCAGGCCGACGAGAACCGCTACGATGGACAGCACGTCTGCACCGTCTGGAAGGCCTTCGCCAGCCGCGGTCTCGGTGTCGATGCCGCCGACTACACCGACGACGACTCTGTCCCCGCTGAGTGCCAGTAGGCGCTCAGATCTCACGACGAGTGACTTCACGGACTCTAATGGCTTTTTATGAACTATTTGGAATCACTACTGTATATGTACAGCATGTACACCTGGATTGGAAACGACGCAATATAGGGTTGATGATGTCTCTTCTGAATGGAGAATGGTCTCGTTGAAGAACCTTAGGATCGGTGCTGGTCCAAAAAGCTGAGTCTCGGCCTGAGGGTGAGGAGGAGAAGTGTGACGCAGTGACCAACCATCACGCGCCTCCTGGTCATTCACGTCCATGGCTTCTACTCCAACGGCCGTGCTGCATAACGCAGACGTTGACCTCGGGACCTACGAAAGCCAACCCCTGCTCTTTCCCCCTTCCCAATTGCACGGTAGGTTTGAATAACCGCGCTTCCGAGTTCTCAATTATCACCCCCATCGCTTCAGCATCCGACCACTTGGGCTACAATCATGCCGGAGCTCCCTCCCCTCGTACCTATGTCCACCGACGGGCAACCTGCCGACCAGAATCAGCCAGAGGAGACACCCGAGCCCGTACCGATCACCGAGCAGGAAGTAGGAGAGTACCGCGAGCAGGACCGCTTCCTCCCCGTGCGTTTATACCTCAAGCATAATGCACCCGGCTCTGACCTTACCGCGTCCCCAGATCGCCAACGTCGCACGCATCATGAAAGCCTCCGTGCCCCCCACCGCCAAGATCGCGAAAGACGCGAAGGAGTGCGTGCAAGAGTGCGTCAGCGAGTTCATCTCCTTCGTCACCTCCGAGGCCGCGGAGCGCTGCCAGCTGGAGAAGCGCAAGACGGTGGGGGGCGAGGATATCCTGCATGCGATGACCGCCCTGGGGCTGGAGAACTATGCGGAGACGCTGAAGATCCATCTGGCCAAGTTGAGGGCGGTATGTCCTCTGACTTGGTTCACCTCATCTCATCTAACGTCTTGCCTCAGCATCAAGCGAACAACACCGGCGTCGACGACAATGATCATGAGATACACATACCCCCGCCTCCGAGCACGCAGAGAACTCCATGACCGACTTCGCTTGACCTGGGCTCGGGATTATCGTTATTCTTATCCTACTTCCCCTCGCAGTGTTTGCCCTGTACATGTCTGCATAATGATACAATTTATGTCGTATGATATATGATATACGCTCTATGGCCGCTGTACTCCTCGATTATGCCCGCCAGAATTCCGCTCCCGCACCTGGCCTGCCCGCGTTGCCTCCTCGCGCACCATTTCGCCCTCTTTCTGCCACTGCTCCTTCTCATACTCGTCATACTCTTCCCGTGCATCTATCCATCGCTCCTGCACGTCGCGGACGTCGCTGAGTGGCCCCTTCATGGGGCCCGCGGCAGCGGACATCAAGGCGTACGTGTTAGGTTGTTGGGTGATTGGTGCGCCCGACATGTCGACAGTCCCTGGAGGTTGCTGACCTGCCTGACCGGCGGTTGGCGGGACGTAGACATATCCTGTCGCACGGTCTATTGCTCTCGATAGGTGCATCATCGAGTTTTTGTCCTAGAAGGGACAGCATGAGCTCACGCAAAGCACAGAGATAAAATTGAGCAACCTCAACTGCGAGCGTCTCGAAGCCGACAAGGCTGTAGTCCTCAATCAAGGAAATGATGGCCATGTTCATGGACGCAAATCGTGGTGGTGAAGACGCCGAAAGCGAATTTTCCAGGTAGGTCAGATCCTGTACCTCCGTGTAGAAGTCAAGATTGAAGTCTGCACAGTGATCAGCCATTCAGTCAGGACTAAGTAACGAAGTATCCTCACCAAGTTCGCCATACTGAGCCAGCAAGTCGACCTTCGACAAGACGTTGATATGCGGCAATTCCAGGTGAAGCATGGTCCGCAATGATAGGAGCAGCACGGACACGTATTTTGACGCGTCTGTCACATAGTGCGCATCGCAAAGGTGCACCGCGGCCAACTAAGTCGATATGAGAGGACACCTAGCGGCAGAAGGTAAAACACCGTACTCTGAAGCCCGCTTTTGCCAGCTTGCCAATGATATTCTTCACGCTATCATGATTTGTGCTGAGCTCGACTTGACCCGGCAAGTCGAAGAGGACATAAGCGTCTTTCCCCAGCGCCTGCAGCCGTTCCTCCAGCCAGTCAAAGTTGGCCTCCAGGTATTCCATGCAGTACAAGAGGCCGCCATTCGGACCAAGGCCGTGCTCATCCATCACATCTTGAAGGGTTATCAGAGAAGATATGTCAATTGCGCAGGGATAAGGTATGGTCTCGTTGGCGGGGTCAAGGTTCACGATGGAGATGGGGCGTTTCAAAGCAGTGAAGAGCTGATGTTTGCCATAGCAGTACGTCGATTTTCCGCTCCCGGGAGAGCCGCACACGACTTCGCCAAAAGGCATGCAGGAGGAGATGGGGGTCGAGGACAAGAAAGAGCGTGATGTGACCAACGTTGAGTCACAGTGTTATAAGCATGTGACCGTGCGGACTTGCATTTTCACCCCTCCTTGCGACTAACCACCGTTTGCCTGGCCAGGTAGTCGGCAGCGTAGGCTCGTAGCAGTATATAGCCGTGGTAGTGAACTACTATCTCGTTGCTTCAATTGCTATTGCCTAGGTAAGGTCTTCTCACGTCTTTTCGCTGCCGTTCCTCCGTTTTGACGCCCATTCGTTAGGCGCTGTTATACTTCTGACATCTTTCCGCATTTTTCTCTTCTACCCACGTCTCAGCATCGGTCGTCGACTGTCTCAGATGGATCCCTCTACGACGCGAATTAAGATAGAGCGCCTACGCGAACACTACGTTCGCAAATACGCTGAGCAATGCAACGAACTGCTCAAGGAGCATAGGGCTGAATATGCTGCTGAAGCCTCTCTTCTCTTGCAAGGGTCGTCTACGACTATGTGCACTAAGGCCATGAACGTGCAACAGGCCGATGAGATTGAGCGAACCGGCTTCGACAGCAGCCCCATATCGGAGCTTACACCGACTTTGAGGAGCGTCTTTGGACACCAGCATCTATATCCCGTGCAGGAGCAGTGCGTGTTACACCTACTGCTTCTTTGGCATGCTTGTTGACCTTCTTTCGCCTCAAGGGCGATCAAGGCAAGCATGGCGGGACACGACGTTCTCCTCGTCACGGCGACTGGTTTGCTCTACCTCCTTCACCTGTATCTGCTCCTGAACACCCCTTCAGGAGGAGGCAAGTCCTTGACCTATCAGCTGCCTGCGATCCTGCGTCCCGGTTGCACCTTGGTCATCTCGCCAACAATATCTCTCGTTCTCGACCAGCTCCACATCGCCCAGAGGCTTCAAAGTGCGATAAATATTGAACCTATCATGTTGTATCTCTGACAGTGTTTCCCTATCAAGTCGAAGCCGTCGGATTGGCGTCGACAACACCGGTCGAAGAAATTCGGACTATCAAAGCGCGTCTTCGAGCCATGGCTGACCATACCTTACCCAAGCACGTACCGCCTATCAAGATTTGTTACGCGACGGTAGGATTGGTTTTTGGAGTATGCAACAGTTCTCACCATCCTTGCTACCCGTTGCTTCTAGCCCGAGCGGGTCGACGTGGACGAGTCTCTGAAGACCATCCTTTCGGCACTCGCACAAAACAATTTACTGGGTAGGGCAAACAACTAGCGCCTCACATTGGTAACAAAATTCTCTGCCAGCGCGTATCGTTATCGACGAGGCCCACTGCGTCGCTGACATGGGCCACAAATTCCGGTGATTAAATCTTGTAATTCTCTGGGCGCGACGTTACCTTACGCATCTCTCGTAGCGCATCTTACTCGAAGTTGGACAAGCTACGCGACCTATGCCCCGATGTTCCCGTTCTCTGCCTGACTGCAACGTGCACGCGCAAGTCTTGGTCAGAAATCTCGAGGGTGCTGAAGCTTGGCCCTATTTGTGACGGTAAGGGATAGGCTCGAATTTGGATTGTACGTTGACATTCTCTTCAGTGGCAACGCCCTCACGCACATTGTTTCTCTCGGCACCCCTGGAACGCCCCAATCTGCTCTATCGCGTGATCCCCAAGCCGCGGCTGGACAAACAACTACCGGAGGTCATGGCGCACTTCATACTCGACAACTACCTAGGGCAATCCGGGATCATCTACTGCCCTACGAAAGCCTGGGCTGTCACGGTACGAAAGGGCCTCGCGCGCTACAGTGGTGGGCGCATCAAGGCATCGTTCTTTCACAGTGAGGTGGAAACCGGTAAGAAGAAGCAGAGGTACGAGAGGTGGATGCGGGGGGATATACATGTGATGTGCGCAACTTCGGGTTCGTCGTGCTGATATATATTTCCTCATCCGCTGCACCCTCTGACGGAAACTGGTATAGCTTTCGGCCTCGGGATCAACAAGCGCGACGTGCGCTTTGTGATGCACCATACGGTCTGTTCCTCTCCATTGCAAGAAAGGCTAATCACTGACGTGTCCTTTGGACAGATACCGGTACGTGCAAAGAAGCAGTGGAAGCAGTACCTGTGCTCACAACCTTTGTTTCTGATGCACGCCAGCCGACTCTCGAGCAGTACTTCCAAGAGTCCGGCCGCGCGGGACGTGACAACCTGCCTTCCGCCTGCATCCTGTATCACAAGGCACAAGACGCCGCTAACGCAGCTGCACTGATCAAGACTGGGCTGTCCGGTGTTGATGATCGTGCGTTCTTGCAGCATTCACACCGACCGCGATGCTGACTCAAGACCTTGAATCAGTGAGAGGGATGCTGCGGTACGCGCAAGATCTCGTTACTTGCCGCCAGCGCCTACTTGCCCAGTATGCACTTTGACGCACTTAAGGTTTGCTACGGCTGACTCGATACGCAGGTACTTCCTCGATGCGGGCGTACAGACACAAGCGGGGGCTCGATCATCGGGACAGTCGCTACCTGACGCTGAGTGTGGCCGATGCGACAATTGCACGCGCGCGAGAGGCGTTGTTCAGCAACGCAGCGTCGCGGGAGATGCGTGGCTGATTCTGCATGTTCTGCATGAGATTCACGCGCAGGGACAGAAAGTAACCATCAAAGGACTCGCCGAGCTTTCCAGGGGGATGGTCAGGACGAACAAAGTTGCGCTCGTTGGAATGAAGCGGAAACGAAGCGGGACTGACGAGAGGCTTGCGATCGTCGATTTGCGCGCCCTTGGGGGCGCTGTTTCTCCGTGCCTCAATCAAGAGGTACGTGGATGCTGCAACGAGCTGCGGGAGACTGACGCATCGCAAAAGGATTGTGAGCGATTGATTGTACAACTCTTCGTCGACGGTTATCTGGATGGCTTCCTGTATACCACGACGTTCAAGAAGATCCGCAACCAGTACCTGTACATGAAACTAGGGCCGCTCGCGGAGAGGCTCATGGTGCGCTCCTCGCGGGAGGACCTCACCGACATTCAGATCATGCAGCGATATGTGGTCGATGCTGGGCGCAGGCGCGTGAGGCAGAGAACTACTGAGGTGCCGATCAGCACTGGCACCGCTGAGGAGAGCTTTGATGAGGTGGTCAGTCAGGACGAAACGGAAGACGAAGCCATAGTGATGGCTATGGTGATTGAAGATGAGGATGAGGACGTGTAGAGCGCCATTCGATTGCTCCGACGACGCACGACTGCACTTGAACAGAACGTTTGTCTTTTCTGCGCTCGGTGCGCACACATAGATCCTGAACCTCCTCGCTGTTGCACGCTTCATCGGACTAGATTTCCTGCATTACTATCTTGCTTGTATCGTCTTCTTGCTTGTAGTACCTTGCCCTTGCATACTTTCTAATTTTTTGTAGCACTATGATCTTCCGAGCAGGACACTGACTAGCACACTTCTTGTCTGTATTGATACTCTTGACTATATGATACTGGCTACCTATTTTGATACATGCGATAGAGACGACGTTCTCCAAGCCACCCTCACGGTGCTATCAGGCTTAATTCGCCCCTCGGCTTGAGAAGTAGCACCTCAATCAACACTCTGGTTATATGACAGATACAGTCTTCCATTCATTGCTATGCACCAATGAGCTTCAGATTCTCCGAATGTATACTGCCAGAAGCGAACGAACTCGAACTGTGACAGGTCACGCCACTTATGCGTGAGAGAACACGTGCACGTGGCACGCCTCGAGGTGCAGAGCCTTCACCGGATAGCCGGGCTTGAAATTCACGCTCATGCCCGTGGCCTTTCCCTGACCAAGATTTCTCGCCCCACTTCCTCCTTGGGCTCCTTGTCCTCTCTATCTTCTTGCATAACACCCTACTCTCTTGGATATCAGGATGGCAAGCTTTTCCTGGTCGGATACATTGCAGGCATTCACGAGCTGTGTTCCCTGCTTGCGCCCTGGGACGCCTGCTGAGGACGATAACCCCCACGATCCCACTCGCAACCGCGTCCGACGCGCTCGACCTGACGAACTGGAGTCCCTGCTTGCCGATGCAGACTCGACGGACACGGAGGCGGAGACCCTGTCTCTCCATTCCAATCCCGGTGAAGGGCGTAGGCGCCGGAAGAAGAGGAGAGCACGCAACATCACCCTCTGCGGCGTCGATCTCTTCGGAAAGCGACGCCAGGCTATCCAGCTGCCTGAGGACGATGGCGCCCTCTTCGATCCCCGACGTTCGTCCACCACCACCAGTGCTACATTCGACTCGGACGCTGCTTCCCTCGACCCCAGCGACCTCACGCACATCAGCCCCGCCGAGCTTGAGCGGCGTGCGCTCGAAGAGGAGGAGCGCCGTCAGAAGGAGGAGCGTCGCAAGCGCCGACGCGAACGCCGCGAAATGCGCCGCGTAGCGGAGGCGATCGCGGCGGGCGAGCTGCACGACGGGGACGTGCCTGGCTATGAAGGCTACGTGGATACGCAGCCCGCGCCGGCTGCGCGCATGTCCGCATCCCGACGGCTATCCGTAGACGCGTTCGGGCCGTTCCAGCAGGCGCCGAGCCAGAGCCCGATCTTGCCCCAGGATGACGCGGACGAGGCCGACGCGGCTGATCTGGATGGCGGGCTGTACGCGGGGCGCCGGCGCGCGCAGGGCGGGTCGAGCGTGTCGGGCTCGCGTTCGGGCGGGTCGGACTCGCGATCGCGCACGTCGGCGTCGGCATCGCAGCAAGATGCCCAGGCGGACCTCCCTCCCCCTCCCAAGCAGAAGCGCAAGAAGTCAAAGTCGGGCAAGGCGTCGAGCTCGAGCAAGTCGAGCCGCTCGCGCGCTTCAGATACATCCGCGAGCACGACGCAGTCGCCCTCGCTCGTTTCCCCTCATGCGCCGTCCTTCACTGGCGCGCTGCCTCTTGTATACGCCATCTCCGAGCACCCCGCGTCACCGACGGAGGGCGACTTCGACGGCGTCGTCGGCATGGGCCTCGACAGCGCGCCCGCGCAGGCGTATACAAGTGCCGAGCTCAAGCCTAGTGCTGAGCTGAAATCGGGCGCTGGCGGGCTGCACGTCGACGTGAACGGCCTGACGTCGGCTGGGGCTCTCCCGAGCGCGGCGCTGGCTACTGGGATGCCGAGCCCTGGGTTGAGGACCGGAATGCCGAGTCCTGGTTTGGGGGCCGACATGCCCAGCCCTGGGCTTCCGAGCCCGGGACTGGGAGGCGGGCCGCGCCGTCAGTCGAACGCGCGCGACATGGGGGCGTTCCTTGCGAGCAAGTGAAGTCGTCGTTAGACGTCTGCCCTCGCTGTTAGGCGATTGTCCTCGTCGTCAGACGCCTGTCCTCGTTGTCAAACGTCTGTCCTACTCTTGCGCCGCCCCCGGACAGTCTGGTGGATCTACCCGGAATCTCGTCTGTATCATATGCACTCTATATCTATACACCATCTTTATTATCATGACTCCACTATCTTTTACCAGCGAACGCCAGACTACTGTATCCTCCAGCTTCTTTCTGTTGTCTAGTACAGTAGCTGACTCTTATATACCCTGGGTCTTTGTACATGCCGCGAACGAACACGACTTCTCTTGGTTTTTTGAGACATGTCAAGGAACTAAGCAGTTTGCGACTGCGCGCGGGTATCATCTGGGTATCATTGTGAAGGTATCCAGTCCTGCGTATCCTCGTACACATCTACGAACGACTCGAGCTCCGAATCTTCCTTTGCCTCCATATCCTTGAAGAAGTCCTTGCCATAGTCGATGAAGAGCTCGGCGCCGGGCTTAATAGTGCGGTCTGAGATGCACAGAGAGAGGTCAGAAAGTAAGTCCAAAAATGTAACTGGAAAGACGTACTAGCAAATAGCCCAATGCGGGGCTCGCCATTGACGAGCTTGACTAGGTTCGCAGCCATCAGCGGGTCTTTACTTCGATGATAGAGAAAGAAACACACTGTACGCAGCCACATTGTCATGCTCTCGATGATTGACAAACCGCGCCTCATTCCCCGCATGCACAGCGTCGATGCCGAACTGAGGGTTAAGACCGAAAAGGTAGTTGGAGCGCCGATGGATGGCGAGGAGCCTACGACCCAGTAAGCCACGCTTCAAACGCAGAACAGGGACGTTACGCACTCTCGCGACCGAGTAGTCTCGTCGTATACGAGCTCGCCAACGTATTCTGCGCAATCGAATGAACGAGGGCGACTCGAGACATTGAGGGGCAGCGTACCACATATGAGCTCGCCTGCCAATATTCTCTCCGCAGCGAAGACACCTGTACCGAACTGGCTCTTCCGGAGGGTTGTTTTCTGCGAACCAAACTTAGTCACTGTCGAGCATTTGACAATCAACTGACCTTCCGCCTCTTATGCTGAATTTGCGAATTCTTGCAGCGATCGAGCGTATGGTCCCTGCTTGCGCAGCCCAAGCACAACTCGGGATCGCATTCGCGCGACGCGAGATGGCAGGGGCAGGCGCGCTTGTCTGAAGTCACGTCAGTATACAGTAGTCCGATTGTCGGGATGGAGAGCACAAACCTCCACAAGCATGTCCCTCCTCACCCGGCGTACATTTGCAGCCCGTCCAGCGTCGTGTGCCTGACAAACTAATCAGCGACTCTCTTAGTGGATGTGGGGCAAGACTATACACACATTGTAGGTGACATCGACATACACGCGTGCAATGCGCACGGTTTATTGCGCACGGGCAGTCGTTCTTGCGAGTACAGGGACCTACATGACTGCAAGGAGGATTCCTGGTGCGGCGTGAGAAAAGAGTAGGTCGAAAAGAACTCGCCTTACGGGGAGAAGAGCATGAGCTCCGAGGTATCTTCGGAAGTCATCAGTATCCTACATCCGTCTAGTGAATAACGCAGGACATACTTACCTCTAAACTCGATCAATGGCAGAGGCTTCGATGGGAGAGGAATGCGCGGAGCAGGAAAGCTCTTGGTGATGAACTTCGCAAGTCGATGGACCTGATAATCTTGAGTAAGTATGGACGCGGGGCCTGCGAGGCCAAGTAATCACTACTCGCCTCATTGCAGGGCTTTAGACATACGACAGAGAGATCGCAAGGAGAGGCTTCGGGGGAAACCTCTAAAATCGTCCTGAGCAAGCTGTAGTCATCCGGTTCCCAAGAAACAGCCTTGCATGACCGGCGCACCCGTTAGTGGGCGAATATTGAGTCTTCATGTGTACTCACTTCGGCGAGTGCGGACTCTCGGTAGCAAGTCGGGCCGCAGGACCCTCTTGGTGGGGCATTTGCGGCGTATGGAGCGATGCGTAGGGCGGGGTCGTACTCATAGTCTAGTTTCTCTAGTGAGTGCGTGCTTAGTGAGGGCAAGTTCATAGCCTCACTGTGAGTAGGGCAATTCGGTGTTATGCAATTGACGGATGGACAGAAGGACGTGATCTGAGCGTTGAAGGTCGTTGCAAAATCATGGGAAGTCTGTATTCGATCCAAGCCTGTCCTTGGGAACGGCGAAAGATCCCTACGAGGGTGCGCTATTCAGTCGCGCATCACAAGCGTACATTGATCGACATCGACGGACCGTTTTGTGTATTCGTCCAATAAACCTGGTCGAGTGACACCGGTGTCCACGTCCGTTGCAGTAAACAAGGGTAACGGCAGAATATCCGTTGCCTGTTGCTGCTCGTATGAGATGCCGTGATCCAAGAACAACCGGCGAGCGGTTTCAAGGACGAGCAATGCGACTAAAAATTGGGATGAAGACCACCGCAATCGCATATTGACGCCAAACAGAGCTTACAGTCGTGGTCCTTGATATCCATCCAAGCCAGCGTGCCATGCCAGTCGTCGAGCTCCCGTGCAGCATCGTATTTTGGATCGTCGATGTACCGCACGTAGGAAATATCATTGCTGTTTCTAAGGCGCACGTAGGGTACGTCGTTGTTGTCGTTGCCGACGTAGATGCTGCGGTCGGCGGGGGTGAAGTTCTCGTACACTGGGACGCTGTCGAAGGATTTTGGCGCGTCCATAATGCAGCCACCTTGCAGTATCCAAGGATCCTGGGCGAAGTCGCCGTCGTCGGTGAAGTCCAAGACGGTAAAGCCTCTAGATTGAGCTTGCTTGTCATGCAACGGCGTATTTGTTGTGGGAACCGGTATAGAGGGAAGCAGCGACATCCCATCCCAAGGAGGTGTTGTCGGTTGCAGTGAGCGAAGCGATCTTCTGGCCATATCCTTCTTCCATTGTGAGAAGTTATGCCATACTTTCCTGAGTACCCTTGCGACTAGTTCTGGTGTCCCTTCTTCGCCATTACTGAACGCACGAAGAGGAGCTTGACGGTTCGAGGCCGCCAAACCAGAGGTATTCAACATAGCGCAACGCGTCCAAGAAGCCCCGGAAAGGTCAACGAGGTCGTACACTGAGTAGCGCAAGTAGTCAGAGAAATGTAGGAAAGGCGCACGAAGATCGTCAGAACGCAGAACAGTGGCTCTCGTGAAGAAACAAGTTCATGTTCGAGATTCGAATGTCGCGGTTGATTGGATCACGTGTGGTCACACTTTTGTCACACATGGTTGTCAGAGACGAACGTACAGCTCGCACACGCTTTTTTGAGCATTAGTGTTAGTCAAGGATAGAAAGAATGAATATATGGAGTTTCAGAAGACGAAGGCCGCTGGGGCGAAGAGAGGAGCAAGTGGATCATGCTTTCCGAGGCACCTGCCGTATTTGGACAGCATCCCGGTGGCGTCGCCGAAACTTTTCGCGACGCGTTGTTGTTCCCTTCTTGGTCATCGCTCTCCTTCCCCAGAACACTGACGATGTCGGGCCAGGGGAAAAAGCTGTCTGGCTACAACTACGGGGACATCTCGTCCCTTGTCCTCACCGCAGACCGCTCTGCGCTCCCTAGACGCGACAAGGAACCGGATGGCGCACCGACTTCACTGGCGGGGCGCATCGACCCCAAAGACATGGGCTCCCGAGCCCTGCGGGAAGCACCCAAGGACATCGAGAAGAAGAAGAAAAAGGCAGCAGACCGCACTGAAGTCGCCGACAAGGTCAAGCGGAAGGCCGAGTCCTCTCGGTTCATGGCTGCAGACATCATTGAGGCGACCCAGGACCTTGAGGACCTCACATACCGCCCCCGCACCGCCGAGACCCGCGAGATCTACTCCCTCATGCTTGCTGCAGTCAACTCTGCCCTAGGGGACGAAGCACCTGACGTCGTACGAAGCGCCACGGACGTAGTGCTCGAGGTGTTGAAGAACGAGGCGGTCAAGGACTTCGACAAGAAGAAGGAGATCGAGGAAGTTGTCGGCCCTCTGTCGTCCGAGCAGTTCTCGCAGCTGCTATCTCTGTCGAAGAAGATAACTGACTACGGCGACGAGGACGAGACTATGGCCGACCCCGACGCAGAGAAGAAGGAGACGGAGATCGACGACGACGTCGGTGTTGCCGTCGTGTTCGACGAGGAGGAGCAAGACGAAGAGGAGGACGAAGGCTTTGAGATTGGAGAGGAGTCTGACGAAGAAGAGGAAGAAGAAGACGCAGAGGCCCCAGCCGAGGGTGCGGAAGGGGAGGACGAGGCGCTTGTGATCGGGGGGGAGGGTTCGAAGACGAAGAAGGACAAAGCCGACAAGGACATTGTCGCCCCACACGAAATCGACGGTTTCTGGGTTCAACGCCAGATCTCAGAAGCCTACCCCGACCCCGTCACTGCCGCCGACAAAGCATCTGCTGTCATCTCCATCCTCGGTTCTGAGTCCAGCTTGCGCGATTGCGAGAACCAGCTCATGGACCTCTTCGAGTACCAGAGCTTCCACATCATCACCAAGTTTCTCAAGAACCGCGATGTCATCTTCTGGTGCACAAAGCTCATGCGTAGCGATGCGGACGAGCGTGTCAACGTCGAGGTGGCTATGCGCGAGAAGGGCGTTGGCTGGATCCTGCGCGAGCTCGCCGGTGACAGGCAGGCGAAGACTGGGAAGGGGGATGCTATGGACGTCGACGAGGCCAAACCTGAGGTCCCCAAGACGGCGACGCTGGCTCCTGGCAGCACGGTTCAGCCAAAGCGCGTACTCGACCTCGAGAGCATGGCTTTCAGCCAGGGTGGTCACCTTATGTCAAACAAGAAGTGCAAGCTGCCCGAAGGCTCGTTCAAGCGCTCGCGAAAAGGTTACGAGGAGATTCACGTCCCGGCGCCGAAGAAGAAGGAGCCTGCCCCCTCCGAGATCGTGCCCGTTGAGGCGCTCCCGGCGTGGGCACGAGAGGCGTTCACCGTCCCGCGCTTGAACCAGATTCAAAGCAAGCTTTTCCCCGTTGCTTTTGGCACGGATGAACCATTGCTTCTCTGTGCACCTACCGGTGCGGGAAAGGCATGTATCATTCTTCGTTCGCCTAATCAAACGAACCTAACCATGATATACAGACGAACGTCGCCATGTTGACCATTTTGAATGAGCTTGCGAAGTACCGCGACGAAGCCACCGGCACGTTCGACCTCGACGCCTTCAAGATCGTTTACATCGCACCCATGAAGGCCTTGGTACAGGAGATGGTCGGCAACTTCTCAGCCCGTTTGAAGGTCTTCGGCATCAAAGTCGGCGAGCTTACCGGTGACTCCCAAATGACGAAGCAGCAGATATCCGAGACGCAGATCATCGTCACTACGCCCGAGAAGTGGGATGTCATTACCCGCAAGAGCACCGATACCAGCTACACGAACCTCGTCCGCCTCATTATCATCGACGAGATCCACCTTCTGCACGACGATCGTGGACCCGTCTTGGAGGCTGTTATCGCGCGTACCATCCGGCGTATGGAGCAGACGAACGAGTACGTTCGTTTGGTTGGGTTGTCGGCCACACTCCCCAATTACAAGGATGTCGCAGCGTTTCTTCGCGTCGACGAGTCCAAGGGCCTCTTCTACTTCGATGCGTCGTACCGCCCCTGTACGCTTCAGCAGCAGTTCATCGGCGTCACGGAGAAAAAGGCGATCAAGCGGTATCAGGTCATGAACGAGGTCTGCTACGAGAAGGTGCTTGATCAGGCGGGCAAGAACCAGACGCTTGTCTTCGTGCACTCTCGCAAGGAGACGGGCAAGACCGCCAAGTACCTGCGCGACACGGCCGTCGACAAGGAGACGATTACCCAGTTCGTACGCCCGGAGAGCAGCACGCGCGAGATTCTCCTGGAGATGGCGTCTAGCGTGAAGGATCCCGTTCTCGCCGACATCCTCCCCTTCGGCTTTGGTATCCATCACGCCGGTATGTCCCGCGAGGACCGTTCGCTCGTGGAAGAGCTTTTCGCCGAGGGTCACATCCAGGTCTTGCTCTGTACCGCTACGCTCGCTTGGGGTGTCAATCTGCCTGCGCACACTGTCATCATCAAGGGCACGCAGATCTACAACCCCGAGAAGGGCCGCTGGACCGAGCTGTCCTCGCAGGATGTGCTCCAGATGCTCGGTCGCGCCGGTCGCCCGCAGTACGACACGTTCGGCGAGGGTGTCATCATCACGAACCACTCCGAGCTGCAGTACTACCTGAGCTTGATGAACCAGCAGCTGCCCATCGAGTCGCAGTTCGTCGCGAAGCTGGCGGACAATTTGAACGCCGAGATTGTGCTCGGGACTATCCGCAACCGCGACGAGGCCGTGCAGTGGCTGGGGTACACCTACCTGTATGTCCGCATGCTCAAGGACCCGTCGCTATACAGCGTCGGCGTGGACTACCAGGTTGACGACGTTGGGCTCGTGCAGAAGCGCGCGGATATCGTGCACTCGGCGGCTACGCTTCTCGAGAAGAGCCAGCTTCTGAAGTACGAGCGCGCTACCGGGCGCTTCCACAGCACCGAGCTCGGCCGGATCGCGTCGTACTTCTACGTCACGCACAACTCGATGCTGGTGTACAACAAGCACTTGCGGCCGACGATGTCGACGATTGAGCTGTTCAGGGTGTTCGCGCTGTCGAACGAGTTCAAGCTCATTCCGGTGCGGCAGGAAGAGAAGATTGAGTTGGCTAAACTGCTCGAGCGTGTACCCATCCCGGTGAAGGAGAGCGTGGAGGAGCCGGCAGCAAAGATCAATGTGTTGCTGCAGGCGTACATCTCGCGATTGAAGCTCGATGGTATGTCGCGTAGGTATTCAAGGGGCATATTACTCACATCCCTCTTAGGCTTCGTCTTGGTCGCCGACATGGTCTTCATTCAACAGTCAGCCGGCCGGTGAGTATTTCGCTATCCTCGGAAGTCCAGTCGTTCTGACCTTTCCATAGTATCCTTCGTGCCATGTTCGAGATCTGCCTCAAGCGTGGATGGGCTGTTCCTGCGAAGGCGTGCTTGGACCTTTGCAAGATGGTTGAGAAGCGAATGTGGGGTTCTATGACGCCTTTGCGCCAGTTCCCGGATGTGCATCCTCAGGTCATTCGCAAGGCTGAGGGCAAGCAATTCGTGCGTATTCTTACATTTGGTTGTCGCTTTCGTGCTGACTCAAGTGTAGCCTTGGTACCGCTACTTCGATTTGGTAAGGACTACACGATACCATCCATATCGGACGAGTGCTGATTTCATTATGCAGAGCCCGCCCGAAATTGGCGAGTTGATTGGCATCCCGGCCCAGGGCAACAAGGTTCACCGCCTGGTCCACAGCTTCCCGAAGCTTCAGTAGGTGCCGCCAAGTCGTCTTAGGCCAACAATACTCATGTACTTTTCTAGATTGCAGGCACAGGTTCAGCCCATCACCCGCTCGCTTCTGCGCATCGACCTAACCATCACGCCTGACTTCCGATGGGACGAGAAGTACCACGGCACGTCGGAGTCGTTCTTCATCCTTGTCGAGGACGTTGATGGCGAGATCATCCTCTTCCACGACCAGTTTGTCCTGCGTCAGCGTTATGCGGAGGATGAGCACAACGTCACCCTCACTGTGCCGATGTTTGAGCCCGTTCCCCCCAACTACTACATCTCGGTCGTGTCTGAGCGCTGGCTCCACGCCGAGACGCGCCTGCCCATATCCTTCAAGTACCTCATCCTGCCGGAGAAGTTCCCACCACCCACCCCTCTCCTCGACCTCCAGCCGCTCCCGCTGTCCGCACTCCACAACAAGGAGTTCGAGAGCATCTACTCCTCGGAGATCAAGACGTTCAACAAGATTCAGACGCAGGTGTTCCAGGCGTTGTACACCACCGATGAGAACGTCTTCATCGGCGCACCTACCGGCAGCGGCAAGACTGTCTGCGCCGAGTTCGCTCTTCTGCGCCTATGGAGCAAGCGCGAACAGCCGCGGGCAGTGTGCATCGAACCGTTCCAGGAGATGGTGGATATGCGGGTAGCAGAGTGGCAGGCCAAGTTCTCCAAGCTACAAGGGGGAAAGGAGATCGTCAGTCTCACCGGTGAGACCAGCGCAGACCTTCGCTTGTTGGAAAAGGGAGACGTCATCGTCTGCACGCCTACCCAAGTGAGTTGCCCAGGCTTTGTCGCTTCGGAGTAGTTCTGACCTCGACCCAGTGGGATGTTATCTCCCGTAGATGGCGTCAGCGAAAGAACGTGCAGAACATTGGTTTGATTATCGCGGACGAGGTACAGCAAGTCGGTGGCGAGGTCGGGCCCACCTACGAGGTCATCTTGTCTCGCACAAGATACGTGTCTGCGCAGACGGAGATCAAGACTCGCATCGTTGCCTGCGGTGTGTCCTTGGCCAATGCTCGCGACCTTGGAGAGTGGATCGGCGCCCCTTCACACGATATCTTCAACTTCTCGCCAAGGTACGCGAACGAATTGCCCTCCTACTCCTTCGGCTGACCCCTTTCGTAGTGCTCGTCCTCTTGACATGGATATCCACATTCAGTCCTTCACCATCCCCCACTTCCCCTCCCTTATGATTGCGATGTCGAAGCCCGCTTACTTGGCAATCACAGAGTACGCACCAACCAAGCCGACCATCATCTTTGTGCCATCTCGTCGCCAATGTCGCCTCACTGTGGACGTCCTTCTCACACATTGCTCTGCCGATGACAACCCTGACCGGTTCCTCAATGCCGACCTCGAAGCCATTCAGCCTCACTTGGACCGCTTGTCGGACGAGGGCCTGAAGGAGTGTATGAAGCACGGCATCGGCTACTACCACGAAGCGTTGAGCAAGCAGGACAAGCGCATCGTACAGCGTATCTTCGAGTCTGGTGCCATCCAGGTGCTTGTGGCGAGCAAGGACACCGCGTGGAGTCTTCCCGTTGCCAGCTACATGGTCATCATCATGGGTGTCCAGTACTACGAGGGCAAGGAGCACCGGTACCTCGACTACCCGATCATGGACGTTCTGCAGATGATGGGCCGTGCCTGCCGTCCAAGAGAGGACGACCGGAGTCGCTGCGTGCTCATGTGTCAGCAGACGCGCAAGGACTTCTACAAGAAGTTTCTCGCGGAGGGCCTGCCCATCGAGTCCCACCTGCCGACGAACATGATTCACGATTACTTCCTTGCGGAGATCGCGGTGAAGACGATCGAGAACAAACAGGATGCGATGGTGAGTTCGTTGTAGTATCCTCCTGGGGAACGGTGTTAACGGGCTGTCAGGATATCTTGACGTGGACGTACTTCTACAGGCGGATGACGCAGAACCCGAACTACTACAACTTGCACAACGTCAGCCACCAGCACTTGTCCGACCACCTGTCCGAGTTGGTGGAGAACACGTTGAGCGACTTGCAGAATTCGCAGTGCATCGCGATCGGTATGTCACACTTGCTCAGCGTACTGTCCGTTAACTGATAAATCTGTTAAGAGGACGAGATGGACGTCACTGCCCTGAACTTGGGTATGATCGCGGCGTACTACAACATCTCTTGTGAGTTTGATCCCGAACCCTTTCCTATATTGCGCTAACCGTTTCCTCTACAGACGTCACCGTCGAGGTCTACAACTTGTCGCTAAAGGAGCGCACGAAGTTGAAGGGCTTGCTCGAGGTTGTCGCTTCTTCCGCCGAGTTCGAGATGATCCCCATCCGCCGGCACGAAGACGTCTTGCTGCGTCGCATCTACGAGCGCGTGCCCGTCAAGGTCGACTCTGTCAACTACGAGGCACCGCACTTCAAGACCTTCCTGCTGCTCCAGGCGCACTTCTCGCGCATCCAATTGCCGCCAGACCTTGCTGCCGACCAGGTGCTCGTGTTGGAAAAGGTGCTCAACTTGCTATCCGCCTGCGTTGATGTCATGTCGTCGAACGCATGGCTGAATGCGCTTGGGGCGATGGACTTGTCGCAGATGTGTGTGCAGGCGATGTGGGAGACGGACTCGCCATTGAAACAATTGCCGCACTTCGAGCCGGAGGTGAGCAACGGCCTCGTTGATATCAGCTTACGCCCTCATTGCTGACTTCCGTGTTCTCGCAGGTCATCAAACGCTTCCAGGCTGCAGGCATCGAGAACATCTACGACTTCCAGCAGATGGACGACGACCAGCGGACGGAGCTGTTGCAGATGGACGCTGCGCAGACGCGCGACGTTGCCGTCATGGCCAATGCCTTCCCAAACCTCGATGTCTCGTACGAGCTGGTGAAGGGCGAGTACACTGCCGGCGCACCCATCCACCTAAAAGTCACTCTCGCCCGCGACGTGGACGAGGACGACGAGGATGACGAGCAGATCGTCGTCGCGCCGTTTTATCCAGCAAAGAAGATGGTCAATTGGTGGCTCGTTGTCGGCGAACCAAATACGCGACAGCTGCTGGTCATCAAAAAGGTCACCTTCAACAAGGCGCTGAACGTCAAGTTGGAGTTCACGTTGACGAAGGGTCAGCACAACCTGAAGCTGTTCGTCATCTGCGACTCCTATGTTGGTGCGGACCACGACATCCCTCTCGAGCCCGTCGACGTGGCAGAGGGCGAAGATAGCGACGATGATGATGATTCTGATGAGGACATGGAAGAGTAGACGGTATTCTGCTGTGTTTTGTATCGCGCTGTGTTGTTTGCTTTTGGACATGTATCAGTAGTATCTCTCTAATGGCCCACTCTCCCAGCCTTGTGGGTTCAACAAATCCTCAAAGAGACAAGCCTTTGAAGGAAACAATTACCTATTTGCGCATATTTGAAGCTATAAATCGTGGAAAACAAGGCCAAAGCGTACGGACGTGTCCCCCGTCATCCGTCTCGATATTTACACATTCGCGGACACTGTTTCTCGTCCGCAACCATCATGAAGCTCAAGGAAATACACCGGACGTCGACGTTCGCCTGGTCCCCGTCGGCGTCGCTCCCCTTGCTGGCAACGGGAACAGTAGCCGGCGCGCTCGATGCATCCTTCAGTAACGAAAGCCAGCTCGAGATATGGGCTCCCGACTTCCTGGACAAGTCTGAATACGACCTGGGAGCACCAGACGGAAGATTCGGACCCAAGGGATCCATCACCGATAGCGCGCGCTTCAATCGCCTCGCGTGGGGATGCGTCGATGCCGCCCATCCGAAGGGTGTGCTTGCCGCGGGCATGGAGAACGGAGAGCTCGCGTTGTGGGATCCCAGCAAGATTGTGCAGGGGCTAGGGTAAGCTCCTCGTCTTGTCCGCGGGAGACGCGTCACTGACGCGTACCAGCGCGTCTGAATCCCTAATCCTGCGCAACACCACGCATACGGGACCTATCCGCGGGCTGGACTTTAATCCCATCCAAAACAACCTTGTCGCGTCTGGAGGTGTGGGAGCTGAAGTGCGTGATACACGACAGTATTAGGGCATGGTCTAACACAGCCTTAGGTGTACGTATGGGACATCAAGGACCCTAGCAAGCCCTACACTCCCACTGGCACAAGAAGTACCAAGCTTGACGACATCACATCGATCGCGTGGAACCAGCAAGTGCAGCATGTCCTTGCTGGTGCGAGCAGCACGGGCTATACTGTGGTATGGGACCTGCGCGGCAAGCGCGAGGTTGTCGCTCTGGCATATGGTGGCGGTGCGGGAACGCTGGCGGGCCAAATGAGCAATGGTGGAGGGATGGCGATTGGCGGACGGCGCGGAATGAGCGATATTGCGTGGCATCCTGATAATGCTACGCGGCTTGTCACGGCGTCGGAAGATGATTCCTCGCCTATCATTATGGTGTGGGATTTGCGCAATGCTCGTGCCCCAGAGAAGGTACTTTGCAGTGAGATTGACGTGGTTCTATTGCTGATCACTATGTTCCAGATTCTTACCGGCCACGAGAAGGGCGTGCTATCGCTTTCATGGTGCAAACAAGACGCCGATCTCTTGCTATCATGCGGGAAAGACAATCGTGCTCTTTGCTGGAACCCTCAAACATCCGAAATAATCGGTGAACTACCTTCTGCCGACAACTGGGCATTCCAGGTTGACTGGTGCCCGCGGAATCCTGATCTCCTCGCCACTGCATTCTTCGACGGCACCATTGGCATCCACTCCATTCAGTCCACGAACGACGCCGCGTCCGCTTCTCAGGCTGCTGGTGCTACTGCCGCTCGCGCGGATGGTGCTGACATCTTCGACATTCCCGGACCGTCGCGCACATCACAGACGGGTTCCTTCTCCCTCAAGCAACCCCCGAAGTGGCTGCGCACCCCGGCTGCCAACTCTTTCGGATTCGGTGGTCAGCTTGTGACTGTTTCCAACCTGCCCTCTTCGCAAAACCGGAACCAGAGCTCGGTAGTACACCTCCGCAAGGTGGTGACAGAGGAAGCTTTCGTTGAGCGCGCCAAGAAACTGCAGAATGCCTTGTCGTGCGAGGGTCTCAAGGCATTCGTAGAGGACAAAGCGTCTGCAGAGGCGACCGAGGTCTGGAAGGCCCTTTCCAGCCTCTTCCAGGCAAACTCCCGGGACGAGCTGATTACGCTGCTTGGATTCTCGAAGACCGAAATTGCTGCTCGCGTTGCGGAGGCCATTGCTAAGGTCAAGTCCTCAGCAGCCGCTGGCGGTGCCTCTCCCACTCCTTCCCCACCTCCCGAGTCCGAGACACAGACTGGCGACTCCACCAAATCCGCTGTGGTGTCTTTCGCCGAGCCGGAACGCGAGGAGAGCCCTGCGAGCGACCTGGGTCAAGAGAAGACGCCGTCCGAGGTCAGTGGCAACAGCGTCACCTCCGAGACTACGAACACAACTCGTGGGGCCGACGCGGAGTCGACCACCACTGTGCCGAGCTTGTTCGGTGACGACGGCGGCAATGCTGATGACGGCGAGGATTTCTTTGCCAACATCGGCACGCCATCCCAAGGCGAGCAGCTGGTTCCGCACCACAACTATCCCCTCGACTCCTCTGTCGCTGCGACCATCGGATCTGGACCTTCGAGTGTGGCCTCCGAGAGCCTCAAGGATAACACGTTCAGGATCTACCCGTCGGATGAGTCGGAGACCGACAGGCTCATTACGAAGGCCCTCGTACTGGGCGACTTCGAGTCGGCGGTCTCGCTCTGCCTATCGTGCGACCGCTTCGCTGACGCGATTCTCCTTGCCGTGCGTGGTGGTCCCGAGCTTTTGCAGAGGACCCAGAAGGCATACTTCGAGAAGCGTACCGCCGCTTTGCCATACTTGCGCTTGTTCCAGTCGATCGTCAGCAACGACCTCTCCGACATCGTTCAGAATGCGGACCTACAGGAGTGGCAGGAGATATTCGTCGTGCTGTGCACCTTCGCCAGCCAGGACGAGTTCGCCAACCTAGCCGAGGAGCTCGGTCGCCGCCTTGAGTTCGAGTACGTCGAGGACAAGGACTCAGAGGATACGGGCATCTCGTCGCGCGCGGTCGAGTTCAGGAAGAATGCGATGCTGACGTACTTGGCTGCGGGCAAGCTCGAGCGCGTTGCAAACCTTTGGGTGGAGGAGCTCGTCGAGGAAGAACGCGCTGCCGCGTCCGCCGAGCAACAGGATGGGTCCTTGTTCACTGCTCACGCATACGCTCTGGAGACGTTCATCGAGAAGGTCAGCGTCTTCCGGTCGGCGACGAAGTACGTGGACACAGACCTTACGCCGACGACTGCCGAGCAATCGAGCGTCCGCACGTTCAAGCTCGGCGTTATCTACGACAAGTACCTCGAGTATGCGCTGCTGCTCACGACGCAGGGCTTGCTGGAGGAGGCTGTCACGTTCGTCAAGCTCGTCCCTGCCGATTACAAGGGCACGGGTGACGTTGATATGAGCGTTGAACGCGAGCGGCTGCTCGTCGCCGCTTCCAAAAAGGCCGCTCCGAGAGCGGCTGCACCTGCTCTTCCCTCGAAGCAGGTCCCTACCGCGTACCCGAGCTACCCGTCGTACCAGCCTTCGGTACCGGCCGCTGCGCCTGCGTCGACGCCCTACAACCCGTATGCGCCACCCGGTCAGGCCACGGCGCCAGCACCCGCGCCCTCAATGTACACGCCTGCTGGAGGCCAGTCGAACCCGTATGCCCCTGCGAACGGTCAGTACCAGGCACCATACCAACAAGCTCCTCACATCCCTGGTCCGCCTCAGCCTTCGAGCATGGTTCCGCCGCCGCCTAGGCCTGCTAGCGTCACGCAGCGCCCGCCCCCGCCGCCCAAGCGCCAGGAGAACGGTGGATGGAACGATGCCCCAGCTATCGCGTCGACGCGGTCACCCGCTCCTCCCCAGGGTGGGTACAAGCCCAGCGCTATCACGTCGCCATTCCCGAATGCGTCTCCTCCTTCGTTCTCGCCGTATATGGGCGGTCAGACGGGTCTCCCGCCGCCACCGCGTCCAGGCAGTGTTCAGGGTACGCCTCCCCCGCCCCCACCGGGTCGCGGTGGGCCCCCTCCTCCCCGTGGTGGGCCTCCTCCGTCTGGTTCTGGCATGTTCCCTCCTCCTCAGGCCCGCCCGCCTTCCATTCCGCCAAGCATGGGTCCCGGTGGGATCATGTCTCCTCAAGGACCGGGTCCGGTTCCCCGCCTACCGACGCCGAGCCAGTACGCCCCTCCGCCGCGTGCGAGCATGTCGTCGCCGCCTGGTCCGGGAATGAGGGCGTCTCCGTCGATTGGGCAGCCGCCGCAGGGTGGACCGTACGCGCCGCCGCCTTCGCAGATGCAGCCGAGCCCCTACGCACCGCCGCAGATGCAGTCGTCACCATCGGGTCCACCGCCGCCAGGTCCTGGGCCATATGGTCCTCCTCCAGGTGCGCAGAGGGGACCGTCAGCCCCGCCTGGCGGTCCTCCTTCGGGACCGCCTCGTGCTGCGCCGTCGGCGCCGCCAGCAAAGAAGGGCCCGCCCCCTCCAAAATATCGTGAGCAATGAGCTGTCAAAGGCGTGCAAAATTGCTGATGTGTTCTATAGCTCCTGGGGATAGAAGTCACATTCCGGAGTCCGCCCAGCCTATCTTCAACGTCGTGAGCGGCGAGCTCAATCGGATGCGGCGGACGACGCCGGTAAGCATTGTGTTGATCATCTCCAACTATCGCTCATACACCTTCAGCCTCAGCAAAAGCGCCTCGTAGATGATCTCGAGCGTCGTATCAACCCTCTCTTCGACGCCCTGAACTGCGAGACCCTGTCCGTGCCTGTTGTCGAGCAGTTGCTTGTGCTCACCAGAGGTACGTTCCGTCCTCCCTCTCTTATGTTCTTACTGACCCTTCTTACAGCCATGGAGGCGCGCGACCGTCCAGCTGCGCTCGCCATCCACGTCGACCTCCTCACTCGCGGCTCGCAGACGGATGATATTGGCTTGTGGATGTCTGGGATCAAGCAGCTCATCATGCGCTTGTAGAATGTTCTTTCATGCACGAATTTCGTACGACGTCGGACGATGTTTATGTCGGTGGATGTGTCTCTCAATAATTATGGATGTTGTTTGCATGTTTGCATGGAGTGATGATGGTCGAGGCTGAGGATTTGCAGAAGATTGATGTGAGTGCGTGCCGCTCCCACTCGGTAGAGCGCTAGAAGCAGGTGTTTGATCGTATGCTCAATACGCGCGTTCTTCACGTAGATCGAGCGTATGTATGGAGGGAGGGGAGCCAGGCTTCCTATAGCCTGAAGCTGTGTGCGTGAAAAGCATCACGCACATGCACTCAGCTCAATCTCTTGATTTGCACGCGTATTGTGATACTGAAAAAGGCCTGCGAGACCTCAACAAACAGGGTACGGAAACGAGGCCATAACGGCCCAATAGATAGATAAATAGAATGAGCGAATGTACAATCTAGTCGAGCATTACTCTGGTCGTCGTCTTCATTAAACATCCATTGGCCATTAGAGCGGTGCCACCGAGATTCTCGAAGCGGGCTTTCGAAGATCCTTACAGCGGGACCATCGAAATCTCCCGCACGTCCCACTCCTGCGCGTCGGCCTGGGACACGGGCGTGCCAATGAGGTTCGTGCGCCCGTAGTACTGGTCGCCGAAGTGGATGATGATGCCCTTCTCGCCCGCCTCCGCGGTTGCGGCGCGGTCCTCGTCCTGGAAGGTGTTGAATTGGTCGAGGTAGGACGTGGAGCCCTTGGCGACGCCGACGAAGTGGTCGTTGTGCGCCTCGCAGACGATGTGGCCTGCGGCAATGGGTGAGCGGTTTGTAAGAAATTCAAAAGGAAGCGAAATATGCATACCGGGAAGACCGTCGGGGAAGCGGAAACGCACGCCCTTGTCGGTGCCCTTGTCGAGGTCGTCGAAGCTGGGATGGGAGTGAGTGACTCGTTGGTATATGGATGTACCTCTGGAGACTCACCTGTTGTGCTGATTGATCTGGAGCACGCTGTTAGTCGAGTCGAGGTACTGCATACCATCCCACGACAGCGTGTACCACTGCGACACGATCAGTACAACTCTGACATGCGCAACGCAGACAGTACGAACCTTCGCGGGGTCAACAGTAACATCGCGACGCTCCGCCGCGAGGGGCGACGCGTTCGCGAGCGTAGCAAGCGCGACGGTGGCAGCGACAAAGGCCTTGGCGAACATCGTGATCAAGCGAGACGAGGAGAGAAGAAGACGAGGAGCAGAGCAAAAGAGCAGGAAAAAAGTCGTAACCGCGAGCTGGAGAACGTCTGAGAGTCCGCTAGCCGGCTTTTATATCTGCATCGCCAGCGCTGGGGGTGAACATTAGCTCTCGGTAGGCGTCGCCAGCGCCCTCAGACAAGTGGAGCCGCATGCCGGTGGTGTGAAGCGTCGAGTCGCAAAGTGTAGCAGCCCCGTTGGGGCTATTGTAGGAACAGCGTCGAGAGGACAAAGCGTCAGCGTGATCTGCGCTGGGCTCGGGTATGCTACAGTAGTCAATTGTAGGAAGGCTTTCGAGGGGAGCCCAGCCGCTCAACTTCGGGATAGAGATGTCGTTTAAATTCGGTGCCCCTAGAAAATCACTGCTGGGAACAGTCCCTTTTGACCTTCAAGTACTGTTGAAGAGCCTCAGTATTCAGTCCAACTATCATAAAGGGTAGCAGCGAGGTAGCACTTACGCGATGACGTTCCCGGCAGACGCAGCAGACAAGACGCGTCCATCATCAGCTTCCCCTGAGTAGCAGTATGATCAAAGATGATTTTCGCCCCTAATTGTGGTGCTGGACGTTGAGGAAGCCTGTGCTAGGCAGTCAGGCGTCTGAAAAGGTCGAAACAGTTAGTGCTGTCATCAAAAACTCGGAAGAGGGGTCGCAGTCGTGCCGCGGTCGTGGTCGCGTGTGATGTTCGTAAACACCCATTGAGGGCTCGAGAATCCACAATAATGATACAGCGTGAGTATATACACAGGTAGAGTAGCAATACATACAAGCAAGAGCCAAGCAAACAGTCTAGCGCATTAGCATAGATATAGCAGATCCATAGTCCGGAGGGGTCCCTCAGGCAGTCTATCGTGGACGAAAGGCGCGCACACGTAAGGTGTTTCTCTCACATATCCTCCCCCTCTATCAAATCCCACCCGTCCTCTTCCTCCTCTATCTTCGCCTGCCGCTGCCGATGTCGATGCGTCTTCGAGCTCGAGGATTTGCTCTTGTGCGCCTTGTCGCTCTCGCTGCTCGCCCTGGCGCGCGGGCTGACGCTCGTGACTTGCAGGAGCTTGGAGAAGTCGAGGGGGAAGGAAGAAGGGGTGGGTGGGGGCAGGCGGGGTGTGGTGGCGTGCGAGGCTCTGGCAGTCACGGTCAGCAGTAGGTCAAAGGACGATGCATGAAGCGAAGTAGGGAGCACCGACAAGCGGCCCTCGCACTCACTTCCCCAGGTCCACACTGCAGCATATGCTCCACAGATTGCTCAGCACGTCGCCCGCCTGGTTGAGCGGGACCGCGACGTTCTGCGTGTGCGCGAGGTAGACGACGTTGTACAGGAGCATCGTGAGCGCGGTCGTGAACGACGAGGACGCGACCGGCGGCGTCGAGCTCTCGTAGACGCTGTCCGCCATCGCGCTCTCAGTGGGCGGGGGATTCGATCCGCCGGAGCTCGACGACGACCCTACAGTTGGCGAGGCCGGATTCGCGGACACGTGGAGCGAGTGCTTCGTGTACCAGCGCGCCCACCCGCCGCTCTCGCCGCCGCGGATCGCGCTGATCATGGGCTGCCCGACGCCGAGCTTGCCGCCGGACCAGGAGACCTCGAAGGGCATCTTGACGCCGAGGTAGAAGGTGAGGAGGGAGAGAAAGTGCACGATGTGCGTCATGACGGCGTTGATGTGGTCTGGGGGGTAGCCTGGGGGGTAGGCGTGAGCAGGCAAGGGATATTGAGAGGCGGATTATTCGGGTACGGGGTATGTGTTGGAAGGATGTACGAGATGTTCAGATTGAAGATGGATCACACGCACGTCGTATGTCCCCTGGCACGGGAAGTATGAGGTCCCCGATCGTCCACTCGCCCTTGGTGCCGGCCTTGCCGCCGATGGAGGGGCGACCGCCGACTTGCACGATGTTGAACACTTCGACGAGTTCCTGGACAAGCCCTGCGCGAGCGCCGCGGATGGCGGAGGATAGTGATGTGAGCTCTTGAGTTTCATTAGCTATCAGATGTTCGTTGTCGGCGGTGGGACTAGGGACGAGGCGCGCTGCGACGAGCATCTGCCGGCGACTGGCAATCCGTTCGCGCAGGGCTCGACATCGATCGCGTTCTGTGTCGGGGTGAGTTAAGTGGATGAGGGGAAGCAATGAGCCCACGCACTCTTGTCGTTCTCCCTCCTCGTCCACGCCAGTGCTTCATTTACTTCCGCCACCCTATAGTGATGTGCTGCGACCTCGGCTCTCCGTGTCCTTACGGGCTGTATCCACTCCAGCGCACTGCTGGCAGCAGCGACCGCCGTATCGCGCTCCGCCGCATGGATCTGCGTCTCATTCCGAAAGTTGCGCACTCTGCATTCCTTACAGTCAGCACCGTATGCGCTCATTGCAGACGGCTCAGGCGTACTGGGTGCCGATGCACTTTGCGCAGAAGAACTGGCGCTGCTTGTGTTCGCAATTGGCGCAGTCCATCGTGCTATCTCGCCATAGTCAGGTAGGAGGGGATGTGACGGTGGAATGCAAGAGGTAACGCCACGCGGTTGTTCATCACATCAGACATATGAACAATACCTTCCAAAAGGGGATGCCTACGCCACCCGGCTATTCCCCATTCATCCTTCTCCCTTGAAGCCAGAGTCGAGGACTGACGCACGTCTCACAGAAAGTTAAAGCTCTTGTGTCGATGTCAATGCATACTCTATGAGTGTTCGAACATATCTGCTTGATCAAGGACTTCGAATGGGTGTGAGATACGGTGTGAACCAGAATAGAAGCAATGCGAAGTACGAGTAGCTTCTTCTTCTACTCATTATGACCAAAGGGCACAAGAGTCTATGCGTCTGCCTTGTATTGTCTCTTATCTCAATTCTCGCTGAGAGCAGACTGGATATCTTGATTGGACCCATTCCTCGTGCGTCTGTAAGGCTTGAGTTGTGCATCGCATACCCTTCTCTGTTTCTATACCTTGATAGGGCTGCCCTACTCAATGCCTTCCATGCCTCCGAGTCCAGGGAAGTTCGACTTGTGGGTCCAATTTCCAATTCTCACGGTCGAAGCCGAAGCTGAATGGACCGGCGTTGGCCGTCGATGGCAACGAGCTGACAGCTGCCGCCACCGTCGACCACGTTATTGAGCCGGTCTCGAGCTTTTGAAGCCTCCCCCTCCCCCTCTGACTCTCAATATTTCCCCTGCTGCAAGCCCACGCTGTAGCCACCACGTTCCTTACGGTTGCTGGGCATCATTCCCACGCCGCCATCAGCGCGAGCATCATCGTGTTTATCGCCTCTTTTTTCCTTCCCCCTCACCCGTGACGACACTTCCGCCTTGCTGTGGACATGACCCGCTTCGGCGACTTCGACTTGCTCTGCAAGGACGTCCCCTCGTACTCCTGGTGCAACCTCTTCTACCGCCAGGTGCGCGCACGCGATCCGCTCGTGGTCGTTCGTCTGATTGACGGTTCGACTTCCCCCAGGTTCAACGAGCGGATAGCAGTCTCCTCCAAGGTGTCTCTGCCGACTCCGCCTCCGCGCCCGTGGGCGTCAACCCCACCTGTGGCATCCAGACGGCCGGCACAGATGGCTCGCTCGCGAACATCGCCAACATAATCGTGATCGCGCTCAGCATCTTCTTCACCGCCGCTCTCATCTTCCTCGCAAACCGTCGGAAGGCCGCCGTCGGACGTGTTGAGCTCCGCAGCTTCCTCATCCTCTACTTCCTCTCCCTCCCCCTCCAGCTGCTCTCCAATGGCGCCGTCCTCACGCAGGGCTCCACCGCGCTGGTCGCTCTCACGGCGCTGCACGCGGGCGTCGTCGCCGCGCTCTTCTGGTCATTGCTCGCCAATGCCCTCGTCGCGACGCAGGTCGTCGAGGACGGGACTATGAGCTCTTTGATTGTGCGTGTTCCCCACGTCCCCCCTCGCGTCCGATCACTCACCTCCCCCAGCCTTTCCACATCGGTGTCGTCGCCTTCTTCGCCGCGACAACATATATATCCTTCGACGTCGCGCTCGGCATCACGGACACCCTCGGTACCTCCAACCCCACGGAGGCCCTCCGGAGTATCCCGCTGTTCGTGCTCACAAGCATATGGCCCGGCGCGTACGTACTGATGGCTGCGGTACGAGTTTCGACGCTGACTCCCACGCAGGGCCGCCCTGTTGTACTTCCTCATCATGGGCTACATCGTGCTCGCTGTGTTGAACGAGATACGCCCGATGTGGTACTATGTCATCAGCGCGGTGCTCTTTGTGCTCTCCCAGCTCGCGTACTTCCTGCTCAGCCATGTCGTTTGCAAGGTTCGTGGCGCGTTTTTTAGTAGATTGGCAGCGTCCTAACGCGCCATAGGGCTCGAATGCGAAGGTCGACGGGTCGTTCATCGCAACGCTGCTGGAGACCGCGAGCGTCGGCGTGCTCTACCTCGCGTGGAGAAGTATAACAGAAGGTTAGCCTCTTCCACCCCAAGCCTAGCAATGCTTGCTGATCTCCCCTTGCAGAGTCATGGGACGAGGACGCGTACTACCAATGATCACGCGTCTAGCCCGGCGTGGGGCCGCGTCCTCCTAGTCTGGGACGCCTCCAGCTAGTTTGGTATCGCTCCCAGCTAGCGCGGGACCACCTCTCGCCAGCCCGCCTCGTCCTCTGTGTACTCCCCCTTGTACTGCGCCACCCACCCGCTTGTGCTGCACCATGTACTCGCTGTGCTGTGCCACTGCTGTGATATTGTCGATACGTGTCTTGTTTTTATACTCGGTGTTGCTCGCCGTCTCTATGCTGGCGCACGCCTTCTGCTCGGTGATGCCCGCCTTCTGCTTCGCGATGCTCACCTCCTACCCGGTGAAGTTCGCTTTCTGTTCGGCGATGTTCGCCTTCTGCTTGGTGTTGCCCGCCGCATACTTACTCGGCGATGCTTGTGCTTGTTTTATATACTGTTCCCTCTGGCCTATATACCACCTCCCCACGCGGATGACGCGGGATCTTGCTGGACTCGCCGGGATTGTAACTTATGTGCGGTGCGTCGGTGGCCAGGGTGCCAGTGATTTGTATACACGTCCAGGGTGGCTAGTCTATACCTCAGTGATAGATACTAACTGTTCAACCTCTGCAACTCCCATTGCCACCCTCCGCACCCGTACTTTCGTAGCTTCTGACGGTCTTTGTTATTGTGTTTCTAGAGACTTTGCTGTAGTCTCGGTGAAGTTACTTGTGTATAGTACTTACATGGTTGTTCGTATGGAAGAAACTCTTGATTGCCTGATCATGCCAGCATGTGGGATACAGCGTCTCAATACAAAAGGTAAAATACATATGTATGCGAGGAACAAACAATGAGATGTGTTGTACAATGAAGCACAAACAAGTACAAAGGTAACCGTCCCGGGATGGATACGGTACGTGCGTCGGCCATAAAACGGAACACGTGTTGTGACCATAAAGCCACATGGCCATGGAGAGTGCATGGATCTCATCTCCTATGCCGACTCGTCACCTGCGGCTCGCGGCCCACCGACTTTGCCGCAGCCCGCATCTCGTCCTTGTCCAATCCAGCGTCTGCCATGACGCGCTCAAGCTCGTGAAGGAGGGGTTTGTATTCGTCTGTAAATTTCGTCAACACTCGTTCCGAAAACCGATTGATCGAGCTAGACAAGACGTACCATAGCGCTCTTTAGCCTTCGCAAACCCATCGCGCTTCGCTTGTTTCCCGCGGACGTCGCCGCCGGCAGCGGCCTTTTGCGACCAGTATTCACCTGTATGGAGCGTTAGTAGCAGCGCGAATACAAAGAATCAAGCCACGTACGAGTCCGGTGATAAAACATCGCCAACGTCTCTCCCGGCAGAGGTGTCTCATTCGCATCCTCCGGCGACTGCTCCCCAATCAGTTTACCCTTCAGCGCCGCAGACACGGCTTCCGGGATCGACATCGCCTCTTCTTGCTCCTCTACCTCCTCCACCACTTTCCCCTTCGGCTTCACCAGCGGCCCGTCTTCCACCTCCTCCGCGACCGCCGGCATCGCCTGCTCGTCAAGCTCGAACTCGACGGGCGAGGGCGCGCGCGTGGACCCGCCGACGAGGGTGCTGTCGCCGTCGCTAATGACGCTGGCGTTATCGTCGAAGACGCTGGCGTTGTCGTCGTATACTGTGCCCTCATCTTCGCTGTCGGTACCCTCGTCGTTCTCGTCGTCGCCCTCGCTTTCGTCGCTCGACTCGTCTTCCTCCTCGGGGATGACGACCTCGGACTCGCGGAGGCAGATGTAGCGGTCGAGCTTGTCGAGGACGATGGAATAGAAGTCTGGGTGATCTCTATCAGTGAGTGCAGCGACTGAGGGAGGGGGAGAACACACCATCCAGCGTATACTCGTGCGTCCCCTGCTCGAAGATGCCGCCGTATCTGCCAACCACATCAGTCCTTGATGCCCAATCCAAGACGCCCCACTCACATATACAGCGTATTCTTCAACACCGCCAACATCGCATTATACCTCGGCAGCGGCGTGCTGAAGATCGGGTCGTCCGGCTCCAAGTCATCCGGATCCGCTCCCAGGCGAATCGCCGCCAGTCGCTGCCGCCCCTTCTGCTCTTTCGTCTTCTCGACTATCTCCCCTTCGCCTGGTTTCTTGGGTGCAGGTGCGGCGTTGGCCTTCTTCCCCTTGGCTTTCTTCGGACGCTTGAGAGTGAGCGAGCTCCATCGGTTGCGTTCTAGCTGGAGGGCGTATCTAGGTAAGGTCCGTTAGCCTTTGTCTGACACTTATAAGTTCCGGATAAGCGCACAAGTCATTGTAGAACACACTACGCATGGTCTCCTCATTGACGTCCTCGTCGGACACGCCGCCAAACATAATGCCCTGATTCTTCGCTGCCCAGAGCGCCATCGTGCAGCCTGAACGCAGAGTTGGCGCGTGCGGAGTCAATGGGCGCTTCAAGCGCTGCCACTTGATGTCGAGAGTATCTTCGGGCGCCTTTGCGCCTTTCTTGGATGTCGTAGGCTCTGGCTTGTCGGGATCGGGTGTCGGGATGGATATCCTGGAATCGAGATGAATATAACGAATCAGTGAGAGGGGATGGCAACCTACTTGAGTAGCCAGGTATCTTCCAGCATGACGCCGACTGGCCGCTGTCCCTTGACGTATTCTTTGCAGTAGCCACCTACAAACACATTAGGGCCTCAATCGAGAACCGTGTAGGAGTATTCACCGTGCAAGAGGATTCCGTCAGGATGGGGAAGGAATGAGAAGCCGCTGCGTGCGCTGCATACGGAAAATCCCATGAGCGAGCGTCTGAGGCCAAGACGGACGAACATACGAAGGTTTTGAGGCCCCAGATCGGAAGATCACCTGCGTCCACTTATATTCTTGAGTGTCGAAGTACCATAGATCGTCGAGGTATTTCGCTAAGCTCAATGTCAGACTGATCCCCTTGTTTACGGTTGAGTCCACGACACCTACTGGTAAATCCTGGATCATAGAAGCCTCCATACAGGAAGATATAATGCTTCCACTGAGCCATTCGATGACCGGAGCGCGCGCTCGGACGCTCCTTCTTCGTCTCGATGCTGTCCCACTCATGCGTCGTCAGGTCGAAGACCCAGAAGTCGCGGTAGTGAAAGAAGTTCCGCTGGTTTGGAGACGAGAATTCGCCGCCTGTAATATGAGTTTATACCGCATATGGGTAGTAGTTTGGCGTAGCTTACCAAAGATGAAGATCTTCCCGCCTCCAGCCGGCAGGGCTACGCCTGCGTGGGCAGAGCGCGGTCCTGGCGCCGTAGGAGAGACGTATTTCTTCCATTCATTCTGAGTCAAAATATCAGAAGATGAATTCGGATTAAACAGCAGTTGTACCCACCTTCTCTGGATTATACCGGAAAGTGTCGTTGTAGAAGTACTAGACGACGATGAGGAGGCTCATAACCAGCCCCACAATCAAGAAATGCAAGAGCTTACCGCCTTGTCGTCCTCGCTGAAGAACTCCCCGCCGATGCACCAGAGGTACTGGCCGCTAGGGTCCGCGAGCAATACAGCATTCGCTCGCCGACTCGGTGGGCCTTCCACTAGCTCCTCAGTCACCTTGTGCTTCGCCTCCCATTCCTGTCGCATCTACTGGTCCACTCAGTACCCAAATCGATACCCCGACGATTTATATCAACTTACATTTTCCAGGATCGCCTCCAGATCCTCACCGTCGTCCTCCTCATCGCGCCCCTTCCCTACCTTCTTCTTCTCCTTGCGCTCAACTTTGGCTGCTGCCTTGGCCTTCTTGGCGGCTTTGGCGGCCGCCTTGTTCACGGCGGCCCCTCCCGCCGATTTCTTTTTGGCCATTGTTATTGAATCGGGGAAGGAGATGAAGGTGACGGCAAGTGCGGGGTTCCTGATCGACGATCGGGCAGCATCCGACTGCACGTGAATACTGTCTCACGCCACCGAGTTCAACTGCTTTATTTCCCAATTCGTAACCTTCGCTCGTGCACAGAATGGAGGCACATAAGTGACCTTTTTTCTTTTTTCTATCAGAATACAGCCACCATACTCTATAGGCCATACTCAGACGACTACTGGCGCCACTGTCCAGCAAATGCAGCGTCCATTGCGTATATGCAGACGACTGTCCATGAGCGGTACTATTCAGGCTTTATGTAGTAGTGCGTAGTAATACAGCTGATAACATTAGAAGCCATACCAGATGCGATAATGGAATATCGGGAATACGAAGGTGCGATAGGTAGCAACGAGTACCCGTACGGACGGGGGTATACTCAAATACGGGGTGGTGCATATGTATATAGGGCATGCGTACTGTCCATCCAGGCAATCGAGGGAATACAAGGAGAGGCAAAGCAAGCTACAGATCTCTTGTGAGGAGAGGGGGGAGGGTAAAGGGGAAGGGGGAGGTGTGACGTATGGTGTGCAGAGGGACCGCTCAACCTCCGCCGCTGTCAATACTGTCCCAGGCCCGCTTCCGGGCGCTGCCGTACTGAGGCGTCGTCACCGATATCGCGGACCAGTCCTGAACCTGCGGTACGGCAGTGATGATAGGTGGCACCATCGCTGCAGCGCGTACGGCAGATGACGCCGCGCCCATCGCCGCCTGCTTTTGTTGCTGCATGGCTATCGGTGACGGCGCACTTTGCTGCGGCATCGACGACGAGCCGTACACCACGTTCGACGGTTGCACCCCCAGCTGCGCCTCAACGACAGCGATCTCGTCGAGCAACCGCTGATTCGCGTACCGCACCTGCTGGAGCTCATACTGCCAGCTCGTCCCCCGCGCGAGCTCGAACTCCTCGAAAACGTTCGCATTCGCCGAGTGGCGCATCTCGCCGGCAGAGGCCACCGCGTCAGCGCTCGCGCACTGGAAGATGACCGGCGCCGGCGCGACCGTATGCTTGACCGCCCTGTGCGCGAAGGGCCGGTAGAGCACCAGCCGAACATCCACTTCGGCGCCGTCACGTGCGCGCATGCGCAGCGATAAAGACCGCGGCGCGTCGTCCCCCTGCGCCTGGTGCGCCGTAAGCATCCGCGCCACCTCTGCATCGATGATGGTGGCGCCGGCCCCGCCGCAGACGAGTGCGCCTACCGCACGCCCAAGCACATCGGCCGCATCCCAGCCGAGCACGTCTGCCACGCCACCGCCGACGGTCGCAAACGCCGCCCTGCCGCCCGCGCCTGCGGCCAGCGTGCCCCAGAACTCCCGCGGGACCTGTGCGCCGCTCGGGCTAACCGCAGACGGCGCAAGTCCACCCCCGGCACGCAGGCGTCCCCAGCGGCACTCCATCATCTCGCGAGCACGGCCGGAAAGCATGATCGCCTTGCGACCCTTGCCGGGCTCGACGTGCAGCCGACCCCGGCACTCCATCCAGACGTACCGCCCCGTCTTCATCTGCGCGCGGAAAAGGAGGTCGACCGTTCGCGGCATGGAAGGATCCTGCTGCGCAGATGCCTTGCTCGCACCGGCGCTCGCGCTTGTCACCCCGGACGACTCGGTGCCCGTCGAGCTCGCCTCCTTGAGCTCGCGCATCAACGGCACGACGTCGGCAGGGTGGCATATGTCGCTGAGGCCCTTGCCCACAAGCTCTGAAGGATCATATCCGAGTACGCGCTTCACTGTCGGCGCAACATACAGGAAGGATCCCTTGAGCGAGACGACATGCACGAAATCTGGCGTCTTCTCCAGGAGCATGAGGTTCAGCGGCTGATTTTGGTCGGAAGATGTGATCGGCGACGCATCCGCTGATTTCTCTGGTGAAGGGTCGACGTTAATGTCCGAAATGGATATGCTGGACACGAATTGCTGGTCATTGAGCATCTTCTTCAGATCCTTCGAGATAGCGAGGGTAGGGATAGGCTTGTTACCGCGATCACGGTGGGAGGGCGTAATGGCGTTGTTTTGGGACGATGAGCTGGCGCCGTACGACTGGCTGTAGTTGACGATGTAACTCCCGTCGCGCAAGCGTTCCAATATGGCATTCGGCTGCTCGGTGAGGTCGACCTGGAAGCCGACATGGTAAACGACCTCCTCATCGTCATCGTGACTTCCACTGATGCCACCGCGAAGAGGAATGACGGTGACAAGGTTGATGAACGGCCGCCCGTCCTTGCGATAGTTGACGATGGTCGTCTGACACTCCTTGTCCGAGACCAGGCTCTTCTTCAGATGCGCCACTGCTTCATGAGATGTGTGCGTGCGCATTTCACCCTTCGGCTGATTTCCGGTCGGGGACTGAAGGAAGCGACAATTCTTGCCGACGACCTCGCGCTCGGAATATCCTGTGAGTGCGCAGAAAGTGGGGGAGCAGTATATGATGGGGCAATCGAAGCGGCGAACGTCGACGACGGCGAATGAGCAGGTCATGTCAACAGGGCCCAAGACGACTTTGGGGTGCGGTCGACTTGCGATACGGGCAAGTATGCTGAGCAGATCGAAGCCCGAGGCGGAGTACAGCGGCAAGTTGAGGGGATTTGGCGCAGACAGAGCGAGCAGCTGATGGGGTGCAAGGACTGCATTTCCAGCTTCATCAAAGGGGGCTGGAGGGAGCGCCACGGGTTCCACATGATGCTGCTGTTGCTGCGGCTTTGGCGGAGTCGGCTGACGCTGGACGGGCAGATCGAACTCGTACGGTATGTGCACAGAGACGTTGCTCTGACCAGGAAAATAGCTAGACACGAACAATAAGTAGCTGGCCTAACTTCTGGCGACCGCCCTCGCACCTGTTGCTTGTCGCATTCGCCGGCATGTGCGGCAGCTTGGGCGTCGCAAAGCCGTTGTTGTGGAACCATCCGCTCCCCGACGGGCCAGTGGTGTCGAACATGCTCCCTGGGATGACCTCCGCGCCACCCCCGGGGGCGAGGGTGGGCGTGGCGGAGTAGACGAACGGGGGGATCTGGAGCTGGACCTCGGGCGGATGCGATAGTGGTGCCCGCATATACCCCGCCGGCGCGGGAGACTGAGAGATGGTGGGGGCATAGCTGATGTGCTGGTAGTTGCTGGGGCCGGCGCGCGAATAGGCGTCGGCGGCATCGCCGTCCTGGAAGTACTTTTCGAATGGCATGGCGGCTGGGATCTGAATCTGGGGTACCTGGTATCAGGGTCCTGGTCGGTGTATGCCCTGTGGCCGTCGTTGTCGCCGGCGTTGCGTATCCGGCAGCTGCGATGGGCGTCGTCGTCGTCGACGTCGATGTCGAGCGGGCGGTGGCAGCGGAATGCAAGAGGGACAGGCAGATACGCCCATTTTCCGAGACCGAATTGAGTGAGATGACGTACTGTGCGCGCTGTCCACGTGATTTCGACGCGCCGCCGCACCGCAACACGGGTTCCAACGCCACTCATCTACCGCGCACCCGGCCAGAGGCGTTCCACATAGACTATAGCAGCCGCGAGACTGCCACGCCCAACTTCTGACTGGATTTATTGACAGAATTGACTCTCTATTCCTTAGATCGCGCTAATTGACCGCTCAAAAGCGACACCTATTTTCAGACACTTTTGTGGCCACACGCACGGCATCCGCTCCGTCCGGGGCGACGCAGCCTGGCCCACCGCGCCCCTGCATCCTCCGAAGGCACGGTGCACTCTAACTTTCAGGCCGCACTCAACCCTCCTTCATTTTCGACAGCCATGACTGCGTGCATCTCGCTAAAGCGAACAGACAGGCCCCAGGCGCGTACCTATCGCCAGGCTAGAACATAATCTGTGCCCTGTCAGCGACATTTCCGGACGGGAGGAGGCACGTACCCCGCCCAGCAGCTTGGTTTCCAGTCATCCTCCGGTCCTCGAGCCAGGCTATACCTACAGGCGCGCGTAAGCTTGACGTCCTCAGCGCAAGTGCAGGTGATTTTCCATCTAACCCTCCGGGTGCGCAGTGGGGAATTTCGAGCACGTCCGTCGGATTTATCCACCGCGACATGACCAGCTGAGGAAGCGACTTCGGGGAAGTGACAAAGCCTGACCGTGCCCGGGTCATTATGGCAATTTTCGGTCGATGAATAATCGTCATGTCGAGGACAGTCCGCCCAGGACACCGGCGCCAATTCTGTATCCGCGGGAGCTAAGCCCGAAGTGCGATAGTTGCGAAGAGGTAACCCCGCCCCTTAGCGTTGAAGTTGGAGTCTGTAGAAGACTTTCTATCATGAGGTAGCCTCGAGGACTCCAAGAAGCAGAGCTCTGGTCCTGCTGAGTTGCCGTATGCACAAAAGAGGACGAAAGGGAGTGCGAGGAGTCAAGCATACGTGTCGACGTCGAGGTCGATCAGCAGGCAGTCACTGTAGCCGTTGGACGTCGATGCTTTCCTCAGCGCCGCCAAGTGGATCAGAAAAGTGATACAGTGTACCCGAGCGGTCGTCGAAGGGCATGTCCTTTCCCCGAGGCGAGCGGCACCAAATGAGATGACAGGAGGAGCGAAACAAAAGGGGAACAAACAAGCACAAGCAATCCCACTATTGAACGATTTTCGGCATTTGCCGCAACTTCAAGACTACCATATTCTCGGTGCCCGAGCTGCCCGCGCCACCCTCTCGGCGCCTGTCAATGGGAGCCCATCATTATGTGGCAGGCACTCTGACGCCGCGCGCAGGAGTCGGCATGCCGAAACGTGCAGCAAAATGCTGCAAAGTACAGAAGGAGTCAACGATGCGGGATGACATGACATGCTATGTGGAAATGCTGGTATTGGTACAAATGTATAGAAAGATATGCCGTTACTCGTGCCTAAGGCAGGGGCTCTCTGCTGCTCGACAGCCGGTTCAGATGGATATACACGTCCGTCCCGTAGCCCTCCATGGAGATCAACCTCAGGTCGCCGCCAAAGTATCTTGCGTACTGGAATAATCGTCAGCACCTAACCCGAGCTGTGGAACCCGCAGATTACTCACCAATCTCGACAGCGGCAGACCGTAGCCGAAGCCAGCCATCGGCGCCTTGAAGTCGCTCGCATGGAAATCATCGCTCAGCTCCGTCCCCTCCATCGTCGTATACATGTACGTCCAGATGAGCGGAATCGCACTGCGCGGGATCCCGCCCCCCTCATCCGAGATCTTGATCGTGATATCCTCCTTCCCCTCAACCACGACGACCTTGATGGGCGGGTACCCGCCCTGGTCTTCGCGGTCGACGCCGTAGCGCTCGACGACGGCGCGGAGCGAGTTCTTCAGCAGCTCGAAGCAGATGTGCGACAGATGGCCGGGCACGTAGGCGAACTCGAGGTTCTTGGGGCAGATGAGCTGCACGGGCGGCGCGGCGAACATGGCGTAGTGCTCCTCGCAGACGAAGCGCGCGTTCTCGATCGCCTCGAGGACGATGTCGTGCACGTTGGCGGAGGTGCAGATGATGCCGACGTAGTCTTTGTGCCGCTCGGGGGAGTTGAGGGCGATATCTGCAAGGCCAAGTTCTGTAAGCGGTTGGGAAACTACCAACAGCAGAAGAGGTACTAACGTTGACCGATGAGGAAACGGATGCCGATACGCGACATGTAGAAGCGATCGAGCCAGGCCTGTATGTCAAGCCCAATCGACCGTGCATTCTGGCTGCGTTTCCACTCCAAGACACCCTGCGCCACAGTAGTAACCGTAGGGTCGTGCCTGCTCTTGATCTTGTGCAGCGTCTGCGTGAACCGCTTGTTGTACTCGTGCACCTCCGGCGGCCAGTTGATGCCCTCCATATTTGCATAATATCTGGCGCGCCAACTGAGCATTCATTGAGATCGCTGGGAGTGAGGGTACATACCTCCGCTCCATGGGTACACGCAGCTTCATCTTGTTGTAGCCGTTGCCGTTTCCATTGCCATTGCCACTCATCGAATGCCCGTAAGGGGAAGACGCATTCGCCAAGTTGCCAGCATGCTCAGAGCCGAAAATCTCCGTGAGCGAAGGGTTTGGTACGGATTCTGGGAGGGGCGGGTCCGTGAGACGGGGGACCGTCATGGCTTTCCGAATTTCGGGAGGGAGTTGCGGGGCCGGGAAGTTGATGAGCTCCTATACTTGCGCATGAGCCGCCGTTCGCATAGACAAACGTGCGATACGCACCTCGAAGGACTGCCCATACCAGTTCTTGACCTTCTTGATCGAGGGCATGGCGCTCAAGTTATGGGGGAGTTCATCCAGCTCCTTGACGCGGTGTGCCAGGCGGACAGGCAGTTCCTCTGCGGATGGTCAGTGTCTTCTTTACGTGTGTTCCGCGGTGCGCTTACCTAGGAGGAATTGGCCCGCCTTGAGGAGGGTGCCTTGGCTGGGGTTCTGCCCGAAAAGCACCATCTGTTGCAGTGACACTGCATGAAATGTGATTAGGGCGAGTTGAAGACGGTGGATAAGATGCAAGGACCAGACTCGACAGTATTGGGGCTACGAAGGGAGAGGAAGTACGGCGAAGGTGGTCGTGTGAGAATCGCCACATTGGCGACGCGTTCAAGGGCTGTACTCACCACCGGTCTGCGGGAACGACGCGAAGTGATGGATCTTGTCCCATAGCGCAGGCGTAAAGCGGAAGGTCGCAGACATCTTGCAAGGAAGTAGGAAAGGAGCGTGCTCGCTCTCAGCCGAGTCAGAGTGGCGGGGAGATGATGTATGCGTTCACGATGCACGATCCTCGATGCGCTTCGAATGCGCGTCGAGCTTGGAGCGATTTCTCTTCCTCAGTCGATCTGCGCGTCGTCTGGGAGCATGCGAGGGGGCCTGCGCGGACGGTGGACTGTGGTGGTGGAGAGCAAGTCGTATGCGGTCGAGGCGCGGAACCCCAGACCTTGCCCCGCGTCGACGGACGACCGCCGGAATCACATGGCTTGGCGTCGGCGCGGTCACGCGGAACGTTGGGCAAATCCAAGTCCCGTTCCGGCCGGCGCGCTGCCGTTCATGTTCAACCTCTGCTCTCACAGGCTTTCCTATAGAGTCTGGGACAGGGTATGAGGGACCTGTGTCGCTTCACCTGTCTTGTAAGGCGGTTCTCGGGCTTACACGCCATCTGGTACACCAAATCACGATCTGACCGCGCTCTTCACTCCCAAACTGGATATTCGGACTTTGCACTTGCCTCTGGCCAGCGCTCTTCTCTGCAGATGAATGCTCAGGCTAACTTCTATCCCACTCGCGCAAACCATCCCCTTCCCCCTGCCTCGCATCTCTCGCAACTGGATTAGCTAGACATCGATGACTGCGTTACCCGGGCCCTTTTCTCTTCAGATTGACGCTTACGCCGTCGGGAAAGGCGAGTTGATGCCTTCCTTGCGAATCATCGGTCCAGACATACATGCGACCGTCTGAAGGTCATGAGGCCACGTAAGTATATGCCAATCACCATAGATGCAGCCATGTCGCTGTCGTAGCACTGGGAGGCGAACACATTTCGCGAGAAATTTGATTCATGGTCTTTCCCGTTGCACAGTCTTTCCATATATATACCTCATGAGCAGCCCAGCTTGCCGCCGATGAACACCCTTGCCTGCCATCGATCTATCCGAAGGTCGAAGGTGTGTTGGTTGACTGTACTGAGCCTGACGTCGGCAGCGCGGCGCAGATGCTATCCCAAAGGCCTGAAAAAGATACTCCAATTTATCTCTCGCGACCTCACCCCAGGCATGCCTGAGGAAAGGTCTCTTTCGACTGCCATCTGAGTTTGACCAGAAGTTCAACCATGGTCACGTGGGGCTCGGAGATTGCCGCGTGACTTGTGATTTTTTGCGAGCCTCGGAAAATGGACGCGTGCGGACCTGCGCTAGACAAGAGGAACCCCGTTTACAACATTCCGACTCTTCAGGAATAGCTAGCCTAGGCTGCGGTGCACCCCGGCGTAGTACATCCTTCCTCCCTCGTGTACGTAGGGTCTCGGACGAAGTCCCGCATAGCCGACGACCGAAGTTGAAGTGAATGCCTTCCAGCTGCGCCCGAGCCTCTGTTTGACTTCTGCGGGCCATTTCATTGTCCTCGAGTAAGAGTAGAAGGCGTTCTAGAACACCTCGAGATTGATTTTGAAGGCCAGAAGATGCTCGGGCTGATAGCGAGGCAGACCTAATCATCAGCTGACATACCCCCGAGATCCTGGAAGAACAAGAGATATTCATCGCACAAGAGGCCCTTGTATGCAAGACGCCACTGCATTCCACCACAGAAGTAAGTAAACAGGCTATGTAATGTGCCAGATTATAGCAATAAGATATATGAGGATGCATTGCAATTGCGCATTATATCACCAACCAAAGAATCCAGGACGTGTCAAACGCCGCTGGACATCTATGCACGAAGCACGCGGAGAGAAGACGGAACAAGGGGCACTATGCCTCTTCGGAGAGCTGGAAGGGCTGCGGCCGAGTGACTTCCTCGTAAATCAGTACTGCTCGAAGGTCAGCGGACGGCCTTCGCGCGCTCGGAGGGACAGACATACCTTTCAGGTCCTCTTTCCGCATTTGCTCCCCGTTATCGAAGGAGAAGAAGGACGGGTCGAGGGGTTCGGCCGTCGGCTCGTCCTGCGGGTCGTGGTATGGCGCGAGGTACGGGTGCTTGAGCGCCTGCTCGACGTCGATGCGGCGCTTCGGGCTGAAGGTGAGCAGCTGCTCAAGGAGGTCGACCGCGAGCGGGTTCGCGTCCGGGAAGAGGTACCGGAAGCTCTTCTTTTTGCGGAATGGGAGCGCGCGGATGTACTCGCGCGAGCGCTGCGAGGTGATGGCGTAGAAGTCGTCCAGCGAGGGCGTGCCAAGGATGTCGAGAATGATCGACAGCTGGTGGTGATCTGGAGACGAGTTAGATGAGAATTAAAGAGGCGGGACCGACGCGCGGGCGAGGGGGAGGACAGGCACGCACAGTCTCTGCCGGGGAAGAGGGGCTTGCCGCTGAGCATCTCAGCGAGGACGCAGCCGACGGACCACATGTCTATGGCTCGAGTGTACTCTTTGAAGGTGAGCATGACTTCGGGGGCGCGATACCATCTGCGGAGGAGATTGTGGCGCGTCGTCATGAGGACCGACGAGTGCCGCACCTTGTTGCAACGTATTCCGTCATGAATGTGCTGCTGTCCTCTACATTTGGAGGCGGTCGTGCGGACCGTGCGAGACCGAAGTCGCATAGCTGGGCGCGTTGTGAGGAAGGAAGGCGGGGGGATGCCCGAGCGAGGGGGCGCGACATACCTTGAGATCGCAATTTGCGTTCAAGAGGAGGTTGGAGGGTTTGAGGTCTCGGTGCAGTACATCTGCAGAGTGAAGCGCCTTAAGAGCGCGGAGGGTCTAGTGCTGCGGATCAGCCGGGGGAACGACGGTGCCAGCGCAGGACGCACCTGGTAGATGAAATATTGGCAGTGATCGTCACTGAGCTCCTGTGTCCGTATAACACGGTGCAGGTCCGTCTCCATTAGCTCCTGCACAAGATACACCTCCGTGAAGTCTTGCAAACTGGGGGGACGCAGGATATCGAGGATCGCGATGATGTTCTCGTGGTGGAAGTGCCGGAGGAGCTTGATCTCGCGCAGGGTGCGCAGGCAGAACATGCTGTGGTCGAAGGGGGTGATGCGCTTTATTGCGACCTTGCGCTGAGTGGGCATGTGCAGCGCGGAACTGGGGGCGCGTGAGGCGCAGGTAGGTCAGTCGTGCACGCGAGGGGGAGACCGGGAGACGGCGTTTACGCACCACACGACGCCATATGCGCCTTCACCAATGACGTCCAGCGGCTGGTAGTTGCTCTGGATAACGAACTGGGTCGTGCGTTCGTCCATCGTGATGGTAGGGAACAAGAGTCTTTGTTTCCAAGCGGGCCGCCGGAAATCCAAATGGATTTATTTGGCCTCGCGAGCACGTGGCAAGTTCAACTTTGAATTTGCCTCCATCTCCTCCCACAAGGCAGTCATTCCTCGCTCACAAGGTTTATTCATCTAGCATGCACGCACCCTGTTTTCCTCAATATGATCTGTGTACTGCACTACGCTCGATCGAGACGCTTTCGACGAGCACTACCCTCTGAAAATGAAGCCAGGCTCCTCGAATTCGCCGGGACTGAATGGTACCCTGCTATACGGACTCGTCGGCGCCAATCAGTTGTCGTCACCTCCATAAGCTCAACCTTCGATGTCAAAAGCCTTGGAGACGGGTGTTACGATAACAAGAACACGGTAAGCTCCCGTACAATGGCCGCACTCGCAGCGCAGGCGAGTGACCGCACCCGCGGTCCTCTCGAGGGCCAGACCAGCGGATTTGAGTCACTCCTTACTTCAGGTTGGAGTTGGTGCACTCATTCGTGGGCAACAGGGAGCCAACTCACGGGTGTATGCCGAAACTGTCCTGGCCTGGACCTCGCAATGACGGCGTGAGCCTTCAAGGACACGTCCTGCGGAATACTCTAGTATCAACGCGCACCTCGCTTGCATTCACACATCGTGATGAGCTTCAGGCAGCTAGGCTGGGGTGCCACAAAAGCTAGCTTATTGGCATACTGCTCGCGCACATAATGACTAGCAGCAACCGTAGGGTGCATCTGTATATCTACTTACAGCGGCAGTCAATGCCTATATGTTACATCTCGAAGTCGAACTTGCGGCGCTGCAGCACACAGGCGATAACTAAGATAATCTAAGTAACGATTAGTAGATGCAATGAGTATTGTTCATCTTGTATGGTGCTTCCCAACGGCCCGGAGACCTCATCGGCAGCTCGTGAACCTCACAACCGCCTCCAGCCTTCCCCGTCCCGCCGCGGAGTGAGATCAATGTCAGGACCCTCCCCGCTGCTCGTGCTCTCCCGACGGCGCCCGGCCCACCTGTCGTGGAAGGGTGACTCCCCAAACTCGCTATCCGCGGGACTCGGCGAGGGCAGGGGGCTCTCGCTCACCCGCCTCCGCATCAGCAGGCGCTCCTCCTCTTCCTGCTCGCGCTGCCACTCCTCGGGGTCCGTCATCTTGTCGACGCCGAGGTCGACGTCGTGCCGGACGTAGCCGCGGCCTGGGCGCAGGCCCGCCTCCGCCTTGTAACGCAGTGACGTCGCCTCCTTCTTGAGCGCCTCCGCACCGTGCAGCCCGATGCTCGCAGCGCGTTTGTGCGGGGAGGTGAGCGTGAAGTGACGTCCGAGGGGATTATTGAAGGGCGAGGTGGCGGAGGAAGTTGGGAAGGGATTCGTGATGGGACCGGCAGGAGATGGCAGCACCTGCACGCTCTCAGGGCGTTTCTTGCGGGGTGGCACGCCTTCGGTGGGAGTGGACGGCTGGATGAGGGACTGCGAGCGGGAAGGGCGATGAAGGGTGTGACGGCCAGTGGGCGTGGATGGGACGGAGTCGTACTCCGTGTCGGGTGTCGGCGGTGACGGTGGCTTATTACGCAATGGGTGCTTAGGCGGCGGAGGAGGGCGGCGCGTTGGAGAGCTGCTCGCTGAACGATCATGCTCGTCGGACGGCGGCACATATCCTGCCATCGCTACTTCCCTCATCGACGTCGTGCTGATCGGCGGGCTTGGCGGACGCCTCTGGGTCTTGTCCTTCGGGGGCGGTGCTGGTCGTCGTGGCAGCTTCGGTGGATGAGGCTGCGATGCGGAAGAGCTCGAGACGGAGGACGCGGACGATGCAGAGGAGTGCATCTTCGATGGGCTTGTTGTCCGAAGCGACGAGAAGGGTGCAGATGACGAGGATTGCACGGGAACGAATACCCGCTCCCGCCCGCGCTCCTGCTCGGCCTTCTTCAGCGTCTGCGCGGTCTTGGAAGCTATTAGCGACTGCAGGATCAGGGGTGACGTCTGATGAGGCGCGCTCAATGCGGAGTTCGTCCGCAGAGTTGCCGGCTTGCGCGGCGGAAGGGGCGGTAGCTTGCTCCTATCGCGCACGGTCGCATGGCTGGCGCCGTCAGATTTCGACGAGCTGAAGGGTGGTGTTTGCAAGGCGGTGGTCGGATGGAAGAAGGGGTTGTGTGAGGCATGCTGAGCGGGTGTGGGTGTAGGGGAGTCCGCACTGTCATCTACGGAAGATGAAGGGGTGTGGGTTCGACTGAGGGAGGACGATCGATTGAGTGGATGAACAGGGGGTTTGCTAGCGGCCCCAGAGAAAGGATTATGAGATAGTTTGTTTCCACGAGGCGACGTCTTGGAGGGCGTAGTCGTGGTCTTGCTTCTCAACAATCCAGGCGTTGGTGGCGCGGGGCTCACCGCCGCGTTCGAGTTGGGATTCGGATCCGCTACAGAGATGTTAGCTCAGATACCTGAGTAGTAGCATGAGGCATACCTTGTGTGAATGCAAGTGCGCGCCATTCCATCTCTCCCCCTGAACTCTTGCCGTTGGTGATATGTACAACGAGGCGCACAGCCGCGAAAAACTCTCCCCCCGACAACTGCCCATCGAGCGACGCGCCATTGGAAACTAGTGAGAGAATCTCGTCGATGGTCTGTCCGGGCACTGGTGGCGAGTATCGTCCGCGTAACCAGGCGCGCACTTCGCGCGTCGAGATGCGAACCGACGTGTAGTCGAGATCGTCGTCATTCGCCTCCTCGGGGGAGAGAAACGAGTTCAGGGCAGCAGTATAGAAGTCATACTCGCTTTCCGACAGCGCGCTCGGGTGAAGCGCAAGCTTTCGCTTCGACATGGAGGATAAGTACAAGTTCAGGAACGCTGGCCGTCGACCACAAGCGAAGCGTCATCCGGATGACGGAACAAATATTCACAAATACGCGCCTATTTCACGTTCAGGTTCACTGCCTCAAGGAGCGAGAATAATCTGGCTGAGGCGCCTGGAGTGCCCAATGGCCATGTTGGAAAGCGAGTATGACACCGTAGGGGGTCAGGAATTCAATAAGGTAGAGACGAGACATGAATTTCAGTCAGGCTGTGATTTGCGCGTACATAGGTACTTCTCTCGAAAAGCAAGGAATCGATACCGCTACTCATCACCTACCATGATGGCTTCGAAGCGAGCACCCTCCCCTGGACGAACATGTTTGAGTTCTTGCACATAACATGCGAGATCGTGTCCCGGTTCTGAGGTCTGGCGGGTCGAAGACTCGGGGGGCAGTACGAACACCGCCAAGATATACAAAGCTGACGGTACCGACGAGGTGAGGGTGGCAGTTTCCTATGTTACGCACCAGACACACGAGCAGAATTCGAAATGCGAGCCATACACCGTTGAAGGACTCGGAGCTGATTATCTCCAGTGGGCGAAGGCTTTTGAGGCCCGCAACACATACGGCAAAAGACGGTATCGGTCTGCACAACCTGAGATTATATCAGTACTGTAGTCTTTAGAGCCATTGTGGGATTATTTTGAAAGGATTGGAGGAGCCGCTCGGGTTGCAAATTAATCAACTGTCATCCATGAAGTGTCCTGCGAGGTTAGCCACAATGAGATGATACTCGCGTGGAAACACGGCGCGAACACAGACGTCCATAGCGTCGTCCAGTATTGTGCTTATTCTCGTCATCGCGTTGGGGAAGAGGGGAAGAGTGGGAGCAAACGGAGGGTTAACTCACCTGCAAAGGATCGCGCTGCTGTGACGTGTAGCTGTCTGACTTCAGAAATTTCACGGGGACAGTGCCAGCCGTGCCTTAGTCTGTGCAAGAGGCGTAAATATATGCGATGGCGAGAGGGGGGCGCAGTTGAAGCGCAGCGCGGTTGACGGTCGCAGACAAGATCGGAAGCCACGAATTGGGCGATCAAACGGAGCTTGCCTTCCGCGCTCTCGACGACGTTCAGCTCCACCCATCCCGCGCGCTCCTCTCGCAATGGCCTCAGCGGGCGGTCTCTCTCGTCGCCGTGTCGGCGGCAACGCATCCGCGAGCAACGATGACGATGACGACCACCGACGTTTCTCTGCCCCCAGCCCGAACGGCAGCGCGGTCACCTCGCCCGTGCACGCCGGATCCGCTTTTGCTGGCGGTAGCAAGATAGCATACGATCCGCGGGATCTCGAGGACGCGAATGAGGAGGCGAAGGCAGGCGGTAAGATGCCCCGCCTCACGCTCATGGAGGAGGTCTTGCTTTTGGGCCTGAAGGACAAGCAGGTGCGCGCCCTGGCCGCATCGTCGCGAAATGCCCGCTGATTGACCGTGATACAGGGCTATCTTTCGTTCTGGAACGACAACATCTCGTATGCTTTGCGCGGCTGCATTCTGATTGAGCTCGCCCTGCGACGTCGAATAGCACTGGTGAAGGATCCGGCCCGAAAACGCCTACCCCTCTCCGAGCGCGTTGTCGAGGTCATCGACGAGCGGCAGACGGGGGAAACCATCCTGGACGAGACCTTGCGGCTGATGAAGTCGCAGGAGACAGAAAAGCTCGGAATAAACAACTGGATTGACCTCCTTAGCGGTGAGTGTCTCGCTCTGTGCTCCCGTCTCCACTGCAAGTCTACTCTACACGCTCGATGTGCACTCGTCACCTTGAGGAGACTTTCGGCTGCAGGCGAGCCTCCGACGCGATTCTGTTCCTCGAATGGGACAGATCAGACGGTTATTGAGTGGGTGATAGTGCCTTCTGGCCAATGTTAACCGTCTGCATCGCTTCAATGGACATCGTTTGCTCGTCGGTTATGGTGCCGCGCAGTCACGCTCAACGCACACACTCATTCCCCTTACTTGTCATGATGACGAGATCCTTTCTCGAGTCTCACTGGTTCACAGGCGAGACGTGGAACGTCATGAAGATAGGCTTCCAGCTCAAGCAAGTCCGCGAGCGCCTCGCCAAGGGCCTCGTCGACAAGGGCGTTCTCCGTACCGAGAAGCGCAACTTCCTCCTATTCGACATGGCCACCCACCCCGTGTCGGACATCCGCACCAAAGAGTCCATCGTCACCCGCGTCGTCTCCCTCCTCACCGCCACCACCTCCGCCGTCCCGCCCGCCGCGCTCGACAAGGAGGGCGTCCAGTGCCGCGCCCTGCGCGCCGTCTGCCTCGTCTGCGCCGCGTACACCGCGAGTGTCTTGGACAACGCGTTTGGAAGGCTGGGGTATGAGGAGCGCGAGGATGCGTTCGCGCGTTGCGATGAGATCCTCGGCGAGTTCGCGAGCTGGCCGTTCGGGGCGGCTAGCGGGGCGAGCGAGGCGGTGAGCACACCCCGTCGGCGAACGGCGACGGCGCGCATCGCCACTGGGGGTAGCGGCGACGCCGGGCGGGAGAGCATCCTCGGGCTGCTAGCCGAGGTGCGCAAGGAGTCGATTGGCGGGGACGAGGATGTGAGCTTTGAGCTTGTGGCGGGCGTGCTAGAGGTGCTCTCGAAACTGGATTCGCTTCTATAGACTCTTCGGCCTCTTAATGTTCTGTATACGATCGATACCTTGCCTGCGTCAGCTATATATTTATACGACTTGCGAAGGCCTTGGAGCGGATTGGTATGGAGTGACTTCGAAGTTTGTAGGGTGTTTGTGACTGTAAACGCTGTCTGTAGCGATTGTTAGGCTACTTCTTAGAACTCGAAAGGAGATATCAATACACGTGCGTGTAGACAGTCACGAAGCCTCACAGGAAAGCCGTACTCGGATGGCCAATTGTTTACTCATGTTTGTTCGTTTGACCCTCCAGAAACGACACCCCACTGCGCCGCGTTCTCGTCACAGGGAGGACTAGGTCATCCTCTGCAGTAAGCATAACGCATAGACGTATCCCCTTTACGTCTTCAGCACCAACTGTAAGCAAGACAAATGAGCAAATATGCTTCGCGTGCGAATGTCTCGCACTCCCTATTCTTCGCCTCACCCTATCACCCTCAACGTACTCCAAGTACTATGGCAGAGCACAGTAAGAGTAGTACTTCCAGGGTATCCGAGCGCTGTGCGTGCCACATCATCAACTTGTACCACCTATGTACTAACCTCACATTCCTCCCTCGTCCGACCTGCCCTTCATCCGACCCTACCCTTCATCCCCCCTACCCTTACCTCATCCTCCCCCCTTCCCCCAGTCTGGTTTCCCGACTCCGACATCACCTTCCGCTCCTGCGACGGCCTCCTCTTCCACATTCACCGCGTCAACCTCGACACGCACGCCGGCGCCTTCCCCCCTGCTGAGCTTGCTTGCCACGCCACTGAGGCCGTCGACCTAACGGAGGATGGAGTCACGCTCGAGCTGCTATTTCAGTTCATCTACCCATGGCGGCAGCCGACGCTCGAGGGTGTCCCGTTTGAGAGGCTGGACGCACTGGCGGAGGCGGCGGAGAAGTATGAGGTGTTCAGCGCGATGGGGATTTGTAGGATTAGGATGAGGTGAGTGAGTTTGTAGAGGAGGCGTGGCAAGAAAGAAATTTGAAGGGTGAAAGCTGACTGAATTCGATAGGGAGACACTACCTGACCACCCAGTGGAGATCATGAACTATGCGGCGCGGCATTCATATTTTGAAATTTTGGATGCGGCGGCGCCGCTCACAATTAGCCTGCCAGTGTCGGAGGTCCTGAAGTCGCTGTCCGGGTTGTTCGTCGTGCCATATGTGCGTCCGACTCTCTCGCCTGTCCTATCTGCCCCGAAAGGCCAATTGACACCCCATAGATGCTCTACCTCGAAGCCTGGCGCAACGTCCTCGCATCCGCATGTCGGTGCGCACCGCTGGGCCACCGCGGCGGGTACGAGGCTTGCGTGAACTGGACGCGTATCTGCGCGGTCGTCCTTGCGAACTTGGGCGGCCATGTCTCGTCGCTGAGGCGGCTGGAGACCGTGTTCACGAACGAGGCAGTGTCGTGCGTGTCGTGCAAGAGTTCGCTGTGTAGCAGTGGGCTGCATTTGTGGCGGCAGAGGGTGGAGCAGGAGGTGAAGGGGATTCCGCCGATGAGGGCGTTCTTGAAGCCTATGTGATGCAAGGCGTACCTAACAGTGCGGTTGATGCTCGGTCTCCTGTGCTAGAGTTACTTCATATCACCATGGGATGATTTTTATGAGTTGTGGTAGTGTACAATGCTATAATGTTGTGGACGCTCGCGGTCATATTCCTTTGAACGCGCGATTAGCAACAGGCAGACATAACGAGGAGACAAATCCACGCGTACCTCGGGAGCACCCATTTCTCGCCTTCATGTCACTTGGTTTGGGGATCCTGAGGTGGACTTCGCGTGTCCGTCTCCGTCAAGGGGTTCTCTTCGCGGGCCGCTTGCAATAACGTGTCCAACCCCTTGTCCTTCACCGCTTGCTATTGCCAGGTCAGAAAATATCCTCCACACGTCATGGGACGCAGCGCACCTGAACACATTCCCGATAACTATTCCAAACGGGCCCGCACTTGTCTTGGAACTCCTGCGCTTTCCGCTTCGAGAATTCGGAGCGCGCCTGGTCGGTGGTCGCGACAGCGGGCTCGAGATAGCCTTCAAACCAGGCGTTAAAGCAGTTGTCGTACTCCTTCTTGAGGGGAGTGCACTTCTCGTTGAGACTGTGGGCCATGGTGAGGAAAGATGAAGGTGGGGAAGTGACGCGCCCGTCCGGCGCGATCATGAACGGGACGTCCGGGCCGGGAAGTATCATGTTCGACTTCGAAGTTTACTTCATTATAGCAAACAAAAATGTCTACACTGCGTGAACATGATCCCCTTACTCTCAGAAAGAGGGTGAGAAGGTAGTAGGACGAGGTTGTGCTTGGCTCAGGTGACATACTCGAGCATACGGTCGAGGATGCGTATGAGGATGCATAAGGCTCGAATTCGGACGTAAGCTCGACATTCTGACCCCCAGCTCATTCAAGAGTTACTCCGTCTACGTACTTCTTATGCCCTCCCTCCTGCCTGTAGGCAGAACGAGGCATCTAGCCGAGATGAGGTCCTCCACGCGCCTACATATGGCCGAGATGCCGGTCGCGTGGCGAATTTTTCGCATGCCTAAACTCGGCGTGCTGCATCTCTCGAGCTCTTGTCGTGCGCCCCTTGGAGTCGTCCCCAGAGCCGTGTACCACCAACTCGTACTTCTCTTCTGTTGTATCATTGTATCTCTTACCCATCCCCCCTTCGCACGGACTGGTCGCGGCTCCATATTCTGATTCACACCCCCATCACCACGGCACGCACCAGCACCCCTCTACGATCAGTCAATGCCGTCTGCAGACCGACTTGAATCGTCCGGATCGCAACATGAGGAGAGAGATCGCGAGGGACGGGGATACGACAAGGGAAGGAAGTCCGCCAAATGTACGTAGCCCGCCCCCGCCCCTAGCCACAATATTTACCTCCCTCCCTGCGCAGCGAAGGACCTGAGCCATGTGCCCTGCAAATTCTTCCGCGTCGGTGGCTGCACCGCGGGCTCGTCCTGCCCCTTCTCGCACTCGTCAGCGGAGCCGGGCGCGCCGAAGGACACCTGCGCGTGGTTTGTCAAGGGGAACTGCAAGTTCGGGCACAAGTGCGCGCTCGCGCACGTCCTGCCTGGGCAGAGCATGGCGATGGACCGCAAGAACAAGCGTGCGGCGCAGCAGGCAGCTGGAGGTGGCGGCGGGAAGGAAGGTGGTGGACGGCGGGGCAAGCGCGAGGGCGCAGGCGCGAGCGGACGCTCCAACTCGCTCCTGTCCGGCGGGTCGACCGCCCCCACGCGCTCTGGGCGGCCCCCGATGTCGCTCAAGGTGTCCCCCTCGGCGCCTGCGCCTGCGATCAAGAACACCGACTTTGCGTCGTTCACGGAGGCGCTGGACGAGTCCGCGGAGCTGCCTGCGGCCCCGGCCCGGCAGCAGTCGCAGTCGAGCCCGACACATGAGGCGGCGGATCCGATTAATAAGGAGGCGCCGTCTCCCGCGTCGAGCATTCCTGTTGCCTCGCCTCGCAGGCAGGCAAAGACGACCCCACCCCCCGCCGATCTCGGCCCCATCGGCTCGCCCCCGCGCCAGTCTGGCCTAGCCACGTCCCCTCGCCGAATCAATGGGCTTACCCCATCACCATCCAGGGACGCCAGCTCGTCCTTGCAGGCGAACGAGGGCGCCACCACATCCCCGTTCAGTGCGCCGCATAACCAGACTGCGTTCCGTGAGGACGCCTGGCAGAACAAGGGGATCGCCGCTAGCCTTGGCAGTGGTCTCGCGATGACCATGGGAGGTGGCAATGGGGCTGTCAGCCGCTCGGTAGGCTGGAGCAATATGGACGATGAGGGTGCATACAATCAGCGAACCATTCGTGGTCGTCCGCCTGGCATACCTGATGACGGTGGAGAGGACGATCTTGAGGAGTTCATTCCCGGGTCCTTGACCGATCTGTTGACGCCCGAGGAGCGCAGTCGCCGTATGTCGCGCACCAACTCTGGGCAAACACCGACTGGCACGCCGAGCCAGCATCAGCCCCTCCCGCCGAGAGAACCTGCTGCATCCGGTCATCGGTATTCCCGCTCTGTCCCTGCCCCGTCGTTGCTTGCCGATGTGCGCTCGATCTGGTCGGAGAACCCGCCTGCGGACGCTCCCAAGCCGCCGCTCTTGTCATCCCACTCAGGGCTCCCCTCCTCGCCTAACGCCCATCTGGGCGTCCCAGGCTCCTTCTCGCATGGCTCTTTCGTGGACGACAATGCGTTCATCATCGGTCTGTCGCCCAGCAATGCCAGTGCTGCCTTTCTCCCTTCCATCCACCAGAACTACGCCAAGCAGCAGCTCGGACGTGGCGTTCGCAACGTCTCTGCCCCGATATATGGTCAACCCAATGCTGGCAACCCGGCTCGCTCACCCTTCGACCTTACCCAGTACTCGCAGGGTGCGACGAACGCGCAGACTGAGTCTTACCTCCGCAATGGGCCGCAGCCAAGGAACATCACCGCTCCTCAGCCCGGTGTACAGGAGAACCTCGTCATGTCGCCTTCGACCCGTGCCTTGCAGTCGCACGCACCAGGGCAGTCCTTGCCCCAGGGCCTCGCTGCAGGCTACTCGCGCATCCATGCCTTGCCTCCGCCTCTCCCGCTCGCTTCGCCGAGCGGCTCTACTTTCGGCGCCGTCAGCACGAGCCCTGGCGTCGGCGGCGCGAATGCCTTCGGCTCCTTCTCGGGCAGCATGAGCGACTGGGCTGCGAGCACGCCTCCGCCGGGCATCAGCGGCGCGGGCGTCGGGTCGCGCCCCGCTGGCGTGCCGGGCTCGCAGCAGGGCGGGTCGACGCTGGACCAGATGTTCTCGCGGCTGTCATACTCGGCGGCCGCGAAGTCGAAGGCGCCGGCACCGGCGACTGCACAGAAGGGCCCTGCGCAGGGCGTGAGCCCGCTGTCGCAGCCGGCGGCGGCGCCCGCGGACGACGACGATCTATTCAGCATGGACAACATGGATGCGTGAGCGGGAGGCCCGTATCTGGAGTCCTTGAGCTGGATGCCGTTGTGTCGCGGCGGGGAAGAATAACGAAAAGTAGAAGATTCAACCAATTGTTATGTTCGTGTCCGACGCGCATGTGTGTGTACTTGTAATGGACCGGTATAGTAGATGCCGTCTCTGCCTACTTTCCATCTTGTTCTCTATATATCTCTCGCACTGATCTCGCTTTTTTCCACTACCATTTGCTTGAGCCAGTCTCGACGTGCAACTGACTTTTGGTTCGTATTCACGATAGATATGTACGCCTGGGTCCTTATGGTTGCTCTTCACGTTCCCCATAGCACTGGCGGATTTGTACATGTACTAATGAACCGTGCTGTAAACACATCGAGCCACCGAGGTTCACCGAGGTCAACGTTGCACGTCGAACATAGGTCTGCCTCACGTGCAGAATGCTGTCCTGATGGGAATCGATTCAGTCTTGGGGCTGAGCCTTGCTTGTTCCGAACATCCATCGTCGTTCCTCAGAGTTCCCGAGTTCCCAGGCCCATCCTCTCCAAGGGCCGCCAGATCCATCGACGCGCTGTACCCCGCTCATCGCGTAAAGTGTGGCGCGCCTCATCAATATTCGACGCACGCGAGAAGCACGCTGTGATTGAGAGCCAAGAGCGCGAATGAGCGGTCCCCCTGTCCCTCCGAGACCCTACGGATATAGGTGAGCGCGAAGGAAGTACCAGGAGGGCATCGAGCTGAGAGGGAACCCAAAGCTCGCCTCCGCCAGTCCCGCCACCACCTCCCCCACCTCCTCCGTCGATCGGGCGCCATACTTCGATCGCATCTCCCGTGCCAACAAAGTACGACCCACAGCTCCCTGCCAACGTGCGTATCACATTCGCCAGAAATTTCTTCACGTCATTCCGTCGCTTCTTGTCCGCGACTACCACCGTCCCGTCGTCCACTTCACTTCCACCCACTGTCCTTACGGTTCCTACCTTAATCATGGCTTCCACCCCCGTCGGCGCTATATTCCCGAGTTCTCGCTATTCTACATATCCTATGCAAGAGCCGTACATATGCATCCCTCCCCGCTTCCAATCCGCGTCGCCCGTTTCGATTGTATCTACTCGCAGCGCGCCCGCCCCCATCTCCCAAGTTCAGGCCGTCCGCAAACCGCTCATTCACCACGCCCATCCACAGATGGCCCAAACTCTGGATGATACAATGCGTCACAAGTCGCCTCAGCCGTCAGTTATGTCGAGTGGTGCGTTGGGAGCATGTACGAGTACGCGAGCGCGGCTGACTTACCTCACCCAGGTTCCCTGAATTATACCCCTGGCTTCGCCATGCCGTCCTATCCACCCCAACCCTACCCTAACCAGCCCGGCCCGCCGCCGCCGCCGCCTCAAGGCGAATGGACTCCATGGGCTGGTGTACAGGGTCGTCCTCCGCCTCCGCCACAAACCACTTCGCCTCTCTCTCCACCCGCCTTCCCGACTGTATCCGCGAGCATGCAGCAGAACGCGCCGCTTGTTCAGTCAATGCAGAACCTGTCCTTCGAGCCGCAGGCGCCGCGGGCTCCTCAACGTGTCACGTCGGCCATTTACGACGCGCCGGTTCCTCAGCCGAGAGTACCCTCTCCGCCACGGAACGTGGTCGGGAAGGATGGGTTGCTGCAGATCACTATGCCGCTGCCGTCTATCCCGACGCTGCTCGCCGCAATGCCGACAGTGTCGCAGCCGACACACGACCCGGCACTGCAGATGGCGTTCGTGCGCGACGTCTTCATCCTCCTCGCACAGGAGTACCCCGCACTCCTGCAGAGCAACTCGGGCATGATCACGCTCGAGAACGACGACCTGCAGACCCTGCTCATTGCCTCTGTCGACATCATCAATCGCCTCGCTGCGATGCAGACGCAGCCCATCACGCCGCCCGTGGCGGAAGCGCTGTTCCACCGTGCAATGCTCTCCGCGAGCGGCGCGTTCCCCTCACTCGCTAAACATAACCCGCGCAGCGCGTTCCGTGAGTTCGAGATGGCAGCGAAGTGCGTATTTTCGGCATGCGAGACCCTAACTAATCTACTGCGCAGGAACGGGCAGCCTAAAGCGTGGTTCCGCCTCGGGCGCGACTACGAGGCGTTCAACGACGAGTCGCGAGCGAAGGACTGCTTCGAGCGCGGCGCGCGCGCTGAGGATGAGGCATGCCTCTACGTGAGTGTCCACGCTACCTCGCTGGTGGGACGCCGCAACTAACAGCTGCTCCACCCTGCAGCGCCTTGCGATGGCACACCTTTTGGGCCAGCTCGGACTGCCGGCGAACCCGAGCGCGGGCGTGCCGCTGCTACACCGCTCGGCGATGCTGACATCGCTCATGTGTCCGCAGCCGGCGTATGTGTATGCGCTACTGCTGCTGGGGGAGTTCTCGCAGCTTCCTCAACAGCTGCCGCATACGGCGTTCTTGCCGTTCTTGCCGCCACCGACAAGCGACAGTGCGCAGGTGCCTGGGGGTAAATAGTTCCTCGTCGACGTGATTAAGCAAGCAAGACTGATCCTTTCTGCTCAGGGCCGAAGGCGGAGCTGGAATACAGGTGCCAGCAGGATGCGAAGAAGATGCTGGAGCGGAGCGCGTATGTTCACTTTCCGCCTGCGCTCTACAAGCTCGGGCACTGCTACGAATTCGCGAACCCGCCAAAGTATGTGCTGCTTGATATAGTTCCAATGAATTGCAGCTGACGGTAATTCAGCGTCTTCCCCTTCGACCCCTTGTTGTCAGTGCAGTACTACTCGCTCGCCTCGCAGAAGGGCGAGGTGGAGGCGGACATGGCACTGAGCAAGTGGTTCTTGTGCGGGAGTGGGGATGTCGGGAATGGTAAGCGCGGATATGCAATGTGTCCCGTGCAACCAACTGACTGTGAGTAGGTCAAGGGTTTGCTAAGGATGAGGCTTTGGCATACACTTTCGCACGGAAGGCCGCCCAGAAGGGCCTTCCGAGTGCGATGTTCGCGTTGGGCTACTACGCGGAAGTTGGCATCGGTCAGAGGGGCAAGAAGGACCTTGACGAGGCGCGGATGTGGTATGCTAGGGTGCGTGCCACAAATGATTTGCCCATCGCCAACTCCTCACATCACAACATAGGCTGAGAAGGCTGGCAACACAGACGCTGCCGAGCGCCTGGCCGCCCTCTCCAAGCCCGGCGGCGGCTCCGGTCTTACTAGGCAAGAGCACGACACCATCACCGAGACCAAGCTCGTGCGGAAGCGCACTCAGGCGAAGCAGCGCTCCGACGCCGCCACCGCGCAGCAGCAGCAGCAAGGCGGCGGCCGAGGACAGCGCCCGCCGCCCACCGCTGGGTCCAGCGGTCGCATCATCGAGAGCGTCCGCAAGAACAGCATCCCCGCCAGCGGGTACTCGGGGTCGGTGGCGAGCGGGCCCTCGGTGGGCACGGGCGTGGGGCAGGTCTTTCCGGGCAGCGGCGGCTACCCCGCGAGCCCGCAACCGTCGATTCCGGCGCCGCGCCCCGTGAACTCGCCGCCGAGCTCGCACGCGAGTAGCCCGCAGCCGTATAACGCGAGCGCGCCGGGGACGCCGTTGGCCATGCCGGGGACGCCTGGTACGCCGGGCGCCCAGCCGCAGTACAACCCGGGCGCGGCGCGCTTCCAGCTAACGGACCCGGGCACGGTGCCGGGGGCGCGGAAGGCGAGCGGGGCAATTGATACGGGGGCGAGCGAGGCGCAGAAGCCGAAGCCCAAGCCGGGGCCGCAGACATTCGCGGAGATGGGCTTCCAGGGGGCGAGGGCGGAGGATAAGGAGTGCCACATCATGTGAGTGGAGGATGCAGATTGGCGTGTTTGCGACGAGTAGAGGCGCCGAGGACGAGGACGATTCGCTGGTGCCTCTGTCCTCTTCTCTAGCGTCCCAGTCGCAGAAGGGTTGTCGACTCACCTCGCCGCAACCGACCCCCGACGCTCTAATTTTCGCTGTATATCCTTTGTTCTTCTCCTCGACACGACACGCTCTTTGGATGGTGGATGGGTGGATACCGATCTTCTGCCTTGGAATTCAAGCAACTCATGCCCTTCTCGAGGGCGCTTACCTTACACATACCTACACACGCAGATAATTACCGTCCGTGACGAAAATGTACAAACATCCCAAGCACATTTAAGGAGGATCTTTGGCTTGAAGTTGACCTCCACGGGTCGTAATATGCTTTGACCGATTCTACGAAGGACGTGTGCAGGGCTCAAATCAAGAGAAGGGGACAAACTAGATGTGGGAAGAACGTAGGGATTAGAGGCGACATGACTGGCACCGTCTTTCATGAACCGGAGGCTTTTGAAGCCACCTGTGGCAGACTTCCTTGCATTTGCAGGGGACCAGGGTTCGCAGACGACTATCCTGCCGTGTCTTTCAGGGATCAGTGGTGGGGTTACCTGGGCTTCGTCGACGGGATGCAAACGAGAAAGCTGAGCAGGTGATCTCTAGTCTGGGGTTCAGGGAGCGGTGAATGCTAGCGCGGCGCATGTTCATTGCATATGAAGGCGCTGTAAGGCCAGGGTACTGGTTAGATTGGGGTGTGTGTAGTAAAGTCGCTCCTTGCGCGGCGTAGATATAATATCTTCTTCAGCCAGGCGAGGGCTCCCTCTTCTACAACCATGCAAGCGTGCATACGCCAGGCGCCGCGCCAGAGAGTAGGGTATCGGCGTCTATAGGTGCGCGGGGTCCATAGACGTGCGAGCCTCAGGTACCCTACTTCTTCGTCTTCTTGCTCTCGACGAAGAGTACCCTGGACTTCACTGTAGGTGGGGAAGGGTGCGAGAGGAGTGAGAGAAGTGCATAGCGAGCGAGAGAGTGCGTGGTGAGTGAGGAGGGTTGCATGATGACAATTAGTGGGAGCGTAAGTAGAAGGATTCGCGCGACGCACCGACGGGGTCGTACTTGACGGCGGAGAGGCGCGGGCCCAGCCGTGGGCGCACTTTCGTGTAGAAAAAGCCCGTCTGGGCGGTGGAGATGAGGCGGACGATGAGCGTCCTGATGTGGAGGTGGTAGAATGAGTGATCAGCACAGAGATTTGACAATGAGACGCACCTGGCTTTGCTCTTCGGCGCCATCGCGTGCGACTACGGGTCAGTCCGATACCGTACCACGACCTTTGGGGACAAGGGATGCGGCCTCCGAAAACATGGCGCGGGAAATCGGGCCGGTGTTGCGAGCGCGTTCCCGGCGCCGATCGCGGTGTTGAACTTGAACTTCGACTTCTACTTCACCTAGACAGAAATTGGGACGAAGGGACCCTTTGGAAACCTCGAAGGAATAGCTGACCTGGACCTCTGCTTTCGGATCGCTCGCTTATTTCGTCCAGACGTCATGGTGCTCACTCGTGCCATCTCTTCGAGCTCTACGCTCCGTCGTGCGCCCCGGAGGCGACGTCTCCTAGGACCTCAGCGGTTCATCACCACCGGAAATGCTACCGAGCCATTCAAGATACTCTACATGGGCCGAGACGAGTTCTCCTGCTCTGTCTTCAAACACTTGCACGATGCGAAAGGTAGGTATATTGTGGCGCACCCTTCCCTGCGCCTGTTCGTTCATCAACGCACCTATCCATCCTCCATTGTGTCTGCTAACTCTGTATCGTGTCTGCTAACTCTCCATCATATCCGCTAATCCTCCTTTGCGTCTGTCTATTGTCTCATACGACTGTTCCCCTTGAATTTCCATATACATCCCACTAACGCGCCTCACAGACGTCTGGCAAGAGCTGCATATCGCCACCCACCCAGACGAGCATGTGGGCAGGCGCGGCTCGCAGCTGTCTGTCTGTACGTCGGTCCCGCGACCCGTCAGATGATGATGCTGACTGCTTGCTTTCTAATATCAATCGTTCGCCTTGCTCTGATGTTGACCGCTTGTTCTGCTCTGATGCTCACTGCTGACCGTGCTCTGATGTTGACCGCTTGTCTCGCTCTTGCGATGACTGCTTGTCCTGCTCTCATGTTGACCACCCGCTCCGTTCGCCACCCCCACAAACCTCACCCTCCCCACAAACCTCCCATTCCCCACAAACCTCGCCTGCCCCCCCCCCCCCCCCCCCCATCCCCACAAACTACTAACTCTGCAGCCCCGCTGAAGACGCTAGGCCAGTCTCTGGACGTGCCTATTTACGAGATCCCGCACGCGAAGCCGGAGTTCAAGACTTGGGATGTGAGTATCGTGATCAGCTTAGCGTGAATTTACTCGAGGGCCTTGCCCATGACTGCCTTGATTGACATGCTCATGACCTCCCTGCGCGTCACCTGCGTTAATAAACCATGTACTGATCTACCCTCTAGCTTCCTGCCCCGTTCGCGGCCCCGACGTCAGGCGCAGATGGACCATCTTCCCCAGATGCACCCACTTCTCAAGCCGCACCCTCTTCTCATATGCTACTCACCGCTTCTTTCGGACGCATCATCCCTCAACGAATGCTCGCCGCCTTCCCGCCACATAATCGCCTGAACGTGCATCCTTCGCCGTTGCCTGCGTATCGCGGGCCTGCGCCGATTCAGCATATGCTGATGGCGGGAGAGAGGGAGACGGCGGTTTGCGTGATTGAGATGTTGCGCAAGGTGGATGCGGGGGCGGTGTGGGGGAGGGAGGAGTTGGTAAGTGGGTTGTGCTACTATCTGGGTAGTGCTCGTCTCACGGAGATTATAGGCAATACCCCCGGATGCAGATTTCGCGACGATGCGAGACTTGCTCGGCGACGTAGGGGGGCGTCTTCTGGTGCGAGTATTGCGCGAGAAGATGCGGGGTACGGTACGGCGCGTTTCCCCGGTCATCTCTGCGCCCGCCTGACAGGCTATCAGGCGTCATCCATCGCGCAGGCGGAGGACGTAAGCGCGCCGCGCGCGCCCCTTATCCAGGCGGCGGACGCGATGCTGGACTTTGCGCGCATGTCCGCAGAGGACATTGTCCGCCTGCAACGTGCGATCGGGCACCAGGTTCGTCATCGGCGCGCGCGCGACGACGTGGCTGACGAGGTTATCAGCGTGCCTTGATTGCCGGGCTGCCCGACGGGCGCACGCTGCAGCTGCACGGGCTCTCGGTGGAGGCGGAGGCGCCGGCGTTCCTGACGCGCGAGGCGGGGGGCGCGATGCTGCACAAGCCGGGGCGGCGGATACTGGTGCGGTGCGCGGGCGGATCGGTGCTGGGCGCGCGGGAGGCGAAGATGCAGGACAAGGCGCAGGTGGGCGCGGTGGACTGGTGGAATGGAGCGCAGAGCCTGGGCATGGTTGCGGACAGATGTGTGCGCCTGAGCCGGCCCAGGACGGTGTAGGCGCGGGCGCTAAGATGGGAGATAGTAGTCGGCCAACGCCGAGCGCACGTTCCGGGGAGGCTTCTGTTGAAGATTTGCACGTGATCGCGTGCGAAGGCGCCCCCTCGTCGGGCCTCGCGTTGTGCGCACCTTGGTTAGCTTCTCCCATGCCAATGTCAACATGAGAGTGCCGGTTCTCCATTCAAGATGGCCTCTATCCATCTGCTTCTCATCCAGATATGACGGTGATACATGTTGCATACACGAGGCGTAGCGCCGAACCTCGGCCACATCAATTTGGCGCTCGCTTGATTTCTCCTGCTCTTCCTCGCCGCAATTTCCCGTTGCTTTTCCCCCTTCTTCCCCGCCAAGATTCACTCACGACTTGACCGTTCGCTGTACATATTCTGCTTGCCATGGAACGACACGGCCTCGACGCGAGATACGATGACGATCGGGATCCCGACGCGCCCTTCGTCGCGGTCGATCCCTTCCGAACGCGTCGCGGACGTTGGGCCCCGCGTCCCTCTCCGGGGGATATTGAACAGGGCTCGGTACTGGCGGAGATGAGGCGCTTTACCCCGCATCTTCGCCATGACTCGCCTCCCCCTGTCATTGAAGTTCCCCCATCCCAGCGGTCTTCGCACGAGTACGAAGGTGCGTGAATGAACTATACTTCCTCGACCACTGCTAACACTTGATGCCCTCAAAGAGTCCTCTGGGTCCCGTTCTTCCTCATCCTCCGCATACTCTGGCGGCGATGCCATGCCTGAAGAAATTTCCGAACCTGAGCGCACGACACCAGGGCCTCCTCCTGTCGACGAGAAGACCCCAGAGAAGAGCCGCTTGAATATCTCGATGCCTCTCGAGAGCACATTTCACAACATTACTGCCTACCTCTTTCAGACTATCCCCACGATGCTCTACCTATGCCTCCTTCTCCGCCTTCCAGCCCTATATTTCTCCCGCGTCGCCCGTGTCTTCGAGAACGCAGATCTCAGCCAGCGGGACATCGACAGGATGGCCGTCGCGCGTGTCAGTCAATGGGGAAGGCACCCCGAGGCCGCACCCCCAGGCATCTGGCAGTACGAACCCCAACCAGACGAGAAGGTCTCGGTCACGCTCCTCCAGTTCAAGTCGTCCTGGGAGCACTTCGTCGAGAACCTGCTGAAGGAGTGGAAGACGCTGAACGTCGTCTCCGCGCTCCTTACGTCGTACGTCCTCGCTCCGTCCTTGGCGCGCGTGCGCGGAAGCCTGATATCGCTCCCCCTTAGCGCGGTTCTTACCATCCTGCAAATCGATGCCGCCGCCGCGGACCCCGTCGTGCGCACGACGGCGCTGCTTGCGCTGGTGTGCACGCTGATGTCGCTGCTCTACGGGTGCCTGTACATTATCCGTTTCGGGTCGATGAAGGCCATGCACAAGGCGTCGGGCTGGGCGGATGTGGGTCCCCGGTTACGTGTCCCGGTGTTGAAACTGACGGACGAGCAGGAGGCGCGGCAGACGACGACGAATATCGTGTGGAACGTCTGGGTCATGCTGGCCATGCCCGCTGTCTGGCTGTCCTGGTGAGCGGGTTTGATGGGTTTTTAATCTCCACGTACGCGAAGCTGATTCGTCCGCGCCGAAGGTCCATAATCTTATTTCTCGTCTCCATCATGACCTTCGTCTGGCGGGCGGGGACGGCCGACGAGCGTACGGGGCCGACGGCGTCGTTCGCGCAAGCGCTAGCGCCGCGGATCATCATCTCGGCCGTCCTCGCGGTCGGCGCGCTTTATTTCGTGCTCGTCGTACAGACGTTCGCGCGGTACGGGGATTTAATGGACCGCCGCTGGCGCGAGCGCGTCCTCACGCAGTATGTCGCGTCGCGCACGATGTCCCCGCGGCCCCCGCCCCCGCCGCGCTCGCCGACGAGCGGGCACGGGCACTTCAGCTCGCCGCCGGTCATCCCGCCCGTCCTGCCCTCGCGGCGCAACTCGCAGAAGGAGAAGTCGATCCACGCGTGGCTCGGGCGTGTCGAGCAGGCGAGCTCGCACGGGTCGCGTGCGGCGGAGAAGGCGAGCCCGGACACGGCGGAGGCGCCGAGAGGTCAGTTGCGGGCTGATTATCGATGCGGGGGTGGGAGCGCTGATGAGGCCGCAGGGATGCATGATGCGCTCGGGTACGTCGGCCCGGGGCAGGAGGGGGCGGACTGGGGAGGGGAGAGTCAAGGGAGCCTGCGCTCGAAGACGAGCTCGCCGGCAACTCCGGCGAGGGTGCTGCCTCCCGCGGTGGCCCAGCATGTTCAGGCGGTATGTTGGCTGTCGGATTAATTTCGCTGGAGGCTAAATTCATGGCAGGCGCAGACACCGTCCGCGTCGTCGGAGGGGCATCGCTTCCTCGAGCAAGAGCTCTACAAATTGCGTGTGAAGAACGGACCCGAAGACGAACATTCGCTGGAGCTCCACGAACCTTCTACGCATAGCTCCAGCGAAGTACCGGACAGTGCATCCAAGATGAGGGTGTTGCGACCGCCTAACGACTTGAGCATCGACGTCGACCTTGACGCCGCCCAATCCGACCCAGGAAGTCCTGCGACAATCATAGCAAGGGCTTCCTCCCGTGCAGGCCCCCAATGGCCACCTGCAGCGACTCTCTCCGAGCTTGCACAGAGCGAAACAATTGCCGGCAATGAGACAGCAGGACGAGTGAGTATCAGCCGTCTGTTTAATTTCCAGAAATTGTCTGACGTGCTCTTTTTCCAGCTGTCCAGCGTCGCCTTTCCAACGACCACGAACGGACGTTCCAGAGGTTCCCCAGACTCCGGCACGACACGAAACGACCACCCGCCTCGAGCACACGAATATTATGCGGAACCGCCCAGCGACACCCCATATGAAGATACACGACAAGCACATATAACAACGCACAAACAAGCGACGAACAATCACGACCCCTCACGATCGGTACGAGAATCGTAGCCCCGACTCCGGGCCCAACAACCTCTACTCCCCGATTCGACTAATTATTGTAGCATATCTATTCCCCGTCGACATGATATCCCCACGACCAGGGCTGCCTGCATTTGTACATTACCTGTTGTATTTGCCACAGTGCTGAACCAATCGACATGCCCATGCAACGCGCTTTCTCCTCGCTCAGAATGCGGATCGGTACCGTTCGACCTACGATAATAGTCTTCAGCCTGCCATACACGCCAGGTCCTAGTGCATACTACTCAGCAGCAGCGTACAGTTACCTTACTCTCTCCGTTCCTCTCTCAGTCTCTTCTCTTCCCCTACCCTCCAGCGACACCTCATTGACCCCCTCGCACCTAGCAGTTAGCCTCGATAATTGACTTTGCCCAGACCCTTGACACGCGAGTCTTTCGTGAAGCCGTGAAGTCCACCGGCAAAACCCGGGATGCTCGTCTCTCCCGTTCGCGGACACCATGTCGCGTCCGCTGCGCCTGCACTCAAGCGCGCTCTCTGACGCTGAGTATGATTACTTCACGGCAACTCTCGCGCTTCTTACCGACTACCGGTTGCCGGAGGGCTCGGCAAGAGATGACAAGGACTTTGCTGTCGCCGCGGAGCTTGACGCCAGCGGGCTCTGCGCATGGCTTCTGGGCAAGCTATGCCCGGCGTTCCCCCATGACAAGGTGGCGACGATCATGAGCTCTGTTGCGCCTAGTGGGGGGATAGTGGACGGCACACAGTTCTTTGCAGTCGCGCGGCTGGCGCTACACTGTCTTAATGGGGAGACGATAGGGGACGGGGATGATTGCAGGAGATTGGCGTTCGTGCAAGGTGCGCCATGATCGTTCAGGAGCGAGGGGATTTCATTGAACGTGATCTCAGTACAGAATGTACCCCTGCACGCGTCAAGGGGTGCTGAGAGAGCGCCTATGCAGTCCCCTCCTGCAAAGTTGAGGGTACACTTCTGGCCGCCGGTGCGTACTTCCCTACGCGTCTTTCTAGAATCGGCATATTGAGTGATCACAGGACGAAGACAAGCCGTGTCAGTTTGAGTTTGCCTTTCCAGAATCTGGCCTTTTCCACCCAGAATCTCAGTCGCGGACGTTCCAAGCTACATACGGTCTAGACATCTCCCTAGGTGTCTACTCCTACTTCGACTCGACCGCGAACTGCTGGACGACAACCCCGGAACCGCTGCGCATCTCGCCTGACCAGCCGACGGTCCACATACGCGGTCTACCTCGACGCGACGCGCCTGCGAATTCGCGCAAACGGCCTCGAACGAGCGATGTGACCACGGATTCGGCTTCGGCTCCTCCGATACCGCAAAAGACTGCGCCAGTGGTGAAGCAGCCGAAGTATCCTGCGACGCCTGCGCCGTCGCCTGGTCATTCGGCCCCAGACACGCCTGTGCCGACGCATCCCCAAGCGTCGTCTCACGCGTCGACATGTACTTCTTTACCGCCAATATCCAGCATCTCGTCCGCCGCATCGTTCAGCATTCCCCTCTCCTCCTCGTCAACACCCACGCAGCCCGCCGCCCCACCTCCGATTCTGGCGCCCGTCACCATGCCCCCAGGTCATCCGCTCCCCGAGCTCGCAACCTGGCCGCGCACCCCGCGCTCCGCCTTCCCCTTCAAGTACGCGTGTCACATGGCCGCCTTCTTCGAGACCGTCGAGGGTCTGAAGCCCGTGTTCCCGAACAAGGAGGAGGCGTACCGCTATCTCATGCAGGGCACGGCCCCGTGGCACGCGAGCACGTACTGGAAGCACCATCGGCTGTACGCGAAGCGCGAGAGGGACGCGCGCTTGAAGACGGCGGTGGATGCGGGGATGTGCGAGGCGGGGGAGTGGAACCGGTATTTGCGGGAAGAGGAGGCGGCGGGGAGGGTGCAGGATGCGGAGATGCCTGCGACGCCTGTCGCGTAGATACGTGTTTAAGTAGAGGTTGATAGACATAGTGTACTGGTCTACTAATGCAAGCATCCGCTTGTGATCCCAGTACTTCCACAATTGAGGGTGACATGAACGAGTCGAGAAAGACATTCCATGCTAGAAATGACCGAAACTCGATGAAGAGGCAATTCTCTGATATTGCATTGCACGACTATTCCGAAAGCAATGATTACGAGAACACAATAATACTGTATGATATGTACGTTTTCACCCGCCCACCGAGTGCGCAAAGCAACAGAGCAGACATAGAATAGGGATCCAACAAGTCAATCTCCGCTCCCTTTCCCCTAACCATCATCCACAGGAAGCAAGGATGATGTAGTGAATATAGAAGCGGGCCCAATGGTAGGGTCACCGAAATTAGCGAAGACGTAATCACACAATAGAGTGTGTCTGTTCAGTAATTTCTTTCGATCTTCACAGAAGTTTGAGTAATTTACTTGTGCGACTTCGTACATTGTCGGGGGTTCTTCGTAAATCATTTGGGAGTCGAAGCACATTTGAGCGCTGATTAGGTGCTAGCGCGCGCTCAGCTGTACGACAACGTCTGCTCCAAGGCCCGCATCTTGGTAACATCTTTCACTTTTCTGTAAACTCCTGAGTAAATCATTTGAGGGAGATGAGACGAGATAGGGACTAGACTCAGAATAAATTACTGAACAGACACACTCTAATGGACAGCATGCGATGCTCAAGGGAAAATGGGAAAGACGATTCTCACTCACTCGAACTCACTCAATGCAGCGGCGTGCAGACGTCATAGCATAAGAGATACAATGCAGATGCATATACATGAAGGACCGAGCATCAACACACTCTACTGAGCGCGGAGCTGGTTCTTGAGGTTCTGCATAAGAGGGCCCTTCGGCCGGATGAACTGTACGTAGGCACCATCCCTATAGAGCTCGTCAGCACGATGCCAGGTGAAAAGGCAGGAACACATACTGCAAGACACGGCCCTCAGCCTTGAGGGCCTGGTACTGCTCCTTGTTGACGTTGGTGAAGCCCCACTTCTTGGAGACGATGATCTTTTGGCGGCCGGGGAACTTGTAACGGGCGCGGCGGAGGGCCTCCATGATGACGGGGGCGTTGGCCTCCTTGCAGCGGATGGAAAGGATGATCTGGCCGATGTTGACACGGGCGACCGTGCCGTACGGCTTACCCCAGGCACCACGCATACCGGTCTGCAGACTGTAATGGCCGGTTTGTCAGCGGAGCTCGCTGACGAAGAGAATTGCTAACGCACCGATCGGCACCAGCGCAAGACAACATCTTGTTGATGCGGATGACGTGGAAGGGGTGAACGCGGACACGCAAGTGGAAGGAGTCCTTGCCGGAGGTCTTCGTGACGTACCTGGGGAGGATGGGTCAGCAAGGAAGTACGAATAGCGATGGCGAAACGCACTTGTTGGCGCAAATACGGGCGGCTTCGAGCGCCTCCGAGCTCAACTGCTCGTACTCATCGGAGACAAGATGGCAGCAGAAGGGGAACTCGTCCACAGAGGCACGCTTGCGACCGAGATCGAAGATGCGAATCTGCGCCGGGTTATTTCAGGTTCTCGTGCAGTAGGCGAGTATAACGCACCTTCGGATCCGGGACACCACGGTTGTACCTACTCTTCGGGTAGGGCTTGTTCTTGCAGTAACGGTAGCAGCGAGCGGGACGGCGACCCATCTTGTCCGATCTTTGTAATCAGGTCAGATAAATGTGCAGAGCGAGATTGTAGCCAGGGCAAAGGATGTAGAGCTCGACGATAGGGGCAGAGGACGCTCAAAGCTCGGAATGAAGCGTGAACGTCTGAGGAGAAGGACGATCGAAAGGGCAGAGCTCCTCCCAAACGTCATCCGGCCCATGCGAGCCAATCCAGCCATTCAGAGTCGGATTTTTCGCATGAGCGTCCCGAGAGAGCATCCCATCGTCGTGAATAACAGATCGACGTCGTACGGAGCAGGAGCAGCAATACTCACAGTGTTGGGGGGCGTTGAAGATGGCTCGACGGCGACGAGGCCGTTTCTCTTGTACTGTAACGCGTGTCACCTCAGTCACGTCACACATTACTCAGTCGGCCCCTTACCAAGACCCTGGTCATCCTCCGCAACCTCCGACGACTGCAACTGAGTCTGTTTGACGCTGTGCTTGAACACGAACAGGACATAGTTCGCCTAGTCTAGACGGGGAATAAGCGAGGGCGGCTGGTTGCTGCCAAGTCATGATTTTTGGACTTTGGTCACGGTGTTCAACTTGATGTTTTTGGCGGTATTTTCGGACCGGCCTTTTCTCGGTCCCGCCTGCAGGCTCAGCAGAGGCTGCTCTTGACGATAAGGCTTACTGGTGAGCAGATTTACTACAGGGTCAGACGGGGTGATGTGAGGAGGTTCGACGAGCTGAAGAGCGCCTAGTAGTGGAATCATCTCAGCGACACTCCGTCACGCCTATTGCACAAGCAGTACCTCAATTCACTCAAACACCCACGTTTACTCGGGTACGAGTGAACGTTCCTGATGGATGTCTTGACACTTCACTTTCCTCCTCGGTCACAATGGCCGGGTTGGGAACATCCGACACTTGCACTTGCTGCATACGGCGATGCGCTACAACATGAGGCTCACGCAAGGCCTCTTTCAACGCGTCCTCACGATAAGAACGCGCTCCCCGCCGAGCTGGTTGTCGTGTCCACTCTTGGTGGCAGCGACTATGCATCAGACTCACCTATCTTCCTTGCTTCGGCCAAAGATGACCCATCACGAGAATACGTGCTGAAGATGGCACTGCGCGATGACCTTGTCTCCGGGCTAGCAGCGGAATACATCGCGTACTCGAGACACCTGCAGTCATTGCAGGGTGGCCTTGTACCAATTTGCTATGGTCTATTCGTCTCCGACCAGCCTGCGCGCGCCGACGAGCCACCATTAATAGGTGCTCTCGTCCTGTCGTACGTCGGGACGCCACCGCCTGTAGCTTTTCCTCAACTGCCCGACCTCGTCAGGTGCGCGATTCAACCTAATCAACGAGCCTTTCGACACTGACGTCCCCCTTTTCCAATCAGACGCCAGATTTTACTCGCACTACAAGAACTCCACGACGCAGGCGTTGTCCACCGCGACCTCGCCGAACGCAATATCGTCCTCGAACCTCTTCGCCCCGACGGGACTGTGTCCGGCCCGGACGACTTCAAGGTGCACATCATCGATTTCGACGCGATTGAGACGGGCCACGAATGCCCTGGACTGGAGGGCGACCCGCCGTGCGAGCAGTTGACGGAGGTGGTGGAGATGTTCGGCCTAGGAGGGCGATAGGGAGGGCTACATGCGATGAGGGTACATACGAAGGATATGTATTGATTGCTGCAGCCCTGATGTCAGACTCGAGGATGATGCGTGTGTCGAGCGCGCGGGCGGCCGTTCCGCTTGTACTTGCTCGGGCCCCGCGGCAGGCTCTTGCCTGCCAGAAAACTCGCCGAATTTGTCTAGAGATGAAGACCGAGGACAGGCCGAGGGTACGATGCCGTGTGTATCGGAGAGGCCGCTGGTATCGAGGGCCAGGGCGACAAGATGGGCGTAGGCGAATTTCTATCAGGAAAATCTGTCCCCGCCATAGCTCCTGAAGAGGATTGCAATCTTCGAGGGAACGACACCTAGCAACGACACGTAAAGGACGGGAAGAGAGGAGAAAACTACCACTGTGCACCCGAGACCGGGTTACATTCACCCTACGACTACCAGGAGATCTGGTTGATGCACTGAATGCCAAGTTTTCCGGGTGGTTTTTGGGTGGCGGTACGGTTACAGCTAGGTGATTTTGATTTGAGGAGTTTTGTCCCCGAATCACGCCTTTCAAACGCTGTATTGCTTGTTACTGGGCAGTTTGGGGTATATATCATCACTCCGATGTGCCACAGTCATCTGCTTCTCGACCCGCTCGCTATGGGGTGCTGTGTCCGAGTATATGATATCATAGGATCCTTCGAGAGGTTCTGAGTGTATATTTCGTCTGCTAATCAGTTTTCGATGGTATTTTTCATGCTACAGATGCTCCTTGGGCGCATTCATAAGCGTTGTGACCGTCTTACAAGGTGCCCAAAGCAGGATAAATCCAGAAATCTGCAAAAACGTAGGTTAATGCAGATCTACGAGAGAAGACAAGAGGCTTGGCTGGAGTAAGACTTGAGATATGTGAAGAAGATCCCTAATTCCACCTTGACAACGGAGCATAAAGCGCCAGGACATCCAGAAGTGAGTTCAACCGTGATCTATCACGCGTGTGACAGCGCGTCTCGGCGTGACGTGGCTCCGTGAAATTGCTAAGTCCGTCTTCTCTTGTACCATCATCCCCGACGACCACGACCTCCAGCAGGTCTCGCATCGCACACAATATTGTGCCCCGTACTCCTCCCTCTTACTGACACTGGCCGCCATCAAGCATAGACCCGACCCGCAAGCCGCACACCGCTCTATAACGCGCGTACGACGCGCGCGAGGTTCGCCATTCGGATTGCTGCGACGCGGTACTGGTCTGCTGTCGCGACATCGACACCCTCCAGCGCACTGGCGCTATGTATTGCGATACCAGGTGCGTCACTGACACAGCCCACCGACCTGAGCTTACGTCGTCGTAGCCGCGTTCTGTACACCGCGGAACCAGGTCGCCGTCGATCCTGTGTGTACCTTCGTCATGCGCCGCATTTTAACAGGCTCTGTCCAGCGCCATGCCCTTTCCCCGCCAACAGGTCTCCCCCTGCCTAACGCAACGATCGACTCGATGACAGCCCTTTCGCGGCCAGCTCCCTGCCCTCGTCCCTTGTCGTAGGCACACGTCTGTTCATGCCGTGTCTTTTGTCGTGGTACATTGTAGTAGTAGTCCTTGTGAATACAGTATGCAATAATATGATTTCTCCCTTCAATCAAGTGCGTGAAGCCCGTTCCGCAATGAGTACAACCAGGGAACCTAGTGAGATAACAAGGACCAGAATCACTAGTCTTTCGGGTGCTGATATCAGCTCGGTTTTGGGTGAATCACGCCTAGGAGTTCGGGTTGTAGGTACCCGACCTTCACCAGATTAATTCACCCGAAAGTCGGTGTGTATTCAACCCAAATTCAACCACACATTCACCCGTGGCCAGTCACCCATTTTCCGGGTGACACAGGGTGAATTTGAGCCGTATTCCGAGAGATATCAACTGTATTTATGGGTGAAAGTTCGGGTGAACGTAACCCGGTTTTGGGCGCACAGTGTACCGATTACAGTTGTGGACAGCCAAAGTCGACAATTTTGGGTGCTCTGCCGGAAAACTTCGGACTTTGCGGAAAACGACGCCTTTCAACGAGGGGGTAACCTAAATAAATTTCAGACCGAACGGCTCTGCCGTTGGCCCACAAATCGCGATTTATTGGCCGAGGGGGCCCAAAATATTGGCCACCCCTCATTTCCGCCCCTAAATTCAAGAAAAAATGGTTTTTGAACGCCTTTCGCTCATGTCCGTCCGTTTACGCGGTCGTAAAGTTACCGGAGCAATGCCGAAAAGCGCTCAGAATAATAAAAATGCGTGACGTTATGCATGTCTGTCACACCATCGTTACAGTGATGGTAGCCGGGGATGGTCCGCACCTTGCTCGCGAGCTAACTTCAGCAAGCTGGCGCGGCATGGGTATAGTCCACGCTTCATATCGACAAGCTTTTCTTACTTTTGGCGCTGTCGGCACTTGCCGAACACCGTTGAAACTGGCCCAAAAATTGGCCACCCCCGAAAAGTGGTCCTAAAATCGCGGAAAAATCGTTTTTGGGGCTTTTGAGCCCTTCTGAGTTCATTTCTGAGCTCAGATTCCCGTCGGATAAATTATTTGATGCTCCGACACGAATTGTCGACTTTGGCTGTCCCCAACTGTACCCTCAGTCGAACGATGCGCGCTCCACGCAGGAGTAGAAGTTCAACCGTGGGAAGGCGTCCCGAAAGTTGCCGGGTAAGACAAGTTCACGGCTCGCTGCCTTGGTAAGCCCTTTGTGACTACTTCGGGGATGCATCTGAGTTTCAGATAGCCTACAGCAGGCGTATCGCAACATGTACTTGTAGTCGCAGAAAGGTACACTGCGCTAGAAGAGGATAGCCGCCCTAAGAAGCGACCTCGGAGTACCACTCCTTTGGCTGAGTTAGGCCTTGATAGACGCTGACCGCAGTCGCCCTGACCATCGATGAAGGCGCCGCAAACCTCGGCGATGTCCATCTTCATTGAGCACCCTGCGTAGCTTCGAATGACGGGTCCGCTTCGTCAGTATCGCGACGCACCAGTGAAGGGGAGAGTTATTTGCGAGGAACGCCGCTTCCGACTCGGGAAAATGAGCGAAGGACCGCCGGGGAACAGATTGTGTACTTGCTATGGGGCCGGACTTCGGGGATTCTCGTCGTCGAGGTCGAGAGTCGTAAGAGAAGATTCATCGTGACTAAGTATAGGGTATGATGTCCTGGGGATCAAGGAAGAAGGGGAAGGCGAGCATTCTGAGGAAGCACGCACGAAGTCGAAGGCCCGAGCTGGGAATATGAGAGGTGGACCGCTGCGGACCGCAGATATTTCGGTACCAGGCAGCGTCAATAGTGACGGCGTCTACTCGGAGAGGCACGTAGTGAAACCTGAACGAGCGCTCGGGAGACTTGTGAGTGGCGAAGTGGCGTCCGCGCCGTCGGTGAGACAATCTCTCCATTGACATCAGCTGAGTTTAAGTGAAGGAGAAAAGAGTGTGCGTTCTTGAGCCTTGCCATAGCTAGGGGTGTACTGGAACGAAACGATGGCGAGCCACCCTTGCGCAGAGGACGAGCCTCCGCGATGTTTTCGCGCTTCTTCTGAGCCTGGGGTCGACGGATATGTCTTTAAAGCGCGGCGTGTACAGCTAAGAAGAGACCCGACGGCAGCGAGCATGAGGCAATGGCAGCTCGGCCAATGTTGGACAGATGTAGAGAATGCTTCCAGCCATTGGAGGTCACAGGAAAGGTTGCGCTTACTCGACAGTTTAGTCCCACCCGCTGGTATCGTCATGGTGCCTCAGTCGTCCTATGAGTACAGAAAGTCGCAGAGCGGGTAGCACCAGAGTTTGGAGCCAAATAATGATGCAGCTCGAAGGACTTCACGATTGATGTCTTCAATGCAGTTCTGAGTTATGGCACAAAGCGTTGTTGGCCTACCCACAGGTCTGGAGAGCGAACGGAGAGATACATATTAATATTCCTTGAGGGTTTTCGTCCAGATAACAAGTTCAGGGAGACAAGCGAAAGGACTTGTTTTTGGCGGGAAACAAAGCGCATCGACGCGTCGCGATCACGGACGCGGTGGTCACGCATCAACGTAACGCGAACGTGACACTGCAGGTACCTTGTCCTCCTCCGTCACTCCGATTCCAACACGGTTTTGCACCGTCTTTTCGGTAGGCGCCAGGCCGCCGTTATATCCTCAAGACTAGAAGATGGCGTCCGCGAAGATTGGCATCATCGCGCGCGTGCGGCCAGCGTTGCCGCACGAGATAGACGACGGGAGTGTTGTGGTCCAGAATAGTGGCAGCGGCGGCTCAATACACGTATACATGAATGACGGGAACAAGGCATCCAAGCAGTTTAAGTGCGTGACCTGTCTTTGAGGGGACGATAGATCGCTAACCTGTAACTATGCGATAGGTTCACGAACTGCTACGGTGCCGATTCTCGACAGGAAGACATCTTTAACAACGATATAGAGCCCATGCTCCCCTTTCTCTTCGATGGGATCGTGCGTTACAACACCCTACACATCGCTCCTCTACTCATTGTCCCCAGACTATCACCATTTTCGCGTATGGTGTCACCTCGTCAGGTATGTATCTGCCCACCGCAACCATAACCACCGTAACCACCGCTGATCGGCTCTTTTGCGATAAGGCAAGACGCACACTATCCAAGGCACTGCTGAGCAGCCCGGAGTCATCAAGCGTGTCGTGGAGGTGCGTGGATCCCTCATGTTTTCCAACCAAACCCTTATTCCATCCCAGAAACTGTGCTATATGATGGATAGCCGCGCCGACGCGAACATATCCATGAACATGCAATATATGGAAATATACAAGGATGAAGTCTACGATCTGCTCGTGCCTAATCGGGAGCTTGTACGTCGCACGTTGCTATTGAAGACCATGCCGTCTAACTATGCACACCAGGCTCCCAAACTGGAAGTCCGCGAGTTCGAGGGTAAGGTGCTTGTACCGAAGCTCTCAAGGAAGCGTATCAGCACCGAACAGGAATTTCATACGATATACCAGTGCGTGACAGCGTTGTCGTCTCCAGAAGCCCATGGAAGCTGACTTCGAATCACAGGCGTGCATCAAATCAGCGTTCCGTTGGCTCGACTAAGCTCAACAGTCATTCCTCTCGTTCTCACGCCATTCTTTCCTTGCACATCGATATAGTAGACCCCGCGTCCGGCAAGAGTAGGTGGCGTTCTTCTCCTTCCTGCCTGTTGTGCTGACCGTTATTATAGCGCTTACTGGGACAGTGAACCTCGTCGACTTGGCCGGGTCGGAGAACAACAAGGTATGGATGCTGCGATAGTTCCTTGGTGGTTGTCTGACAATGTTTAGCATACCGGCAACGATGCCAACCGCTTGATTGAGTCCTCCGCCATCAACAAGTCGCTGAGCACCCTGGGCAAGGTCATTGATGCGCTCAATCGGGGCGAAGTAAGGATGATCCTGGCGCGCTATTTCTCCCTCGCTGACGTCGTTGCAGAGCCGCATACCGTACCGAGACTCCAAACTCACTCGCGTCTTGCAAGACGCCTTAGGCGGTTCGTCCATGGGCTTACTGATTTGCAACATCGCCCCGGGCGCCAAGTTCAGGAAGGATACCCTAAACACGCTCAACTTCGCAGCCAAGGCGCGCGACATTGAGAACAAGGTCACCATCAACGAGCGAGGTATGCACATTGATATTTCCCGGTCTCTGCACAGTTGACAGTGCCCTAGAAACGAAACCTCTTCCGAAGCCCCACTTCGCCGCTCTGACCCTTCAGCCCACGGCTGCCAAACCGGCGACGACGGTCGTGCAAGCCATCAACGGCGGCGCTACTATCAATAATGGCAGTCACGACAGCAGGCCTCCTATTCACCATGGTCGTCCGTCGATGCTGCCTAAGGTGCCGCGCGCGTCGATGCTGGCGTTGGAGTCGAACAGACATCCAGTGATCAAGACGGAAGATACATCGGGCGAGAAGCGGCTGACTGGTCGTGTGCAGCGACCGTCGAATACGGCGCTGCCGCCGAACTTGAACACCCAGGTATGGCTGGTGGTCGAGGATGAACGTCATGTGTGCCGAACAGCTCGACAGATCCAGCAGATGATCCAGGCCGAGGTCGCGAAGCTCGTCGCACCGAAGGAGGCTGAGAATCGGGAGCTCGAGCGGCGTGTGCGCGAGCTTGAGGAGGAGCGCAGGCAAGAGCGGGAATACTCCATGGAGCGGTCGCGCACGCGGGAGAGCACGGTCAAGTCGGAGCAGCCGGATGTGCTACCGCCTGACATTGCGGCTATGCTGGCGTCGTCGGACTATGCCAATCAGGACTTGATCGCCCGGTTGGACAACCTGGAGGCCGAGCTGTCCGTTGACGACGTCCTCCTTCTCTGAGCATTGGCTGACGGGTCTTGAAGGCGCAGCAAGAACAACTCGTTGTATGACGAGCTGACTCCGATGCAGCGCAAGACCACCTGCCGCGCCTACCTCTACATGGCTCGGCAATACGAGAGGTACGTGCTCGGCTTGGGAACTGTCGGACAGGGACTGACCACGCTCCAGTATGGATGACCTCGACAATGCGCTTGCGCTTTACCGTAAGGCGCAGACCTACGCGCCGGACAACGACAAGCTCAGAGACAGGTGGATACTTTTCGTTATTCGTGTATTTCTCCACCAACTCGCTGCCAACCGGTGACCTTTGTTCGCAGTGCAACCTTGTTCTGATGCGGTAATTTCGCAGAATATTGGACACAGAGTACAAGCTGAAGAACAAGAGCAGGGCGGGGGAGGCGGACCGCTCTCCGAAGAAGAAGCGCCGGAGACGCAGCGAGGAGGAGGAGGACGAGGGGGATGACTCCGCGGAGAAGGGCAGCGGACGGTCGAAGCGCTTTGGGAACGAGATAACCAATCAGGGGAGCTCGCCGAAGCGCAAGCGGTCACCAGAGGAGGGCGAGGAGGAGTACGCGGAGACGCCGCAGAAGCGACAGCGTGGGATGGCCGTCGCCGCTGACGACGATGACGACTATGTGCCGCGGGCGAGGCGAAGCAAGCGGCAGCAGGCCAAGGCCGCCTAGGCTTCATCGTTCTTCCCCTCTCATGCATGTAACATTATGGTTATCCTGTACTTATGTTCTTCCCGCTTTCGCCGTCGCATTTCCGCCCTCCATGTTTTCTCCGAGCAGTGGGATTGCCCCAAATGCTCCACGGACTGTCGTTATCAGTTTCGCAGATTAGAGCCTAGGATGTAATTCGAGTTGTTCCGCTGGATTGTTGGGTTCAGAGTTTGATGTAGATCTCGACCCAGCAAGCTGTGGGTAAGTTGAGGGACATCTTCCAGACCGTCAGGTACGTTTCCTAATCTGTATCAATGCCTTCCTAGAATGGTAATATCGCCGAAACGACCCTCTTTGAACGGCTTTGAAGAGCTGTATGGCTCTTCTGTTCTTTGTGACTTCTATTCCCTAGGACGCCGCACCGAGCAAGTGACGAGAAATTGCCGATGAAATACGAGAGGGGCCGGATGACTTGAGCATGATCACATCTGGTCAATCTTGAATCTTGATGTTCGGAGGCAATCCTACCACGTTCTACGCAACACGTTGGATCGACGTCACATCTCAACGCCCGCGAAACTGTCTTCGCGTGAGACAAGATTGACCATAAAAGGCGCCAAGCCAATTTTCAGCAGAAGAGACAGGAATTCATTCGGTCAAACACTCGGTGACCAGCACCGCTGTCTACGTGAGATTATCGTAGTAAAATGAGAGGGGAGGCAAACAAGGAGCAGAAGAGGAAGCAAAGCGAAGGTATCTAAAGTCTGAGAGTACGTGGCTCTACTGGTATATGAGCATGAGAACGAAGACGCAGACAACGAGGGGGCGATAATAATACATCTGGAACTGTGGGTGCGCTGAGGCTACAGGTCAGATACAGGTGAAGCGGGGAGATCTATGGTACAGCACGGCTGCGTGAGGGGGCGAAAGGTATACGTATTCTTCGGCAGGAAATTGGTCGGCGATCGGAGCGAAATTAGGACTGGTCCGGGTACCTGGAGTAGGAGCCGCGGTAGTCGGGGTAGTACATCGGGTTCCCTTGTCCCTGCCACTGGCTCGAAGAAGCTGACGGATCGGCGTACTGCGAAGACGAGCTCGACGCCACGGCGCCTGAGTAGCCCGGGTATGCGGCGGCCATCGACGATTGCTGCATGGGCAGAGGCACCGATGACATCGACGGGTAGTACTGCTGGGACTGCATCGGGAGCATGGCCATCGTGATGAAGTCGGGGAACGGATTGTAGGGGAAAAGTCCGGCGACGAGGAGGGAGCTCGAGTTCTCGGCAGGGAAGATTATTATGCCAGCCCCGTGTAGTCGGCTGTCGACACCCCACGGGGCGATGGCTATCTAATGTCGTCGTGAGTTGGTTGCGCGGGATGAAGATGCGATTTTCGTGATTACCATCTCATTCTCGTAAAGGATGCGGGACAACGAGCGAAAGGTCGTCTGGTTGACAACCTGGGCATTGGGATCCCCAAGCCTGTCCGCCATGAAGGTGACCTGAGGGGGCGTGTAGCGCCTAACATAGGCCTGGACGTCCCTCAGGAGGCGATGGCCGTGCAGGACGCGAACGAAGAGTTCAGATGGCCAGAGGTCCATGCTGCTTTTGTGTGTGCATCAGTCCTCACAGGAAGCAATCATCGCAAATGCATGCATACCTGTCTCCGTCGGTCTCGACGGCACTGACGTGCAGATCCTGGCTGCTATCCTTGTCGGAGGCCCTCATGCCAGTGACGCAGAGAACGCCACGCCACGGGGTGCTTTGGCGAGGCTTGCCACTGGTGGGACGGGCCACGGACGGCAGAGGAGTCGGCAGGCGGTACGCCATGGGTTCGAGACTTGGGGAAGGGTCGATGAAGAGGCTACTGGGAGGGGACGGTTTGCACTAATGCCGTCATGGCCATACTGCCTGTTTTTATACCGGAGTCCCCGGGAGGGATTGCGGCTGAAAAGACCGTGATGCGATGAGTGGCTGGCAACGCGCGTAACGCATGGTCCACTTGTATCTCCACATCTCAATCGTCAAGGGACGGGATGGTCCCATCCGCTTTCCACGCGAGGGGCCAAGACGGCGAAATCAAGGTACGTCGCATTTGGTGCGCGTGAGATCGCCGGACCGGCCAGAGCGCAGAGCAGACATGGTCGATCGATAGGGTCTCTGTCCTTGTTTGTCAGTCCCGAAAGTACCTTCTATGGGCAATAGAATGGGGGTGTGGGTATCGGAACCGAGCGGAAGATAGCCTTCGGGGATTGAGTTAGGGAACGCGTTTGCATAGCCGCTGCTGAGTGCTGAGGTGGCGCGTACGGCGAAGTCTCGTCGCGGAACTTGAGAATGGGAACGGCACGGCGCCTGCTGGGAAGAATACATATCCCTGACGTTCCTACCTGCAAACGGACGGATTTCGGACGAAGGCCACTTGCGGGGCGCCCATCCACGATCAGATTAAACAACAATAGGGTCATCGACGTCAGCACGCTCGCTGGATACCCACTGGTCGAAACGCGAGCCAATCGTGGGTACGAGGTGCTGCACCATGCCGCCCGCGTGCTACCGTTCACGTGGAAAGAAGCCTGAGCAGCACCAGAACTGAACAATGGGCAGATCGCCATCGCGTGGCCGAGATCCCCTGACGATCAAGCGATGCTTACCAAAAATCGTCGAGGCCAAAAGACCCTCGAGTTATTCGTCAAGCACGCTCCGAATGCGCTCGAGGCTCAATGGCGATTACCGGGCCTTCGCCGATAAGTCGGCTGACAATCCTCAACAACGTACGGCGAACAAACCCAACTTGAACAGTTCGTGGGTAAAGAATTACCTATGCTTACAATCAGTGGCAACATCCGCGTTGTATTAGTTCTCACCGGCGCAGCTGCGGTTATACAAAGAAACACAATTGCGCTCTTAATGGACTGACACGGCCATGCATTTTGCGACGGGACATGGGTGGACCGCGGTGCAAACCTTGCTATGCTGAAGGGAAATGAGAATATTCATCAGCGACAGAAGATAGCAAAACGCGCCGTACATTAACCGGGCCTCGCCCAGAATTACGTCCCAGCGCTTGCCTGGAGATCATCGATACGAACATCCCCGGTGGGCCCCGCTGGGTAGAAACAGCAGCTGTTGGTCGCGACCTACTACGTGCCGATTATCGGCGTGGCGGCGGCGTCGCTTGGCTGAATTAGCCTGCTTGCGCGGGTGGAGCATCGACGGCATCAGCCTTGCGAGCGTTTGCTGCGGTGCGGTCATAAGCTGAAGGCACCGGCAGGCATCGATGAGCATCGGGTTATGAGAAATGCCCGCGTCGTAGCCAGAGCATGGCCACCATCAAGGGAAGAGGCACATCTAGCCTAGGAGGCCTTCAAGCGCGTGCGTCGCGGTGACCGCCACAAGCTTGATAGGGGCACAGAGCCCACGGCATGGTATTTCCTTGTATAGAAATCTGCACATCTTTGCAGAATAAACGATGGAAGAACTCACGGAATTTCTATCCAAAGTCGCGCAGGAAAAGAGTCAATTTACTTGCTGCGCAGGGAGTGTCTCGCACGCTGTCATGACCTTGCGCGCGGGTGCCCAACACAGACACGCTCGATCGAGCGATGCGCGCTTATGGTATCGGGCTGCCACAGACTTGTGTGAGGAAAATCGGGAGCCGGTGGACATGCGACAGAGTACTCACATGTACGGTGGCGTTTTATCCTCCGCCAATGAGCCGTCCGTAGACAGAAATACGAGGATAGATGATTGCGCAGCAGTAATGTACGCAGAGGAGAGGACGGAAGGCGCTAAGAGTGGAGGCCAACGCATCAGCCACTCACCGCATGACAAGGCATCGCAGTCGATGATGAGAGTGGGCGGGATGTGGAAGCGAAGCTTTCCGAGAAATTAGCGCCGGCCAGTAGGTTGCATGATTATGTACGTGTAGAGAGGAGACGGTAGGCGACGAGAAACGTGATGGTTATTTTCCGAAAGACCGTACGTGGCTGAAGATGACGTTCAGCGCACCACGGACGTCGTTGGTATCTATTTTGGCTGCCAGAACGTCGCCAAAGTCCAGCTCAATCTCCTCCTCTTCCACGCCGTTAGGTCCGGGTCGTAGTACGGTGGCGGTTACGTCGACAGAAGCAAGTTGCTGACGCGCGGGAACGAAGACGAGGGTTACGGCGAGCTTTATCTGATGCGGAGTGGTATCGACGACGTAGACAAGGCGTAGCTCGTTCTCGGAGGCTGCAGTTGACGACTGAAGCGACTCCATCTGTCGATATAGGTCGAGTTTGGTGGTGAGGCTGCAACAATGAAGGGATCAGCATTTATAGAGAGAAAACATTCGTTCCTCGCGGTGTCGTACCTCTGATATTGCCGCGCAATGGCCAGCTCATCCAGCCCTTCTGGATGCATCTGCTTGACCTGGGTCTCGAGCTGGACTCGCTCCGCTCGCAAGCGCTCAGCCTCCGCCATGGCGGCTTTGGCAGCTTCCTTCTGCTCCTCTGCTTCATGAGTCTCGTTCTCTATAGCGTCCATCAGATTCTGCATCTCCTCCGTCTGCTCATCGAGCTTGGCCTGCGCGCCCGCTTCCGTAAGGCGAGGTGGCGGGTTCGTCTGCTGTAGGCGCAGGAGCTCGAGCTGCTTGTTGAGAACGTCCTCCTTCAGCGTCTTCATACGTCTTGTCCGCTCTTGCAACAACTCGTACTCTGTGCGCCGGTAAGTGGGGTCTCAAACAGAGAGAAGGCGCCCTGATTACCTTTCTGGAAAATAGGCGCCCTTTCCTTCATCGCCGTATGTACCGCGTTCAGACGCGCTTTGCTAGCGCGCAGCTTCGCCTTCTTCTCCTCGTTCTCCAGTTGTAGTCTCTGGTTCTCTTCCTCGTTGACTATCCCAGTCTCGTCGCTAGGACTGACTATCGTCCTAGCATATTGATCCTTCGCTCGTCGCTCGAGGTACACATATTTGAGTTTGTGTAGGTAGGACTGACGAGGGCGTGTTCGCATTCATTAAGTATGCAGAAATCACGAGTACATACCATATGCGACTCCAAGTCCTTCGCTACGATAGCAGGATCTCGCTCACCGCTGCTCGGCCCAGCGGGAAAGTCGACAGACGAGTTGGGGTTGAACCGCCTGTGGGAGTGGAAGTCCTCGACCTTCTTTGCCGTTTGCACATTCAGGCAGGTATTCTCGACCTCCTCCAAGTCTATCTCGACAGGGTTCATCGTGAAGAACGCTCGGCGGGGTGGGATTCAGGCGCTGTTAATGACTGCAGGAAATAAGAGACGAACGCGTGAGCTGTGACACATTTACTTAATTGCGCACGTGACGTGACAGCTCGTGTTCAACGAGCAAATAGGTGCAAGCAAACCCGCGCCACCCATTTCTTGCACACTCGTTGGACTTCAGCAGTCAGATATAGCTGGGAAAAGTTTGCGATATAACACAGATGTCCAGACATGATACTAGAGATACATCATATACAGAGTAAAGATGGAAAACCCGGGATGCGTAAACTATATACTAGGGCAGGAACCGGTCCACGCTGAGAGACTACTAGATTATGGTGACTCAAACTGAGAAGTAGGCCATAAGACACCTTATACATAACTCAAAAAGAAAGATCGTCCAAGCACGGGACCTCAGATCGCTTCCGCCACACGCTGCTTTTGCTCGAAAGAGACGGTAGACGCGTGGGCGTCGTCGAACTAACAAAGCATCGTCAGCAACTGAAAATGTCAGAAGCTATAGCACAAGGCACTCACCTCCATCGACATCTCCGACAGCCACTGTGCCTGCTGCACCTTGTACTTGCCGAAGCTCCCCTTCAACCGCGCAATCGTCTCCTCGTCTTGCTTTTTCGCCGCCTTCAACAAGTTCGCCTCCTCCTGCGCGGCCTGCAAGGCCGCCTTCGTCTGCTCGAGCATACCGGCCAGCGACGCCGCGCGCGCTTGCTCCGTCTCGGCAAGCTTGTTGGAGGTCGCGAGCTCTTCGCGGGTTGCTTTGTGCTGCTGGCGCGACGTCTCGAGATCGGCGGAGACGGAGGCGAGCTGAGCGTCGCGGTCGGCGATGGTGGAGCGGAGCTCGATGTTAGTCTTCTCCGAAACGTCGAGGCGGATGCGCAGGTCGGTGACCTTGGCGGCTTCATCGTCCCGCACCTTGGTCATGGCCGCGGTCTCCTCGCGTGAGGTCGCTAGAGCACTCTCGAGCTCTGCGACCTTCGCATGCGAAGCGGAGACCTGCTGCTCCAACGACGAGACCTGGCTCGCAAACGCACTGATCTTGTCCTGTAGCTCCTCCGCCTCGCGTGCCCTTGCAGCCAACTGAGCATCGCGGTCGGCGAGCTGCGCACCCAGCAGCTCTGCCTGGACGCGCTCCTCTTCTAGCTGGTCCTTCAGCTCGTTGACTTCCTCCTCCAACGACTGCGACACCGCCTCCAGGTGCTCGCGCTCGTTACGCAGCTCATCGCGCTCTTCCTCAAGCTCCCGCATCTCCTTTGCCGTCTCCTCCGCGGCCACGCGCAAAGCCTGCACCTCCTCGCGGAACTGGCGCTGCACCTCGGTCTTCCCGGCGAGCGTGCCCTCGAGCTCGCCAAGCAGGCGCGTGCGCTCGGCGTCTGAGGCCGCGAGCTGCAGGGCCAACACTTCGTTGGAAGAGTTCGCTGCTGCCAAACGCGCGCTGGAGTCGTTGATCAACGCCGTCTGCTCGGCGACCACAGTATCGCGCGCGACGAGGGTTTGCTGCAGCTCCGTGACGGAGCTGCGAAGGGCCTGCTCCTGCTGGGCAGCCGCCTCGTACTCCGCCTTCGCCTGCCTCAGCTGAGTCTGCAACTGCGTGATCTCCTGGTCCTTCGCCGCGATCATGGCCTGCAAATCCGCCTCCTGACGCTGCGCGTTCGCGACGTCGGCCTCCAGGCCAGTGATGGTGTGCTCCCGCGCGACGACCTTGTCCTCCAGCGCCTGCGCGCTCCGCTGCATGCGGAGCTCTGCGGCAGCGGAGGCGCAGCGCACGTCGACGAGATCCTGATTGAGCGCGGCGAGCTGCTGCTCGAGGCTGGCGACCTTCTCCTGCGCGAGGCGCTCGCCCTGCGTGGACTCGAAGAGGCTTTCTTGCGTCTGGGAGTATTCGTGAGAGCCGAAATCCTGCTCGTGCTCGTACGAATGTATGCCATCCTGCTCGAAAGAGGTCATATCAAGATCCTCGCGGTGCTCGTCGCCCGAGTCACTGGGCGCAGGCGTCGGGCGCTTCGATAGATGCGAGATGAAGGAGCCGGACTGTGTGCGGGTCACGCCCATGGGTGCGCCGGGGCGGGTGACGCCGAGCAGGCGCTGTGCTTGCGTGCGCGGGACGGGCTGCGAGGGTGGAATGGGCTGCGCCTGCGAGTGAGCGATGGGCTGCTCAGGCGAGTTCGGCTCGGAGATGCTAGGCGCGTTGATCGTGGGCGTCGAGGGGCGGGTGGGAACTTCGTCTTCCACTTGAGTTGGCTGCTCATCCATGTCCATCGAGTCGTCGGCGTATGTGGCACCACTCGGACCGCCCACGGCACTCGCGAACCCAAGTGCGAGCTGCTGTTCAAGCTCTTCAATGCGCTCGCGATAGTGCTGGGTCTGCTCGCGCAGGCGCGCCTCAATTGCTTGGCTGTCCTCATCGTCCGAGAGCTCCGAGAGAGGAGATTCACTGCGTAGGGCTTGTTGGCGCTCCTGAAGTTCCTTGATCTTGGCAAGTAGCTGGACGACGACGTCAGTATAAGTTATGGAACCCTAACGCAAGAATGGAACCATACCTCGGCCTTGGTCATCCTGGACAGCGGCTTCGGCCCTTGCGACGCGCTTGGCTGGGCCATGGATCGGCGGGGAGCCCTAGAAGGACCCGCGGCAGAAGCCCTAGACTTGCGCGGGCCTCCGGTGGACCGACGCGGACGCTTGCTAACGCGTGCGGAGATGCTCTCGCCCACATCGGCGTCCGCGGCGCCATCAAAGTGCACGTTGGACTGCCGGCGGCGCTTGTGCGGGCTGTGCGAGACGAGGCGGATGAACATCTCCTGGTCGGCTTGCGAAGAGGGTGGGGAGGAGAGGTTGAGGGACTTGCGAGCCTTCTTGAAGCTGCAGAAGAGGAGGGTTAGTGAGGGATGGAAGCAGGGTATAGGGACAGCGCACGTTTTCTTGGCGGAGGGGGTGACTGAGATGGTGGCTGGCTCGGGTAGGCGCTCGAGCATGCCCTCGTCGACCTGAGGTCAATGCGTCAGACCAAGTACTGATCGCTAGACAATGACGAGACTCACCAGGCCGTCGACCGCCTTGTGGATGTATCTATGAGCATGTGGTCCCATCTTGTCGTTCCTCTCTTCGGCGGCCCTGTGTACTGTAGTCGAGGTTAAGACATGTGCATCTGTGAAGGCGTGCCACTCACTTTCAGCCCTAAGCGTGGCCATGTGGATGCGCTTCTTGTGCTGCTGTAAGTGTGCGCAGGCATCTAGGACGCCTGAGGGATCCGTCAGCACACATCTCCACGACGTCAAGCACACCACGCACGCTCGCGGTAGGTATACTTCGCCTTAGGCGCCGCCTTGGCCTTGGTGGCCTTCGATGTCTTCGTCGCAACCATAACGTGTCGTGAAGTGCGTGAGCGACTATACAGAGATAAGGTAGCAGAGGTAATGTGGGGAGAGGGAAGGTGGTGGTCTGTGGTTAAGAGCTCTGGCAAAGAGTCAGGGCCTCGGGGCCACAATGAAATTACGTCTGCGGCCCCGACGCACGTGGCCGGCCAGAACAAAGTCACTTCGCGAACAATGGAGGCAAATCCGAAAGGCGACCGTCATTGTGACGATGCGTGCGCCAGGTTTGTGCGCAAGAAAGGTACCTTACATGGGATGGGAGGGTGGGATTGGGAGCTGTCCATTGCATCCTGAGTGACACTGCAGGGTCAGTCGGGGCAGTGGGTTGAACTCATCGCGCGTCATGCGTGCTTGGAGGAAGTAGATGTGCCTAGCCTTCGATTAGACTCGTGGTGTAGACGATACAGTACCAATTCAATCATATGAAAGGAAGTAGCACGGTTGGCGTGAGGTAGGTGCGTGTACGATCATGGCTGCGGCGCCGATCATTGCAAGATCAGGCGAGGATTGGGTTCAGATGAGAACGATAGCATTCCTGGCTGTCGCGCGCATCAGAGCAGGCATAGTCGCGATGGAGGAGGAGGAGAAGGAGTACGTAGAACAATGGGAGTCCGGAACAGGAACAAAAGACGCGTCGTCACACGGAAGCAAATCAGGAACCTCCGAAGCAAGCACGGTCAAACAAAAGTTCAACTTTCAGGGAATATGTTTTGCAAAGATTCAAGTCTTCTGATAGATAGGTCGGAAATGTGTGATATCTCTCGCTGTTGCTCTACATTTTACAGGGGAATGACGAACCTCACGCCTCCTTACTCTTCATAAATCCCGCAAAGTACGCCTCTACCTCCTTCCAAGCCTCGATGCCACACCCCTTCGCAATCATCCCCACATGCCCATCCGGCCTACCCACGACAATCGCTCCCTCGGCCCCCACGCCCCACTTCTCATGCAGCGGATGCTCCAGCACGGAGCCCGCCTCCGGGAAGCTCTCCCGATACGGCGACAGCGCCGCCCGATCATCGCAGTAAAATCCGAGGGGAGCGAACAGGTGGGACGGGCGCTCGCTAACAGTTGTCGGGTGTAGCTTGGGGTACAGGCGTTGGGTGATGGTGGGGTGGGTCGCGTCGGTGGTGGTGGCGACGGTGACGCGGAAGAGCTTGTGTTGCGGGGCGTGGTAGGCGCCGGTGATTTGTGGCACGGTGGTGTAGTCGTGGGTGTAGAGCCTGCGGCCGGGAGGAATAGGAGAGGATTTGTCGACGGTGGAGAGGTAGAGCGGTTCGCAGACGGGGCGCGGGCCGCAGGTGGCGTCGCCCAAGTATTTGGCGAAGATGGAGCCCGTGCTGGAAATGTAGTCGTCCAGGGCGAGGAGGCGGTCGACAGCGCCGTCCACTCCGAGGTCGCCAGCGAGGACGAAGATGGTGAAGCGCCCGTCGAACTTGGGGATGATGGAGGTGACGACCATGTCGGAGACGCGAGTCGCGGAGGCGGGCTTGAGGCGCGCGCCAACCGCGATGCCGGGCCGGCCGACGTCGAAGTCGGATTTGGAGTCGGCGCCCAGGGCGAGGGCGGAGGGCGGGTAAGCGATGGAGGCGCCGGCTTGGTACTAAGTGCTGTCGTGAGCTCTGCGCTTCGAATATCATACAAAGGAGACACCCACCGCCGCATAACTCATCTGGTACTTGTGCAGCCTCTGCAGCCAGTCCGCTGCTTTCTCCTCCCCTCCATCTGCCTTCTCCTCCCCTTCATGTTGACCATTCTGCTCAGCGGCTTGCCCCGCCCCCGCCACTCCCTCCCTCTCCAGCCCCGCGTACATCGCCACCAACGTCCGGTCGATGCGGATCAGCTTCTCCGCGACCGTGAACCGCTCGCCCGCGTAGGTGTCCAGGATCGCCGGGTCCGCGAGGCCCTTGGCGACATAACCGAGCTTCCAGCAGAGGTTGTGGGCCTCCATGGTCGCGGTGTTGAGGCCGAGGCCGGCTGGGGGGAGTGTGGTCAATCGGTGGTTTGGAGGAAGCAATGAGTTGTCGAAGGAAGCACATGAGTTGTAGATGTTGGGAGAGAGGTGGACGACGAGGAAAAGAAAAGGTGAAAGCGGGCGCTCACTTCGCGGTGAATGCGTGTGACAGCAGTCCCCCATGAAGAAGACCGAGTTGTCGTTGACGCTATATGTGTTGATGAGGCGCTGGCTGACTGTGTGGCGTGTCAGCATCCATCAGGCCCATTCCCCCCTTATCCTTCAGAAGGTAGCTATCACCCTTCAAAGCAATACCCCTCCCCCTTCAAAGCAATACCCCTCCCCCAACACTCACCATCATACGACGACCACCAGCTGACCTCGTCCCACTCGACCGTAAACGGGTGGAAGATCGCCTTGATCATGCGCACCGCGTCCTCCTGCGTCGCCTCCACCCGGCTCTTGTTCTCGATCTGGATGTCGAAGCGGCAGGAGGGCTTGCCGTTGATGGGCTCGCGGGGGATGACGAGGACGATGCCGCGCGGGGAGCGGTTTATGCTGGGTGGGAGGGGAATTAGCGGGTGTGGTCGAGGTCGGTGGTAGTGGTTAAGGTCGGTTGTAGTGGTTCAGGTCGGTGGTAGTCGACCATAGGATATTATTTGGAAGAGTGAGAAACAATCGAAAAACATCTCACTCACCATATCTTCTCCAGGTCTGGATGGTTGCTACGCACACCGACCGCGTCGAGCACGCACCAGGTGATGGAGTGCAGGTCGCCTTGCAAGACCGCGCCTAGAGGCTTCGCCCACCGTCGAACAGCGCTGCGCGCACCGTCGGCGGCGAGGACGTATTTAGCGCGAATTTTGGACGGAGAGGAAGCGGCGGAAGAGGGTTTATTCGCGGTAGCGGTGCCATTGGCGAGAGCCTTGATGCCGGGAGGAGTAACTGGTGGCGTAGGCACACCATTCGGCGTCACCTCTTCGCCCAACGTACTCTTCAGCTCGATATCATAAACCCCATCCTTACCCCTCTCCATCCCCACAAATGCCGTGTTCCATTGCACCTCGAGGCCCGGATTGTGCCGCTTTGCGTCGTCCAGGAGGATCTGCTCGACGAGGCCCTGGCGGAGAAGGAGCGCGTAGTTCTTGTCGTAGTCGTAGGCGGTTGGAAAGAGGCGCGATGTGGAGATGCGCGTGCTGGTGCCTGCGTCGCCGCCCAGTTCCCAGAAGGCACGCCCGAAGACCTTCTTGCCGACGTGCTCGGCCTGCTCGAAGGGGAGGCCGAGGGACTGCGCGGGGGAGGGTCATTGAGAAAATAAGATAAGATGGAAAAGTCGGTGAATTCGGACCTGCCAGATCTCCATGACTCTTGGCTGGATGGCGTCGCCTCTGCCGTACTGATGGCTAGCGTAATCGGTCGAGTCGCAAATGAAGAACTTGACGCCCATGCGGGCGAGAACGACCGCGGACATGATACCTGCGGGACCTGAAGGAAGCAGGATAAGCCATAGCTATTTCATGAGCAGGAAAAAACATGCCAGCGCCAATGATGGCGACATCGTAGGTGTCCTGGGTAGCGTCGGACGTAGCGGATGCCATGTTAGACCTTTAGATTATGACGCGGTGGCGGTACTAGACGAGGAGTAGCAATTGAATGAAGTCGAGCCAAACGCCCTCATCGGTGCCCTCTTATAAGGCGCCCTATGCATGCGTGGGACCGGGTGGGGGCCGCGAAGCAGTGGCGGCGGCCAGATCGTATCATACATCGGGGGGAGTAGGAGAGCGGGCAAGGCCGCGCGCGCGAGATGAAAGGGAGTACCTCGCCAGACAGCGAGTACTGAGGATCCTACCCGGTGCGGGATTCGATTGTGGCAGCTCCATCAGCAATAGGGAGTACGGATGATCCCCGATTCAGGATTAGGGCGAGCGAAGGGCTAGAGTAAAGGAGGATGGACAGGGCGAGCCATGGATAGAGCGGGCATAGGGTGGGTCGGGGGACTGAGAACGGCGCGAGCGTCGCGCGCTTACCCCGGACGCTCTAATTCAAGTCGTTGATTGTGCGTTTGAACTGCCAGGGCGTAAGCTGCTTGAGGTAACCGCAGGCTGAAAGAAGGCTCTCGGGATAGAAAGAGCGGAAATATATTAGCCGCTCGCCGAGGGTGCGCGTACGCTTCATCATGGAGGATAGAGTCAACGAACGGACTTGGCGCGGATGGAAACCGACCGCTGAGCAGCGAGCGTATGTACGGCAGTGACCGAGTGAAACGGGAGAATCCGAACGGAAGGAAATCGGTGATCGGACCGTGATCCGGTGTTCTCGATCAGCAGTGCCGAATTTTGGGACTGGCATTGTTCTTGTTCCCATTGTACTTGCAAGATGCCATCCTCCCTCCCCCCTCCCTCGAAGAAGCGGAAGTTGCAGGAGAGCCAGACGATAAAGGAGGTCCAGAGGCTCGAACAAATCCTTACGGACGCCATCACCACCAATGCATCCTTGAATCCCCTCGCGGACCTGGTCGATCTAGCGGCGAAGGCGAAGGACGCCAGAGATGTCTCCAAGGCTATCTACGCGCTCTACCGGGTCTTTGTGCTCCTTATTAATGAAGGGAAGCTGGAGGTCGATGGAACGGAAGCGGCGGCAGCCGTGAAGACATGGATCCGCGAACAGATGAATCGCTATGTGAATGTCCTTGGCGCGCTGCTCAAGCATGAGGAGAAGACCATACGTGTGCGTCATCCTCCCTGGGTCTATGGTCTTATCTGACCAACCCATAGGTGTCAGCTCTGCAAATACTGTTCTCCCTGCAGAAACATCTATCCTCATCCATATCCGCACCCTCTAAGCCTCAATTCCATGTATCTCACTTCAAGCGGATCGTCTCCTTCCTTCTCCTCGGTTCCCCTGGACACCCCTCTTCCATCGATCCGGATGTATTGCATGAGTTCCATGACAAGTGGTTCAGCGAGAACGACGATATCCGATGGTTCTTTCTTCGTGAGGCAGCGTGCGCTCTCCCCCTTTGCCCCCTTCATGCAAACGCAACTCACACCACTATAGCACCCTCCTCCACAACAATCCCGACTCTAAGGACGCCCCAATCAACCTCCTCACCATCCTCCAAGGCCTCACCACCTTCCCCACCGAGCAAGCCGAGCTCAACTCCTGGTGGGTCCTCGAGCTCGGCACCAAACCCCCCAAGCCGAAAAAGGCGAAGGGCAGCGCAGACGCATCAGACTCCGAGGACGAGGCGAAGCCCGCCGGCACCGAGGACGACGACGACGACTGGCGCAAGTTCTTCGACGACGAGCCCGAGGCAGGGGCGGGGAAGGACAAAACGCCGTCCGCGCGATTGCACAATCTGACCATCCACCAGTCGCTGCACTCGCTGCCGTCGCACCGCGCGGTGTTCACGCGCGCGTGGCTTACCTTGCTGCCGCGGCTGACCATCAAGGGCGACCCGGACCTGTCGCGCGCCCTCGCCGTGCGCGCACTGAACGTTATGCACCGCGGGGTGCTGCCCCATCTGACGCGGGCTGTCCTCGTCATGGACTGGATCGCCGCATGCGTCGACTACGGGGGATCGCCCGGCCTGCTCGCGCTAAACGCGCTCTTCGTCCTGATGAAGGAGTACAATCTGGACTATCCGTTCTTCTACAAGCGCCTCTACGCGTTCCTGGATCGGGATGTGCTGCACTTGAAGCACAGGGCACGGTTCTTCAGGATGGCGGAGGTCTTCTTGAGTTCGACGTGAGTGCGGGCAATCTGTGAAGTGCACGACAATGCTTACCTATCAAATTACTTTAGTCACCTCCCCGCGACCCTCCTCGCATCCTTCGTCAAGCGCCTTGCGCGGCTCTCGCTTAGCGCGCCGCCCGCGGCAATCGTCATGGTTATCCCCTTCACCTACAACATCCTCAAGCGGCATCCGAAGCTTATGCCCATGATCCATCGCTCGGATTACGATGGTGCTGAAGAAGGTGCGAACCCTCGCGTTCACTGTCGATGTCCGACCGACTGATGTCCAATCCCAGACCCCTTCCTCCCCGAAGAGTCCGACCCCCAGCAAACCAACGCCCTCGCCAGCTCCCTCTGGGAGCTCGCCACGCACCGGCAGCACTACCACGCCGGCGTGTCAACGCTAGCCAAGATCTTCTCCGAAGCATTCACAAAGCCGAGCTACGCGATGGAGGACTTTCTGGATCATACGTATGGGACGGTGAGTGCTCAGCGTCTTTGGTTCAGCCTCTTGGCGTCTTCGTTTGACCCTCTTGAGCAAGCTATAACATCCTTCTCCTTTAACCCCTCTTCCCTGCTCCTTCGTCGTCCCAACCTTCGTCCTTCTAAATGAGTTACTTACACATCATCCCTTAGCTCTTCGAGACCGAGGCCAAGCGCAAGATCAAGAAGGAGCCCGCGCTCGCGCTCGACATCGGGAAGGACCTGGAGAGGCTCTTCCCGGTCGTCCAGGAAGACCGCCCGACGATGGAGGGTGGCGTGGTGCAGGATTTGTGGGTCTTTGCGTAGATTGTACCCTCTGTATTGCGTCTACTGCTTACTTGCTTGTATAAAAATATGTTTGCTATTACTGCGCCTCCAGAGGAACTTCACACGGCTTTCTATTTGGATTGGCACCGTCGAGACTACTGAGTAAGGGTCATAGAAGTAGGTGCACGCATACATATACGCATGCGAAGCCTCGAAAGGGCATAGGGAACCATAGGCACACTGTAGGCAGTGCGCGTAGAAAGAACAGACGGAACCCTCGCAGGGTCGTCCAAGGATGTGCGATATAGCCAGAAAAGGTGTGCAGCCAACGCGCAACACCATCAACAAATTCAAAAAGGTTAGGGATGTGAAAACGAACATTGTAGCCAAGACGATTCCAACGCCAGCCACGATCATTCCAATAGCGGCCAAAAACGAATCCAATAGGTAAGAATATATCAATGCGGAGATGCAGGTGTAGCGAGCAGGTAGGTGGGGAATTACGGTGGGGTAGGGAGGCTTACGGCGGGTAGGGAAGCTGTAGGTCGCGGTCAAGTATACTAGCAGGCATGGGGAGGTTGGCTCAGAGAGGCGGCTGCCTCGAAGAGACAACTGGTAACCAGCGGAAAGGACCTGGCATTGGGAGGGATGGCCCAAGTGAGAAAGGTGCATAACCCCGGTGATAGTAGAGTTCCATGACCCAGGTGGTAGAGAGATGCATAACCCAGGTGATAGAGAGATGCATGAGCAATACGATACGCGCGTATAGATATTGATATTGGTTGATGACGGTGCCCCATAATCCGCTCACATTAGGCGTGTAGTGCAGACAATCAGCGAAAGCGATTAGACAGCGCGATGACAGCGAAATAAGTTAGCGTCGAGGATGGGAGGACGGGTGGCCGCGAGGAGGACGAACGCTACGCGGTCGCAGAGAGGACGCGCACTACGCGGTCTCGAGGAAGGCGCGCTACATGGCCGCGAACAGGCCGCCTACACGCAGAATGACGAGAAGCCTTCCGAGAACGAGGGCAGCCGCACGGAGACCTCTGGCTCTGCGGGAGGCGGCGCTTCCCCTGCCTTGAGCGGTGCTGGGAGGAAGGGCATGCTCCGGCTACGCTGTGCTTGCACATGTGGCGGTACCTCCTGCCTTAGGCGCTGGACCATCGGCGGAGGCGACACCGACATCGGCTTCGGCCCAGGTGAAGTAGAAGTCGACGCAGCACCAAAGACAGGACGGAATACCGGAGGCGGCAGATTCGAGGGCTGCACGATACGACGAGTAGGCATAGAAGGCGGCGGGAGGGACAGATGACCCGTCCCGTCGTACCAGGTAGCCGAGAGACGCGCTTGCGGCGCGGGATCCAAGCGATGCAGGACGGTCGGGGCGGACTCGCGGCGGCCGATGGGCGAGGGCGCAGACGGTGGTGGCGACGGCGGCGGCGCGGGCGACCACGGCTCATCCTGGTCCATGGGCTGCGGCGAGTCCGTGGTCCTCCGCCTCGGCTCGGAATCGCCCCGCGGCGCCACAGGCTCCCCGCGCGCGAAGGATTCGCGCGGCTGGAAGGAACTGTGCGTGGACACCGGGACAAGGCGGTACCTGCTTACGCTGCGGTCTGCGGTGTCCTCGTCGTCTTCCGTGTCGTACTCGGATTCGCTGGGGCTGTCGGAATACGCAGTTGCGGCATCGGCACCGTTGCCGCTCGCTGCTTCACGTCTTTCCCAAGCGGCAGCCTCGGACTCAATCTCTTCAGCGCTGAGGCCGCGCCCGACGAGCTGCATGATGTGATCATTGAGGCGGCTACGATACTGAGGTCGAGCCATGGAGGCGCGAACGGCTTGGTCGTGCGCTTGATCATAGTAACTCGAAGAGGGGTCATTGGGATGGCGGTTTTGAGGCATGCTGATGACCCGTGCCACACCTGGTCGCCGGTTCGGACCGTCGATATGTGGTACAGGAATGACCCTCGGGCATGGGACTGTGTACTGGTCAGGACATGCGCTATCATATGAATAGCATATTTGCGCACCATGGGGTCTTTGTCCTCCCCTGGGGCCTGGACTGTCTCGCTCCGGCGTCGAGCCGTATTCGTCTCGATCGTCCTGGAAAGACAATACTTGTGCTCCGGGCTACAAAGACAATAGTCAAAACGCATACGCGCAGATAGTATGAGGCGATATACCACGTTATCCGCTTTCACATTCGTGGGTTTCTTAGAGGACGCCTTGGTCTTCCTGGCCTTGGGCGGTTTGTCAGGAATCTCCTCGACCTCCGCCGAGTCCGAATCCCTCTTCTTCTTCGCGTGCGTCGGTCTGTACTGATAATCTGGGTGGGCGACTGCGTGCTTGGCCTTCTCGATCGCTGCGCGCCGTTTCCACACGCGCCGTTCCTCCTCCGGGAGGCCGTGCCAAACTTGGGCTGCGCGCGGCATGAGCGTGTGGCGCGCGCACAACAGGGGGCTGCGACGCACCAATGATCTTGCCGAGCTGCGCCTGCGTATTGAGATTGGACATGGAAGCGGGCAGGCGGCCCTTGTTAACGAAATCGGCGCGGAAGAGCATGAAGGAGTTGGGCGGCCTGCCTACATGGCCGTCGGGCTTCCTGTTCCTACGGCGAGCCATTGTCTTCGCCTTGCCGTCCGGATTCGCTGCCGGGAAGCGCTGACTGTATGTCTCTGGGATGGCGGTGTCGCCGTCCGCATCGTCGACCTCGTCCGGGAGCTGGATGCTCTCGTTCTGGATTTCCGCGTAATTATTAGGAGTTAGATTAGTGGCGAAGGATATCTGATCCATGGTGGGCGCTGGGCATCACCGCGGCGGCGGTATGTGTGTCGATGAGGATGGTGGGCGTCGAAGACAAGTGGTTGTTATATAGTTTGGGGATAACCGGAACATCAAATTGGAGAGAAAAGGCGTCGAATGGCTCCGTGATGGACCCCAGTCACCGACCATTTTACGTCCGCGTGCGCCCACGTTGCAACCGTCCGTTTCAGAGAACAAGCCTCACCATATCGGTTGATGAATAAAACCTCCCTCCCAGCACGCCTCCCAAGCACCTATCAACTACATATCCGACTCCCAGCAGGTCTGCAGACCCCCTCCCTCCCTCCCGCACCGATAATCAGGTCTCACTACCTTCCGTATCCGGCAGGTTCTATTGTCTCCTCACATGATAGTCCGACCTTCTGATGTTCTGTCGGCATTCTTGGACCGATGGAAGAATCGCGCCAGGGACAATGGCGACCGCGCCCCCGCGTGCGCGGACCAGCTGCCACCGCTCGCGCAGCAGTGGAAGATCGTCCCGAGCCATTGTTCTGAGGCAGACCGGTATCCTATAGCGCGGTGTATGACCTTGTATGACGCCCGGCGCGCCGTTTGGAAGTGAATGTGCCCCCAACAAAACACCCCGCATGGGCGATGCCCTTGTACTGAAACCGGCGACCAATAGAATTGTTCGTGCACGGCCTACCACCGCATTCCCCGTTCCCTTGCGCGTCTCGTCGTGCTCGTTTGTTCTCAATCCGGATTCGCACCTCGGGACACTTTTGCGACACCCGAAGCCTCCTTACTCACCAAATCACGCTCAGAAAATGAGGAAAAATACTAAATAGGAGATTTGCGACTGCCGGGCGAGGCGGATCACCTATCGGCTCGTCATGCCTGGTTCAGCCCGCAAGCGACGGTCACAAGGGAGACAACGAGGAGGTTCTAGAGAGAAAAATGCATGGGAAGATCACCGCAGTGCGTATTGTGGTCGTGTGGAGAACAAAACAGGCCGGAAACAATGCAGCGTTCGGCAGTTGCCGTCTATTGTCCCCCTTTCGAATGCTGCCAAACAAGAGTAAACTTCGCTTGTTCGCGGCGGTTTCTCACGGCTCCTGGGGCACGCTGCTCTTGTCTGGGCCTCAGGCAGGCGGTCTGCGCAAGCTCATAGTAATCGAGAAGTACGCGAGATATAGCCTCGAGGATAGCACCGCAGGACACGCGTGTCGCATTGACATAAGTGGAACAAATACCCTGGCGAGAAGAACCGCTTCTCTCGACGGAATCAAGAGAGATAGCCTCGTTGGCAACCTCGAGCGAGGCGCATGACCTGATAGTCTCGCGGAACCTACTGATAAGTTCGGAAATGCGTCACGAGGACGAGGTACCTCGCGGGGGTATGTGGGATTGCCGGGGCCGCTTTTTGAGCGCCTGCTTGGGATCGACGTCGACGCTTCCCGACAAGGCACTGTGGGAAGGTAAGAAAACCTTCGAATATATGACACTGCAGACCCTGGAGGCGGGCAAATGGACAACACGCTCCCTGGATTCCAACAATTCACGAGATCAGTGCGATGGTGACTCCGACTCCGACGACCGCACTGAACCCGCACCGGCTCCGCGCTCGCCATCTTGTCCCGTACGTGGCTAACCACCCGCAATCTGCGTGGCTAACCAATCGTAATCCGCCTGGCTAGACGACCGAAATTTGCATCCCATGATCAGCACAACCCTCTCCCACACGGCCATTCGCTTAGCAACTCGCCTGCCCGGCCTTACACGTAGCGACCTCTTGTGGAGGTTCGATGGCTGTCGTCAATTCGCAAGAAAACTGGAAAAAGGCGAAGAGGTCGTGTCAGAGGACGCCCCTTTGCCAACGAGAGCTGCTAGACCACGGGTCAGAAAGCCGAATGTGGATGGGAAAGACCCATCACCCAGTGGGAAGGAAGGAGACCGGCCGCACGAACGTTGAATGGGTCCTACGTGCATTGCATACCGCCGTGGATCGTGTTACCGCGCTACCGCAACCGCGTCGCACGCGAAAATGGTGCTGAACTGCTCCTTGACTCCATTGTGCCGTAGGTGGTAGTAATTGTTGTGGATGGCTGCGTGGTTGATGACTATTTCTGAGCGAACGACATCTCTGCGCAGCAGCGCGAATGAGCGAGGAGCAAGATGGCGAGCACGCATCTCGCATCCGAGCGCGACAAGCGAGGTATCGAAGGAAATAATTAGGATAGCATTGCGAGCGAAAGCAAGACGACAAAAGAGCAACAAATCACGACGCCCTGTACAGCTACCTACCATCTCCCCTTCTTTGCCTTGTCCTGCCGTTGGCGGTCGTGCGACTTGTACGCGTGCAAGTACGGGTTATACGACCCAGTGTCCTTTTTCTCTGGCTTGGTGGACGAAGAGGACGATGACGACTTGGCGTTGGTGAAGTTAATTGCGGAGCGCTTGCCGGCGGGTTCCTTCTCCGCTTTTTCCTGACGCGCTTTTTGAACTTCCGCTGGGGAGGAGGACGCAAAATTAGCATGCGGGTTGCATGTACTGAAAGGGGGGAGACCAACCGATGCGATCCGCGTACCACTCGGGCTGCAGGTCGTACGGGTCCCAGATATCGCGCGGGAAGTTCGTTGCACGTTCGTCGACATCGACGAACTCGACGAGTTTGGCGTAGAGGTGGGGGTTGCGGAAGGAGCGGTTCGACATGAGGGAGTCGTTGAAGTGCCGAGGGTTTTGAGGGTCGCGCTTCAAAGCATGGAATTGGGCGAGTTTGCTCTGTAGAGTGGTCAGCACAAGTTGCAGGAACATGTACTGAAGCGCTTACCTCCAGGGCAGGATCGCATGGGTCTGAGGATGCAGGAGGGATTCCCCAGTCAGCCACACCAGGGATCGGTGGGGGCTGGAGGAGCTCTCGTATTCGCGTGAGCTCGTCGGTTGGCTGGGTTTCCCCCGAAGCTTGCGACGGTCCTGCCGCCTGTTCTGGGGTAGCCGACTTTTGCGCGGCAGGCGGATTCGGGTCGGCGATGATCTCGTCGGCAGGGTCCCTGCGTAGATTGTGGTTCTTGGGTTTTGCGGGCTTGCGGATGATCACTTGGGTCGTCTTGCGGCGCGCTGCAGAGCGGGCGTCAGCACGATCAGCTTGGGAGAGGAAGGCAAAAATGCACCTTCTGGAGACGTATGAGCGCCTGACTTGCTTGGCTTATCCTGCCCGGGGGAAGGCAGCGAGAAACAGGGAAACGGCTAAGCAAGGTGGCGAAGGAAATCCTCACATTCAATTTGGAGGACGAGGGCTGCTCAGAGTCGCTCGCAGTGTCATCGTCGTATGCAGAGAGGCCTGTAGAAACGTCGTTGTGAGTACGAGGAAGGGGAGAGGGGAGCAAGTGACGCACCAAGCATGTTGAAGATGATGGTCGAAGACAAGGAACGAACGGGCCGACAGGCTGACATTCAGCTTCTCTTCAGCCACTCCTTCCACTCAACCTCCATGCGCTGCTCATAACTCTCACTATATCATCTCTGAGAGGCCAAAGAGACTGCAGACGCACCGAGGGACGGCGCGTAAGCTCATTCAAAATGCGGTTCCCGCTTCACCTGCTCCTGCTGCTTTCCGGCTGGATCGCGGGATCACTCGCGAACACTCAAGAGGATGCTGTGCGCGAGTTATTCGCTCGGGATGACACTCTTGGTCCCCCGACGACATCTACGCACACCAATAACTGGGCTGTTCTCGTTTGTGCGTCCCGCTACTGGTTCAACTATCGAGTGAGTACGTTCAGTCGGTTCCCCCGTCCATTGCTCACTCGTGCTTAGCATATGGCCAATGCATTGGGAATGTAAGGACTACACATGCTGTCCGTAAAGTAACTCACGCGTATGGCGTAGGTATCGGACAGTAAAGCGTCTGGGGATTCCCGACTCGAACATTATCCTAATGTTAGGCGACGACGCGGCCTGCAATCCACGCAACAAGTTTCCCGGGAGCGTCTACGCGGAGAAGGGCTGCAAGCTCGACCTCTATGGCGACAATGTCGAGGTGGACTACCGAGGCTACGAAGTCACCGTCGAGAACTTCATCCGCCTGCTCACTGGACGGGTTGACCCATCGGTTCCGCGCTCGAAGCGGCTGCTCACGGACGACCGCTCGAATATCTTCATCTACATGACTGGTCACGGCGGGAATGAGTTCCTCAAGTTCCAGGACACCGAGGAGATCAGCGCTTTCGATATTGCGGACGCGTTCGCGCAGATGCACGAGAAGCGGCGGTATAACGAGATCTTCTTCATGATCGATACTTGCCAGGCGAATACAATGTACTCAAAGTTCTACTCGCCTAACGTGCTTGCGACGGGCTCGTCGTTGCTGGATGAGAACTCGTACTCGGTACGTGACTCGCTGGTTCGCATGCACGATGTGCTGAGACGGGCACAGCATGAGAACGACCCCGACCTCGGCATCGCTGTCATCGATAGTTATACCCACTATGTCCTTGAGTACCTCGAGGGCATCAACAAGACTAGCCCGCTGACTATGCAAGACCTGGTATGCACCTCTTTGCAGCATACGTCCACCGTTGTTGATTATTCTGGCAGTTCGACCATTACGATGTCGAGAAGATTCGCTCGCACCCGGGAGTTCGCAGCGACCTCTTCAAACGCCCTGTCGAGAGCGCGCTCATCACCGACTTTTTCGGCGGCGTTGCCCAGGTGGAAGTTATGCAGAACGTTGCCGACATCGCAGTGGATTCTGCACCCACCGACGATGCGCTCGCGCAAGAAGAGGCGTCATCACACCTCACAAGTGCCCCGAAGATAGGTGCCGTCCCGCCACGGAATATGTCCATAGAGCAGCATACAGAAGTATCTTCACGGAACAGTACTTGGCGGGTATGTAGGTCCTGGGTCGGACTGGGGCTTGTGGGCGGATTAGTAGGCTGGGTAAGTACGCGATAGTAATGTCAGAGAAATATCATGAGTAGTGGCTCTGAGCCAGCTCAGTCAAGAACGACGACCGTCAGACGTGTATCATAAGGTGCCATAGTCAAGAATCGTCCTATCGGACGCGACGGTCGCTGGCTTCTGAGGTAGGACTCTAGATAGAGGTGTCGGGTTCGACTGGTCCGCCTTCTCGTAGTGCATGCCTTCGGTACATGCTTTGACATTATGCTTTCTGTTAAGATTGGCCGTGAGAGGACGTGCGACGATGAACCAAGTGAGAGCTACACTTACGGTGATTTCAGGTGCGATACGACCCCTTCGAGCTTGAACAATCGGCGCGACGGTGGGCACAGCAAGCAAAGCCACATATTCGCACAATCCTCCCGGTTCGCGACTGGCTGCGACTTTCCGATGGGCTGGTGATCGACGGTTACGCGGAAGGAGTCCGTATTGACTGGCGATGTAGAAGTGCATAGGACATCTATGCCAATTTGCGGGGCCTCGATGTTATGTCTGTTCAGTCGATGAGCACGTTTGCTGAGAAGAGACATCGTGGAGCTTACGCGGTCTGAACATGCTCTTCGATTTGGTCGCGCGGTCGGAAGTCGTCCAGGTGCGCGCAACAGTGGGCGCACGCCCAGGTCTTCGCTTCGTCGAGTTGGGCAAACCGAACGCCCCGAAGACGCAAGCCTTCATTTTCTGAGGGCAGCTGCCATTGAGGCTCTTGCGATGTCCGGTGGCGCTGAGCATGGTGGATAACCTAGGCTTCGCGTCAGTCAAATGACTTCCTTTGCCAATCAGCGAGACGTACCGCCGCACGCCATTTGAAAGCCCTCCTGCCCCAGACTTTGAATTGCTTGTCAGCGGGACAGTGCCCACAGAAGAACCATGCGTCCCGAGCGTCCAACTCCGCAAAGGTCGCTGATGTCGGTAGCTTCAGTACTTGCAGAATCGCCAGTACGCAGCGCGATAGGCCTTCGTCGTACCGCGGAAACAGCGCCTTTCTGGAACGGTGATAGAAGGCGATATATCCTCCTTTGTGGTACTTGCGGCAAAAAATCATGTCTTGGGCTCTGAGACATTGCTCGTAGTCACCGGGGAACATGGTCGATGTCAGGTAATTGGGTCGGAAGCTGGTACATGTCGCCAAGGCCAGATCTAGCACGAAATCGACTGCAGATAGCTGGTCTGCTGGGATGACTGCAGCTTTTTCTACATCACTGACGACCTGATCAAGCTCTGATCGTAGAGTCTCTTCGTTTTCGATCTTCAGGGCAGCGATGAGAGGCGCACTTTGCTGCAGAGCTTGCTCGAATTCGGCTATGGATAATGTCTTGTCCACGTCGGCGTAAATAAGTTCGCGGAATGGGTCAAGCTTGATGATCGCATCAGACGAAGGGAGGGCAAGCCAGCCCATGCTTGCCCAGTCGCTGGGCTTGGTGGTCTTCCTGTACGCCTCGTTGTACAAGTTGGCGATGGTTTGTCTCCGTTGGTCAAGGACGACCTTGTGGTCCCGATCAAGCCTGTCAGCGCGCTGTGTGGCTACCTCGTCTTCCCATTTGCGCCGGATTCTCGCCCAACCTAGGAATAATGAGGTCAAGCTCCAGAAGGGGCGCATGCTCGCTTACCGGCGTCCGTGAGCTCCTTCTTTTCGACGGTGATCCGCCAGTTTCTGACCGCATTGGCAACATCTCGCGTGTCGTGGCCGAGCTGGAGAAGTCGTGCTTTGATCCTTCAGAACGGCAGAGCTTGGTCATTGGCACGAGCATGCAACCTTGAAGTACTTACGCTTCCCTGCGAGCATCTGCGAGTCTCTCTCCCTCCTTATGGCTGTCCCATTTGCTCGTACGTGCCCAACTCGCGCACTGGGCAGCGTGCTGAAGTGATGCATGTCAGAAGCATCCAATGAAGCCGGCAAGCCCACTCGCCTTCATAATACTACATATGTGGGCAAGCCTGCGCTTGCGATAGTCGTCGTATGCCTTCTTCGCGTCCTTCTTCTTCAAGGAAATGTCTTTGGTGTATTTGGCGACAACCTTGAAAACGTCGTCGAAGTCACCCCTCCAGTAAAACCTCGTTGCGGTCTCGTGGCCGTGAGCCCAACCTCCGACTATGCTACACTTCAGCGCGCGTTCTCTTCGACGTGTGATGGGAAACCTCACCATGCGTATACCGCATCAGGTCCAATACAGAGGTATCATAGTCGGGGTATTGACGCTTGAACTTGCTAGGGGTGAATAGACTTTGTCGCCGTCAGTGTACATCTTGACGCTGAGGGGAGTACACACTTCGATTTCTTGCAGGCCGTGCAGACTCGCATGAGAAGCTGGTAATCGACAGTATTCACGTTGGGCGCATCACAGTTCTGGACGAAGTCAACATGCGTCTCTCATGCTGAGGAGTGGTAACATACTTGACACCTTTTGGCTCCGAAGACCAGATTCGCCCACCGAGGCTCGTCGTAGCCTGGAGCAGGCTCTGGCGCCCCTGTACGCTTTCTGGCGTTCCTCCAAACAATGATGGCCTGTGACGACAGAAGTGTTTGCCTTAGCAGCCTGCTCGTTCGGGAGAGGGGCACAAGATCTTGAGGGTCAAGCAGCGTGAACGTCTGTTGAAACGGTCCGTAAGAACATGTTCGGGAATGAAGCTCGGTCTACTCACTTCGAATAATATGTCCAGCGGCATGTCCACCAGTTTGGAAAGCTTGCCCGCTTTGCCGCGGGCGCGCGGACGCCCATTCCCTTTCGTAACCTTGGCGCTGACTGCTTTGCGCGGAGCAGACTTGCGCGCTCGCTTGGCAGGCCGTCGCTCGTATGCGTCTGACTCTTGAGGACACTGTTAGATTGCTCGACCCAGGGAGTCATGATACAACTCACCTTCCCCACTCTCTGACTCCGACGTGGACTCTGCACTCAAATCCGTCAAGTCAGACTCGGACGAGGCCTCGTCTGAACAGCAAGAACGTGGCTTGACGCGTCGAGTTGGGGGCAGAGCCCGCGACTGGCGCCGAGTACTGACCATGATGGGAATATGGAGATGGGGAGGAGGAACAAGACCTGCTGGGGTCGTCGCGTCGCGCGCGCGGTCGGGGTGATCCGCGCACACGTGCGGGGCGTAATCGCGTGATCGTTCACTGCAGCTCCAGGTCCCATAAACTTGCAGGAAAACTCCGTTTTATGATTACGATCCTTGATTCAATTGCATCAATATGATACCTCAGCGTCTACTCAACAGTTTCCCTATAACGATACAATGCAGCACAGACATACAGCTACTACTCGAGAACGTCATCGCCGGTTGGGGTCACAGTGAAGCTAAACTTCAACAAAGGTGGGACTCAGTCGGTCACCACAAAGATAGGCTTGATGTGCACCGGATTCGCAGGCATGCAGAGCACGTCCTTGCCAATGCGCGGATTTTCTGACCCGTGTCTGTCAAATGCGTTAGTCAGAACGAGAGAAGAGATGGTTCAGGCCAACGTACACTTGCTTGACGTGCGCCTTGGCTTGCTCCAGTGTTTGCCAGTTCTCGAGGTGTAGATTGCAGTGGGCGCAGGACCATGTTTCCACGTCCGCAAGATCATGTCCTTTGCTCGACCGAGCATAAGACGCCTCGTCTTCGGAAAGCAGCTGCCATCTCGGTTGTCCGCAATCACGGTGCTCTTGTTTGAAGTGCACGGCCTGGGCAGCTTGTCAGTCGCCGAACGAATGTTAAGTCGGTAAGGATACGTACGGCAGAGCGCCATCCGTAGGCCATTCTTCCTCGAATATGCAACTCTGGGTTGAGCATGGGCTTGCAGAGGGAACAGAAAAAACGTGGGTCGAGCTCGTCAAGCTGAGCGAAAGTGGTGGAGGCGGGCAGCTCCAAGGTGTCCAGGAGCCCTGCGACAGCAACCGAGAGGTCGACGTGATACTTAGGCCGTGAGCCCACGCGTGGCATGTGCCCACAATTCTGCGCGAAGATGTAGTCCTGGGCTCTGAGGCATTGCTCGTACGGTGCGAGCACAAAGAAGCCGCCATTGGCGCAAGTCGCAAGCGCCAAGTCGAGGACCTCGGTGGCGGGATCATTGCGCTTGGGAATCAGTTTTGCCTCCAGGACACCCTTCCTAGCCTCGGAGATCATCTGCTGCACCGACATCGCCTGCTTCTCCTTCAGTTCCTGTATCTGCGGAGCGCAACTCTGTAACGCCTGCTGGTATCGCCCCGCAGGTATGTTCTTTTCGACATCGGCGTAGACGAGGTCGCGGATGGGTTCGAACTCGAAGATGCGGTAGGATGGAGGGATGGACAGCCAGTCGATGGAGGTCCACTCGCGAGGGCCGACGTGCTTTCGGTACGCCGCATTGTAGAGTTCGACAGCGACATGCTTCCGTTGCTTGATAAGGTCTTTGTAGTCGCGGTCAAGGCGGTCTCGACGCTGGTTGTTGACTTCCTCCTCCCATTTCGGGCGTATTTTCTTCCATGCTGGGACACGATCAGTCGTACCGCTGGCGCAATGAGCGCCTTGGGCGCTCACCTAGGTCTGTGAGCTCTTTCTTCTCGACAGTCATCTGGGAACTTCTCAAGGCTTTGCTGATGTCGCGCTCGTCGTATCCGAGCTGCAGGAGCTTCTCTTTGATGCTGGACGAGATCAGATATCGCAAGAGAGATGTCGAGACACCCGACTTACGCCGTCTTGCGCAACTCGGCTAGCCGTTCGCCATCGCGGAAATTTTCCCAGGAATGATCGCTAGCCCAACTGGCCCATTGCAGCCAAAGCTGAGGGCCGTCAATCACTGGCGCACAGTCGGCAGATTCTTGACATACCCTGGCCACCGCCGACACGTACTCGACTCGCCGCTGCCGGAATGCCTCGTATGCGGTGTCTGAGGCAAACTTCTTCTCAGAGATATCCTTCTCATAGCTAGCGATCTTCTCGAGCATGCGCTCAACGTCCTCTCTCCAGTAGAACCTGGTATTGCTTCCATGACCATGAGAGTGCCCGCCCACTGCAACAGATGAGCGGCAGTATGCTTTATGAGAAAGGAGCGTACCGTTCGTATACAATACCAATTTAAGCACAGACGCATCGCTGACCGGGAATTCCTTCTTGAACTTGATGGGCGTGAGCAAACTAAGCCGAAGTCAGTACAATGAGGGGTTAAAGGAAATTCAGCGTACTGTTTTTTCTTGCATCGCGTGCAAACACGCATCAGCAGTTGCCAGTCGACATTATTGACGCTGAGGCAGCCGCAAACCTACGCAAAGGGCTTCAACCGACAGATCGCGGGGTTCCGCGGTAAAGTGGCGTACCTGGCACCTCTTCTTGCCAAGCATGAGATTGGCCCACCATGGTTCAGAGTGGCCTGGGGGAGGTTCCGGCGCGCCAACGCGCTTCCTGATGGTTATCCAGACAGATACGGCCTGAGGGGACATGAGCGTATCCCGCAGCAGCTTGTTGGTGCGCGCGACGGCGAGGAGATCCTGAGGTTCGAGCGTATGGAAGACCTGTATACATACTCATAAGCCAACATGCGCGAGTTAGGAAAGGACTGTTGCTCGCTTCGTAGAGGATGTCCAAGGGCATGGTAAGCAGCATCGAGAGCTTACCCGCTCCGCGCTGTTTCTTGATCGGGGTCTTCTTCACGGCCTTCTTGGCTGGTTGGCGAGCTTTGCGCGCGCGTTTGGCGGGCGGGGGACTGTCGGATGCATCGGAGGCTACGGCTTTCCGGTCAGCCGCAAATTGATTCGTTGGGTGGCCCAATATCCCCTAAACGCACCTTCTCTATCGCTCTCTGAGTCCAATGCGCCGTCTCTGACACTTGTGTCGTCCTTCGCATCGGACTTGATGTCTTCGGCGACTTTGGCGCTCGAGCCAACCTTCGACTGGCGTCTTGTGCTGACCATGGCGGAGAGAGGCAAGTCAGTATCAGGAATCAGGAACAGGCGGAGCCGCGCGATATTGCACACGGGCGCCTATTTCATTTTCCACGTGCAAAGTTCAACTTCCGCGTTCGAATCTCGAACAATGTGAACTGCTACATGGTCGACGTTCGAGCAGGTACGCGAAAGAAGTATGAACAGAAAATATGTGCTCACCATACTTTTCTCAAGGATGTATGGCTTGAAATACATAGTGTGGGACATCTTTAAAGCGAAGAGAATCATTCGCTTGTATGACTGCATGTTGACAGACATCGAAGTTTGGTTCGAGTCTATATCGACAGGAGCCTGAGGGTCGTAAAAAGTCTGAGGCGTGGCATTTCACGAAGTGGACACGGCCCGAGCTCGGGAAACCGCCGATCTACACACTTCACAAGCTTGAGAAAGCCAACATCCCAGTGAGCGGCACAGGTCGGAAGATTTATAAGCGCAAGGCACGCGCAGTATAGTAGCCAGAAGCCCAGCAGATGCAGTGCGAGGGGCAGTCGATTTGAAGCGCAGTGACATGTACAATGCAGAGCAAATGATCGTCTGCTGAACTCCGCGTCCTTCCTAGTAGCATGCAGCTGAGCTCGACCCTCTTTTCCACGCACTCACCAAGAAACACTACCGATCCTGACAAGTCGCACGCAGCACACAAGAACCAAGGATTCAATGCCTCGCGCTCGACATTGCCAACGTCCGAACCATGGTGCCACGTCACATCACATTACTGTAGGCCCGCTCCCACGTGCAACCCTGATCCCATTGTTCTTTTGTTCTCGACTTCCACATTCGGCGATGACTGATTCCGCGTAGCGGCACCTCCCGAACACATGGAACGCTTCACCACCCTCGAGCCGGTCCGGCTTTACGCCTCCAACGCCGCCGGGCACTTTCTGAACACGCACACCCCCGCCGCACCTGCCCGCGCGCCGGAGAACCTCGTCGGGCGCCTGCCGAGCGAGCTGCACTACTTGGTGTTGTCGTATGCGTCCGTGACGGATATCGCGGCGTACGCGCGCTGCTCGCATGCGACGGCGGCTATAGCACACGCCGAGCGCGTGTGGGAGCCGCGCTGGAAGGCGCTCCACGTCGAGGACCGCGGCCTCGGCGACGTCATGGACGACCTCGAAGAGTGCGCAAAAGGTAAGGCAGCTGTCGCGAAGGCCGCGGCGCCGCCCACGCTTGCCGTCGACGACGACTTTGGCGACTTTTCGTCTGGGAGTAGCGGCTTCGATGCGCCGACTGCTGATGCGGACGAGATGGGCGACTTTGTGGGGGCGTTTGGGAGCGTGTCTGTCGCGTCGAGTGCGCCGCTCATAAATCTGCCATCTGCAAAGACGATTCGTGCGAAGTACAGCCGGGCGCACAACCTGCTAAAACCGCTGACAAGATTACTCTCGTCGCCACCACATATGGTTCTCTCGGAGTTGGCCTCGCAGGCTTCGCCGACAATACGACAACAAGCAAAACTCCTGCGATTACTTGCGTCTTTTCTAACGCCCGTGGTCAATCCGCTGCACGGATGGGAGTCCTTGTACTCCTCGCTGCGCCTCGCCATTGACCGCTTTGACGCCAATTTGCTCTCCGCGTTCGATGTCGCTGACAGTCAAGGCGATGAAGCTGGCATGCGAGAGGCAGCTGAATCCTCCTGGGCGATTTACGACGGCACCGGCGACTGGGAGATGGGCAAGGTCTGGACGGAAAAGCGGGAGATTTTCTACGAACTTGGAAAATGGAATGCGCTGGACAATTTAACGTGAGCATCGAAGGTAAAAAAAAACTAAGCGACGGATGTATTGACACTTTACTCAGAGAAGACGGTCGCCTAGATTTCGACGCCATGGACGGCTTCATGACCTTCATTCTCAGAGCTATGAAGGAGCATGGATCCCGCGCTGCGCGCGTTTTTCCGCCAGAGTCAGAGGTCGTGCTGTTGTTTGCGACGCGTGTGGCCAACGAGCTGGTATGAGGTTCTGAATTCTCTGATATGACTGTCATTAACGAAGCCAGGTCGGCGAGTACGTGACGGAGCTACTGACGCGAGCTCGCGATTTCTCGCTGGATACCTACCTCAAAGCAGCAGCCGCAACGTTCCGAGAATCGTGGAGGATGGTGGACGCGATCGCCGAGGCTGCGAGTGCGCGCCCGGAGAGTGTGCCACCGAGGACGAAGGTGGAGGACGTGGTGTAGGTGACATCCGGCTTATCGCTTGAGGTTAAATGCTGACGGTCGCTTGCCCAGGTATCAGATGTTCGAAATAAACATGGACGAGTATCTGGACGACGAGATCGAGTCGGTCAAGCTCGCCTTCGAAGCGATTTGCAAGGAGTGGGATAAGCAGGTGCGCTATCTCCCTCGTCTCCTCTATTTCATCGTCTTCCATCAGGTCCCTTGACCTCACCTTGCCAGATGGCCCAAGCCGGCCCCCGAGCGTCCCATGCCGACACCGCGGAGCCCAGCTTCCTCGGCTCGCAAAATCCTGCGCAGATGAAGCGAAACGTCCTCGCCTCCTTCACCGACGTCCTCCTGCTCCCCGTCACGATCGTGCCGCGCACCATGGGCGCGGTCGGCGGCGCCCTGAAAACAGGCGGCACGGCGGCGGTGCAGGGCATCGCGATGCTGAACCCACAGCGGTGGGGCGGGGCGCAGAATGTCAATGATGGATATAGTAGGAATTTGGATCGAGATGGCGATGGGGAGAATACGGTGTTTGAGATTGGGGACGATGATTATGAGGAGGGGGAGGAGGTGCAGACGCCGTCGAGGGCGTCGATGGCGGAGTCGGTGAGGTCGGAAGGTGGGTTTGGTGTGGAAATATGTGAAGCACCAGGTTTACCACTTTGTCTAGCCACGACTTCCACCACCGCCGTCTCTTCAGCCAACAACCGCAGCAGCGTCGCGCCCTCCATCGCCTCCTCAAAGACCACCCTCACCACCGCCCCCGCCCAAGCCGTGAACCAATTCGAGCTCCTCCTCTCCCTCGACATCGCCCTGCAACTCATCCACGCTGACCGCGAGGCGCTCAAGCGCGCGGAGACCTTCGCCGGGTACCCGGGGCACTACGGGCACCGCGTGCGCGACACGATCGAGGAGATCTTCGTCCTCCTGCTGCAGGCGCTCAGCGAGAAGCACCTGTCGACGGGCTTCGCGGCGGCGATCGAGCAGATGCGGGCGTACCGACCGGCGGAGCATGAGGAGACGACGAGTGTGGCGCCGCTGTTGCAGTTTTTCGAGCTGGTGCATATCGGGGATACGATGCAGAGTATGGTGCAGGTGTATTTTGATAAGGAGATGGTGAGTGGGGAGGTGGGAGGTGGGAAATAGGGAAAGCTGACGATGTGATAGGCCTCGCATATCGACCGAACGGATTTTTTGAACCCGGTGGTGAGGGAGAAGAAGCGGTTCGAAAATGCGTTGGACGACTCTGTGGCGGCTGGGTTGAACGCGGGGACGGATGTGCTGATGAATCAGGTGCGATGATTGCTCGTTAATTCGCCCTCTCGTACTAATCCCACGCAGGTAGAGCATATTATCATGACCCTGACGCAGCCGAGAGAGTACTACCCTCCCGAGGACAGCCCTTTGGAGCTAGGCCCGACAAAGGCTTGTACCGAAGCGATTAAGTGCCTACAGATGCACTGCAAGCTTCTGAAGGGCAGTACGAGCAAGGAAGTGCTCGAGGTGTTCTACCAGGAAGTCGGAATCCGGTTGATAGCGTAAGTCGTAGGCATTGTTCGGTCTGCAGGGCGCTAACGTCCGCCGAAGGATCCTGCAGAAGCACATCAAGCGACAGATTATTTCGCTCAGTGGCGGGTTCCAGGTTATCGCAGATCTGAACACGTACCATAATTTTATTGTGTCGCTGAAGGTAGGATACTTGCTTTTTGCGAGGAGGTGGCGCTGATGAGGTCGTAGGTCCCGAGCATAGCGGCGGAGTTCTCTCATCTAAAGATGTTAGGACATGTATATGTGGTCGAGGACGCGAAAGATCTTGCACAGATTGTCCGAGATGTGACGCGGTACGGAGGGGCGTACAGGCCGGAGGTATGGTCTGCTGTCCTGGGAGACGACAACGTGCTAACCTTGTTCAGGACGTCTACGAGTTCATTCAACGACGATCGGACTGGAAGAAAATCGAAAAGGCTGTAGATAAGACGATGTACAACCTCAGCTTTAAGGAGGACTGTGTTGTGTGCTGATATATTGGGCGTAACATATATAGGCGATCCCTGACCGTTGGGATCAGTCAGGACGCGGTGCCTCATCGCCTGTCAGCCACCTCCGAGGACTCGAGGCCGAAGCAAGTCCGGAGGAGTAGAGTCAGTCTACCATCTGACAGGCTAGTACGTGGTCACGAGAACAATGAGGGCGGACAATGGGCGCGACGGGCGCGTTGACGACGCGTCCGATCACGTCATTGTGATTCGTGCGTCATGCGATCGAATTCCGGAGCAGCCACGCGGCCCGATTATCAGAAAGAAGCCGCCGGCCTGGATTTGAAATAGGCACGTTTCAACTTGACGTGGGCTTCGAAATCGCACCTGCACTTTGGCTCTTGCTTCCGACCCCCATCATCGCCTGCTATCACCAAGGGGCCGCGCCAAACGCGCTCAAAGCCCCCACACGCGAGCGTTAGCCATCTACTCTACCTGTGGCGTCAAACTCCGCCAGACATGTCGGGAGGAAACATATACAATGTGCGTATAATTTCTGCAGCCGCTCACGACAGTTCTACCGTCACGCTGTGCAGCTGCATGCTCGGTCCCCCGTCAGATAGCCACATAATCACCACGCTCCGGCATTATCCTTCCCCACTCCCCCACCTGCCTTACATAGAACAAGGACGTACGGCTGATAATCATGTTCGCCCCACAGCACCGTAGCTTGCAGCCCTCAGCACCAGGGCAGGCGCTGCCTGGCGCACCTCGTGGCTTCTCGCTCTCCGCTCGCCTCGATGAGCACCTCGACCTCATACGGCAGGACTACGAGATTATGGCAACAGAGTTGACCGACGCGAGAGCGCAGAAGGAGGAACTGGAAACAAAGGGTGTGTGCTGGGCGCTTAACTGTGATAAGTATGACCCCTGACACATGTCTAGTTGTTGCTCAAATAAATGAGATTGCCCTCATCACGAATACCTTGCACGAACTGAACAGCAAGCATGCTCGGTTGCGACAGACGTATGAGCAAGAAGTGACAGCTTTGCGCGCCCAGTTGCACGAAGCGCAGAGGCAGGTCGCCCTCGCCGCGAATGCACATCACTCCGTCTCCGCGCCACCGCCCGGCCCGGGTGGTCTACCACCTGGTGTTCCGTCACAACACGACGCGTACTATGCACGGGAACGCGACCGCGAGATAAAGGACCGCGACCGCGACCGTATGATGGTTGAGCGTGAGCGTGACAGGGAGTTGGCCGAGCGGGAGAGGAGTGCACGAAAGGAGCATGAGCGTGAGCGCGAGATGCGGCTGAGGGAAAGGGATGCGCGAGAAGCGCGGGAGGCTAAGCGAACAAAGGTTGAGCAGAAGATGGAGCGCCCCGGTATGCATACCGGTCTATACCGCCGATAGCTACTTGACATCGTACGCAGAGCACTTCAGCAGCCCCGCCATAGGCCCCGGCGTACCGGTATCGATGCCTGCTAAGCTTCCTGCTCCTGGGCCGTCAACGCCTCAAGGGCAATTACCGCCCCAGCTGGCCTCGGAGCGTGGCACGCCACGAGGTCCTCCTGGAGCAGCGCCCTTGCCCAGTGCACCGCCCCCAGCAGCTCTCCCACCCCCACCAGGAATGGAAGCAGGTCCTAACGCCGCTGCCCCTCCTCCACCGGTATCATCAGGACCGAGCTTCTTGGACGACTTGGACCCTGCAACCCTTCCACCAGAGTTGAAGAAGGACGGCAGCGACTGGTGGGCGGTATTTAACCCGAATACCAAGCGCGTGCTGGACGTGTCCTTGATGCACTCTCTCATACACGAGACGTGAGTTCATGACGTAGATGGAATCGGAGGTTCATGCTCACAAGCGCCCCAGTGTCGTCTGTTGTGTCCGCTTCTCAGCGGATGGCAAATTCCTTGCGACAGGGTGCAATCGGACAGCCCAGATCTTCGACGTGCAAACCGGTAGGAAGACATGGTGGGCATTCAGTTCTGCTGTACCCGACGTCATGGAAATTGACTTGTTTGCTCAGTGTCCTCGTCGACGAAAGCTCTGGACGGGCTGGCGACCTCTACATCCGCAGCGTCTGCTTTAGCCCCGATGGCAAATATCTGGCAACCGGTGCTGAGGATAGGCAAATAAGGGTGCATCTCCTTCATTTCATGCATGATCATTCCCTTGAATTGAATGCCGTTCATAGATCTGGGACATTGCGAAGAAGTCTATCAAGCACATATTCGACGGTCATCAGCAGGAGATATACTCCCTTGAATTTTCATACGACGGCCGTCTAATCGTGTCCGGATCCGGGGACAAGACCGCGCGCATCTGGGACATGCAGGACGGCTCGAATAAGGTGCTCGCCATCAACGACCAGGACTCGCTGAACGCGGACGCCGGCGTGACCTCCGTTGCCATTTCGCCCGATGGCCGCCTCGTCGCGGCGGGGTCGCTCGACACGGCCGTGCGCATCTGGGACGTCGAGAGCGGGGTGCTGCTCGAGCGGCTGCGCGGGCACCGCGACAGCGTGTACTCGGTCGCGTTCACGCCCGACGGCAAGGGCCTCATCAGCGGCTCGCTGGACAAGACGCTGAAGTACTGGGACGTGAGCGGGCTGGCGCGCGGCGCGGCGCGGAGGGCGCCGGGGCGGGGCGGGGACGAGAAGAACAGCCTGTGCACGATGAACTTCACGGGGCATAAGGATTACGTGCTGAGCGTGGCGGTGTCGCCGGATGGGCAGTGGGTGGTGTCGGGGTCGAAGGATCGGGGAGTGCAGTTTTGGGATTCAAGGACGGCGGTGGTGCAGTGTATGCTGCAGGGGCATAAGAATTCGGGTGAGTGGGTGGAGTTGGGGTAGATGACGGTATGCTGATGGTGTTTGACAGTTATATCGATCGACTTGAGTCCCGCGGGAGGCATGCTGGCGACGGGGAGTGGGGATTGGCATGCGAGGATATGTGAGTGATACCCCTTTTTCCTTAGAGACCCAGGCAGCTAACCGATTCACAAGGGAGCTACACCACTACTTCATGAGCTCTGTCCCTCGCATGCATATGAATATGTGGACTTCCGCAGTAAGCAAGCATCTACTGCCCAAATGCGCACTCGATGGACTCGGCGCGCGTTGCGATACCTATATTGTATATCTGTTGGAATGTATTTTCGGTGAACTTGTTCTCTTTTGTACTGTTAGTAGACTCGTCTAATGTGCTTTGCGATGTTTTGCCCCGGTTCATGAGTTGGGAGGCGCAGGTGGCGGGTAGACGAATTGGTGCGGGAGAACAGGCAGCGTAAATGCAGCCGCTTCATTGGAGTGGAGAAGATCAGGCTTTCGGATACCAGGTAGAGCGCATTCACACATGGCGTAAAGGGGAAGGGAGGTGCAATAGCATGTGCTCATTAACAGGTGAATAAGTGCAGTAGGGTCGGACCGTGATAGCTGCGTAGCGTATGAGTACAGGGTCGAGGCGAAAAGAATGCAGCGCACCTCTGCTCATGATCGTGACCAGAACGACTTCTAGGTAGCCGGCTCGGCCTCCCCAGAAGGTGGTGGTACTGCTCTCGGTGCACCCGCCGACGTAGAAGCCTCCGCAGGTGCACTTCCCTCTGCGGCAGCGGCACCCTCCGGGTAGGTCGCTTGCAATTCCGCGAACGCCTCGCGCGACTTCTGCAGGAAGAGGGATGGCGTGACGCCGCGCTTGCTGGTGAACTTGCCCCAGACGGCGTTCAGCTCCTGCTTCTTCAGATGCACATCTTGCGCAACGTAGGGTTTTAGCTGTGGGAGGAGGCAAGTTGGGGTCAGTGTGCAGGGTAAGTGCGAGGCGTGTACGACGCACCGGCGAGTTGACAATCTGCTCGAGGGGCGGGGCGACGAAGACGCGAACCTTCTCGTCTATGAGACGGTACTTGGCCTTGCCGCCGACGACGTGACGACCGGGCGCGCCAGTGCGGGTGCCCTTGGGAAGGAACGCCTGCCGAGTGCCTGCGTTGCGGTCAGGCATCGGGCCTTACCGAGCAGTATACAGTACAGACCCTTGTAGTAGTCCTTGTTACCGCGCTTGGGGGTCAGCGGCCGGCGCGACGCCTTCGAGAGTCTGACCGCCGTCGGGAGCATTGTGGTCGGAAAGAGAGACGGTGTGCCGCTTGGACCGATCGAACTTCTCTCCGTCACCCGCGACTCGGCATCAACTCAGCAGGCGCCGGGCATATCATTCGGAGCGCATATATTCACTTGAAAATGGGGAAGAAGCCTGCGAATGCAAGGGGGAGAGGAGGGAGGGGACGGGGACGCGGAAGAGGGGGCGGGGGGCATGCTGGTCATCATGCGCGCCACCAGCTGGGTATAAATGAGCGGCCGGACAGCGCTATAGACGATGTTGCAGGGCAAGAGGAGGAGGAGGGAAGCGGGTCAGATGGAGGTGGGCTTTCTGTCAGCCTTTTTGTATGCATATGAATGAATACGCAGACGAACAGGTTACGATTGACGTGCCAGTCGCTATGTGGGTGCGTTGAGCGCCAGCGTACTTGATTGTCGTATCCATGATCGTCGCAGGACTTCGACCACTGCGATCCCAAACGATGCTCGGGCAAGAAGCTGTCTCGACTGGGCCTGATCAAGGAGCTTAAGGTGCCATCGAAGTTCAGAGGCATCGTCGTATCGTACGCATCTTCCCCTCCCTCGTTTCGTACCTGCTGATCGGTGCATCCACAGTCCAAAGGCCTCGCAAGTGGTAGCGCCATGCGACAGAGATATAGTACTCAAGGGCGGCGTTGCCGTAGTTGAATGCTCGTGGGCGCGCCTAGACGACGTCCCATTCAACAAGATCGCAAGCCCGCACGAGCGTTTACGTGCGTCCCTCCATTTTGCTCGTCCCAAAAACGTGTACTGAAGTCTAAAACCTAGTACCCTACCTCATTGCGAGCAATCCCGTAAATTACGGCAAACCGTGGCGGCTGAACTGCGTCGAGGCCCTCGCCGCCGCTTTCTACATCACCGGGTTTGACGAATACGCGGAGCGCTTGCTGAGCGGCTTTGGATGGGGGGCGTCGTTCTGGAAGGTCAACAAGTCGTTGATCGAGCAGTACCGACGGTGCAATACCGCTGAAGAGGTATCGCGGAAGCAGGACGAAATCATCGCTCAGCTGGATGCGAGCTGGGCACAGTCTCGGAAAGAACGGGGTAGGAGTTACTCTAGTCTTCTGACGGACAGGTACTGATGGACATCCCAGACGAGGAGGGTGACGATCTATTGGTCGCAAACCCGAACCATCAGCAGTGGGATACACTTAGCGACAACGACGAGCCTCCAGACTCGTCGGATGAGTCAGATGCAGCGACTTCCGGTCGATAGGTTGCGGCAAAGATACAAGTCACAACGCGACCACCAAAATCTCAATGCGCACGATATGTACACTATCAGTTCTACTCTCGAGGGCTGCCACGATCCTTCTGGCAACATCGACCAGTCGGAGGTGCTTTGCAGCTGATTCTTTGTGCTCGGTAGTTCCAAGGCGGGATCGCCCACCAAGAAAGGGAGAGTATCTATCAATAGAGGTTAAGACCTTTATGGCCGCTGGTGTGGGTCCAACATCAGTATGTCACCTCTACACGAGGCGCGGTAACGTGCTCAATTATTTGCAAAATGAACGGAAGGTACGAATCGGGGAAGTTCGAAGGACTCGTGTACCCTACCCCGCCTCGAGGCGCGCAGCCTGCTACCCTAGGACGACAAATTTCGCGTCCTGCAGCCTGCTCTCACCGCGGCTTGTACCATTAGTCCCCCCTCCTCTTCCCTACCCATATTCACGACCCAGTTACGCCAACATGAATCCAGGCTCGCCTTATGGCGGTCTACGAAGGCACGAAGAATACTACATAAGCACAGGGGACCTGCATCTCGTGGTGCGTGTGCTGCCCTGCTATCGAAGCGAGACGTTTCGTTTGACTGATTCGCGCTGTCTGCCCTAGGTCGATCACACACGATTCCGGGTCCACAGATACTTCTACGAACGCGAATCCGAGTTCTTTCGCCGCATCTTGTTAGCGCCTGCCTCGCCTGGCGCGACACGCCAGGGCGCAAGCGACGATAATGCTATACAGCTGGACTATGTTACGAGCGATGAATTTGCGAAGTTCAACTGGGTGTTCTACAACCCCAAGGTGCGCGATCGAGGCTGGGCGTGTAATTGTCGGATGCTAATCTGAACGTGTCTTCCTCGCAGTACTCGCTTTATGACAAGAGCGCGAAGGATTGGCAAATCATCCTCCGTCTTGCGTACCGATGGGGCTTCCCGGATGTGCACGAACTCGCGGTTCGGGAGCTAGACAAGATCTACGTCCCCGACATTGACCGTGTTGTGATGTACCAAGACTACGAGGTCGACAGGCGGAAGCTGGTCCCTTGCTACGCAGCGCTTGCAGAGCGCGCAGACCCAATCACGCTCGACGAGGGCGAGCGGCTCGGTCTCTCGACGGTTATCATGCTCGCGCAGGCGCGGGAACTCGCGCGAGCGGGTCCCCAGCGCGAATTGGCGCCTGCTGGGCTGCGCCGCGACGAGATGGAAGAAATTGTGAAGGACGTTTTCGACATCGAGGCACCTCCCGTGGATATGTTGTACCCCCAGGCGTACGAAGTGAGTCTACTATAATGTGCGGTGGAAGGTGCCAACTGACGTTTCCGCAGGGATCGATTGCAGGCAGCCCTACGAGGCGGAAGTTCTCAAAGGGAAGCAGGCGACGGGCGTCAAACCCGATGTCGAGGTCGACTTCGGGGACGTACTCCACGGCGACCTACTCAACACCTCCCACTCCGACGGCGCAGCGCTATACATTCCAGGAGCGACCGCGGAGTCCTTCACCGCCTCCTCCTCGCTCGCCTACACCTACTCCTCCGGTTTCACGCACATCGTCGAGGGCGAATACACGTCAGTCTACTCCCACTTCTGTCCGTCGCATCTTCTCTCCTACTATCGAGCCTGGATCGCCCCTTCCTCCGCCTCCACAACGGCGCAAGTCGAATGCCAAGAAGGTCAAGAGCAAGAGCCCCCCGCCCATCCGCACGTCGTACTCTGCCTTGAATGGGAAGTATGCCAGCTCGGCCACGCGTCCAGAGCCGCCGAAAGTTGTCGAGAGCGCGGCACCGAAGAGGACGTCGGACTCGGATGTCAGCGACATTCCTGAGGGCAAGGGCAAGCAGAGGGAAGACGTCGACGCGTGGACCTGGGATGACGAGGAGAAGAAGTCCGCGCGCACCCCGCTCAGCTACAACATCCTTCGCAACTTGGAGCGTAATGCCAGTCTGGGTCCCAACGGCTCTCGCAGCGGCACTCCCGGTTTCACTCGCCGTTCCTCATCTCGTATGAGCATGGGCGGTCGCCGGTCCTCGTCTCGTGTCACCAACTACTACGACGTCGACTCGGACATGTCGGTCAACGGCGGTGCAGAGTCCTTCCACGACGCCGAAGACTGGCAGTCGTTTGGGGACGGCGAGGAGGTCTTTGAAGAAGCCGTTGCACACATTCCGCCCATGGACGAGCCCGTTGCGCCGGTCTTCCAGCCTTTTGCGATGCCTCCGCCGGAGACGCCGGTCACGGCAGTCCCGTTGAGCAGCTTACCATCAGCGACGCTGCTTAACTTCACGCCTGTGGCACACACCCCGGTCGAGGAGCTCAAGCCGGTCGAGGAGTTGAAGGAGGAGAAGCCAGCGAAGCAGCCAGAGGAGCAGAGGTCGGTTCCGGAGACGCCCATCGAGCCGGTGAAGCCGCCTGTGGATGTGCTGTCGACGAGGCCACCACAAGCGCCGCTGACGGAGACGCCTGTGCCTCCAACTCCCCCTCCTCCTGCATTCGCACCATCCGTGGTCAAGGCTGAACCTGCCGCCCAGAATTCTCAATCCAAGCCTCAGGCTCCTGCGGTCAATGCGAAGAAGTCGGGCGCTGCTTCCAAGGCTGAACCTGCATCCGCGCCTGCACCTCCCGCCTCCGCCCCCAAGACCAAACCCGCTGCTACTCATTTTAAGGAGAGGTCTCCATCCCCTTCGCCCAAGCCTAAGGGTAAAGCTGCGGAGAAGGCTGCACCCTCGGTGACGCCTGCAGAAGCGTCCACACCATTCGCTAAGAAGAGCAAGCGCAACCGGTCTCGCTCCAAGTCCAAGACCACTCCATCTGCACCGAGGGAGGAGGTTGCGTCTTCTGCGTCCGATGCTAAGCCCGCTCCTGCCGTGGCCAAGGCCGAGTCCACTCCTTCAGTGCCTGCCGCCTCGGAGTCCAAAGCTGAGCCGGCGACGTCTGCGCACGAGGAAGAGTCTACACCGGCCAAGAACAAAGCTGAGGTTGTCGAACCGCCCGCGAAGGTTGAATCCACCGCTGTGCCTGAGGCGAAGCCCGCTCCGGCCCAGACCGAGGTCGACACAGTCAAGAAGCAGCCTGCGGATGTCGAGAACAAGTCTGAGCCTACTTCGACTGCCACAGTCGAGCCCGCGCCTTCTGCGCCCGATGGTCCACTGCCGTCTGACGCGCCCAAGGATGAGCACACGCCTCCCGCCACCGAGGTTCAGCCTGATTCGACCGTTGTCAACGTCGAAAGTCAACCCGCCACCTCTGATAGCAAGGTCGAGCCTGCTCCCTCTGCTGACCAGAACGCGCCCTCCACCTCCTCTGCGAAGGACGAGCCGGCCCTTGGAAAGGTCGAGTCCACGCCAGCGACGAGTACTGAGCCCACGACTGCGACGGAGCCCGCACCAACTTCTGCGCCTATCGTCACGTCCGCTTCGGATACTACCTCCGCACCATTGACGACTGAATCGGTGACTGCATCTACCTCCCAGGCTGTGCCTCCTTCCAGCGAGACTGAGCCTGCATCATCGGCACCCGAGCCTTTCGTCAAAGACAAGGCGAAGACTCAGACGACGCCCAAGGCTGCATTACCTGCCGAGTCCGAGGACAAGACGGCGGCAGCTGAACCTGCGCCTGCACCGGAGAGCGCTGCCGAGCCAAAGTCTGCTTCATCTCAACCTCCACCTTCTGAAACGAGAGCAGGCTCCACCCTTTCCAAGTCGGCCGCGAAAAAGAAGGCTAAGAGGGAAGCTGCTGTTGCTGCTGCTACCGCCGCCGCCATCGCCGTTGTCGCAAACGAGGAACAGGAGACCGCTTCCACCCCGGCGCTGGAGGTCGAGCAGGCATCTACAGTCACGCCGAATCCAGCGAGGGTGCGGGAGCCCGAAGTTGCGTCGAAATCGCTGATTAATACGGCGGCCGAGCTTGAAGCGGCAGCCTCTGCGAAGAATGGCAAGCCACTCACGCCGAGACAGAAGCAGTATATGGTCAGAACGGCGAAAATGGTCGCCGAAAAGAAGGCTGCTGAGGCCAAAGCCCAGCTTACTACCCCGACGACTGAGGAATCAACGCCGAAAGTCGAGGAGAAGCAGGCGGCCTCTGACCTTATAACGGCTGCTGCCCAGGAGCCCGGCTTGTCTGATGTCACCTCTGCAGGGGACAAGAAGGACGCGAGCTTGTCTGCCGCTGAGGCGAAACCAGCATCCCCCGCTGATCCTCCCCAGGCGTCGGAAGTGCCTTCGGTACTGGAGACTACAAAGCCGGACTCGGATGAGAAGGCCCACGGCGAGGGAAAGACATCTGCTCAAGGTCTTGCGTCGACTACCTCCTCTACCGTTCCTATTCAAGCCGAGGCTGCCACGTCTCTCTCAGCTGAAGAGAAGTTGTCCGATCCTTCGTCTGCCTCGGATGCGCAATTACCTCCGGAAACGGAAGCCAGGCCGAAAGTCGACCGAGATGATCCGTCCTCGCCTCAACCGGCCGCTGCAGCCACGTCAGAGCCTACCGCTCTGCCTTCTTCTGCAGAGGAGCAGGCGGCCGGTTCGCTTCTTAACGTCGACAGCGATGTGCCTGCGTTGGCTTCTACGGAGAAGCCGCCACAGGCGACGCCTCCCACCGAGGGGAAGGACCAGACTCCTCTTGAAAGCGAGAAGTCAGGTGAGAAGTCAGTCGAGACAAAGCAGGACGAGAAGGAGCAGCAGGCCGACAAGAAGGTATGAGCTATGTCGTCAGCGAAGTTGCCGACTAACAAGACCATAGGCAGAGTTAGAGCCGAAGCCTACCCTCAAGGAACGCAAGGACAGCGAATCTCTGGGTGAGGGGACCGTTGATGGCTCTCGCGCTTGGGCTAACACCACCTTTATGAAGCGAATGCGAGCAAGGGCGAGGAAGAATCCGCCGAGAAATTGGGTGCTACGGCGCCGCTCAAGCCACCCGCCAAGCCTGTCAAGATCGATGCAACTTCGAATGGTCCAGCAGATGTCTTGAAGCCCACGACCGCGATGCCAAAATCCGAGCCATCAAAGTCTCCCGCGACCTTACCTTCCCGGGATGTTCCTGCCCCTCCTCCCATTACTACAGCCATGGCAGAGGCCGCGTCTCTGCCCTTGAACAACCCCTCCCAGAATAAAGATACATCGACCGTTGTATATCCGAAGCCGGCACAACCCAAGGCTGCGCAGTTGCCACCTAAATCGCAATCAGTATTTACTGCGGGCAGTCTCTCAAGGGACCCGCCTATAATGCCCAAGCCGACCTCTATCTCAACGACAGCGACGCCGAAGCAGACCCCAAGCAGTCCTCAAGAGAAGCATAAATCCTCTGGCTCCTGGGGAGGCTGGGCAAGTTCGGTCTCATCCATTGCCTCAAACTTGTTATCGCCAAAGGCTGAAGAGCCGCCGCGTCGTCAATCCCTATCAGAGCGCTTGGCGGCCAAAGCCAAAATGGCTGCCGCTCCAAGCTTGGCAAAGACGCACGAAGCACCTCTTAGCCCGCAGGCCCCATACACGCAGCCCACATCCCATTCGCCGCCGATACCGACTGACTCATCTCCGGTGACGACGAGGTCGCCTGTCGCTTCGCTCAACAAGCCAAACGCAGGGCTGGCATCACCCTCGACGCGAAAGAACTCTTTCGGTGTGGCGTCTCCTCAACCTTGGCCTGCCCCCTCTGCTTCAGCGTCAGGGGCGAAGGAGAACAAACTGGCGGAGGACGCCACAAAGCGTCCTGGGGTCCCGGCACCGTCAATGGGTAGCGCGAGCCGTGCGACGACGCGACCTGGCAACGAGGAGAAGCAGCTGCCAACGCCGAGTACGACAGACCAAGCAGATAAACCCCCGGCGAAAGCGAAGGGGGCTGCTACGGGTGTCACCGAGCCGAATCAGGCGGAGGCAGCGAATGGTCAGACGGAGAAGCTTGCTTCAGATACGGACCCCGCTGCCGAAAAGCCCGTGGCTGGCAAGGCCTCCGCCGCCCCCGAGCCTGCGCCTGCCGCTTCTGAGCCCAAGCCCGTGGCCGACGACGTTGCGAGCGAGTCCAAGACGGCCGATACCGCTGCTTCAGAGCAGTCTGCTACAAGTGCCGCCGTCACTACCGATTCGCCCGCTATCTCGAGTCCATCGACCATCACCGCATCGCAGAAGGCTGAAGAGGGCAAGGAGCCGGGCGAGGGTCCCTCTGCGGACGCAGGCGCATCTGAGGCGAAGGCTGGCGGCTCTGAGGACGCGGGAATTGCTGACGCGAAGGACACCGACGCTAAGCAGGCCGGCTCTAAGGCTGTAGGGGGCGCGAAGGAAGCTGAGGCGGGATCTGCGGCGGAGTCATCCGACAAGAGAGACGAGGTAAAGCCAACAACGGACGCGTCAGCTTCGACCACCGACGCACCGGCTCCCGCTGCATCGACGCCGAGCCCAGATACCGCCAAGGACGCGCCAGAGTCGGTCAAGGTCACAACAGAGTCAGCGAAGGACGTCCCCGATGCGGCGAAGGACGTGCCTGAGTCTACGAAGGCGACCAACGCAGAGGGAACGCAACCTTCAGCTGTGACAGGCGAAGCGCCCGCTCCTGCTGGGAAGGCGGCTGACAAGGCGAAAGGTGCGCTTGTTGATGCTCTATTCACGATTTAGGATCTGACGTCGTCTTCAGACAAGTCCGATGGCCCAGACGCGAGCGCGGAGGGGAAGAAGGATACGGCGAGCGAAACGGAGAACGCATCGAGCAAGGCCGAGGACACGTCGAGCAAGACCAAGGCCGAGTCGAGCAAAACGGAGGATGCGCCGGGCAAGGTTGAGGACAAGACGGCAGCTGAGAGCGCACCTGCTAGCGAAGACTCGTCTACTACGAAGCCCGACGAGACGCAGACCGCTGTTGCCCCTGCCGATGGTCAGCAGTCTCCTACTCATGCCTCTGCGAGTATTGACACGCCTACCGTAGCGCCTACTGGTACCGACGCATTGACGACCGATACAGCCTCTGCCCCGCCTGCTGCTGCCGATGCGCCGACGGCCGACGGCACGAAAGAGCCAGCGCCTTCGAACAAGGACGCTGCGGGGACCGAGGGGGTGCTGGTCGATGTTGGTGCTCCATCCGCCGATGCCGACGCGTCTTCCGCCGAGCCACCAGCGACAAAGAAACCTGCGCAGGGCGACGAACCGGGGAAGGTCTCGGACGCTGCAGCGAAGGACGACAAGCTTGTCGAGGGTGGTGAAGCGGCGAAGGACGAGAAGAAGGTGGACGAGGCATCGGCGAAGGAGGGAGAGCTGGCTACCGAGACGCATGCAGAGCCGTCATCTGATAAGGAGGCGCCAAAGGTCGATAGTGCTGCGCCGTCTGCGGACACGTCCGCCGATGCTGTTAAGCAAGCGGGCGATGACGAGAAGCAGAAGGACGGCGCCGAGCCGGATGCAGTGGACCCCAACACGACCGTGTCCGAGCCTCCCTCGAAGACCGCTACCGGCTCGGAACAGGAGAATGGAGACAAGGTTGCGTCCGCTGACATCGCAAAGGGCGGCAAGGAGCAGGCAGCCAGTGGCAAGGCCAAACCTCCGTTGACCGTTTCAACGGGTAATACGCCGCTGGACAAGGCAAAGAGTGCGACGGAAGATGCGGCCCAGACGCCAGCTAGTGCAGCGCCTAAGACAGCTGCCGTCGACGAGCCGACCCAGTCTCCAACATCGAGCACTCGTCCTGGAACGCCCGCGGGAGATGGCAAATCGGCAGCGGACAAAGCAGCGCAAAGGGCGCTGAAGAACAAGCAGAAGAGGGAAAGAGAGAAAAGGGCCAGAGAGGCGAAGAAGAACCAGAAGTAGGGCACGATGCAGACACTTTCTTGGATTTATTGACACGCACCTGTAACATACTTCGGACCACGTCTGTACATCTTCCTTTTCTTGTTTTATAGGTTTTATATGTGTACAGATCAGCAGCTATAGGTTCAATCCGAATAGATTTACCGCTGGCCAGCGTTAGAAGGAAGCGCAAATCGCGAATGCCTATCCCGCGAACTTGAACTTGCAATCAGATGATCGTGGGATCAGATCACGTGGACAGCGCGATTTGAGTCAAATTTGCCGCGCCGTCTGCTCTTTCCTACAACCATCTGAGCAGCGACTTCTCGTCCTGCACGTCGCTTTCAGACCTCTTGATTGTCGAAGTAACGGAGGGGTGGGAGAGCAAAGTCTCCGTCGTTCATCGTTCTATCAGACGCGTTATACAGCTTCTCCTCGCTGACGCGCCCTCTGCGGAAGAACGCGACATTCCAGTATGCTATCCTCGTGTCAGGTATATACCAGATGTTTGTATGTACTTCACCCTGGCTAAGCACTCGCATTTGTACAAAGAACTCCATGCGGACTGGCTCCTTCACAATTGCCGCGCGCGTTGTGACTCGCGGCATGTCGGGACAGGCGCCCTCCAAGGCGCACCTGCATAAGCCCATCCTGTCCAGCAAGTTTCCCGTGGGCTACGCGGTGGGCGGCTCGCACTGCGGCGTGAAGAAGGACGCGTCGGTGAACGACCTGGCGCTCGTCGTGTCTACCACGGACGCCCCCGCGTCCGCTGCAGCGTGCTTCACCCGGAACGCGTTTAAAGCGGCCCCTGTGCTCGTTTCCCAGGAGGTCCTGGAGAAGAGCGGAGGCAGGGCGCGCGCCATTGTGGTCAACAGCGGCTGCGCGAACGCGGTCACGGGCACGCAGGGGATGAAGGATGCGTGGGCGATGTCGAGGGAGACCGACAAGGCCGTCCTCTCAGCGAAAGGGGACTCGGACCCCTCGACGCTCGTGATGTCGACGGGCGTCATCGGGCAGACGCTGCCCATCGCGAAAATTCTGGACGGCATCCGCGCGTCGGCGGGCGAGCTCGGGTCCGACTTCGCGGCCTGGGAGCGGGCGGCGAAGGCGTTCATGACGACGGACACGTTCCCGAAGATGGTCGCGCGCACGTTCACGCTGGGCGAGGTGACGTACCGGATGGCGGGCATCGCGAAGGGCGCGGGGATGATCCACCCGGATATGGCGCCGGCGCTGCCACATGCGACGCTGCTGGGGTGCGTCGTGACGGACGCGGCGGTCGCGCCGAAGGCGCTGCAGAAGGCGCTCGCCTACGCGGTGGACCGCAGCTTCAACTCGATTAGCGTGGACGGGGACATGTCGACGAACGATACTATCGTGGCTCTGGCGAACGGCGCGGCGGGCGGGCAGGAGCTGACCGCGGAGGATCCGGCGTTCCCGGTTTTCCAGGAGGAGCTGAAGGACTTCACGGTGCAGCTGGCGCAGCTTGTGGTGCGCGACGGCGAGGGGGCGACGAAGTTCGTGACGGTGTCGGTGAAGAATGCGCCGACGTACGAGGACGCGCACAAGATTGCGAGCAAGATCTCGACGTCGGCGCTGGTAAAGACGGCCTTGTTTGGCGAGGATGCGAAGTAAGACTCTCCCTGTTGACATCTCCTTGGCCTAGCTGACCTCGACCCTCTAGCTGGGGCCGCGTCCTCGCTGCTACCGGCTCCGTCCCGCTCTCCAACGGCGCCGCCATCGACACCACTAAGGTTAACGTTACCTTCATCCCCTCCGACGGCACCGCCCGGCTTCCGCTCCTCGTGAACGGCGAGCCAGAAAAGGTCGACGAGGACCGCGCGAAGGAGATCCTCAGCCTCGAGGATATTGAGGTCGAAGTCGACCTGGGTTTGGGCAGCCAGGAGGCGAAGTACTGGACGTGTGATCTGAGCTATGTAAGTTGTTCGATTGGCTGCCGTCTTCTGGGCAGGATGAAAGCTGACTCCGTTTGCAGGACTATGTCAAAATCAATGGCGATTACCGCAGTTAGATGGCTGGGTGAAGTTGGGTGGGAGGACTTGTGGGTTGTGGAGGGACGTGCAAAATGAAGAATGGCATGTGCTAACACTTGCATAAGATCTAGGTATAGTTGGATATAGGATACGATACTGTGCTGTGCTGTGATTTGTTCGTCTTGTCGCAGTGAATGTCCATGAAGTCTATAACCCGTCCGACTCTACTTTCCCTCCTCACCTGATCTCTTCCACCTACTCCTCCCCCTCTTTATTCCTCCCATCCCCACCTCCCTCCCCCTCCTCACTCACCCTCGCAGCCTACTCCCCCTCCTCCCCCCACACCCCCAACGCATTCACCAGCTCCCAGATCTCCTTGCACCGAAACTCGCTCGGACTCGGTCTGGGATCGCCCTCGACGACCTCCATTGTGCAGCGGCACGCGTGCTGCCGGCACTCGGAGAGGTCGACGAAGAAGGGCTCGGCGTCGGGCGCGGGGTCCGCGCGCGCGTGGATGTTGGGGTCGCCGAAAGGGTGGAGGGGAGCATAGGGGGAGGTGGGGGCGTGAACATTAGCATCCACGAGAGGGTGGAGGCTGGACTTGTCGTGTGTAATGGGGCGCTTGGTCCCGCCGCGCGCGAGGAGGTGGCCGTCCCAGAGGTTGCCGTGGGCCATGGCGGTCATGTCGTGAAAGTAGAAAGCTTTGTCGATGATGCGGGCTCTAAGGGAAGGGGTCAGTATTTGTGAGCCCCTATGATTGGGAAACGACGCAAGAGGGCGTAGCAACGACGAGTGTCAACAGAGAAATCGAAAAACACTAGCTCACTTCATTTGCCTTGGGATTTGGCTGAGCTTCCTTGTACGCAACGGCGCGCCACAATATTCGAGCAGCAAACACCGTATGCGCCGCGCAAAAGGTACACCTTGTGGTTCTGCTTCAAACAAGCCATAGCATGTCGGGATGACAAGCCCTTGTAAGGGTGCGGCAACATCATAGTGGGACGCTTCGCGCGCAAGGGCGCTTTCCCTACCCTCGGCGAAGAGGAAGTCGGTTTTTAGTACGAACTCGCGGGGAGGGTAGGTGGCATCCCCGTTGCAGCCATCCATATGTGCGTCTTCCTGGTGTAGCCTTGTGTGGCTATCGATGACTTCGCGAGCGCGATAGATGCGCGCGCCCGTGCCCTCGTGTATGAGCGCGGTGACCCGCAGGCGCAGTGGGCGTGCGTTTCGGGGCACGTCCGCGGCGACGGTGTGCACGCCGCTCGAGGGGTAGAGGGCAAGTCGCCGAAAGGTAACGTGCGGGAGTGGCAAGCGTACGCGACCATCGCAGGTTACAGAGACTAGATGTGGACAAAGGTCTTCGATGGCAGTGGCTTCTGGGGAGGCCGCACGGGAGGAGTGGCTCGAGGTAGAGTGGCACGACGACGACATGAGGCACGATGAAGAGGTCCAGTGAGTTCAGCGAGACGGTGTGGGGGTCAGACGAGAGAGCAAGGTCAGGGTTTGCCCTTTATGAAGGGTGGCCCAAAGGCGTGCCCTCTTTGTCGTCGCCCAGGATGCCGGCCAATTCCACGTCCGGCTATCAACAGGACCTATGGTAAGTCAAGCAAAAAATCGTTTGTTTTGATATTTCTGGAAGTCGAAGAGTCAATGTAGCACGCTCTTCTGTTAGAGAATGTTGATCTTTAGCTTACTTAGAAGAAAGTTTGGTTGAAGTTCGGCTCCGGTTGTCGCGTGGCAAGAGCAAGGTCGTGTTAGGGGTCCGCGTCTCACGCTCCTTGGTTCTCACCACCATCTTGCTCTCCTTCCAGGCCCCTCACGATTGCCGTACTGATGCTGGCGGGAATTCTTGTCTTCGCCGAAGCATCCAGTCCATTTGGGTTGTCATCGATTATCACCTCAACTCGGGGAATGCATCGAAATGACACGCTACAGGCGCACTTTCTTCTCTTAGGTTGATCGTCCCTCCAGCCACTTCGGGCTTGCTCTCCTGATGTGCTGCTGCCAGGGGCTCTCGCATTGCCACCTATTCGTTTAGCGTCATGATCCGAGGTTCTCTCGCTGCGAATGCGAAGCGAAGCTCTATGACCGGACGGCAAGCCATCTTCTTGCGCGTGATGACGGGGGACCTCGCTGTATACCCTACTGAGCAGCGCACAGCATACCCGCCAGACCAGCCTAGCAGATACCCCAGCTTGACATCGAGCGGATCTCTATCCCGCACTTGCGGTATGCGTCTAACGTGAATGGTCTATGCGACTGAACACGGACGCTCAAACATTCTCGGACCGCTGTTCCTTCTCATCGTACGAAGCCTGCCCTTCTTTTCCCGTCTGCTTCCCTTCTGTCTCCGTGCGCGTTCCCATATGAGTACGCCTATTAGAGTACGTCCGCGCATGGGAGTCCTCCGAGCCCTCGCATGTGCGTCTTCCTAGCCTTCGCATTCACCGATGCTGAACCTTTTGCCAAGATGACGCTTCTCGTTCTGGATTCGCCCCTCTCTTCGCCGCTGCTTCTGCCGCTTTGTTCTCACCTTCTGTCCGCTGTGTGCTCGCCTTCCTCCCGCTCTCAGGGCCTAACGCAACTCGTTTCATACGACCTTTGTGAGGGGCTATAAGTATGCGGGAATTGAAGATATGTGTTCTTTTCCGTGTCTTCGTCCCACATCCGGTAGACCGCATTCATCTGTCATGGTCACCCCAGCGGAGCCGGCGCCTTCTTCGCTGAATGTCTGGTCTCGACTGCTATCACAGACCTTGATCTTCTTCGAATGCAGTGTCGGTACGCATACAACTCGTTCAGCGATGTATCAGCCACCGATAGTTCGAATCAGGAAGTCCTTGGTTCGCTACACAGATCGAAATAACCATTCGTCGTGCGGATTGACCTTACACATCGACCTAGAACGCATCATGCGGCGGTATAGCTATAGCCTACGGTAGGAAGGAGTACCACGATGGGTATACTGCTAACCCTGAATCTCTACTGCTCACCTCGTAAGTCGCCGGCATCTCGTATGGTGCGAGAGGCGCGTGCGAGTGTGACGAGAAGGGCTTGCGCGGAGTGAGTGGGAAGGCGAAGAGGGCGAAGCAGGTATCGCACGAACGGGACGAAGAAGGCGTCGCGCGAACGGCACGAAGACGTCTCGCGAATGAGACGAAGAAGGCATCTCGCGAATGGGGCGCGTTCGATGCTTGCGGAGGTGCCTTGCGCGGACGTGTACGGGATATATAAATCCCCAAGACCCTTGTGGCGCATGGCTGGGGTTTGGGTTATGCATGCTGAGCAGGGCCTGTTAATGTGAGAGCCTATAACTGTGAGGGCTTGTTACTGTGAGGAACTGCTACTGCGGGTGAGGTTGACGGCGCGGAATGAATGCGCCAGTCAGGGTCAGAGAACGGTGTTCCGAAGGAGACGTAGCGACGCGTATACCGATTAGCTGTGTACCGTCTCGTAAGGACTAGTATAGAGCGGTTGTATGGCACTGATGCTCATTCAATGGACCATCACTGTGCATACTAGTGTCCATCATGCATCATGCATCCTGCCGTGCGTTCGCACTACGATGGGAAGGCTAAGATGGGGCTTGACTGCATGAGCGGACAAGGCGGACATCCCCGCACAACTCTCGGCCGTTGCCGCGAAAGTTCAACATGGCGCACGTGATTGTGCACGGACCAAGGCACGCGCCAAGTTCAACCGCTCACGTGCGCATTTGAGCTCATCGATCGCGATCTTGAGTTGGGATCTTCCAGCATGAGGCGGTGAATTCAACGTCCACTGTGGTCCGTGTCTGTTGACGTGCGAAGGGAGACCTTGACGTCGAAGAGAAACCCTGGGATCGAAGGGAAGGTTCAGAATAGGCCCGGGCGCCGCACGGCGGGGAGTATTTACCCTGGGCTCCCTTCTTGCTTTGTCAAAGGCTTGACACTGAGGAAGGTCGGGGAACGCGAGAAGCTGATAGATTGGAAGATATGGGGGATGCGCGCCGCTCGGATGAGGTAGGTCGGACGGGCAAGTATGTGCATAGACGGTGGGCATCGTCCTATGTCGACCGCTGGAAGCGGGGGATTTAGCCGACATCTCCCAAAGCTTGCAAGACACTGTCGTTACATTAGGTCAGAGGAATAGTCAATCGAAATTAGCGAGGGAATCAGAAGCAGGGCGTGCGTCGTTGGCGACGCATTGTGAACTTACCTGACGAACTGCGCACCGCACCAGGCTTAGTGCCCTTCCGAATGGGATCGGGCAACTTCCGCTGCGCGACAGCAGCTTCGGGAGGCTAGCCTGGGCAGCACAATAGGGTGGCGCCTCGCTCCGTGGCTCTCGAGGCTCGCGAGCATTCCTGAGGAGCGCCCTCGATGTGATTGGCCCGCCGAACGCTCGGGAAGGTGTTCGCATCAGCTGGGTCATTGTTTCCGGATTCCGAACGGAGGTAACAAGGACCCAAAGCGTGAGTTACCGGCGGGTCGGTCGGTCACCTAAAATGATCAGGAACACATGGTTCTCGGCGATTTAATTGGCTCGGCCTGCCGCTTTTCCTTTTCCCTAGCCCCCCGCCAGCATTCATCGCCCCTCTTCCCGAACCGCCATCTTCTCTCTCCCCGCTGCTGCCGAGAAGGATGGCGTCGAGCTCGATATATGCGGTGAGTGAGGGCGCGGACCTGGACAGGCGGATAGACGCCAGCCGCTTCGGTCTACCGAATCCGCCCATGCGTTTCTCACGGTCGGCGTGGCCGCCTCTCGCCTTCTCCCGTCATCATCACCAGCTCATGCCGCCCCCACAGCACCGTAACCTCCAGCCTAGCGCGCCCGTCCCCTCGGTGGGGCCGCCCCCGGGGTATGCTAGGTTCCCCCAGAGCCTCGAAAACCTGCAGCGCGACATAGAGGCAATGGCGCAGGAGTTGCGAGCGGCGCGCAACGAACGGGAACAACTTGAGAAGCAGGGTGTGTCACATACCAATATACTTCTTGAATATTTGTGTTTACCTGGAATATAGTCAGTAACCAGGAGAATGAAATGGGCCTCCTCCGGCGAGCACTCTATGAGCTCGAGAAGACACACCTAAGAGCGCGCCAGCAATACGAGGAGGACGTAGCTCGCCTGAAAGAAGAACTACACTTAGCCACAAGACAAGCGCCCCCCTCATCTCACGGCGCTCCCCCAACTCGAGGCGGCGGCCCTCCTCTGTCGACGCTCGGTCCGCCTGCTGGTCCCGCCGCCCCCTACATTGACACTTATCGCGACCGGGATCGTGAGAGGGGGCCTGGTCCACGCGATCTCGCACCCCGCGACCGCGACATGATGGACATCGACCGCGACCGTGACCGCGAGCAGCGCGCCTACGAGCGCGACACCAAGCGGTACAAGCAGGAGAGGATCAAGGAGGGTGAGTGGTCCCCGCGCTTTTCTACGTAGCTCGAACCCTGATCTTGGCGCAGGAACCATGAGCCCTTCCGTCATGCCTAAGCTTGCTGCGATTGGCGGGCATCCCCCACCAGCTGTTGGCCCCGGTCTACCTCCGCTTGCAACCCAGACTGGCTATCCGATGCCCCCAGGTCCATCGGGTCCGCCACCTCCGCCTCCCGGACCTAGTGCTGTGGATCCGAACTCCCAGTCACCCGCTCGACCCGTCCCCGCCTTCCTCGATGAACTCGATCCGAGTGTGATGCCACCCGAACTGAAGAAGGAGGGTCCGGAATATTGGGCCGTCTTCAATCCGAAGACGAAGCGTGTGATTGACATAGATATTGTGCACACCTTCCCTCACCCAAGGCACGTGATACAACTCTATGATACTATTCATTGGCTAACACAGTCCTGCAGCGTGGTATGCTGCGTGCAGTTCTCCGCGGATGGCAAATACCTGGCCACGGGATGCAATCGAAAAGCACAAATCTTTGACGTGAAGACTGGTCACAAGACAGCGTATGTTCATCGATTTTCCTACCACGAATATCTCTCTGACCACTTTTCTGCAGCGAGTTCTTGGACAAAAATGCGAATGCCAACGGCGATCTGTACATCCGTAGCGTGTGCTTCAGCCCCGACGGCAAGTATCTTGCAACAGGCGCCGAGGACAAGCTGATCAGAGTGCGTCGTCCTTCTTCGCTGCCATTTCCCGTGCTGACCGCACTTTAGCTCTGGGATATCGCGAAAGGCCGCATCCGCCAGGTCTTCGAGGGCCACCAGCAGGAGATCTACTCCCTCGTCTTCTCGCACAATGGCAAGCTGATCGTCTCCGGCTCTGGCGACAAGACCGCGCGCATCTGGGACATCTCCGACCCGAGCAACAACAAGGTGCTGGCGATCAACGAGCCCGACACGCTCACTACGGAAGCCGGCGTCACAAGCGTGGCCATCTCGCCCGACGGCCGCCTCGTCGCGGCGGGTTCGCTCGACACCGTCGTTCGCATTTGGGACGTCGCGACTGGGCAGCTGCTCGAGCGCCTGCGTGGGCACCGCGACAGTGTCTACAGCGTGCGCTTTACGCCCGACGGTCGCGGCTTGATCAGCGGGAGCTTGGATAAGACGCTGAAGTACTGGGACATCACGCCGGTGACGAGCGCGGGCAAGCACAGGGAGATGGTGCACTGCACGATGAGCTTTGCGGGGCATAAGGACTATGTGCTGTCGGTCGCGGTGTCGCCAGATGGCCAGTGGGTGGTGTCGGGGTCGAAGGACCGCTCGGTCACGTTCTGGGACTCGCGGACAGCGACGATGCAATGCATGCTGCAAGGGCACAAAAACTCCGGTATGGTCGCTTTGGCATGCGAAGGTCTCCTCACTGATGACGATCTGCAGTTATCTCCATCGACCTCAATCAAACGGCACAAATGCTTGCAACGGGAAGTGGAGATTCGCAAGCGCGCATCTGTGAGTATTGTCTGTCATTTCAACGCCTCATTTGCTCATCATCAAACGCAGGGGCGTACACACCGTACAATGGGCCCTAGGCGTGCGTTCCGGAACCCAACACTAGTTCAACGAACGACGCGGCGATCCCCTCATCCTCAGGTGCCTCAAAACCGCCAACTGACCGGCCTCCACGATCGCGGACGTCTCATCTACATGGGCGCGAACCCCATAAATGTATAAGTGTGCTTGTATCTCATACCTATTTGCTCATACCCTACGCTGCTGTCCACTGCTCTTGTCGTCTTTCCCTCGTGGTGTCGTGGTGTCGTGTTTGCCGTGTACCTCGCGGTGTCTTGCTTACTTCGCGGTGCTTACCCCGCGGAACCGTCGCGTACTGTTGCTTGTCTATTGTCTGTGTGGTAGCCTAGGGAATGGCATGTATCCATAGCATTGGGGTCAATTGGGTTCTTATCTGGGTCGTGGCGCGCGGGGCGCGGGAGCGGGTGTGAGGCGGGTGAACAGAAGTGAAGCGGGAGAACGGTTGTGGCGTGCGAAGATAGGCCTTTTTCGGGTTGATAAGGGCTTCCGAATGGGGATTCCCCGGCCAATGCCAAGCCTGAATGTGATCGTCACAAGTCAAACCGCCTTCAAATTCTATACGATCAAGGATAACGCCCCTATAGGCATACCAGATACAGCGTGAATACATCCTGAACATGAACCAGCGTAACAGACTATCTACAAAGGAAACAAATGGCAATGATACATGGAGCCCTCTATCGGTACTCGAGGTCAGCCTCGGTGACCTTGTCCCCGAACACGACCTTTCCGGACGCGGACGAGTTGTCGTCGTAGACCTTGTCGTCGGCGGGGACGACGCCGATGTACTTCGCCTCCTCTGGCGTGAAGGTGCCGAAGAGGTCGACCTCGTCGAACTCGCCGAGATGTGGCGGCGGGAAGAGCATGTTGAGGGCGTAGAAGAGGATGGCTGAGATGGAGAAGCCTAGGAGGACGGTCAGATGGTGTGTAAGATGGAAAAGGAAGGGTTGACTCACCGATGAAGAAGGACATGTAGTACAGCTGGAACAGCGGGCGCGCGACGGTCGTCTTCTGCACCGTCGCGTTCAGGCCCGCGATCAGCGGCGCCCAGCCCGCCACCCACGCGAGCGGCGTGCGCCAGTTGAAGCCGAAGTTGTAGTAGTACTGCCCGTGCAGGTCGAAGAGCGAGCTCAAGCGGATGCGCTGCCGGCGGAGGATGAAGTAGTCCGTGGTCATGATGCCCATGATCGGGGCGAGGAAGACGGTGAAGGAGGAGAGGACGGTGATGAAGGTGTCCGCGCGGTTGACGAGCTGCCAGGGCATGCAGATCCAGGCGGCGAAGAAGGTGATCATGGCGCCGCGCTTGATGTTGATGTACTTGGGGAAGATGCCCGCGAGGTCGATGCCGCCTGCGACGGCGTTGCCACAAATGTTCTCGAAGCCGGCCTTCAAATAATGTCAGCACAAAACTCAAGGAAAGAGAATGCGCAGACATACAGTCAAGGCGAAGCCGAGGGCGAGGAAGAAGACACCAGCACGGGCCTTCGAGCTGCCCTGGCCATCCTCCATCTAGGAGTACTGTCAGTCTGAGGCCGCGTGAAAAATCCGCCAAGCACGCACCATCCTCATCAGGAGATCGGGAGGGTTCCAGTAGACCTCACCGTAGATCTTCTGCGTGGCGGACACGGTGACGAGACCGACGAAGCTGACCATGGTACCAGTGCAGAACCTGAAGACAAGTTAGACACCGAGTGCGAGTAGAGCGCCAACATAGACGTACAAGCATAGGAAGGTGCCGATGATGTACTCGCGCGCCGTTTTGCCGTAGCGAGAGAAGTCGGAGCCGTTCGTCATGCCCGCAGCCTTGCCACCGATAGCTGAGTTGATGCACTTGAGCTGTAACGATGTCAGCGTCGATGTTGAGACAGTGAGAGTGTGTCGACTTACCATCACCCAGTTGATGGACCAGCTTCCGGTCAGGTTCTGCCCAGTGTGGAAAGTCGAGCCAACACCCTTCGCGACAGCGAGTGCCCAGATCACTGAGGAGAGTCAGCTTGAGCCCGTCGTTGACAAGGGGAGTCTACATACTCATGCAGACCATGGCGACACCGCAGTAGATGCAAATGACCTGGAAGGGGAGGCGAAACTTCTCGGGCGGCAGCCACAGGAAGGGGAGCGAGCAGAACCAGAAGATCTATGAAAAGCGATCAGACGCAGTCTTCGACATGAAGCTGGGAGCGAGACGTACCGTGAAGCCGACCATCTCATAGGTTGTCGTCGGCATGCTTGAAGGCAAGGCTACGAATATGGTGAGCCAATGTCGAATGCAGTGAGCGGAGACGACTGACTATTCTTCATGCTCGCGAACGAGGGGAATATCGCAGTGATACAGACGCACACCAACTTCCCACCGTTCCAGCATTGAATGGCGTTCCAGATGAAGTTCAACATGACGCGCTGGATGAGCGGAATGTAGCTTCCGCGCATGCCCCAGGAGAACCGATTCTGAATATTGATGAGTATAAGTACGATGGGCGGAGACATGAGCGACTGACCTGGATCGTGAAACCGACGTGCCACCGAAGACCACACCAAGCGACCAAAGACGCGAAGAGGCAGACAATGGCCCTCGAGACTATGATGACACCCATAGACTGACCGACTGACAGACCAACGGTGAGGTAGCTGTTGGGCATCTGCCATGCGGAGATCTAGAAGGGGACTATTAGCGAGCGACCGAGCATACACATCCGGCCATACGTACGTTCAAGGAAGACAGGGACCAGTAACCGAAGTATTCGAAGAGACCCCACGTCCGACGCCTAAGCCGTTGGTGAGCACGATAGTAGGCGCGAGGGGACATAGCACTTACGAAGGTGGCAGAGGAATGAGGTCGCGGTTACTCCAGGAGTCGGTCTTCTCGTGCTTGTCCTCGTCTCCGTGCAGCTTGACAGCCTCGTTGGCGCGTTGGAGGACAGACATGGCCGTCGTGGGTGGAGGTCGCTCCGATGCAGGCGAGTGGCAAAACTCCAAGTCCACAACTCGCGTCTCTTAAAGCACATCGCATGATGATAGGTAGATAAGCAGGTGACTGGTGTGAAGGGAGCAAGGTTGGCCGTGGGTAGGTTTGATAAGGGGGAAAACCCGAAGGCCGGAGCGTACCTGCCGGCCCAGCGCTTCCATGGGCGATCCTAGCTGAGCCACCGGCGAATAGTCGTAGGAGTCATGGAGTGATAGACGCGTCGAGGACAATGAACGGAAGCTGGATAAGGACAATCAGGGACAGGAGGGACAATAGCCAGGTACCCGCATTTGTCGCGCCTCGGCGAAGTCGAACTCGAGGGTCGGTCATCCGGGCCGAACAGAGGTGTGTCACACTGTGACCGTAGAGGACTCGCTTTGGCGGTCCGCCGGCGGCGAGTGGGTCGGAGGGATACCGCTGGGTGTGCCGGTCGAAGATGCCGTAGAGGGACTTGTGGCCTTAAGAGTCGACCTCCCTCTATCACGATGATAGCCACCGCATCCCCTCCAAGTCCGCAATCATGCCTGCCAAGCTCGAAGCGACCCTGCGCGTAGGTGTTGACGTCGGTGGAACGAACACGGACGGTGTCCTGCTCGATCCGTTCAGCACCTCGGAGGCCAACCGGGGCATCCTCGCGTGGCACAAGGCGCCTACAACCACAAATCCGAGCATCGGAATCGAGGAGTGCATAACGCACTTGTTGAACGAGGCGAAGGTCGATCCCTCGCGTATCGCGAGTGTGACCATCGGGACAACAGTGCGTGTTTCTCTAAATCGCGTACGAGTCGAAGTCTGACGCGACCTGTAGCACTTCATCAACGCTGTGGTCGAGAAGGATCGCAATCGTCTCGCACCTGTCGCCGTCATTCGTCTCTGTGGTCCCTTCAGCCGCGATGTCTACCCCGGCATTGACTGGCCCGCCGACCTGCGCGACATCATCTGCTCATACTGCGGCTTCGTCGACGGTGGCCTCGAGATCGACGGCCAGATCATACGCGAGATCGTAGAGGAGCAGATCAAGGCGGAGTGCGAGAAGATCAAGCAGCTGGGTATCAAGGCCATCGTCGTGAACGGCATCTTCTCGCCCTCGGACTTGGAGGAGAAGCAGGAGGAGCGGGTCGGCGAGTGGATCGCTAAGTATTACCCGGAGGCCGATGTCGTCCTTTCCAAGCATGGTACGTCTTGAGCCCCTTGTTCGTGTACTCTGAACTGACTTCCGCATAGTCGCCAACCTCGGCTTCGTTGCCCGCGAGAACGCCGCCATCTTGAATGCCTCCATCCTCCCCTTCGCACGCCGCACCATCTCCTCCTTCCAGCACGCCATCGCCTCCCGCCTCAACCTCAAGTGCCCTGTCTTCCTCACGCAGAACGATGGCACCATTCTCCAAGCGCACCTCGCCGCGAACGTCCCCATCCGCACGTTCTCTAGCGGCCCGACGAACTCGATGTGCGGCGCCGCCTTCCTCGTCAAGCACGAGTTCGCGGAGAAGGAGAAGCGGCCCCTGCTGGTGTGCGATATCGGCGGCACGACGACGGACGTCGGCATGTTGCTGGCGAGCGGTCTTCCGAGGCAAGCAGCTGCCATAACGGACGTGTCGGGCGTGATGATGAACTTCTCGTGCCCGGATGTGAAGAGGTGAGCAGTTACGCTCTTTATTCCGGTGGCCCCTATTGACGCATCCATTCAGCATCGGTCTCGGCGGTGGCTCCATCGTTCGTAAGGACTCGCCTACTTCCAAGCTCACCATCGGCCCCGACTCCGTGGGCCACCACATCAAGACGCGCGCGCACGTCTTCGGCGGCGACGTCCCCACCGCCACGGACTACGCCGTCGCTTGCGCGAAGGTCTCTGGCCACTCCCTCGACGTCGGCGACGCGTCGCGGCTCCCGCAATCATTCTACGACAACGCGGAGGAGTACCGCGAGGTCGTGAAGCGCATGCTGGAGAACATCATCGACCGGATGAAGACGAACGCGGACGATATCGAGGTCTTGCTAGTCGGTGGTGGTGCGGTGTTGGTGAACGAGGGCGAGGTCTTGAAGGGCGCGAGCAAGGTCATTAAGCCGAAGTTCTCGGGAGTTGCGAATGCGATTGGTGCAGGTGTGTTTTGTGGCCTTGTCGGTATCCATCACAATGTTGACACTCATCATAGCCATCGCCCGCGTATCTGGTACCGTCGACACCGTCGTCAGCACGGAGGGTAAGACGACGCAACAGGCTATCGAGAGCGTCGCGCAGCTGGCCATCGACCGCGCAGTCGAGAACGGTGCTGTCCGAGAGACAATCGAGCTCGCCGAGATGGATGCCATTCCTCTTCAGGTGAGCTTTTTCACTCCCAACTTTGCGCCACCGGCTAACTTGCTGCCAGTACATTGCCAACAAGTCCCGCGTCATCGTCAAGGCCATCGGCGACTTCGACTTTGCGCACGTCGCGCCCACGCCCCCTCCCCTGGCGCCCGAAGAAGCTTCGGAAGGCGACGCCATCCCCGAGAAGGACCCCGCAAAATCAGGCAAGGAGAACGCCGCCCAGCTCTCGGCCGAGCAAATCAAGACGTACAAGCCCACCGTGACCGCGCAGCGCGAGTGGCTCGTCTCCGAGACCGACCTCGGTTGGATCGCCACGGGATGCTACATCCTGGGCACGGGCGGTGGGGGTACGCCTTACCCACATTTCGTGCGCCTGAGGGAGATGGTGAGGAACGGGGCGGTATTGAGGGTGATCAGCCCGGATGACTTGAAGGACGATGCGTTGATCGCGTGCGGTGGGGGCAAGGGGAGTCCGACGGTGGGGATCGAGAAGCTGGCGGGTGATGAGTGAGTAGTCGACTTTGAGGCACCGCGGGATCTCGGCTGACCTCTTCGAAGGATGATGGAGTCGCAGCGCAAGGTGTACGAGCTTGTTGGCCGGCAGCCAGACGCTGTCATTGCGCTCGAGATCGGCGGCGGCAATGGCATGCAGGGCTTGCTCATCGGCGCCTCGACGAACATGGACATCCCGACCGTCGACGGCGACTGGATGGGTCGCGCGTACCCCGTCGCCTGGCAAATCACGCCCGTCGTCTGGGGTGGCGACAAGGCCCAATTCGTCCCCACTTGCTGCGCTGACGGTAACGGGAACGTCATGGTGCGCTACCCCTACCACACCCTCCCTCCTTGCTCACCCTCTTCAGGTCATGACCTCCGCGACCACCGAAAAGATGATCGAGCGCGCCTTCCGCGCCGCACTCGCTGAGATGGGCTCCCATGTCGCCTGCGCCAAGGGCCCCACGACCGGCGCGAAGACCAAGTCCTGGGCCGTCCAACACACCATCTCCCTCGCCTGGCGCGTCGGCCGCGCCGTCGCGCTCTGCCGCGCGCAGAATCAGCTCGACGCCGTCGCGGACGTCATCATCGACTCCGTCGGCGGGCCCTCAACTGCGCGCACGCTCTTCCGCGGGAAGATCGTGTCCGTCGAGCGCAAGACGGTCAAGGGGCACGCGTACGGGGAAGTCGTGATCAAGGCGCAGGAGGGCGATGGGTTCGAGGGCACGATGAAAATCCCGTTCAAGAATGAGAATATTCTGGCGACGCGGGTGAAGGAGGATGGATCGGAGGAGGTCGTGGCGAGCGTGCCGGACTTGATTTCGGTGTGCGATAGTGCGAGCGGAGAGGCGATTGGGACGCCGGAGTACAAGTATGGGATCTTGGTGACGGTCATTGGGATTACGGCGTCGGACAAGTGGACGGCGACGCCGAGGGGCATTGAGATTGGCGGGCCCAGGGCATTCGGCATGGACGTCGAATATAAGCCTTTGGGTACGTTCGTGAAGCCGAAGAGTGTCATAGACGAGTACGCGCCTCAGGCATAGATGTAGCTTTAGACTTGTAGCACCTTAATTTATTCATTCATCTAAACGCTGCGAAAAACATTAGCTCGGAAAGGACTTACGAGCTTTGACATTCCGGTACATGCGACGCGATTGTGCTCCTTGCCAAACGCCCTTGCAGTCTCGAGTAAGATAAATAACCACCAAAGATACGACAACAGGACCTTTATGCGTCTCCCTCCTGCTCCCTGATTTCTCGTTCCAGTCGTTCCCTCTCTGCTTGGCGCATGCGCAGCAAGGTGAGAGATTCGTAGTCCATACCGGCGACAGTCGGTAGTGAGGGTGCTAGTGGAGTAGCTGGCGCGGAAGACAGATCAGGCTAGGGAAATCGTCAGCAACAGAACTATCAAGACGTGCGAAGTAACTCACGAATGATGAAGGGAAGGTTGAGAAAGGTGTCCCGTTGTCACCCTTCGGCTTCTCAGCCTGCGGCAGCTCCGCTTTGGGCGCGTCGCGCACCACAGGTGGAGGCGATGGTGGCTTTGGTGTCCCCAGCTTTCCTTGCTTCTTCAGCCAGTCCAGAATAGGCGGCTCAGACCCGCCCGCCCAGGTGATGTCAACGCCCTCGAGCCCACGCTCGGGTCGTCCACTTGATGCGACGGCGCCGAGTGCGCTTCCGATCTGCTTGAATGGTACAAGGGCAGTGCCAAATTTGGCGGGCTTTGTGGGTGCCTTCTTTGGCGGCTTGAGAGCGAGGACAATGGACGCGGTATCGATGTCGCCAAACTGTGTGAGGAGGCTGGCGATCGCGTCCGCAGTGGTTAATTTGGGGTTCTTGGTGAGCGTGAACTTCACGCGGACGGTCGTGTCGAGGGCACCTAATGTATGTCAGCAAATCCATCCCTAAACAATGGATGGCCGTAATTCACTCACCGATCGACGGCACGTCCAATGCCTCCTGCTCAGCCTGCCGCGCTGCTGCCTCTTGTTCCCTCTCCCTCTCCTGCATCGCGCGCTGCCTCTCTTCCCTCAGCCGCTTGCCTTCCTCCTTGATCTTCTCCGTCTCGTGCCAACGGGCGACCTCCTCCTTCTGCTGCTCCATCTTCGCCTTCTTGAAAGCGCGCTCGCGCTCCTCGAGCTCCTCAACCATCGCCTTGCGCTTGGAGTCATACTGCTTGAAGCGCTGCGCCTTCGCCTCCTTCAAGCGGACCTTCGCGTCCAGTGCCATGCGCCGCAGTGGGTCGAGCAGCAGCTCATAGGCCTGGTTGAGCTCGTGAAACTTGCGTGCAGCATCGGGATTGCCTCTGTTCTGCAGGCAGAGATTAGCCTTTGAATTTCTGCGATGGGGGATGTCTACACACCCTGTCAGGATGGACTTTGAGGGAGAGCTTCCGGTAAGCTGTCCGGATATCCTGATCGGTCGCCTCTGAACCCAGCGAGAGGAGCTCATAGGGGTTGACTTCAACCTCAGACGTATCCATGATGGTACTTCGTGCGGGTCACAGCCAGGAGGAAGGGTTGGGCGCGTCTGAGGAACAATGGGAGATGGCAGTCGAGCGTGAACGTGCTTGAGCGCTTAGACGTGTGAAGGATGACGAGCGGGCCGGGATTCCGGACCGTGCGCGCCGGCAATTGCAGGCACTCGCTCTCTTCAAGGCAATTCCATCTTCAAGTTCAAAGCCTGACCTCTCCCCTGATGCACCGAGTTTTAGCTCGCGCATCTACGCAACCTCAAATGTAAAGACCCATTTGTCTTTGCACGGCTGGACCTCGCTCTCACCCCAAGAAAACTGAAGCCTCTGCCCGTACTTCCACTCCTTCCTCGCTGCCATTTCAATCAGTCGATGCTTCTCCTGCTCAATCACCACTACTCACATCCGTGAAGGACGAACCCGAAGCCCTCGTATGTGACCTGCTCCGGAAGCCCGCTGACGATATGGCCGTAAAGGATGGCATTCACTACATCCTGGACAGTTGTTTTCGTCAGACCAAAATGCGCCCTCCAAATAGATGACACGCACCGTAACCTCCCTCTGCACTGCGTAGAACTCGAGCGCCATCTCGACTGTGCTTATATCGGGATGCCTGAGGTGAGAGTAGGTCAGTCTCACGAGCGACCATCTACGCGTCGATGCACACTCACGACTGCGCCAACACCATCAGCACCTGCACGACAATGCCCCCACTGTCATTCCCATCCATGTGTGGAAAGAAGATCAGCGTCGCATCGTCGAGGCGGAGGTAGAAGTTCTCAGAGGCTTCGGGCACTAGTTTCTTCTCAACTGCGAGAGATCCATCTTGTGCTCTCATCTCTCGGTCTTACTTGCGCCGATCAGATACTGGGGACTTGGATAGTTCTGGACAAGGCGTGTCGTAACGACTCTCCCTCACCCTGAATGCGCTTCCATCCTGCGTCGGAGACTGTCAAAGAAGCTCTCAGAACCGTCATGGCTTCAGCGACCCGAAATGGCAGGTTTTCATCTCCGGATCCGACTGCTTCTTGCGAGCCTCAAGGCGCCACGAAGTCACCAGACGTGGTCATAAACGCGAGTGCTTCCCTGCGGCTGGAGGACGGCTCCTCGGGAGCGATGACCCACGGCCCTTGCTCATGGCCGCAGTGTCTCTAACCTATGCCGAGCAGCCGAGCAGCCTAGCCGGAGCGAGTGTAGATGTATCTCATTAGCGAATAAGTTAGACAATAGATAGGTATAGTAGGCAACTAATCAAGAAGTAGACGATGAGGTATCGTGCAAACGTAGCGTACGCGTGAAGGTAAGTGATACAGCGTGAGATGAGTAAAACGTGAGTAGAGTAGCGTCAAGGACATGAGTGCATGAAACGTGAAAAGGTAAGAGATCGTCAACTAGGACGTGGAAGAATCGTCGACAAGCGAATGTGAATGTTCAGTGAAAGTTGAGAGCGAAAAGGCCCTGGTAGGGAAGAATGTTCCTATATGCCGCTTATTGTGTTCGTAGTGGGTCGTTGCAGTGTTCATGAGGGTAGCAATCCTTGGGTATCGCACCAAAAGGGCGACATTGCCCGGATTCGTGGCGAAGGGGTGTCTCGAAATCTGACGGAGGTCTGTGAGCAGAGCTCGGACTCGGCATCAGCATCGAACTCACCAAAGACCCCAACCGGAGCTGCGACGCGTCGAAGACGCGGAGCTACACGTCGCCCGCTGACGCGTTGAAGACAACCTCGCGCCTTCCCGCGTTGTCCGTGCCGACGAACACCACGTCGCCCTGCCTTATTGGCGATGCGCTCACGTTGCGAGGCAGGCTCATGGTACGCGCATCCGCGACGCGGATGGTCAGGAGCATGCCGATCTCCAGGGACACGGCGAGCGCGCGGAGGATGATGATGGGGGACTTGGTCGCCTGCTTGCCGTAGCGGGTGTTGAGGACGTTCGGATGGAGCTGGACTTCACCCGAGGCGTATTTCGCTGGAGAGGGAGGGATGGAAGGTCAGTTTTGTATGCAGAATGATGCAGAAAGTATAACGCACCCGTCGTCCGGCGCTGGTCCGCGTGACAATGTGTCGGCACGTACGCGCGCCACGAAAAGTACTTGCAGTGCGGTTCCGGAGGATCGAACCGGATGGCCGCTAAAGCACCGTCGGGTAGAGTTTCGTAGTGCTCGAAGGACTTGCAGACGATGGCGTGGTTCTCGACCTTGAAGGGGAAGCCTTCAGGCGTGTCCCTTAGAGCGCCTGTTGCTAGTCGTGCTCGGAGCTGAACCTTGTAGTCGATCTGCGTCTGCGCGGGAATGGGGGAAAGGTCACCCTTCGGCTTCGCCGGATTGTAGTAGGTACAGTCAGAGGGAAGTGCATGCGCGTATAATGTTGCGGGGTACGTGTGCCCATAGGAAGAAGACGTTGCAGTTGAGGAGGCGGAGTATTGATAAGCGGCAGTGGCAGTAAAGGACATTATGTGCGTCTGGCCAGCAGGCACGGCGTGAAGGTATGCGAACGTCTAAGGGGGCGGGGACGGAATCTAGGAGACGGCGGGTGTGGGCACCGATTAGTGGACGGGAAGTACAGGGAAAGGTACGGCGACGCGCCTGCTTAAGTATGCCGTGCCCTTGTTTCTCGGCGGGCTGAAGCATACAATAGAGCCGGGCGGAGTACAAGGGCGCCCCGCACCCACATCCCATCACGAAGTCGCCTGTGAAGGGCCACTCGTCTCACGCGCGAGCTTGGATGGTCCTTGCGTGAGCTTGGGCCGGGACGGGAAACAATAGCAACAATTGCTGCTTTGAGGAACCGCGTCGCCAGGGAAGCGGTGCGAGGGCCTGGTCTGTGGGAAGGTGCATGGCGGGCAATTGTCTTCGGTAATCAGGAAGATTGTTATTCGGCGACGGGGACGCGACGAGAAGAGCAGTACAAAGGGAGACGATGACGGGAACAATCAAGCCGGCCGGCCCACGGAAGCAAACGACTTAGACTTCCTTTTTTGGATGAATGCCTCCCGGCGCGATTTGCCGGCGAACTCCGACCCCTCCTTGCCACAAACGTCGGACATGCCGTTCAGAGGCAATATACACCGCGCCTTCGGGACTCTTGCACTTTGTGATGATTATCATCTCGTTCCGTCTATACGATGAAGCTGTGCCCCGCAGGCAGTCTTCAAGTATGTAGCGCATTTCTGGAGCCAACGTTCGGCGACTGTCAGGGCACTTCGAAAAGTTGGGCTGCCAAGATCAATGGAGTCTTCACCAGACCCTGGGTAGACGGACTGGCTTGCTTGGTCTGCCAGTATGTGCCATAACAGGACGGCGGGAGACTCAGTGCTCTCTCAGCATTTTGTTCACGCGCTTCTGCTTCTATTTGACGCCTTGCTATTGTGAGCAAGTTCGCCTCTGATGGCCCTTTTGTATATCTTCTGTCCTTCCATACTTCTGACGTTCTCTCACAGGTAGACCGGCAGCTAAGTGGGATCACTCGAAGAAGCAAGCAACCCGGTATCGAGGCCAATCTTGGTTGATCCTCGGCAATAACCTGCCACGTATTCCTTCTCTTCCACCCCATCTCCTCTTGTATGCGCTGGTCCGCCTGGACAGTGTCTGCGACCACGCGCCCAGGCGCGTATAGGTCTATTCCTGACATTCATCCGCTGACCCCGCATTTGTAGCTCGCACGACCGGTCCGAAGAGCGGCGGCCCGGCGGCCCGCTCTCCCTGACGTCCTGCTCTCACCTTATAAAAGCGCCTCGGTATGGATCCTATAGTTAGCGCCCATTCGTCCACCCAGGACAGACGATTCCACAATGCCAAAGATCACTGGATACGAGACTCATGGTACGCTGAGGACGGGAAGCGAAGGGATCGTGCGCTGACCAGGACCTTGCAGATGTCCGCTTCCCCACATCGCTCAGCGGCGATGGGACGGATGCCATGTAAGTTCTTGCCTACCGACGCATAAAAATGACTCTAATGCAGCTGCACAGGAACACTGACTGCGACTACTCGTCCGCGTACGTGGAGATCAAGACGGATTCCGATCTCGTGGGATATGGAATGACCTTCACCATCGGTCGGGGGAACGACATCGTGCGTGGTTCTCACTGCCAGATGCACCTGAAGCTCACCTCAAATAGGTATGCATGGCTATAGGCCATGTTGTCAGCCGCTTGATCGGCAAGGACACCGAGGAACTCTTCGCAAACATGGGCAAGACTTGGGACTACTTGACTGCTGATCCTCAACTACGATGGATTGGCCCTGAAAAGGGTGTCATTCATATCGCGACTGGTGCGGTCAACAATGCGGTCTGGGACATGTACGCGCGGTCAAGGAACAAGCCGCTGTGGAAGCTTGTTGTGGACTTCACTCCCGTGCGTCATAGCAGCCAATCACTCATCTCCCTGCTAACGATGAATCCAGGAGGAGTTGGTTGCCTCAGCCGCCTGGCGCTACATCTCAGACGCCATCACCAAGGAGGAGGCGCTCGCCATGCTCAAGGAGCGTGAAGCCGGCAAGAAAGAGCGTGAAGCCACCGTCCGCGAGCTGGGGTACCCCGCCTACGTCACCTCCGCCGGCTGGCTCGGCTACGACGACGAGAAGATCGCGCGCCTCACGAAGGAGGCCGTCGCCCAGGGCTTTAACCACTTCAAGATGAAGGTTGGCGCGGACCCCGCGAGCGACCTCCGCCGCGGGAAGATCATCCGCTCCATCATCGACGACCCGCAGTACCTGCCCCCGGGCGGCGGGCGCGACCCTAACAGCAAGGAGCTGCAGGGGAAGAACGCGGGCCCGACGGGCGCGGTGTTCATGATCGACGCGAACCAGGTGTGGGACGTGCCTCAGGCGATCGAGTATGTGAAGGGGTTAGCGGAGATCAAGCCGTGGTTTATCGAAGAGCCTACGGCGCCGGACGATATCCTGGGGCATGCGGCGATTCGCAAGGCGCTGAAGCCGCATGGGATTGGGGTGGCGACAGGCGAGCACGCCCATAACAGGATGGTGTTTAAGCAGTTGTTGCAGGCGGAGGCGATCGACGTCGTGCAGATCGACTCTTGTCGGTTAGCCGGCGTGAGCGAGGTGATCAGCGTGCTGCTCATGGCGGCGAAGTTCGGTGTCCCGGTCTGCCCACACGCAGGAGGTGTCGGGCTCTGCGAGTATGTGATCCACTTGAGGTGAGTTGTCTTTCATGGTTGCAGCTGCCAGTCGGTTTGCTGACAACTTGCAGCTTAATCGACTACATTGCCGTCTCCGGCAACATGGACCGCAACGTGCTTGAGTTCGTCGACCATTTACATGAGCACTTCGTCACGCCCTGCTCCATCAACCCCAAGGGCCGCTACAACGTCCCAAGCAACCCGAAGGAGGGCTACTCAATAGAGATGAAAAAGGACAGCATTGCGGAATACGAATGGCCCAACGGCTCATACTGGGTTGGCGCGCGCGGGGGTAAGAAGCTATAATGAAATGCATTGGAAAGCAAAATTGGGATGTATTGTATGTATAGTGTAAATCTTATTGCTCTATATCATCCGGATGGGACTTAAATCGATTTTGTATCGATTCGTGTAAGGCAAGTTCACTCTCAGTCCGGCTTAAACCGGCACCGCGACCATGAAGCCATCGACACCGCCCGGGATGGTCTTGGCCTCGACGATCTTCCACCCTGTTTCCGAGGCCAGGTCGATGAAGCCACCCAGTGTGCGCTCTTCGCTGTTGAAGTTGAGCAGCATCTGATAGAAATTGGTCACTGGCCATGCATATGAACGATAGAGACCTTACAATGAGGTCTGCACTGGCGGGCCAGTCAGCTAGTCCTGGGGCGAGGAGAGGCGAGACGGGCGCCTGAAGCTTGTCCGCGCCCTTGATGTCGCTAGCGCCTTGCAAGGAGACTGGTTCGGGGCAGGCGTACGGGGCAATCTACAAGTAGGTCTATATCTAGCTTGCGAAGGAGAAGAGGCGCAAAGACTTATAAACGCACTTGTTCTCCAATGAGCAGCTTCGTCTGAAATCCAGCGGCATCCCGCAGCAGCTTAAGGATCCTGATACAACGCGACTTGCCATTGTTATGCAAGATGTTGTTGAGGATGAAGACACCGGGCTCCTTAACGGGCTGCGGCTGGAAGAAGTCATGCGGAATCATCTCGACGGTAGCGCTGGGTAGGTGTTCGCTCCAGTGCTATCAAGTAGTCAATAGTCTGATGCATGAGCAGCGGAGAGTAAACGCATACCGCCTTGGCCTTCTCCACCACAGCGGCCCTGTCTTGAATGACATAGTGGAGGTCCGGGTACTTCTTGGCGATTGTGAGGCTGAAATGGCCGATTCCGGCACCGACGTCGACGACCTTGGTGCCGGCCGGAAGCGTAGAGAAGTCCAGGACTGAGTGACAGGATTGAGCCAGCGAGCAATAGTTCATGCGGAAACGACATCTTACCCTGCAAAATTGCTTCCGGCGGCTGAATGTCTTCGCGAGCGTTCATTGCAGCGGCGAAGCTCGCAAGGCGATGTTCATTACCTGGTTGCTCGAGCCACGCGTACAGAGGTAGACTCGTGCCAAAGGCGCGCTGCGCATGTTGTCAATCACAGTAGATTAGCAATCGGCGGGACTCACAGGAACAGGAGCGTGCTCTGGGCCGTCACCGTGATTTTTGTCCTGCAGCCACTCGTACAAACGCGCCGCTCCCTTGAAGTTGGTGTCGGTGCTATGGCAATCTGAGCAACTTAGATGGTATATGAATTGTGCGAACTTACGCATGACTGATCAATGAGGCTACCCCCAATGCGCCTGTAAAGCGAGCGACCGGGCTACAAAATTCGGGTGAGAGGTGGCAAGGATCGGACAACGAGAACGCACTTCGCCTTGATCTCCTCGACAGTTTTTCCCGTATCGAGGGTACAGGACAAACGATTGTTGGCGAACACGTTGGGAGCAACCTCGACGAACACGAAGGCTGAAGCCAGTTTGCGAAGCACGCGGCCTATCGAGGGTGTCAGTGCCGGCTGACCAGTTCACGACGAAGAAGCGCACCCAATATCGCGGCGTCAAAGCCATTGACTGTCGCAATCTCGTTGACGTGCATGCCCGCAGGTTTCGAGCGGAGGATTTCAGCGACATAACCGTTCACAGCGACCTCGAACGCTGCTGTCCCAACGTACTGAGATGGAGTTAGAGAAAGGCAAGGAACGAGGAACAGTGCACGAACTCAAATGGATGCACGCATCGTCTTGATTCCGGGACTGCCTGCAGCAGCGTCAAGAGCGCGACAGCCTAAAGAAACCAGCGCAGCGGCCTGCGCAACGTCGGGTCGCATAAGCAAGGTCTCAGCAGGAGACGCAGGGTCGAAGGATCCAGTCAGAGATGGGTAGGACAGATTGGCCACAGTATATGCGTCTTCGATGACCGTAACCGCTTGGGAGATGGAATCGGCGAGAGCGCGAAGAGGAGAAGGCTGAGTAGACATTCTGAGCGTAAGTCAGGAGTTGGTACGACTGGCCGTGTCGACCTCATCTTATATATGTACCTCAGAGTGGGACCGGCCGACGTGATAGGACGTATGCCACGGCGCAAATGTTAGGCGAGAGAAGCTCGCTTGGGAGTCCTCCGCGCATAAACCCCCACCGAAAACCGGACGGTCCGCGCAGTGTAGTACAATGGCAATCGCGTACTGGGCGGCCCGAGTGTCACCACAGTTATATGCTACATGCTTCTTCCTAGACTTTTGTGAACATGGGGCACTTCTCAACATCGTAAAACAGCAAAAACCCACATTACATTGACGCTGATTGAGGTTTCAATAGAGACTGCACTTCCGTCTCTGGTCTCCGGAGCTTACTGTAACATACTAGGTCATCTCTGAGCAGACAGCCTACGCACAGGACAAGAGGAGAAGTCAGGATAGGTTGTAGTGCAGGGCCAATGCGTGAAGTGGTTCGGGAAGAGCTGGCTCAACGGCAATTACCAGACGCACGTGCGAAAATGCTTCCGTGTGGCCGCGGGCGCAAATGTGGATGCATTCGAGATAATTTCTTGGCTATCGTACATGTACACATAAATTATGCCTAAGTATAGGACGTTGGGATGCCAGTCGGTTGGAACCAAGCACTGCCCGGAAGCTCGGGTAGGCGGATAAGGCCTACCGTACTGTTTGGTCGCAGACGGCCTCCGGTTGCTCACACGGGTTCGGCTACAATGTGCGCGTCGAGGTTTCCCCCGAGATGGCGCACCTCTACAACCTTCCATCCACCTGCAAGAAGCAGGTCGGCAAAACCGCCGAGGGTTCGCTCCTCGCCGTTCAGATCAAGATACATCTGTGAGTAGCTCGCGTCAACAAATCTGACAAGCGGACGCAGCAGGCCGAACGATATAAAGAACGATGGACAGCAAGAAGAACTTACGACCATGTCGCCGGCCGAAGGTAGTTCAGCTCTCGCAGGTGCTAGCAGCGGGTCGATGGGAGGCAGTAGCGTATCGCTGCCCTTGATATCACTAGCCGCAGGCGGCTGCTCAGAGCAGGCGTAAGGAGCAATCTGGATCCCGTCAACCATCCTCGCAGCATGAGTCGAGGCGGAGTTGCACTGACCTGCTCTCCGACTATAAGCCTCGTCTCAGACCCTGCTGCGTCTCTGAGGTTCCGGAGAATCTTGACGGCCTGGGTCTGACCCCAGTTGTGCAAGATATGGCAGAGGATGTATGCCCCGGCTCCCTTGATAGCCTGTGGCTTGAAGAAATCTTGTTCGACGAACTCCACACGAGCGTTAGGAAGCTGCTTGCTCCAGAACTGGATAACGTGAGGGAGAGGCCACGATATGCTAGGAAGAGTATGCGACGTACGTCCTTGGCCTGTTCTACGACAGCGGGGCGATCCTCAACCACGGCTACTAGCTCAGGATACTTTTTGGCCACGGACATGACGATGTGGCCCATTCCGCCCCCAACGTCTACGACCTTCGAACCGGGTGCGAGCTTGGAGAAGTCAAATCCTGTAACATAAAGTTGAAGTAGTGAGCATAAGATACGGATCATTGAGGAAATATATACACGCCTTTGACAATCGCGTCGGGCCTTTGCGAGGCAGCGCTTCCAGTCATAGCGGCAGAGAAACAAGCAAGGCGACCTTCGTTGCCTGGCTGCTCGTACCATTCATACGTAGCAAAGGGTGTCTTGAAGGCATACTGTGGAGAAATGACGGTAAATGGCATCTACAGTCATGCCCGCACTCTTCTTACCGGGACAGGGGCCTTCTCTGGCGCCTCTGATTTGCCGTATTCTTCGTCTGTAAGGGTCTCGTGAATGTATCCAGATCCCTTCAGAGTCACGTCGGATCTATCAAGAGTCAAAGGAAAACGCTAGATGCATATGCAGGGTCATGCCTACAGGTGGCGAGCCAACGCAGCAACTCCAGTGTTTCCCGGCGCTGCAAAAAGTCACGAGGCGTAAAATCAAAAAGATTACGCTCGACCAACCTTCGAAATGCGTCGTAGGGCTTAAGGGCAGTTAGCACATATGAATCGGAGAAAGATAAGGCTCGTAAGCGTACCTGGACAGAATATTCTTGACGGACTTAGTAGTATCAAGCGTGGACGACAGGCGGTTATTGGCGAACACATTCGGCGATACCTCCCTAAAGATGTGGACGGACGCGAGCCTGCGGAGGATGCGACCTGTTGAGCGCCGTCAGTGTCTTATCATCCGACCTACGATTAGCATGCAGCACCTAGCTTGCCCGGGTCCAACCCATTCTGCGCCGCGATGTCGTTCACGTGAAGGCCCTTCTCATCTGAGCGAAGGATCTCTGCCACAGCTCCATCTACAGCAACACGTAAAGCTGCAGATGATGTGTGCTAGTTCATTGTATCAGGTGCATCCCCGCGGTCGAGCATGCGGGGGATTGACGCACCACAAACGCTGTGTTGATGATCTTGATTGCTGGTGTGCCGACCGACGCGCTCAGCGCGCTACTGGCGAGCTGGATGGTCTTCGCAGCCTGCGCAACCTCGAGCCGTTGGAAGAGTGCCTCAGCAGGCGACGCGGGGTCGAAGGGGACGGCGAGCGAAGGGTAAGGCTGCTTCGCCGCTGCGAAAGCCTCATCGATGACGGTGACCGCCTGCGAGAGCGTATCGACTAGAGCACGTAGAGGGGAAGGTTGGTCCGACATCGCGAGGCTGTAGAATGGTCAGAATCTCCACCACCTCGCATATATACGGAGGCGGATATCCAGGTGCCGCCCATCCGATCGATCGTGGGTGCAGATGGTATCTTGAAGGGTGGGGAGTTGGACTGAATAGATTTCACGCCTTCTTGACGAGGTCGTTCTCGCGTGCGCAGCCGCGCGAGGTAATCAGAATTTGTCGAGACGGCTGCCCTTTTGACGTGCTTCGGGATTGGGAGTGCTTGCGAAAGCGGCCGACTCGCAAAGGCGAAATCAGGCGCGACGTCATGGGATTCCTATTGTTCTATAAGTGATCAAGACGATGCTGTACAGGCCTTCAGACGGGTACAGCGACCATATGTGCGTCGAAGCTGCCGACGTTCGTGCAGACCTCGACAATCTTCCACCCTGAGGCTGACGCAAGCTCGACGAACCCGCTGAGCGTGCGTTCCTCTGCATTGAGGCAGATCATCATCTGAACACAAGTCAGGCATAGTTCAGTCCAAGCCAATTGAAGTACAACAGCGATAGATGATGGTGATTGCTGAATGAAGATACGAGCAAGAAGTACGCACAGACATATCCACGACACAGGCCATCTCCGCTCGGCCTGGCGCCAGAAGCGGCAAGATGGGGGGCGACAGCTTGTCCGCGCCCTTGATGTCCTTAGGCACCGGTTGCACGTCGACTGGGCAGGCGTAGGGAGCAATCTGAGGCTCAAAATCAGCATGAGCGCTATTCTATGCGCCAAGCGTACCTGGTCCCCAATGATCAGTTTCGTATCCGGACCCGCGGCTTCACGAAGGCGGCGCAAAATTGTGATCGACGCCGTGCGGCCCCAGTCGTGGATGATATGGAAGAGAGTGAAGACAGCGGGCTGCTTCACGGCCTGCGTGGCAAAGAAATCCTGTGGGACCATCTCGACGGAGGCGGCGGGCAAGTGTTGCTTCCAGTGCTGGAAGGGGCTTCAGCGCTCCAAACGTCGATCTTACTGATATTTCCGCACCTCTTTCGCCTTCTCAACCACAGCCTGCCGGTCCTCCACAACAAATTGCAGCTGAGGATATCTCTTGGCGATAGGGATAACAACATGCCCCATACCGCCGCCGACGTCAACGACTTTGGCACCCTGAGGGAGCGACGCCCAATCTAGAGCTGAAAGAATTCGATGATTTCAGGGTCATGTTCTAACGTATATGTTCTTTACTCACTCTTCAAGATGTTGTCAGGGTTCTGCGCGCTGATCGAGCCCCCCTTCATGGCGGCGGTAAAAGTTGCAAGGCGACGCTCGTTGCCTGGCTGCTCGAACCACTCCCATATGTTGCCGGTTTTGAAGACGTACTGTGTGTTTCTTAGCAAACGGTACGCATTGCCAACAAGTCGAAGCGGTCGACTGTACCGAAAAGGCTGTTTTATCGATCTTGTCGGAGAAGCCGTACTCCTTATCCTTGAGAGCGTCGTGCAGATGAGCAGCACTCTTGAAAATCTCGTCCGTACTGAAAGGTCAGCGATGAACGGACCGGCGCGAAAGAGACAAGTTTCGGACATACTCGTGAGTCGCGAGGGCGCCGATTCCAGAGGTGCCCGTGTGCCGCTCGACTGGACTAAGATGACGTAGTGAGTTATGCTGGTGCGATGGTCATAGATGAAGTAGAACTTCTTCAGGATGTCCTCTACAGATTTGCCCGTATCATACACGGAGGAAAGACGGTTGTGGGCGAAGACGTTGGGTTTGACTTCGGTAAAGATATGTATCGAGGCAAGCCTGCGCAGGATGCGACCTAAGCAATATGTCAGAAGAAGCTTTGCGGAAGAAATGACTTCCTACCGAGTTTGCCTGATTCAAGGCCATTCACGGTGGCGATCTCATTCACAGGCACACCCTCGGGACGACCATGCAGTATCTCGGGGACGTAGCCCTCCAGCGCTACGTTCAGGGCGGCAGAGATTGTATGCTGTCGAAGTATCAGCGCTTTCTCGTCACTAGGTAAGGACGTGCACATACTGCGAGCGGCGTGCGCAAGGCGAGAAGCTGAGGTTTGACGGTGCACGCGGACAGAGCCTTTCCCGCCAGGACGAGGGTCTCGGCCGCGCGAGCGACTTCGGGCTGCGCGAATAGAGCTTCAGCAGGGGACTGGGGGTCGAACGGCGTGTCAAGCGATGGGAAGGGAAGCTTCGCAGCCTCGAATGCACCGTCGATGACAGCCGTAGCTTGGGCGATGGTGTCGGAGAGACTACGAAGAGGGGAGGGAGAAGACATGCTGAGTTTGTCTGGACATTCCTCGCAGCCTGGGTAGCCTTATATACACAGAGATGTTTGCCTTACTGAGACTCATACACTCAGCTGGTGGGCAAACTCGTCCCTACTTTAAGGCCATGGCGTAAGTGGACAGACATAACCTATACATAGACAGACTAAGCAGGGGCTGCACGTGATGCAAGTTAGCGAGAAGAAGTCGAGGATGGAAGCGTCTCCCCATTGTCTTCATAAATCATGGGCGTACACAGGCGAAGAGATACTCCCACTGACTCAGTCGATCTTTGAATCACTGAAGCTGCCGGGCCGTTGGAATAGCCTAGCAGGCCCAGCGAGGAGGTCCTCGAGGCGACGGCCTGATGGTGGTACGAAGCTGGATAATGGTGGGGTACACGTGTGTCTAAGCGCTATGTAGGCGCTGGGACCGGGGCGTAGTCCCGGTATCCGGACCTGATGAATCCGAAGAGGTAATCTCTTTGTTCTTCCCTCATTAATTTCCGTCATGGCGGATGGGTACACGGGAGATGTTTCCCGACCTTCTGCGCTGCCCAGTGCGAACTTCTTGCAGAGGTTTAACACGAAGGACGCCGCGGCCGAGCAGAACTCGTCAGAGTACCTCGATGCCATCGAGGAAGAGTGGAACAAGAAGGTAGACACGGAGGTGGGCACTCTGGTGGATAACATGGTCGAGCTTGTTGGGTTGGCATCGGTGAATAGTTATGTTGTACGAGGGGCGTCACCTTTCTCATCTACAACTCCTTAGGTTGCCAACAAAGACAAGTTTCTCATCGCACAGGAATCATTTCAGGCGCAGTCTCGCGCCGAATCTATGGCACGTACCTCCCTTTCTCCTTGACTTGCATTAAGACGGCCGATGTTCCTTTAGGTCAGAGCAGCAAACTCGCTGCTCTCCATCACACACTCCCTGACGCTTCTTCTGCTATTGTCGGACGAAGCCCAAATTGCCCACCGCCGCGACGTCGAGCTCAAGAACATCGAGGACGAGACAAAGGACACGAGGCAGAAGGTCGCAAACTTGCTAGACGAGCTCTTGCATCCACCGCCGTCGTCGACTTCACAAACGCACTCAGCACCCGAGACGAATGGCCAATGAATGAAGCGTGTAGGATCGTCGCTCTCGTTCTTCTGTCATTACCAGAAATACACTATAGACCCTGCGGAAGACTAGCGGCGTGGTATAACGATACAATGTGGTATACATGGGGCGGTGTGGTGGTACAAAGTCCCGAAGTCCGACCTTCGTCGAGAAGGCGGAGGCACAGGCAGCTACTGCGAGCAGACGTGCGCCGGCACGCAGGTGCCCTGGCCCTTGAGGGCGGGCATGGCGTCCGTGGGGCTGAAGGACCGTCTGCGGGTGTCGCGGACGATCTTGTACGGCTGCAGGCGTGCACCGCGCGCGATGCGTCGCTCGGGGTGGCGCAGCTGGCGCACGGACTCTCCGGTGAGCATCATGATGCCTTTGGAGGGACCTTGCGACTTGTCATGAGGAGGAAAGAGCAGCACGGCGTCGGCTTCGCTGAGGGAGCAGGGAGCCAGGGCGTAGGGGAGCGCCGCCACGGGAGGCGTGGGCTGGGACATAGGGGATGGGGTGCGTGGGGCGTGAGTACGCTTGCATGGTTTGCCGTGCACCTTCAAGGCCGGGCGGGACGTGGATTCGTCGTAAAGTGTCGGGGATGGGGATCGTGAGGAGGTGGAGGCGAGCGTGGACGTTGAGGACGTCGACGTCCTGCGCTGATGCTGCTGCGACGGAGGCTCACCGGTCTGGGTGTAGAAATCAGCAAAGGGGGGATCGTCTATAGATGAAGAAGACTCACCATCTCGACGTCGTGCAAGCTAAGGCGTGACATGTCCGGCAGGAATGGGGGGACGAGGCCGAGTTCGTGGATGGAGGGGAGCGTGGGGCGTGAAGTGCGTCCAGGCATAAGTATAGATATAATAGTATGCACTCGGGATGGATTGAAAGTCGAAGCGTCGTCGTCCGCCGGGGATCAAGGGCCTGCCCTTATAAGTGAGAGAGGGAGAAAGAAAAGCAAATCAAAGCGACTCTTGTGAGGAGGCGGGGCCGGAACCTGACGGTCCAGCTCGCCGGAGCTGGCTTAAATGCCTACCTGAGTCAACCATGAGGCTCCGCGCACAAAGAATGAGATGTGGAGTGCCTTTATTGTGCGCTGTAATGGGTGCCGCCATGTTACCATTGTTCCCGGCAAGCCACACGATGATCGCCACTCCCAAATAAGGCAATCTTCGATCACATCACGCCAAGCGGGACCAAATAGAGCATTGTCCGCTCACGTGGCCCACTTTTCTCATCACCTCCTGCTCCGGCGGCCCATTGTTCTTTGTGGCGGATCCTCTGCGGACGCTTCCGACCCTCCCACCCGTGAGTCTATTGTGACTTTGCCTCCTGCACTCGCACTTACGTCCCGTTTGTGTCTCTCCCCGCCCTTTGTCCTTGACCTGCATTGTCCCTGCGTCTTGTTCTTTTGCTTGTAGACACACCCTTGACTTTACTATGTCGGCTGAACTACCGAAAAAAATCAAGCTTGTAGGTCGACATAATACCTTCCTTTTGTGGTTGACCTCATAGCATTTGTTAGCTCCCCGGCGCTGAGGCGAACCTCGCTGCCGCGACATACCAGATATACGACGAGAGTCATACACTAGGCAATGCCCTCCGGTGGATGATCATGAAAAAGTACGTCAAAACCACCTCTTTATGCTGCGCCCCTGCCCTCTGCCCAGGCGACTCGCTCGCCAACACCGCCATGACGCGAACCACCTACCCACTTACGCTCTGTACCACCTGCTAACCATGCCCAACAGCCCGAATGTGGAATTCTGCGGCTACAGGTAAGCTCGAACATGATACAATCGATGCTATCGTCATGCAGTGCGCTTTCCTCATGCGCGGCACTCCCCTTATGCGTCGTGGTACCCTCATGCATGGTACTATACGACTTGCTTTTGTTCTCCTTGTTCGTTCGGACATGCGGCTCCCTCATCCCGCCGGCTCCGCCGGATGGGGAGTCACGGTAGCATGCCGAATGGCTAGTCTCGGAGTGTCGAGGGGAAGTATGCCGCATGCTACTGTTGTCTGAGATTCGTCGCGCCCCTTGCTTTGTTCGCTATCTCGATGATTGATCTTCGTAGCTCGCGGCGTACTTCCTGCCTCTTGCGATACCCCTCATCGCGCCACCGGCCACATCCATTCTCTGTGTGCTGACACCCTTTTGCAGCGCACCACATCCCTCGGAAAACGTGATCAATGTACGAATACAGATGTACGGTGAGTATTTTGTCAACTTTTGGCTGACTAAAAGCGCTGTTGTATCTAAATTTTTGCCGATCATTCCTAGATAACCTCTCCTCCCTCGACGCCCTTCTTAAAGCCCTCGACGACCTCGACGACGTCTGCAAAACCATAGACGACGCTTACAAAACCAGCTTGAAGTTGGACAACTACGAGCGATTCCACGAGGACTCATAGCCTGTTATTCGATGCATCGCTTCCTCCATGTAACTTATCGTCTCTGTTGCACTACATGTATAATTCCCCCACCTGCACGGCGTTCTAGCAATTCGTTTCGACTGCGTAACCTCAATACATAGCGCAAGACGTCGTCGTCTTCGCTTTCCTTCGTGTTAGTCCTCTTTCTTGTAAGGTCGCATGGTGTCTGGTGTAAAATGATCACAGATCTGAATAGATATGGCAAGACGCTACAGAGCACACGTTACAGACTGGGTAATAGATACGAGGAGCGTAACGAGCATTGTCCATGGCACAGATCGAACCATTAGTACGGTCGACCTCGGGCCGCGTCGTACGGGGTAGGGTAGGCGTGAGGAGGGAGGCGAGGGATGTCGATGAGTGGGAGAGCAGCGCAGGAGGGCAGGTCGGAGCAGAGGAGGGGATTCGGAGCAGAGGAGAGGGTTAAGAACGGAGGAAAGGATAGGTAGGGTGACGTTGGCTTGATGACGAAGGGAGGTCGAGCGAAGTCGTTAAAAAGAGTAAGCGAGAAAGAGGAGAGGTAGGATAGGACGACAGGTCGCAAGGGTGCGAGGTCTGCAGTAATATACATCGATAGCAGTTTTGAAGAAGATAGCAGGTCGACGAGTGTCTGAGGTCTGGGTGGCAGTCATACACGTACGTATGGCACATACAACAGGGAGGAGGTCAGTGGATGAGTATCGATGGTGGTGTACAAAGCGGGTCGTACAACTGCAGAACACGCGTATGAGTCGCTGAAGTGAGCAAAGCAACAGCGTTGAGCTTACCAGAAGTCAGAAGATTTGGGAGTTGCGCCGGGCCTTCTTCTCCCAATGCGAGTCGCTGGATTGCGACGAGGTGCGTTTATGGCCGCCCTTGCGCTTCTTGCTGCTGCCTTTGACGGAGTTACTCCTTGAGGGACCATCCTCGCGCTTCTTGGGCGTGACAGGCTCGGCAGGCGGGGCCATCGGGAATACGCGCTTCGTCGGCGAGGCGAAGGAGAGCGCGCTCTCCTTCTTAGGCGAGCAAGACAGCGATCCACCCTTCGACCCCGAAGCGAAGTTATTGCGGGTAGCAAGACGACCACCGCGAGCTCTGCCCAGAGACCGCGTTTGCGTATGGGACACGGCCTTGAGGTAGACGTCGCAGTAGTTGCGGAACGTGCACTGGTTCTCGACGTACGCGACGACGGTCGGGTCGAAGTCCTTATCTTCGCGATAGGGCGTCTTCTCCGCGACGCGCTCCTCCATCTGCGCGGAGACGATATGCAGGCGGCCGCCCAGCTTGAAGGCTAGCGCGGTGTGTTTCTGGTCCCATGTCTGGCGGGGCGCGGTGGAGATAGACGGGCGGCGGCCGAGAGTGGTCGCTGCGCTGGCGCACTTCGCTTCGTCGATGCAGAATGCGACGTCGACGAGCTGGGAGTACGCGCAGCGCTCGATGGGGGCGGGGAGGTGGGCGGCGGTATCGGCGATGAGGGCTTCGAGATGCGCGTTGAGCTCGAGGAACTTGTGCGTGCCCTGGCCATTAGCCTGGTATCCGTCTACAAGCACCTGATAGCTCGACTCATCGTCGAAGTAGAGTGTGAGGCAGGGATGATTGGGGGAGCGGCGTATGTTCACGAGGGTCTTGCCCTCGATGGACGAGGGTTCGACACTGTTCATGGTTAGAATAGGATCGGGGAGGGAGTGGGAGACGTACCCTGGGCGATCTGCGTTGAGATCTAGGTGATTGAGATCGAGATGCAGCGGCGCGCGCTGCTTGCCCTGCTTGAGCTTCGGAGGGGGAGATGCGGACCTCGAGGATGCAGGCGTAACGCTGGATCCCGAATTCGACGCGTTCGCGCCCCAGAAGCTACTTCCACTGTCGGAGGGCGTCATATCGCTGTTGAAGTCGCTCATACGCGTCGGTCGCGGTCGAACGTGTAAAATGCAAAAGGCGCGTCGGCCGAGTTAGGGGCTGGCTGGCCGATTGGCAAAGATCGCGGTGCTTTGCAATTGCTTGTCCTCTGGGGAACGCGGCTATCAGCAGCAGCGGGGGGTACGGAGTCGGGGGATGGGGGCAACGACGAGCAGGAGCTCAGTCGCGCATTTATAAGTCACTGCTGCGTCGCCGTCTATGACAAGCACTAGGGTGGCCTCAAGGCCGAGCTTTGATGCCATCGTAGTCAGGACCAACACGTGGAGTCAGAGTTTATGCCCTTCGGGACAATCCATTGTTCTTGCATGTGCGTCACACGCCCCAAACCACCCTCTCAAGCACTCACAGGAGTATTCGGGCGAGCCTCGAGATATCGCTATCTTAGCGACTGAAGCGGAGAGATATTGTAGGAGGGTACAATGAGTAGGACGTACAGGTCCAGCACGTGCGCATGCAGTCAAAACAGGTAACAACAGGTAATAGAATGGAAGGTCAACCTTGCGCCACCTGGGACTGACATCTGCTCTGCGGCGATGGTCATACGCCATGCCTGCAAGCCAGATAGGCAACGCCTACCCGAGCTAGAGACAGATAGCCGGCGCAAGTTTGCAGTCCCGAGAAGGACGAGTGTTTATATGACGATCTCGTCCACCTTGGAACGGTTTATGCAGAAGCCCTAGCAACCACTTCAGCACATGTTTCGCCTCGAGTTAGCAACCACGTACCGGAGTCACCCATTCCTTGCAGCCACATTGCACGCCCGCCCAGTCGTAATTGCCCAACTTGGCCCGACACTTTGGATTCGGGCAGGTTATCTTGCCTGCGATCTCGCCGTTCTCGAGGAAGTGGTCCATCCACTTCATCTGGATTGGTCCGTACGCGTTAGAACTTCCGCCTCGTCAAGAAATACGCAGCGACACTTACTGGTTCCACGAAGTACCCTGAGCACTTCGGGTTCATGAGGATGGGTGGGCTTGATACCGACGTTCGCCCGCCTGGCGATGATGCTCCCCCGAAACTCTCTTGTCGGAGGGCGGAGAGCTTGGGGTTCTCATTCAGCCGCGCCGCAAGGTCGCTGGGCGAAAACAACGTTGCTGGGGTAGCAGGCGGTGACTTGTCCTTGTCCGTCTGCTCGCGCGTAATTTGGGTGACCTTCTCGCGTTCGTCGGATCCTGCTGCTCCTTCCATCGCCTCGCTCATCCGCCGGCCTAGTCGCCGTGCCTCCTCGTGGGCTCGTGCGAGCGCTTCGTCGTCTTCGTCGTCATCCGCTACGGCGCTGTCGTCTTGGAGCGCCGTTCCCCTGTCCTCCATCCCGCGAACGGCCTTCTTCACGTCCGCGGGCAAATTGCGCTCCGGGGAGGAATCGTCCTCGTCCGTATCCAGCGCACTCTCCCCATTGACCGCTTCCTTCGCCTTCTCCGCGTCCAACGAGCTCATCCCAAAGCCCATGTTCTGTAGCTGGCTTCCCCGCCTGCCGCCTCCCATACTCGACCTCCTGGACGCTGGCTGACTACCATTCGCCTTCTGCTCGCTCGGTCCCGCCGCCGTCATGCTCATATTCGACAGGAGGCTCCCGCGCGCGCCGGTAGTGGAGGGTCGCCGCGACGCCGCGGGTGTCTGCCCCACGGGTGTGGCGGGCCCGATATTCCCGTGGTCGTACATGTGTTCGCGCGCGGCGAGCTCCTGGCGGCACATCTTGCAGCGGATGCGGCGGCGAGGACCCTTGGTGGCGCGTCCGCCAGGAGTGGGGGGTACGGAGTCGGCGGGGGTACGCGGGAAGGAGGCGAACATCTCAGTCTCCGGAGGCCCGCCATCGCCGTCTGAAAGGGAGGGGTCAGCGCGCCAACGAAAGGAGGGTGGTGGATAGCAGACGTACTCATCACATCTTCCATGACGCGCTGGGTGTAGAATTGCCTAACGGCTTTGCTCTTGCGTGAGGGGGAGAAGGACGCAGCATGAAAGACTTCAAGCTGGTATAGGAAGCCAGGGTTGGGGCTGTCAGGTTGAGTCAGAGGGACTGCATTGTTGACGAAGAGTTGAAGCTACTCACGCCACCTCGACCGCGCCCTCTCTGCGATGACGAATGATCTCAATCGCCTCGCCAGGCCTGAGCTTGTATGTGTACATGAGGTACGCTGCTACGATTGTCACGGAGCGGCCTGCGCATCGTTAGCAAGCGGCCGATCATATTGACGGGGAACGCACTCATGCCAGCAACGCAGTGCACCAGAACCCCGCGCCCCTTATCCAACTCGGACTGTATAAAAGAGATGGAGGGGAGGAAGTGGGTAAGAATGTCGGACTGCTCATCGTCGTCTAGGAGAATTTGGTGCCGGAGGAACGTCTGCGTGCAATCTCATCAGGGCCTCCGATCGCACAGAGCTCGCGATCTACGCACCTCGTTGATGCGCACTCGCCCGCGCATCGCGGTGAACACGCTGTAGATCTTGTGCGTCTTGAGCAGCTCCACATTCTGTGCAGTGGGGAGGTCGCCGAGGTACAGGTTCGGGACGATCTGCGTGAGGCGGGGTGAGGGGATCGCGCCCTCCGGTGGCGGCGCTGGCGCGGGAACCTTCCTCAAGATATCGGACAGTGCTGGGTCAGTGGTGCTGTCGTCGCCGGGAGTGGTTGGTGGCTGCTCAGTGGCATCGCGATCGGAAGACATCTCCGTTCTGGTAAGGAGCAAGAGCGTTGCTAGAGCATATGATCAGGGCCGAAGAAGAGTGACCATAATCGGTCAGAGAGGTTGCGGAAAGCCCGCGAACAAGGAGGAAGAACGCGATGCAAACAGGTCAGACTTCAGTGGATGAGGTCGAGGACGACGACGAAGGCGCATGACAGTTGCTGCTCGGTCCCAAACATCCGTTGTTCGTATATAGTGCTACAGTGGTCATAAATTACAGGTACACCGCCAGTGTGCATCGAGTAGTTGGCGTTAACAGAACAGATAGCAGGTAGTCCTCAAGGGTATTACGCGGAACTCAGGACTTTGTTGACCGCCGCTTCCTCTTCCTCCCTCGCCTGGATCCGGCTATCCTTGAGTCTGATGAGACTGTCGCGAATGCTGTCGATGTGCACCCTGACCGGGATATTCAGCCCGGCCTGCTCTGCGAGGTTCGGCGCCGTTACACGGTCGCGCAGGTCCTCCATCTCCGCCTCCATAGACTGCAACGTGTGCAGCGCGCCAACGACCTGCGCCCGCGCTTCCTTTCTGTAGCCACCGAGGGCATTCAGAAGGGCGATATGGTCGTCTTGCTCGCGCCGCTGGTCGCGGTTGCCGCCGAGGATGGTCCAGAGCTGAGCTAGCAGCTCGTCTTTCTCGGTTTTGAGGATCTTGTGGTCGCGCGCGACGATCTCATGCAGGTAATCGAGCAGCTCCTCCAAGCGATCGAGGTCGGCGAGGCGAGCGGTCAGCTCAACTAGGAGCCGAGCCATGGCCTGTGACTGAACCTCCATCGCCTGCGTGAAGGTCACGCGGACGACCTCGCCAACGTCGCGTTTCGGCGCCCATACAACGAGGTCGCCGAAGGAGAACGATGAAGCGTGGTTCTGGGCCGCCTCGATAGTGTGCAGAGCGGCGTTGTTGGCCGCAATGACCTCGTCGACGGCACGAATGACCTTGGTACCGAGACGATGCAAGCCTCGGCCAGTCTTTTTCGCTTCGTCAACGATGTTGCCGAGGACGCTGCCAAGGTCGTCCTTGCTCTTGAGATTGCTGATGCGCACGAGGGTCGTGAGGTCGCGAGTGGCGATCTCGGCCTTCTTCATCTCGAGGGAGAGGCTGGCACCGCCCGCGGTGTCTTCAAGGAGCTGCTCGAACTTGTTCTGTGTCTGCATCATCTCGGGGAAATTGCCCACTTGAGGAATCTTCATGCCGTCTGGTGGCAGTGGAGGGTTGTAGCAGAGCGCCGTGCTCGATATGCCGGGTAAGATACAGAGTGGCGAGAGCGCGACCTTGATCCGACCGAAGACGAAGGCAAGGAGATAGGTGAAGAGCAAGAGGGCGAGTGGGTAGCGCATGAGGTGGATGGCGCGGCCGACGACTTCGATCGCGTAGCGCACGGTGTATCTGGATGCGTGGATGGCATTGTCGTAGAGTTCGTCGCGTGTTATAAGAACTGCATGCTCCTTGACGATGCTTGTGTCGCTCGAACCTTTTGGTACTTTGCCCTTCTTAGTTGTGGTTTTGCGAGCGGAGGCTGACACGGCATGATTGGTACCCCGCTGCGTCTTGCGCTTACGGGGAGTCGAAGAGGAGTGCGAGGGGCTGGGAGATCGGACAAGCGTGCTGGATTCAGAGACGTCCTCCCACTCGTCATCCTCCGTATGTGGAGGGCGCTAAACATGGTGGCTATGAGAACACTTCGATCTGAGTAAAAATGGTCACGCACCCTCCGAGGCTCTTCACTTTTCATACCCCACCGCATATTCGCGTACTCTGTCTTGTGGGAGGGCATGACAGCCATTGGGTGGTATACGCTGGAGGAACGTGGGCGGCTGCAGGAGGCAAGATGGGGAATGCGTGTACGCGTGACGTCACGTCTCCGCTTGGTCCCCCGCGCCTCATTTATGTTCACGAGTTTTGCCTCCGCTGAAAATATGAATTCGAGCACGTTTTCCAGGTCGTTGCCCAGATACGAGATATCGTTTTACTTCCTGCCCTCACCATCCTAAGGGATTATCTTCGTCTTTGCCGTTCCTCTCTGCCTCGTCTGGCGTCATGCTTGCCCCCGAGACCCCGGGCAAGATGCCGCCCCCAGTCCCACAACCCGCGATCGACAAACTGCCTGCCGCTATACAGACTGGTATCGACAGTATCTTCGACCTTATCAAAGAGGAGCGTGAGAAGGCAGCGAATGCGGCGCGCCAGGAGGCATGGGGAGTGCGCCATGCAGAGAGGGAACAGGCGATCACGCGCATTCAAGAACTGGAGGCGGAAAAGGTCGCACAAAGGGAGGAGTGCGAGATTCTTCGCGCGCGCATTGGGGAACTGGAGGGGGAGCTATCGCGTACGGGGAAGAGTGCCATGGACGCTTTGCAGGACAAGCACGAACAACTCGCCGTTCACGCCAACCGCAAGATCGACGCATTGGAATCCAGGGTGGGCACGCTGTTGGAGAAACTCGCCACGACCGAAAAGGGGCTCCAGGACTTGGAGGCAGCCTATAACGGCCAAGCGCTCGTGTTAGAGAAGAAGACATCGGAGGCGGACGATGGCGCGAAGACGATTGCCGACCTGTCCGGGCGCGTCGCCGAGCTCCAGGCTGAACTGGCCAGCAGTCGCACCTGGTCGGATTCTATCACCGAACAGCTCAGGCTCATCAACAGCGGTGTTGGCCGCCAGACTCAGATGCTCCAGGCGACCGAGGAGCAACGCGCCGAGTCCATCACCAAATTACACGCTGCGGAGCAGGAGATCCAGGCGCTGAAGACATCTTCGCAGGTGGAGGCGCAGAAGTGGGAAGGCGAGCGTACGGCGATGAAGAGCGAGATTGCCGATCTCAGTGCGAAGCATACCATTGCCCTCCGTAAAGTCGAGACTCTGCAGGCAACCATCGACAACAGCACGCACAAGTTCGAGCAGCAGAGGCAGTACCGCAAGAATAAGGAGGCCGAAGCGAAGACGGAGAAGGGCCGGCTCTCTGCGCGTATCATCGAACTCGAACAGGCCCTCGGGCGGGCGGGCAGCAGGGTCCAGGAGCTGGAGCAAAGTCTCGCGGATGCCAAGGGGCAGTATGGGCAACTTGCGACGGCAGTCAACGAAAGCGGCTTCATCCAGGTTCGGGACAGCACGATCGTCATCACCGCGGAGCTTATCAACTTTGTGGTCGCGCTCGCTACCCATACTGCTGTCGTCGACCAGCCGCAGGCGCTCGTGAACGCCCCACCAATGACCCTTTGCGCGACTCTCACCCGATGCGAGAAGGCGACGTTGCAGATGCGAGATCGAAATCAGGAGCTTGAGAGGCAGGTCGTTACGGCGCAAGACGAGACACGGCGCGCGATGACCGACCTGGCTGCAGCTCGCGCAGAGAATGCGACCACGGCGACGACGATCTCGGGGTTGCAACAGGAGAACGAGCGGTTAGGAAAGGACCTGGAGAGAGTGAAGGAGATAGGATTGAAGTACAAGGTCGCACTCAAGGCTCGGGAAGGTGGCTGCCCGAAGCTGAGCAGCGTTGCTTCGGGGAAATCAGAAGGTACGCGCACCTGATCTCATCTTCAGGATTAGCTGACTTATCGCAATCGGTGATGTACAGCCCGTGCGAAGACTTCTTCGACCGGTGGCTTGTCGAACACGTCATCCGCTGGTTCTATGAAGAGTGGGTGTTCGTCTTCAAACTGATGGGACTAGGACACTGACCCCGTTCGCAGACGCTTCGGTCCCCGCTAAGCGTCCCCCACCATCGTCGGCTTCTGCTGCCCCGCCGTCAAAGGTACAGAGGATGTCAGAGGGCTCGTCGCCGATGGCACCGAGCACGTCTTCTCCGGCGAGTCGGTCATCGCAACCTTCAGGTTCTGGCACGCGCTCGCCCTCACTTCGTGAGTTCAATCCGATTGCTCATCCGAGGCGAATGCTTACATCAGACCCAGTTGCAGGCACTATATCCCGAAAGCCGAGTCGCGCTACATCTGCGCATCCTCCTGTCATCAAGCAGGAGCGCACACATACATCTGCGAAGCCTTTGCCAGCTTCGCGCTCGACGCTCAAGCCGCAGACATCCACACCAACCCCTCGGTATCCGCCATCCCCCGCATCATCTACGACCTCTACGCCGTGCATCCCTTCTTCACTCTCGCGACCTCATTTACAGCATAGACCTACTACGGACCCCCGTCTGAAGCCTGTTGCCAAGCGTCCAGCGGGCCCGCGACCTGGCGGTTAATTCCGTTTGCCTCACATATTTCATCTCTCGATCCCTTTTTATTTCATCTATAGCATCCTCTCAATTGTACTATACCAGCTGTTCGTTCGTCATATCTTGTATATCCATCTGTATAACAGGGTCTCACTCCAGACATACGTGCGCCTCCCTACCTTATCTCTGCTAGTAGTAATACCTATAGATCATCGTATGTTCATATTCAATCACGTAGATATCTTATGTATAATTGTATGCAGTAGACGCAACGCCAGAATACCACTTGGGTCAGCGCTTCTTTCGTGCACGCATATCAGGGAGGCGCGATATTGTCGTGCTGTTCGATGCTTGTTGACCAAAGTTTGTTAGAGTAGATCCATCTCGGCATCCTCCGGTGGGCACGTCTCGTCGCCCGCGTGACGTTCACTATTTTTCGTTGCTCCGACTCGAACAAGACGACGGAAGGAGGCCTCTAGGCTGCAAATACCTCTGCATATGCCTCAGGACGTGCTCTGAGCGACGAAACATTCCTCTACTGCTGATGATCTGCCTATCTGTCACGCCTATTGAGCAGATCTACCAGTACTCGGGCTTTCATTCCCATCTATCACGCCGCAACCTGACAGCTGGATAGCTGCTTTCAATGAGAAAGCTCCACCTGATGCTCATTTGCTGAGCCCGCGTCGCCTCGAACGAAACTTCACGTTCGAGAGTGCAATATATCTTCACTAATCTGCCCAGTGCTTGACGACCTCTCGCTGTCCCCACCCTCTGATCAGCTTCTGGCCCTCGAAAGGAGCGGATGTGAGTCCAGTATCTGGTCACGGACGTGTGCCAGCTCTGCGTCTCTGACAAGCGCATGCGGAAGATTCTCAAGCTAATCCTTACCACCATGAGACGCATACGCGTGCTTGTAAGTGGCCCCAGCGTATATAAGAGCTGACGCGATGGCGCTTCAGAGTACTTCAGCAATCCCACCATGCGGGTCCTCTCTGCCTTCCTCCTGGCTGTTGCATCTCTCGCGCTCGCCGCCCCCGCTGATCTTGAGAAGCGGGCTCAGCCGAAGGGTATCGATGTCTCTGGGTATCAGGGCAATGTAGACTGGGCGAAGGCGAAGAGTAACGGCGTCACCTTTGCGTATATCAAGGCCACCGAGGGCACAAGTACGTTTCCTGCGAGTCTCACAAGGCTTCGTCGTCTGACTACCTATTCCCAGCGTACAAAAGCAGCTCCTTCTCCAGCCAATACACCGGTGCGACCAATGCCGGAATCATCCGCGGTGCATACCACTTTGCGCGACCGGACACGTCTAGCGGTGCGGCGCAGGCGAAGTACTTCGCCAAGAACGGTGGTAAGCAAGTCACTGTTCGCTGCGTTCGAAGCTCACCATATATAAGGTGGGTGGTCGGCCGACGGAATTACGCTTCCTGGCGCACTCGACATGGAGTGTAAGTGGTTCCATCGTCGCATACAAGATCAAGTACTGAAGTATTATCTTTGTAGACAACCCGTACGGCAGTACCTGCTACGGTCTGTCCCAGTCGGCGATGGTCTCTTGGATCAAGGATTTCTCGGACACGTACCACTCGGAGACGAAAAGGTACCCAGGTAAGTCCTTGATTATGCCGTTGTAGATAACCTGCTGAAATCATGCGGTGATCTACACTTCGACAAGCTGGTGGACGACCTGCACTGGGAACAGCGCCGCATTCGCAAAGAATAGCCCTCTCTGGGTCGCCAGGTGAATGAGCCAATCACTCCGCCCTAGAGCATTACTGATCTTCTGCAGATACGCAAGCTCAGTTGGCGCTCTTCCAGCGGGATGGAGCTACCATACCTTCTGGCAGTACGCGGATTCTGGAAGCAACCCCGGCGACCAGGATATGTTCAACGGCGACGCTGCCGGCCTGAAGAGGTACGGCTCTATGGTCAACCGTAAACTCTGTTGCTGACTGCAGCCAGGCTGGCATCTGGCTGAGCGATGCGACCGCGAAGACGAGCCAGCGAATTAGCGCCGCGGTGGTGGTCCTGCTTGCTTTTATTTTCTCCTTCCAAAAAACGTATTTCTCCTTTATCAGACTGTGAACTGTGTACCCGACGTTGTACTGTATGGATGCGAAATCATTTTGTTTGTAACTATCGTGAACCGATATACGCAGCATGCCTTGAGAGGTCGGAGGTGCGTAGTCCGCCAATCTGCGGAAACTGCTCGAGAAAGGAGACAGAGTGTACGGTACCCGGATGCATTGATATAGCTCTCTCCAGCGATCGCCTCGCCTGAAGTAAGATAGTGGCTGAGACGCCAATGATTGACAATCCACCTTCTAGAAGGGGCTGCGACCAATGCCACCGACGGAGGAACAGCGTATGACGCATCTTATTCCTTCGAGGTCCCCGTTCTGATCGCCGCGCCAACGAAGTCGTCTTCCTATGTCTAAACGGGAAGTCCAGGTGCAGTGGAGCGTTGCAAAGCCGCCATGTCGCCCCCTGGAAGACCGTGATAGCCGGGGCGTCCTCGTGCTTCAACTGTACTGCTCATTCCGTTGAGGCTATAAGCGAAGTCTATGTGGTGGCGCGCAGTACAATGTTCGCCGTGAGCATGACCATATCGTACAGGACGGTCCGATTCTTTTCGTGGGCGAGCCCGAGGTGAGGATGACAGCTAGGATTCAACTAGTAGCCTGGTTGAGTTTGCCGAGATGAAGGGGAGGGTGACACTGGAGATCGCGGGAGATGAAGTTCAGACTGGAGACAGAGTTCCATGAGATGTGGGTATGCTGGATACCCACATCCCGCTGTTGAATCTTGAGGTAAAAGGTACGCGAAGATGAGCAGATGACCTGCTTGGAGACGTGCGTGATGCGGCACCGTCCGTCCTCCCTCAACGAGGACGTCAGTATCCAGAGCTCTCGTGGTCACTGGTGGTAGACGTGCACCAAGTATGCAAGTATGCGGATAATCAGCGTTATAGCTATGCCGAGGCCTGCAAGGAGAAAGACAGGGCTATCGATGAGGAGGTCCAAGGAGAGCTACACTTAGCGCAGAGACACAATTTAGCTCGAGCTCTTCAAGTACCGTGGGGACGTCATCTGGAGCGTAGGCGACATCTCAGCATCAAACGCCCAGTAATGACCACGGACATCCGAGATGAAGACATGCCTTCTGCCTGACAGTACGATCAAGCCGTATCAGAGGGTCGTAAGTGACTTGAGCGTACATGAGCAAGCCCAGATCAGGGGTAGACAGAGCTCAGTATATTTTTCGGACAGCAGTCGGGTTTTCAGCGTCTCGACAGCTTGAGCGAGGCGAAAAGAGTGATGGTCAAGTTCAACTCGTGATGCGCTTCGGCAGTCCCCGATGGTTTGGAGATTCGGAAATCTCCGGGATCAACGGAGGCAGAATTCCAATCGGGGTTAGCCATGAACGTGGCTCTTGACTCTGACCACCACCGCGCACTCCCTACCCTTTCTGATCAGGCTCCACAACGCCTCTGAACTCCAGATGATGAGAATGTGCTCCGCGACCGCGGCTACCGTCTGAACTCTCCGGCTCCGGCGACTATATCTGCTTCATATCGGGTGTGAATGCCTCAAAATATCCAGCGTCTGGACATTGCGTCTCTGCTTCCTCCGGCGCAAGTTCTTGCGCCATTCTATACACACAATTCTTGGATTGCGCACAAACACCCACCATAATGCACGAAGAAGCTCGACCCCCTATATTGCCCAAAGTTCTGCGCTGCAACCCCGAATCGCAGCGCTGAGGGACGCGGTGCACGCCTTCCCGCGATCGATCTCGCACGGCTTACGACTTCATATTGCATGCCCTCGTCGTAAGTGCTGTCGGACCGCGATCCCTACTATACCGATCACTTACTGCGCTTTGAACCATGTCCACGCATTGAACTGATCAGCATCCAGCTCAGGAAACCACTCGATCTCATGCACCCTACGCCCGCTTCTCGCCTGCTCGAAATGACGAAGGCGTATCGAGCTGCAGGAAAGAAGCCGGTGCGCAGCTTCGTCCTCGCCGCGCGCGCGCTGTGGCGGTCGTTCATAGATATCGGTCTTGGCGTTGTGCGGCTTTGAGCGCCGTGTGCTGTGATAGAGCTGGCCCACTTGGCCGGCCTCGCTTCGCCTGGGCTCCCACGTATCTCATCTGGGAGTCCGCGAATAGCGCGTCGTGATCGCCGACAGGGCCGTGCGTATACACGACGTCGACTATGCATTGAGCAGCTGTTGAGCGCTCCTCTTGATCAGGGCAAGCGCGTCGCTGGGTGTCGCGAATATGCGTGTCTTCCCGCGCCACCAGAGGGATCCGCGACGCGCATGGCGGCGGGCTGAGCCGCTAGCCGCGGGGGCTGCGAATACAAGGGGAGGGCTATCGTACGTGAGTGTGCCCTCGTGTCGGGGTTGTGTTCTAAAAGACCGTCTATGGAGGGTGTGCGTAATCCGCTGCTCGGACGCTGTAGGTGTTCGTGACGACGCGTCCGAGGTCATCGATCCCCAACGAACGTCGCCACGACGGCACGGCTACGGCAATAGGTGAGCGAGTACGCAATGCGATCGCGGTGCTTATGTGGAGGTGAAGCTGAGGCGAAGTTCGTAGCCGAATTATCACAGATAGGTGCTTGGATTACGCGACCCCGAGCCCTCGACCCTGTTACGCGACCCGGGTGTCGCCTTCCCAGCGTCGCTGACTTTGGACTGACGCTGCGCTGACCCGGGGAACTCGAGATCGAGAGTGAGGTATGTTTCGGCCATTCAAACATAGAGGATGTGCTTACCGCATGACATCAGGTAGCCTCCCCGTTTGCCGGAGGACGGGATTCAGGGCGTAGGACCCATCACGGTTCCCTGTCAACGATGGCGCAAGGGGGGTTGTCACAGGGTGGTCATTCTGGACGTCTCTACTGCGTTCATAGATGGCCACCTGTGGTGGTCAGGCTGTATCGACGCGTTGGCGTAGTTGGCTGGCTATGATGAAGCGGTTGACTTTTCGAACCTTCACGTGATCGAGGGACGGACTTGGCGATGGCAATATTCGCAGCGCGCCAGCTAAGCCGCGAAAGCTTCGCTGCTCGTTACCATCTGCTCTCGAGGGCTTATGAGGCTCACGGGACCGCTGCGCTGCCGCGAGCACTTCCAGACGATCGGGCGGCCGGCCTATACCGGATGAGGTAAGTTTCTAGATCTGCGGATCCCTTTGCGAACATGGCCAAATCGGGAAGGCCTTGTCCATGGAACGCGGGTCGACGAGAGGGAACCAGGGACGGAGCTGGCGGGCGGGGGACTGAGCGTAGACCGAGCGGTGCACGGTGGGGGACGTTCTCACAGACGCCTTCGCCCAAGTCCTCCGTCTTTCATTACGCAGGGGGACTGAATTGCGACGCGGCAGCATGCACGACGCGCAGGCGAGCGTGGCGCTTCACGCGTTCGCCGCTCGTCTTCGGCGCTGCCACCCCAGATACCCAGCATATAAGGCCCGGTCCGCCGACGCTTGGTCCGACTTTCTTCGCCCGCCATTGCCGTTCCTGATTATTCGCTGGAGTTTCTGTCTGCCGATCCTAACGATCCGCGAACATTCCCACTTAGCTCCGCCCCACCAGCCCTATCCACCTCACCAATTTCTGCTCTGGCTCTCCTCACACCCTCATGTTGCGATACGACCGACGCGCACAAGCCTACGGCGACTGGGTGGCATACCCTGCCTACAACACCGCCCAGTACGTCTATTACGACACGCCCAGCGGCCAGCAAGTCTATCCAGCAGCCGCGGAGACCGTCTACGCCATGACACAGGACGCCATGTACCCGCAGGACGGCGGCTACTACACGTGCGCCCCGCAGACCTGGAGCCAGCCGCCGTGCGCTCAGGCTGGCGCGTATGACGACGCGAATTTATTGTGGTCACTCATGCAATGCGCCTCACCCAGCGCCGTTCCCTCCCTCTCGCGCTCCGACAGCCTCGGATCCCGCACGCCGCCCACCCCATGCACGCCTGACTTTGGCTTGCGCCCGAAGCTCGAGGCCCCGCCGCCCGCACCGCCGCCGCTCTCAGTCAAGCTCGAGCCCGATGATGGCTTCGTACTCGAGCCGGCGTCGTTGCTCGCGGAATCATACGGTCGCGACCACGCGTGTTTGCCGCCAAACGAGGTGCCGCTCCGCGCGACCCAGGCGCCGCCCAAGATGCGCCGTATGATGGGCGTCTTCCGTCTCAATCCCTTTGCGCCTGCGCCTACCGAGACGGAGGTCGACGCCAAGCCTCTCGACCAGCCCGGGAAAATTATCACTTTCCAGCTGGAAAACGTGGTATCGGTCGACGGCCTCCCTCAATTATCCATGACCCAGGAAAAAATTGAGGATGTCGGCGGTGGCGACTTCGAGGTCAGCAACCAGGTCGCGCCTCATGCGACCACCTTGCCCTGCGCAGCGACGGACGGCGGATGGGATGTGGGCGAGAGGTCGAGCTACAGGTCTCGGCATCCGTTCCCTTGCGACGCGCAGTCTGCCACGCCCCACCCATCCCCCTCTCTGCGTCCCAAGGCCGCGAGGACGGTCAGTAGGGCGTCCGGAAGGACCAAACGCGGTAAGTTCCTCTCATTTCCTGCGATAATTGCATGGCTCACAGATCGCAGAGTCACCTCACCCATATCGACGCCCTGCGACGCCTCGCCTCGCCCGCACGCCCCCTTGCCCCGTCGCTGTCCCGCCTCGCCCCCGGCGTGCCCCGCCGGTCGATCGCGACGCGCTGGAACTCCTACCAAGAGCTGGAATGAACACGGGGTACGCGCCTTCTCAGCAATTATTCTCGGCCGGCACCTCCTTCCCCAATGTTTCGCGGGACGTGAGGCCGCAGGACTCTGTAAGCCGTCTGCTTTTCCTGTCAGTTCTCACAGTATCTGACGCTGCGGCCAATTTCCTTTTAGTCGTCGATGCCCATTATGGCCCCAATCCCACGGCGGTCGTGGTGGGCCGCGCAAAAGCCCTCTTACTGCGACTTGTTCGCGCTGTGAATGGGCGTGTTCGTTTTACTTTGGATCGATCCTTGTCGGACTTCGTTTGGATGCTGCATTTGAAGGCAACGTGGGGACTCGTGGGTGCGGTGTATTGGATTGCAGGGTGGTAGTGCTGGCACCTAACGCGTGTAACGGTCTCCGAATTCTCTTGCTGGGTTTACTTACGCTTTTGCTCGCCAGATATGTGTGGCGCCCCGGAACCTCTCAGACGGAATTCGCTAATTTACTCTACGCATTTTATTCACCTCTAGGAAACGCTTCGCTCTAGTACTGTATGCACGAACTCATTGGAACGTCTTGTAGGTAATTTACTCTGCACTTCTGCTTTTGTACACACGTATGCTCTCGTTATGATGATACCATGTTGCTGACCTACGACGTCTTGGTGTGCCTGCTGCCCTTCATAGTCCGCTTTCGCTGCCGGGTGGGGGAACACCGGCGCGCGCCCTGCAGGCAGCGGCGATAGTCTCGGGTGGACGAGCGACGAACAGCACAAGCTCTAACGTCAACCCAACGCGATAGAGCGATCGTGAGGTCTATAGTTTGCGCAGACGCGCGGGAGAGGTCAAGACGCGCCAGGGCGGGGACAGATCGTGCCAGATATGAAGGGAGGCACGGGGAGTGTGAGCAGGACGGACTTCTGAGGACATAAATTTCCGCCCGCGAGGTGTGTGGGGGCGATTAGAGGGAGGGAAAGGCCATTGAGGAGTTCGGGGCAAAGGCATACGGACGAAGCGGTCAAGCATGCACATGAGACCAGTAGGTCGGTGGGCATCGAGCCCAGGGCGCCTGAGCTATTGTAGATCGTCCGTCGGTGGTACAGCTTATCATTGGACGAACCTTGTTCGGTCCGGTCTGGTGGTATCTGGACAACCACGAGAGGCCGTCAGCTGCCGTAACATCTGTCGGGCGCGTGGGCGCGTCGTTGACGCGTCCGCGGAGGGCGTGCTGGGCGGGGGAGAGTGCGCAGTTGGCGAGGGGAGTGGATCGTGGCAGAGCGGACGTAAGGGTACGCGCGCGGGAGAAGGCCAGTGATGGACTCGACGTGTATCACAGGGTCAGCGGTCAACATGCAGGGTCGGGGCCTCCAAAGACTCCGTTCTGTCAATGTATGAAGAAGTGTCAAGGGGATGGTCGGCTAGGAGTGGCCCGCTTGCATTGTTTCACGAACGTTGCGCGCATTGCAAGTCGTCGAGAATAGCTGCTCGCCAGCCAGTGAGCCATCGATGAGAGGGAGGGCCCAAGGAGGTAGACATGTGCGGAACATGCCTACACACGACCGATGCGATGCACATATCGTGAGTAAGTCGAGTTGAATGAGTTAAGGGCTAACGAGGACAAGTGTTGATTTGCTCATGTTTGCGGAAAATGCCAAGCCGACGCACGCGAGCTCACGCGACCGTTGCACGCGAGAGGCACAAGATCTTCCCACGGTTCGAATTCAAGGAGGACCTCGCTGTGCGGCCTCACTGCATTGTTTCCGTATTTCGACATACATAGCGAGTAAACAAACATGCCTATGAGCTGTGCTCTGTACGTCTTGAAATTCAAAAGGCCGTGCTGGAACCGCTATCACACCTGGGAAAATCCGGGAGAAGGCGGACCACGTGGGCGGGGATGAAAACTGTCCGGCGCTCGTGGCTCGTGTCGTGTGGCACTGCCGGTCGCGTGGACATCGTGCTGATCGCCCGCTCGTCGAGTGTGCCAAGGGAATTCATACTTGCCGTCCTCGCCGAAAGCCTATCTCTTCTCTGACCGCCATCTGTCAAGACCTATGTGCCCCCTCGGGACCGGTGCAAGCGACGGCAGCAGCAGCCGCCAACTTCGTCGCCGCAGCGCGGTATGTTTCCGTCGCGATGCGCCCCCGCGCGACGCTCATACTTCCCCAGGATGTCGGCGGCTTGCACCTGGCGTGCACGAGCAGTAATGGACAGGGCGCAGGCTGGGTCGGTGATGACGGTGAACTACAGTGCGTCCCCCGTTTCTGCCTACCACACGCGGCACTGATGCTGTTCGGATCCAGGACGCTCTTCGCCGAATCCCTCGGGGACATGTATATGGAGACGCTTAAGACGGTGAACGAGCACCATGCGGAGTAGTATGTGGGCGCATTGTTTTTGCATGTTCTGGTGCTGATGCTGTATAGCATACCCACGGATCTCGAGAGCAGCACCCGCGCCTCCCTCATCGACTCCCTCTCGCGATGGCACTTCGAGCCGCACCTCTTACCTGAAGAACATCTTTTGGCATGCACCTCGCTGCTTTTCGAGGCTCTCTTTCGAGTTTCTGGTATGGAGGAGGCAACTGGGATATCCATGGGTACGTTCAAGTCGTGTGGGCGCCACAGTCAAGCTGACCGTTCCCCCAGCCCAGATTACGCCCTTCATTTTCCACCTACGGCAGATCTACCGGCTTGAAAACTCCTACCACAACTTCATGCACGCCCTCGACGTTCTTCAGGCTACATATTCCTTCCTGGAGTCTGCTCGTATGGTTCCTCCCGTGACCATACTGTACGAAACCGATCGCTTGTGGACACCACCTGCGAACCCTGGGGTTATCGGTTGCCTCGGCCTTCGAGAGTTGTTCGTACTATACGTGGCCGCCATAGGCCATGACGTTGGACATCCGGGCTTTACGAACGTCTTCATGGTACTCGGGTGATACTCATTTGTGACGCTCGCGACTAATCACATATCGCAGAAAAACGCACAAACACCGCTCTCTGTCGTGTTTGACGGCAAGTCGGCGCTGGAGCATATGCACTGCCAGTTGCTGCTTCGTGTGATGCGCCAGCATGGGCTCGGCGTATTACTTGACCACCCTACGGACGGCACGCGGATACGGCGTCTACTGTGGGAGACCGTCATGGCCACGGACATGAGCGTGCATGCCGAGTTCATGAAGAACTTTGCCGCGCTTGTGGCGAATCCCAAGGCTTGCCCTCGGCGGCAGACATTAGTGTGCCAGGCTATAATGAAATGCGCTGATATCAGCAATCCTGTATGTCGTCTCCCGCTTCCTGATGCGACACCCGCCTGACGTTTACCCAGTCACGACCTTATACAGTATCTCAACACTGGGCTAGTGCCCTAATGATGGAATGGACCTCGCAGGCGCATTTGGAACAGTACCTGGAGCTGCCGACTACCGTTCAGACGGCCGGGTCACCGCTCGCTGAGGCGAATTCTCAAATATTCTTTATCAGTAATTTTGCAATGCCCTTAATACAGTTGATGGTAGAAGCCATACCAGGTGAGTAGTCGTCCTCTTGTACGTGCGAATGAAGCCCTGATCGTCCTGACTTGCAGAGATGGAGCCTTACCGTGCTCAGTGCGCGGCGAACCTTCACACATGGCAAACACGCAAGGAGCAGCTCGGAAATGCGCCCACTGCAGCCTCTCCGCCAGCGGCACCTAGCCCGTCACCTCGAATGCCAGATGGATACCTGACAGCGTTCCCGCTGACGCTGCCACCCTCGCATCGGACGCTGGAAGACATGCAGGTCTGGACGCCGGTTACGGCGGAATCCTCTGACTCTTCCGACCCTGGCAGCCCGTGCTCGTCTCTCTTCACTCTTACGACCGAGGCGTCGACGACAGCGTCGAGCGCGGACCGCGAAGGGAATGCAGAGATTCGTGCGGCTGGCCGTGCGGGGATGCGCAAGCAGCGGAGCATCTATAGTTTGAACCGCAACTCCTGGGGCGCGCCCGAGAGGAAATCGCCAACGGCATTCGTCGCTCCGCCTCCCGTTACTGCACCTGCAGCCTTGCGTGCCTCGTCACCTTCGGCGAAGCACCCTCGGCTCGCGGGCTCGCGCCAATGAACCTTGCGCCTCGTATTTTGACTCTTATTCTCTATTCCTGATTCTTTCGTCTCTGTCTTGCGCTACCTCATCATATATATTAGCCTTGCCCATCACGCTTCGACTTGGACAGTATCGGCTCACTTTGCACTGTTCGGCTTTCTTGCATATCTTCCCAGTCTCGAGGACTGCCACCTTATAGTAGTGTGTAATTATCACCCAGCTTTCCCGTATGTTTATCGACCGCGTTCGTATGTATTCTGCGTGTAATTTAGGTAGACTGTTGGGTCTCGTTGTATCTTATTGCAGGAGACGAATACGAAGCTGTATCTTGTCATTGATGAGGTTCTTGAGCTGTGGCTTGACTTCGTTTTCTTGCTGCACACCGAGTATTGGGCCCAAAAATGCAAAGTAAATTGCATGAAACCCCTTCTTGACACGCCGTCCTCGCGAGAGGAGCGGCGCGAGGGCCCACAGAACATCGAAAACATCAGCGACGCATCCGACAGATGCAACTACAGCTACCCCGGTAACTACGACCGATCCCCAACCTCATACAAACTACAAGTACAGGTCCAGAGGTAGGTAGGTGAGTATCGTAAGTAAGGTACGTAGAGAGGCAGGCATAGCAAGATCGACGGCATAGGGTACTCATGTCCACAAAAGTACGAGTCAAGAAGCTCGCAGCATAACGCGAAAACGAAGTTCGCAAAACTATTCGTGCGCCAGCAGGTATCTCTGGTGTACGTGTACGGGAGAACGAAGGGGAGCGGGTGTGTGTACGTGTACAATGGTGGGTGTGAACGAAAAGAGATAAGTTATGCGCGCAAGATGAGAGGCGCAGAAGGGTGCGGCGTTTCGCCCGATGCAGGGCCTAGTAGGGATTTATCGCCGCCCAAGGTGAGAGGGGGAATAGGAACCCGGTGAAGGAGGGGGGCGCGGAGCCCGATGCATAGAGCGGATCGTCGCGTGCGTGCGTACGAATAGGTGTGGAGTCGTCAGAGTCGTCAATGCGTGCGAGGTCTGCAGAGAAAATCGGTAAGGAGGGGAAAGCTGGGGGAAGGAGGGGGGAGGGAGACGCACCAGAGACCGCGTCTTCTGTCGTCATCGTGAGTACTCGGGCGTCGATGCCGCTACTGCGCGCCTTGGGGCCGTGGCGACGGTCATGCCACGACGCAGTAGAATCCCGAGCTGTTGTGCTGCTGCTGCTGCTCCTCATCGACGGTCGTGATGTCCTCGACGTCGATCTCAACGACTGGGCTGAACATATCCATGTCGTCGAGTCGAGATGCGGGCGGGCGGCGGGAGGGTTTGAATTGCATACTTCCCGGGCCCGCTTATATACCGATCCCCTCGCCCCAAGGCGCGTGGCAGGTGCACATTGCATCGTGGCCGGTTGCCGGCCTGATCGAATCTAATCGCGATTATGGCTCCGTGTATTTGCAAGCAACGAGACAATTGAGAACAATAGTCGCGTTTATACTGGCGCGGAGAACGACCTCAAGGACGTACAGGTGACTAGGCCCTCGGGACGTACGAACATTGTCGACCAGGAGGGGAAGTATGCCTTCGATCGCGCTCATCAGGCGCGACGCGACGCGACATGCGTCGCGATCTGTGCTTGTTGACCGGTTGCCATATGCGACCTCCATTTCCGAATGACGCCATGCCACCCAGCAGCGGACCACTGGCCTCAAATTTACAGTCGGCGTCGCTTACAAAACTCAGCCAAATCTCTGGAAGTTCGGGCTGAGCGAGGAAGCACGCTCAGGAAGTACGGCACGATGTTCCATAGACCGGAAGACGTGATGGGAGAACAATAAGCAAGGCACCCGCATCTCGATATGCGACGATGGAGTTGATGCGAGCATTGTTCTCTTTATGACTTGCCGAGCCCTAGGCTCCGTCGGTTACCCTGACGCGCCGAGCGTAGCTGCCACTGACCCGAGGGATTACAGACAGTGAAGTTTGGTATGCATATCCGCTTCTTATTGTGGTTTCGACTGCCCTGCACGCGATGGATTTGGCAAGCAAGTGAGAGGAAGGAAGGATTCTGACACGTGCTCTCGGTTCGACTTGCAAAGTCGAATCTCGGCTTTTGCCGTTACACAGCGTTTGCCCCGAGCTCGTTCGAGTCTTCACGATGTTGCTCTGTCATGTTTGGGCTGACAGTTAGATGCAAACCTTGTCGGTTGACATGACTCCTGCCCTCTGCGAGTCAGCACAAGGTCCCTCGGCACCGCGCGTACACCAGCAATGGTTTCGTGGCTACGCAGCCTGCCACCCGTCTGGGCTGCACGAAAATCCGGGGGTTGTCAATAGAGCAATCTGGACGTAGTAAGGATTACAAGCCTACGCTGTATCCGTAAACAATAGGTGGGTCGCTATACTGTAGAGTAGTAGCGAGAAGCACAAGACCTGTCGCCGGCGAGGTATGAGTAACAATTATAATTCCGTGCTCGTTAGTTCAGCCAAGAAGTGTAGTGTACGTGGTCGTGATAGATGCGAGTGTATGTGTAGTTGAGCCTGTGATTGATGTGCCTAGCATGTCGGCGGCATAAGATAGTCAAGAATGGTGATCTCGAAGTCGTCTGTCAGCAAAGCCAGCCGGCCCGAGGCGGGACAGAAGTCAAAGTCGGGGATGTCTTCCACGTTGTCCTCGTTCGCATCCGTCTGAGGCTCCTCGACCTCGGTCTCCTCCCCGTCGGAGAGCAACCGGGTCGCGAAGGATGGTCGATCGGCGGGCGAGGACCGCCCCATGTGTACGCCGAGCTGCTCGTACTCGCCCTTGGTCCACGCGAAGCAGACGTCCTCTTCGAGGAGCTTCAGGTTTGTGCACGAGCGGTCCAGGCGCGCCTTCCATATCTCGGAAGTGAGGTCGATGGACTCGATGAAGACGGGGACGAAGGACGGCAAGTTGGCGTCACCGGGCGGTGAGGGCTGAAGGCGGAAGCGCGAGAAGGTCTTCTTATCCGTGCTGAGGTCCAAGGTGTCGAAGAACATGAGGTGCGGGTCCTGCGTGTACCAGCGGAACATGCGTTGGACGACATCGATGGTGCGCGGATGGGATAGGACTGGCGTGAGCTCGGGAAAATGCTCAGTGACAGGCTTCGAGGTCGGCGACAGTAGCTTCTTGAGATTGAAGACGTCGATGCGGTCGTCGCAGCAGCACGTCGCGGAATCTTCGACGAAAATCATCTAGGGGATTTCAGCGACACATCAGAAAGCCGGGAAAGCGGGCTGACCTCTTGAATCTTCGGCACGTCCCAGGTTATGGTGGTACCACTGCGAAGATGCCATAAGCCAACTTCACTCCCTTCGTCAGACCAGAATGCAAGTCTGCCGTCGTAAATGGTACCGACGCGCACGTCAGAGTGGTTCCTTGTCAGGGAACCGATCTCCTCTATTTGCGGCGAGGTAGCGCAGGGATCTACCTCGTACGCAACGTGCTTCACCCCGTTCCTGTCGGAGGCAGTCAGCGAAAAGAGCATGTACGAGGGGACGCTACGTACTCGACGCTGTAGCCTAATAGAAATAGGACCTTCGAACCAATTGGCGTAGCGCCTGCACAGAACACGTCGTCGTTGACTGTTTCCTCAAATGCCTTCACTGCAAGGGGACGCGGAAGAATCATCTTGTTTGCATTTGTACCCAGGTCCCAGAGGTAGACGGCAGTTTTTGCCAAAGCAAACAGATAGCGCCCACCAGGGATGAGCATGAGTTCCAGGAATTTGTGGGTACAGTGATCGACGCGGCGGGGAACCAGCGTGCGTCGGACGTAGGGCTCGAGACAGTCCTCTTCAGCACCTCTCGCAAGTATAGCCCGGTAGCGCTCCGGGGAGGTGGCAAGATGCTCGAGCTCGGACTGGGACATGCGGCCAATGGGGAAAGAGGGCAAGAAGACAAAGTTCTGAACGCATGTTCGACGAGCTGCTTCCAGCCACACAGTGCGAATGTGAGTGGCGTGGTATAGTCGCTTGCATGTCTAGCAGTCTGTCAGTAGACAGTCATATCATATCGCATGGCTACGCACCTGTCTTAGGCTGAGCAAGATATCCAGAGGGGAGAGGAAGGCCTGGATGTGGATGACAACGTCGAGGGTGACCTTGTCGAGCATGGCGCTTCAGGCTAGCATGAAACGGCGGCGGGTGAGAAAGGCAAAAAGTGAAAGAATGGACGCGATAGTATCGCACTAATAAGTAGAGCCGCCGTTGCGAAGGGGTATGCAGGCAAAGCGCGGACGCCCCATTCAACGCGCCTTGTCACGCCCACGTGAAGGCGTATGTTCAATGGTCACAAACGCGGACTTAGCGCCCTGCTTGTGTCCTTCATCCGTTCGCTTATTCTCTGTAGGATGCGCAGCTCCCGCTGCCATCTTGAACACCTATATCACATTGTTTCTCATGCTGACTTGAGCTGCAGTAGCCTTCTTGCTGCGCTGGACTCCTCGATTGCCCCCGCAACTTTAACATTCCCATTTACGGGCTCAAAAGAACAATGGCTTCTTGTGCCTTTCGGCTATCAAGGCTATCATACAGTTTGGGAAAGAGCTTTGACTTCCTTTTCCCATGATACACCTCCATGCTGCACTTCGAAGTGAAGGTCGGCCTTGCAGACCTTTCATTTATGGTTTCCAAGCCGCGCCTTTGTGCTGTTTCAGGTAGGGCTAACATCGTCAAGTTGACATGAGGCGTTCAAGCGTGAGGAACACTGCGCTTGTCCGACTAGTGATATAGAAGATGGCAATGTAAGTCTACGTTCCTATTCCACAAGGCCCCTCCTCATCGTCCATCAGGGTATTTGGTATCGAACTCCCACCCCGAGCCATCGACCATCTTGATTATCCCGCGTGTCCCCAGCGCGTGCATCTCGCGCAGTGTGCGCTCGATGGCGGGGCGAGGGACGGTGGCGGCGTGGAGGGACGGTGCGTCAATGTTTGCGGAAGGCTGCAAGCTCGAGCCCGTCAAGACCTCCACCGTCACCGATCGAAGTCGATGCGGGGCTTTACCACTGTCGTCCGGCTGCAGTCGCGCGCCAACGAAGTCGCGTACGTGGACAAGCCAGCGCCAGGCAGGCGGGAGAGGCTCGACAGGCGGAGGAGGCTCGACAGTCCTTGACTCGCTCGTCGATTGGACAGTATTCAGCTCGCCCGTCGATTCGGTGGCCACATGTGCCGATTCGGTGGACACTGGCGCCGCTACGTGCTCCTTGTCGATACCAGTCTGTGGCTCAATATCAAGACCGCATTGTCCTGCACCGTAAGCCATTTCCAATTCCTCCTGCAAATCCACCTTCAGCGTTAGATGTCGCAACCTCGAGCCCCTCCTCCCAACCGCGGTTAGAGCAAAGTCGACCGGCAGCCCACTCGTACCCAAGCTCCGAAGGCGGGGCACGGCGAGGAGAGCGTGGAGGGAGGTTTCGAGCATGGTGGCGACTGGGTGGTAGGCGAGGAGGGTGGGGAGGTCTACTGCTGACTGATTGGATAGGTCGACTACTGGCGCATTGGCTGACCCTTCCTCATGTGTAGTTTCTGCTGAACTGACGGGCGCGGCTGGATCGGAGGAATCGGTGGCGGACGATGCGGGATCAATGGTGAGCGCAACAGCAGGTGCAGTAGTCGCCCTTCGAAGGAGAACAGTATCTGCCCCGCGCTCCAAGCCTACGACCACGGACTTGAGGTTTTGCAAGTGCGGGTGCGCGGCGACGTTATTGACCGTGAACGCGAGCATCACGATCGGGGAGAAGGGCCACCGGTCTGCGGGGCGCGTCTCGCCCATGGAGATGTGGCCGCCACCGCCACCAGAGGAGATTGTGTTCAGAGTGTCGCGACTGCTGTCGTGGGAGGGTTGCTGCTGGGGCGAGCCTATGTCTACGCCTACCATGCCTCTGCCGCAGGTTATGGTGGCGTATTGGGCGGCAACGAGCGGGCCGAGCGCGCTCGCGTCCTCGGGAAGGTCGCCCAGGATGTCGCTGGGGTGGTTCACGTTGTCGGAGCGGCCGGTCAGCAGTGCACGCTCGACGCGGCCTTCGAGATCTACAGAGCGTACTACGGCGCTCTCGGGCACTTCGACATGCTCGAGTATCAGCCGCGTGTGGCAGTCGTATAGATCCAGAGTCTCCAGGCGGGGTAAACTGACCCTCCGTCTCGGATAGCCCTCGACGATGGGGCCCGTGTCGTCGACTGTGGGCCCGTGGTCCGCGAGCAGGATACGCTCGAGCCCCGGGCTGAGGGCGAAAACGTCGAGCAAGAAGGAGAGCCCGGGGCGGAACATGGGCGCGTGGATGTGCAGCTCGAGAGCGGTGAGGTTGGTGAAGAGTGCGGGCGGCCAGGTGACATAGGAATATAGGCGGAGGCTGCGGAGCGCGGGGAGAGCCATAGGGCTTGGTGTAGGATTTGGAGGCAAGTCGGAGTCGCTGACCCAAAAGGGCTCGAAGATGGCTGGCGCGTACTCGGGGTTGACGGTGAGGGAGTGGAGAGCGGGGAAGGAGCAGGCGTACGCGAGGCAGGTGGCGCGCCATTCGAGGAGGGCGGTGGGGTGGACGGTCTCAAGGTGGAGGGTTTGGATGCGGGCACTGTGAGGGGCGAGGAGGGGGTAGACGGCATCGGGGTGTGCGCAAGAGGGAGGTTTGGTGTTAATGGTTATGTTAGAGGTCTTCGGCAGCTTGAGGATGAGCTCGATGCGGAGTGGCGCGTTGACGGACCGCGCGAGGTGCGCTTCGAGGCGCTCGGGGTCGAGCCGGCGCCGGTCGATGCGGAAGAAGGTCCACAGAGCGGGTGTGCTCAGGCAGACGTCACGCCAGTGTTGGGAGACGGAGGATAGGGCGCGCACGGTGCGGCGCTGGATTTGGCTGCTGGCATCGTGGATGGCGGCGTAGGTGATGATCGTGGTCAAGATCTCGTTGGGGAGGCAAGCAATAGGAGCGCGGCCGTTGACCAATCGTGAGAGCGCGTGGGTGAGGGAGGTGGCCTGTGCCAAGAGGGCATGAACCTGAAGTAGAATGTTCAGTGGGGTGCTTGACAGTAGGCGGAAGATATACGGACGTCATGGGCATTGTGGTCGTGTCTGAGTGAGTATCAGCATCTGAGGTCAGTGGAGTGCAAGTGCAAACATACAGGCCGAGCTGAGCAATGCGAGCCTGGGCATCGGTGAGGGTTTGAAGTAGATCGGCCATCACGATGAAGGTAGATATCGATGACGATCAAGGACTCGGGAGAAGGCCGGGGCTCGTCATGTTACGTCCTGAGTACGTCTATGTCGAACCAGTACACGAGGAACGGCGATAACCTTAGTTAGGAAGGCCTTGTATATCATGAAGCTTGGCAAGCATGTACTAAAGCGGTCGGACTCGACCATTCCCTTGTCATGATCGGTATCCTTCTCAGACTGCAGCCAGCCCGCTACAAGCTCAGGACACGACGAGGTCACTGCGAGAACGAGTTGTGTATCTCGAGGCCCACATGTATTCGGCTTCTCCTCTTGGGCACTTCGGCGCCCAGTGTGGGGATGAAGACTCCAGGAATCGCACGTTGTAGAGGGACAGGACGATGTGCTTATACTACTGTAATGCCAGAGTTCCGGGGCGCGCATGGTCTCGACCTTGTCTACGGCCTGCGCGGACTCGAAAGTCGTGCGATCGAGTGGTGGAGATTCATGGACGTCGGAAAGTCGGCAAGCGTGCGGGACTTTGAGGCACTGGAATAAAGACATTTTGCTCCCGCCACAATCTAATCATATCTAATCGTAATCAAGGTTGGCGGCGTGCCTGATGTCACAAGCCCTGGATGGTCGGTCACAACGTAGCAAGTAGTGGAGGCATGGAAGACGCCCAGCCTATTCTCTTAGACTTCCGCCATCATGGTGTCCGTCGAGGGCCCCGTACGCTACCTCACCGATCCCTACATACCTCCACCGATGTCTACGCGCTCCAAAAGAGTGCGTCAAGGCATCAAGGCCGCACCCAAGCGATCGGTGTGGCACCGAGCGCGCAGCATTCCACAATGGTTCCCGGCGCCCTCCGACGCGCGAGGACGGACTGGCCTTCGGACTCTGGGCCTCCATATGCGGCCCACATCATGCGATTGGGTCCCTTGACCCACGTTTCACGATCGGGCTGTCTTGCCATCGCCAAACCGCCAATTTTCCTCGCGCTTTTCGCTGCGTTAGGTCGCCCTGGTTCGTCCTCTTCTGACGTTCTTCCCCCTCTCTCGTCTATACCTCGCGTGCACACGAGCCGAAGCCATCCTCAGGAACCCGACCGCTTCTATTTTCCAGCGCTCCCGCAAGCGGCCATCATCCATAGGTTCGAGCGATTATTTGCTATCAACCACGAATTGCCAAAATCTTCCCGATATATATAAAGGTGGGAAAGTTATCTGATAGCGCAGGCGGTTATCTGATAGCACGCCACCTTTCAGCTCCCTCTTCGTGTGTACACTAGGCCGGCAGCTTCCTAGCACACGACTGTCGACGTCCTTCCCGAGTCGACTGTTCCGTTCGTAGACCAAATCGACTTACGCTACCTTTACGAGCAAGATGGTTGGCCTCCAGCGCTTGCCCTTCAAGCGCACGCACACGGACGACGTGCTGCGACAGAGCTCGCGGTCCAGCTCAGACGACCCCAAGTCGGCTGACGACGAGGAGAAGGTGACGGTGCCGACCGTGAGCAAGCACGGCGCCGTCAACAACGAAGGCAAGGACGACGGCGATAGGTCGCTGCTCGAGCAGGACGAGGGTGTTACGCGGATCGAGGCCTTGTGTACGTATCTACTCAACACAAGCAGGAATCGTTGATCCTGATGTCCACCTGCAGACCTCGTCTTCGGCAAAGGATGGGCGCTGTGGGGGCTTTGGCTGTATGTCTTGTCTAGGGTGTTTATTCCGCCGTGCTGACCATCCTCCTAGCTCTATCGGTCTCATTTTCTACGTCTACACGTTGTCCTCCGGTACGACATACACCTACCTGTCGTACGCAACGTCGTCGTATCTGGAGTGAGTTCGCCTTGCGCTGCTTCTTATATGTTGACTTAACTCTTGTTCTCAGGCATACACTCATCGGTACGATCTCTGTCGCGACCGCGATCATCGCCGCCGTCTCCAAACCCTTCCTCGCCAAGGTCCGTGTCTTCCGCAGACTTCCTACATTCGTTCTTAACGCGCTTTCTACCAGCTTGCCGACCTTACGTCGCGCCCGACCGCTCTGGCGCTCTCCGTCCTTCTTTACACCGTCGGCTACATCGTCGTCGCCTCTTCGACCAGCGTCAACGCGGTTGCCGCCGGCGAGGTCATCTACACGCCCGGCAGCACCGGCCTTGACTTCCTCACGGGCATTCTCGTCGCCGATATCACCTCCCTGCAGTGGCGGAGCTTCGTGACGAGCGCGCTGGGTTCAACGCCATGGCTGATCAACGAGTTCATCTCGACGTACATCACGACGGGCATCTCCGCGAATACGAAGGATGGGTGGCGCTGGGGCTTCGGCATGTTCGCAATTTTGATTCCCGTGTGCATCACACCTGCGCTGGCGGTGCTGTTCTGGGGAGATCGCAAGGCGAAGAAGTTGGGAGGTACGTGGTGAAGTTGTTGCTCTCTCGGGGTCGCGACTGACATCTGATGTAGCTCTCTCTGTTGCCGCCTCCGGGTATGTGCAGCGCAAGCATCTGGAGGGCCGCGACGATGAAGCATCGCCGTCCAAGCTGCACCTCGCTCTCCACTACTGGCGCCTCATCGACGGCTTCGGCCTCTGCCTGATCGGCACTGTCTTCGCCATGCTCCTCATCCCCTTCACGCTCTCCACCACCGCGTCCAAGGGGTTCAAGAACCCGTCATTAATCGCCATGTTCTGCGTCGGTGGCGTCCTGCTCATCGTCCTCGTCCTTTGGGAGTGGAAGTTCGCGAGCCATCCGATTATGCCGAAGCGGATTATCAACCGCTCGTTGGTGTGCTCGATCATTATCGATTTCTTCTACTATCTGTCGGGATATATCTCGGGCACGTACTTCCTGTCGTGGGTGTACATCATCAAGAACGATTGGACGGTGAGTCGGGTGTGGACTTGAGGGGCAGCAGTGCTGATATGATACACAGCTGTCGGGATACACGTACTACTCGTACACCGAGACGCTGACGCTGTGCTTCTTTGGCATCATCGCGGGCGCCATTCAGCGCGTTACCCACCGCTACAAGTACCTTCAGTTGTCTGGCCTCTGCATCCGTGCCATGTACCTCGTTTCCTTCTCATCTTATACCTTTTGACTGACTCTTCTCCAGCGGCCAAGGCATCCAGCTTTACGCTATCAAGAACCCCTCCACCGTCGTCCTCGTCATGGCGCAGGTCGTCTCCTGCCTCGGCGGCTCTTTCTCTGTCGTTGGGTCCCAGGTTGCCGTCCAAGCTTCCGTCCCGCATCAGGACATGGCTCTCGCGGCGGCGATCCTATCGCTCTGGACTGGCATCGGCGGCGGCATTGGCTCAGCGATCTCTGCGTCGGTGTGGAACGACAACGTACCAGCGAACCTGGCGAAGTACATCGGGGACACGCACAATGCGACGGAGATCGCGGATATCTTCGGGAGCATCATCATTGCGAGGGACACGGAGCCGCACGATTTGGTGGTGAAGGGTGCGATGTGTTCTGGTCTGTGGCGTGTTATGGTATGCTAACGTGACTTTGTTCGTCTAGCGTACGGCGACTCCATCCGCCCGCTGTTTATCGCCGCGCTTGTACTTTCGATTGTGCCCATCCTCGCCGGTTTCTACACGACGAACTTCTACCTCGGCACGCAGCACAACGCGATTGAGGCGAAGGAGGTTAAGATCCTGAGCGCGGATGAGACGACGGAGGAGGCGATCCGCGAGAAGGCGAGGCGGGCGGAGGAGGCGCTGAGGGAGAAGGACGCGAAGGTGGCCGTGGAGGAGAAGGCGAACTGAGTTCTCGCGACGACCGGCACGACTACTTTACGCCAGCAAAAGTATGCTTCCTCACTGATCTTGTACAGTTGTACTGATTGATGCACGCCATGAGAGGCTCTTCTTATTCTACGATTGTTTGATATACTTGGGGATGGGGTTTAGATGGCTAGACAGAACACTGTTTGTATTCACGATACGTCCTATGGTTCACGATATAACTTGTAATCATCACTTCCCACTTCATTGGATTCATTGACTGCGTGAAGCGGGTTTCCCAACACCACATTGCGTGAGACTCGAACACGCGATTATACCGATAGAAGAGATGTAAGGAGAAAGAACGTCGCGGCCTTCTGACAGTGATGCCGCGTCTGTACTTCTTAACAAGAACGGCCCCGCGTATCTGTTCATGCTAGTCTGTCTGATCGAAGTATGTCTCTTCCAAAGCTCGCAAGCATATCCCGGTTGCAGCGCCAGTGCCAGCTGCGAGCTTCTGACAGGAAATGTGCCAGTACACCGTTCTCGTCGGAGAGACTATGATAGCGTGCTGGAGTACACTATACTCGCAGTAGCATGGTATCGACTCGCAAGATTCGCCTTGCAGGAAGAAGCTGTGGGTCCATGGAGGTCCGTATTTTTGTTGGATTGGTAAATTTGCAAAGACGCGTGTGATTGCACATGTTTGCGTTCTGGGCAATCAACGCCTGCTCAACGCGGTCGCGGGTTGCACACTACGTTCACCGCGGGGAGGGGGCGCTTCTCGTTTTCTCGCATACTCCCGACGACGGCCCAACATGGCCGGTCCGTCGGAGGGCGCCTTGTTGCCCGCCATGCCCGATTTTGCCCCGTCTTCTCTCAATTCCATGGATGATATGAAGTACCAACTCCAGTCCCTCCTCGACTCCAAGGAGAAGCAACTCCAGCAGGCGGGGACGCTCGGGCAGCGGGTTCTGGCCCAGCAGATGGAGCTAGAAGAGCGCATCAGGCAGATCCAAGAGTTCGCGGCCGACCATTCTGAGGACGACGACATCGACTTGCAAGTACGCGACAAGTACGAGGAGCTGGCGAATACGATCCGCGCGTGGGATACGGAGAACGCGCAGTTGTCCAGTGCATTTGGATCCCAGGTGCGTAGTTGACATATGCGCGCGTACTTCTTGCTTATGGCGATGTAGCGCGCGGTCAACGGAGCAAAGCCGTCGCCTTCTGTCACGCCACACCAAGAACCCGAGCGGTCAAAGGTGTCCTCAGGTCCATCGTCCGCAGCCCAATCCCGCCGTGCCAAGAATGCTGCTCATCGCGCAGACGACGTCGGCAAGTACCCTTCAGCCGCGTCACCCGTTTCCAAGTGCTAATGAGATGCAGAATTCGCGTTCGAGATCGGCAGCGGACTCCTCACGGAGGTTCGGCGCCTTCAGAGCTTGCTCGGCGAACGCGACAAGGCCATTCAGGACATGAAGGAGGAAAAGGACGATCTCGAGAGGTCGGTCGAGAGCTTGCGCACAGCCCTCAAGCAGCAGGAGGCGAATGCAGGTGCGTGATGGAATATTTTTGGTGATGCATTAACCTAACAATCTCGTAGACAAGTACAAGGAGGAGAACTGGAATCTTGAAGTCACGCTGCAAGAGCTCCGAGCCCAGTTCACCGACTCTCAAGGATCTGTACAACGTTTAGAGGGCGAGCATAAGCGCCTCAACAAGCTTCTCGCCAGTGCGCGTGACACGAGCGACCACTTCAAGAACGAGGCCGAGCGTCTTCAGGGCCTTTATGATGATTTGAAGTCGAAGCACGAGACTGATATCGCTCAAGCTCGGAAGCACGCCGCCGGACTCGCTCGTGACAAGTCCGACCTTCAGCAGACCGTGGACGCGTTGAAGGCACAGCAGCAGCGCGCTGCTCGGCGCATAGGTCGCTTCGGCTCTCCCCTGACTCCTGGCGGCGATGCGGATAGTCGTGCGAACGATTTCTTGACTCCGGGTGGCGGCGAGGATGATTTCTTCAGCCCTGGAACCACTGGTGGCATGTCAATCAACAGGCGACGCATGGAGAGCAACACGCTGTACGACGACGCCGCCTTTGGCGAAGAACTTGATCCTGATAGTCCGGAGCCGTCTCCTAGTCGTCCTTTCCTGTCTCCGAATCACCCGACTAACGAGATCGAAGCTTTGCAGCAGCGTCTAGCACATGCGCAACGCCAGATCAACACCCTGAAGAGCAGCTTGCAGCGGGAGAAGGAGTCGAAGTTGGAATATCGCAAGCGTCTTGTGGAAGCATCTCCCCGAGCAGTCGACGACCTTGAAGATGATGGATTCGAGGATGAGGAGACCGTCGATGCGCCTGCCAATCGGTCAACCAGATCGCGAGGTACTCCTTTCCGCTCAGGTGGCCGTGGAAGAGGACGCGGTCGTGGTGGTCGTAGTGGCCTCACTCTGGCGCAAAGGCTGGGCATGGCTGCTAACAGCCCCTCGTCTGAGTACAATGATGACGACGAGCTCGATACGACCGATGCGCCACCCGTCCCGCCGATTCCCATCAACTTCCAGGCCGCAGACGAGCATCACGACGTACTCGTCGAGGAGGAAGACGAATTTGATGTGCCGCCTCGCGAGCCATCCCCGTCGCCCACGAACCGCTCCAACCGCACGAGCGTCGATGGCATGGACCCTGCTTTCGCGAACGTGCTCAAGAGGACACCGTCTACGAGCTCCATACCTCACGCTGGCAGTCCTCTTCGCCAGTCTGTGCTTGGGCGTTCCACTCGTGGTGGCACCATCGGCCGCAAGGGACGCGGCGGCGCAGCCTACATGCAGAGTCGTCCGCCCTCGCTCGTTGGTGCGCCGGAGGCGCTCTCGGCAGAGCTGAACCTCAGCGGCTCGCCGTTGAAGCGGAACGACTCGCTCAGAGTTGCCATCGACGACGGCCCTGAGACTGTTGACTTCGGCACGCAAACTGATCCTGAGCCCATCAAGGAGGAGATCAAGCCAGAGCCGGCGCCTGTCATAGTACCAGAGCCGATCGCAGCACCAACACCGGCTGTCCCGACCGTTGCTACTGTGGAGATGGGCATCCAATGCGATCCTGAGCCGTCACCACCACCACCTTCGACTGCGGAGAGCTCGATGCAGACAGAGCCCGAACCTGTTGTGCGTCGATCCAGCATGGGCGTCCAGCACGAGTACAAGGAACCAGTGCCCGTCCGCGTCGACAGCAGCGTTGGGACGCTCCCCGTCTCCGTCGCAGAAGCCGAGATGCAAACGGTCGCCGTCGCTGCACCCCCTGCAACGCCGAAGAGCGCAGTTGTCCCGGTCGAGGTTGATCGCACTCCTCGTCGTTCATTTCCGTTACAAGAGAACGACGATGGCGAAGAGACGGAGACGGGTCCAGCGACGGAAACCGATACGGACGCGTACCAGGATGCTCTTCAGGGGAGAAGCGGGTCGCAAAGTCAAGATGACGACTTCCATTCGATCTTGACTATGACGGAGAACGACTACCCCAGCTCGGACGAAGACGTAGAGAGCGTGACGACGTCGCGGGTGCCGCCACGTCTGAACGACCAGTCGGCTGCCTCTTCAAGACCTGAATCCTCCATGTACACTACTGCATCGGAGATCGCGGCTCGCTCTGGCACTCAATCACCTGTTGTGCCCTCAGCCACATACGACTCCAAGTCGGTATCGGCAGAGTTCATTGCAGAGCCGGCGCCTGTCCAGCCTGCACCACCAAAGCCGGTCCTCAAGGATATGTCCATCCAAACCGACGAGTGGAAGCCGCCTGCACCGATCGCTTCACCTATACCATCTTCGCCTGGTCTATACCGCGTTGGTGTTGGTGCCAACCAGCAGTTCCAGTTCATCGCTCCTTTACCGCCGTCAAAGGCATCTACCCCTTCGAACGCGGCAGCGCCTGCAGCGCAGACATTGGCGACCAAGCCCGCATCCGCCACAGCATCCGTCTTCCGCGATGTAGGTGCCCGATACAGTCATTCGCGCGCGTCGTCTGACAGGCGGGAGTCCTTGGAGTCCGCCATGTCTTCCTTCACCGACGAGTCCCGTCCGCGTCTGTCCTCGGGCGGTTCATCAAACCTGTTGGACGCCTTCATCGAGCCCAAGAGACGGCCGCCGACAATGATGGTGCCGCCGCCCCCTCGAGCACCCCCTCCACCAGGCAGCATGCCTCCGCCGTCCTTCATTCCCGAGCGACGCTCGCACGACATCCCTCCGCCGCGACCATCTTCCCCTCCGCCTCCGGAGCTCATCCAGCGGGCCACCACTCCCACTTTCGGCTCCGTGCTGTCTGTGCCCGGCGGCGGGCGTGGCACATTCGGGAGAGCTCAGGGGTCCAGCATGCCTCCTTCCCAGACGTCGGCCATCAGGCAGCCCCCATCCACCAGCAGCTTCAGGTCCGCGTTCAATGCCTTCAGCAGTCTCAGGGGAGAACGTCGGGAGATGTCCAGCACTTCCTTGGTGTCGGACCACAGCATGGCCTCGCCGCGCTCCTCCATGTCGTCCGAGCACTACCGGGCTCATGTCCTTGCCAATGCTCCTGTCACCCCGAGCAGAAGCCAGGGACACGACATGTCCGCACGCCAGCTGGCCAATCCGACGGACCCGGCGATCATCCACGCGATCACGCAGACAATGATTGGAGAGTACTTGTACAAGTATACTCGTCGGACGATCGGCAAGGGTCATGGCGAGAAGCGGCACAGGCGCTTCTTCTGGGTGCATCCGTACACGAAGACCTTGTACTGGAGCGACGCGGACCCCGGCTCATCCAATGTCGCGGAGTCGAGTGCGAAGAGTGGTAAGTGTATTCCCGACCCAGTCAAACGGCATCTACTAATGTCGCTGCAGCCTACGTCGAGGGTGTTCGCTCGGTGCTGGACCCCAACCCCATGCCGCCGGGTCTGTACCAATACAGCGTCATCATCTCCACGCCTCAGCGTGAGATGAAGTTCACCGCACCTACCAAGGAGAGGCACGACATCTGGCTCAGCGTACGTTTGCCCCTTGGAATGCTGCTGCTTATACTCACCTTCTTTGCAGGCTCTCAAGTACCTGCTGTCTCGGCCCAATCCCGCCAACATCTCTGCTGGGAACGCGACGGTAATGCCGCAGAGTCCGATGTCTTCCTTGTCAGATGATGAGCGTGACCGTGGCAACATGCTGACCGGCAGTCCGCAAAGCGCGCGCAGCGGTCGAAGTGCTCACCGCAGCGAAGGGTGGAATACGACGCCAAGGGGGCAGCGCAGTCGGTCGCGAATGTCGCATATCGGTGGCTCTATCGGGAAGCGCGCGGGTACCCCTGCTGCCGAATACCTTCGTTATCAGCCGGAGAGCCCCTACAGCCCCACGAGGTCCTTCGTCGACGTTCCTGCACCGGACGACGACGACCTGGACTTCGAGCTGCATGGCGAGTCCCTGTCGGATGAGGGCTTCGAGGGCTTGGAGAATGTACGCGCATGCTGCGACGGACGGCATACGGTCGGACGCTCGGGCAAGATACACCACCATCACCATCACCACCACCACAGCGGCGAGCCTGTGGCCGCGAACGGGCAGCGGCTGGACGCACCAGCGCCAGAGCGACCGATCTCACCGTCCGCGTGGTCTTTCCGCTCGCGCGCCGGGAGCACGAACTCGCGCGAAGGGGGCCTGTTTGGCTGGGGCAGGGGAGACGACGGGAAGCTGCGCTTTGGGTCGCGGCGGTCGAAGACGACGCCCGTGCCCGATGCTTAAACCCCGTGCACAATGTTTGATCGCCGTCCGTTGTGACGACCGTTCATACTCCTGACGGCCACACATACCAGTGTCAACCACCTCTGCAATCACCCTTCCCTCGCTCCCTCGGTTATCTAGGTATCTGCATCTGAATCTGTTTGTTGTCTTATGCTCATGTTATGATCCTCCGTAATGACCGGCCTCTTCTTTGTTCTGCATTACCGCTTCGGTTTTCTGCATCACCGCCTCGGTTTCCTCGCAGTACCCGCGGGCCTTTTTTGCACTACCACCTCGGATTTTCTTACAGTAATAATGCTACCCTCCTTACTCTCTCTTCCCTCCTGTTCTTTCTTCCTCAATTGAGTCGACTTTTCGTTCGTTCATTGGATGACTTCTCGTTAATTGGGCGGTTTCGTCCGTTCGTTCGTTCTCAGTGGCTCCATTCAAGGAGCTGCCTTCGTTCTACGAGCTGCCTTTGTTCTGCGAGCCTCGAGGTGCCTTCGTTCAACGAGCAGTCTACGTCACCCTTCACCGAACGGTCCCCTCCTCACTTGAGCTGATTGTACTTCTCTCACGTGTTCCCTCCGTTGTACACTGACAAGCGCCTCTCCTTAAGATTGCTTCCTCCCCTACGTCTCCTTAGTCTCGATCGGCTCCTCTCCTTAGTTTCGGTCGGGTCCTCTTCTGCGTCTCTACGATACATTTGTATATGGGAGGGGGGTCGAATGATAACCAACGTACAGTGTTCAGGGGGGGTGGGTGGTAGGAGTGGGTGGGAGGCCTGGATGGCAGGAGTGAGGGGGAGGGAGGTCAGTAAGTGGTCGTGAGTGGGAGGGTAAGTAGCAGGTGGACTTGTCGAGGGCGCCAGCGCCTCCGGTGCGCCAGGCACCGATGTGGCGTAGATGGGAGCAGGAAGGGATATCGATAAAAGCTCATCCGACACAAGTAAGATGGCCATCCACGGCGTCTACCAGACCGAGCTGTGTCGTCTACCAGACCGAGCTGCATCGTCTACAAGACCGAGCTGTGTCGCCTACCAGACGGAGCTGTTGCGGAAGCCGACGGGCTCGGCGCCGTCGGAGAGCTGTGGGATGTGGTCAGTGGCGAAGGTAGCGGTCAGTGGCGAAGGAATAGTGGCAGGCGAGGAAGACTGGTAGACGATGGAAGAGTGGGAAGCGGGGAAGTGGTAGGCGAGGAAGAGTGCAGTGAAGGACAGCCGACGCACGATATGTGTGATCTTCCGGTGGATGTAGGTCATGTCTGGGGGGTGGCGTTAGCGATGCGTCTTTCTTTCCGTCCCCTACTCCCACCAAAACAACAACAAAGAAAAACAAGGGAAAAAACACTCACAATCCAAATACGCCATGCTCCCGTTGTTCTCGTCCTCGACGAGCATGTCCGCGAACTCGACCTCCGCGCCGTCCAGGTTTTGGCGCGCGATCGCGAATTTGAGTGTTCTTCCGCCGCGCTCGTGCGCGCGTCTGGCGATGATGGCATGTACCTGCCGGGAAAGAAGCGTGGGGAGGGCGGGGAGGGTGGGCTGGAGCGGCGTGGTGAGTATTGGCCGGAGCGGCGTGGTGAGTCTTGGTCGGAGGGGGTGGGGGAGGGAGGGAAGGAGGTGGTGGTGGGAGAGGGAGGTGAGGGGGAAAGGAGGGGGAGGGAGGGAGAGGGTGGGGGGAAGGGAGGGGAGAGGCGGACGAGGGGGAGGGTGAGAAAGTGGGTGAATTGAAACAGGAGATTGGGCAGGGCAGACCACCAATCAGGACAACAGGAAAGCCTACACGCACCATCCTAGGATCGACCGCAAAAATATCGTCCACGCCAAAGAGGTCGAGCAGGAGCTGGGGCGAGGCGCTCGCGCCGACCCAGAGGATCTGCAGCTCTTCGTTGTCTGGGGGGTGGGTGAGTGAGTGGGGTGGGTGAGTGGGGGAATGAGAGGAGGGTGAGTGGGGGAGGAGGAGTGTGGGGGGAGTGGGGATGAGCAAGGTGGGGGAGGGGGGCGAACGGCGCGAAACGATGATGATGGAAGGAGCGAAGTAGATTAACACTCACCCGCCAGATACACCCCATGCGCCTCCATGAACATATGGCTCGCGCGCATCAGAGTGGGCCACACGATCCTCGCAGACTCAGACTCGTCCGGCACGATTCTCCCAGACTCGCCCTCCTTCGCCAAACACGCCCCCTCCTCCAAATCATGCACCGCCATCACCCGCGGGTAGCACCGCCGCACGATCTCCTTCACGCCGCCGGCTAGCAGCTTATGTGCGGCATATACGCGCACGTCGGCCGCCACGGCGACCCGAGATTTTAACGGTTTTGTTTTTAGGAGCCCGAGGGTATGCGCGAGGAGGCCCTTGAGGGTTTCGGGGATGATGAGCTAGGGAGGTGGGTGTCAGCGCGAGTGAGGCGAGGGAGCAGGCGTCAAAGGAAATTGGTGGTCGAAGGAAAGGAGGAGTCGAGTGTGCAAGTCCCGACATGGTGGTCAAGTTCTGATGCGGTGTGCAAGGTCCGATGCGGTGGGACGAGAGAGAGAAGGTGGAAGGAGTGGCGAGGGGGGTGAGGTGAGTAGGGTGAGGTGAAGTGGAAGGAGTGGCGTAGCGGAAAGGAGTGGCGAGGGGAAAGGGTACAGGAAGCAATAGCGTAGCGGAAAGGCACAGAACCAAGGCACATAGCAAAAGTCGAGGGTAACAAGACCCAAGGCAGAACGTCGTGAAAGAGCCCAAGACGGCGCCCGCGGTGAAAGAGCCCAAGGCAGAACGTCGTGAAAGAGCGAAGATCGCGCCCACCCCCTCCCCCCCTCTCACCCAACTCCTCCCCCCCAAAAAAACACGCAACTCACCTGCCCCACCCCCGCCGCCTGCGCGCACCGCTCGCGGTATCCTAGATGCATCAGCGCGCACTGCTCCGTGATCTCGTCGCGGATGGCGGAGAGCGGCTCGGAGGGGAGCTTCGTCATGGCTGGGGAGGGGGTGGTTAGTGGGGTTGAGTTCGGTTAGTGGGGGTGTTGTGTTGGGGTGGCGGTGTTGGGTTGGGGAGGGGTTTAGTGACGGTGTTGGGTTGGGGAAGGGGGGTTATTGGGGGGAAGGGCTAGGGAAGGGAAGGGAGGGGAGGGGAGGGGAAAGAGGGAACGGGAGGGGAGGGGAAAGAGGGAACGGGAGGGGAGGGGAACGGGAGGGTGTTATAGTACGCGCAATCCGACTTGAGCTCAGGCAAGACACCACTCACCCCCGCGGGCCACATGCGCGAGCACGGCCTCCATGTCCGCGTAGTGGAACACGTTCGCGGCGAGCTCGACGGCCTGGAGCGCGAGGTTGAGTACGCGGACGCGGCGGGACTGGGGGGAGGGGTTAGTATGTGAGCGTAGACAGGGAGGGGTGGAAGAAGGGAGGGGTGGAAGGGGAGGGAGGGTTAGTGAGTGTGGGAGGGGAGGGGGGAGGGGGGGGCCGAGAGACGGGGGCGGAAAGGGGAGGGTTAGTGGGGGAGGGGAGGGGCGAGGGGTGGGTGGGTTAGCATGTGAGCGTAGACAGGGAGGGTGGTTAGGGAGCGCGGACAGGGAGGGGGGGTTAGTATGTGAGTGTGGATAGGGAGGGTGGGAGGATGGGAGGGTTGGGGGAGGGTAAGGAGGGAGGGTATGTGAAGGGTGGGGAGAGAGGGAGCAGTAGGGTAAGGAAGGAGCGGTAAGATAACCACGGCGGAGGGGAGGGGGGCGGCTCAAAACAGACAAGACCGAACAAGCAGACACGCCCGACCATACAGACGCGCCCGAGCAAACATACAGACAAGACACTCACCCCCTCCGCGGTCGTATACAACACCGCGCACTGGATGTGCGCAAACTCGCGCACGTCGAGGACGGTCGGGGCGAGGGGGCCTGGGGGGTGGGGGGTCTGCGTCAGCTTTCTCTTTGTCGTTGGAGTTCTCGTCGTGATCGTCGCTCTCGTCGTTATCAGCGGTGTTCTCGTCGTCCGAACACCACCCATCTTCCGCCCTCCTTCCCTGATCGCCCATCCCTCACCACCCCAACTCTCCAACCCAACTTTAATTCAAGTCCCAAATACCAACTCCCAACTTCCAAACTTCAAATCCCGTTCGCCCACCCCAACTCCACTCCCAAGCACCCACCCACTCACGAACGCGAACGGCCACACCGCACTCACCACCCGTGAAGCCGATGGTCGCCCCGAACGCGGTGTCCGCGCTCATGACGCCAAACTCGAGGTCGGTGGGCGAGGTCTGGGTGAAGGCGCCCTGGTGGGCGGTGATGTGGAGGCCTGGGAGGGGGGTGAGTGCGGTGTGGGAGGGGAATGGGTGAGGGGGGTGGGGCCAGTGGAGTGTTTGTGGGGGGAGTGTGTGGGGCGAGAGGGGGCGGAGGGGTGGTGAGCGCGGATTCCATGGCGAGGAATTCGTGGAGGAAGAGGAGCAGTGTGTGGGGGGGGGGGGAGTGAGGACCCGAGCACGCACCCTCCGAGCAGCGCACGCGGACCACCGCGTCGTAGACCGTTTTCCTGCCCACCAACCTCCGGACCTCGGATGAGAGGATGGGCGCGTCGACGGCGTACTCGAAGCGCGGGTGGAAGAAGATGTCCCCGCCGGTGAGGTTCGGGAGGGTGGCTGGGGAGGGGGGGGGTTAGGTTAGCGTGGTTCACAATCGGTCGTCGTGGGTCTCTATGGGTCGTCCTGGTTCTCTATGCGGTCGTGCGTCTCTCCGTCGCGGTCCTCTATCCTCCGCCGTGATTCTCTATCGTCTGGCGTGCATCTCTATGCTCCGCCGTGCTACCACGTCATCCGGCGTCGATGACGGGGTATGACAAGGTCGTGCTTCCCTGTCATTAGGCGTGCTTCTCTGTCATCCGCCGTGCTTCTCTGTCATCCACCCATCCAGCCCGTCTCTCGCCCAGCGCAAAACGAATGCGTGCGACGAGTGCTCTCGCCCGGCCCTAACCCACACACGCAACGCTCTCCACCACCGATCGTGCAGCCCTCTCTGCCACCAGAGGAGCATCACCCACTGCCACCAACCGCGAGCCCCCGCTGCTACCGACCGCACAGCACCCTCGGCCACCTCCGTCCCAATCTCCACCTCCCGTCAAATCTCCACCTCCTTCCCAAAACACACAAACCAAACGACACAAACCACCAGCGACACAATCCCCGCCTTTCTACCACCGTCTCCCTACGCGTCTACCCTTCGCCTCCGTCCCAACCGCCATTCCCCCCTTCCCTCCCCAACCATAACCCCCTCCCACTCCCCTCTCCCCTCTCCCCTCCCACTCCCTCCCACTTCCCTCCCAAGCCATAACCCCCTCTCCCCTCAACCACCAACCCCCCCTCTCCCTCTCCCCACCAAAACAAAGAAACCCCAACTCACCCACACTCGCCACCCCGACCGGTCTCCCAGGGGCCAAGAACAAGCTCACGCCGACCCCGCACTGCACGCACCGCTCCGCGAGCCGCGGCCAGAAGGGGGACGACGGGCGGTGGAGGGTCTGTTGGGTGGTGTTTTGAATTAGTTAGTTTGGGTATGGTGAAGGTGAGTTGTAAGAGCGGAGGAGGTTATAGGAGGGCGGTTAGTTAGTTAGTTTGGGTGCGTCGGAGGAAGGGGGGAGGAGGGAGGGGGAAATAGAAGGGGGGACGAAGGGATGAGGAGGATGGGAGGGAGGAAAAGGGAGGGTGCGGGAGGGATAAGGAGGAAGGGAGGGATAAGGAGGAAGGGAGGGAGGAGGAAGGGAGGGAGGAGGGGAAGGGCGACGGGGAATGGGGTAGGGAGGGAGGAAGGAAGGGACGAGACGGATGAGGGGGGACGAGACGGAGGGAGGCAGGGGGCAGTTGGGTTTCTTTGTTCGCCGTTCAACGCCGAGGACGCGAGGATTTGAATGGAGGGGTAGGGCTGGCAAGGGGTAAGGGTAGCAAAGAGTAGGGGTAGCGAGGCGCGGGGACAGCGAGGCGTGGGAGTAGCGAAGAAGGGAGTAGTCGCGGGTCCGATGAAGGGGCGAGTTTGTAGTGGGGTGGAGACGAAGGAAAGGGTAGATGGGTGTGGAGACGAAGGAAAAGAGATGCGGAGGCGGATGGGAGCGAGGGACAGAATCCTGAACGCATCGAACGAACCCCCCCCCCCTCCCCCAACGACGCACTCCCAAGAGACCCCCAACGCACTCCCAGCACCCCCTCCCCCTCCCCAACACATCCAAAGCCAAAAAACCAAAGCAGAAAGAACCAACGCATCCAAACCAAAAACAAACAACGCATAACAAAAAAAAACACCACGCACGTATTCCTTCTCATTCGCCCACGCCTCCTGCTCGTTCGGCGTGCCACTGAGGGCGCCTGGGTGAGGTGGGGTGTTAGTACGTTGGTTTGGTCCGAGGCGAGGAGGGAAGGGATGACGGTGAGGAAAGGGATGGGGGTGGTGGTGAGGAGGAAAGGGGATGGGGTGAGGAGGGGGGTAGGTGGGGTGGAAAGGGAATGATGGCGAGCAGGAACGGAATGTCGAAAAGGAAAGGAATGGAGACCGGACGAGAAGAAAGCAAACACCACGTCGACCAGGGTCTTCCTCAACCACCATCCAAAAACACCACCCATCCCGGACGAAAACAGGGCACCACAACTCATCCAGGAAACCAAAAACCTCATTCAGGAAACCAAAAAAAAACTCACCCATCCCGACGCCCGGCAGCCCGGCCTGGAAGACGACGAGGTGGCCGCCGGTGGGGGCCTGGGGGGTAGTTAGTTAGTTAGTTTGATAAGGGTTAGTTAGTTTGGTGGGGAAGGGTTGGGGGGGGGGGAAAAGGGAGGGAGGGAGAGGGAGGGGGAAGGGAGGGAGAGGGAGGGGGAAGGGAGGGAGGATTGGGGTGGGAGGGAAAGGGGAGGGAGGGTTGGTGGGGGGAAGGGTTGGATAAGGGTGGGGGAGGGGAAGGCGAGGGGAAGGGCGCATCGCAGACCAACAACCACACACGCAGAAACCAAACACGCACCAACCCGGCCAGCCCGGCCACGACCGCGCTCCCCATCGCGTTTTCGCCGGTGGTGGTGCCCTCGAACCGGTCGGGGAGGGTGGTGAGGAGGGTGAGGAGGGTGTCGCTGCGTAGTTTGCGTTAGTGTTTTTCTACGAGGGGGTGGGGAGGGAGGCGAAGGGAGAGGACAAAGGAGTGGTAACGGGGGAGGGCAAAGGGGGAGGCTAAGGGAGAGGGAGGAGCGGAGGCGAAGGTATGATGGGCAAGAAGAGAGGTGGAAGAGCGATGGGATGAAAGCGGCGGTGAGAACGAGGGGAGGGGGGGACATGACGAATGAAGGGAAGAGGAGGGACAAAGTATAGAACCACTCACCGACACTCATCCGGCCGCACGAACAGGCCCTCGCGAAACGGCAGGAACACGTCCTCGACGTCCGCCATGATGACGGTGGGGGGCGGGGAGGGGGGGAGGCTGGGTGGGTGGGTGTTAGTTGGGTGCGCGTCAGGTCGGTCGGGTGCGCGTCAGGTCGGTCGAGTGCACGTCAACTCGGTCGAGCGCAAGTCGAGTCGGTCGAGTGCACGTCAAGTCGGTCGAGTGCGCGTCGAGTCGGTCGAGTGTACGTCAAGTCGTCATGTCATTGAAGCGAGGTTTGGAGTGCAGAGGCAGGTTTGTGTGAGGGGAGAAACGTTTTGTGTGCGGGGAGGAAGGTTTGTGTGCGGGGAGGGGAGGGGGGGAGAAGGAGGGGAGAGAGGTATTGAGTGAGGGGGGGGGGGGGGGAGAAGGAGGGGAGAGAGGTATTGAGTGAGGAGAGAAAGGGAGAGAGGGGGAGGAGGCAGGGGGTAGGCGTGGACAGCCGAGACGGAGGGTAAAGGAAAGCCGAGACGGAGGGTAAAGGGAAGCGCACCCGGTCAGCGGATCCGGCCTTAAGTCGTAAAAGTGGACAGCGCGGTCGAAGGTGAGGAGGCAGAGGCGGGAATTTGGGGGGAAAGCTGGAGGAAGCGCTGACGATGTGCTCGCCGGATTTGTAGAGGTTGACGGGTCTAGGGAGAGCCCGGAGAAGGAGGTCGAAGGGTCGTTGGGGTCGGAGGTAATCGAAGGGTCGTTGGGGTCGGAGGTGGTCGAAGGATCCAACGCTCCGAACAGGACCCCGCGCAGCGCCTCGCACGATGCCCTGAGGAATCCCGATTGCACGGCCTCGCGCGAGACGTCGAGGGCGAAGACGTAGGTCAAGGGTTGAGGTTCGCGCACGGGTGGGAGGCCGGGGTGTTCTTTGGACTCGCCACCGAAGATGCTGGCCGATCGGTCGTGTTTGCTCGCGCCGAAGATGCTGCCTGACCGAGCGTGGGCCGGAGGGGAGGCGTGCGACTCGTCGGGCGATGCAAGCGCCGCGTACTCGCCCTCGTGCGTCGCCCAGAGCTCGTCGACGAGCCTGGGGGCGCCCTTGGCCCAGTACTCCCTGCCCACCTCAAAGTCGACGGCGCCGCGACATAGCTCGGGCCTCTGCTGGTGGTCGAGGCGCATGCCGTTGGGGTCGAGGAGGCAGAAGTAGGCGGGATCGGTGGGGGTGTGGTGCTTGCAGAGGTTGCAGCGCCAGGCGTTGCCGCCGTCGAGCCAGGGGCACCAGGGGTTGACGTAGGCGCGGCAGCGCGCGCAGCGCGGGGGGCCGGAGGAGTCGGGAGCGGGCGCGACGAGCGGGACAGGCTCCTCGCCCGCGGGCTGCTCCGCGAAGGGCTGGAAGTGCGCGGCGAGCGGGATGTGGCATTCCCTGGCTAAGCGGGCGCAGTTGGGGAGGCTCCAGGTGGTGGGGCGGACGAAGCGCGGAGCGGCGTTGCCCTGGTCGATGCAGACGGCGTCCGCGGTGGTCGCGAGCGGGGGGCGGCCGGAGCCGGGGAGGGTGAGGAAGGGGGTCGTGCGCTCGGCGGCGTCGCGCGCCTGATTGTCGATGGGCGAGGGGATCTGGGCGGGGTCGATGCGCTGGCGGAGGCCCTTGTAGCGCTCGCCGGCCGTGTGCGGCGGTTGCGGGATGTGTGTGCGCGGGGCGGACATGGACGGATGGGAACGATGAACGCGCCGATCAGAGCTGAGCGCGAACGGAGGAAGACGTCACGCGAGGCCATATCCGATCGGAGCGTCGGCCCGGACCGTGACATCTCTCCTGCCTCGAGGCTCGGTACTACTGCTACTGTAGAACGACCCCATACCCGACCCTTAACGGGGTTTGCAACACTTTCAGAATCTTTGGGCATTTTCTCGACTGTTTCGCCTTAGAATTTTACGAGACTTAGTAGAGCTGTCGAATACCATAGCGTGAACGGATCCTCCAACTTTGGTGGCCTTCAGGTTAGAGGAACCTAGGAAATTGTTGCGCAACAGTCGCCGATGCACAATGCAACAGTTTCGGTATTTGCCGAGAACGCCTCTCATTTTCTATCTGAACGTTTCGAGCTCCGTCTAACATGAAAATTCGCAGATGCTATGAGCGCTGCGCGCTCTAGCCATATGCCAAATATCTAAGCGAACGGAGGATGAGCGGGCTCGGGCTGGGGTGTTGCATTGCCCGGCACCTTTGGCCGCTTTGACCGATTTTGTTGCAAACCCCGTTAAGGGTCGGTATCCTTTCTCAACTCATTCACCCACTTTCCGCGTGCGTTGGTTGGAATGGCCTTGGAGCTGTCGGGCCCACCTCCTTCTTCCCTCCCGCTACGCTTTTCTTGGTTTGCCATTGCTTCTCGTCCCGCTGGGGCCATGCTTCGTGTACATTGCATCTTGCACTGCTTCTCGCGTCTTGGATTGACACTCAGCTTCTGTATTTTGTTGTCGTCTTCCGCAATTGCCTGTTCTTTCGCGGATGAGTCTTGAGAATCAGTTCAATCAGGTTGGTCTGGGAACCTCCGCTCCTTGGCTTGCAGAACGTCCGTTCCGCTTCCTGCTCTCCTTCTCCAACGCCCCTTTGCCCTCGGATTTTCATACATTCCCCACTTTCCCTTCTCCCTAGAGGTCATGCCGGCTGACAGAACTATCCCTCACGCGGTGAAGGCGCGAGGACGCGCGGTGGTTGCAGATGAATATGCGGGGGTGCATGGTGCGCGATTCAGGTTGGCGAGTTATGCCTCTGCTCGGCCATGACTTCCAAGGGAAATGAGCGATCCAATCTATCTTCACATTTCATATGTCCAATGAGTACAACCTTATATTCGACAGGTACAAGTACAATCGCTGTTTGTTTCGTAGGTACCAGAAGTCGCGAGTCGTAGGTGATCGCGTAGCCGACAATCTCGAGGACCCATCGCGAGCGAGAACGACCACCGGACAAACTGGTGTATCCACTGTGTCTTCTTCCGCAGATCCATCTAACACTGCCGACTGTACCCCGACTGCTCCAAGCCTTCGGTATCGCTGCTCGTACTGAAATTGTGCGGCTGGGGACGCGAGTGCTGAGGGAAATGTTAGTTATCAGCTCGAGAGATGCGGGAAGCGGATGGATCTGTATAGGAGAAATGGGGGGAGGGGGTCGTTGGTAGCGATGCGGAAGGAAAAAGTAGTGGAGAGGGGAGAAAACACGGTGAACGACCACTTACTTCGATATCCGGCTGATGCATCGTACCGCCCGCGCTGGCAATCATCATGTCGGACCCTTCGGGAGCTAGATCGTATATGAGCTGACGACATTTATCAGGATACAGTCCCACTCACCCATGAACGCCTCCGCACACTCCAAAATATCCACCACGAGCCGCTCGACAAGGTCCTCTGTGATGCTCTCGCGCATCACGACGCGCAGCATCTCCGTCTTCTCCTCGCCCTTGGGCGCATTGTAGTTGGGGACGATCCACCCCTTCGTTCGCAGGCTTGTCTGCATCCACGCCTGCTTCACGTGCGGGTATTTCTGGCGGTACTCGTCGTTGAAGCTGTGAGTAGTGTAAGTATATGCGTTCATCCATGACGATATCCAGGCAGCGAAGGCGCGCCAAGTGAGAATTGCAGAGTAGGCATGCAACTCACCGGAAGCTGACAACCGGCAGCCCCTTCACGTAGTAGTTCGGGTCTTCCTCGTCCACATCGGCGGGTGCATCAGGCGCCTTGCGATGAATGTCGGAGAGGATCTGAAGAGTGTCAGGGAAGCCGTGGCGAAACTGTTTGCCAGGAAGATAGCTCACAGTGAAGTAGGTGTTCTCAAGCGCGCGCGCAAGGATACGCGCATTGCGGAGGTCCTTGTACGCGATCTTGGCGTAGCCGTTATAGCCGAGGTTGAGGAAGCTGGGAAGTGGATTGAGAGATCTGCTAGCTAGAGTCATATGCTATACGTACTTGAACATCTGGGCGAAGACAGGCGACGCAGGTTTCGAGAAGTTGAGGGTGTATGAGTACTCCGTCGAGCCGAGGTAGTCTGTAATGTTGGTCAGTTCGGCGAAGACTGACGAACGTTTGAAAGACCCACGCAGCTCGAAAATCAGGTCCTTGTGGAGACAGCTCTCATCCCGGAAAATCAACCATCCGAGGCCGGCATATACGAGACCGAATTTGTGGCCAGACGAGTTGATGCTGGGCGGCAGAGGTCAGCCGTGCGACATCCAGCGAGCAAGGACAGGCGAGCGAATTACCTGACAACACGGGAAACGTCGAAGGCCCACTTATGCTGCGGATAAGCGAAGGGGGCGATGAAGCCGCCACTCGCCGCGTCGACGTGGATAGGAATGTCGAGGCCGGTACGCTCTTGAAGGTCGTCCACTACAAGGACATTAAGCGCTAAGACATTAGGTCGCGAGGGGGGGAAACGTACGGAGATCGCTCATGCGTGCCACGTCCTCGAAGGCCCCATTGTAGGTCGAACCAAGGATAACCATGACACCGATGGTGTTCTCGTCGATGAACTGGATCGCGTCCTCGGGTTTCATGACATACGAGGTTGAACTGTTGACTGGAACGAGGCGAGCTTCGACATCCCAGTACCTGGACGATTCGGTCAGTGACGAACGAAATCGTCGAATGAGACGCGACTCGCCTAGCGAATTTTTCCAAAGCGACCTGGGCGTTCGAGCCAAACACGATGTTGGGGTGGAAGTAGTCCTTGCCGGCCTTCTTGCGCTGCTCCTGCCAGCGCTTTTTCAACGCCAGCCCTCCGAGCATGATCGCCTCCGACGAGCCTGCCGTGGACGTGCCCACCGCACTCGTCTCCGCCGTCGGCGCCTTCCATAGATGAGCGAGCATCGACACGCAGCGGTTGTGGATAATCTGCGCCGCAGGGTACTCGTCCTGGTCCGCTAGATTTTTGTTCGCGGCCTCCTGGAAGAGCCGAATCCCGTCGTCGGGCATCCAGGTGTGCACGAAGGAGGCGAGGTTGAGCGCGGGGTTGCCGTCGAGGGCCGCCTCGTCGTGGATGAGCTGGTACGCGGACTTGGAGGGGATGCCGTGAGTGGGGAAGGTGTACTTGGGCGCGGCGGTGGCATCTTCGTCGCGCGTCCAGGACTGGCCGAGGACGCTCTTTTCGTGGCGGTTGACGTGCCGCCGGTGTGGGTGGTCGCGCGCGGCAGCGAGAACGGCAGTGGGGTCGACGTGGCGGGAGAGAGACATGATAGTTGGCTGGACTCAGTATTCCGCACGTCGGGCACATATACGACTGGCGCTGCCCTATTATTACCCATGACGTTGGCATCGTCGTTGTCGATGACGGCCTCAATCCAATCCTACACCCTCGTGTCGCCCAGTGCTGTGCAGAGCCAGGTCTCGCGGGCAAATGCGAAGCCGGACTCACCTGGCCTAACTCCTTGACTTTGCGGGAAGGAATTGAAGACTCAGCAACTCGATGCTGCTATCTCGATGCTGCTATCTCGTCTCATCCACCCACTTAAGGTCTGGCTGAGGCCAGAAGAGATCTACACAGCGCTCTTCAATCAATAGATATTCAAAGGATAGAGAGTTTTCCAAGCGCAGTAAGGAAGACAGGAACAAGCACTCCACAGAAAGGACGCATGCGCGCCTGTTTTTAGACAGGGCCGGGTGTACGCGACTATAGACCATCGGATCGTAGACGCTAGGGCGCAGAGCTAGGACTGTTCAGACGCAGATGACGGCCAGAGAGCGGACGGGTTGAGGAAGAGGGTTGCCAGGAGCTGTCAAAGTCTGTCGTTGTGGTTGGTCCGTGTGGGAGAAGGATGTCAGGAGCATCGGCATCTACCGAGGGGTATCTCCGCATTCGGCAATTTCCGTGTTGATGTTTCTCCCAACCACGAACATCGGACGTGAGACGCGCCTGCTCGTCGCCTCTGATTGACCTGATGCTTATCATGGCCGGTTGAAGGTCTACTTGGCCATCTTATGCCCCAGCTGGCTTTCCTTCACTTTTCCAACCTGCGTACCGTCGGCGGCACCGCAGCGGGCCCGAGTCCGCTATGACGACGCGCCCGGGCTTCACGCGTTGGGACGCTCCCCTGCGCTCCCCCAGGTCAGATGTACCCACCCTGATCTATGCTGATAGAGTTCCTGGCGGCTAAAACCCCGCAAAGGGCGGACGATGCGGGCGACCTGCACCTTGTTTTCATTCGGGATAGCCCACAGGTGCAGGCGACCCAGCTCAGTTCTCAGGAGGACTGATTTGTGGCCGGCCACTGCACGTATTCGTGGCTTTCAATGTGCAATATTCGGAAAATCTGCGGCGTCTGACCCGTCGTTTCTTTACCTTACCGGATGGGTGGCTGCCGGTGCGTAGAGTGGTCCAGCCGACGAGTCTCAGCTTACCGAATTGCGCCTTCGCGTGGACATTGCGTTGCAGCTCGTCGGTATCTTCGACTTGAACCAGCGGGCGAATGAGTTATTATGTCCGTCCTTCTCAGGCGCACTCCCATGAGCGCCGACGCAATTGAAAGGGACTCACACCCGGTCTCCCCTTCCCACATGATGCGGGGCTTGTTGACTCCAAACTGAACGGAGAAGCGCGTTTGAAGTGGCAGACGCACGCAGGAAGCGCATGGGAACTGACCAGGAACTGACGTCTGTTAGCTTCCGTACGCAAAGTTCCGGCAGGTCGTCGGGAAGGCCTGTCCCTTCGCGCGCGGGACCCGCGGTACGTCTGAATTGTTCACACCTTACGCTTGAAGACTGAGAATAATCCAGTTGGCTGCGTTGCCGCTTCGGACATAGGATACCAGCAGTGAATAGTCCAGTCAAGCACTTTGGGACGCTGCAACACGTTGAGCATTGATTGGCATACATAACTAGTACAGGAGTAAAGCAAGATAACACCAAGTGACAGTCAGTAACGACGACCCGGGCGATGGAATGATGGAAAGCACGAGAGGCGAGAGCAGCTAGGTATCAGCCTCCTCGACTGACTGCGGTGAGTGGTAAATAATACAGATACATGGATGAACGGTAGATTGTACAACGGGCGTTCGAAGGCCCAGAAAGAATGATAACCGATATTGTGCGAGAAGGGTACGATGAACAATGCAGGAGAGCAGCGGCGACGATGCAGGGTCGACGAGACATACGTATGAGGGTCATTATAGTCGTTGTCTGTCTGTTCGTTGCACGGCCGCTAGGCTCACTCCTCCATGCCCTCGTCCGTCTCGTCACTGCGACCACGCCGCCCCCGTCGCAGAGCGCTCGCGAGGACGGGGCTCCCCTTCGCGCCGTTGACCTTGTTTGCATCGCCTGCGCGAGGCGTTTTCTGACCTTTCTTGGCGCCCGTGCGGCGACGGGCGCGCTTCGGCCCCTCGACATATTCGTCGTCGCTGTCCTCGTCTTCTTCCTCGCCACCTGAAGAGGATGGCGCGGTAAGGGGCGAGTCGCCGCGGGTTGGGTCATTGCCATTGCCCCCGCGAGGGCGATCGTCTACGTGCAGTATCAGCAACATGGACAGCGCGCGTAGCTGCCTATCACATACCTTGGGGTCTGTCGTCGGCAGGTCCATTACCGGCCTGCTCATTCTTCGAGCGCTCTCCGTCACGCATCTCAATATCCTCCTCCTGGATGGTGAGGAACTCACGTCCAGAGTTGAACGTTTCGAAGCCTGCAGGATGGATTTAAGCCCCAGCGGAGCATACTCGTTCGTGCCACCCACCATTGTTTCCAAAGTTGCCGAAAGAGCCATTGCTAAAACCGCTACCGTACCCTTGGCCGTTTCCATTGCCATTGCCTCCAAATCCTGTCAGCTACACTGAGTGTGGCATGCATGCGCGACGTACCATTGCCGCGATAGCCGCGCAGCTCATCCTCCAACTCGCGGTTACGCGCACCTTGCGCGTTCACCAGTTGCTGAAGGTATCTAACACTGGATGAGTATCATCCCCCGATTGATCCATTCTCATACGCACCGAATATACTCGACACTCTTGCGTAGGATCATGCCCTTGTTCGCCTTCATCGAATTGGGCTTGTCCTTCGAGTCGTTCGCAGTCGCAGGCGTCGGGGTCACGGTCCCAGGCGCATTCAAACCCTCTGCGCTATCGCCGTCTTCCATCTTAAGCATGTCAAGCATGGGGGACGTCGGCGAGGTCGGCGACTGGCCAGCCTTGTCCTTCTCTGCCTTGTCGCCGGCATTGCCACCTGTTGTTCCTCTTCAATATGTGGGGTACTTGACGAGGATAACACGTACCTTGCCCGGCAACCCCATCCAGCATTTCCTCGGGGATGAGGCCTGCAAGCTCAGAGATGCGCTCTGGAGCAACAGTAAGTCAATGACAAGACCTCGGGATATCGACAAACCGTTTATGTTGTCGCGGCGGCGACGCTCAACAGCGTTGTGGCTTTCACGGCGGCGCCTGCACTCACGTGAGCAAACTAATGATGAGAGGAAAGTGATGTCAATTACCTTCGCTTCTCATCCAGCTTGTTCTGCGTGGCTTGCTGGGGAGCTGCGGCAGGGGCATGGTATTGCGATCCACCCAAGCTCGGCAAACCCGTCAGGCTTGGAAGCGAGCTCGAGGTTGGCGTCGTAAGACCGTCTTTGGACCCTGCGCCACCGTCAGTTTTGTCCAACAGACGTAGACACGTAAGCACACACCTGCAAATGCCCCATAGGCACTGCTAAAGCTGTGCGGGAAGCCTGAGTCTGGGGTAGGAAGCGAGAAGGCGGACTCGGGGCTACTACTCCCAAAGATTAGGCGTGACGATAGTTGGAAAAGGGAAATGACATACGAAGCACTGTATCCGCCCATGCCCATCCCAACGCCGTTGATGCCGTTGTTGAGACCATTCAGTCCGCCAGCGCTACCCAACGAGCCCCACTGGTTCTTGCCTGGGATGACGATGGCATGAGGCCGAGTGGGCGACGTGCCCGACAACGACGAGATGGAGTCGGATCTACTATGCGTAAATACTTTCATTTCGGGCGAGTTAATTGATGCTGACCTTCCGATTCTGCCGCTCGCCGCGGAACTGAACGACCCATTACGGCGGGAACGCGTGGTACGCTGAGGGCCAACAGACTGGGCACGATTCAATAATTGATACGTATAACTGTGGGATTTACTCACAGGCGGCCTGCTCCTTGATCGCGATCTGCTGGTGGCATTCGTACTAGCTGTGGTTGGGCGCCCTGCCTCACGAGCTAAACCTAAACCAGCGCTTAAAGATGATTCTGAGGCAAAGAGATAGGGGCATACCAGCCGCAAATGGCGAGTCAGGGCTCGGCGTGAAGTGCCGTTCCCAAGACTTGTCTAATGCGTGATGGTGCCCAGGATGAGAAGGATCGAAGCTAAGGATAGTCAGCAACTGGGCTATGAATGGGCGTGCGTATACGCACCGATTGACATGCTCTTCCTGTTCGCCGAAGCGAGCGGCGTCGCCAAAGTGATGGCCATCCCCTGTCTGGTCGAACGAGTCTGAGCGCCGAGACTCGGAGAAATGGTCAAATCGGGGATCGAACGGACGGCCAGTGCTGTCGAAGCGGTCTGCGGCAAAGGAGCGGTTGTCGAAGCGGTGGTCTGAGAAGGTTGGAGAGGTATGCACACGGTCCTGCCTAGCCGCGTCGAACGAGTTCCGGTCGAAGGGTCGGCCCCCTGCGTCGAAGCCCGTGCGGTTGGCCGCGGCTGGGTCAAAGCGCGGCGGGGGCTGGGGGTCGTAGCGCATAGACGAGTTGAGCGCAGGCAGAGTTGAGTTGAAATTAGCGGGGAATGCAGAGTCCGGGCGGGTGCCAGTAGAGTAGCTGGAACATGCATGAGAATCGAACGTGGGTGCGCAGAGGGGGGGACGTACTTTTCCGGAGGCGACGTGCCCTCCCTGTGCTGAAGTGCAAACTCGTCTCTGTTGTGATGCATAGAGAGCTGAGTAGGGGCAGAGATGTCGAAGATGTTGTGCTGGTACGTGGACGAATTTGAGGTGGCCGAGGTGGACAAGGCTGCGGGGTGATCAATGGCAAGCAAGGGGGCAGAGGTACTGTTACTGACTGTTCGTCGGGGCCGGCGAGTGTGTCGAGCGCTCGTGGGATATGAGACCAGTAAGATCGTCGGTGAAGTCGATGTTGTCGTGGTTTGCTGCAAATTTGAGGAAGGGGTGGTTGATGGTGTTGAGCGAGTCGAGCGGGGGCGTGCTGGCGGACTCGAAGGAGGACTCGAACCCGTCCTGGCGGATGGGGCCCTGTTGTGCTGTCGCGGTGCTGAACATGGACGACGACGATGAGTGTCGGTGCGAAAGCCAAGAGTGCGCCGGCCTCGATGGGCCCGATGGCGGTCCCTCCCCACGGGGTATCGGATGTCCCTCCCGTGGGGTAGTGGTTACGTAATCAGAAACGTAAGCTCACTGATGACCCGGTTCGGTATCCTCCCCCGCAAACCGACGATTCCCCAAACGTCCCTCTGCGCTGCACAAGCCCCGCCCTCGTCCGCGCGAAAACCGTCCTCGCTTCGGCGTCCATGACGCACTGCTCCGCTGACTCCGCTTACGATTGTCTTTGCTTTCGGCGCTCGCTGTCGGGGATGTGAAGAGGAGAAAGTAGAACGAGACGCGACATTCAGCATGCGCCCATATATACCAGCTTCCTCGATCCACCACCTGACCCTCCAGTCCCCTTCACGCCTGACCGCTCTCTCTCGCCTGACCATTCCGCGGTCAAATGGTCGAAAAGTCGAGACAAGCGCCCCGACGCGTCGCGTGCCCCTTCGATCGTTTGCGTACTTCCACTGGCTCTGACGACCACCACAAAACGGCCTCGCGACGACTATGAAGGCTGAATGCTTCTAATACTGACATACGGCATGTAGACGCTGTTATCTCACCTGAATCGCTCCTTTCTTCTTACTCAAGCCCTCCGCACGAAGCGCGTTTGCTCGCAGGAAACCTTCCCTCCTCCTGCGAACCCGGACACGTCGCTCGTGTACGCTTGAGGTGAGAATTTCGTGCGCGCATGTTTGCGCGCTCATCATGCTGAACCTCGTCCTTCCAAACTAGCGACCTGCCTGACTGGCACTTGATTCTCGCTCACTGCACGAGCAGGTGTTGTCTGCGCTACAGGTAGCCTACTCTCCACATGGATATCCATACGAGCATGGTGAAGCGTGATGCGTTGCTATTAGATATTAACACAGCAATGTAATCTATGTCTAATGCTCATACCGTCCACTGTCAGGCAAAATACCCCGACAACCCATCGTACACCACAAACACAATGCCACTGCTCGGAATCGCCTGCGCCACCGTCATCCCGCACCCTGCGTACAGCCCTCGTAGGCCGTGGCTGCGGTACATGTGCCGCAGCGTGCTCAGAAACGTCTGCTTCACGCGCACGCGCCCCGCCTCGGCCTTGCCCTGCAAGTACCCTAGGTCCGCCTCCGTCTGCATGGCGCTTTTGACGGTGTCGGTGGGGTAGAGCGCAAAGGCACAAACCGCGCCGCCGACCGCGCCGGCGAGGGCAGACTCCCAAGGCAGCAGCGACGTCGCACGCCGGCTGGTAGCATCGGGGTGAATGCCGTTTCGAATGAGGCGGCGGTCGATCATAAGACGGCTCGTCCACTCCTTGATGGCAAACCAGATCGCGGTGCCGCCTGTCTCGCGCAGGATGGTACCGACGTGGCCCACCCAGAGGCCCTGAATGCCGCTGCTGCGTACGGTGCTTTTGACGACTTGCCAGGGCCCCGGCAGGTGGGACATGGAGGATGAGATATTCCGGGACTGGGCAGCGGTCTGGAAGGCGCCAGTGTGCGAGAGGATGGGCAATATTCGTGACGAAGAGTTCGAGGAGGAGCCAGGTAGGGATGAAGGGGGATGCGGACGAGTGGCTTTGGGTGCGGATGCCGGAGCAGGGGATGGTTGTGTGCGTAGTTTGGTGTGACTGTTCATGAGCTGAACCTGCATTCGACATTTCACGAGCTCGAGCGGGGTACTACGAACAACAGGTTAGGCGACAAAAAAGATGATCGATATACTACGCACATGATGAAGCTTGCAGCAAATCCTGAACCTGCGGCTGCAGCAGAGAGCTCCGCTATGCTGAGTGGCGAGTTGTAATTTGACGACATTTGCCGCATGGTGTGTTGGATGTAGGTATATGACAGGAAGAGGGCGGAAGTCTCCGCCATGGCACCTACTAATGGCACTGTCAAGCCCTTCAAGCAACGGGAAGTAACGTTAGCGCAAGAAGATATTAGGGAGGAAGACGAGACGTACCCGATACAATCCCCTCACTCCCTCTTCGACATATGTCTGCTTCAGACAGTCCATAGGACCCGTGAAAGGCATCAAGTCGGCGGTGGGGGACAGGAGTTGCGCCTGAAGACGCGTCTTCGCGAGGTCGAAGGGGTACTCGAAAAGCTCGGAGACCATGCCGGCAACCTGGACGACCGATCACGTTTGTTAGCACATATGCTGAAGACACAGGAAGGAAAGAAGATAGATATTGATATAGACAACACGAAGGGAATAAGACGTACGCTCCCCAGCACAATATCCCGGCAGGCATCGCGGGCAGAGAATATGGGTAGCCGTTCGAGCTCCTCGACGCCTAGAGCATTGACTACCATTGAGTCTAAGACTGGTACTGTCAGCCGTGTTGGCTTGCGCTGGACTTGAGCGGAGTCCGGGGGAGCTTGACTTCAGCCGAGGGTGCGTGTGGTCTGCCGAGCTTGCGAGTCGTTTGCTGGGCTGGAGTAAAGTCCGCGGCGCGCGTAAGTTCGGGATATTCTTCTTGTCTGTATATCGATCCAAGTGCTGGGTGAAGCGTACACGAGTAAGAAACTAAGTGGATCGGATAGATATGTTCATGACGAGAAATGAGTGTACAACGTGCGGAAAAGTATTGGAAGACGAGCGCCGAGAATATGTGGCGTCCAATCACTTTTCGCGTAATGCCGAATCACTGACGCGGGCCCGGCGCCGCGGTGCGAAGACAGCGTCTAAGTTCGATCCTGCCACTGTCCTCTAAGCCGATGGCGGCTCTACAACGGTGGCCCGTAAATCGTCCCGGACTTGTCCAATGCACCCCGATTGTTCCCAAAGTAGAGGGAAAGGAAGACGAAAAAGAGGTATGAAAGCGCGCGAGTGACATGACATTGGGCGATATGAGGCCTATTGTACAACATCTCGGAAGGTATACACGAAGCGAATAAGTGAACAGGTATAGCTTACAAAGGGTTCGTGCCCTCGATGATACACATATATAGCGGTCTAACACCACGTCCGACTTGCGGCGCGATGTAAGTAGACCTAACGCGGATCTGCAGGCTCAGGGCTCGATGCAGATCTTGAGTGCGCCCCTGCTGTTCATCTTGTCAAGGGCGGCCTGGAAGTCATCAAGTTTGAAGACATCGGTGACCATGCCTTCGGTCTTGATCTTTCCCGAGTCGAGATAAGCGACCGTGCGCGGGAAGCAGTACGTCTGGGAGAACGAGCCGATGATCTTGATCTCGTCGCCGAAGATCTAATCGCCGTAAGCCACTATCGCCGAATTATCTGAGCGGCAATTCCCCTCACCTTGGACGGCGGCCAGTGAACGCGCGCCTTGTTCTCATACACGCCGTAGATCATGAGCGTACCACCGCGGCGGACATAGTTGATGCTAGCATCGGCCAGCTTCTCGACACCGGTGGCCTCGACGACCACGTCGAAGCCGTACGGGTTGTCCTCCTTCAGTTTCTGCCACTGCGCCTCCGGGTTCTGCCTGTCGAGCTCGACGTACTCATCGGCGACGCCAAGATTCTTCGCGATGTCCATCTTGATACCTTTGTTCGCAGCAAGGACGATGCGGACCGCGCCATTCAGCTTGAGCAGCTGAGCCAAGATCAGGCCCGTCGGACCGGCACCCATCAGCAGGACCTCGATGCCGACAGGAGGGTTCAGCTTGTCGAGCCCATGCAGGGCACAAGCCGCCGGCTCCATGAGGGTGGCCTGCTGATCAGTCATGTTCTTGATCTTGTAGAGCTTGTGCTGCGGGCTGGCGGTGACATTAGAGCGCGCCTAAACCATATGTCCGCGTGAACTCACTAGGCAATGTACTCTGCGAAACCACCTTCGGAGGAGACGCCGCGAGCCTTGAAGTTCTCGCAGTACAATGTGTTACCGCGACGGCAGTAAAAGCAGTTGTCGCACTACAAAGTGGATCAGCAAAGCACAACCACGAACATATAACACGTACGGTAACACCAACATCGGCGACGCAACGGTCGCCAACATCGAAGCCCTTCACATTCTTGCCCATCTCGATGACAGAGCCTACGGCTTCATGTCCTGGGATAAGCTACATGCCTATGAGAAACTGGTACAACGCGCGCAAGGGGAAGCGCATACAGGGAAGGTGGCAATAAACTCGCCTAGACCAGATGTCAGTCGAGACGACGGGAAATGGGATGTGTGAAACGCACCCTCATGAATATGTAGATCAGTCCCGCATACGCCTAACAAAAGCGTCATGAACGCGATCTCTATGTAATTGTAGACGAGTACACACCACAGAGTGAGACTAGGCGACGGTCAGTATGGCGACTACCTGGAGCATACAAGGACATACCTTTAAGTAGAACATCATCGTCGCCGATCTTGGGCTTGGGAACTTGCTTGATCTCGAACTTGGTAGGCTGAGCGTCGCGGACCACGTTGAGCATATAGCCAGATGAAGGTGGGGGACGAGGAACAAACCTCGCTGTAGACGAGCGCCTTCATAGTTCCTTCGGGCATAGCGACTTTGGTGAAGGGGCGATGCTGTGGGATGGTGGATGGGGAGGGAAGGGAAGAAAATATGGGTAGTTGTCCGTATGAGGAATGCCTTTATAGTGCCAGAGTCGGATCAAAAGAACTCTCGCCGACGACGTCATGCCATGCTGAGCCCGGTTGCTTCGCATATGGTCGCCGAGCTCGCGCAGAGGAGGGCAGGAATCTGAAGGCTGCGATGGGTGCATTGGTCGATGGCAAGGGCGCTTGGCTGGTTATATGCGGTCCATGGACGCCATCTAGGTTGGCCGCAAGCGTAAGATGAACTGCTAAAGGCCTCATAGAGGCCCGATGCGAGCTGGAATGTTATCGTCATGCCCTGTTCAGGGCGGAGGAAGGCCTGTCGTCATCGCGTGGTCTCGGTCCGAGATTACAGCGCCTCGGACGGCCTCGCTTGAACTTCGCGCAAGTTCGCTGACATCGCTTGTCTGCAACCACCACATCGATTGCCGATCCACCGCGTCTCCGCCCATCCCACGTCTATATCTTCCTCCATCTCCATCATGTCAACCGCATCCAGCTACCCCTCATGGGCAAAGCTCCAAGAGATCTATGACAAGCAAAAGGCGTCCCTCAAGCTCAGGGACCTTTTCGCGTCCGATCCCGAGCGCTTCTCCAAGTTCTCCAGGACGTACACCTCGTCTTCCAACCCGGAGAACAAGTTCCTCGTCGACTACTCTAAGAACCTCATCACCCCCGAGATCCTGAGCGCGTTGTTCAGCCTTGCGCGCGAGGCCAATGTCGAGAGCCTCCGGGACGCCATGTTCGCCGGCGAACACATCAACACGACCGAGGACCGCGCCGTCCTTCACGTCGCCCTCCGCGATATCACATCGTCCTTCACCAGCAAGACGTCCAAGGAGCCGGGTGTCAACGAGGTCCCCAAAGTCCTCGCCCACATCAAGTCCTTCTCCGACGCCGTCAGGTCCGGCGACTGGAAGGGCTACACCGGCAAGCCCATCAAGTCCATCGTCAACATTGGCATCGGCGGCAGCGATCTCGGCCCCGTCATGGTCACCGAGGCGCTCAAGCCCTACTCCATTCGCTCCCTCGACTTCCACTTCGTCTCCAACATCGACGGCACCCACCTCGCCGAGACCACCAAGCTCTGCGACCCCGAGACCACGCTCTTCATCATCGCCTCCAAGACCTTCACCACCCAGGAGACCATCACGAACGCGATCTCCGCTCGCAACTGGTTCCTCGCCACCGCCAAGGACCAGGCGCACGTCGCGAAGCACTTCGTCGCGCTCTCCACCAACACCGCCAAGGTCACCGAGTTTGGCATCGCCGAGGAGAACATGTTTGCGTTCTGGGACTGGGTCGGCGGCCGCTACAGCCTCTGGAGCGCCATCGGTCTCAGCATCGCGCTCAGCATCGGGTACGAGAACTTTGAGGAACTCCTTCGCGGCGCGAACGACATGGACAAGCACTTTACCTCGACGCCCTTGGAGGAGAACCTGCCCGTCATCCTCGCGCTTATCGGCATCTGGTACAACGACTTTTACGGTAGGCGTCGTGGCGGCTTGTACAACGTCTTGCTTACCTATCGTCGCAGGCTCGCAAACGCACGTCCTTCTCCCCTATGACCAGTACCTGCACAAGTTTGCGGATTACTTCCAGCAGGGTGACATGGAGAGCAACGGCAAGACCGTCACAAAGAAGGGTGATAGGGTCAACTATCAGACTGGCGTATGTGCTGATCGCATCGTTCTATTCATTGGCTGACGCACTTCGTAGCCAATTATCTGGGGCGCGTCCGGTACCAACGGCCAGCATTCCTTCTATCAACTCCTTCACCAGGGCACGAAACTCGTCCCCGCGGACTTTCTCGCGCCGGCGACGAGCCACAATGAGCTCAAGGTTGCTGGTGAGTGTATATTACTGACATGCTAGATATGTGTCAGCCATCTCCTGACTGGGCGGCGCTCATCGACTCGCCGTTCATGCTCTTCACTAATCGACCTTCAGATGGCGGCTCTCACCACCGCATCTTGCTCTCCAACTTCTTCGCGCAGCCCGAAGCTCTCGCGTTCGGCAAGACCGAGGAGGAGGTTCGCAAGGAGCTCGGTCCGAATGCGTCCGACATCGTGGTGAAGGCGAAGGTCTTCGAGGGCAACCGGCCCAGCAACAGCATCCTGTTCCCGAAGCTGACGCCAGCTGTACTTGGTGAGCCACCCTTGGTCGACTTCCCTCCATGCAACGGCTAAACACGGTGCTCTAGGCTCATTGATCGCTTTGTACGAGCACAAGATCTTCGTCCAGGGCGCAATTTGGGGCATCAACTCGTACGGTACGTTAGAAACTCCTCTTCTCGTCGTAGCAGCCGAGATCTCACTCTTGGCCAGACCAAATGGGTGTCGAACTTGGTAAGGTCCTCGCGAAGAACATCCTCAAGCAGCTAGGGAAGCCCGAGGATGTTTCTGGCCACGACAGTTCGGTGCGTGTCCTTTCTTGGAACGTCTGCTTATGCCGTATCCCGCTCATGCATTCGCAGACAACGGGCATCATCCACCAGTACCAGGCCTGGCGCAAGGAGTAGACATCACCTTGATGGGCGGCAGCTGCTGCGAGTTGATCATAGTGGGATAATTCGAAGTCAGAGGCACGAATATCGGAAGGCTATGTTGTACTGTTATCTAGAAGGGAGGGAAGAGCGAAAGAAAGAACAAATGTACTGTCGAACAATACTATAGAGAAGTGACTGACTTGCATGATCCTTCCTGGTCACAACACTGAAGCAACTCGAGTTGCAAACAATCATCGGTTATTGCACGACACATGCTAGCGAACCAATAGCCACATCCAGACGATCTGAACGCAGGCTTCGACAAAAAGGAAGGCTATTCTACGTCTTCTGGAATCGCTGTCGCGTCCGGTGGATGGGCTGTTGTGCGTTGGAGGGAGGAGCAGAGGCCGTAACGCACGTAGCTGCGATAGCGTTAGAGGAGGTAGCGATCAAGCCGTGTATATTGCTTACCAGAAAGAAAGCGTTGGCCAAAAAAGTGTAAATGAAGACGAGGGTATACAGCATCTTGCCAAGGTGCAGGAAGGAGGTGAGGACGGTAGCAGTGACGCCAACGAATTTGTAGCCGCTGTATGCGACGAGGTCAACTAGGGAGACTTGAGCGGAGGGCGGTACGGCGAGGAGGAAGGTTCCTGGGATTATTGTGAGCGAGATAACAGCACGCCATGATGAATAGCGTACCTGTCTTGACGAAGCAGATATCGACGAAGACGATGAGGATGGACACGGAGAACGTCTCACCCAACACCTTCAAGCATTGTCAGTTCCATGCGAGCACGCGTCAAACAAATGACCCACCTTGGGGTCGAAGCCGCCACCCAACCCTCTTTGAATCGCGCTGACGAGGATGTACGTGACCATGGCCATGGATGGTATATACAGATCCGGGGAGTTTATATCGTCCCTTGGCGGGAGGAACTCCTCGAGGGCGTTATCGCCAGGCGGAGGACCTTGTGTGGGAGACGTCGCAGCAGCGTGCGGTGGGTAATACTGGGACTGGGGGTATCCCGCGCCGGACGCGTAGGGCTGCGACTGGGAGTACGTGTGCGACGCGTTGACGGCCTTGCGTCGCGCCCATGGCTTGTGCGTCCACGGGAAGAGAACAAGCTTGAGCTTGTGGATCACGTAGGAGTTTGACACGTTGAAGTGGTGCTTAACGGCGGCTTTGGGGAAGAATTGCAACTGAAGGCGATGTAAGGTTGGCGGTGACTGAGAACGCATGCTACACGTACGTTCTTCTGCACATACTCCTGCCCAGCTGCTACTGCGCTCGATCCCAACTGCATCCCTAGTTGCGCTGTGGCGCTGTCCACGCCCATGTTGTTCATGTTCCAGCCGGGAATGGGTCCACTGAAGTGAGAAGGCTGGGGCGGCTGCGCGAGGTGCTGAGGCCCAGGAGCTGCTGGGTTCTGGAATGGATATGCGGGAACATATTGTTGGGAATGTGCGGGTTGGCCTGTTGATCCAGGCTGAGGCGAAGATGAATATCGTTGGTAGCCTGCGGGCGGGCTCGCTGGGGTCGACGGAGGTTCCGGGATGTAAGCCGGATGGGTAGGCACAGGGTGACGGAGGGGAGGAGGAGAAGAGGTCATTGCGTCGCTGTGGTGGGTTCTTGGTGGTGCGTGACACGGTGAGCGTGTATCTGCTAATGAATGTAGGATGCGGGAGGTTACTGATCGAGACACGTGCAAGATGAAGGTTGTCCGCAACCACGTAGGCACACGTGGTGCTCCGCGACCTAAGTCTTCCGAGATCACTCTGAGTTGGCAAAGATTCAACCACAGCTCATAGACTCGATAAGCACCGGCCGCGCCAGCTGCGCCCTAGCTTGTCCAAGCTGCGGCTTCGGACTGCTCAGCCATGGTACTTGGAAAGCTCGTCGCATCAGTGCTGCTGAAGCTGCAGGTCGTGTGTTTCCGGGCTTGAGATCTCAAGCTTGAGAATCCAAGAGAAAAGTCTGCTGCAGCAGTGCTGACATCGAGCAAAAGTGTTACGTGCAACATGCACACAACACCCATTCCAGCGCACCATTCCCGATTCCACACTTTCCGGTTTGTTTCCGAGTTTCCTATACTGGCTCTTTAGACCTGCCTAGTCTCGAACCAGCCGTTTTGTCGGCTTTGTTTGGCTCTGTCTACATGGTGCAGACACCTCCTCAACGTCTGGCGCAAATGGCGGTCTGATGCTAGGGTCCCCGTTGTTTCAAATTCGTTGGCTCATGCGAGCCACGAGCACCACCGGGCCCGCCGCCTCCAGCGACATGCGCGCCTCACTCTCGTGCGCGTCCACCGCCTCCAGACGCGTCGAAATTCGTGGTAAATTGCACGTAGATAGGACACTAGATACTACGCGTCCTTGACGAATTTGAAGCAGAGGAAGGTGCCCGATTACATCCTACCTCTCATCGCAGGTTCCATATATATTATGACCTTCATCTACTCCTTTACACCCAAACTCGAGAAACAGTGCACCCCAGCCATGAATGCAGTGCTCCCTGGGTAGGAGTGTGACTCGCGCAAGTGAGAATGGATGCTCAAGGGTACCCAAATTGGGCTGTTGATGTGTTGAATTCCTGGTTGTCAACTTGTCCTCTTCTTTCACCCTCGTCCCTTTCGCCGATTGTCTGCGCCACAAACGGGCAGATGCGTGTGGGCCCCTCCGCCTCTGTCAGCAGCCAGGACCTGGAAAAGGTTGCGCGCAAATGCAATGAACGCCACGAACACCAGTTCCTTCGATCACGGCACAATCTCGACCATGCGCAGTGCTTGTGCCTGCCTATCAGAAGTGGATGCAAGGAGTGACCAACGGGTAAGGAGGTTGCAGATAGCAGGAGCGTCGGCGGTAGATGATCGAATACGACCCAGTGGTCGGATGGCAGCAGCAAGGGGGAAAGGCAAGCGACAGACCCGGTACAAAGCCCCGGGCAGGGCCTCAGAGGCCCCCCTCAGCGGCAAGCTGGAGGGGCTGGCACGCCCAGCGGCAACACCAAACACAGACACAAACCGAAGGCGACAACGCACAGACTAAAGAGTGTATAAGTGTGACTACTCGGTATATAAGGCGTGAACGCGTGACGTGACCGAGTGACTGCTAGAGTCGAGCTGTACAGAACAATAACCAACTCGTGACACTGCCTTCACCCTCGGACGCTCAGGAGCTGCAAAGTAAACTCGAGCGCATGTTCCGGGATGCATTCGGCTTTACTCCACGCGACTGGCAGCTTGACATCGCGGAGGCACTCACTCTAGGGCTGGTGTAAAGCGGCCGCAAGGGCCGAACACTAAGAGGCGGACTCACACAGGTCAGAACAGAACCGCATCGTATTCAGTGTGTGTGCGAGCGATGGTCGTGGTAAGAGTACAAGAAGCGTAAGGTAAGTATGTATGTGTGTGTGTATGTACGCTGTCCTTGGCGTCAGCCGAGTGTAATATGTGGCGTATGTGCGTCACGAGGAACGGTCACGTTACACCCCCCCAGGTACTACTGAATCGACGCGAGGTGTCGAAAAAATTGAGAAGAGAGTCGCGGTCGAAGCGAGAGGGCGGAGCAAGAGCGGAGCACGAGCGAGGCATGGCGTGCCAGCAAAGCGACGAACAAAGGTAACGGGCAAGCCGCGCGAGAGCTGCCAACGATCAAGCGCCTCGCAGTCAGCGAGCTCGGCAGCGGGAAGCCAAGTGTCGTCCTCCTGGCCATAACCGACCCAGCGAACAAGATACTTGACGGACTTCCGGGAGCGCTTCTCGTCGACGATCCGGTCCACAGTATATTCCTCGTAGCCATCTGGGGTCAAGAGGGGACCAGGCTTGAGCAGATGACGCGAAGGGAAAAGTGCATCATCATTCTCGCGCCAAAGCACGAGCTCAGAGACGTGGAACTTGGAGAACACGGCAGAGTTGGGCAGGTCCAACTCGTATGTCGACATCTCAGGGCAAGCCTTCACGACTGTGAAAGGACCGTCGAAGCGGGGCATGAATTTAGCAACTCGCTTCTCACCCTTAGCCTTGTAGTGCTGCCGACGATTGAAAGTAGCGACCTTCACACGATCACCGACGGCGATGGGAGGCTCGGACGGCCGCCTAGCATTGGCCGCAAAAGCCTGGTTAACCTTGGCCTGGGTAAGCATGTCGCGCGCCTCAGCCTCATTGTCCAGGAAGCCCTGCAGGTGACGCGCGGCAGAGAATGCCTCGGCGGTGCCCTCCAAGGAAGGAGGGAGCGAGTCGGGCACGAGAGGGGGAATGCGCCGCGGGTGGCGTCCAATGTGCATCTCGAAATGAGTAAGACCGGTGGAGGCATTCACTGAATTCATGATGTCGAAGCGAACTCGAGGCAGGGCCTTAACCCAGCCCTTCTGATTGCGTTCGACATGGAAGCGCAAGCACTGGTTGATCGTCTGATTGAAGCGCTCGGAGGAGCCATCGGTTTGCGGGTGATAAGCCGAGGACATGCGCAACTGTACGCCGCAGAGGGAGTGAAGGGCCTGCCAGAAGCAGGAGACGAAAAGCTTGTCACGATCGAGGGTGATGAAGAGCGGGAGACCGTTCTCGCAGACCCAGTTGTCAAAGAAAACGACCGCCAGCGCTTCGGCCGTCAGCGTAGTTAGAGTGGGCACGATGCGACAATCAGCACCCAGCCTGTCTGTTATGGAGAGGATGCAGTCATAGCCACTGTCAACGGGCAGCGGGCCAACAAAGTCCATCGCAATCTCCTCCCCCCGGCGGTCGGGCACAGGCAGCGGGTGTAAGGGACCGCCCTTAGCGCGGGTAGAAGCCTTGTTACGCTGGCAATCGGGGCAAGACGGCACGTACACGCGCTCAAGGTCGCGGCGCATACCCGGCCAGTAGTATGAGTCGCGCAGATTACTGAGCGACTTCTCAGCGCCGAAGTGGCCGCAAGAGTCATGAGCGACTTGGAAGAGCTCCTCCCTGAGGCTCGCATGTTTGGGCACATAGAGACGACCACCAACGTACCAAAGCCCGTGCCGGAGCTCAACGCCGGGCACAGAGACATCACGCGAGGACAACTTGGCGACGAAGGCGTCGCCCTCATAACCAGCCTTGATATCTGCAAGCCAAGCAGTATCCGGGCGGACGCGCAGGGTGGCGCAGACGGGGGAGATACCATAGCGCGCCCAAGAATCCTGTGCGGAACTGTGAGCAGGTCCGTCGGGGTCGTTGGGCAAGCGTGAGAGAGCATCCGCCGCGGTATTCTTATCCCCGGGGAGGTAAGTGATATGGAGTTCAAATTGGGACATTATCTCCATCCAGCGAAGCTGCCGCCACGGGAGGTCCTTCTGGCTATTGAAGTTCTCGAGAGTGCGGTGGTCGGTATAGACATGCACAGGCATACCCAACAAATCCGCGCGCCACTTCTTAAGCGCCCGTACGACCGCGAGGAGCTCCTTCTCGTGGGTAGCGTAGTGAAGCTCGGCCCCCTTCAGTGAGGCAGAGTCGTAGGCCACAGGGCGCGCGGTTTCCCAAGTGGGACCCCAAGACAGAACAGCACCGGTGCGCCAGTCGGAGGCATCGGTCGTGACAAACACCTTATTATCGCCCACATCCTCGTAGTCAATGACAGTCAGACATTCAGCGGAGGCAACGAGCGCGCGAATCTTCTCAAAAGCGTATTGGTGCTCATCGGTCCACTCGGCGAAGGACTTGTTGAATTCCTTCCCAGTGAGGGGGTCCAGAACGCGAGTGTATTCCGCAAGGTTTGGCAGGTAGCGGGTGTCACGACCCGTTCCTTTCCTCCCTCTCAGGACACCTACCATCTTATCTTATCTTACTTACCTCTTACTACGCATGGTTACTCCTTTATAAGGCTGGCCTGACCATGAGGCCACCTTAGACTTGGTATTCTAGTTACTTGACTCAGTTGTGCTTGACTCTTCTCTCTTCTATCTTCTCTTGAATCTTATTCTTCTGATCTCTATTGCGCCTCGACCCGCTCGTGCCACCGCCGAGTATTCACTCGTCGTTCACGCCGCGCCGACTGCGCCAACCCTTGAGCCGAGCCTAACATAATACCAAGTCTCCCCGACGAGGTTTACTGGGCTAATGGCTTCACCCACCTTTTCGGAGGAGGGAGAACTGAGGGTCGAATACGAACGCCGCAACGCGCCGCGACTCTCGGACCACATAACACGCCGCGGACACGTGGGACCGGTACCGCTTCCGTCCGAATCCGTATACATCCCGGCACCGCCCGCGCACACGAGCCCACCACGTGCTACGTCGGCCTACGCGCACTCCCGCCAACAGTCGATGGAGAGTCAGTACCAGACACCGGGAAACGCGCCCATACCGGGAATGTGGCCGACGTCCGCACACGCAAACCCGGCACAACCGACCACAACGTGGTACCCGGAGCCCCACAGTGGAATCGATAACACGACCTCTCTCCACGACATCCGCGACGTCCGCGCATACAGAGACCCGACATCCCAACAAGCTGCCACCGATATGTCGGCACACTCACAGCGCCCTTCCATTCATCTGAGCCAAGCCGACTTCGCGTCCACTCCAGCACGATCACTACCCCATCCGGCAACAATGGCCAACTCGCCACGCCCTTATCCTCTCGCTACGCCGCAAGACTGTGCGCGAGAGGCCTGGAAAATCTTCGTCGAACTAGGAGAGCAGGAAGGGGCGGTGGTACCAGACGATCCCATGGACGCAGCGGACGCGGTCATAGGATGGCTGCGTTACTTCGCCTCATCACTAAAGACGGGGAGGATCTGGACGCGACACACCCGCTTCTACAACGACCTCGGTCGTATGCGCGCATTCGCCGACCTCCTACGCGCCTCTCGTGACATGGGGGACAACAACTACCTCGAATACGACTACGACCTCACGGACTTGGTCAGTCGGGCAGAGCGCGCGGGGCAGACCCCATTACATCAGATAATGAGCGAGGGAGTTCCCATCACGCCGCTCGACCATGCCCCAGTCGTGCTACACACCCTAGCGGAGCTACAACGTTCGCAGCCGAGGATGCGCCCATATGTCGAACAGCAGCAGTTCGAACCGACGACGACTACCGATCTTGCATCCCGCGAGGCCCGCGCGTCAAACGAGGGAACGAGGGCACCGACGCCCACCGACTCCTCACGAGCACAAGTGAGTCGAGTTGGGGAAGTTGAGACCTCGCATATTCAGCTAGGACACATACCGGCGAGGGAGAGGAGGCAGTCGACGCGCTGGACCGCGGACCAAATCAGGCAGACCAACCGTCGCGATACGCGTGCACCCCCCATGGCATCGTACAACTCCGACGTCACGGACCTAGACTACGCCAGCGACCATAATCCACACCAGCGACCCGCCTCGCGTGCCTCAACGCCGACTACCGTTGTCGCCACATCCCCAACTTCGAGCCGAGCGCGACATCTTCAGACGGCGCAGGACATCGAGCTAACTCGACTGGACACACCCTCGGAGACGGCCCGCTTAGCTGCCGAGATCCACGAGCGCGAGGAGCGACTTCAGGCCCTGCTAGCACGGGAGGCCTCCCAACGCGCGAGTCAGGGGAGGCGCGAGCAGAGCGAGTGGATACCACGTCCCGCTATGACGCCCGGTCGAGCTGGAGTCGCATTCCAGGAACCAGTACGCGACATAAACACGCAGTCAGTCGTGCTGGAGGCGAATCCAATCTTCTCGCCCCGCGATGCACCTACCGTTAACCTACCCGCGACAACGCCTACGAGGACTACGAGGAGGACTGGGGGAACACCGGGAGACCCCAGCGAAGGACACTCGTCACCAGACGGCAGCCAGGGAAGAGGCCGGCAACCCGAATCGCCTACCCCGCGCATACCCACCTTTAGCAGCGCAGGAAGGGGTCCTCCGCCGCCTATCCCAGCGCGCTCCCCGCTCAGGAGTGTGAGAGGGGCGCCACCACCAAGCTCCACCGTGAACGCGACGACAGCGAGGCCACCACCTCCGCCGCCGCCAGGTCCTCTACCTCCCCTCCGCGCGATTCCGCCGCACATGCAACCAGCAGCGTGGGGAGGGGCAGCGACCCACTATACGCCAAATCCAGGGATCTAAGGAGGATATGGAGGATACGGGGGCGGGGGAGGCTCGCCAGGATGGCCGGGAGGACCGCCGGGGGGCGGAGGAGGACCAGGAGGACCACCGGGATGGCCAGGAGGACCGCCAGGGAGGGGAGGAGGACCACCGGGACCACCGGGACCGCCGGCACCAACGGGAGCAGGACGAGGCGGCGACCAGAGACCGGAATGGGTGGACCAACTCGCTCAGGCGTTACAACGAAGTCAGCAACCGGTCGAGCAACGCGATCCGCGCAAACAGCAACAGGAGCAAGAACGACGCCGGATACAAGAGGAGCTCGCACGAGAAAAGCAGCGCGAAGTCGCTCGACCGGAGAAGTTCAGCGGACGCGACCCGACGCGCTGGCGCAAGTGGATTGATTCGGTCAATCTCCACTTCCGAGCCAAACCCCTCACCTACTCCGACCACCGTGCCAGGATCCTCTTCGCGGTCTCGTACATGACCGATCTCGCGCAGGAACATTGGCAGAACCTGGAGCAACATAGACCGAACGACGACGCGCTCACCGATTACGACGCGTTCCTCCAAACCTTCGCACAGCAGTTCGATCTCGCAGACCCGGAGGCTGACGCGCGAGCTCAGTACGGCACCCTGACGATGGAAAACGACGAACGATTCACGTCGTACATTGTCGAGTTCGAAAGCCTCGCGCAACGTACCGGCTTCAACGAGGCGCACTGGATGACATGCCTCGAGGATAGCGTGCCGGACCGTATCACCAACGTCGCGCAACTGGCGCCCGCGTCCATCGACTTCGAAGACATGAAGAACCTCTTTACCTCCATCGACAATCGCTACTGGAAGGAACGCCATCGCAAGGAGGCCTACAAAAAGCAGCTGCAGCAACTCGAACGACGCTCCTCAGCTCAGACGCGACCGGCGCGACGCCTCGACGTGCGATACAGCGCCGCACCCGCAGCTACCGATGGCAACAAGGTGCCCGTATACGCCCCAAGTCCCCAGCGTAACACGACGCCGACCCCCGCACCCGCGAAAACGACCCCGGCCAACGATAACGTCGGCACGAATGACAGACGTGCGGCACCGAACAATGGACGCGTCACCATGCGCCAGCTGGTCCAAGGGGTCGACAAGAACGAGCTGGACAGATTGAGGAGGGAGAGGCGATGCTTTGGGTGCAAGCAGACCGGCCACATGTGGGGCGACCCCATATGCCCAGTGCCCAAGCCGGCACTTGGAAGGTCGAACTACGTGTTGGCGGATGATCAGCTGGCAATCCAGTGGGAGGAGGAAGCGGGAGAAAACCCGTTTGTGACGATGAAATTTGACGACGACAATACGGAGGGAGAGGAAGAGGGTGAGGACACGGAGGAGGACGGACAGTATGGATACGAATGCAGTGCTTCGGGAAATGTATGTCGGGACTAGGAAATGGCAAGGGCTCGCTAGTTCCCGATTTCGTTAACCCAGCTCTTCCAAACCGCGATGACGAGGACCCGCAGTTGCTTAACGCGATAGCCACGCTACCCTCTCATTCGTCTCAGTCATTCGTACTCGAGGTCGACGTCCTAGAGACGGGCGAAACCGGTCAACGAGGGCTCATCGACACAGGCGCATCGAATAACTTCGTTGACTACGACCTCTGCACGCGCGTTCCGCAACTACGCCAGAAACTTCCACGAGAAATACCACTCACGCTCTTCGACGGCGCACCCTCGTCGGCAGGGAATCTCAAGCATCGAATCCCGTTGTCACTCCGGTTCAAGGATGGCACCGTACATAAAGAAAACTTTCTCATAACCCGCCTACATCCATCGACTCCCATCGTACTCGGCATGCCGTGGCTACGGAAGCACAACCCCAACATCGACTGGAACACCCTCACCATTCAACTCGCGCCCAACCTCCGCGCCGTAGTATTCGAGCCAGAGCCACACTTGCGCAGCGTCACGATGCTGGAAGAGCTACCTCGCGACGAACCGGATTGGGTGGGAGAGGCGCCCCAAGACCCTCGAGTAGTGCTGGAGGAGGTCGAGTCGCCGGCGACTCCCACTCCGCAACACGAGCTGGCCTGGGACGAACCTAACTCCCCACGGACCTTGAACTCGAAGCAGCGCAAACGATTAAAAAGCAAGAAGACAAGGTCGCCTTCCCCAATGCCTACACGACCCCCCAGCTCGGGAAAACTGGAACGCGCCTCCAAGTACATGGGCAGACGCGAACCAAGGCGGAAGAGGGCGAGCAGTGAGACGCGTCCGCAAACTCCGCACCCTCTACGAGCAACCACAGATGGGGCAGCGCAATCCGCCTCGCCGCCGACGCCGAACGCCGAACAGACGACAAGCGCAAGCGCAGAGCACTCGGGCTTTACCCTCATTGGAGCGACTCCCATGTCTCACCTCATCGACAGGGGAGAGCCCGTCTACCTCCTCTACCTACGTCCCGAAACGGGTCACCCTTCGGAGGACCCTGAGGAAGGGAGGGGGGAAGAAGCACCGTCCTCTCCGCAACAGGCTCGCGCTGAGTTCTCCAAGGACCTGGAGGACGACCTACGACGCCACGTACCTGAACAGTATCACTCGTTCAGACAGGTTTTCTCCGAAGAAACCGCACGCGAGCTTCCCCCTCATTGAGAACACGACCACAAGATAGAGCTAGAGGAAGGCACCTCGCCGCCGTTCGGGAAAATATACAACATGTCGGAGCGGGAACTAGGAGCGCTGAAGGAATACCTCGACGAAATGCTGGGGAAGGGATTTATCAGGTCCTCTACTTCACCCGCAGGGGCGCCGGTCCTATTCGCGCCGAAGAAGGACGGAAAACTAAGGCTCTGCGTCGACTACCGCGGCCTGAACAGGATCACCCGAAAGAACCACTACCCACTACCGCTCATCGGCACCCTCATCGATCGACTGCGAGACGCGAAAATCTATACAAAGCTCGACCTACGATGGGGATACAATAACATACGGATCGCGGAGGGGGATGAATGGAAGACCGCCTTCAGGACGCGCTACGGCTCGTTCGAGTATCTCGTGATGCCTTTCGGAATGACGAACTCCCCATCCACCTTCCAACGATTCGTCAACGATATCTTCCATGACATGCTCGATGTCTTTGTGGTAGTGTACCTCGACGATATCCTTGTCTATTCGAAGGACGAGCGCGACCACGAACAACACGTCCGACAGGTGCTTCAGCGACTGGCCGAACACGATCTACACGCCCGACCGGAGAAATGCGAGTTTCACGTCCAGGAGATAGAGTATCTGGGCATGATCATCACCCCCGACGGCGTCAAAATGGACCCTCGGAAGGTGAAGACCGTACTAGATTGGCCGCGCCCCACGAACATCAAGGACCTACAAGCCTTCTTGGGCTTCGCCAACTTCTATCGACGCTTCATCGACAACTATTCGGGTATCGTCCACCCCCTCACCCAGCTACTCAAGAAGAATCACGAATGGGCCTGGACGGACAAGTGCGACGAAGTGTTCAATCTACTCAAGGCGGCCTTCACCGAAGCTCCGGTACTACAGCACTTCAACCCAGACCTGCCTATAGTCGTCGAGAGCGATGCCTCCGACTGGGCGATTGCAGCCATACTCTCGCAGTTCGACCCCGCAGATAACGAGCTCCACCCTATCGCGTTTCATGCCCGTACATGTTCCCCTGCCGAGTGCAACTACGACGTCTTCGATCGAGAGCTACTGGCCATAGTAGAGGCTTTCAAGGTCTGGCGTCCCTACCTTGAAGGTGCTCGACATCGAGTGGAGGTGTATTCCGACCACCACAACCTGCAGCACTTCACGACGTCGAAAGAACTCAAACCGGGACAGGTGCGCTGGTCCGAGTACCTATCCACGTTCGACTTCGTCATCCACTACCGCCCGGGTCGCTTGGGAGGAAAACCGGACGCACTGACGAGAAGGCCGGACGTGTATCCGCGAGAAGCCTTCAAGGCGAAAGCGAAAGCGTTCAACGAACGAGTAGCAATTCCGCCCGAGCGCCTATGTGCCCTCCACCTCCTCGACGTCGAGTCCGAACTCGAGCGCATCAAGCGGGCGCCGGAGGACGAGCACCTGCGCAAGGGAAGGGGGGAGGCGAAAGAGCGACCGGGAGAGCCTTTTACAACCACGCCCGATGGCTTGCTACTACGTGAAGGCCGAGTCTACGCCCCCGATTACGACAACCTTCGCCTGGACATAGTCCGTAGCCGCCATGACCACCAACTAAGTGGCCACCCTGGCGTTCGACGCACGCTCAAGCGTGTCATGCGCAAATACTACTGGCCGGGTATGCGAAAGGACATACACAACTACTGCGTTACCTGCACGGTCTGTTTGCGATCCAAGACGTCTAGACACGCGAAGTACGGGGAACTCAAGCCACTACCGGTAGGAGAACGACCCTGGTCTTCGATATCTATCGACCACATTGTCGAGCTCCCCCTATCGGAAGGCTACGACGCAGTCTTAGTGGTGGTGTGTCGACTCACAAAGCAGAGCATTTTCATTCCCTGCCACACCACCGACGACGCCGAAGACTTCGCACGACTGTTCATCCGAGAAGTCTTCAGCCGGCACGGCCTACCCACCGATATAGTCTCCGACCGAGGTGCCCTCTTCGTATCCGCGTTCTGGAAGGCCCTATGCCAAGCGCTGGGAGTCAAGTCAAATCTGTCTACTGCTTACCACCCGCAGACGGACGGGCAGACCGAACGCGTGAACCAGTCCCTCGAACAATACCTGCGCGCCTTCGTCAACTACGACCAGGACGATTGGGCGCCCCAGCTGCCTATAGCCGAATTCGTGTACAACAACACGACTCATTCGGCGACCGGCATGACACCATTCTTCGCGAACAAAGGGTACCATCCCCGCCTCTCAGTAGCCTTCGACAACGTACCCGATCACCGCGTCAACCTGATGGCGAAGGATCTGCAGTCGCTGCAAGACCACCTGAAGCAGCCAATGCTGTAAGCCGGGTTTAAACCCAGTTGACACTTGTCATACCCCGGGTTGAAATCTCACGATGCGGTTGTCGAGCCCGGCAAATGCCGAGCCCCCAGCCGACGGAGACGCCGGCGTCGCCGTTTTCCTGCCTTATCCGGCGCCGCGGCCGTGATGCGCGCGCCGCGTGCTCATCCCGACGTCGGGGGCGGCGCGTGACCGCGTGATCGGGAGGCGGGGTGCACCTCAGGGTACCACTTATGTAGACCTCTTAGCATATATAGATGTGTGCGATTTGTATGCTAAGAGCCCTGAAAACCGCTATCCTTAACCACTAATTTGGCAGCCTCTCGTATTGGGCTGGGATTGAATGTCTGGGGTCCTAGGGTGGTAGGGAGGTCATCCCCAGATGCGGGGGCAGATCGGGGAGGGGCGGAAAAATTAGCGCGTGCGCTATTTAATTAGGGCGCGCGCTATTTTGGCGGCCCCTGCATACTTGCTCCTAGCTGCCTATATACCTTTCTGCTGCCATATATACCCTCAATGATGGTGGAAAGGACAGGTGGTAGCTCTCTCTGCCCTTTAAAATCAGCTTGATTGCATACCTGCCTCAATTCAGATGTTGTGCCCTAAGTACAGAACTTCTCATGTAACCAACAATCTGACCGGAAATATCCAATCTAATGTTAAGCAGAAAAGTATAAATTGGGCTCGTCCCAAGGGGTGAGGTCTATCTCAAATTATGCTTGTGAAGTATGCCTTTGCAATGAAAGTTCAGACTGAGTCCTTGTATCAGGACAAACACTGAATAAGCAATGCATTAACACACAGATTAAATAGTGCACACCATAATGACTACATGCCCTATTTAGTGCTTGCCTTAATTAACGCGCACCCTAATTAGTGTGTGCCCTAATTAGGGCACGCCTTATTTAGGGCACGCCCTAAATAGTGCACGCCCTAATTAGTCCGTGCACTATTTAGCGCGTGCCCTAATCAACGCACACTCTAATTAGTCCGTGCACTATTTAGCGCGTGCCCTAATTAACGCACGCCCTAATTAGTGCCCGCCCTAATTAGTGTGTGCCCTAATTAGTGCCCGCCCTAATTAGTGTGTGCCCTAATTAGCGCATGCCTTATTCAAGGCGCGCCTTAATTAGTGAACACGCTAAATAGTGCATGCCCTAATTAGTGCATGCCTTATGTAGTGCACTTGCTAACTAGCCCATGCACTAAGCAGTGCAAGCCCAAGTTAGGCCATGCTTGACTTAGTGCTTGAGATCTAGAGGTATTCTGTGAAGGTGTTTGTAAGAAGATTCTACTGGATCAAGTAAGCAGTGATCTCAGGCAGGACAAAATCTGCATCTCCTACTTATGCTGAATGATGTACATCCAATTAAGATATTTGCTCAGACCCAAGGTAGATCAAGACAGGAAGAGATGAGATGCATTTGGTGACTTAAAACAGCTTTCAGTTTGCAACACGATACCTGAGGTGCAGCTGGATTTGAACATAGACTGTTACTGTGACCAATGTGACCCACCTTCCTTTTTGAGCGATTTGGACGACGCGTCGTTGCCCTCCTCAGCAAATTTTCAACCCATATTGCATGTACATTGCTGACTTTCAACTCAACCGTCTAGGTTTTGGACCATGGGGCTGGCCTGAGGTGTTGGGCTTGGTAGAGAGCCAGCCTGGCTTGCAGGAATTCCCTGAACGATATACGAGGCGTAGTGTGATCAGTGCAGCGCGCTAGCCAGCCACAGCCGCATTTACACTCGCTCACGGGCCACACGCTGGCTTGTCAGGCCCACATCCCGCGCCGCGTGCACTTGCCAATGATTGTTGTTGGGATCATTGCGCTCACCGCTGGACACGGGGTGCCTCAGGAGGTCGCTCGTAGGGAATATAAAAGCGAAAAAAAAGATATATATACATATATATATACATAGAAGATAAGGTGAGTCGCAACAAGCTCAGCGCAAGCGCTGAGCACATACGCGACACGTGAGCGGAGATGAGGGGTGAGGGGGTAGGACACAGTGGGGGCGGGATTGCTGCAAAAACAGTGCAGTGCTTCCCAGTCAAGCCATTGCTTGACGGGGGGTATGGGAGATCCCCTGGGAGGGGGGGGGAGGGGAGGGGGAAAGGCGATGTGGGGGTTGCACGTCGCAACGCGTTTGGCTGCTCGCAAGGGGCAGCCTCAGGTTGTCGATGCGTTGTGCAACAGCGCCGGCAACCAGCGCGAGTCTCGACTACGCGCAGCTCCAAAGAGGCGGAGGGGCGATATGCGCGTGCGCGCTCAGCGTCGTGATCGGGCATGCTCAGCAAACTGAGCGCGCCATCGACTACCGCGCTTCAGCGTGCACGTGACGCGTGACGCGCTCATCCCGCAGAGCGAGACGAGCGACGCGCACACGGCGCGCAGGTAGGGAGAAAACAAGGAAGGGGATGGAAGGAGGGGAGGGGAGAGTTATTGGTGGCTCGATCGGGGCGACGCGCATCTCGCACTGTGTTCGGGGCGTGCTTGCCAGTTTTGCAATCGGGGAGGGAAGGGTGAGTAGAAGGGGATGTGAGGAGAGACTGAAAGGGGAGGGGAGGCGACGCTGGCAGTAGGGGAGGCGACGTGGGCGGGAGGGAGCGCACCCGCGTCGCTGATCGCTTTTTTGTTTGTCCATGTTGTGCTGTTGATCGCGCGCGCGTCCGCGAAGGCGCGCGTCGGCGAGGGCTACTAGGGGGGACCCTCCGTGTCTCACTGCGGCGGAGGTGGCAGCGGCTGGTCCCCCCTTCGTATTCCCCCACGATGCGCGTCTTTCAGCACGCTCGTTCAACGAGATCAGAGCAAAAAGTGATATAGATCAGTGAAATAATGTAATGTAGCGCGTAGCGGACACACCTGACGACCCCCAAGCCCGGAAAACCCTCCCCTCTTGCAGAGAACGACGTGGCCGACTTGTCTTCGGTCTATGATGGTGGTCAAGAGCAAGAGGCGGCGCGAGGGACGTCACGTCACACTTGCGTCGCATCACGGCCCGCCCGCGGGAAAGGGAGGATAATAGGTCGATATCGCAGGATCTCCACGCGGAAAAAAAGCACTATTTCTGATGTATAGACATGCTAGTCACGAGATCAGGGCTGAGATGGGTCCTCAGAGGGTAAGAATGTATCTAAACTGTTCAAGGTCAGCAAATGTGCATCATATGGTACATATACACAATTACAATGTTATCTACGCATTTATAGACCACTTTGACCATGCAGTAAGATATTAAAAATCACCCCCTACATGCTCCATTTTGTCCCATCGAAATCTGACAAATTTCGAGGCGGGGGGCACGAAAGCAACGTCGAAAGAAGGTCAATGTTCAAGGGTTTTGGCTCGTTCTCGTGCAGCTTCAAGGTGGGTTGCGAGATGGTATGCTTCCCGTGCTCAGAATCTTACAAAACTTACAGGATCTTTCAAAACATGTCCACAGCACTGATCCCTAGATTTACACAGCCTAAGACCTTCCTCGGCATGTTACCGAGGTCGTCGAACACGACGACGACGTTGCTCGGATGCCGGACCGACTGGCCGGGCTGGTCATCCGGCGCGCTCGATCAGCGCGTTTCTTGACCTTCGACCACCACCGCGCCGCCTCCGTTTCCCCCTCTGCGGTCTCCCTCCCTTCCCCATATCCGCTTTACCACCAACCACGTTGCGCAGGCAAAGAAGCGCCTTTCCCCCCGCCGATCGCGCTGCCAAAGACAACACCGGCTTTTGATCAAAGGCCAACGCCTCAGCATGCGAGGAGGAGGTCAGCGGGTGCGTGAACACGCCCCGCATATCTATTTCTACTAACTAAAACTATTTACTTGATAAATGGGAGCCGGGGAGGGAGGACGCGCGGGCTGCGCAACGGCGAGAAGAGCGGGGCCGAATAAGGCCCCCTCTCTGGCATTTTCGCCCTCAGACATGGTCTGAGGGCGCGGCGAGTTCGCCTAGGACGCGTTATGCGTCCTGGGCAACTCGCCGATGGCTCCTGCGCCGCCTCTTCCCCCCTGCATGCGTTGTACAGCGCGTTCTCCCTCCACCCCATCGTCACCCCTCTCCCCCCACCCCTCACGCGAGATCGCCGTGAAGGCAATCCCGCGCGTCGCTAGCGGCGCGCGGCTGCTGCCGGGGTCTCCCCCGCATGCCGCGCGTCCAGCTCGGCTGCGCTCGGCCATGCCCACGTGCCGAGCTGCAGCCAGCGCGCGCACTCTCAACGAGGCGCCGAGGGAGATACCGCGGTGAGGAATCGCGCAAGCTGAGTGCTGCGTGCTCCATGAGGCGGTGCGCGAGGGCGGGGGAGGGAGACGCGTGGGAGGGGGGAAGGGAGGGGGGAAGGGAGGCGCGAAGGGAGGCGCGAAGGGAGGCGCGAAGGGAGGCGCGAAGGGAGGGGACGCGCAGAGGAAGGGGATGCACAAGCAGGGACGGCAGGAGTGCCGAGCGCGCGCGAGCAAATCGCTCGCCGTGCCCTGGCTTGCACTTTACGCCTCCCCTCCCCCTCTTTCCCCCTTTCCCCTCACTTGAGCGCGATCGCGCACGCGTTACGGTGCGTGCGGTGCGCGAATCCCGCGCTTCCCAGCCCGTGCCGTCCCTTCGCAGGGGCTCCCCCTTTCCCTGTCAAGCAATTGATTGATGGGGAGGCTTTGCGCTGCCCTCGCAGCAACCCCCCCTCGCATTATGTACCACTCCCTCACCCCCCATCCCCCCTCATATGTCGCATATGTGCTCAGCGCAAGCGCTGAGCGCCTCGCGACGTATAGTACAATACAATGTATATATACATGTATTATAAACTATATTCCCCCATTTACGCGCGCCCAAGCGATCCCCGACGCGCGCGCTGCGTGCAGCGGCGAGCGCGACGACGCCGGCAGCGGCGGCGGCTATTGTCGGCAAGTGCCCGCGGCGCGGGAGAAGGCCCGGCGAGCCGACGCGGGGGCCGCGAGCGAGCGTGAGTGCGGCTATGGCTTTTCGAACGCGTGATAACGACATTGCCAGCGCTGTGTGTGGCGGCGACCGTGGCACATCATTACGATGACAACAATGACGCGACGTCATCACACGCACAGCGCGACAGACACGCGTCGGGCGAGAGGCCGGATGTGCGAGAGCACAACGCACTGCACGCCGCGCCCCGCGCGTTTCCGAGTCACGCCATGCTTGCATCCCAGTCAAACCTGAGCCGGCGACTCCTGCCCTCAAGCCGGACCGCCCTGCGAGCAACGGGAGGGCTGGCAACTTACCGGTTAATTCTCCCGGAGGTCTCCTGTGCAGTGCTCATGGAAGATCTCCAGGTTATATTATATATGTCCGCACAGCATCAGCTGCCCCTCCTACTTGCCAGCCAACTTCCTGTCATAGGCAGGTGTTGAGAGCTAGTGGGTCGAGGGTTGAAAATTTGCTGAGGACGACAACGACGCGTCGTCCAAATGGCCCAAAAAGGAAGGTGGGTCACATTGGTCACAGTAACAGTGTATGTTCGAATCCAGCTGCACCTCAGGTAGTATATAGGCAATGGAAAGCTGTTTCGAGTCACTGAATACATCTCATCTCTTTCTGTATTGATCTACCTACAAGTCTGAGTGAATCTCTTAATGGGATGTACATAATCTAGCATAAGTACAAGATGCACAGACATTGTCCTGCCTGAGGTCACCACTTATTTGATCCAGTAAGATCTCCTTCCAAACACCCTCACAGAATACCTCTAGATATCAAGCACTAAGTCAACCATGGCCTGAAGGCCTGAAAGCTTGCACTGCTTAGTGCATGGGCTAGTCAGTGAGTGCACTATTTAGCGCATGCACTAAATAAGGTGTGCACTAATTAGGGCGCACACTATTTAGCAGGTGCACTAATTAGCGCATGCCCTAATAGAGTGTGCACTATTTAGCGTGTGCGCTAATTAGAGCGTGCACTATTTAGCGAGTGCACTAATTAGCGTGTGCGTCAAATAAGGCTTGCGCTGATTAGGGCGCGCATTAATTAAGGCCTGCACTATTTAGAGCATGCGCTATTTAGTGCGTGTCCTATTTAGTGCGTGCCCTATTTAGTGCGTGCCCTATTTAGCGCATGCCCTAAATAGTGCGTGTGCTCCTTAGGCCATGTATAGACAAGTGCATTGCTTATTTACTGCTTGGCCTGATATGAGGACTTGGTCTGAATCTTGATTGCAGAGGTGTACTTCACAAGCAGGATTTGAGATAGACCTCACCACTTGGAATTAGCATAACCTATATACCTTTCTGCTTAGCAATACACTGGACATTTCTGCTCAGATTGTTGATTACATAAGAAGTCCTGTATTTAGGGCACAACATCTGCATTTAGGCAGGTATGCAAACAAACTGACTTTCAAGGCCATAGAGAGCTACCGCCTGTCCCTTTCACCATTATGAGGGGTATATATGACAGTAGGAAGGTATATAAAGAGCTAGGAGCAAGTTTGCAGGGGCCGCCAAAATAGCGCGCGCCCTAATTAAATAGTGCACGCGCTAATTTTTCCGCCCCTCCCCGATCTGCCCCCGCATCTGGGGATGGCCTCCCTACCACCCTGGGACCCCATACATTCAATCCCAGCCCAATCCGAGGGGCTGCCAAATTAGCGATTAAGGATAGCAGTTTTCAGGGCTCTTAGCATACAAATCGCACACATCTATATATGCTAAGAGGTCTACATAAGTGGTACCCTGAGGTGCGGGGTGCCCGCGCGCGCCCGCGACGCGTCGGGACGTGCCGCGCGCGCGCGTCCTCAATGCCTCCCTTTGCGTTCGCTGCAGAATAGAAGTGTATATATGTATATAATGTACAAAAGATGATGCTGTGAGGTGTACAAGTGGAATAAGAAGAGAACACACGCGCGATAAATTTTCGCGATCGTTGCACGTGGGTGGGAGAGGGGCAGGGAAGAGAGCGAAGAGAGGGCAAGGAGAGTTGAGGGCAGGGGAAAGGCAAGGGAAGGTGTAGGGAGGAGCGTGAGGGCGCGGGGATGCGCTGGGTGGGTCCAGGAGGGGTGGTATGGGGGGGGGCGCGATCGGGATCGCTAGGGCGCGGGATTGGCGAATTAAGCGTCATATGTGACGCGCATGAGCGCCGGTGAGCTCGTAGGGGCGAGAAAGGAGGGCGAGGAGGGTAGTAAGGGGGCAGGATATGCGCTGGTGCGCTCTGCCTCGCCCTCACGCGGCATCACATTGTGGGCATCCTACACGGCCGGCACGTTGCGACCGCGTGAGGGAGGGAATAGGCGCTGTGCGGCGCAGTATATATCAATAAATGTGGCGCACTTCCACCTGGAAGTGCGCTCTGTATCGCAGGAGGGAGGGGAGAGGGAGGGAGGAGGAGGGCAGACCGTTGCCGCTGTCGTTGCTAAGGAGCGGGCTTCGCCCGGGTACTCGAAAATGGTGGGGGGATGAGGGGGGGGAGGGTGGGTTTCTTGCTTGCGGGCGCGGAGGGGCAATGAAGCCAAGCACCACTCCTCAGCGCGTGCGCGGAGGAGCGGCGCTATATATCCTTATTAGCGCTATTCAGTGTGTTTGAGATACTGCGACGTACCTTGGGAGGCTCGTCTAAGCCCCCCTTCCTTGTTCCTCTCTCCGCGCGTTCAGGGGAGGCCGGTGACCGGTCAGTCGAGGGGGAGGGGTAGGAGGTGGGATGGGATCAAGAGCGCGATCGCCGCGATCGCCGCAAAATATTCTCTTTATGTAAAAGAATTGAAGGAGCAAAGGAGAGGGAGAGGTAAGGGGGAAGGTGAGAGGGGGAGCGAGCGACGGAGAGCGAAGATGGAGGGAGGGGATGGGGTGGCGCGGGATAAGTAGCGATTTGGGACCGTTAGGTAGCGATTTGGGACCGGACCGCCCCGCCGCCCTCAGCTTCGGCGATACCCGCAGCGCGAACGGCACAATATCAGGGTCCTGAAGTTCGCGGATTATTGACCGAGGGTGTATATGCGTCGTAATCTGAAGTCAGGTCAATTCTATCGATTTACCGTGATTTTATATACGCTCGATTCATCCTGAAGATCACTCCTTTAAGTGGGATGTACATTGAGCATCTCGATGCTCATTGCCAATGATCCAGATGTCCGCGCGCCTCCAAAATTTTTGCAAACGGTGGAGGGAGCACTATTGACTACATATATGCCATTATATCTCTAACAGAGTGCTTCAGTAAAGTACAAACCCAAGAAGAGTGTCATTTTAGGCGCTCTGGCGCTTTCTTTGTGCATTTTGTATACCTTCCAGGACTCCTATCGCTTCCAAACTTCATACCATTACTGATATACTACTAAATTATTCCTCCCTAGGTTTTTGAGGCGTGATACCGGTTGGATGACTTGCAGATGACGAGGGACCGCGCGCGAACGCGTCCGCTTGAACGCGACGCGTGACGTGACATAACGCGTTGCTGTTTCCCTCCCACCGCCATTGCCGCCGCCGCCGACCGCCGCCCACAGCCCAATGGCTGCCCAACAACGCACGGAGAAGAGCAGGGAGCGTAGGGGGGCTCAGATGACCCCCCCTCAGGTGCGTCTTCCTTTTGAAAAACAAGAATCAATGACTAACGAAAAATTTTAAGCGCTGCTCGCCAACGCAAGCAGCGCTTCACCTGGCCGTCCGCCGCCCCCTTCGTCGGTCTCAAGCCCCACCCCGCCTTCAACACACCTCTTAGCGACCACCTAGCGCGGATCCCCGCCCCTCAACGTCCCCCTCCCCTCTATCGCGGCGATCGCCACGCGTCATCCCCGTAGCCAACCCCGTTCCCCGTCGTTACCGCATCAGCAGCGTGGGTATCCGCAGCGCATTCTGTGCGGCGGCGGCTTACTCCACCCCTACCCCTGCCCGGTACCGCCCCCCACGCACAGCCCGCCGCTTCGCCTTCCGGCATTGCGGCTGCGCTTCGCGCGTGAATACGCGGTACCGCGGCCTACCCCTCCCCTTCCATTCCCCTGTGGCATCGCCGCAAGCTAGACAGCAGGGGGTAGGGGGCGATGGGAAGGGGAGCGAGTGGCAAGGAGGCTGCCAACAGGATGGGCCGCGCGCATCCCCGCGAGGTGATTGCGTGCGGCCACTCGCAGCCCAGTCGTACGTGCAAGCGTACGACAACGCAATGGGTGAGATGTGCGCTCGCTCGCCGAAGCATCGGATGCCGACGATAAGGAGCTGCCAGAGGAGCGGCCACCCCACCAGCCCCTACCCCCACCCCTCCCGCACCCATATCCCCCCCTCCCTCGGTCACGCGTACGCGCAGGGAGTGCGCAGGGATATATCTATATCCCTGTACCTCTCCCCTCCTGCCCCCCTCCCCCCCCACACACCATGCCGCATAATGCGCATTGTGCGCCCCCGCCGCTGCGTATCAATTGCGCGCGGTTGGCTTTTCTTTCCATTATACATACCATATATAGATTGTGAATATACTATATAAACTACATGGCTTTTGAGGGTGGCAGCGCCAGTGGGAGAGGCGGCGAGGACGCGCGCGTCGGCACGCCCCGACGCGTCGAGGGCGCGCGCGCGGCTGTCCCGCCGCCCGATCACGCCATCACGCGCCGTCCCCGACGTCGGGAAGGGCACGCGGCGCGCGCATCACGGCCGCGGCGCCGGATAAGGCAGGAAAACGGCGGCACCGGCGTCTCTGTCGGCAGGGGGCTCGGCATTTGCTGGGCTCGACAACCGCATCGTGAGATTTCAACCCGGGGTATGACAAGTGTCAGGTGGGTTTAAACCCAGCTTACTGCACAAGGTGCCTGAAGGACGAAGTACGCAAGGCGGCGGAGGCGATGAAGAAGCATGCCGACGCGAAGCGAGGCATCACACCCGACTGGAAGAAAGGCGCGCGATGTCAAAAGTAGGGTATAGAGGGGCGAGTCTGCCTCCTCCTATGGGTGGACGGTTTGCCTCGCGTCCACGCTTTTGGTCCGCCTTCCTATTCGGGAAGAACTTTCCCACGCCGCTCCGGGGGCGTCCGTATTTATCCTTACTGTACATCTCTTTTCCCTCAGTCGCTATTCCACTAGCAGGAAGACTGAGGGTATGTTATCTCACTTACTATACTCATACTATTTACTGACTGTACTTTAGTCTTGCGCGTCCTGCGCTTCTTTAGGTATGAATATCAGTCGCTATTCCACTAGCAGGAAGACTGAGGTCTTGCGCGTCCTGCGCTTCTTTAGGTATGAATATCAGTCGCTATTCCACTAGCAGGAAGACTGAGGTCTTGCGCGTCCTGCGCTTCTTTAGCTCGTGAGAGGTTATGAGCCCCGTGGCCTAAAATCGAGCAAGACTTCGATCTGCGACTCACTCTATCCCACTCTGCGCCATGGCTCCCAAGGACAGCAAGGTCCCGACGCTCACCGATGCGGCGGACTGGCCGCTCTGGCGCCTCCGGGTCACCGACGCCCTCAACAGGGACGATCTCACCTCCATGGTGACTGGATCGGAAAAATCCCCTCCCCCTGAGATCGCGGTGACTCCACCAACGCCGACAACGTCCTCTCCCCCGTCCACGTCACCTGGCGCTCCGGCGACCACCACCCACCATATGCTGTACGGACTTTAAATAATGTCTGGGATATATCCCCCCACCGCTTTTCAAAGCTGGCGGGGTCCGGCAATTTCCGAGGTTCGCCCTCTTGAGCGGGCCCTCGGCAAGGGTCGGCACGGTCTGAAAATACGGCACGTGGCCCTCAGACCGCGCGAAATGTGTTATTTTCCTCGAAAATTCTTGAGGGCGCGCCGGAATTGTCGATTGCGCTTGCGGCAGCGCGTGGCGCCTCGATCCCGAGACCACGTGACCTCCCCGCCCGCCACCCCGAGCGCGCGCACCCTGTCGTTGCGTTGTGAATGGCGCACTGTCGTGTACAGTACTAGATGTTTAGTCTAGAATATGACAATACAGGTGTAGATGGCTTGCATTGCAGAAAAAACGCGCCAAAACGCGTCAAAAACGCGATTGAAAATTTTCACTGTGCCAAGCGCTGCGATTGCACGAGAGAAAGCGCGAGGAGGCCAAGCACGCGTGCTTGGGGGAGAGGGAAAAGTGATTCGGCGCGTGAAAAACGCGCTATACCCGTCACGAGGGGATGGGGGAGGATGGTGAAGGTCAGGCAAGGGATCGGCAAGCGCGTGAGGCGCGGGGAACGCGATACGCAGTCTGCGCGCGTAAAATCGCGTAGATGCGGAGGAAGAGGGGCTACATAGGATCGAAAGGTGGCGGAAGGGAGGACGGGGCACGCAGATCGCGTGGGATGCGCATCGCGCGCGGAGGCGATCGGCCCTCGCGCGTCGAGCACGCGTCCGGATGCGTCGCGAAGAAGGCTGAGAAAGAGGTGGAAGGGGAAAGGGGAGTTGGGGAGTAGTAGACGTTGGATTTAGGATGCCGAGGGGGGTGAGTGGGAGGGGGGAGGGTAATAGGGATGGGGGCCAAGTGAGGGGAAGGCGAGAGCGTGCGACGCGCTCATCGAATCATGCTGGCAGCACAGCTCGCATGTGCATAGTGTCTGAGCATGCGAGCTGTCCCGCACGCCCCCGCGAGGGGGGCGCAGTAGGCAAGGGAAGGGAGGTGGTGGTGAGATCACCCTACCCCCTCCCTCGGCGCGGTGCTGCACTTGCTTGAGGAGGAGCTCACCGCCCCCTCCCAGCGCTTAGATAGTCCTATATGAGCAATGAGTACTCGTCGCAATGTACGGCGCAGCCACGCACCTGCACCCTGCGCGCTCGCCCTCCCTATTCCCTCACGCCGAATCGTCGCCGATCATCGTGTTATGCGCCGTTACCATGCGCGATCTGCAGGATTCCATCTTGAGGAACGCTCTCAAGGTCAAAAACGAGTTATAGAAGGTAGGGGGGCAGAAAGGGGGGCGCGGCGGCGATGCGATATGGCGTGGAGGTGGTGGGAGGAGAAACGATGTAATTCGGGACCGTAAACTGCGTGATTCGGGACCGCGCTGTCATCTCTCGGCGACACCCGCAGGTTGTACTAGCACAAGCAGCGGTTGAATAATACACGGAGTATATACCGGGGCTACTACTGTATGGATATCCGAAGACAGAACTAGATTAGCGATTCCTAGTGATTTTATATAGCACGAAGTTTGAGGGAAGTCGGGTATGCATTTGGGTTGCGATTCATACAGGTCAATGGTTTATTCCTGAGTGAACTGACCGATTGACTTCAGATAAGCTGCTGGAAATACTGGGAGATGTACTATAGACTACCTTTATGCACTTTCTTGGAGGATTGGGTGCTTTAGACAGGGGGGAATCACGAAAAGGTGCTGAAAGCAGTGCTTTGGGCAATTAATTCGCCAATATCTCGTGAACTATAGATCACAGTCGTACCAAATTTCATGCCAAAGTATATATACTATACTACTAGCTACCCTCCAAAATTCAGAGCGCGAACCGCCGGGGATGGCCCTCAGTTTCTGACCGAGTCCCGAGGACGCGTCCCCTTCAACGCGTCGCGTGACGTGACGTAACGCGTCGCTCCTTCCTTTCCACCACCGCCCTCCCCGAACATCCCGTCCTCTACCTCGCGCGGACAGTTGCCGAAGACGACAGAGACGAAGGATAAAGGCAGGGGGGGGGCTCAAAAGAGCCCCCAAGGTACGTCTGAAAAGCCCCTCCAGTCAAATTATGAACTGACAAAAAATTTTCAACACGTCGCTCGTGTTGACAACACGAGCGACGCGTTGCCTGCAGCTCAGCGGCCCTCCTCCGAGGGTAGCGGGACGCGCAGCTCAAGCAGGGACCCCCCCTCCCGCCCACCTTCCATTCCGACAGCCGCCGTCGCCGCCGCCTAACCTGCGCGAGGCGACCAGCCGCCCCCACCCTCCCACCCTCTGCGCTCGCGCGACGCCCCACCCCGTACCCCCTATCCTCTCCCCTAATACGCCGTTACCACCTTCGCCAAGTGAGGTATAGGGGTAAGGAGGGGATTGGACAAGGGGCGGGCTGCGCGCCCGCTGATCGCGCAGAAACGAGGTGCGGAGGCGGCGGTGACGGGAGGGGCACCCACCCAGCAGACCATGCGCCTGCAGCGTGCCCTCAGCGCGCCCCCACCTTCCTCGCCGCCGCACGCCACGCCACTCGAGACCACCAAACACCCCATCACCCGAAGGGTGCCAGTTGCGGACCACCCCCACGCCATAGGTGGCCGTAGGCCCCTGCTCCTTTGAATACGGTCATCCCTCCTCCACCCCATCCCCTCATTTCCGTGTCGTGCTGCGTCGTCACCCGACACCTCTGCCCGCGCAGTCTCGGTCGTCGTCGCGTGCTCGCACGCACACCCTCGTAGGTAGTAGTACATCACGTTCGCGCTGTAGGCGTGAACGTGGCTTCTATATATCTATATATTTTTCATTGCCAATCCATACGACCGGGAACAAGGCGCGACAGCACGGAAGGATGGGGCGGCGGCGCGCTATCACGCGCGTGCGAAGAGGCGTGCTCGTGCTCCCGCATCATACACAAAAATCGCCAAAATTCCGAATTAAAAGTCCAGAAAACCACAAAAATGCGGTCTGCGGGCATTTGATCTTATTAAATCTAGGATTTTGAGGCGTTAGTGAGTCAGCAGTGGCCGGAAATTGCCGGGCTGGGACAGGCCCCCGCCAGCTTTGAAAAGCGGTGGTGGGCCATATCCTGGTTGATATTTAATATGGCGTACAGCAGCAGCTGCACCACCACATCCACAGGATTGGGCTCCTCCTCCACCACTCACCAAGTTGCGCAGAGGGAGACCTGGTCCTGGCGGAACGCCCGCGCCCTCTCCACCATCCGGGAGCACCTCTCGAATGACATCGCCCTCGAGCTCCACGAGTACCAGCACGCAAGCGAACTCTGGGAGAAGCTCGTCGAGAAGTTCGAGCAGACCAACACCAGCGAGATGGCAGTCACCGAACTGATCAAGATCTTCCGCGCGAAGCTCGCCGACGCCGACGATGGAGACGTCTCCCGCGAGGCGATGAGCGCGCACATCCACCGCGTTCGGCAGTCGGTCACCCAGCTCGCCACCCTCGGCTATCCCCTCAACGCCAATCTCGTCCCCCTCATCCTCCTCGCCTCCCTTCCCAGCTCGGAGAAGTGGAAGATCGTCTCATCCGGCATCTCGGCGGGCAGCTCCAAGGCCACGCCCCTCACCCTCTCCTACGTCGAGGCAAAGCTGATGGCGCAGGTGACCAGCAAGGAGGACTCGGACGATGAGCAGGCATACGCCGCCTCCTCTTCTCGCGCGCCCCCACCGCGCAAGCCCAAGGACAAGGGCAAGAAGAAGGGTAAGGGTAAGGCGACCTGCGTCATCCACGGCGAGGGGCACTCCACTGAGGAGTGCAAGACGATCCTTGGGCAGAAGGAGAAGGCGCTGAAGAAGCGGAAGGAGCGGGCGGCGGAGAAGGCGAAGGCGAACAAGGTGAAGGACTCGGACTCGGATTCGGACTCGGACTCGGACTCGGATGTAGACGACACGCATGTAACCGTCTCGCGCCGTGCCTACAAGAAGATTTCCGCCTATGTCCAGTCTGATCCAAAGCGACCGCAGCGACACCAAGGTTCGCACATCGTCGACTCGGGTGTGTCAAAGACCATGACCCCCGATGAGCGCCTCTTCGACGACAGCACTTACCGTGTCCTTGACCCGCCGCGCAACATCTACCTCGGGAATGAGTCCGTCATCAAGGCAGTAGGCATTGGCACTGCCTGCTTCGCCTCTAAGACACCGGACGGTGTGCGCGCGCTTACTATTCGGAAGACACTGCATGTCCCCGACCTCGCGTTGACGCTCATCTCGGTGCCCCAGATCACCAAGCGTGGTCTGCGCGTGTCCTTTAAGGACAACGCCTGTACTATCCGCGACTCCTCCGGCGATATCGCCTGTGTCGCAACGCGCAAACACGGTCTCTATCACGTCGACTGCCAGCCCATCGGCACGGATGAGCGCGCCTTCACCGCCATCGACATCAACCGGCTGCACCAGATCATGGGCCATACGAACTTCAAGAGCCTGCGCAACATGGTCCGACATGGGCAGCTCGGGGAGGTCGACACGCTTACCGGCATCCCATCCTTCTGTGAGCCCTGCGTCATGGGCAAGATGAAGAAGCTCCCCTTCAAGCGGAGCACCACGCCCGCCTCGCGCCCGCTCCAGTTTGTCTCCTGCGACGTTGGTGGCCCCGTCGACCCCGCTGCCATTGGCGGCTACCTCTACTGGATCGTCATCGTCTGCCACTACTCCTCGGGCATCTACACGCTCTTCACAAAGAAGAAGTCGGAGGTCTACAAGAAGCTCCGTCAGTGGCGCATCGACATGGAGCATCAGCACCGCGACTCTATCGAGCAGTGGGAGTGGCTCCCCGGCTGGGTTGAGTTCACCCGCACAGACGGCGGTGGCGAGTTCTGCTCGAACAAGATGGAGGCCGAGTTCCGGCGACGTGGTATCATCCACGAGACGACGGCGCCCTACACACCTGAGCAGAACGGCATAGCGGAGCGTATGAACCAGACGCTGGTCACCCGGGCGATCGCTAACCTCTGCGCGGCCAAGCTTCCCCGGAAGTACTGGATGTACGCGATGGAATATGCCACCGACATGATCAACCTATCGCCCGCCAGCCGCCAGAAGGGAGAACTGCCTATCAACCGCATGCGCAAGGTCAAGCGCCCTATTGACGTCCACGCCCTGCACCCCTTTGGCTGCCCTGCCTACCCGCTCATCCCAAAGAAGAAGCGGAAGGGCAAGTTCGCCGACCGCGCCCGCCGGTGCATCCTCATAGGCTACGCTTGGTCTGAGGGCACAAAGGCGTACAAGCTCCTCGAGATCGCCACTCAGAAGATCATCACCTCCCGGCACGTCAAGTTCGACGACGCCTCCCCCTCTCCTGACGAGATGCGCGCGGGCGAAGACGATGTGTCCGCCGAGCAGTGGGAGGACTTTGGCAAGTACTTCCGTCTGCCGCCCAAGGACACTCCTGCACCAGGTGCGGGCAGTGACAGCGAGGACGATGACGACGACGATGCGCCGGCCCAGCCACCTGCAGCCGGGTCAGTGGGAGCACCTCGTCCACCCACGCCAGAGCCAGTGGGAGATAATCGTCCGCCTTCACCTGACTCGGACGGGCCACCGCCTCCTCCGCGTCCACCTAAGACGCGCATACCGCGCCGGTCCCTGCCACCGGCCACACCTCCGCCAGCTCCTGCCCCCGCCGCTGGTCCATCACGCCGCCCTGGCCTTCGCAAGCCAGAAGAGCGAACAGCGAACCAGCACAAGGACCAGGGCTACATCAATGATTGGGAGCGGCAGGAAAACCACCGGAAGGTGTCCGCTCAGCAGCGGAAGCAGCGCGAACTAAGCATCCGCGTGCGCGAGCAGCAACTAGAGGACAATCGCCGACGTCAAGAGCAGCCGCCTCAGGCAGAAGCTCCTCCTCCGCCTCCCGCACCAGCTCCCGAACCAGAACCTGCACCAGCGCCTAACCAGGGGGGTGGGGATCCCCCGGATCAACCCGATGAAGAGGGCGAGTCAGTGAACTTTGCTTTTCTCAATGACGAACTCTTCGCGGGTGCAGCATCTGGTGGTCAGTCGAGCAGCGGCGCGCGGAAGATTCCCACCACTTGGAAACAAGCCATGGCAAGCCCAGAGTGCGACAAGTGGTTGGATGCGCAGTCGGAGGAGTTGAACAGCTTCAAGCTGAACGATGTCTACGAGGAGGTACCCATCCCGGAGGGCGTCAAGCCGATCACCTCCAAGCATGTCTTCTCCTTGAAGGAGGATGCTCAAGGGAACATTGAGCGGTACAAGGTGCGCATTGTGGCACGCGGCTTCACTCAGCAGGAAGGAGTCGACTACCAGGACACCTTTGCGCCCGTCGCTAGCCTGGAGTCCATCCGCATCATCCTCGCTCTCGCCGTCCGCCTTGGTCTTTACACAGACCAGATGGACGTGAACACCGCGTACCTCAACGGCGAGCTGCTACAGACGCTGTACATGCTTCCCCCGACCGGTGTCGACATCCGGGAGGGCTACTGCTGGCGACTCAAGAAGTCTGTCTATGGCCTCAAGCAGGCTGGTCGCGCGTGGAACCAGACGCTCCACAACAAGCTCGACAAGCTCGGGTTTGTGCGCTCGGAGACTTGCCTCTACGTCTTCCGGGACGGTAAGCAGGTCTGCTTCCTCGTCGTCTACGTCGACGACCTACTCCTCGCCGCCACCTCGCGTCCTTTCATGGACAGCATCAAGAAGAAGCTCACTGCCTCCTTCAAGATGCGCGACTTGGGTCCCGCCAAGTACCTCCTGGGCATCGAGATCATCCGGCACCCGGGAAAGCGCACGATCTCCCTCTCCCAGAGGAAGTACATCGACACCGTGCTTGAGCGCTATGGCATGTCGGACTGCACGGGCGTCAGCACCCCCATGTCCACAAGTACTCGCATCTCCGCTGATGACCCTAACGACAACGAGGTGCACACTCATATGGCCTTGGTCCCCGGAGGTCCCGTCGTCTCCTACCAGAGCGTAGTGGGCTCGCTCATGTACGGGATGATGGGCACCCGACCGGATACCGCCTATGTGGTGGGGGTTCTTGGCCGCTATAGCGCCGCCCCCAAGGCCTGCCATTGGGAACTGGCCAAGCGCGTCCTCCGGTACCTCAAGAAGACGCGTGACTGGTGCCTTGTCTATGATGGCGCTGACGCTGGCATGGACCTCGACTTCCATGGCTACACCGACGCTGACTGGGGCGGATGCAACGACACGTCCAAGTCTACCTCCGGCTTCGTGTTCATCTCAAGTCGGGGCGCCATTGGTTGGTCCAGCAAGCGGCAGTCCATGGTCTCTCTCTCTTCTACCGAGTCGGAGTACATTGGTCTAGCTAATGCTGGCCAGCATTTGGCGTGGCTCCGCTCATTCTTTGAGGAGTTGGGACGTCCGCAGGCCGGTGCCACCGAGCTTAGGTGTGACAACCGCGCGGCCATCATCCTCAGCCAGGATGCTCAGTTCCGGGCTCGGACCAAGCACATCCAGCGGAAGTACCACTACATCCGCGATGGGCTGGTTGCCACCGGCGAGTGCGTCGTCCTCTGGTACCCCACGGACGAGATGGTTGCGGACATCTTTACCAAGGCACTACCTCATGAGAAGCATCTCAAGTTCTGCCAAGGTATGGGTTTACGGCCAGACTCGAGTGGGAGTGTCAAAAGTAGGGTATAGAGGGGCGAGTCTGCCTCCTCCCATGGGTGGACGGTTTGCCTCGCGTCCACGCTTTTGGTCCGCCTTCCTATTCGGGAAGAACTTTCCCACGCCGCTCTGGGGGCGTCCGTATTTATCCTTACTGTACATCTCTTTTCCCTCAGTCGCTATTCCACTAGCAGGAAGACTGAGGGTATGTTATCTCACTTACTATACTCATACTATTTACTGACTGTACTTTAGTCTTGCGCGTCCTGCGCTTCTTTAGGTATGAATATCAGTCGCTATTCCACTAGCAGGAAGACTGAGGTCTTGCGCGTCCTGCGCTTCTTTAGCTCGTGAGACGCGAGTCATGCTGGACTTGCGAAACATCAAGACGAAAAGGCCAACGAAGAAGCTCGATTACAAACGACTAGGACCATTCACCGTCGAGAAAAAAGTCGGCTCACACGCGTATCGACTCAAACTGCCGAAAACCATGTCGAGGATCCACCCCGTCTTCCACGTTTCCCTCCTGCATGAAATACCAGCAGACACTTTCGCGCGCCGGCCACCTGAAAAAGCGCCGCCAGTGGAAATAGATGAGGAGGGCTATGAGCAGTACGAAGTAAGGGAGATTCTGGACTGTAAGGTCGTAGGGAAGAAGGGAACCAAGCGCAAGGTTAAATACTTCGTCGACTGGGAAGGATTTGGTCCTGAAGCACGCACGTGGGAGCCAGCGGAAGGACTCGCCAACGCTAAGAAGAAGGTGGACGCCTTCCACGCGACCCACCCAGATAAACCGCGTACGGTGGAGGAGTGGGACGTGAAGCCAAGCGCTCCCAAGGGGAGGAAGGGGAGGAAAAAATAGACGGCGAGGGCTGGCGAAACCTAACTTATAGACCGGCGCACGAGAATACACACGAAAAAGTCACCCACAAAAACAACAAACATCGCATGCACACACCTACGAGTTACAACAACAGTACGGAGACCAAGATACAGCGCAGAAAACTACAAGTCCACATCCCCACGGCAATCAGTCATCCACGTCGCTCATGTCGACAACCCCAGCTCCAGCGACAACCCCGCCAACCTCAGCGTCTTCGACATAACCCAGAATCATCCCACCGTCGTCCTCGCCATCAACAGATCCCAACGCACGCACGTTCGACCCCTCCCCGCCAATCGCAACATCGTCCTCCGCGCCCGACATCGCCTCACCCTCCATATCCGCCATCGCCTCCTCCTCGGCGTCCGTCTCCTCACCGCTACTAAAGTCGCCATCCATATCGCCAGCGAGAGCGCCCTCGAGGGGACCAAAACGCGCGATATAAGACCGGAGCCGATCAAGGATATGCCGATAAACCTCGCCAGGGACGCGAGAACTATGGGCCTCGAGCAGATCCCCCAGCCTCGAGCGAAGGCGTTGAAGGACACGGGCCGAGTCGAACCAAAGGCGGGCGAGCTCACGGCGGGCCTCACGAGCATCTTCCTCGGCTTCCTGAAGGGCGACACGGGTGAAGCGCAACTCGTCCAAACGACCACGAAGGTTGGAATTGAGGCTGTTGACATCGCGCCGGGCACGACGCCAGCGGGTCTGGAAGAAGCGGAAGCGGAGGGAGGCGGAGGAGCGCTCATCGGTGGCGTTGGCCAGCGCGACCTGGAGCTCAGAAACCCGCCGATTGGCGTCGCCAAGTTCGGTGGTCAAGCAATCCACGAGATCATCGAGATGTTGGATACGGGAAGCCTGAGAGGCGGAGTTGGTCTTCACGCGCCGTAGCTCCTGGTCCTGCTCCATCAGACGCGAGCACACCCCGCTCAAGGTACGCTCAGTGCGGTCCAGAGACGCGCGAAGACCCGCCGAGTCGCCCCGCTCCCGCTGGAGCGCGCGAAAGAGGGCACCCTACGACCAAAAGGGGAAAGTCAGCGGGACAGTCGCGCTATCGACGCCAGCATGCACCTCGTCGGAACCCAGCCCCACGCCTCGAAGCGGAGAATCGCCACCAGCCGATTGACCGACGCGCGAATGGAGAGCGGCTACAAACAGTGAGCACAGCACCTCCCGAGGGCAGCGGGTCACGCACCAAAGACGTCCGAAGAGAGCGCCGGAAGGACCGACGAGGAGAAGGAGGGCTGGAGTTGTGGCACCACGACGTTGGCACCAAGGAGCATGGAAGGAGGAACGGCGTGGGGAGAAGGAGACTTAGAAGGGGGCGCCATCGATGGAAGGAGGGAGCTGGAGAAGAGGTCCAAAAACATGGGTATAAGTAGGACTCCCAGAAACGCCTCGAACCGAAGGCCTGGAGACGGTGCGGATACCACGACGAGAGAGGGAGGGGGGACTATCCGACTCCGCTACTCAAAACGCCTCGGCTACGCCATCGATAGGGACCTTCGATGGTACTAGCAAGCTTCCGCGAACCGAGGTCTTCCCATCCAGGGTGGGGGGCGGAGGGCCGTAGGAGAGCTCATGGACGAGGGTCGGACGTAGGTCGTAAGAGGCGAGGATGAAGGAACTCCTTATCGCCTCCCCGCTGATCGACACGCGAACCGAAAATTCGGCAATTTCCGCGGCATGTGCCCTTCCAGGTTCGAATCACGGACTAGGTACCACAAATTTACGCTACTTGACTCGGGGAGTCTCGCTAGAGGGGGGGGTACTGTCACGACCCGTTCCTTTCCTCCCTCTCAGGACACCTACCATCTTATCTTATCTTACTTACCTCTTACTACGCATGGTTACTCCTTTATAAGGCTGGCCTGACCATGAGGCCACCTTAGACTTGGTATTCTAGTTACTTGACTCAGTTGTGCTTGACTCTTCTCTCTTCTATCTTCTCTTGAATCTTATTCTTCTGATCTCTATTGCGCCTCGACCCGCTCGTGCCACCGCCGAGTATTCACTCGTCGTTCACGCCGCGCCGACTGCGCCAACCCTTGAGCCGAGCCTAACAGCGGGCGATGTAGCGGGTCAAACCCAGGAAACGGCGGAGGTCAGTGGCGTTCCGCGGCGTAGGCCAGGCCACCACCGCGTCGACCTTCGAGGACTGCGCCTCGATACCGCGCCGAGAAATGTGGTGACTGAGGAAGTCGAGGGACGAGAGGAAGAAGGCGCACTTCTTCGGGTTACAAAAGAGGCGAGCTTTCCGGAGCGTGGCAAGAATGAGGCGAACGTGAGCGGCGTGCTCCTCCACAGTGTCCGACCAGATAATAATGTCATCCAAGTAAATGTAGCAGAACTTGCCGAGGAAGGGGCGCAGTGCGTCCGTCACCCGACGCTGATGCACAGGGGGCGCGTTCTTGAACCCTTGGGGCATGACAAGCCACTCATACAACCCGAGTGGCGTGGTGACGGCCGTGAGCGGGATAGATTCGGGGTCGAGCTTAGTCTGGTAGAAGGAGTCCGTCATGTCCATTTTGCCCCAGATGGAGCCAGTGCCAGCCGCGGCGAGAATGTTGTCGACGCGGGGAATGGGGTGGCGGTCGGTGACCGTGACCGCGTTGAGCAGGCGGTAGTCATTAACCCAACGAGGGAGCGCGGTCTTGTCTGCCTTTGGCGTGAGGAAGGCGGGCGAAGCAAAGGAAGACGAGGAAGGACGGATACGGCCAGCATTGAGGTGTCGCTGGATCAAGGTCTCCCAAGCCTCGCGGTACTTCCGGGGAGATGGGTAGGTCCGTTTAGAGAGCTCGAAATCACGCACACGCAAGTCGATCTTGCACAAGTGCGTATTGTCCAGATCGTCGACGTGAGCAATAGGCCCAAAGACGTCCTGGAAATCGCTCTTGATCTCCTCACTCATAGCCTCGAGCTTGGCTTTATGTTCGAGGGTTTTGATCGTCTCCAGGATCGCGCAAACAAATCGAGAAGGGTGGCGGGGCGGGGTAGTGTGCGCGTCGCACGCTACCCGGCGGCCCGCCAACATCTCATTCAACTCGGAGACAACAGCTAAGCGATCACTACAAATCTGTATACGGCGGTCCTTGGGCGAAGTACGGGTCGTAGCGGTGGCGGGGGAGGCAGGCAAGCGAGGCAGGTGCAAGATATCAAAACCAGTAGCCATGCAGATAACAGAGGGGTCGAAGACACGAGAGCGCGAGGCAGGGTCACGGCGAAGCGAGTACGAGATACGGAAGTCGTTCAGAGCGAGGAAAGGGAGCCCGAGAAGGAGGGGAACATGTAGCGAGGGAGCAATAAGGGCCTTAACGGTATGCGACTGGAAAGAAAGCGAGCGGTCTTGCAAGGAAAGAAGCGAGTACGAGTCAATCGAGAGTTCAACCTTAGCACCGTCTGGGCCGTCCATGGCCACGCCGAGGAGCTCCGGTTCTGCGAGGCGGTGGACCTGGAGGCGCAGCTGACTACGCAAGTCCTCCCTGATGAGCACAAAGGGTGAGCCGTCGTCAATGAGCGCGCGGACACGCGTGGCAAGGGAGGACTCAGGGGACCCGACGACACATTTCCAGAACAAGTGTGGCAGGGCGTGTGGGATGGCATGAGCGTGATGGGTGCCGACAGCACCGGGAACGGGAGGTAGCGGGTGGTGCAGCGGGGGCAGCGGAGCACGGGCGAGAGCACATACCTCGGTAGCGGCCGGGGCAGCGTCAGTCAAGCTGGCGCGAGCCTTCCCCTTCCCCATGGTAGCGGGGCGTTCGGAGAGGGTGCGCGCTCTAGCGGGGCTGGAGGAAGAGACGTCGGTACGCGCCGCACGAGCGCGCGGCGCTGGCGACGGGCTGGGCGGTGTAGGGGGCGGGCTGGGCACCGGGCTGTCCAGCGGCGTCAGGGGCGAGGAAGAGCGGTGGCGAGCAGGCGAGACGAGCGCGCGCTTGGAGGGACCGGCGGCAGGTGCGAACTCCACGGACAAGGACCGACGATGCTCAGGCGTAGTGGACACGGGCGACGCAGCGCGCGAGGGCAAGGCGGAGGAGCGACCGCGCATGATGGACCGAGGACGGGAGCGGACGGAGGCCGAGCGGGAACGCGAACACGAGCGGTCATTGACAACCTCACGACCAAAACCGGAGCGCGAGGGCGAGCGAGCACGCGAGAGTGACCGGCTGCTAGACCGCGCGTAAGCGCGAGCCTTGGACGTGCTGCAGTGCGTATGGATGACCGCGCCGTCGTCACGGTCACCGCGGAGGGCGCGAGAGCCAGAGCCTGCGGGAGGCGCGGGCTGGCTGATGTAGTCGTCGTTGTACCCCGCGTCGTCGTTGCTATAGTCACCGAAGGAGGCTGAGACGAAGTCGCGAGCAGGCTGGGAAGGAGCTGGTGCCGTGCGCGGGACGGTGGGCAGGCCCATGTCGCTGTGACGGCGGACGTTAGCGATGTGGTTAACACGCCCCCGCAGTCCAGTGGAAGCGTAGCTGCGTGCGAGGTCATTCTGAGTGTAGGCGATGTAGTTGACGGGCTGAGGCTGTGCGGGGGGACCCTCGAAGGACGAGTCCGGCGAGATGCGGGCAACCTGGGCAGGAACGGCGTTGACGCGCGTGCCGACGGGAATGCTATTGGCGTTCGTGGCGGGACCACGAGAGGAGCGCAGGTAGCGGGCTGTGTATAGGCAGGCGAGATGGTGAACGGACCCGGGTTGACGTTGGCGACGATCTCCTGGAGCGTGATGCCGCGGCGCTCCCTCTCCTCATTGTAATGAGTGAAGTACGTCTGCGCAATGAGGTAGTCCTCGACCTCGGTGCAGTCGAGCGGGAAGGGCGGCTTGAAGGACTGGCCCCGGTTAGGGCAGTCGGAGGCGCGATGATTGGCGCGGATCTCGAAGCAGAAGTAACACCCGCTGAAGATGGTGATAGTGATGAAGTGGCCAACGAGTCTTGGGTTGAGGTTGAGGGGAATGATGAGGACCTCCTTCTTAGCCAAGACATCCGCCTTGGTAAGCACCCGAGCAGGGGGGCGTGAGCTGATCGCGTTGACGGCCGTGACCTGGTTAGACCAGCGACGTGGAGGTGCGGACTGCTGGGCATAAGCGGGCTGCTGAGCATACGTCGACGAGCGAGGAGGCTGTGCGGCGTTGCTGGCGAAGGCGGGGCGCTTAGGCTCGGGCAGCTGAGCTGAGTGCGAAGCGGTGCTCAGGCTGCGCTTGCGCAGGTCGTTGTCGAGGGCCTTCATCCCGTCGCTCACAGCGTCAGCGAACTCGTCGAGAAAGTTGCGGTGCGCGTCCCAGGCGGTGGTCAAGACCGTCGTGAAGTCCTTGATGGATGCGTTGTACGCATCCACTGACACCTCGTCGCTCTCGTCCACGGTCAGGAGCGTCCACTTCAGGAGCTTGGCGAACTGGTCCTTGCTGCGGCAGAAGTTCGTGAACTTGCGGCCGAAGCTGAGGATGGTGCGCTCGATGATCTTCATCTGCGACACGCGCAGCTCGGCGGGGAGGTCGAAGTTAGACTCCTCAAGGCCGTTGTAGAAGTCCAAGGGGTGTTCCTTATCTGCGCGCGCACGATCCTGGAAGTTGTCGAAGAGCTTCGTGGAGCCGCCACGTATGAAGGTGTCCCTGAGCACGTCGAAGAACTGCTCGTAGGTCATCGTGCGGAAGGTGTACGATTTGGCGGCTGCAGTGCGGCGTAAGTCCTGCTGCATTTTGGGTGACTCAAAGGCGTGGATGAACGTGTCCATGATGTCCCCGTCCTGAAGCTTGGCGATGGTGCCGTACGAGCGGAAGGCGTGCAGAAGGCGTGCGCAGGTGCGTGGCCCTCCCAGGCTAGTCGCGGCTTCCTTCGAGTCTGCAACATGCGGCAGTCTCCCCTGGTTGGAGAAGACGCCTTCGGCGATCGTAGTAACGGGCATGTCTTCTGATGTGTCTGAGGAGGCAGGTGATGAGAGGAGCGGGGTGAGGGGCGAGTCGGGGGTGGTTGGGCGTGATGCGACGGGCTTGGGAGAGTCCGTATGTGAGACGGTCGTGGCGTGTGCAAAAGGTGGGAGAAGAGACTCTGGCTCGGCTCTGTTGTTCAGCGGTGCCGCTGATGACGAGGATAATGGGGTCGGCAGGGATTCAGAGGCAGATGGGAGAGGGAGCTGCGCCGGGGCACGGGGCCTTCTCTTCGTGGCTGGAGCGCGTGTGGCTGTGTTTGGCTTGGGGAATCGAGGCGATCGTCTGTCTCCGGGGTCAGCCATGCTGGTATCCGGTGAGCGGACAGTGCGCAGAAGGGTGAGCGGGGTGTGGGGAAAGGTGGGGGCAAACTCTACCGGAGGCAGAGTGGTGGGAACGGCGTCGGCGATATCAATATCAAGGGTGTTGCCGTGATAATGATCAGGGACCCACAACCGAGCGCGACGTTATGGCAGGTGGCTAGGAGGGCGAGGCGGCGGGTATTTCGAGAATCGCCTTAAGCGAGTTTGTATACCAGAATATATGTGGCTATATGCGTCAAAATAATGGCAGGGCGTGGCTAGTGGAGGCGGGAGCGTGGCAAGGCGTCTAGGGTGTGGCGGAGCGAGCAGAAAAGCAAATCGCCTAAGGCAATTATTGGAAAGGCGAGGCTATGGCAAGGGGTGGGGGTGTAGTGACCGTTCTCGACGAGGAAACGGGGTATATGCGGACGTCGACGACGTCAATGAGCAGTATGGCAGGTACGACACGGATAATGTTCAAAAAAAAGTGTAAAGCGGCCGCGAGGGCCGAACACTAAGAGGCGGACTCACACAGGTCAGAACAGAACTGTGTCGTATTCGGTGTGTGTGCGAGCGATGGTCGTGGTAAGAGTACAAGAAGCGTAAGGTAAGTATGTATGTGTGTGTGTATGTACGCTGTCCTCGGCGTCAGCCGAGTGTAATATGTGGTGTATGTGCGTCACGAGGAACGGTCACGTTACAGCTGGATGTTGTCACCATTGCCGGCACCGGCTCCGGCAAGACCAATCCCTTCATGCTCCTTCCCCTCGCACATCCCGGCAAGAAGATCATAGTCATATCACCTCTAAAGATGCTACAATATGATCAGTCTCAAAAGTGGTGCGTAGGAGGGCGAGTCTGCCTTCTCCCCAGTGATGCGCCACAAAGTGTTGCGTCACACAGTGGAGGTTCGACCCCTCCACCGTAACATAGCACTAGCGTCACGCTCCGGATTAGGAAGGTGCCCCTATCTGTAGATACAGGCGATGTGGCGCCTCGCTCCCAACTTCCCTCAGTCGCTATCTCCCTAGCAGGAAGACTGAGGTCTTGCGCGTCCTGCGCTCTTTTAGCTCGTGAAAGGTTATGCTCCTGGGGCACATAAACAATGCCTACTTAGATGTAACGTTCGTGTCACCGTCTGTAGTCTAAATCCACTTTATCTATCCCTCTTCTTCAGTCAGATTATTCTGGGCCGTAGAGTATTCTGTAGGCCAGAGTATTCTGGGCGGTAGAGTATTCTGGGCGGTAGAGTATTCTGTGGGTTAGAGTATTCTGTAGGTTAGAGTATTCTGTGGGTCAGAGTATTCTGTAGGTCAGAGTATTCTGTAGGTTAGAGTATTCTGGGCCGTAGATTAATCTGCGCCGTAGAGTATTCTGGGCTGTAGAGTATTCTGACATTGCTTCAGCTAGATTAATCTGTCTCTAGATAAATCTACCTCTTCCTTCCCATAGAATATTCTGCTTGACAGCATAATATGTTTCAGACAGTCTACTTTCTGTCACGCAGAATATTCTGTTTCCTGATTCAATGCATTTCCAGTATGCCAGATGTTTCATAACAGAAAGGTCAGGTAACTGCCACTAACATCAGTGCATGTGAGCTAGTCATTGGGTGGAATATGTTGTAATACTGGTCTTCTATCAGCACCGTTGCGCTTGTTCATCAATGATGGTAACAGTTAGTCATACTAGCATAACTAGTTGTCACTTTCCCCATCACCATCCTTCTCCTTCTCCTCACCGTCGTCCTTCTCCTCCTCCTCCTCCTCCTCCTCATCCTCATCGTCGTCATCGTCGCCATCCTCATCGTCGTCATCGTCGCCATCCTCATCGTTGTTGTCGTCGCCATCCTCATCGTCGTTGTCGTCGCCATCGTCGTTGTCGTTGTCGTCGTCATTGTCGTTGCCGTTGTTGTCATGCTTCTACTCCTCATCATCGTCCGTCTCCTCGTCCGTCTCCTCATCCGTCTCCTCGTCCTTCTCCTTGTCCTTCTCCTTGTCCTTCTCCTTGTCCTTCTCCTCATCCGTCTCCTCGTCCTCCTCCTCGTCCTCCTCCTTGTCCTCCTCCTCGTCATCATCATCCTCGCTGTCCTTCTCCTTGTCCCTCCCCATGTTGGCATTAGCGACAACAGGAGCTTTGGTATCAGCGTCCATATCGACATCGCTGTCCTCATCAAGTCTAGCCTTTGACTTGGGTGCCTCGCGTCGCCGAGGCTTAGGCAGGCTTGCAGGCTCGCCATTGCGTCTCGCCAACTTCTGCAATCTGGATTCACCAGCCCGACCTTTCCCTTTCTTCCTCCAAGCTTGCCACTGCACGCGCGTATCTGTCTCCTCCTGCACATCCTTAAGATAGCAAACCGAGCGCTCTTCCCAAGTGAAAAGGGCGCTGTGGTTTTCCCTGGAGATCACCATTGGGGTCGCGCCCAGGTCCGCAAGCGCCTTTCCCTCAAGAACTCCTCGGGGGATTGGAAGGATGGCGGGCGCGTTGCACTCCCGCAGCACCTGCTGAGCTTCTTCGCCAGTCAGGCCATTGTTGAGTATACGGGTCTCTGCTGTCTTGCGCGACAACCACATATCTCTTGCGGTGCTCGTCCAATCCTTGCCGAGCGGCTTCTGAGGCGGAGTATCCTCCTTCGGCGCGTTCGACAACATGACCGGGGCGTAACGCTTGAAGACCTCAGGCCATCCGCGAAGCTCGAGCTCCCATCTGTAGAGAATGTCGGCGAGCTTACGATACGGAAGTTGCTTTGGTAGGTCGCCCGGATGGCCCTTCTTGTTAACAGAAACGCCAATCAAGACTGACCCCCGCGCTGATCGTCCACGTTAGCTCTTGCTGCATACTATCAATTCACCTAACTCACCAAGGTCCTCACGGAGGCATTCCTTGACGATACGCCAGTAGCCGTCACAGTTGTTCTCCTGAGTGCCTGGGCGCCAATCACGTCGCTTATAGACGACTGCATCTTCACTCTCGTCCATCAACATCGCGGCCGACCCGCTGTCTATCCACTTCGAACGGACTTGAAACTGACAGCTCCTGGTGGACACGTTAGGATGCTAGGGCCGCATACAACACACAATGAACAAACCTCAAGATCCGCGTCATCTTGTCCAGCATCTCATGGAAGTTGCCGTCATATTCTCGCGTCAGGGCCTCGAATGCTTCTCCTGCACCGAACATCATCGCGCCAGCAGCGTGTTCCTGAAGTGCATGAGTGTCAACCACCCAACCGAAGGCTGTCATGCCGTCGTGGAATAAGTGCAACGTAGCCTGCTGCGTGAACTTCTCCACGATGCCCTTCATTGTGCGCAGGCGCTTGCCCTTCGTGCCAGACGTGCGCTTTTTTGCTGCAATGTCCGCTGCCAGACGCAGCTCGGCCTGCAAGTGCTCGGCCTTCTCAAACTGGGTAGGAGGCCGTCCAAGCTTGTCCGTCAACTTTTTGATTTCGCTGTGGTACGCTGCCGTTCCCTTCGCCCGAAGATCCGTGCGGTCTTCTGGCGGTATGTTAGACATGCTCAGAGCAGCTGATCCGTCGCAGTACTTACCACCTTCATATGTAGCGGAGTAAGCCTTCACGAACATGTTTGCCATGTTCTCGTCGCGCGGCGCGCAATAATCACTGTGCATCCAACCAACGAGCTTGAAGAACTCCTCGGGATCTTTCCCTGCCTCGCGTGAGAGCTCCAGTATCCTCTGCAAGTACTCCATCCCTAGCTGCTCCGCGACTTGGCGTATGTCGTCAGATACGGTGCCGGTCTTTTTCTTATCCTTCACTTCGGACGATGCACTGCGGGATGTGTCGCCTTCGTCCACTGACGAATCGTCTGCGCGATCGGTTCCGTCCGTGCGACCGATTCCTGTAGATTTTGCGGACGTTCCGGACGGACCAGCTCGCGGCGTCTCCTCTTCGCAGTGGTCGAACAAGGACGCGGCGTCAGGTACATTCTGTCTCGACGCGGGTTTTGCGGTCGTGCCCTTGCCCTTGCGCTTGGAGCTCGTCACCGTCGCCTCTGCAGGCATTGCAGGAGTTTTGGCAGGCTTTGGCGCATTCTGTCTTGACGCGGGTTTTGCGGTCGTGCCCTTGCGCTGCAACATCGACGTTCGACTGCCCGTTGGTACAGCGTCATCTGGACGTGTCCGCGAAGTCGCAGCGAGGGAATGCAGATCAGTCAATAAGGCGCCTTCACCCGACATTCGGCGTGGGGGAGGACACGGTGACGGCTCCGGGGTTGAAGGGCTGAAGTCGAAGCGGTTCGCGGGAGTCGGACTATGTGGAGTTTGAGGTGGGGACGCGCTCGCAAACTTTGTGGCTCGTCGCTTCTTCTTGTCTCGCATCATGGCGGCAGCGGCTTCTGGGGATGCCGTGGGGGGATCGGGGCGCTCGTTCGTCATGAACGCCAGCCAGGCATCACCAAACTCAATTCGCGCTTGAGCTGCGTCATCGTTGGGTTGCCTGCCTTGAGCTTTCCCACCTATGGCAATCGCGCGGCCGTTGCCATCGACTTTCGTTTTCGTCTGTGCGCCCTTGCCCTTGCCCTTGCGTCTCTTGTCCTTGGTCTCCATCTTTGCTTTCTTGCGGGTCGGTCGAGGCGAGACGGATGGGGTAGCGGACGTGTCCATTTGCTCATGAACAGGCTCTGCCGATGGCGCGCGCTTACGCTTCGCCCCAGAGGCGTCTGGGCCGATGGGAGTGGTCATTGAGGTATGCGGTGGCTGGCCTTCCGTAGGAGCAGGTGGGGCTTGCATAGACACATGGCGAGTTTGGTTGAGCGGCGGGATCTCGACGTAGTCCAATACCATGCGCCCTGGTACTTGTGAAGCCCTGGGGGTTCGGCGAGCATATGCAGGACCCCCAGGGTTATCACTACCTTCGCGACTAATGGAAGACTGTGTGACGCGGTAAGAGCAGGTCTAGGTGACGAACTATCGCTGGCTACACACCTGCGAACGGCCCTCGCTACACTTCTGGACATGCCGCGCTGTAGATTCCTCCACGCCTTGCTCATGGTCCATATCTGGCTCGTCGTCGGAGACTATAAGGGAAGGTCGGCGGCGAGTGACACTCTTCAGAGGGCGAGGTGTGGAGGACTGCAGTTCGCGCTCCTTGGGTTGGCGTTGGGAGGATGCTGGGCCCCAATTCTTCTTGCCCGCTGCGCGCGTCCGCGCCTTGTCGCCAGTGGCCTTCGGGGCGCCCTTTCCAGGCCCGCGAGGAGCAGCCTTCTTGCCAGGCGCGTCCTTGACTGACTTCTCTTCCTTCCGCGGTGGCGGCGCAGGCTTGGTCCGGGACCTGAGCTTCTCCCTCTGCGCGTTGACTTGAGCCTCTCGCTCTTCGACGGCCTCTTGCTCGTCTCGAAGTGTCGCGCTACGAAGTTCCATAGCGTCCAGGATGAGATGAGGGATAGGAGATCGAAGAGGAATCACGCAGAAGCTGGAATCCTCGTCAATCAGGGAAGCGGGACTGTGACGCTTTTCTTACGTTATGATACCTTCATGTCCGCCTCGAGGCGCAGCCCTGCAGATGGAGGTTTCAGCCCCTGCATTGTTGCACAGTACATGTTCCACGACATTATCTTCTCACAGTATATGCTGCCATTGTGCGCGATGTGAACGGTGAACAAAAAGAACTATGCGGTGTCGAATATGGAACGAATTGAGTAAGAACCTAGTCAGACTCGTCCTCCGGCTCCGAACGTGTCGACAAATGCTCGCCGTAGCGCATGCAGCGACCGCCGGCGATCTGCGCGCAGGTGGGACACGCGGCGTAAATCGTCAGACTCTCCTCGTACGGCCCAACGGGTATGGGGACCGTCCAGTGCACCTGAAGGGCAGTCGGTGCCGTGCCCATTCGATAGTTGTCGGGATACTCGCGCAGGAGCACCGCAGAGTCCAGCTCCCACTCGATGCTGGCCTTCTGAACAAGTTTGGCCTTGTAGTGCTCCAACGTCACCCATCCGCCAGCCAACAGGGAAACTAGGCCTATAGCCATGCTGACTGCCATCTGCGCTACCGTTAGATGACTAATACGACCTCGGACAACGTTCGCACCTGCTCCTTGCTGGCGTGATTCATATTGCGCCAGAAATGCAAGTAGACCTTGATTTTCTTGTTGGTTGGGACGAGCGCAAAGTCGGCGATGTCATAGTCTGTAACGGCAAAGTCTTCCCCAGGTCTAGGCGACGGGAGGAACTTCTTGTCGCCACAAACAACTACGCGGACCTTGTCGTGGCTGATCGGTAGAATGTCCCACCAGCTCACGCGCTGGTATGCGCCGTTAATCTGTCTGTAGAACAGCGCAGCCCTCGCTATGTCGATGCCGACGCTCCTCAGATAATTGATGCAGTGCGCCATGACGACGCCGCAGAGCGCCGCCTCGCCATTGTAGGTGAAGCTTACTTGCCGGCGAATGGACTGTCGCCCTTCAGCGGTCTGATACGCAGGAAGAGAACGCACTTACCGGCTGTGGGATCCCCATTATGTCCACCTCGATCACTACGTTCTCTATCGGCCATGCGTAGAACGACCCAGTGCTCTCCGACGGGATGCAGGAATATTGCAAAGCGAAAACCCCGGCGCAGACCTCCCTGACGCGATGAACATTGGCCTGTAGCATCCACACGGCGCTGAGAAACTCGCGCTCGTGCCCGATTGACGTCCACACCTCGTTCAAGGGGTTTGGACCGTCGCGCTCGTGCATCAAGCGTACCGTGGTCATCTCTAGGTGCTCGAAGAACGCTTGATCTATCTCTGGGGTACCATAAGCATCTCTGCCTCTCTGGCGCGGTAAGGCGACTTACCGCTCGGGCCTCGAACAGTGGTTACAGACGACAGGTCATACGCCACCTGCTCCAGCTCGTCGACGCCGTGTTCTGCGAGCATGTTGAACGTTTCCTGCAGGCGCGAGCAGCGAGGGAACGGGTAGCTAGCGGGGGCCTGCATGTGAACGGCGGTGACGGTCAAAAGCAAGAGGACGGGTACGGGCAACGTGTGGTTTTACATGCTTTGAACGTGCTGCCTCGCATCGTGTGTGGATCCCATGTGGCTTTCACGTGGTCGCCGACATGCGCGCGGCTATGTTTCGATACAGATAAAATGCACTCCTACTACTTCGTCGGCGATATCCCCTGCGCCTCCCTTGCATACTGTGCTCGCAGGTCTGTCAACGTAGACATCCTGAGCATGCCCTCCTTTGCCCGGGCGCGATTCGCCTTCACCGCCTCTACCAACGCTTCCACCTGTGGCCGTAGGTCTTTTGCAAAAGACCTCGGCAATTGTCTGCCGGCCTATTGCAAAAGACGCGAAGCGCTTGTCGGCACTGCCACAGGCCCCGGCCAGGTCGCCGGGATCCCGCCGGCTCGTGCCCGATGCGGTAGGTGACCCTCCGAGCTCGCCGGTCGGGGTTGTCCGCCGCACGCGACGCACACCGCGCGCCTTGCGCTCGTCGGAATTGATGCGCGGGCGGCAATTTCTGATGCGCCGCCTCCCGCGCGTCGGTGGGTGGCTGTGCCATCGGCGCGGCAACGTCGCGACACGCGCTACCGCCGCCGCCGCCGCCTCTGTGCGTGCTCGACCGAATTGTGATGATTATAGATAGATTGAATATGTACGAGATATATAATATATGTAGAAAATACGCGAGACGCGCGGAGGAATGAGAAAATGAATCAAAAAGCGCCGGCGAAAATTTTCGCCGGCGCGATACATGTCGAGCAACCCGCGCTGGAGGTAGCAGGTCAACGTATGTTAAAGATGATAAGGAGGGGGGATGGATAGGGTGCACGGAGGCAGCAGGGGCTGCCTGAGACCCTATCAAGCTCGTTGCGGGTGGTTGCTAGAGTGGAGGGGGGTCTGGACGTTGAAGGCTTGCCTTCCCGAGCCAGCGCTTGTCGTCCAGACGAGACGTTGGGCGCACGGGAGGCGATGGTGTGGGTGGTGGTGATGAAGGGGGTATCCCATGGGCGTCAGCGATGGGGGGAGGACGAAGGCGCACGTGTGACAGGTTACGCTGTCACACAGTGGCGCGTTCGCCAACGCGCGGCTACCTGGGCGGCTGTGCGCGTCCGAGCCAAAGCTCGGCATTCCACCACCCCACCTAGGCTATGAAGGCCCGGGGATGTCGATTTTTGCGCCACGTGCCGAGCCCAGCACCGCGAATTCGCCGGTGCAGTGGGTACTCGAACGGGCCGTGCTTAGCACGAGGCGCGTCTCGACAAGGGGAGGGAAATGCGAGGGGTGGGGAGGGTAAAGGAGGGCGCTGGGCACGCTGGGGGTGCTCGAAGGTTTGCGCATGGTGCTAGATACGCGGTGGGGGTCATGCCGAGAGATGGCTGAGAAAGAGATATTACATGAAAAGTCAGCAAATTTTCGACGCGCAGAGCGCAGCGGCGCACCTAAAGCCCCCTCTACACGCGATTTCTCGCGCCTAAACATATATTCGCGCGCGTTGGCGCGTGCCGCTGGGCTTGGGGCGTCGAACTTGTGGTGCATGGGCACGATCGGCGCGGTCTGGGGCGCGCGGTGGAGTAGAAGGTATAAGGAAATGGTGGGAGGGGTGAGGAGGAGGACGGAGAGGGGCGAGGGACGCGGTGAGGCGACGGGAGGGGCGGGGTAGTGGTGGTTGAGGACAAGAAACGCGCGGCCAAGCGCGTCGGAAGGCCGGGCCGGTTGCACGGTCCGATATCCGAGCATCGCCCTCGTCGACGTCGACGGCTTCGGATTGAAAGCGAGGGACACTAGACAGTGCAGTAAAGATAGATTAGCATAGAATACATACTGCTTGATCCACTCACGAAATTTTGAACTGTAGTCCTCTGTACTGAGCTCAGAACTAGAGCTTCATTATTGACTGGCTTTCATGCGAAATCAAGCATTCTCTCCTCAATGATCCCTTCAACCACCTTTTGGCACGCTTACCGCTCAATTCCGCATGGATCTTTGTCAAACAAATTGCGTTCTGTAGGGAATAGAGAGCTTAATCTTGGCATGTACAGCTCATATTATTCTATAGCCTAGATAATACACAGGACAGACGATAGTGTCAGATTTGGGGCAAAATTCACTTGTTCTCAATATTACTCCCGTTCCTATGCACAAATGACGTTTCAAACTTCTACTGAATATTCTATACATGCCCCCCTCCCCTTCTGTCTACTTTCTTGATATGCGAGAGCTTTTCCGCACCCTTCCGCGGCCGATTTCGACGCCGACAATGACTCTCGGACGTCCGGGCCGACTTCTGCGGGGTCCCGAGACACAAAATCGCGGCCCCGAATATCAAGACACTCGCCACCCGCCGTCCCCGCGCCCCCAAGCTGGAATATCCCCTTCCCCTCGCCTTTTCTTCACTTGTATATGCATTCACAACCTCTCCCCCACATTCTACCCACTCCCTTCTCGGCATTAACTTCGTGCTCATCACCCCGGGCAGTCTACCATCAGACCTACACGACGCGGCGGCGGCCTCGCGTCACGTCGAGGCCGGAATTCCGGTGCGCCCTCTTTCCCTTGGTGAAGATAAGTACTTCTTATTAATATATTCAGCTGCGATAGCTCGAACGCGCCTTCGCAATCGAGGTCGCGGGGTCGTGATCGGCCACTGCCCCTTACCTCCCACCACCACCACTCCTTTCAAAACAACTCCCCTCCCTCCCTCGCGTCATCGCCAAGCGATTGCTACGCCAATATTACCCTCACACACCCACAAACAACGCGCAAAACACGCGCTCTACCCAATTTGCCGCCCCGCCACCCCTGCCCAATCGCCTGCCCAGTGACGATGTCGAGGGCACCACTGCGCGGTGTCACCAGCCCCATCCCCACTCCCGGCTACTTAATGCAACACCACGTATGGACTGGGAGAGCGCACGCGGCTACGCGCGTGCAGCAGGCCGCACCTTTCCCCCCTCTCCCCCTCCCCCTCCCCTCCCCTCCTTCCCAAATCGCGCCGACCGCACAGCAGCAGCCAGTCAGCCAGCTCGCGCACTGGCTGCTATGCATCTCATGCGCGTCGCCCTCTTCCCTAATCCCGCGGCCACACCTGCCCTCACTGCACATCCCCTCGCGCCGCCGAAAATTTTCGGCAGCGCTTTCTTCACGATTTCCCCCGATCAACGACCTCTCCCCTACATGCTGCATCACAATGTGTTCTCTTATATACCTATAATATACATATAGTCACATTTTACGCGCTCGCAATGGGCAGCAGCAGCAGCAGCGCGTGTCGCGATGTTGATGCCGGCACAGCCACCCACTGACGCGCAGAGGGCGGCGCATCAAAAATCGCCGCCCGCGCATCAATTCCGACGAGCGCGAGGCGCGCGTCGCGCGTCGCGTGCGGCGGACAACCCCGACCGGCGAGCTCGGAGGGTCACCTACCGCATCGGGCACGAGCCGGCGGGATCCCGGCGACCTGGCCGGGGCCTGTGGCAGTGCCGACAAGCGCTTCGCGTCTTTTGCAATAGGCTGGCAGACAGTTGCCGAGGTCTTTTGCAAATGTCTTACGGCCACAGCTGACGCTTCCCTGTCCAAGGACGCGTAGTACGCGTCGTTGTTCTGGCACCCATTGTCGACGAAGCGAAAGATTGCGCCCGCGGTATACTGAGTGACTGTCTGGCGGTGCTCGTTGTTGCCGATTGGAAGGTTGAAATGTTCAAGGATGGCGGAAGGGATAAGAATGGACGAGCCGGGAGGGAAGCGGATGACGAGGCGGAGAGGTATGATAACAAGGTGACCACCTTGGTCGGCGTTGAATTGGCCGAGGGCTGTGATGCTGCAGAAGCCGAAGCACAGGTTGGCGAAGTCGCGGTGAGGGATTGTGATCGTGCGAGGCCCGAAGTTCATCGTCATGCAGGCGAATACTGACTTGGCAAAGTTCTTGTAGTTGCGAAGAGCGGGTTTCCACTTGAAGAGCTTGGCCATGGTATCTGCGTAGTACTGGAAGACCTCCGGCTCCCAAGTTTGAAACACAGCTGTAGAATGTGAGAGAAGGGCAACAAAGAGCAAGGTCGGGCACATACATGAGCAGAAGTGCGCAATCTGGATCATTACCGGCAAGCCAAGCAATCGGTCCAGCTCTTGCCGGTTCTCGGGGCGGTGGCGAAGGGGTCGCGGCGACTATGTGCTCTCAGCAAGCGCGAGGATCATTGGAGATGGTAAGAACACACCTTCTGACCGCCCCCGTGCGAGATGCCATGAGATTTGAGCGCGAACTTGCCGCGGCGGTGATCGCGTTCGGCAGTAGAGAACGATAAGGCAGTCGTCGCCGATTGCTCCATAGCCATAGCCAGCCCGCGCTGCCGTTTGTCCCAGTCTTGCGCCGGCGGGCGGCCTGCCAAGATGCAAACAATTATTTGCCGCGTTCCGATGGTGATAGCGAATTGGCGTCTACAAAAGTTAGCAATGGAGGACTTGGGCGACAGGAATGTCACTCACATGCCGTCCCATGCAAGGTAACTATACCCTTGGAGCGTTGACATCGCAGGAATGCCAGATCGACCAGCGTCTCGAAGCGCAGTGTACGCAGTGCTCGTCGACGGCGCCTCGTCCAAATCCCATGAAGCCCTGTATTCCTCGGCCTCGCGAACCTTTTCCTCCCGCCGGCGCTTGTTGGCGCCATCCGCAGCGCCTTCCGCCTGCCGCTTCTGCTTGCGCTGGCGCTTGCTTTTATGCTGCGCGGAGTTTTTCCCCGTGACCACACATGGCAAGGGAGCGCGGGGCGGGGGCAGCGTTGGGTCATCGTTGCCTTCGCCGATCTCGTAGTCGCGTTCGTCGTCCAGATCGGAGATGGGGGTAAGAGGGGAGGAGCGTCCATCCTCAGCGGGAGAATCCTCATCCCACCCACTATAGTCGTCCTCGCAGTCGGACTGCAACAGGTCGACATCGTCTTCGTCGTCGCGTCCAGCTGCGTCGTTCAGGAGTTCATCCAGGTCGACATCATCTGGAAGTGGGACAAAATCGCTGAAGACCGTCCCACGTCGTGTTACTCTCGCTGTGTAGGAGTGTGAGTATTTTATTGGCAAGAGGTGAGGATCCTGTGCTGGGCTCGGCACGTTGACCCTATCTACCAGGCGTTGGCTGATGGGGGCGCGCTCCGCCGCGGACAGGATCCTCAAGGAATGGGAGACTCACCGCCTATTGCTCTCCCAAGCTCGTTGGACATGAAGGCGGGAAACAGGCAGCGCACGCGCACTGCGCTTTAGGCGCATCCCTTGCGTGTTTGCCACGAGTAGAGCGCGTGCGTGTAAAATGCGCGCCAGCCACGCGGACTTGTACATGGCGAACATTGGAGAGTAAATGTGCGTGATGAGTATGTACGCGGTCTTTGTATGCTATGAAGTGAGCTAAAGAAGGATACTATCGGAGCTCGTATCGACAGATTCGTTGTGGCAACCCTCTGATAAGTCACTGGACGTGAAAGAAGGCATGTCGCGCTCCTCTGTATCGCTATCCCCACCGACTGCAGGTCCTCTTCGTCTTCCAGCGCACTTTCCGCGACTCCCTGCGGCTGGGCAATGTCGCACGAAGCCATTGCCCACTCGCGTATGGCGAGGTCCATCTCGTTTGCCGTCGGACCAGGTAGAGTTGGGAGGTGGTGCCGCCACCGCACTGCCAGGTTCAGCAGCGCTTTGCGATGGCAGACAAGCTGATTTACAAGGGCCGGGGCGTCTGCAGGGGGTTGGTATGTTAGCGCATTACACCGAGACTGAAACCACAGCAATATTCACCGGGTAACAGTAGTGACGACCGAATGGCGCGTCTCACAGCCTCCCACTCCTCGCCAAACCAAGAAACCATGTTCCGTTCCTCGTGTGCGAGGCGTGCTTCCTCTTCGACACAACGGTCCAGTATCTGAACGGCGCGGATAGCCTGCCGCATCAGAGGGTTCACCATCCATTCGGGAGCATCTTCATCCGCATCGAAGTCGTACCTCAGCTCATCCCAACATGCGTTGTCGATGTCGAGATCCCAGAGCCCCTTCGCAGGCAGTTCCTTGAGGGGCCGGACAGAGCATCGGCCGCTTCGTGCGGCTTGAGCATCTATGCGTGCGTTGAGATCCCGGCAGGCCTTGTTGTACCGATTGACTATGCCCTTCAACGTGCCCGCACGACGGTCAACAGCCGTTCTCACATGGCGTCGCAGAACACTGTCTATGTCCTTATAAGCATGGTGTACACGGTGTTAGAGAACAGGCAGCCTACCTCCATTCTTGTTATTTTGAAAGCGATTCACCCTTTCCATCTCCAACTGACGCGACATGACCGCGTCGCGCACCTTCCGCAGGAGAACCACGCCGTTGGCGCGGCTGTGAAGCAGCTTGTTCTTTTTCAGGCGACTTAAGCGGCCCTGGACCTCTACCCCCAGCTGTTGAACCTTGCGGTTGTACTTCCCTTGCGCGACGCGCAGGACAGCTTCCGCGGCTTCGACATCTGCGTCGCGAGTCGCATTCGAGCGAGGCGGAGCGGCCTTCTTGCCCTTCCCGGCGATGCCAGTCTCTGCGGCTTTGACGGCCTGCTCTGCTTTCTTGACTTCTTGCTCGAGGGTTAATACAGCGTCGAGTTCCTTTTGTGCTGTAGCCTGCGAGGAACCTGGATGGGGTTAGTTTTCAAGACTAGCAGCCTTGTAAAGCGGCCAAGCTGCGTACCCTTTGTCTGTTTAGTCTGAGCAATGAGCTGCTCGTGCCATTGCTAGCGAACAATGGAGAAATCATCCGCCAATGGCCCGCACTCGGCAAGCAGGCGCTTCGCTTCCTCGCGCTTGGTCTGAACCAATGCCCGCTTGCGAGTGAGCCATGCACCGGCGTCTTGCAGCGAGGTCTGCGCCAGCTGCAGCATCTGGGCATTGAGCGTGAAGAGGCGCAGATGAAACTGCTCGAGATCAGCTCGAGTTCACAGAAGCCTTCGGAAGACTTACCCCTGCGACGCGCAGATAAGAAATCAACTTGCTAATTGCCGACCAGAACCGTTCGCATCCTTTGCCATTGGTGAGACCAAATCCGATTCGCTTGCGGGGATGATACAGGCTCTGACAAAGCCAGTCATGACCGTAGGCGTGAAAGACGGCGACGGCAAACTGGATGCGGTGAAGGTATCCATTAAAGATCCCCCACTTTATTGCGCTAGCTTCCGTCTGACAGGCTATGTCGTAGAGAAAGCCGATCGTCCAATCCGAAGGCAAATGCTCCATGAGGGCGTCCATGAGCGCCACGACGTAGTACTGCTTCTCGCCTGCGCTCGTCATGTTTGCCCAAAAGAGGGGCACGTCATGCCTGCACAACAGCGCCATCGCCGCTGTCACATCATGCCGCCGTACACTAGCCTTGGCGATGGAGGACTGGGCGAGGTCTGTCCCTATGAATGTAACAACACACCCTATAGTTATAGGGCACCTTGTTGCAACATTCCCCACTGATTATAAGACTATACCTACAACAGTTTGTTGCAACGTCTGTTGCAACAAATTCCTACGGTTACAGCTACACTACTGGCCTGTCGGACATTGCCGAGCAGGCCATCGCCGTCACCAGCGTCGCCGAAACCCCGCCGCCGCCGTCCGCGACGCGCTCGTCGTCGCGCCGCCGCTCGCTCTCCGACGCGCACCCACGTGCTGCCCGTCGCGCTCCCCAACTCTTCCCACGCGCATCCCGCCGCGTCGCCCGACCATCCACCGCCCTGATGCGCGCTCGCGTCGCTTTCCCACGCCTCGCTCGCTGTGCCGACGCTCGCGCTCGTCCCTCCTCGCCGTCGCACGTGCATCCGCGAGCGCGACGCTCGGGATCGCGCCCTCGGCAGATGCCGAGGACGCGCCGAGCAAGCTTCGAGCGTCGTACCCTCGCGCCGCGCTGGCCGTCGAGCTGCGCATACACGGCTAGTGCCCGTACGCGCTCGCATTCGTCGGATTGCGCAGCGCGCACTGCTCCACCTCGGCCAACGCGTGAACCGGGCCGTGCCGCGCGAGCGGACCGTCCAACCGGCGTAGCCGCGCCTCCGCTTGCCAGCCTGCGATACACGGTCCAGCGGACGGCGTGCGCCGGCAAGCACCCAGATGCGTCGGGATCACGCTCTCGTCGCCGCGGTCGCCAGATGCCACGTCGCCGTTGCTATGGCAGCAACGATGCCGACGCGCTCTTGCACGCGCCGCGCCGCATGGAGCCGACGTCGTTCCTCATGTCTCCATGAGGAGACGTCGCCATTCGGCATGCTGGGGCAGGGACAGCGCGAGCGGCCGTTGGCGTTTGTGAAAAAGCATGGGCGCGCGGTGCGCAGCGCCTGTGTCAAAGGGGGATGACGGCAGGGGAGGGCGAGAGGAGGAGGTGGGGGGTGGGGCATGATGTGGACGGGCGCTGTTGAGCGCCCTGGCGGACGTGGACGCAGGCGGCGGCAGCGGGGCGGCGAGGTCGAGGTCGGAGTCGAGGTCGGGGTCGAGGTCGGGAGGTGAGGTGAGGAGGGAGGTGAGGAGGTGGCAAACGGATGGAAAGGCGGTCGAGGCGAGCGCGCGAGGACGCGCACTCACCTCGCTCGCAGGGAGAGGGTGGTGGTCGTGGGCAAAGGGCACGATCGGCTGCGGACGGAATTTGTTCCGCGCGATCACGTGACCCGGAAAACACCGACGACGCGTCTCTTCGCGCGCGTCCCTCTCCACGCAGCCGGCGCGCAGGTGTAGCGCAGGGGAAATGGCGCGAAGTACGCTTTACTACGTATACTGTCATAAGGAGGCCCAATATTTGCTTATTTATGCCCTCTGCCAAAGGTAGAAGGAATAAAACACCGTTTCTTGGCCTTGCTTGAGATCTAACCCAGTGATGTCGACGCGATATATAAGTACATGGCTGTCCTCCATCCAGGGAAGTGTGTAGATCATGTAATTGCATCCTCCTTGATATATTCCTGCTTTTAATGCAGCAGGGGGCTTGCTCTGTTGTACCCAACTCGACCTATGCCTGCTCACTCAAATACCCCATGACCATGAGATTTGAGCATTGTATACGATCCCGGACTTACCCTACAGATCAGAACCAGTTTATATACTCAGAGGCATGTACTTAAAGTACTCCAAGTTTTGGATCTGGAAGGGGAACTCAAGAATGGCACGAACTGTGTGCTTACACTCGGTGAGCAAACAATGAATTGACTATTGGACTCACTGGACTGCTTTGCTGTAAGTCGAGCCGATACAGACATTTCTTATGCACGAACCTCTGGGTTTCAACCCAGAATACCCCGTTTTCGAAGGTGCTCTACACGACTATGCAAATATCTCGGCGGCGAATACGTTCCCGCGCGTGCTGTAGCCGTTGTTGAGGACGACGACCAGCGTAAATCGGGAAGCGGCCCGGGCTCCCGCTCTCCGCTCGCGCGCAGTTCCGTCCACTGTCGGTAGGTGCTGATAGTAGAAAGAAGGCATGGAGAGGGTCTCAATACCTACCAGTAGTGCATCTGACCGTTGATCGCTCTGCCACTTCAATTGACTCACTGTAAAACAGCAAAGTCCTACTCAAAGCGATCATTTCGCGCCTTTTAATACGTGTGATACATTGATTGCTGTCATATGCGCTGTAAACTTGGCCATACATATTATTTCGCGCGTATATTGCGAGCAGAGGCCCAGAAGATCGTCAATCTACCCGATGGTGGCGCGGAGGCAGGTCGCGGGCTGGCGTGCCGAACTTCCGGGTCACGTGCTGGGCTCGGAAAAGTTCGGCTGCGTCCGCAGCCGTTCCTTGTCTCCTTCCACCACCACCTCCTACCCCAGCGTCGGCTGTTGTGCCGCACACTCCCCTCTCACCGCGTATGCCCACATCCCCTGCCTTTACCCTCGCCGACGCGCCTTGCCGACGCGCCTGGCCAACGCCCTCTCCGATGCGCCTCGCCGACGCCCTCACCGACACTCGCGCTGCCAACGCAGCCGTCGCCCGCACATGCACCAGTCGCCTCCCATACCCCCGCGCTCCAGGGCGTGTCGCGCACAGCACGCGGCACTGCCTGTTACCCTCCCCTCCCCTGTTCGGCCCTTGCGCCGTTGCGGCCGCATCGACACGTCACTTCGGCGACGCGTCTTTGCGCACGTGACGCGTCCTGTGCGCGATGTCATCTTCGGTGATGGCAGTTGCGTGGGCCGGCGCGGGAAGTGCGTGTCCGCGCGCTTCGTCGGCCGTAGGGGTGGCTGCGTGCACGTCGACCGAAGCCGCCTCTTTCTGAGGGGGGGTGCATTGATTTCGGCATTTGCCGATGATGCGCGCCCCGAAAGCTGGTGCATATCCTTGGCAGCCGAGAGCGGGCTTTCGGGTGCTGCGTGGTCGAGCGCGAGGGCCAGGACGAGGGCACGCCCAGCATGTTCTCGGCATCTGCCGAGGGCGCGATCCCGCGCGTCGCGCTCGCGGATGCACGTGCGACGGCGAGGAGGGACGAGCGCGAGCGTCGGCACAGCGAGCGAGGCGTGGGAAAGCGACGCGAGCGCGCATCAGGGCGGTGGATGGTCGGGCGACGCGGCGGGATGCGCGTGGGAAGAGTTGGGGAGCGCGACGGGCAGCACGTGGGTGCGCGTCGGAGAGCGAGCGGCGGCGCGACGACGAGCGCGTCGCGGACGGCGGCGGCGGGGTTTCGGCGACGCTGGTGACGGCGATGGCCTGCTCGGCAATGTCCGACAGGCCAGTAGTGTAGCTGTAACCGTAGGAATTTGTTGCAACAGACGTTGCAACAAACTGTTGTAGGTATAGTCTTATAATCAGTGGGGAATGTTGCAACAAGGTGCCCTATAAGCATAGGGCATGTTGCAACATTGGTCCTGCCATAGGTGACTGGGCGGCCTTGAAGCTGTCTTTGCAGTGCTGTAGAGACTCGGCAGGCAGGGTTGGCGTGTCGTCTGTGGACGAGGCATCATCCGCCTGCGCGCGTCGTCGCCGTTTTGTGTTCGTCAAGGGAGTCGCGTTACCGCGTAAGTCCTCCACCCACTCCGCTGTGCTAGTCAGCGTCCCCTCATCGAGCATGAAGTCGTTTGGGTGAAGGAAGACGGGGTCTCGACGCTGCTTGTTGTGTTTTTGAGAGAAGCACACGTCGATGGATACCAAGCAGTCGGGGGATGTCGGGCTTGTTTCACTGAGGCGTCGCGCGGACCCAAAGCAGAGAGGGCAGCAAGCTTGTAGATGCGGAGAAGGCCTGGGTCCAGCTGGGTTATCACCAGTCTGCGATACGCCGGCTCGCGTGGATGGGGTCCCGTCGGACATTTGGTCGCTGGCTGCGGCAAGGGTGGCATGAGTTGCTGGAGGCGCTGTCGAGGACGCACTGCGGCACCCGTCGCTTGTCAGGCCCGCGGTTTGCTGAGCCTCACAAGCCTTGACACGAGCAATGTCGAGTACCTGCTGTAGCTTCTTCTGGACCTGCGCGTACAGCACGGAGTACCACAACAACGCGCTGCCAAACCGTTTGCGCATGTTATCCTAATACGAGTCAGCGACGCCGAGACGGGGCAGGTAAAGTACTGACTGAATAGGTAATTTTGTGGCCGCGCCCGAGCAGGTAGATCTCAGAGGCCTTGCACCACGCTTTGACGTTCGGGGAGATATGCAGAAAGAGAACGCGAACAAATTCAAGAAGACCGACATCGACAGCGAGATTGGGGCGATACGGGGCGCAGGGGAACAGACCCATTCGAACGAGCTGGGTGGCAGCGGGCCGGCATTTGCAGGTATCTATTTCTACCCTGTCGACGCCTGCAAATTCATAAGCCTGCGTTCAGGGTGCCATCCCATGATTCGCTTACTCGACATTCGCAGAACCAGGATAGAGAGGCGCCGAGCATATTCGCCATGGCATGTGCATGGCGCCGGGTTTGTCGTGAGGCTCGGGGGCGGTAATCGCAAGTTGTCCGTCTCCTCCATCAAACGCATGTACGGCAGGTGCAGAAGGGGAAGAATTTCCTGCTCCCATCTCTTTGTTGTGGTCTCGCGCCAGCGCTGCCAGCTCGGCCCTTTCATAGGCCTGCTCTCCTCTGCCTTGGCGTCTTCGGCCGGCGTGGCTAACGGGGAGTCCACACGGGCGCCCCGACCAGGGCTGGATGACGCGATGCAAAGGGTAGGGAGAGACGGGCAATCTTTCCTGGTCTTCAAAGCCCGTCCTAGGAAATTACAACACGCACACAACTATATAATTAGCCCGCCCCGGTCCGCGCACCTACATGTACATACATACACAAATAAACTTTGATCACCGGTCCATGGAGACGCGTCCGTCCATTAAGCTCATGGAAAACAATGAATGCGCGGGCTAACAGGAAATAACAATGAATGTGAAGTGAGGGCTGCACGTCTACGTTCGTACCACCTCAATATTCCATCATGCAGCAACCCGCCAAGCTCCATTTCGGCACACAGTCCATTCAGCCCGGACTCGAGCGCCTCGTGCCGCCTAACCGTCAATCAGCTGCAACAATCGCCGCAGCAGCCCACAAGATTCCCGGGCACCTTCGCATTACTGCCGAAACGCGCGACGTAATGAGCGCGCACCTGAAGAACGTCAATGGAGTGGACCGCAGGACATTCAATTACACCGTGAAGGAACAAGGTGCGTCGTCACAAGATCACATCACAGCGTACCTGAAGTCAGTGAAGATGCGGCAATCTGCCTGCTCATGGCGCGCGGCCTGTACATCCCCAACGCCAAAATGGAGGCCGATATCAAAGATCTTAGCACGCGTGACGTTCGATCCAAGTACTCGGTTGTCTGGAGTCGGTCGTCGCCACGCAGTGGGGCATTGCGCACCGAGCGCGTACTGCAGTGCCTATGCGGCATCGACCACGAGGCACCCGGGGCCAAGAAGGCCGACAAGCGCCATATACCCTGGACGTACGTTGGGTGCCTGTCGTTCGTCACCGTGATTACGATGCACGACATCGAAGGTGCGTGGTCATTCTATTCATCAAGAACCACTGCTGATTGTGTACAGATCGCCGCTTCCTTGCCGTTGACAGCATCTCCGGCATCCTCGACCACTCCGATGATTGCAACATCGAGATTGAGATGTTCAAGCAGCCCCCCATTCCACTCCATCCCGACGTCCGAGCTTATGCGCTTGAGCTGCTACGCGACCGCGAGCCTCTGTACCTAGTCCGAACGAAGTGCGCTGCATTTGCTATCACACGCTTCGGTGATCGCCCTGGCGACAATCACTACCGCTTTGTGCTAGCCGACCACGAGACAGCATCACTCTATCGCTCAATCGCCGCTGAATCTGGCATTGCTCCGAGATCCACAGCTGAGGACAATATCGACAAGTGGTTCCGCGCGAAGCTTCCCAGCCCACCTCCCGCTCACGCCGCTGCTTTCCGTGACTCATGTCTACACTACCAAGCCTATCAGCCCGGCATCACCGATCGCTTTGAGCTCATCATTTCGACTCCGGAACAACAGGCTGCAGCTTGGCGCTTCGGTCACAAGAAGCTTGTTCTCACAGATCTGACGTTCGGCTTCTGCTCGGCACGCGCGCTTCTATCGATTCTGATGGTGCTGGACTCGAAAGGCCGCGGATTGCCCGTCGCTTTCATCATATTTACTGCTCGGAAACATGCGAGGGCTGTCCATGCTGATTACGACACCGAGGTGCTCACACGCTTGTACGGCCTATTCAAGACGAGCCTCGGCAAGAACAGCGACGGCGAGGAGATTGACTTTAGCGTCGCGGTGACGGACATGGATCCCCGCGAGCGACATGCGCTTCAGCATCACTGGCCGGCGGTTTACCTGCTGATCTGCGTATTCCACGTGCGGCAGGCTTGGCGCAACGCACTCAACAAGTTTCTCCGGTCTATTCCCGCCGTCGAGGATCGCAAAGAAGTCCGCGCTAGGCTCTCACGCTTCCTGGTCGAGCTAATCAAGACCGAAATGACTTACGACGATGTCAAGGATGCGTACAACGAGGAGTGGGAGTACTTTCGTGACCTCGCTATGTCGCGCGTGCCAATGCGGCGCTCTCAGGGTGACGCCGCCATCGCCTTTCTCACGTATCTAAAGAGCTACGTCATCTCCGAGGCGTACTGGGCTTCGTGGTCCCTGACTGGCGCCGCCGACGCGTCGCGTCGCCTCAGCATTCCTGTTGCCGCTGTGCCCCGCACCAACAACCACCTCGAAAGCTTCAACGGACGCATCAAGGGCAAGTACTTCGCACCTTACGCTCGGTCTGGACGGCAACCGCGCATCGACAGCTGGCTCGTGATAACCATCACGAAGGTAATTCCCGACTTCTTTGAGTCGATCAAATCGAAGGACGACAGGACGGCGTATTATTCCAGCATGATGGGCGCTGCGCCACCGTCGGCACATCCGATGGACGCGAGCGCCAGCAGCGACTCGGATTCACCCGAAGCGTGGGTGCGGGAGCTGGAGGCGGATCAGCGCGCAGAGGAGTCAGGAGCGCACGAGGAAGATAGTGGGGTGGTGGAATGTGTTGCGCCTGAGACGGTCCATGGATCGGACTCAGAGGGCTCATTCATCGACGACAACGCAGTACCTCCGCCCCCTTCCCCATCACCACCTGCCACCCCGCGGTCCCCTCCTATCCCATTCACGCCGCCATCTCAGCTGACCGCGTTGTCGGCGTCGGCATCACCCGAGCCGCAGACGGAGTCAGCTGCGGATTTAATTCCGCCGCCCGAATATGGTTCCCGGCTCGCGACACTTCTTATGGAGTTGCAGAGCCACCGCGCGGCAGGTGCTGCCATCGCGCAGGAGATTGTCGCGCTTGCGCCCGCCTACGAGCCCGAAGTGCGTGCCCTGCTCGACATCCCGCCCAGTCTCCCCGACATTGTCCCATCTGCCTCCGAAGTGGTGCCGCTGTCACACTCGTCCATCACATCACCTGCGGCGACATCACACGGCGCGTCCCCAATCCGCACGACACGGTCTGGCCTGGCCCGCTTCTCGCCTATGAAGAAGGAGAAACGGATTCAATCGTATGCCACGTAGTATACTCGATTCTCTGTACATTGTGTGCAGATACTCTCAGTATCCAGGCGATGGGCGCGGTGTCAATGAAAAGGCTTCGCAACACGTGGCGAGCTCGTAATCAAGATTTGACGTCACCGCGTGAGCCAGCATTTGCCGGCGATCCAGTCGGCCTAGCTGCAGGCCAGCGGAGGTCGAGTGAGGGGGGCGAAGAGGTGGTACAAGGGCCGCGCTTTAGCGCAGGTCCTTGTCGACCACCTCGAAGCCCCCATCGCAAGACCGACGATGGCCTCAGCGTTGGTCGAGCAGGCGCCGGGAAATGCGCAGCGAGCGCGCCCCTCGGGATTTGCCACGTGCGTGCGCGGACTCCGGGAAATGACATCACCGTTTCCCAAAACTTCCTCCTATATACTCAGGGATTGCCCGAAGGGAAGGGGGTGTGGGGGAGACCGCAGGTTTCCCCCACTCATAGATACACATGCAAAGTATCTGTTCTATGCCTACTCTTGGATCGTCCCAAGGGAAGGGGGTGTGGGGGAAAACCGTAGGTTTCCCCCACTCCGAGGATCTCGGAATTAGCATAGCGTCATCAGGTTTACATGATCGACGCGGCAGCGCCAGGGAAGGGTGTGTGGGGGAAACCGTAGGTTTCCACCACTGCGTGGAATACACATGAGCAACATTCACACTCATGTGTCGGAAGGGAAGGGGGTCTGGGGGAAACCGTAGGTTGCCCCCAGAAAGCTCTCCGCAGGAGCCTCCGGAGGACCGTCGGAGACGCCCCTCCGGCGAGGAGCCATCGGAGATGCCCCGCCGGCGAGGCGTTAGCCGTCCGGCGCTTGAGGACCCAGCCTTCCGGCGCTTGAGGACGGGGTCCAGGGGCAGAGCCCCTGGTTGTCACGGCCAACGCCGTCTCGACCTCCTGAATTTCCTAGTTGATAAGAGCGACTACAAAGGATCCCCTAGTATACACGCCCTCGCCAAAAAAACCGCACCCACTGGCGACATCACCCCCTCGTATTTACGCCCCTCGCTAAAAAAACGCCATTGATCACCGACGTTCACCCAAGAAAGCCTCCTTCCCGCCGTCGAAAAGCCTCCGCCCTACCGTTTGTTGCGCCGATCATGTGGCGATGCTTATTTGTTTGTATTTGTTTGGCACCCAGACTTGTGTGCGCGCTGCGGTTCCCCGTCCTAGACCGATGACGGCGACTGGTTGCTCATCTCCGCGCCTACGCTTGGCCCTGTTCCAAACATCAACCGACTTTAGTGTGAACCCGGAGGGGTTCGCAGTACGCAATGCACGACCTTTCGTCGGCGTCGTCGGCGTCGTTGGCGGCACTGTCTGTGTTTTGACCGGGGTTTGCGGACACGCGAACGTGGAGCCCTCGGACGACCGATCGCGCGTAAGAGCCGCAGACGCCTGCATGAACTTCCGCCTTTGTGCTTTCGTGATACGACCCATGACGAGACTGACTGGGTTTTGGCACGGACGAGCTTGGTGACGGTCGGGAGAGGCAGGAAAGGACGGCCATTTGGCGGATTTGTCTCGACGTGTTGTACGTTCGGCTAATGGCACGCGGAGCGCGACGCCGCGTAGATACGTTACAGTTTCAAGCGGGAGGTAATATCGTGTCATAGAGGTTACATATAGCGTGCAACTTGACGAAGTCAGCAACGGTAATAAGCTGGATCTGCCGATACGCACCATACATGCCATGCAGGCCTGCGCGACAACCAGAAGGCTTACTGAACATAATGTGCCTTCTGCGGTCGCGCAGCATATCGCGGCCACGCGGGAAGGATGAACGAAGTCACTATACGCGGTCAACATCATATACAAGGCAGAATGCATTCGCCGAACGAACCTGGAAGTCGTGGAGTGTCGCCGCAGTCCCTGTGGGCGCGTAGCATGTCGAGACGACGTGGGAAGGAGCAAGATAATATTCGTCGGATCTGTGGTGCTGGAGGGATATGAGCGGGACGCGCGAGTAGGGACCACACGCTTACACGATGATAGTGTAAAAGGCCGTCGACAGCGAAGGTGCTGAACCTTCCCCCCCCCCCGCGTCGCGCAACATATCGAGGCAGGTGGGGGGAGAGGGTAGGGACGAGATAAGACCAGTCAGTATCACCTGGACGCGGGGGGGAGGATGTTTGCTCACCGGGCAACAGAAGTCCATTCAGCAGCCAAGGGAGGCAAGGATTGGGGAATCATCCACGCGAAATTGTCAGCAAAGTCCACAAGAGCAAAGTTCTATACACGTACCATACGTTCTTAGGCGCCCGAATGATCGAGCGTGGGGAACGTACCCAAGGGCAAAGAGACAACCAACTGCCTCGATAAGCACACCAAACATGATGAGCTTGCGAGTCCCCCGCCGGTCGCGTAACATATCGAGGCCAGCGGGGGGAGCACAAGTCATCCGATGCGCGGACTAGGGAGTCAGTATGGGATGCGAGGGACGAACAGTTCATACGCACCGCGCACAATGAGAAGCGCCGCAAAAGCAAAGTAGCCAAAGGGGGGCTGCCGGGGACGTGCAGGGGTGCGAGGATGAGAGGCGACGACGGGGGCAGCGACGAGGACGACGGAGTGAACGAAAGAACAGAATAATCTGAATTCGCTGTGATCACGGCGAAGCCACACACAACCAAACAGCCGCGGCCCGCAGCGGTCTCGGCATCCACCGGGCCGCCTCACGAGGCGGCGCTTGCGGACTTCTTCGCTTGTACTTGCCTCTCGCCACAACTCACCTGCGCCCTCACTCTCCAGCGGCTTCTCCGAGCCCTCCAACCGGCACCTCGATATCTCACGCGAGTACTCAGGCGACCACCGTGCGCTCTCTGCCTGAAGGCACATCGCCATAACCGCCGATTGCAACAAGCGCCGTCTGTCTGAAGTCCAAAGTTCAAGGTGTAGAGGACAAAGGTACGTAGCCCGCCCGCTCGGGTACGCCTTACTCACTCAACGTAGGCCTTGACTCTCAATCAACTGCTAACCGAACGACGGCACACGCGCGACTTCGCAGGTACGTGTCAGTGGTATCACGATCGGGCTCAGCTAAAGTCTTTGAATTGCTTTGCTCTTGTCCGCGGTCCCTCGCCATATGTTAGGTGTTGGACTGTGTGGCCCCAACAGATCCAAACAAGTACAGGCTATGGAATTGCCACCGACCCGCGTCGCCGGCGCCGCCGAGTGGGACGGCAGGCAGCTCACAACCGCCCGGGCGTCCGATTGGTGCGAACGCCATTACGCGACCATCGCCATTCAGGCCGGGCCCCCGCCAGCAGTTCTGTCCCCCGACGAGGAGGTCTTCTTCGATGTATGCGAAGGTCGCCATATTCCGCGCCAGACCTACCCTACGACGGGCATATCGTCAACGACACTAGCGAGTCCAGAACCCGCTGCTAGCAAGGGCAAGAAGAAAGCGGCTGCCGCCAAAGCGAAACAGGCTTCACGATTGGCGCGCGCGCAGTACTCCAGCGACGACGACGAATACAATCCCTCTAACGTCGAGAAAGCCATAGTATCTGCCAATATCGCCATCGCCCAGCCTACGGCAGCCTCGCTCAACGGTACAGGCAAAAAGTTGCGCAAGCGGGCGCCCTCCATACCGCCCTTTCCGAATTACGAAGATCTTCGCCCCGTCAAGCGAACGCGGCAGCCCGAGGCGATGCCCGTCCTGCGCATTCGAGATGTCGGGGTTCAGACGGTGAGCTTATGCGTCTCGTACAACAGCAAGCACGTTCTCACAAACACCCAGGAAGGCGCAGACATCATCTGGGGCTGGTACGGCGCAGAAGCGGCCAGCAGGGCCAAGTTGCGCGAGGATAATCACTTCCCGCCCATGCCCTTTCCCGACGCGACGCACTACGTCGTCGAGGAGGCAAGCGTGGTGCTGTTCAAGAACGACCTCGCGCCCGATATCTTTGAGGCAGTCTGGCCTAGTGAGTCCGTGTTCGCCGTTGGTATATCGCAAAACTAATGACATTACAGAAGACAAGTGGTTGCGGATGCGCGTTGCTGGGTTCTCTCGCCAAGGGACCCACATCATCATGTCTCCCAACGCCAGCTATATCCCTTACTTCCCCGAGAAGCCTGAAGAGTCAGTCCGGTGGGCGGTGCACGAGGATGGGCTGTACGGCGCCCAAGAATACACGCGGGTTCCTTGCAAACATAACGCGCGCGAGGGTCATTCACTTTACTGCGCATTCATTCCCCGTCGTCCTCTCGATCGCAAGGACCCAACGAGCATCTTTTGGCACGACGTATCGTACTGGTTCATCCCCGCTCCCGATCCGCTCATCGACCGCGAAGATCGCTACCTCCTCAAGCCATATATTGCCGATGCTCTCAAAGAGCCTGTGAAATCTATCTGCTCATTGCTCAGAAAGATCACCAAGGCCAGCATCCACTACGGGGAAAAGAGCATGAAGGAGGATTTGGGAATGAGTGACGAAGAGATCCGAGACGCACTTCTAAAGGAGTCGCTTGGCCCCGATGATGACCGACATGTTTCCAACGAGCACCTCGACAAGTACTACAAGACGCTGATGGCTGGGCATCCCTATCTCGACGGCCTCGAGGTCGCTATCCGCCATCTGTACGGATACCTCCAAATCCACGGCATGCCTCTCGTGCAATGCCAACTGGCGGCGAGGGAGCTCCAGCGGTATTGTCTGGAAGGGTGGGGCATTGTGAATCAGACCGTCGCGCACAACGAGAACATCGAGCACCACCAAGACTTCAATCCTGCAAACCCCTTGCGGTGGGTCGTTGGCGCATTCACGGACGACTTCTTCACGATGAAGTATCTGGCTGAATGTCGTGTCCCTGTTTGGCGCTCAGAAGTTTTTGGCGGGCCGAATGGCATGGCGTACGACATGAAGTGGTCGAACTTCGTCAACGTCCCCTCAGTAGAGCGACTGGTGACGATGACCTCCCCCTATCGCATGGTGTGCCTTTTGCCCCATCCCGAGCGCCTCCCCTACGTCTTTAAGGGCACATTCTCTGACAGTGGGTGGCTGGCAAAGGTGCACGCTTACTCGTCGATTCAGTTCTCCGTCAACGTCCCTCTTGATACGACGATGAACGAGGACGAGGACCCGCTGTGGGCCCGCCCCAGTATCAAGGACAGGGAGGCGTCCAAGTTGCGCAGCGTGGATTACCTGCGCAGTGTTCGCGCTCCGGACCCGCCCCCAGCAAACCCGTTTGAGGCCGCAGAGTCCTTTGCGGACGACGAGAACATCCCCACAGTCGAAGTTCTCCCCGTTGAAGACCGCCCGCTGCCCGCAATCGAGGGCGTTGACACGACGCTCGACGACCACCAGGACGACAACGAGGACCGTGAGGCATTAGCGTACAGCACCATCGATGTTGATGCCATTTCTTCGCGCGAGAGCTCCGCCGGCGTCGAAATTGTCGAGAGCGTCAACCCGGCCCGTAACAACCAGGCGGCCGAGGTCATCGACGTCGACATGCTTCCCATGAGCGTCCACGACTTCGAGGGGACCATCGACGTCGACATGTTACCTGACACGGAGCCGTTGGACCAGGGCACTGCGGCTGTTGAGGTCGCGCCAGCGTCTGTGACCCCGCCGCCTGAGGGTCGAGAGGACTCGCCGCCACTCTCGAGCGGTGCTGCTGCGACAACAGCGTCGACGCCGCCAGGGCCGGGAGCACCAGCGAATATACCGCCTCCGCCGATAGCTAGCACGGCGGCATCCGGGGCTTTCTCGTCTACTTCTGCAGCAGCGGCGCCGTCGCAGCCATGGGGCAGATCCCAGGCGCATGTCCAGCAGCGGATTCCGAAGGGCATCCACACCAATCCAAAGCAATGGGTCACTTCCACCTGTAAGTGCGATTTTCCAAGCTATATGCAACGACATGCTAACGTGTGAACTGTAGACGACCATCAGAAGGCCCTACCTTCCACGACGCTGGCATGGGACGCTGCAAAAGCTGCTTGGACACAGTCTTGGAGCCACGGGGGCGCGCGAGAAGGCGACGCTAAGCGATGCTTCCCGCTGCCCAGGACGCTCGTCAGTGGCAAGGACGAGTCGAAGCGCGTTGCCATGGTTCACATGTTTATCTTGATGAACAACATGCTGCTAGAGAACGCGCGCGAGACGGACTGGGACGACGACCTTGACAGCACTCGACGTGCTGCGAACGCGCCGATGCCGTGGAAGCTGTCGAACTCGGACTGGCGCCTGGTCCTCTTCGCCGAGCATACGATGAATGCGAACCCCACTGGCCCTACCAAGAACGCGCTCGAAGCTATCGAGGGCATCTTCGGCGGCAAGGTCAACTTGGAGTTGCTTGTCCACAAGATGCAACTTCCGTATGTCATTCACGGCGAGGAGGTCAGCCACGGTCAGATGCCGGGCCCAGCTACCCTCAAGACGATCCTGTGGCGCCTGCAGGAGGTGCTGTTCCGCAAGGACTGGATCGACCTGAACCAGCGGATGAGTGTCACGATCATGAACCGGGCGGAGCAGGAAGAGCGTCTACAACAAATCTTCGACCCGGCTACGGTCATCGCGGGTGATCTCCTTACGGTGCGCGGCAACGGAGAGCAGCAGTTGGGCCTAGTGGCTAGCGAGTGGAGGGTGCGCGCGCGCTACGTGCGGGCAATGGTCAAGATTATGGCAGGTTGGTCGCCGCCGATCTGGGACTGTGTTATCAGAGTGGCGCAGCTCAACCACCTCACACGGAGTCAGGCAGTTTGGCTCGAGGAGCAAGCCAGCATGTTCTACACGCGGTGCTTGTGGGGTGAGCTTTACCGTGAGCTGGTGCCGCCTCCTATCCGGTCCTCTGCAGAGCTTTAAGTGGTCGTCGCATGTTTTTTTTCTTGTTTTTCTTTCGCATACATACTTTCTGGACTTGCTACGAACATTGTCGAATAGTCTTCCGTTGAACAGTGTAACATATTCGTCGTCTCATGATATTTTGATATGTCTATGCTGGGCATGGCATGAGTTTATCTTCTTGTGTGAATATTGTGTGAATTTTCATAGCTAGAGGTCTGGGCAACAGATGTACTTAGGGAAGAGCAGCTGCTACTGTCTTCCTTCACTGCATCTGGAGGTACAACACTTTGTACCTACAGTGTGGCTGCAGGCTCTTCATGCAGTAAGAACTAACACCCTTGGATGATGCACATAGATTATTCTGACGCCTATGAGACGAACAGATTATTCTGTTGCTCTCACATGCGATAGAATAATCTGACACACTCATACGCAACAGATTATTCTGTTGTTCTCATATGCTTCAGATTATTCTGTCTCCTGTGAATGTGTCAGAATAATCTGTTCGTCTCATAGGCGATAGAATAATCTGTTGCTCTCACATGCGATAGAATAATCTGACGCATTCACAGGAGACAGAATAATCTGTTGCCCTCACACGCGTCAGAATAATCTGTTCGTCTTGTAGGCGACAGAATATTCTGTTGCGCATGAGGGCAACAGATTATTCTAGAAGTAGATTTATCTGTGAATGTGTACTGTAGAATAATCTGAATTTGAGGCAATAGAATAATCTGATTCACGTACAGAATAATCTGACTGAGAAAGAGGGATAGAAACAATGGATTTAGACTACAGACGGTGACACGAACGTTACATCTAAACCAGCTTTTCTTGAGTGCCTGGGCTGGGTTATGAGCCCCGTGGCCTAAATCGAGCAAGACTTCGATCTGCGACTCACTCTATCCCACTCTGCGCCATGGCTCCCAAGGACAGCAAGGTCCCGACGCTCATTGATGCGGCGGACTGGCCGCTCTGGCGCCTCCGGGTCACCGACGCCCTCAACAGGGACGATCTCACCTCCATGGTGACTGGATCGGAAAAATCCCCTCCCCCTGAGATCGCGGTGACTCCACCAACGCCGACAACGTCCTCTCCCCCGTCCACGTCACCTGGCGCTCCGGCGACCACCACCACATCCACCGGATCGGGCTCCTCCTCCACCACTCACCAAGTTGCGCGGAGGGAGACCTGATCCTGGCGGAACGCCCGCGCCCTCTCCACCATCCGGGAGCACCTCTCGAATGACATCGCCCTCGAGCTCCACGAGTACCAGCACGCGAGCGAACTCTGGGAGAAGCTTGTCGAGAAGTTCGAGCAGACCAACACCAGCGAGATGGCGGTTACCAAACTGATCAAGATCTTCCGCGCGAAGCTCGCCGACGGCGACGATGGAGACGTCTCCCGCGAGGCGATGAGCGCGCACATCCACCGCGTTCGGCAGTCGGTCACCCAGCTCGCCACCCTCGGCTACCCCCTGAACGCCAACCTCGTCCCCCTCATCCTCCTCGCCTCCCTTCCCAGCTCGGAGAAGTGGAAGATCGTCTCGTCCGGCATCTCGGCGGGCAGCTCCAAGGCCGCACCCCTCACCTTCTCTTACGTCGAGGCGAAGCTGATGGCACAGGTGACCAGCAAGGAGGACTCGAACAACGAGCAGGCGTACGCCGCCTCCTCTTCTCGCGCGCCCCCACCGCGCAAGCCCAAGGACAAGGGCAAGAAGAAGGCTAAGGCGAAGGTGTCCTGCGTCATCCACGGCGAGGAGCACTCCACCAAGGAGTGCAAGACGATCATTGGGCAGAAGGAGAAGGTGCAGAAGCGGAAGGAGCGGGCAGCGGAGAAGGCGAAGGCGAATAAGGTGAAGGACTCGGACTCAGACTCGGATTCAGACGTAGACGACACGCATGTAACCGTCTCGCGCCGCGCCTACAAGAAGATTTCCGCCTATGTCCAGTCTGATCCTAAGCGACCGCAGCGACACCAAGGTTTGCACATCGTCGACTCGGGTGCGTCAAAGACCATGACCCCCGATGAGCGCCTCTTCGACGATAGCACTTACCGTGTCCTCGACCCGCCACGCAACATCTACCTCGGGAATGAGTCTGTCATCAAGGCAGTAGGCATTGGCACTGCCTGCTTCGCCTCTAAGACACCGGACGGTGTGCACGCGCTGACTATTCGGAAGACACTGCATGTCCCCGACCTCCACCTCTGGCAGGACCAATGTTGCAACACACCCTATGGTTATAGGGCACCTTGTTGCAACATTCCCCACTGATTATAAGACTATAACTACAATGGTTTGTTGCAACAGACGTTGCAACAAATCCCTACGACTACAGCTACACTACTGGCCTGTCGGACATTGCCGAGAAGGCCGTCGCCACCGTCGACGTCGCCGAAATCCCGCCGCCACCATCCGCGACGCGCTCATTGTCGTTGTGCCGTCGCCCGCTCCCCGACGCGCCGCCACGTGCCTCCCGCCGCACCCTCCGATCCTTCCCACGCAGCTCCCGCCCCGTTGCGCGCTCACGTCGCCCTTCCCACGCTCCGCTCCTCGTGCCGACGGTCGCGCGCGCTCGCCCTCGCGGTCACACGTGCTTCCGTGAGCGCGACGCTCGAAAACGCGACCTCGGCGAATGCCGAAAACGCCATTAGACGTGCGCTCGCGTGGGCCGTCCAGCTGCGCATACACGCCATTGCGCGTACGCGCCCGCACCCGTCGGATGGCACTGCGCTATGGGGTCCACTGGCCAACGCGTGCACTCCACGCGAGGGACCGTGCTATGCCCTTTGCCCGTCTGTCCTCTCCATACGTGCCGTGCGGTGTGCGCTACGCGAGCGCCCGCGACAAACAACGGACACGCCATTGCTGCCCGAAGCGCCGCGCGTGACGTCGTTGCTGTAACGACGACAACGACGCACCGAGCTGCGCAACGAGCAACTATGCCGACCACCTGTGCAGGTAAACCATTTTAAAAAGTAGCTGACAAGTCTCTGCCGTACATTTGATAATGTAACGAATGTGCTACGTGCACAGCCACGGCCGCCCGGAAGCTGCCCGGGACGTCGCCGGGCTGCGCCCAATGCGGCAGGCGACCTCCGGGCTCGCCGCCGCGGATGATCACGCCGCACGCGTCGGCCGTCGCGCGCGTGATGCCGCCGTCGTCGGGGCTCCCGCGCGCTGCCCGCCGTTGATGCGCCGCTGGCGCGGCTGCACAGCCACGTCAGCAAGTTGCGTCGGCGTCGCGCTGCGTGTCGCCGCCGCCGCTCCGCATCGTGCTCGTCCGAGCTAGTACTACAGAAATAAAGTGTATATACAATGTATACACAAAAAGTACGTAGAATGCACAGGGGATGCGTGAAATGAAGAGAAAATGCGCAAAAAGCGCCGGCAAAAAATCTTCGCCGTCGCGACACGTGCCGGGCTGCCTGCGCAGGCGCGCGGGAGCAAGGACATGTTAAGGAAAGGGTATGGGAGGGGATGGGAAAAGGCGAGAGGGGGGGAAGGTAAAGGACGACCGCGACGAAGCCGATAGGCCTTCTAGGTGGTCGATGCTGCCGGCGCGACATATGACGCCCAGCCAGCGCGCGCGCTCATGACAGTGATCGAGCTCGCCAAAGGGTGCTGGATGAAGGAGGAGGGTACGCGCTGCGCACGAGAGGCGAGGCAGGTTGCCAACGCGCGCTCGCTGCAGTTGGTGATCGGAGGGGAGGGGGGAGGGGTGGTGGGTTTGAATCGCAGGGGCGCATTTTCTCCTGCGTACGTCGAGGGGCCGCGTGTAAGATAGTGCGAGGGGGATCGGGGTTACGCCAGGACAAGGCGTGGGCCCGCAAGGGTTGTCCCTATCGCTGGGCACCGAGTCGGCAGCGCGAGCATAGGCGGACACCGTGTATTTGCGCGTGAGCGAGGGCATTTCGGGGCGAGGGCGCGAGAGGCGCAGTGTACGGTGGATGCAGGAGGTGGGTGGGGGGAAGAGCGCGCGTTGGCGGCAGCGGGCGACGATGCAGTGGCGGTGGTGGGAGGCAAGACGAGGTTGCGTGATCGCGGGCACGCGCGCTGGACGACGAGTAGGTTTGCGCGCGAAATTGTGACGCGGGGTGCTGGGGAGTGTGTTGAACATCACGTCGGGATGCATTCCAGAGGGCAGCAAGGTCGTGAGCCCGCAGACACTCACGAAAACGGCGGCCCAAGTTGTCCAGATGTTCGGGTCGGTGGAATTGGGTCTTGGGACCGCGCGGAAGCCGGTCCGGACGTCCGAGAGGCCTCATCGCCGTCGAAAACGACCTCGGGAGCATGCGATTCAAGCCCAAATCGCTTCAAACCTTTTGCGGAACTAAGAGAGGTACGCGAAGAAAATTCAGTGGAAGTTTGAGCACGACTTTGTGCATAGAACGGCCTCCAATATCAACATAACTGCAGAATTGAGCAGAAAAAGGCAGTATATCTATATCTGCATACAATCCAGAGTGCCAAATATTATATACCATACATGCCAAGATAGACGCAAAGCCTCCCTACCACGCACACTTTGTTTGACGCCAATCCACCGCGTTTCCGCCGAGATCGACGCGGAAAGGTGCCCGTGCAGATCAAGATTGGGGGAATCCACTGTTCTGCACACAACTGCCAGGACAGTCGATCTCTATTTGGGTGAGACTTAGAGGTCCTGTCACTTAGATATTTCATACATCCTATCTTGTGCATGTATACTATCTTATTCTGGGCTACTTATAACGCAAGAACAGTCACGGCCTCCTTCCGAGGCCATCGACGTCGACGACGATGGCCCTCGGACGTCGGGCCGCGCTTCCGGACCGGTCATCCGAGGCCCCTGGCCGCGCTGTCTCTTGTCCTCAACCACCATCCCTGCACCCCCCGTCACTCCTTCCTCCCCTCCTCGCTTTTCTACACCTCCTCAGCGCCATTCTGTCTTATCTTCTGCCCCATCCTCACCGCCACAGCCCTGCTACCAAGTGATTGCCCTGGGAAGAACAAAATTTGCATGCAGGACGATGCCTCGCGCCCCGCGCAAGCGCACGTGAGGATCATCGAACGTCTAGGGCCTTACACGCGTACTTGGGGAGGCGGAAAAAGGTGCGCCACTACGCCCTACGCCCCGGATTGAGCTAATATCTACCTTTTTTCGCTATTCTCAGAGATCGCACGCTGCTAAACCCTCCACGACGCGCATAACGCAATGTAAAGCACTCAAGACCACCTCAGAAGCCATCCGACCACCCTCCCCACACCCCCCTCCATCGAGACGCGCGTCCCGTGCCGAGCACGGCCCGTTCGAGTACCCACCGCACTGGCAAATTCGCGGTGCTGTACTCGGCGCGGGACGCGTTTTTCGAGTCTCCTAGACCTTTCTTGGTCTAGGTAGAGGGGAGGGAGGATCCCCAGGCATGTGCGATTGCGCCACTGGCTACCCGGGCGCTGACGCGCCACCTGTCACACGCGCGTGACCATCCGGTCGCGAGTGCGTTACAGGACGATTTTCCTCCGCCATCGCCATCGCTGCCCTTGCGCGTACGCGTTCGCGCTTGCCGTCGCCCCCCCTCCCTCTCAGCATCCCTTGACTATGCGACCATCCGCAAGAACGGAGCCGCCAGCAACAAGGAGTCACACGGCAACGCACCTGCGCAAACTAGCCGACCCCACCCACCATCGTCGCACACGACGATGGGACTCGCAAGGCTGGGCAGCTCGATGCGCCCCTCTCCTCCCCACCCATTTCTAAACGCTTGCTCGCACCTGCGCCCCTGCGCGGGCAGCGTAGCACGTGTCGCATCGGCGAAAATTTTCGCCGGCGCGTTTTGCACATTTTCTCCTCATCTCGCGCGTCCCCCGTCGATTATACGTACATTATGTGTATGTATAGTATATACATTTTCTTTGTATCGTACCTGCCCACACGAGCGCGACGCCGACGCGACTTGCTGACGTGGCTGTGCAGCCGCGCCAGCGGCGCATCAACGGCGGGCAGCGCGCGGGAGCCCCGACGACGGCGGCATCACGCGCGCGACGGCCGACGCGTGCGGCGTGATCATCCGCGGCGGCGAGCCCGGAGGTCGCCTGCCGCATTGGGCGCAGCCCGGCGACGTCCCGGGCAGCTTCCGGGCGGCCGTGGCTGTGCACGTAGCACATTCGTTACATTATCAAATGTACGGCAGAGACTTGTCAGCTACTTTTTAAAATGGTTTACCTGCACAGCTGTGCCGACGTGCTCGCCATGTGTCCATGACGGCACGACAGTGGTGATCATGTCGGCATAGGTGCAGCCAGGTCCGGTGAAGAGGAGGGAAGGCCAAGCGCGGCGCGCCGGGTGCCGATGGAGGCGGCGGAGGAGGGAAGGCGAGAACGGGGCCTGGCGCAGCCCGCGCTGTTGAGCGCGTCGCGGACGGGGTGTGGCGTCGCCCAGCGCTATTGAGCACGTGGTGGATGGTGCCGAGGGCGGCGTCGGCGAGGGTGAGATGAAGAGGTAGGCGGGAGGAGACGAGAAGAGGCGGGTGAAGGCGAGGGGAGGCGGGAGAAGGCGATATTGGGACAGTGTACCGGTCGAGGCGAGGCGCGCACTCGCCTCGCTCGCTGCACGAGTGCCAGGGAGGGGGTGGACGTGGTGGTGGTCGAGGGCAAAGGGCATGATCGGACGCGGACGGAATTTGTTCTGCGCGATCACGTGGCCCGGGAAACGCCGGCGACGCGTCCTCTCGCGCGCGCGTCCGCCTCAATTCGGCTGTCCGTGCACTGTGCAGAGCAGGAGAATGGCGTAACTGGACTGAGGGATATACTGTGATATAAGGAGGCCTATCATACCATCATTAACACCATTTGCGCGAGGTGAAATGGACGAAAACATGATTTTCCGCGTTTCCAGAGATCATATCCACTGATCTCAACACGATATAGTGCTGCTCGGGCTGTTCTGTGCACTAAAAACTGGATGAATCGCTTATATCTACCGCTCCAAGTATACCCTTGCTTGAACTGCATCGGGGGGCTCACTTTAATAGATCAAACTCGACCTATGCCTATTCACTAAGGTACCCCTTGACCAGGAGATTCTGCAATTGTATAGGTTCTGGGACTTATCAAGCCAATCAAAACATGAGAGCATAGTAAGATACATGTATTGGGACTAGATACAACTTGGGGTATGGGAGGGGAACTCAAGAATGGCACCAAGTGTGCTCTTGCACTCGGTGAGCAACAGTGAACTGTCAAATGGACCAATTTGGACTACTTCGTCGGGAGTTAAGCCGATACCGACTTGTTTTATGCACAAATCTCTGACTTTCAAACTGGTATACCCTACTTTCGACTACGCTCTACACGTCTATGCCAATATCTTGGCGGCGAATTCATTTTCGCTTGCTGTAGCCGCCGTTGAGTACGACGACGAGCCTGAATCGGGACGCGGCCCGGCTCCCCGCATCGCGCAAACGCTCGATCTTCTCTGACTGTGGCAGTGAAAATGTAGAAAAGATGTATAGGCGCGCATTTCAAAATGATATGGGCACCATATCCAGTGACTTCCACGCAATCCCATGCGGCTAGCTTTCAATACAGGCCCAAACATTCTATAATTGTTGACTCGAAGCTCATTTTGACCATTTAAAGGGAGGTAATAGTGATTAAACGGAGTATAGAGCCATACCCGGGTGTTCCCCTCTTGCCTACGCTGCTGATATGTGTCCTGGACATCGTGAATGATCCAATGGCGGGCAGCACTAGTGGGGAAGCGAAGCTCGGCCTGGCGTGCCGGATCTCCGGTCACGTGCCTGATCACGGAAATTTTTGGCCGCGCGCGCAGCACTCCTTGTCTCCTTCCACCACCATTGCCGTCGCAGCGCAGGCCTCTGGGCCGCTCACCTCTTCCTCACCGCGCATGCCCTCGCTCCTCACCGCCACTCGCGCGCACCGCCCTTGCTCTCGCCCACGCCCACGCCGATACGCACACTCCACTCCGCCTCCCGCGCTGCCCACGCAGCGGTCGCCTCCACCCTCGCGGTGGAGGGCATGTTGCGCCCAGCACGCTGTCCGAGGCAGAATCGAGCCAGTGATCACACTAGAGCGACAGCAAACGAGTCAGATTCATAAGTAGCAAGATACAACGCATAACTACGCACCTAGAGCGACAGCAAACGAGTCAGGAAGAGAAAAGACTCGGATGTGCCGCTCTAGGCAGGAGGGACCGGCAAATGCCGAGGAAATATGTGGCGCTCGGCAATAAGGCGCGAGCGCACAAGTAAGACTGTAGGTAAGCGTACAGTACCGGGAAAAAGTCCGAAAAATCACAGAAAAATACCATAGGCGCTAGAGAGCGCGTAGACACCGATTCCAACACACGCGGCATCGCCTGCCGAGCAGCGCTTGTCACCCCCTACCCTGCTCGGTGCATGCGCCGTCGACACTACATCGCCACGTCACCTCGGCGGCGTGGCTTTGTACGCACGCGTCACGTCACGTGATGCGCCGCGCGACATCATCCTCATGCGCTGGCGTGGATAGTGTCGCCCGTGCGGATGGGTGCCTGCGCGAGCGCGTCGACCGACGCCGTCGCTTTCCGAGGGGCGGGCATGGATTCCGGCCTCTCGCCACAGATCCGCAGCCCCACGGTCAGTGCGCGCTATCGGTATTTGCCGAGAGTGGCGCAGCGCGGGTTTTGCGCATTGCGTGGCCAACCGTGAGAACCCGGTGTACGACGGCCAGCGCTCGCCTGGCGAGTCCTCGGCATTTGCCGAGGTCGCGTTTTCGAGCGTCGCGCTCGCGGAAGCACGTGTGACCGCGAGGGCGAGCGCGCGCGACCGTCGGCACGAGGAGCGGAGCGTGGGAAGGGCGACGTGAGCGCGTGACGGGGCAGGAGCTGCGTGGGAAGGATCGGAGGGTGCGGCGGGAGGCACGTGGCGGCGCGTCGGGGAGCGGGCGGCGGCGCAACGACAACGAGCGCGTCGCGGATGGTGGCGGCGGGATTTCGGCGACGTCGACAGTGGCGACGGCCTGCTCGGCAATGTCCGACAGGCCAGTAGTGTAGCTGTAGTCGTAGGGATTTGTTGAAACGTCTGTTGCAACAAACCATTGTAGTTATAGTCTTATAATCAGTGGGGAATGTTGCAACAAGGTGCCCTATAACCATAGGGCATGTTGTTACATTCATAGGGACAGACCTCCGACCTCGCGTTGACGCTCATCTCGGTGCCCCAGATCACCAAGCGTGGTCTGCGCGTGTCCTTTAAGGACAACGCCTGTACTATCCGCGACTCCTCCGGCGATATCGCCTGTGTCGCAACGCGCAAACACGGTCTCTATCACGTCGACTGCCAGCCCATCGGCACGGATGAGCGCGCCTTCACCGCCATCGACATCAACCGGCTGCACCAGATCATGGGCCATACGAACTTCAAGAGCCTGCGCAACATGGTCCGACATGGGCAGCTCGGGGAGGTCGACACGCTTACCGGCATCCCATCCTTCTGTGAGCCCTGCGTCATGGGCAAGATGAAGAAGCTCCCCTTCAAGCGGAGCACCACGCCCGCCTCGCGCCCGCTCCAGTTTGTCTCCTGCGACGTTGGTGGCCCCGTCGACCCCGCTGCCATTGGCGGCTACCTCTACTGGATTGTCATCGGCTGCCACTACTCCTCGGGCGTCTACACGCTCTTCACAAAGAAGAAGTCGGAGGTCTACAAGAAGCTCTGTCAGTGGCGCATCGACATGGAGCATCAGCACCGCGACTCTATCGAGCAGTGGGAGTGGCTCCCCGGCTGGGTTGAGTTCACCCGCACAGACGGCGGTGGCGAGTTCTGCTCGAACAAGATGGAGGCTGAGTTCTGCCAGCGCGGTATCATCCACGAGACGACAGCGCCCTACATGCCTGAGCAGAACGGCATAGCGGAGCGTATGAACCAGACGCTGGTCACCCGGGCGATCGCTAACCTCTGCGCGGCCAAGCTTCCCCGGAAGTACTGGGTGTACGCGATGGAATATGCCACCGACATGATCAACCTGTCGCCCGCTAGCCGCCAGAAGGGAGAACTGCCCATCAACCACATGCGCAAGGTCAAGCGCCCTATTGACGTCCACGCCCTGCACCCCTTCGGTTGCCCCGCCTACCCGCTCATCCCAAAGAAGAAGCGGAAGGGCAAGTTCGCCGACCGCGCCCGCCGGTGCATCCTCATAGGCTACGCTTGGTCTGAGGGCACAAAGGCGTACAAGCTCCTCGAGATCGCCATTCAGATGTTGACTTGTGATCAGCACCTCAGCAACTAAAGACCCGATAGCTCAGTGGTTAGAGCATCACCCCCGAGAGGTGGAGGTCCTTGGTTCAAACCCAGGTCAGGTCACTTTTGTATCCCAACAGGTTATGAGCCCCGAGCCTTACCTGCGCCCAAATCCACGGCTCTTGCACTTGGCTTGGTGGCCCAAGAAAGCAATTGAGCACAGATGTGGTAGCTGGCTTTGAGTTTACAGAGGTGGCCGATCAGGGGAGTGTGTTGACTTGTGATCAGCACCTCAGCAACTAAAGACCCGATAGCTCAGTGGTTAGAGCATCACCCCCGAGAGGTGGAGGTCCTTGGTTCAAACCCAGGTCAGGTCACTTTTGTATCCCAACATCAGAAGGTCATCATCTCCCGGCACGTCAAGTTTGACGACGCCTCCCCCTCTCCTGACGAGATGTGTGCGGGCAAAGACGATGTGTCTGCCGAGCAGTGGGAGGACTTTGGAAAGTACTTCCGCCTGCCGCCCAAGGACACTCCTGCTCCAGATGCAGGCAGTGACAGCGAGGACGATGACGACGATGCGCCGGCCCAGCCACCTGCAGCCGGGTCAGTGGGAGCACCTCGTCCACCCACGCCAGAGCCAGTGGGAGATAATCTCCCGTCCTCACCTGACTCGGATGGGCCACCGCCTCCTCCGCGTCCACCTAAGACGCGCATACCGCGCCGGTCCCTGCCACCGGCCACACCTCCGCCGGCTCCTGCCCCCGCCGCTGGTCCATCACGCCGCCCTGGCCTTCGCAAGCCAGAAGAGCGAACAGCGAACCAGCACAAGGACCAGGGCTACATTAATGCCCGGGAGCGGCAGGAAAACCACCGGAAGGTGTCCGCCCAGCAGCGGAAGCAGCGCGAAGCGAACATCCGTGCGCGCGAGCAGCAACTCAAGGACAATCGCCGGCGTCGAGAGCAGCCGCCTCAGGCGGAAGCTCCTCCTCCACCTCCGGCACCAGCTCCCGAACCAGAACCCGCACTAGCACCTACCCAGGGGGGTGGGGATCCCCCGGGTCAACCCGATGAAGAGGGCGAGTCAGTGAACTTTGCTTTTCTCAATGACGAACTCTTTGCGGGCGCGGCATCTGGTGGTCGGTCGAGCAGCGGCGCGCGGAAGATTCCCACCACTTGGAAGCAGGCCATGGCGAGCCCAGAGCGCGACAAGTGGTTGGACGCGCAGTCGGAGGAGTTGAACAGCTTCAAGCTGAACGACGTCTACGAGGAGATACCCATCCCGGAGGGCGTCAAGCCGATTACCTCCAAGCATGTCTTCTCTTTGAAAGAGGATGCTCAAGGGAACATCGAGCGGTACAAGGTGCGCATCGTGGCGCGCGGCTTCACTCAGCAGGAAGGAGTTGACTACCAGGACACCTTTGCGCCCGTCGCAAGCCTGGAGTCCATCCGCATCATCCTTGCCCTCGCCGTCCGCCTTGGTCTTTACACTGACCAGATGGACGTGAACACCGCCTACCTCAATGGTGAGCTGCTACAAACGCTCTACATGCTTCCCCCAACCGGTGTGGACATCCGGGAGGGCTACTGCTGGCGACTCAAGAAGTCGGTCTACGGCCTCAAGCAGGCCGGTCGCGCGTGGAACCAGACGCTCCACAACAAGCTTGACAAGCTCGGGTTTGTGCGCCTCAACTCGGAGACTTGCCTCTACTTCTTCCGGGACGGCAAGCAGGTTTGCTTCCTCGTCGTCTACGTCGACGACCTACTCCTCGCTGCTACCTCGCGTCCTTTCATGGACAGCATCAAGAAGAAGCTCACCGCCTCCTTCAAGATGCGCGACTTGGGTCCTGCCAAGTACCTCCTGGGCATCGAGATCATCCGGCACCCGGGCAAGTGCACGATCTCCCTCTCCCAGAGGAAGTACATCGACACCGTGCTTGAGCGGTATGGCATGTCGGACTGCACGGGCGTCAGCACCGCCATGTCCACAAGCACTCGCATCTCCGCCGATGACCGGTGCGCACTCACATGGCCTTGGTCCCCGGAGGTCCCGTCGTCTCCTACCAGAGCGTCGTGGGCTCGCTCATGTATGGGATGATGGGTACCCGACCGGATACCGCCTACGTGGTGGGGGTTCTTGGCTGCTATAGCACCGCCCCCAAGGCTTGCCATTGGGAACTGGCCAAGCGCGTCCTCCGGTACCTCAAGAAGACACGCGACTGGTGTCTGGTCTACGACGGCGCTGATGCTGGCATGGACCTACACTTCCATGGCTACACCGACGCTGACTGGGGCGGATGCAACGACACGTCCAAGTCCACCTCTGGCTTTGTGTTCATCTCAAGTCGGGGTGCCATCGGTTGGTCAAGTAAGCGACAGTCCATGGTCTCTCTCTCGTCTACCGAGTCGGAGTACATTGGCCTAGCTAGTGCAGGCCAGCACTTGGCGTGGCTGTCCGAGGCAGAATCGAGCCAGTGATCACACTAGAGCGACAGCAAACGAGTCAGATGTATATTCAACAGTACAGAACGCATAACTACGCACCTAGAGCGACAGCAAACGAGTCAGGAAGAGAAAAGACTCGGATGTGCCGCTCTAGGCAGGGGGGACCGGCAAATGCCGAGGAAATATGTGGCGCTCGGCAATAAGGCGCGAGCGCAGAGATAGGACTGTAGGTAAGCGTACAGTACCGGGAAAAAGTCCGAAAAATCACAGAAAAATACCATAGGCGCTAGAGAGCGCGTAGACACCAATTCCAACACACCCCCTTGATCGAGCACGTCCTAGCGCCCAACTCCAAGCCCAGAGAGCGTTGCCATGTGCTGCAGTTTGACCCGGCCCAAGGCCTTGGTCAGCATGTCAGCCGGCATGTCCGCTGTCTGCAGATGGACAAGGCGGATGCTGCCGCGATGCACCTCATCGCGCAGCCAGTAGAAGCGCAGGTCGAGGTGCTTCATGCGCCCATGATGCTCCGGGTTCTTGGCCACCTGCAGCGCCGAGTTGTTGTCAATGTAGAGGGTGGAGGGCGCGCTCTTGACCGAGTAGCCACACTCGGTCAGGAAGTTGCGCATCCACAGGATCTCCTGGCCGGCAGAGCACGCCGCAACGTACTCTGCCTCGGTGGTCGAAAGCGCGACTATAGTCTGCAGCTTGGACGACCAGGAGACCGCTCCACCCGCCATCATGACAATCTGGCCGCTGGTAGACCGCCCGTTGTCTGGGTTGCCGCCGTGGTCCGCGCCGGTGTAGGTGTAGAAGAGCTCGGAGCGCGCGTTCACCGCCTTGCTGTCGTAGGTCAGCTTGTAGTCAAGCGTGCCCTTGAGATAGCGGAAGAGGTGCTTGAGCGCGTTCCAGTGTGGGCGGCCAGGGTTGCCAGTGAAGCGAGCGAGGACGGAGACCGGGTAGGCGAGGTCGGGACGAGTGGCGAGGGCGAGCCAGGCAATGGCGCCAACGGCAGAAGCGTACTCCTTAGCGCGGGTAGACATGAACTTGATGTCCTCTGGCGTGACAGGAGCGTCGGCGGCGCTGAGCTTGTGCGAGGGGTCGAGCGGGGTGGTGACCGGGTGGCAGTCGGCCATGCCAAACCGCTCTAGGACGTCCACGGCGTACAGTTGACTCCCTCTTAACGCATACCCGTTTGTGGATGTCCCATGTTATACCCTTTGAGAGAGTATGACTTACGGGAAATTCCAAGAAAATTAATATTGGTTCGGCAAATCCCGGTGCATGCCTTTTGGTCGGGTTGCCGATGTACTTCCTGTCAAGATCATGTCAGTTATCATGCACATGTTCTCGCAAGGAGCCTAGCACTTACCTGATTGCGAGAAATGCCCCCATCGTGAGTTGGCTGTGATAAAATTGTGAACTACATACTCCAACTTGGACCCATAACCTGCCTTATACGGCAATCAAGAGCGCGGAAATCCGATACTTTATGCCTTTTGGACCCCGCCCTCACCATGCCTTATGAAATATCAGGGAATTATGCCTTTTGCCAGCCTACCAAGTTGGTGGCGCCCAAAATGTATGCCTTTTCAGGGGTTATGCGTTATGGGGGCTATGCGTTAGGAGGGAGTCAACTGTACTGGCGCTGCGAAAGAGACAGCGTGCGTTGGCTGCGCTCGCGCTCAATGGCAACGCCCAGTAGCCAGGTGGTAGGACCCAACTCGCGCAGCTTGAAGTGCTTCTTCAGCTCGCCGATGATACCGAGCGCCTGCGCGTCAGTCTTGCACCCAATCGTCATGTCATCCACAAAGACCGGCACGAGGATGCGCGCGTCACCGCGCCCATACACCCACACGCTGTGGTCGCAGAGGATGCGCGTGAAGCCCATCTCTACAAGCACCCTGTTCAGCGTCTCGTGCCAGACATGACTCGCCTGCTTCAGCCCATAGAGCGACTTCTTCAAGCGCCAGACATAGTCCTTGTCAGGATCAATGCCGAGCTTGAAGCCGGGCGGTTGGCGCATGTAGATCTCCTCGGCCAGGTCGCCGTTCAAGAACGCGTTGCTGATGTCGATGGAGTAGAGCACGAGGTCGTCCATGGCGGCGAGGGCGAGGATAGCGCGGATGGCGGCCCACTTCGGCGTAGGAGCGAACGTCTCAGTGTACTCGAAGCCGGGACGCTGCGAGAAGCCCTGTGCGACGCAGCGCGCCTTGTACCGCTCGATCGACCCATCAGCATTGCGCTTGACCTTGAACACCCACCGGCTGCCAATAGCACGCTTGCCGGGCGGCAGCTCGACCACCTCGAACGTGCCGTTGTCGACCAGCGCCTGCACCTCGTCAAATGCGGCCTCGATCCACTTCGCCTTGTCCGGGCGAAGCAGCGCTTCAGCAAACGTCTTGGGCTCGCCTTGCTGCGGGTCCGGCGCGACTGTAGTTGAAAGGGCGTAGTTGAGGGCTTGTTCTACTGACCAGTCCTCCTCGGTGATGCCGCTGAAAACGTAGTCGAGGCCGGCCTGCATAACGTGCGCTCCTGGGATAGGCGTCTCATCAGTGATCCGCAGCTCATCCTCACTCCCTGACCACTCCATCATCCTGCGCCTCGCCTCTGCTCTGTCCTGCGCATTGTCCTCCTGCACCTGCTCTCTGCGCTCCTCCTGCACCCCCTGCTCACTCTGCTCCTCCTGCTCCTCCTCCTCCTCATCCACCTCCTCAATCTGGCCGGATAACGGCGCAAACCGGTTAGGGGATGTCACCTGCGGCTGGGGCGCGGGTGTAGACGATGTAGCGCGGCCTGTAGAAGGCGGCGCAGGCTGCTTTTGCCAAGCGCGAGTCGTCAATTCGCGCTCGGATAAGCTATGGGTCGGCTTGGTTGCCCGAGGCAGACGCGACGGTGGCGGTCCGCTCGAGCTAGACGGCCGAACTGTCTGCCAAGCAGGGGACGGACTGCGCTCTGCGCGCGGCGCTGGCTGCTGCTCCTGCGCGCGCTCCTGCCTGCCTCTGAGCGCCGCCTTGCTAGGCGGCGCAGTGCGAGACGGGCGGGGTGCAGAGGGCGGCGGCAGACGCGCGCTAGGCGGTGTGGTAGGCCCAGCTGGCTGCTGAAGCGGCGTGGATGGCTGCTCAGGCGTGGTGGGGGCACGCGGCGGCGATGTAGGCGGCGGCGTCTGTAGCTGCGGACCAGCGGGAGCGGGCTGTCCGGACGAGGGAGGTGGCTGATCATCATAAGAGACGACATCATCGTCATCTGCGCTATGACGATGACTAGGAGGCGACAACACATCACCCCCTTGATCAGCAACATCCCCAAAGTCCGGAGGACCTTCACCTCGGTCTATAATCTCCGCAGTGATGAGATTGAGGCTCAAGAGCGACGTACCCGGCATATAGCGCTCATCAAACACTGCATGCGAAGAGATAACCGTCTTGTTGGTTGCCGGGTTGTAGAACAACCATGCCTTGGTGCCCGGAGGGTACCCCAAGAAGATGCACTTCTGAGAGTGCGGCTCGAGCGCACGCCGGTGCTTGTCCTTCACGAGGACGTACGCCAGACACCCAAAGACGCGGAAGTAGCCAACATCCGGCGTCTTGCCGGTCCAGGCGATGTGGGGGGTGGTGTCGCCAGGCAGAGCGGAGGTAGGAGCGCGGTTGGCGACGTGGTTGTAGGCGGCAATAGCGTAGGCCCAGAACGAAGGCGGCAGCTTCGCTTCATAGAGCATTGAGCTAGCGCCATTAGCAAGAGTGAGATTAGCACGCTCAGCAACACCGTTCTGATGCGGCTCATCTGGCTCTGTGATCTCCAATCGCCACCCCTCCTTCAGCGTGGTGTCCTTCATGACGTTAGAGATGTACTCGCCGCCCCCATTGCAGCGCAGTACCTCCAAGCGCTGGCCGCTCTCCACCTCAGCGGCCGCCTTGAACTGCTGGATAGCAGCCCAAGCGTCGCTCTTGCGCTTCAAGTACGCCACCCAGCGCCGCCGCGTCTTGTCGTCTATGAAGGTGATCCAGTAGAGGTTCGCCCCCTCTCTGGATGCGACCGGCATAGGACCCTTCAAGTCGGTGTGAACCAACTCGAGGGGACGCGTTGCGCGCTCTCCCGGACCGCGCGGTACCGCCTTGCGCGTCTGCTTCCCCATGATGCATGGCTCGCAGATCGGGTCCGGCGCCTCCCTGCTGTCAAACCGCATGCCCCTCACCAGCTTGCGCTGCCGCAGCTTCGCAATATCCCCATGGTTGACGTGCGCAAAGCGGCGGTGCCAGAGCGCAGCGTCGAGCGGGAGCGTGGTAGAGGCGGCGCGCTGCGCGCTGTGCGCAGGAGGAACGACGACGTAGCCGTCCAAGTAGCCCGTGTTCGAGTCGTCCACAGTAGCAGTGCAGACGAGCGCCCCAGCGCAGTAGAAGGCGACGCGCTTGTCCTTGATGCTGACCTCGTACCCCTTGTGCGCAGTAAGATGATAAATTGACAGGAGGTTCGAGGTAAGGAGAGGGACATGAAGGACGTCAAAGAACACGATAGGCGTAAGCAACTTCTCCCCCTCCACCGGCTGGTACTCCACCGACCCGATGCCCGCCGAGTAGACGATCGCGCCGTTCGCTAGGCGAACAGGAACGCGATGCGGCGAGTAGGTGACGAACCAATCTCGCCGCGGCGTCATGTGTAGAGACGCACCTGTGTCGGTGTTGAAGTTAGCCGCAGCCTTGGACTGGAGCCACTCCTTGAGAGCGGGGGAGGAAGTGAAAGCGCTTGCCTGGCCTGCGGACTCGACGCGCGCAGCAGCGGCGGAGGTGGACGGCGTAGAGGACACGTCAGAGGGCGCAGAAGGCGCAGAGGACGCGCCAGACGCGTTGGCACCGCCCTTGTTCTTCTTCTTCTGCTGGCGCTTCGAGGTAGAAGCAGCGGCGGCGGCCTCCTCTTCCTTCTTCCAGTCGGGCTTGAACTTGGGGCAGTCGCGGATGAGGTGCGGCCCCTTGCAGTTGTAGCACTTGGGTGTGTTGGGCAGCTGTGGTCGTAAGGACCTTTAAAAGATGTCCGACTATTATCATTCAGGTAGTTCAAAAGACGTCGTATGTCTTATCCACACAGCCACGCCCCCCCGGCAGGTCGCCGGGCAGGCTCCGGTCGACGCCCGATGCGGCAGGCGACCCCCCGGCCTCGCCGGTCGGGGTTTCCCGCAGCACGTGTCGCACGACGCGCACGCTCCGCCGCTGCTTGCGCCGCCTCGTGCTCTGCGGCGGCTGATGCGCCGCCTGCGCGCCGCCGCCGTCGCTTAGTCAGCACGTCGGCGCGTCGCACTCGCGCGCGTCGTTGCCGCCGCAGGTCGCGTTCTCGCGCTAATTTGTATAGAAAATGAGTGATATATGGATGGTACAATATACAATGTACATAAAAATCGCTTGGAAGCGCGGGAGGTACACCAAAAGAGTGAAAACGCGCTGGCGAAAATTTTCGCCAGCGCGACACGTGTCATCGAGCCCGCGCAAGCGGGCACGAATGAGCGCGCATTAGGTAGGGTGGGAGAGGGTGTGGACGAGCAGTATAAGCACACCCGATTGCAGCTCTTGCCGCAAGCCGAGGTGCACGGGGGGTGGGGTGGGGTGGGGTGGGGATGGGGGGAGGTTGAGCGCAACCCGCGCAACCCGCGCAACCCGCGCTATCCCTGCGCATGACGCGCAGATCGGTGTCGGTGCCGTCGTTGTGAGAGGGCTGAGGAAGGCGGCGCCGGCAGCAGCAACGCTTTTGAGGGGCGCGAGGATCGATGTGGCGCGCGGGCTGGGGGATTGCAGGTCGGGCACAAGTCGCCGCCTTGGGGTGGGGAGAGCGTGTGTGAGGGGCTGTTTGGCATTGCCGGGGCGACAGAAATGAGGGGGGAGGGCGTGATGGTGGGCGAAGGTGGTGAGATGGTGGTGAAAGGGAAGGTGCAGGCATCCGATCACAATGCCTGCGCGCGCGACAGTGGGCAATGGCGTGTGCTGCAAATGTTGGGAGAAGAAGGGGGAGAGGCCTCCAATGATGCTGAGAATGTTGAGGAGAAGGGCCTGTGAGACGCGCTTTAGAGTAGCGCGCAGGGGGCGGTGGCCAGCCACGCCAGATTGGTCTCGATGTTCGGGACCGCCAAAATCCGTCTTGGGACGGCTCGGATGTTGGTCCGGGCATCCGAGAGGCACCTTCGTCGACTTCAATGGGCCCGTGAGCACGCCAATGAGCATCTTTGAGCGTAAAAATTTCATAGAGGGAAGGGGGAGGGTGTATAGAAATTGAATCTGAGGTTTGAACTAGAATACCTTCTCAGAGTATTTGTCAGACATCGAATTACTCCAAATCTGCCCCTCAAGACCTACTATCTGTGTTCCTACACTCTATCTAGAACACAGAATATTGTAAAACATACATGCCAAGTTAGAGAAAGAGTTACTCTACGCATCACAGCTTGTTTGACGCCCATCCGTCTGGTTTTGAGCGAGATACAACCCGAAAGCTCTGTTTTCAAGGCTAAAGAAGGTGAATACATTGGTTTGTGCAAAGGGCATTGTAACTGAAGCTCAAGTTCAGCAAGCCACAGACACTCATAGGCTACAAAAACTTATATATGCAGTCTACTACATGTACACTACGCTAATCATCCTTTAGTTTACCGTTTAGCATCCCTTGGCTTGCGTCCAAGGCCGTCGAGCACGACGACGACGAAGCCCGGACATCGGACCGAGTCGCCGGCCCGGACATCCGACGCGTCGTGGCCGCGCGTTCTTCACTCCCAACCACCACCTCGCCGCCCTCACCGCTGCCCCACTCGTCCTCCCGCCCTCTCTCCCTCCTCCCCCTCATCAAAAAGACGACATACCACGCGTTTTACGCGTTTCTCACGCGCTTAACGCGTATCCAACGCGTGCCCGAAGCTGGTTGAGCAAGCAACATCCCAGTGCCGCCTGCGACACGCGGCTACGCGTCGAAGCCCGGAAAAGTTGTCGAAGGGATAGGGGAGGGTGCCCTTGCATCCCGCAGGTGCGTTACTGCGCCCTGCACATGAACCTTACTGACGGACTGTACATCTACTTTTTACAGTGCATCTCCCCGCAGCGCGTCTAGCGCTGTGGGGCGATGTTTCTATTCACCACTTCCTCAAGACCTCCCCCTCCCTCCTCCCTCCCCCTATGTCGAAACGCGTCCCCGTGTCGAGCACGGCCTGCTCGAGTACCCACTGCACCGGCAAATTCGCGGTGCTGGGCTCGGCACGGGACGTGTATATCGACACCTATACGCCTCACTGGCTTAGGAAGGGAGGGATTGCGCGCGCGGCCACAGACACGCAGGGCCCTGCGCGCTTGCTAGCGCGCGTCCGTGTGACGGCGGTCACAAGCTGCTCCCTCGACCACCACCTGCACCGCCCCTCCCGCGCGCGGCCCCCCTTTCGTCTTTGCCTCTCGCTCCCAGCAACCCCTCTCCACGTCAAGTCCCCGCAGCCCAACCCCACACGACATGGATGCCGGCGCATTTGCCCGGCGCAGCCTAACAACAGCCCCAGGACCAACGCCGGTCAAGCGCCGCCCGCCCTGCTGCCACACTCCCTCCCTTTCCAAGCGCGTGTGTGCATGCACGATCGCTCTCGCGAGCTGCCTAGCACAGGCTGCACCGACGAAAATTTTCGCCGGCGCTTCTCGCGCTTTTTTGTCATTGTCTGCACGTCGCCTCGGCTTGTAGGTACATTGTATGTACCTACTATACGATATATTTGTTTTCTACATGACACGACGTGAACAGCGGCAGCGGCGATGTGTGTGTGTGTGCGCGCGCGCGTGCGCGACGCCCTCCGACGTGCTGACTAAGCTTTCGCGACGTGCGCGCGAAGGCGGCGCATCAGCCCGCCGCAGGGCGCGTGGCAACGGCGGGGGCGGCGGAGCGCGCACGTCGCGCGTCGCGTGCTGCGGGAAACCCCGACCGGCGAGGTCGGGGGGTCGCCTGCCGCATTGGGCATCGACCGGAGCCTGCCCGGCGACCTGCCGGGGGGCTGAGGCTGTGTGGATAAGGCATACGGCGTCTTTTGAAATACCTGAATGATAATAGTCGGGTGTCTTTCAAAACACCTTACGGCCACAGGTGTGTTGGGATACAAAAGTGACCTGACCTGGGTTTGAACCAAGGACCTCCACCTCTCGGGGGTGACACTCTAACCACTGAGCTATCAGGTCTTTAGTTACTGAGGTGCTGATCACCAGTCAACAGGGTGTGTACCCGGCGCGGTTGGCTGCGAGGGGCGTGCCGTCCGCCGTCATCCGGTGCAAGGCGAACTCGCGCGCGATCATGTCTTTGACCGTCTCGTAGGTGAGCGCCTTGTCGAGCAGGAGGGAGGTGTACATGTTGGAGTGCTGCGGGTTGGGGGAGGCGGCGAGCGCGCGCATGGTGACCATCGCCTTCAGCTCGAGGTCCATCGTGGCTAGGTCGTAGCCGGTCGAGGGGCGCAGGGACTGGACGCGCGTCATGGCCTCGTCGACACGCGAGAGGAGGTCGGTGAGGGCGGTGGTGGCCTTGGCGTCGTCGCTCAGGTTGACGTCGAAGAAGTCAGAAAGCGCGGCAAAGCGCGTGCCGGCCTCCTGGATGTTGAAGGCGGTCTTCATCGCGTCATACAGGTCCTTGGGCGTGCTGCGCTTGTCCTTGAACTGCGGACGAAGCGGCTCCTCCATAGCAAGCCAGAGCTCGCCAGCAGCCTTCTCCAAGCGCTGCTCATTGTCCGAGGCAGAATTGAGCCAGTGATCACACTAGAGCGACAGCAAACGAGTCAGGAAGAGAAAAGACTCGGATGCGCCGCTCTAGGCAGGAGGGACCGGCAAATGCTGAGGAAATATGTGGCGCTCGGCAATAAGGCGCGAGCGCACAAGTAAGACTGTAGGTAAGCGTACAGTACCGGGAAAAAGTCCGTAAAATCGCAAAAAAAAATACCATAGGCGCTAGAGAGCGCGTAGACACGGATTCCAACAACGTGATCATGGGCCCAACAAAAGCCGAGCTCACCCGCCCTCTGCGCCAGCCGCCGGCCCCGGGCGATGCCCGAATAGGGCACCGACGCCGTGATGCGCGCCGCGCGCGCGTCGGGCGGCCCGCGTGACATGTGTCACCCCGCGGATGCGTCACGCGATCCCCGCCTCGCGCGTGGGGGGCGTGCCGCGTGCTGCCGCGACGCCTCGTATCGCGCGTAAAGTGATAGTAAACGAATATAGTAATACAAAATGTACATCTATGTATAAAAACAGGAGGAGGCAGGGATGAAAATGAGAAAAAGCGCGAAAAAAGCGCAGGTGAAAATTTTTGCGCGCAATTGACGCGCTCCTGCTGCTCGGGGAGCGCGCGAGAGCGCGTCGGGTGATGGGGGAGGGTGAGGGGGAGTCCCCCCGAGCTACGGGCGCCCATTTGCGTCCAGTGACGCGTCCGCGGCGGCACATAGCAGGCGAGGGGGAGGGGGAGGGCTGCGCATTTGCGCTGTTTCTGCGCCTTCTCGAGGCGCAGATGCAGACGGAGGGGGTGGTCGGAGACCCAGCGAGCCCTCTGTTGAAGGAGAGTGCACCGCATAGCTGGCTAGCGCGCCTTTCAAGAGTGGAAAGGGGCTCGGAGACTGGCAACAGAGGCACAGTCGACACAGACACGGACACGGACCGGAAGGCGACAACGCAACGGACTGAATAGAAAGGTAGGTAGAGGGACGCGTAAGCTACCGACATTGTATATACTTGTTGTCCATAGGCTTTAAGCACAGCCCGGTATAGATGAGTCAGAGGCGTCCACAAATACCCACTCGTGACACTCCCACTCGCCGAAAGACGAAGACATACCATAAAGCTCCCACTGACCAACATGCCCAACAATCCGTCCACCAGCCTGAGAGGCGTGGGAAAACCATTCCGGAAAAGGAAGGAGGACGAAAAGTCCCAGTGCAATGGAAAACGTCCGCCTCACCAGCAGCCTAGATCTACCCCCTAAACCCCCTACTCTGAGCACCTCCCACTGAACCAAGCACATACGCCAGGTGAAGCTCCTCTTCAAGGTGGCACTTTCCTTTTTCGTAAATCATGCGTGATTGACGAAAAAGGAAAGACCTCCGAGATGATGAGTCAGCATTGCGGCGCCTAAGCAATGATCTTCTTGTAGCGGTAACGCGTGGGGGCGGCGTCGTTCATGAAGTGGACACGTTCGTCATCGTCATCAGAGGTGCTGGAATCGGAAGAGTCGGGGGAGTAGGATCGAGAGCGGTGACGTCGGGCGGCATTGGCAGACTCGGAGACATAGACCGTAGGACGACGCATAACCCAGTGCCTGACCTTCTGAGGCATGTCATGGATGCAATATGCAGCAATATGACCTTTTCGACCACAGCGGTGACAGTGACTGTCGTGCGTCGGGTCGCACCAGCGAAATCCATCCGAGGTAGGGGGGCTGAAGCTGCGCGCTCGCTCCTTGCCCTTCCCTTGAGTATCGCCTCGACCGGGGCGGCCAGAGCGGCCCGCACGGCCAGCGGCAGCGGCCAGACCTGAGATGCTCCCCTCATCATCTGAACTGTCCGACTCGTGATTCTGAGCAGAGTCGGGGACAGCCGACGAGAGGATGGAGATGATGGTGGCGAGGTCAGGCTCGACGGTGGCAGCGAGGATGGTGGTGCGAGTGCTGCGGTAGTACTTGTTGAGGCCCATCAGGACAGTGTCCTTGGTCTCAAGCTCGTCGGGCTCGACGCCGAGTCCCTTCAGCACCTTGCGGGCATCCAGGATCCGCTTGACATAGTCCTCGACTGACTCCTTCTTCTTCTGCTTGACGCTGACAAACGCCTCTCGCGCTTGGAAGCGGCGGGCCATTGTCGAGCGCTGGAACTTCCGGATGGCTGCAATGTAACAGCGCATGCCAGAGCGCAGACCGTCATAGAGACTGTGATAGGAGGGATCGGTCTTGACAAAGATGTGGGGGGACAGTTGGCGATCGAGGGTGCGCGAGGTGGGCGTCGCCGCGTCAAACTTGGTCAGGACAGCCTCACGCTGGGTGGTGTCCGTGGCCTTGTCCAGCTCGTCCAGCATGTCCAAGATCTGGTCCGCACCTACAGAGGTGAAGAACATCTCCATGTACTTCCGCCACTCATGGAACGTGTCCTCCTTGAGCAGGGGGCAGTTTTTCAGGAGCGCCAGATCGGTGTTGGTGATTGAGCGACCAGTGTCACCACTGGGAGTGGTATCAGCAGCAGGCGAGGTGGTTGGGGCCGTCATAGTTGGCAGAGGCGAGGGGAGAGAATATGATCGAAGAGAGGAAAAAGATGAATGAAGATTTTTTCGGGATTTTTAGCGAAGCTCGGGGCTCATAACCTTTCAAGAGTGGAAAGGGGCTCGGAGACTGGCAACAGAGGCACAGTCGACACAGACACGGACACGGACCGGAAGGCGACAACGCAACGGACTGAATAGAAAGGTAGGTAGAGGGACGCGTAAGCTACCGACATTGTATATACTTGTTGTCCATGGGCTTTAAGCACAGCCCGGTATAGATGAGTCAGAGGCGTCCACAAATACCCACTCGTGACAGCGCCAAGGGGGCAAACTCTGCCGCTGGCAGCAGTCCCGCACGGTCGGCCTAGCCAATCGCGGCCGCACTCAGACATGGCACACTGAGCGCGAGTCTCAGCAGCACCACATCGCCAGCAGCGCGTAATGTTGGAATCCGTGTCTACGCGCTCTCTAGCGCCTATGGTATTTTTTTTTTTTGCGATTTTACGGACTTTTTCCCGGTACTGTACGCTTACCTACAGTCTTACTTGTGCGCTCGCGCCTTATTGCCGAGCGCCACATATTTCCTCGGCATTTGCCGGTCCCTCCTGCCTAGAGCGGCGCATCCGAGTCTTTTCTCTTCCTGACTCGTTTGCTGTCGCTCTAGGTGCGTAGTTATGTGTTCTGTATTGCTGAATATGATCCTGACTCGTTTGCTGTCGCTCTAGTGTGACTACTGGCTCGATTCTGCCTTGGACACACGTCGCGTAGATTTCAAACCAGATTACACAAGTTGTTGGGTTAGATTTGAAACCAATCTACTGCACAAGGTGGCACGCGAGCAAAATGTTTTGCTTGTGCTCTTCCCCCCTTTTTGTTTTTTTCCCTTGCTGCTCTCCTCCTGATTTATAGTACATAGCTTTAGTATACATGTTTCACATATATTTTGTGCTCGCTCTGACGCACGACATGCGACAGCGGTGCTGGCAGCACATGGCGCGTCCCCAACACGTGTGGGCGCGCGCAGGTGACATTCCCGCCTGCAGATTGCGCAGGCTGCGCCTTGTGCACAGGGTGATTGGCCCCTTACGTGTCAAGCACGTGTCCGGACGCGTCGCAGAGAGGAGTCAGGGGCCCTTAGTGACTTGAAGTTAGTGCCAGTAAGGGAAAGCCTAGTGTGCGTCATGTGGGACGTACAAAGGGGAAAGGTAATGCAATGGGGATCGTTGAAATATCAGTATGGTTCCACTCACGATGCCCAGTCGCCTGGTTGCCCACGTTGGTGCATTTCACGGTCGTTGCCCGGTTGCCTTCATACAGATATATGCACATACAGCAGGTCTCGTATATGCCCGAGGGTCACTTAACTAGTAAAAAGTAAATAGGGAGAGACAGGTGGGTAGACCTTGAACTGTGCGACGACTGAGGGAGTTCAAGAGGTCAGAACAAAGTTCACCAGACGCTTCGTGGGACTCCCTCGAGATATTTGACCGACTCATGTCTTGGGTACAAGACATGGTGGAAAGCTCCCGACAGGGCGGCCGGACGGCCACACGGCTCTGGCAGGGGACGCAGACGAGGGGAGACCGGTCAGCAGACTGGGGATGATAATCCTGCTGAGTCTGCGGACAGAGGGCACAACATTGAGGACATAGGCGTGCGCAGATCATAGGAGCGTGTGGGCGCTTGCCGTCGCGTGGTTAGATCCATGTAAATACAATTTAAATATGATTGTGAGTTAATTGTTGTGAGAATCTTGTCCTGAGTAAACAAAGCCAAACTGACAGTGCCAAAGACCACAGGTTCAAGCCCACCCACTCACAACTTCATTCCTTGCTCACACACATTGTCCCCTGCCTCAATTTTGATGCGCAAGGGTCCAAAAGACGTGAGCATACACAGATTAGTTTATTTGAGCAAGAAATAGCACATTCGACTGCAGCACGCTGTCAACATCTATATGCTGAATGGCCAAAATCATCACCCAGCACTTGCCCTTCCAATGACTCAATGTTACAGTTGAAGCTTGAGCCTGAAAGCACACACACTGAATGAAGACCACCGCCAGTTGTGCACATTTCATTTGCACTCATCAGTGGCGGTGGACTGACCGCGGAGCAAACAAAGACAAGCGGGCGCCCTCAACATTGTTCTGTCCTTGCTGCACATCACCAGATAACATACAAGCATCCTACCCAGCGATGCCCTTTGAGATCCTCTGATCATTGTGATCTGACATTTTTTTGGTGCTGTGACCAGTCTCACAGTTCAGCCTTTTTGTTAGGACTGTGCAACCTGCGCTGCTAAGCCCGTGATCAATCCCCTTCACCTCTGATTGGATTAGCTATTCATGCGCGCCCAGAACATCGCAGGAACAAGGGGAAAGAAACAGGAAGGACTGGAAAGGACTGGAAACAAGTAAAAGGCAGAAGGGATCAGGAAAGGAGTCAAGGAAAGGTGCAGGGTCGACTGAGGAAAGAAGAGGATGGGTCTCACGGCTCAACAGGGGGTTTATCCTGGTTGATATTGAGCCTGTCTACTGAGAACCAAGCTACTGGCTTATATACTAAGCAGACAGTGGAATAAGGAAAGTCCGGAATTACTAGATAAGGAAAGTGGGGGAATCCGGAATAAGCGGAAACTAGGAAAGCACATAGAAACACAGAAGCAAACCATAAGTGCAGGACAGGAAGGGATGGTGACATAAGAGTCGTGACAAAGGAACAGAAGGGATGCGGGGTTCGTAAGCAGAATATTGTAAGATTGTGAAGCGCACCGGAGAACAAAGCAGAATCCTTGTGGTATCTATAATGTAAAATAGGTCGAGCGTCAAAGTTGACCCGACGCGTTTGCTTAGGTAAGCTTGACGAGTTATTCGCCTTGCTTAGGTAAGCACTGCGCTGGGGGACCCTCAGCAATGGCTGAAGGTCGCCACCACCTCCCGCCCTCAACCCCCTGCCGTAGGCAGGTCCTAGTCTCAATCCAGCCATTTTGTCGGCTTTGTTTGGCTCTGTTTACATGCTGCAGACACCTCCTCAACATCTGGCGCAAATGGCGGTCTGATGCTAGGGACCCCGTTATTTCAAATTTGTCGGCTCATGCAAGCCACGAGCGCCACCGGGCCTGCCGCCTCCAGCGACACGCGTGCCTCACTCTCGCGCGCGTCCACCGCCTCCAAATGTGTCGAAATTCGTGGTAAATTGCACGTTGATAAGACACTAGATACTATGCGTCCTTGACAAACTTTGGGACAGTCCGGATGCGTGACAGTGCACACAAACAAGAGCAAATGGGATAAACAGGCAACTCTCTCCTTGCGCTCATCTCTGCAATTGTCAGCTGTCAATGATCCCAATGTTGACTGGAGGTCGCTGTTCGTGGAAGGCCCAGAGCTCCGTGACGCCCTCGAAGATGACTCCTCCCATTCAGCCTCAGATCCTGATGAAGGTCTGCCCTCGCGCGCACAGTCAAATCTTGAGCCGTCGGGGGACATAGCAGGCAATCAGGCGGTCAATGATGGTGCTCAGCTCCTGGAGAGCATCTTGGCGACGCTGCAGTTCATGAAGAGCCGTGGACTGAGACTCTCCGACTTCCTAGACGCGATACTATGGGGCAACAAGGCATGCATTCACAACAACGTTGTCCGCGGCTCGCGCACTCAGTTGACGAGAAGCCCGCTTCTCCCGCGCATTCTCTGCCACCTCTATCATCCTCCGCGCATCAGTCATGGCACGAGGCCTTACGGCACAACAAGCATGATGCGTGAGGTCACGTGCAAGATCATGGAAGAGGAGATGGAATGCGAGATGAGGTCCTTGTCATTGGTTCTCTACTCAAAGGCGAACTTGGACCTCACAGATGCCGAGCTTGATTTGATCTCCCTCTCCTTGATAATCTCCCAAATCCGCACCAAAGCGCCTCTCTCTTGTTGGGATTGGTGTGCTTGGACCGGCCCAATGGGGAAGTCCGCCAAATTAGGTAGTCATTGTTCCCATTGTACTCTTTATCTCGAACCATCATCTTCGTGTTTGTGTTTGTGTCTGCCGCCGCCTTTTGCTCTCAACAGGTTATGAGCCCCGCGCTCTAGCTTACTCTACACCTCCGAAACAGTCTCTCTGCTTGCTTAAACCCTCATAAAACCTTCACAAAAATTTCCTGTTATCTGATCACCCTCTCTCGGCTCATCCACCATGTCTGTCATCTCTCCTGCCCTCATTAGAGGTCTGGACAATGTTCCCAAGCTCATGGGAGAGGCCGATTGGCATGCCTTCAAGGAGCAGCTGGCCCGCTTCTTCCGCGCTATCCAGGCTGGGTATATCACCTTGGACCCTGCTGCTGCAGTGCCTGAGGCCAAGAAGCCCCTCGATGCGGAGCTCGAGTGGCTGCTCTTTAGCAAGCTTGGCCCAGACTCCATGGCTCTGGTCAAGGAAGCTGAAGGGGGCAAGGCGCTCTGGAAGGTGCTGAAGGAGAAGTACGAGAAGGCCACACCCTGGAAGCGCATGCATGCTCGCAAGGCATTCCAGCAGTGTCGCCATGACCCCTCGCACCCCATCGAGACGCACATCGCCAACGTCAAGGCGCAGAAGGCCATCCTCACTGGCCTAGGCGTCACCGTCTCTGACGACGAGGTCATGGACGTCATCCTCATCAATCTGGATGACTCTTTCGACCAGATATGTATCAACATCCTCTCCCAATCCTCCCTCACTCTTGATGTCGCGATCAGCATGCTCACCTCGAACTCTGGTGCGGCGTTCAACGTCAAGCAGGAGGAGTTCACTCCCTTGCTCCTTGCTGTCAACGCCGCTCGCACTGGTCGTAGCCGCCAGGAGCAGGAGAGTCTGGCGGACGGGGGCCAGAATGACCCCACTACATTCTGGATGGACGACAAGGAATACTGCTGGTGCAACGTCAACAGCAGGGACTGTCACCGTTGCGGGCGCTCCGGCCATATCGCCGCCTTCTGCATGTTCGCCATGCCTGAGGCGATCAAGCAGAAGATCATGGACAAGGTGCATTTCAATGCGAACATGGCTGCCTCCATGGCGGAGCTCGACGCGGAGGCCGAGCAGGTGTACCAGATGGAGCAGGCTTATGGCACGTATATTGTTCCTGCTCGTCGGTTGTCCCCCTCTCCTCCTCCTCCTTCTCCGCGTCCTGCTTCCCCCGCCCCCTCGTCCTCGGCCACCGCCCCCGTTCACCAGGGTCGTCCCCCTCGCTCGTCGAAGAACAAGCAGAGGAGTGCGCCGAAGATAATGCTCTTCACGTGATGGATATAGGAGGATGCGAATTTGGTGGGAGTTGCAGGATCCGGTGGGAGCTTGGTTAGGTGGGAGTTCTCTTGCGGTCCGGCGCACAGGTGGGAGTGTTGGGATTGGTGTGCTTGGACCGGCCCAATGGGGAAGTCCGCCAAATTAGGTAGTCATTGTTCCCATTGTACTCTTTATCTCGAACCATCATCTTCGTGTTTGTGTTTGTGTCTGCCGCCGCCTTTTGCTCTCAACATCTCTTGGCAGCTACTGTTCAACCTAAGCTGCAGTACACAGCAAATGCTTCACAATACACGCAAAAATCCAGATAAGGTGAGTCTTTCTCCCTTTTGCAATCGCCAAGAGGCTCACCGGATGTACTAGACTGTTGCAACCGCACTTGCTATGCTGTGCTACTCGCGGAATAAGAATTGCGGCTGTCTTCAAAAGGCGCTGTTGATCTACCTCAAATTCAAGGGCCTTTCCGCCAAGGTGTTTGATACTCTGCACACACTTGGGCTAGTGATGTCGCACAGGTGGACTGGAGATGCAGTCGAGAAGGTCTCGAAGGCAGCAATGGGCGAGGTCATCACATACGGGGAGGAGCGGCATTGCTCATATCCTATGACAACGTAGATATCCCCTTCCGTGTCTATGCCCAGAGGGTTGACCATCAGACAACCTTTGGGTGCGGAACAGCGGGAACGTGCTATATCAAGCGCAACACTTGTGCTCTCCCCCCGCAGAGCAGTGCTCGACTTCGTGAGCAGCGTGCACAAGGTCTATCAAACCCTTTCACTAGCCTCAACATACTGCAGCTCGAGCTCGATGCAGCGCCTCGTCTTGCCAAGGAGATGGCATATGAGGTCCTGCGTGTGCTTATCGACATGCCCGAGTTCGATCTGCAGACCTACGAGCACCGGAATTCCCCCCTCTTTGCACCACCGCCTGATGCACGTACGCTTCCTCACGGTGCTGAGCACATCACGATGCAGTACATGCTGGGGACAGAGGGAATGCTAGAGGCGAGCTATGAAGACCAGGAGAAGTTGATCATGGTGTGGCTCCATCAGCTCGAGCTAGCGAAGGGGAAGGAGGGTCAGAAAGCACTTGCGCTTGAGCAGATCATCTTCTAACTGTTGAACGCCTACGCAGACTCTACACATTTTGTGCAGAGGACTTCAACTCCTTTGACCAGCTGGACTGGATGCTACCTGTCTTCGGTTTCCTACACCTCCTCATGGCCTTTGCCAATGGGCTGCACACACAATATCTTGGTTCTGGAAGTAGACGAGGCATCTCCCAAGCCATTGACATCCTCAGTTGCAAGGGTCTTAGTCATGCGCAGACAAAGGGACCATTCTTCCATGACCTCGATGAGCTCCTTGAGTATATGCTCACTGCACATCTGCGGCTCGACTGGCTCACCATCACCAAAGTCGATGACTTGACCGAGCTCTGCCTATACACCCCCCAGATGCTCGTTCAGCTCGCGCAGAAAATCGTCGAGACGTGCGCATCGAAGCAGGCCATGGATGCGTACTGGATCTCCAAGGCGGAGGACATGCGCGATGAGCAACGGTGGCAGACGATAATGTTTGTGCGTGACGTGTTGCAGTACAAGGTCCTGTGCCGTGCGGTCAAATTTGGGCGGGTTGGCATCATGGAGGATATGCTCCCTACGCTTCTCTATTGCTTCTCTGGTGGCAAGAACCCCCGATATGCTATTGAGGTCCTGGAGTTACTGCAAGGCTTGCATCGAGAGTGGCCCCCTGAAGTTTGGTACGCCTTTTCTACTTGTTTCCGACGCACAACTTGGCTCATTAATATCTCAGTGATTATGTTTGGCAACACTGCTGGCTTGTCAATATGACTGGCCATATTGATGGCTTCCTGCCAGTGGATCAGGCCCAAGAGCATAACATCAAGAACATCAAGGTAAGGTCAGTCCGTGCATTATTTTCGAGTGCATTCTAAGATTGGTGAAGGTCTTGTACCACTTGGAAGGGCCAAACATTGACTGGGACTACATGAAGAAGCTACATCCAGCGATTCCAATGATCATGCGGCTCAACGAGCATATGGAGAAGGAATTTCGGACAAATGCTCAAGGCTGCAAGCACTCCAAGCCAAAGAAGGACCTGGATATTGCACGCCTGCAAGGATACTACGTTGACTTGCACAACTACGTGCCTGAGAGGTATATAACAGATCGCAATGTGAAGGGGAAGTTGAGGAAGAGGACCAACTGCGCAAAGAATTTTTGGGCAGTGGGCTTCCGACTAGTTAATTCCGGAACGCTGCTGGTGCGTTGGGTTGATAATCAGACTTTCCCCCACCGAGAGGAGAATATCTGGGACGAGTGGTGCCCAGGTGACTCGGAGGATGAAGACAGCTTGTAAATTAGCGAGTTTACAAGTAGATAATACACTGTAGATGCCTTGTAACTTAATTCCGAGTCGGAGAATTATGTGAAGGTGTAGAAGATGAATTAAATGATGGCGGTGGTGTAAAGAAAGGTGCTGTATAGTAATGTAAAACTGTATTGTAGGAAGAATATGGCAATGCGACGTAGCAGTAGAATAATTGCCCATTGGGCCCTGAGAATACTTGAGGAATATAATAACCTGACGGTGATTGGGCGAAAGATGGCGGAAAAGGTGGCAACGTGTTGGTGGGTGAATTGGGAAATGGACGTGGGTGCTCATGTAGAGGCACTCGGGGAGTTGACGTACCAGGCGCCAGCGCATGCGCTTGCAAAGAGGCTTGCCCGAGATCATTTCGCGGGCGCTTGGCTGGCCGGTGACTCGCCATACTTTTTGCGGCTTTGAGGGCCTTGTTGCGCATCGCTTGCTCAATGATTTGTGCCTCGGTCCTTCATAGAACATCCAGGACCTCCTGCGCGAAAAGACGTGCAAGAATCCACGGCGGTTTGAGCGCATAGATGTCCTCTGCTGACCGGATGTTCTTGCGAGACGCCAAATGCTTCAAGGTCTGCTTGGGAAGGATGTCTTCACACAACATGTTCGACATACAAAAGCGCTCCGAGTTCTTGAGATCCTGATGCCACGGGGAAAGCACTTCTAGATAGGGGTGCCGCTTGTCGCCACGTCGTGTAGGTCCAGTGGCCACACGAGTTGTCATCAGACGTTTGCCATTTGTGTTCTTCTCCCTCAAAGGTGTTGTTTGCGGAGAAAGTGCGTCGTCGCCTGTGTCTGGAGCGCTAGGCTGCAGAGGGGTCAAAGGACGGGCTGGGGCCTCCTGAGCAGTCAAGCGCTCACAATTATCGCAGCACGGCCCAGTAGGCGCTATACTGTGCATCAGGGACTGCTTACAAGACAACTTTTGGTCGGGCTTACCTTAATGTTCCACTGGATTATTGAAATACTTGTCCAAGACGTCCCGACTGTCAAAAGTAGGGTATAGAGGGGCGAGTCTGCCTCCTCCCATGGGTGGACGGTTTGCCTCGCGTCCACGCTTTTGGTCCGCCTTCCTATTCGGGAAGAACTTTCCCACGCCGCTCCAGGGGCGTCCGTATTTATCCTTACTGTACATCTCTTTTCCCTCAGTCGCTATTCCACTAGCAGGAAGACTGAGGGTATGTTATCTCACTTACTATACTCATACTATTTACTGACTGTACTTTAGTCTTGCGCGTCCTGCGCTTCTTTAGGTATGAACATCAGTCGCTATTCCACTAGCAGGAAGACCGAGGTCTTGCGCGTCCTGCGCTTCTTTAGCTCATGAAAGGTGCCCAGCACCCTGTTGAGATCTGGTCCGACCACCAGAACTTGGAGTACTTCCGCACGGCTCGCAAGCTCAACCGCCGCCAGGCGCGTTGGTCGCTCTACCTATCGAGGTTTGATTACACCCTCCATCACCGTCCAGGCAAGTCAATGGGCAAACCGGACGCTCTGTCCTGGCGAGCAGACCATGACGACGGAACCGGCGGTAATGACAATGTCATCCTGCTGAAGCCAGAGACCTTCGTGGTGGCGGCTCTTAGCGGACTGGCAGTCGCTGGGGAGGAGGTGGATATCATCAAGGACATCAAGTCCTCCCTCGATACGGATGACCTGGACGAGCCTGCGATGCGAGCCGTACGGGAGCTGCGCAAGTCGAGCACCCGTTCTGTGTGAAGCGCTGAGTGGGACCAGCGTGACGGGTTGCTGTACTTCAGAGGTAAGGTCTGTTGAGATGGGAGGGCGCAGACACAAACAACAGACCACAAGATGACGGTCAAAGACAAGGCTAAGTGACAGCGTGATACGTGACTATAGGTAAATATCCCCTTTGGGCCGGTCCAAGCACACCAACTCCAACACTCCCACCTGTGCACCGGACCGCAGAGAGACTCCTACCTAATCCAGCAACTCCCACCTAACCAGCCAAATCCTACCATCACGTGTACAGCCTAGAGACTCCTCCCCACGATCCACCCACACCGGAAAAGTCGAAGGCATCATCGTCGGCGTCATCGGCAGATGGCAGCGGTGGAGATGGCGAGCAAGAGGCAGCGGGGGAGGGCGAGCGATGAGCTGGGATAGTGTACACACCATAAGCCGACTGGGCAAGGTGCTGGTGTTCGCCCTCTGCCTCCATGACCGCGAGCGAACTGACCATGTTCGCGTTGAGATGCGCGTGGTCCGAGATCTTCTGCCGGATGGCCTCAGGCATGTTGTACATGCAGAAGGCGGCGATATGACCTGCACGCCCGCACCGATGGCAGGCGTCACCGTTGACGTTGCACCAGCGGTAGCCCTTGTCGTCCACCCATCCTCCAGTCAGGTCAGCCTGATGACCATCAGGATGCCGCGGTGCATGCGACCCTCGTGCCGCATTTGCGGCCAGCAGCGGGCTGGAAGAGTACTCCTCCTTCTTGACGACGTCAACGTTGAGCGCAGGGGAAGACGTCAGGGTGGAGATAGTGTCGTTGAGCTTGGGCTCGGTGGTCTGCGCGAGGAGGATGGTGGTAGTGGCGATGAAGGCATGGTGGACGTTCATGAGGATGACGTCCAGAATCTCGGTGTCCGAGATGGTGATACCCATATCCTTCAGGACCTGCGCCTTGGCCCGCACCTCGACGATGAACTGCTCAAGTGACTGGGTGGGGAAGTCATGAGAGCATTGGTAAAACGCTTTGCGTGCAGCAACGCGCCGGGCCCTGGTCGAGGCAGTGTACTTCGCCTTCAGCGCCTTGGTACAGCTCCTGGCCACCACGTTTCCCTGGCACCCCATCCTTCACATCCTTCTCCAGCATCCCAGAGAGGACATACCCAATGGCGTTGTCCAGCGCTTTCTTGGACGAATCGAGCGAAGAGTTATCCACAATGTGGTCAGCACCAACGCCAGTGCAGAAGTCGATGAAAGCCTCTGCAAACGAGTGCCAGTTGGCCTCGCCTCGCAGCTTCTCCGTCTGCTGGAAGATAGTGACAGCATATGAGGGGAGGGAAGACATGATGAGTGGTAGATGGTGCAGATAAGACCGATCGATCGAGTGAAAATTTTTGAGAATGAGAGAATGGGTTTTTCTGGAGGAAAAAAGCGAGTTCTGAGAGGTCTGGGGGGTTTTCGAGTAAAGACTAGAGCGCGGGGCTCATAACCTGTTGAGATGGGAGGGCGCAGACACAAACAACAGACCACAAGATGACGGTCAAAGACAAGGCTAAGTGACAGTGTGATACATGACTATAGGTAAATATCCCCTTTGGGCTGGTCCAAGCACACCAACTCCAACAAGGTCTACGTCCCTCCGACGCATGACCTTCGTTGCCGGATAGTTGCGCAGCATCATGACAGCCGGGTTACGGGCCACAAGGGGCGGTTCAAAACCCTTGAGCTTGTCTCGCGCAACTACTGGTGGCTGCAGATGTCTCGGTACATTGGCCTGTACACAAAGACCTGTGACCTCTGCCTGCGCACCAAGGTTCGCCGCCGTCTGCCTGTCGGGGAGCTGAAGCCGACCGAGACACCTACCGAGCCCTGGCAAGGTATCTCCGTCGACTTCATCACAGAGCTTCCTGAAGCTCATGGGTACGATGCGCTGATGGTGGTAGTGTGCCGCCTTAGGAAGCGTGGACACTTCATCCCTTGCCACACCACCATCAATGCGGAAGGGGCTGCACGCCTCTTCCTACGCAAAGTATGGAAGCACCATGGTCTCCCAGACGATTGTATCTCGGACCGCGGCCCACAGTTTGTCTCTGCCTTCATGCGCGAACTGTACCGCCTCCTTGGTATCAAGATCAGTGCATCCACCGCGTATCACCCACAGACAGACGGCCAGACGGAGAGAGTCAACGCGGAGCTCGAGGGCTACCTGCGCCTCTTTGTTAGCGAACACCAGGACGACTGGGACGAGCTCATCCCTATGGGCGAGCTCGCTTACAATAATGCGGTACACAGTTCGACTCAGACAACTCCCTTCCTCATCGACACAGGCCGGCACCCTTGCATGGGCTTCGAGCCCCACCGCCGTGCCAAAATCGAGAACGTCAACAAGTTTGTCAACCGCATGCGAACCGCCTACGAGGAGGCCAAGGCAGCTATCACCAAGGCGAAGGACGAATACGTGCGCTACTACGACTGGCATCACACACCCGCCCCAGTGCTTAAGCCTGGAGACAAGGTGTTGCTTGACAGCTCTGATATACGCACTCGCGTGTCAAAGAAGTTAGGCCACCTATGGTGGGGACCCTTTGAGGTCGAAGCCGCCATTGGATCGCACGTGTATCGCCTGAAGCTGCCAACCTGGATGAACCGTGTCCACCCAGTCTTCCCGGTGGTCAAGCTCGACCCTGTTGGGCCTGACCCCATTGCCGGGCGTGTACCGCCACCACCACCGGAGCCGGAGGTCATTGATGATGAGCAGGAATGGGAGGTACAGGAGATTGTGGACAGCAAGTGGTATCGCGGTGCGCTGAAGTTCAAGATCTGGTTCAAGGGCTTCCCACGCACCAAAGCAGAATGGCTACCGGCGCACGACGCTGACAACGCTCTTGACAAGGTCCGCGACTTCTACCACCTCCACCCTAAGGCTGAAGGTCGCGACCTCTGGTTCAAAGCCCACCCCGCCGACCCCCATCCTGCCATTCGTCGCCTCTCTGCCTCCTCATTCTCCGCCCTTTGCTGCTCCACCGGTTGGGCCTGCCCTGGTGTCGCAGACGCTGCCACTACGTGGCGCTCGCAGCGTCGGGACGCCGCTGCCTAGAGAGGGGGTGATGTCAGGGGACTTGTGGATTGTTCCTATTTGCTCGTGTTTGGATGTGGACTGATTGTATTTGTACTTATTGATTTCCTTTTTCTTTTTCCTCTATCACATGACCGTGACCACAGTAGTTATGGGCGTCACACGCAGAGGTGCACCTTAGACTTGTTTTCTTTGGTTCTCCCCTCTGCAGGTGTGCCCCTTCTCAGATGTATTATGTAGGATATTTATCTTTGGTTCTCCCCTCTGCAGTTGTGTGCGCCTCTGGGAGCGCCACGCCTTAGGGTTGCCCTTACACATTCCCGATATCAAGGTTGTCATTCAGATCAGTGTTCCCTCAAGCCTCTCTGTGTGGGCCCAACGTGCCGGCTATGCCGGCAGGTCACCCTACATCCATGCCGACGCGCACCTTCTGTACGAGAAGTCAGTATTTGAGTGTAAGAAGAAGAAGCAGCGGAAAGGTGCGGGTGGTGAGGAGGAAGTAGAGGCCAAAAGCGTGGACGAGATCGACAACTTGGTCGAAAAGTCCAGTGACAATGACGAGGATATGGGCGATGGGTCAGAGTCCAACAGCTCAGAGTCGGACATCGATGCGGGCATGGTTGCATTGGCGGCGCTAGAGCTCTCCGAGGGAAAGGAGATTGGGGATGGGAAGGAATGGGTCAAATCGGTGCAGCCTGAGCTGCGCTTCTACCTTGGAACACAGTGCTGTTGTCGGTTTCACAAGCTAAAGAAGCACAGGACGCGCAAGACCTCAGTCTTCCTGCTAGTGGAATAGCGACTGATGTTCATACCTAAAGAAGCGCAGGACGCGCAAGACTAAAGTACAGTCAGTAAATAGTATGAGTATAGTAAGTGAGATAACATACCCTCAGTCTTCCTGCTAGTGGAATAGCGACTGAGGGAAAAGAGATGTACAGTAAGGATAAATACGGACACCCCTGGAGCGGCGTGGGAAAGTTCTTCCCGAATAGGAAGGCGGACCAAAAGCGTGGACGCGAGGCAAACCGTCCACCCATGGGAGGAGGCAGACTCGCCCCTCTATACCCTACTTTTGACAGCAGAGGCCCCCAGCATGCAAGCGAAGGGCAAGAATAGCCATGATCAATTCTAAAAATCCCGAAATGCCGCGAAATTCCCGAAATGGAAAGAGGTCGCGCGCGCGCGCGTTCGTTGTCCCTCTTCGCCCGTTTCCTCCATCCTCGAGCCTCGTAGCACATCATATAATACACGACAAACATCTATAATTCTTTGTTGACCCTAATCTGCATAAATGGTATAGTCCCTAGTCATATGAGTGCCGATATGTCAGTGACAATGGGACAGAATGGTCTTGACCTTCTCTCCAACGCAGCATCTCAGCTGTCCACCGCGCCACCTCCCGGGGGCCTGGAGGAGGGTCTCAGGACTCCCCTCAACGACATTACCCAGCCGAACGCCTCCCAGAAGCGCCCCCCATCCCCTCCTTTGACCGACACAACCCCTGCACCGAAGCGCCCGCGACGCACCTGTACCCAGCCAAAACCGGCAGCTTCGCCCCCCGAGCCCCCCACACCTACACCTCGAAAAAAGCGCGGACGTCCTCCGAAGAAGAGGGAAGAGGGACAGCAGCCCAAACGCGCGCCGGGACGCCCTCGCAAGGACAAGCCAGCTGCGAGCGCGGTGACCACGCCAAACGCGAATCAAGCGCTACTCGCGGCATCCCAGTCGGGTCTCGGGCGATCGGAGACGGTGAAGGATTCGCCCGCGACGCCCTCTATCGACCGCCCTCCCTCGCCAGGTGTCGCGTCCAGCAAGCAATCCACCGCCGGTCGAGCGATCGGCCAGCCCTTCCCTTCGATCAACTTCATCTCCTACACCCCCTCCTCGTTCGACTTCGGCTCTCCCCCACCCCTAGATCCGCCAAACAATTCCTTCTCGTTCAGCAATCCCCCTTCCCCTGTGGTCGCCGCTGGGGCTGCTTCCCTGGCGGAGGAGCAGCACACCGCAGCTTCTGTTGAGGCAGCCGTCCCAAAGCCCTCGCAAAAGCAGCGGAAGTACTCAGTCGCTGACAAGAGCGCCCTCCTTGAAGTCGTCCTTGGTGACAACGTGAATGGCGACAAGATCTTTGACAAACTTCAGGTCGCCTCGAACAAAGTCTGGCGCATGGTAGGTCTGCCCCCTGTCGCACGGGACGGTGCCTAATATCGCTTCAGGTGCTCGAGGCTCTTGGCGGGAAGCTTCCCAGTGGTCCTGTCACTGAGAAGCAACTCAGCAGCCTCTACAACACGCTTCTTATGACGTTCAAGCAACTCTACGAGTTCCGTAACTTCACGGGCCGTGGTGCTGATGCGGACGACTACGACTGGGACGACGAAGATGGTCTCGCATTGCATCTCTGCAACTCGAAGAGCAAGGGGTGCGCGATCGACAATCTCAATGCGGCAAACAGTCGCTTGTTCGTGCGCAAAGGCTGGTACGATCTCTTCGTCAATTGGTAAGGTCTCATTGTTCCCAGTATGTCCTTGTATATTGACTTCTTTCAGCTACAAGGACAACTCAAAGGTTATACGACCGGTTGCCCGTTCTTCAGCTGCAGAGCTCAGCGAGGTGGACGACTTCGACGAAGACGACGAGGTCGAGCTCGTTCCGTCACCGACCAAATCACGTCTGCCCAAGTCCGAGAAGTTGCCGGCATCTGCTACTGTCTCCGAGCCGAAGGGGGCCCCTCGCCGTGGCCGGCCCCGTAAGGATGCCAAGGAGCAGACAAAGATCGACACCTCTGGACTCAATACTTACTTCGAGGTCATGGCAAAGTCGGAGGAGCAGTCCGCCGCTCTACGCCAACAGAGATACGAGCGGGTGGCGATAGAGAAGAAGGTTGACTTGGCGCAGAAGATCATTGACGGTGAACGTGCGTCCCCTGGTACATATACCTTCCAGGTTGTGGATAACGCCAATCGCATCTTGGCCGAATTCCTTTCCCTTGGCTTCGGTGATTCCTAAACATACACGTACACCCTCCTTTACTTTTATCTGCATACCCTACTTCAATTCGTTTAATTCCTTGGTTCGGTGTGATTTCTACTACTGGTAGTTTGCCATAGGGCATACAATGTCAAGAAGTTCCCGCCGCTTCTGATGCCCTGCAGTTCGGAGCCACGCTACAGTCTCGTGGCGTGGAAGGTCCGAGGGACCATGCACATCAACTCCTGTGACTGTCGGCACGTCCTCCTCCTCCTCTTCCTCCTCATCTGTATCATCCCCCTCCTCGTTAGCTGCTAGAATGACTTCAGCATACTCGTCGAATGCCTCCGGATGATCCTTGTGATAGAGGCATAAGTTGTGCAGGATTAGCAATGCCTCAATCACCCGCCATACATCTTGCACATCATCATGGTAGCCCATGAGACGGAGTGAATGAAAGCGCATCTTGAGCACTCCGAAGGCATGTTCAACGGTGACGCGTTGCTTGGACAACAGTTTGTTGAAGTCGATCATCCGTCTCCGCTCCGTGTTGGATGTAGCATTTGCCAACTCCTTGTTGCTGAAAGGACGGACGGTGTACGGAGAGGAAGGATAACCTATGAAGGAGTCAGATCATGTCAAGCGGAAACACCAAGATAGAAGTGCAGTCACCCTTGTCAGCCAGGATATAGTGGCCGTCCTTCAAGTACTGATTCCGATGAAGCCAAATGTGCGAGTTTTTGAATACTCGTGCATCTGTTACGCTTCCAGGCCACCCAAGCTCCCAAGATGTGAACCAGATCTCTGCGTCAACCGTAGCTTGCACGGCAAAGCCAAAGAACCCTTTACGGGTCAGGTAAGCTGGGCCGTCCTGACGAGGCTTGTTGGTTGTTTGGATAAGGGAGCCGTCGGCACTTCCAAGGCACTTCGGGAATCCAATACGATGAAGAATCCTCTCCTCCGTCACGCTCTGCTCAACATCAGTCATCCAACCCCCAAAATTGCTACGCAATTCACGGAGGGCACGAATGACTCGACGGCAGTAGAGGATGACTGTGCCATACCCAATGCCGGTCTTGAGCATGGTATCGGTGATTGGTGATCCATACTGGCCGTATCGAATGAGAAAGCAGCCCAACTGCCACTTGATATGTCGCTGCGGCTTCTTCCCCTTCGACGTGAAGATCGGATTGCGCGAAAGGATCTTGACAACTTTGTCAAAGGTAGTACGGCTCAGGCTATCAGAAGTCAGCCACAGATATAGAACATTTCTCAGGGACTGACCGAAATACATGTCTGAACTCACGATCAGGCATCTGCAGTGCAAGCGTGAACCAGTCACGAGACTTCTGCACCTGTCCATATGGCCCACGTGCCCCGGATTCACTGCAAAGGGTCTGCGCCATCTCAATCCATGTCCACCCCATAGCCCGAAGTGCCATTGTTGCCTTGTTATGCTCTTCGTGATCTTCGTGATCTTCATCGTCATCAAGCCCAGTACAATCCTTGATATCTGGCTCTTCATCGTCAAAATCAGGGTCAAGGTCGGCGCTGGAGGTGTGTTCCATCATGTCTGCTGCAATGAAGATCTGGGATGCAAAGTCGACGAGATTCTGCGCGTCCATGTTCTGAAGATCGTGGTGGTTGATGACAAGGTGGCGATGCTGATCATAATGGGGAAGTCAAGGCGCTTTTGGGGGTGTCCCCACTGTACAAAGCCAGATTTTTTGTCATATCATGCTTCAGACACATTTATCATGGTTTTTCGTGTATTATATGATGTGCTACGAGGCTCGAGGATGGAGGAAACGGGCGAAGAGGGACGACGAACGCGCGCGCGCGCGACCTCTTTCCATTTCGGGAATTTCGCGGCATTTCGGGATTTTTAGAATTGATCATGGCTAATGGCGCCCGGAGATGGCTGTTGCCATTTTGGGCAAGCCATGCGTCTGCCCGACTACTTCGAGCTGAATTCCGACGCGCGCATCCACGCTGTGGCCCCAAAACTTGGCAAAACCGTGTAAGACGATTTATAGACGATTTCAGTGTACTTTCCAGGATTTTAGAAGCCCTCGCGCAGACGACATGGACCCGAAGGTGCGTCGCGGCACCCGCCCTTCCCTTTTGGGAATTTCGCGATTTTTTAGAATTGATCATGGCTACTGGCTCGAGTCTAAAGTACCCTGGCTTTTTGCAAACTGCTGCAGACACTTTAGCTTCAGTTCCTGGCAGCCATAAGTAGCACAACATGAGAAGACGGTGGATGGGATGCAGGAGTTCGAGCAGCGGATGATGGTGGTGGTTGAAGGCAAGGGCCGCTAAACGCGTGACGTCACCGAGTCACGATCGCGTACGGGCGTCCGGCGCCTCTGGGTTTGCAGGCGGACGCTCACGACGGCCGGACCATGCTGTTCGTTCGTCCATCCTGCAGGGGCTTGCTGCGCAGTCGCGTCCATTCCTTCGCCAGACTGAATTCCACTGCTACGCCGAAGCAGGACAACAAGGCGTACTCGAAAACTCTCCTTCTCCCGAAGACCTCCTTCCCGCTATGGATAGACCCCGCGAAGAGTGAAGTGCCATTCCGGGAGAGGACCTGCGACGCGTTATACCGGGAACAGGTGTGTCCCACGTATAACGAAGTTGGACTGCAACTTACACTCCTGCAAGTGGGAGAACGCGCCGGGTCCTCTCTACGTACTGCACGATGGCCCGCCGTACGCAAACGGTCATCTGCATATGGGTATGGAATCACTTGCATTGCCCGTGCGAGACTCTGAACAACACTAGGCCATGCACTGAACAAGATCCTGAAGGACATCATTTGTCGCTACCACGTCGCGCAGGGCCGACGGGTTCAGTTCGTCTATCCCCTCTCCCGAAGTCCCGACCACTCAACTCTCCCCAGCTACGTCCCCGGATGGGACTGCCACGGTCTCCCCATTGAGAATAAGGCTCTGCAAGAGATCAAGGTGTCGACAGTCTCCATACTTCCCTCCCCCGTCCCGCTCACGCGCATGCGCAGAAGGATGCCAGATCCCTCGCACCCCACGAGGTTCGCCGAGCAGCGCGCAAGACCGCCTTCCGCGAGATCGCCCAGCAGAAGGCCGAGTTCCGGCAATTCGGCGTCATGGCAGACTGGATGAACGAAGACAGCACGTACAGAACTCTCGGTATGTCCCCCTTCCCCTCCGACCGCATCGCTCTGATATACGTCGCAGATCACAAGTACGAGATGCGACAGCTGCATATATTCAAGCAGATGGTTGACAAGGGTGCGTGGTCTTATCGACTGAATGCGCCGCGAAGCTGACAGCGCTCAGGCCTCATCTACCGAAAGTATCGCCCTGTATACTACTCCCCTTCGTCACGATCAGCTCTCGCAGAGGCAGAACTCGAGTACGCGCCAGATCACTCCTCGCACTCGGTCTACGTATCCTTTGAGCTCGGTGACCTTCCCTCCGATCACGCTCTCGCGGGCGCCAAGTTGCTCGTCTGGACCACCACCCCCTGGACGTTGACGGCAAACATGGTGCGTTCGCATTCTCTCTCTATGTTCATACAAAGCTCACAACCTTGTTAGGCGATCTCGGTCAACCCGGAGGTCGTATACGCCGTCGTAAAGCACGTCGAAACCGGCGACCTCCTTGTCGTAGCAGAGGAGCGCATCAAGGCACTCTCCAACGTCGTGGGAACGCTGGACTTGGTGCACACTCTGCCTGGTAAGGATGTCGACCGCTTGTGAAGACTATCTCTCATCGCCGTTGCAGGCTCTGACCTCTTAGGACTCTCCTACAAGCCTCTCTTCCCCGGCTCTACCCATACAACCGAGATCATCCCCGCATCCTACGTTACCACGGACACCGGTACCGGCCTCGTCCACTGCGCCCCCGCCCACGGCGCCGAGGACTACGCGACCTGGAACACCACAGGACGCGGCGGCGAGCTTACTTGCCACGTCGACGCAGATGGCAAGTTCAACGAGGAGACGCCGCATCCGAACCTAATTGGGAAGGAAGTTTTGGGTGATGGCAGCGAGGCGATGGTCGAGCTGCTGCGCGAGCGCGGACAGTTGGTCAAGGACCAGTGGATCCAGCATCGGTATCCGTACGACTGGAAGACGAAGAAGCCAGTCATCGTCACGTACGCATACTCCCCTGTGTCGATGTTTTCGGGGGCTGACTTCGGGACAGTGCGACTTCACAATGGTTTGCCAACCTCGAAGACATCAAGGGCAAATCCATCGAAGCGCTCACCGACGTCTCCTTCACGCCAGCGCAATGTCAGTCCGCTCCACTTTCCCCTCGTATTTAACTGACCTCCCCCAGCCCGCAACCGCCTTGAAGCCTTCATCCGCTCCCGCTCCGAATGGTGCATCTCCCGACAGCGCGTCTGGGGCGTCCCCATCCCCTCCCTCTACCTCACACCCCCGGCCTCCCCCACCGAACAGACCGTCCTCGACTCCGCCTCCCTCTCCCACATCCTCGCCGTCCTCGACGCCAAGGGCACCGAGCACTGGTGGAGCGGGCCCGTCGAGGACTTCATCCCACCGCACCTCGCGCACGAGCCCGGCACGTGGCGCAAGGGCACGGACACAATGGACGTGTGGTTCGACAGCGGAACGTCGTGGTCGATGTTGGCGGGGCTGGAGGGTCAAGAAGGCCGGAAGCACCTGGCGGACGTCTGCCTGGAGGGCTCGGACCAGCACCGCGGGTGGTTCCAGTCGCAACTGTTGACGCGGATCGCGACGAGCGAAGACGGGAAGTGCGCGGCGCCGTACAAGACCCTGATCACGCACGGGATGGTCCTCGACCAGCACGGAAAGAAGATGAGCAAGTCACTGGGCAACATCATCAGCCCGCTGAGCATTGTCCTCGGCGGCAAGGTGCGTTCAGAAGTCGTCTGTACGCAAGGAGATTCGACTGATCAGGCATCGGCAGGACAAGAAGGCGGAGCCTGCATACGGTGCCGACACGTTGCGACTGTGGGCAGCAACAGTCGAGTACTGGCACGATATGTCGATCGGCCCTGTCGTGCTATCGCAAACTGCGGAGACCATGCGCAGGATTAGGAACTCCGTCCGCTTCATCCTGGGCAACATTGGCCCCGCCGATCGCCGCGCAGGGCCACCCATGGCGCCCGAGTTCACTCTCGTGAGTGTTATCCATACATCGCCTTCTCGTCGTACGTTCTGACCTTCGTTCCAGCTTGATCGTTACGTTCTGCATGAGCTCCAGCAACTAGAGCAAGTCGCGCTCTCGCAGTATGCCTCTTTCAACTTCCCGAGAGGTATAACGGACTTTCTATGATCCAGCCTTGGCCTGACCCCCCTCAGTCGTCCACGCCCTCAACAACTTCGCCAACGTCACCCTCTCCTCGCTCTACTTCGACGTCACCAAGGACTGTTTGTACGCAGATGCGGTCGACAGCGTCGAAAGGCGCACGGTGACGGCGGTACTTGAGCAGGTAAGCATCCATTTCCTTCGACGAGCTGACGCGCGTTAACAAAAGACCTCAGATCCTCCGTACCATGACCTCTGTGTACGCGCCCATGCTCCCACACCTTGCAGAAGAAGTCCACTCGCACCTGAACCCCGGCAATACCTCGTCTTTCTTCAAGCAGCCCTGGAAGCCTTTGGTGATCAGTGTCCCAAGCCTGTTATAAAGATACACATCCTCACACGCATTTCTAGGACCCTTCCTACGCGAGCCCCGAAGCCGCAGCAGAGATGGGCGACCTCCTGCGCCTCCGGACCATCGTCTTGGGATTGCTGGAGAAGGCTCGGAGTCAGAAGTGCGTCGAATAACGGCCCATTCACATCACATACTCAAAAAACTTTTCACCTCCAGGCAACTGAAGAGCTCGCTCGAAGCCGACGTCGAGATCTACCTCTCGGAATCATCCGGGTCGAAGGTGGCGGATCTGCTGAGGAGAGAGAGTAAGCGAGAGTGCAGATTGCAGGCTGTTTGTGCGCTGATAGGTATCGCAGAGGACCTCCTGAAGAAATTGTTCATCACTTCCGACGTGCGCCTTGAGCAAGGAAGTGCGGACGAGACTGCAGCGGCATCCTGGTCCTACACGGAAGCTTCGCCACTGGACGGTATGCACCTTCCCATCTTCGCTTTCCCGATGGCTGACTTTCACGATACAATCCAGGCCTAACCATCCGCGTCCGTCCCGCTTCACTGCACAAATGCCCCAGATGCTGGAATTACTCACGACCCGCGGAAGCTACTCTCTGCGGGAGATGCGAGGACGTGATTGGCCGGACGCACAACTAAAGTATCCGGGCTATCGTAGTAGTCACATATAATCGCCACTCACAGGTAATGGAAGGGATGCATTGACCTCAGCTCTATCTACAACTGCTGTGAGCCCGAGAGTCTCATACTTTAGTGCCTGTATGCGCCCCAAAAAGCGTGACACATTGTGACACCAAGTTCGACTTCTAGCCTTCCGCCCTCATCACCTCTTCACTCCATTATCTCCTTCTATCCCCCATGACCTCAACCGACCAAAAACGCCGCGACACCCTCGCCCGTCTGCCTCACTTTGAGCTCACGCGTGTCCTCGACGAAGATCCTGGCTCGAAGTCTGCCATATTGCTTGGGACGCTGCCTGCTGTTGTCGACGGAGAGACTACGCCTTCTACAGATACTGTTCGACAGCTTGCTATTATCACCCTGAGCAAGACGCACATACCGTCTAGTGTCTTGTCAGAAGGACAGCCGTTATTCGCACCTGCGGCAGGTGAAGCAATCAGTCCAGCGCTAGCATCCATCGACATCGGCACCTTGCTAGTCGAGGAGAGTACTGATATCGTGAGTCTTCTATTGTCTGCTATTATCATGTCGCCCTGCTACTTTTGAAAACAGTATACATGGATGTTCGCCTCCTTCGCCGATGACAAGGCGGGATCGCACAAATATCGCGATGTGAAAATCACTCTGATCTTCCCCGCCACGGAGGCGCACATTCGCAAGGTAAGCAACTTCTTCATGCTGCTCAAGATAATACCGCTCAATTAGCTGCAGTACACCAGGCAAAAGTACACCATGGTCAGGGAGACGCCCGAGACGTATGCAAACATCGTTGAGCCCTACATCTCGAGCATTCCGAAAAGTCGTACGCAGTGGTTGGTGTCATTGTTCTCTAAACCACTATATAATGACCCATGACCTCCAGGGTGCTGGACATCCTCGAAGGTCGCGCCGAGCAAGAGAAGGTCCTCTACAACTGCCCGGACTTCATCCTCGTCCCCGACATGAAGTGGGACCTCACCACCATCTCCTCCATCTACATCTGCGCCATCGCACGGGTAGAGGGCCTTCGAAGCCTTCGCGATTTGCGCGGCGAACACATACCCTTGCTGAAAGGCATTCAGCGAGAGGCTACACGCGTCGTCGCCGAGAAATGGCCTGCCGTTGGCGCGGGAGGCTTGCGGATGTTCATCCACTATCAGCCGACGTACTGTAGGTCTGCCCTCGATAGATGTTCTGGGAAGGACGCTGACTCGTGCGATAGACCACTTCCATGTCCACATCGTGAATGTGAATGGAGGCGAGTTGATAGCCAGGATGGCGATAGGAACTGCTCATCTGCTCGACGACGTGATATCTATGCTGGAGGTTCAGCCAGATATCTACGCCCGTACTACCCTCACATATTCGCTTGGAGATCAACACGGATTGTACACGGCGTTATTGGCCGTCGCATGAAAATCCATAGTGCTGCTTCGGAATTGAATGCTATTGACATCTTTCATCCTCTTCTGCACCTGCGCATGGTTGAGTATGCTCAGGACCCTGTATATCTGTCGCCCAGATACTCGCGTCCGTACGCGTGACGTCGTGTATGTGCGATCACGTGCCGCCTTGTGTTCAAGCGCAGATGCGGAAATCGGATACACGAGGCTGCCTTGTGCCACCACCATGCGCGCCGACGACTCATCTCTTTTACCTCCTGGCCCGCCCAAGGACCACGCCAAAGAGCAGGACAACGACGTCGCCGACTGCGACATGGACGCCGCACGCACACTAATGAGCCCTCCCCCCGAAGAGACCTTACGAGCAGTGCGTGAGCCCGGGATTCATTGTGCGACAAACCCTGATAGCGGCTGCCCAGCGTCATCAGAGCACCCCACGCTCTCTATCTATCACCTTGACCGCGTCCAACAAGCGCAAGCGCACCCAGCCGGACGGCCACGCCCCAGACTCGCCCATGGTACCCACAACGCCTACCGCCAAGTCGCGCAAGCAGCGACGCTCACAGTCCCCGCTCAAGACCCTCGTTCTATCACCGCATGCCGCCAATCCTCAGGCAGACTATCTCCCCGCTACCCTCGACGGCAAGCCCCGACGGCGGAGCCAGACACCCATCCCGCCCTACGAACCTCCTCCGAAGGAGAGCTTGACGCCCGCGCCGAAGCAGGTCTTCGTATCGCCTCCCCCACCATCCTCTAGCAGGCGGCGCCCCGCGCACTCTCGCCAGTCGAAAGCGCCCGCCAAGATCCATATACCCATCAAGAAGGAGATGCCAGAGATCGACCTGAACGCACCCATTCCGCCCGCCAGCCCGACCGACGATCCCTTACTTCTCAAAGGCTCAGCCCGCTCCCCGCGCAAGCTCGTCAACGTGGGCGTGGGAGCCGAGGACACGCCCATCGACGTCGACGCCCTCGCCGAAGAGGACGTCCGTCACGTCGACGCCGAAACAGGCCCCTCGCCCACGGAGTTCCGCTTCGACGTCCAGCCTCCGACCTCCCTGCCGAACTCTTCTCCCCCGCCATCCTCACCGCCCGCCGCCGTCTTCCGCTCGTCCTCCATCCCGCCCGTCTTCTCTTCGCTCGACGCCGCGCCCGAGGACGATGTCTTCAACGACTTCAGCACCTCTTCCGCGGACCGATCCATGGAAGATGACATAGACCCAGCTGATATGGACGCCCTACCGTTGCCGCCGGCGCGTCCGCCCCGCGCCTCCGAGGTCACCCCCGCATTCCTCGAAGCCGCCAACGCTGGCTGGGAATCCAGCGATGATGAGCCAGATGCGGAGAAGGTATGCGTCCTTCCTTCCACATTCGTCTCCTCATACATCCAAGCTACCGCACATACTCACGCTGACGCCTCCTCAATAGCCCGCCGGCGAGATCTCCGAAGGAGAATCAGACTACACAGGAAAGTGGCGCACGCTCGCAATCCGCACGAAACGTGACCCTCCAAGTGCAGCCACCATTGAGCGGATGAAGAGATGGGGACGGCCGATCAGCCCGTACCCGTATGCCCGTAGGAGGAGCGAAGGTGGGACAAGTATCGTGGGTGACTCGGATGCGGCTCAGCAAGAGGATCAAGGAGAGCAAGTCCCGTTGAGGTCGCCGAGTCCGGTTTCTGGTGCTCAGCAGGATCAGGAAGAAGATAAGCAGCAAGAGGGGGACGAGCACCAAGAGGAAGAGCGTAGGCCGTCTACCTCGCAGAACGCCCAGACTTCGACGTCAACAACTCCTGCGGCGCCACGTCCTACAACGACTCCCGCAGCGGCGCCGCCCGGCACGCCAAATCAGCACCTACGCTCCCTGCTGCGCGCACGCTCGCGTTCCCGGACGCCTGGTCCGTCCGCGATGGCGGCGGCTACTCCATTCACCGCTCGTGAGCCCTCGCTGCCTCCTCTGCCCGAGTCTTCTCCCGCCGTTCCCCAAGGTGGTCTGATGGAGGCGCTGGCCGCCCATCGTCCTCGTGGGATGGCGGATGCTCGCGAAGGTCGCGAGGCTCATGAGGAGGCGCACGGCGATGGCACGTCCGAGCAGACCAGCGTCACGCCTCCTGAATCAGTGGCCGGACGAGCGGCGACGCCGGAGCACTCTGGCGCTCGTGAGGCTGCGCCTTCGTCCGACAAGGACGACCAGCCCATGGACGGCTGGAACATGGTTGTGCGGGCTCCTCCTGAGCCTGTCGTGGAGGAAAGCGACGACGAGGACGAGAGCGAGGAAGACACTGGCCCTGGATGTGTCGTCATCAGCTCGAAGGACAGTCTCGCGGCTGCGAAGTGCATTGCTATCCTCCGCCAGGTAGGTGTATTCCTCACATCCATCACATAACCGTTCTGACTCTCCTGCAGCACAACTACGACGTGATGGTCAGGGAGGCGCAGCAGCGGCGCCGTCGTGCGTCGTCGACAACTGCCCTTCAGGACATGTCCCGCGCGTCCCACCGGCGCAGCCTTCTGCAGAGCGGTGTCCAGAAAGCACGTTCATCCACCCGCTCCCCTTTCAAGAAGAGCGCCTCCTTCACCTCGTTCATGTCCTCCCCCTCTGCAGGCGCCTCCTGGGACCTCGACGACATCCGCGGCACCAGCACGCCCTGGCCGCGCGGCTCCGCCAGCGACTCCGGCACCCCCCTCACACTCACCGAGCTCCTCTCCGTCGCCGAGGCCGAAGCTCCACGGTGCGGGACGCCCTCGAGCAAGCGCCGCTCGACGAGCTTCGTGACCGAGCTCGGCGGCGACGGGGAGGAGGACTGGACGAAGGACCACTGGAAGTTGCTGGACGCGTGCTTCACAAGGGAGCGCATCTCTGTGGCTGTCGGCGGGGATGATAACTGGGACCCGGCGGATGCGAGTCCGCCGCTTGCGGATGTGGATGCGGTGGATTTGGAGAAGGTGGTGGACAGGTTTTGCACAGAGGCGGGTGGGGATCGGTGGCAGAGGTATGTGCCTTTCTCCCAAATCCAGGACAACATACTCACAGTGTCATTAGGAACGCCCTCCTTCGCCGCGCTGCTGCTCTCTCGAAGAAGCAGAAGGCCGGCAAGGTCGCCCCTCCGACGCCCTCTCGCGGCTTCCGCGCCTCGTCCGCCGACCCCTCGTCCTTCCTCAAGTCCGCGCTGTTCAACTCGGCCTCGGCACGGCTGCCGCTGCCCTCGGACAGCCACCGGTTCAGCACGCCCGTGAGGTCGGAGAGGAGCATCGTCGTCCCTGACTTTACGCCCATGTCGAGCATCCCTGCTCTACCGCGCCAGCCGGTGGCTGGAACATCTGCGAGCGCGGCCGGGACAGGAGTGAGCGCATCCAACAACTATGGGAAGAGGGCCATGTCTCCGGCCCTCCACAACCCTCGCTATTCGCATCTGCTGAACGAGGCGAAGTCTATCTCGCGCCACGCCAAAGGTGGCGAGGATGGTGACTCCGACGATGAGGATGCTGCCGAGGTTAACCGGTCGCTGTCCATGGAGCCGGAGGAAGAAGAGGAGGCGGGGGAGGAGGAACAAGAAGAGGCGGCCAAGGAGGAAGAACAGGAGCAGCCCGGCGGCCTGAAGAGGTTTATCTACTCGTACCTGCCTCGCTCTCTGACGCCCAGCCGCCGTAACCGCGCGCAGCCGAAGCAGCTCCCGCAGAAGGCGCTCCCTCCGCCTCCCCAGCTACCTCCCCGCGGGCCCATCGAGACCCCCGAGCGGCCGCCGCCCGAGCCCCTCGTGCCGCCAAAGGAGCTCGTCGAGCTGCACCAGGCTCCGCCGCCGACGAAGCTCCCGCGCCCGGTGGCCAAGCCCAAGCGGCTGGTCGAGCTGCAGCACGTGCCCACGCCCGACCAGTGGGACAAGCGGCTGTTCAACTTCCGGCCGCGGGAGCGCAAGGACAGTGGCGGGAGCGTGAAGGACCTGATCAAGAGCTTTGAGGAAATCGACCGGGCGAAGAAGGCTGCGGCGGATGCGAAGGCGAAGGCGAATGGGAAGAAGCCGGCGTGGAAGTGAAGGGAACGTTTGACTGGCCATGGGTAGGGCAAGGACGATGATGTTTACGATCTATATGCAGGATATCTGTGCCATGCTTTCGTATCTAGCTTTCATGTCTTGGTAATCTACATAGTATACCGGTGTATGCGTTCCTCTCGTTCGACCCATCTATACCATCTTTAGTAGGATATGTCAACCTCTGGCATCGTTGGATCCATATCAGCACGTTCTCGATATACCTATATGCGGTACATTTAGGTGGATGCTCTATTTGTTTAGATCGGTACGCGAGATCTCACTTGCGGGCCCAGGGGTGGCGTGTTTGCTAGTGCATCGATTATCCATGTCTCGGAGGGAATGAAGGGCCATCAACGCGCCATCAGTCACAAAGTCGAACCGTTACACGTTTGCCGTCACCTGACTTCATCAATCTTGCACCCTGCCCTCCCCCGACCGCCACTTGGTGACGTTGCGGCGTCTACTACAGCGCACGAGGAACTCATTGCGCATCTTGCTTGAGGCTGAACGAAGATCATGAAGTTGAGCGAGAAGCTTCGACGTCCGACTGAGTTCGCTGCATGCGTGCATGTCGTCGGCTTCCACCGCAGCCGAGGCCAGTGCGTGGTGGCAACGAGGCAAAGGCCATCCCGGGGCCACCTGCCGCAGCGGCATATATAACATACCCTAGGTCAGCGATCTCCCCCGCATTCCATTTTGTCTCCGTCATCCACCACCACAAAACCGCTTTCATCTTCACGACCGTTCCCCCTCACGTTCCCCCCTTCCTCGTCGCCGCTTCAGTCGGCGCGCCTCACCCACCACGATGCTTGACGCATTCAAATTGAAGGGCTTCGACCTCGAGCCCGTGTACGCTGAGTGGAAAGACGGCCCCAAGTTTACGGGCGATCCCAAGCGGGACAAGCCTGTGGATGAGTGGCTCGAGGAGATCAAGGCTGGTTGCAAGGCTCGTGGTGTCCCGAAGGAGTGCTGGCACAAGGTCGGGCAACACTTCATGGGCGAGAAGGCGCGTGCTCGGTATGTGCTCGATCGCTATCTCCTGCGAATGCCTTCACTGACGCCAATCCCCCCAGCCTCGACGAGCTGAAGGCCGTCATGGCCAAGGTGAACGGCGGCAGCTATCGCTGGACCTGGGATAAGTTCAAGATCGCGATGCGCAACATGGGATGTGAGTAACGCATCATCGTCTCAGCGACGCCCCGCCCTGACCTCCCCCGCAGGGAACATCGACGCTTCGGAGACCGAGACCATCAAGGTCGAGGCCAAGTCCTCTGGCCAGTGGTGGTTCAGCCGCAAGAACGGACAACGTGAGGAGATGGACGTCAAGGCGCTCGCGCCCGTCGCCGAGCCCCCCGCCGCGGTCGACAAGGACCTCCCACCCGCGCCCTGGACCCTCCGCCGCGCGGTCACCTCGAAGCTCTCCTTCGACAAAGGCGAGTCCAAGCCGCCCTCCTCCACCGAGCGCAAGCCCCGGCGCCGGCACACGGAGATGCCGCCGCCGTCTGCCTTCAGCGACAAAAAGGCGCGCCGCTCGAGCTCGCAGTCGCGCTCGCGCGACGGGTCGCAATGCGAGCACTGCTCGAATTGCGGCTCGCAGTCCGGCTCGAAGCTCAAGCGCTCGAGTTCGAGCTCCACCCACACCGAGCGCTCCTCCAAGGACGACGGGCACCGGAAGCACAAGTCGTCTCGCGAGGTCCGCCCCGCGCCCTCGCACTCCAAGTCCGAGATGATCCCGCCGCGCAAGGAGCGCCCCAAGCCCAACAAGGTCAACTCCGACACCGTCGTCGCCGCTCCCGCAACTGCCGCGCCCTCCGACGAAAGTAAGCACGCTCCCTTCTCCTTTCCCTAACCCCGAACCCCTCTAACCCCTACCCTCCCCAGCCGCCGTCGCCTCAGGCACCGCCCCCACCTGGCTCATCAACGCCTGCCAAGCGCTCGAGTTCCTGCAGGAAGAGCACCCCAAGGCCATGTCCACCCTCGGCGCCATCCTCATCACCGTGGGCACCATCCCCGCGATCCCCGCGCTGCACATCGGCGCTGGAGGCGCGTTCCTCGCCTCGGGCGCGGTGCAGGCGGCGGGTGCGATCGCCGTGGGCGTTGGGAAGCTGCTCACGGCGGCGGGTAAGGGCACGGCGACGCCGGCGCAGCCTGCCATCGAGGGTAAGGAGAACACGGCGACGATCACGCAGGCCTGAGGTACCAGGGCCGACCGTGCCCACATACGGTCAACTGCCGCTCAGCATCCCGGAGGTCGCCATGACCGCCGTTCACAGAGGTCCTAGTGATCTTTGTTCACGAAGGTCATCATGACTGCGTGCATCGTGGTGACTCACCACCTCTAACTTATATGCGCTAGACGCGCCCGCTACGAATCACCGACGTACATAACGTTGTGACGATTCTATATACGCGTGTCCCACCTATCTAACTACATACGCCATGTCGATACGGGCATATACGTGTCGATACGAGACACATACCGCACCTAATGTACTACCATTTTACTCGCAGCTACGATTGATATTTATGATGACGGCTTGCGCTCCGACACAAGCTTCGAATCTTGAATCAGGAGACATTCATTCTCACAAGACCATTGTTGTGATGCTGATGAGCGGTCGAAAAGAGTACAACATCCTTTGGGTAATTCTTGGTACAAAACAAGTACAAAATTCAGACTGCTATCCTCGAAGGATTGGCTGCACCTCCCCTGTACCCTAGCCACCTCCTTGAAAACCTCCAGACTCATCACGATCCTGCTCTGAACGACTTCGACTTGAAAGCACACGCTCTGGTCCGACAATTCGAACCGTAGAGTAGAGACCAGTCGACGATCAAAGTCGGGCCCAGCGACTGGACGTCGCTCTACTCTTCATATGCGTCTTCGTACTCCTTTTGAAGGGTCAGCACACTGTCACGTTATATCGGACGCTCGTATGCACGAGCGCGAGGGACGTCAACAGCCACATCCACAGTGGGTCACGCACAGATCCGAGGCAAAAGATGCAACAGAAACCGCTCAAACTCACGTCTGGTTCATCTGGAAAGGGTCGATCATGGTCCTTGTACCAGTCCTCGTCCAGCGGGGGCATGTTGAAGATCTGATACGCGACATGACCCGCGGGCAGAAAGCTTATGGTGCCCTCGCTCGCAAACCCCGGACTCGTGTCCATGAGCCCCGTCTGTTGCGCCAGCTCCAAGTCGGGCCCGGGAAGGAGAATCTGGCTCCCCTGCGGATACGCAACACGCGCGGGCGTGCCAAAGGGGCTCGGGAGACTCAGGAGGCGCGCCCGCCGCGCCCTGTACCCCACATCGTCGTGCGCAAGCACCTTGTCCGCCTCGTCCGCCTCCGGGTCATCGGGCGGGCGGCGCATATGATGCAGGGGGAGCCCGTCGCTCCCATACACCTCGAACGGCGGCGAGACGGCCTCACCGACCAGACCATCGGGAAGCCCATCGTGCGCGTACGCCTCTGGCTCCACGTCGAAGGGCGCCTGAGCAGTATCGTCTCCTGGCTCCAGAACGGGGATGATGCTCCCCTTGACGACGTACGCCTTGCCAGTCTCGGAGTCGACGAGAAAGGCGGGGTCGAGCGAGCGCGCGCGGAGGGGATCGCGGAGCGGTTTGGAAAGGGGAACATCTGCGTTGAGAAATCCCTGCACGTCCATGCCGTAGGGCTTATGAGTTATGTCGTGAGGGAAGCAGTTTCTGGAAGAGGCGAGTGAGATGAAAGTGAGAAGGTCAACATGGCAGAAGAGCTGATGGGGGCAGCAAGAGCAGAAAGAGTGGTATGAGGCTGGTGGGTATTATTGATGGACGATGCGCGCCCGCAAATAATGATCAAGGCATGAGGATCATAAATGATATAACCGCATACGTACAAGAGGTCCCCGAAGATGAAGTGATCTTCGTCGATGCGGTACAGGTCACCGCAGATGGTGTCCGTCGGTTGAAGTAGGATACTGGCAGCCTTGGGTATGCAGATCTTGATAGGATCAGCGGGCAGGTCGGAGTAGTCCACCTCTATGCACGCTCAGTCAGTTTCACGTCCGCTCAGCATGACTGCGCCCTACAAGCATACTCACGCTCGTCATCATCCTCGAATCCCAGATCGTGGATGAATCCAATGCGCCCCGCGAGTACACAATCCCAGCGCACGTCGTGGACGAGCAGTCGAATGTGCCACTTGCGCGGGTTCAAGGGCACCTCGGGGTAGACGAACGCTCGATGGTAGCATGTTCTGATAGTAATGAACGCGCGAAGGGTGCGAACATAGTGTTGCGCCCAAAGCACGTCCTCTCTTGCGTCATTAACGAAGTGGAAACTTCTCGGGAGGATACCGCGCTCGACAGCGAAGTCGAGGAACAAGCACATGTGTTTGACGGCACTGGCTACGTGCGAGCGGTGCATATCGTACATGGTGAGGGCGTATTCCCATTCTGTATCGGATGCAGGTGGATGTGAGTCAGATCAGGAAGGGAGACGGGCGTTGGATTTCTCACCAGCGACGTAATTCACGAATCTCCTGAGCATTTCACTGAATTCGACGCTGGACTCCGTCGCCGCATGTCTTGGGTTACCGTGCTGCGGGCCTGCAAAGGCATGTAAGCATGGTGAGCTCGATGAGTAGGTGATGATGATGGTGGAAGGAGAGCGAAAGAGAACAGGCCGGAGTATGATGAATGCGGCGAGAAAGAAACTCACGGTCAAAGAACCGATTGTAGGCCTCGACATAATTCTCGACCGCGCGCGGTACTTTGGCACCTCCTTCGCAGTAATGCGCAGCCCAAAGCTCGAGCGCGTGTAAGAGAGGATCCTGCAAGAAAGAAGTATGAGCACCGCGAACAATCAAAGCCCTTTGATACAAGCCTAGCGCTGCACTCACCAATTCACCATCTACCTGCATGTCGGCCATCTTGGCTGCGAGTCCAAACGAGCTGGTGAGGCGCGATGTCGCGAGTTGTTGGTGCTGAAGCAAGGTCGAGATGAGAGGCTCTCCAGAGGTGCAGAGCCTCAATCGATGTGAGAGCGAGGAGCAAGGAAACAAAGCAATGGACGACGGCGCTTCGCACGGCGCTCCTTTGTCGAACAGCAGCACATGACGGGAGAAGGAAAGGGCCAATACAGTCACGTTACTTCCCGCTCACAATTATACGGATTTATCGAAGAACTTTGCACTCTAGCTCACTCGCATTCGCAGACACTAGCTCATTGCAACGAATGTGTGAAGGCCCTCCAACCTTGTTGTCAATATTCCAAGTATCCTACACCCGATGATATACTAAAATACACTAAACGCAAGCAAATGCCGCCGACGTGATGAAAGCGCTGCCCATGCCAGTGGGACAGCCAGGTCGTCAGAATGTTCAGCGCATAGGCTATCTACGCGTCGTCCTCAATCCACTGCGAGATGCGGCGCTTGAGCTGCTGCATGCGGCGGCGGTTGTTCGAGTTCCGCCCGAAGCCACCGCCGTTGTTGGCGTTGTTGCCGAAGCCACCGAAGCCGCCGTTGTTGTTGGCGTTGTTGCCCGTGTTGTTGCCCTTGCCGTTCTTCGAGTTGTTGCCGTTGCCGTTGTTGTTGTTGTTGTTGCCCGACGACGTGATGGTCGACTGAGCAGCGGCAGCGGTACCCGTGGCCTGAAGATCGGCAGAGGCAGTCTTGACTGAGAGGGGTTAGCATCCTGAGGATGAGATGGAAAAAGTTCACGTACTGCCACCAAGCAACTGGTCGACAACGTCGGTCTGGAAGAAGCCGACACCAGCGTTACCAGCGTTGATCGACGTAGTACCAGCAGCCTGGTCGGCGTTGGCCTGCGCGTTCAGCTTGTCCGTGATGTCCTGATGGTGGATTAGAACCAGCTCAGCAGACGGAATAGAGACGATCGACTTACAGAGTCCTGACCGAACTGGCCGGCATCGACCTCGTCGCTGGCCATCAAGTCAAGAGCCTGCTCGATGGCGAGCTGGACGGCCTTCTTGAGGTCAACGGCCTCCTGCTGAGTAAGAGGGCCGTCGTTGTTCTGAGCCTCAGTCGAGTTACCGCCAGTCGCAGCAGCGTCGTCGAAGCCAGCCATGCGGTCGATGGGGACTACAATAACCAATCAGCACACGCCCAGGCAACAGAACATACAAACACTCACTGTCAATGGCCGTACCCGTAGTGGTCTTCAGCTCGTCAATGAGCTGGGCGGTGAGCTTCTGGCGGGCCTCGAGGATTTCGCGGTTGAGCAGCTCGCGCTTCTGCTTGAGCTGCTTGAGCTCGCCGTGGCGCGCAGCAAGACGGCCGAAGAGACCAAAGCCGTTGTTGCTGCCGTTGTTGTTGCCGTTGCGGTTGCGGCCGTTACCGTTGCCCTTGTTGTTGTTGGTGTTGCCGCTCGCGTTGGCGTTGGCGTTGCCGCTGTTGTTGTTGTTACCGGTCGCGACAGCGTTGTTGCCTATAACGAGAGTTAGGAGAGGAGGACTGGCACACTCAATACGAACTCACCCTGGGAGACAGCGACGCAACCACCGAAGGGACCAGCACCGTTAGCGAGGGAGCCAGTGTCGGCACCACCGTTGTTGAGGCGGATCAGGCAAGTAGCACCATCGGAGCCACCAGTGCACTTGGTGCCCGAGGGGACGCTGACGGTGATGGAGGAGTTGGCGGGGCCGTTGCTGCATAGCACTTTAGTGAATCCAATATTCCCTCGCGAGCTGGAAGGTACGCACTGGAGAACACCGTTCACACCGGGGGGCTGAGAAGTGACATCGATCGCGGTCCACTTCTGGCCAGTCGCGTCGGTGTTGATCTCAGCAGTGAACGGCCCTCCACCGTCAGCGTTGACCTGGAAGACGCCCATGGTCAAGGAGCCGTCGGAGGGGATGGTGGGCATGCCGCCCATCGCCTGCTCGACGGCAGCCATCGACTTCTCGATGTTGACCGAGCCGGCGAGGAGAGTAGCGCCGCAAGGATCTGCACTGCGATCAGCCGATTGTCACATCGCAATGCTGTTCCACATACCAGTAGTCGTGTCCTTCAGGACGGGCGTGTCGAGCTGGAAAGGCTGCTCGCCGGTACCACCGCGGGCAACCTCGCCGTTAAACGTAACACCGAGACCAATGCCATTGACGCCGTTGGCGCCCTGGACAGAGTTGATGAAGGCATGGGCGTACGCCCCAGAAACGGAGAGTGCGAGGACAGCGAAGCTAGAGAACATAGTGACGAAAAATAAAGACGACAGATGAAGGAGAGTGTATGCAAGGGGCGCCGGGCTAATTGACCTGCCAGAGGTATAGGAAAACGAAGGAAGAAGACGAAGGGACCACGGAGGGAGGGCCTGTGACCGAAGGAACGAAGGGGGCGGGTTGCTCTCCTCGTCGTGACCGCTTTTTATCCTCTGCGCGCGGCCGCGGCCGCCGCCCGGCAGAACCTGATATCACCAAGGGACCCAGGATACGGGGCGACCGCCATGTGCTGGCGAGCTGGTTCGTACTTCCCGACGGCGACATCCATCCTGAAGTTGATGCTTGACCACATTTCTCCGCGTGCAGAACAGGGCGGCAAGGGGCAGCGAGGTCTCGGTCGTTGGGCAAGCGAGCGACGGTTCCTATCACCGTCCCTATGGACATGCTGATTTCCTCCCGAGCCACGCATCTCTAGCCAATCAGCGTTGTGAATTGCCGACGAACTGGCTTGGAAGGCCACGCCTGCGATTGTCGAACGTGTGTTTGCCTGAGGGAGATCAGCGAAGTTTGAGGCATTTGAGACCGAGAGAAGGCAAGCAGGCGAGAGTTGTTTCCCAGCACTCCGAAATAACCTCATCAACTATAAGTAGACTACATGACAACCAGCTTACACCTCTAGACACAATAGATAGCGCGAAGCGAAGTAGAAAATACAAGTCTGCAGAAGAACAGGGGGCTCAAGCCTTTGAAGGCTGAAGCACCTCACGGCCTCAACGAGGCCGACACAGGTCTGATCCTCTCCTGGAAGGATGCGAAGACGCTGCGCCGTCGCAGGTCACCTGTCTGCGGCGTGCGCGCGGTGTCGTAGCCGTCCTCGCCTTCCATCACGATCTTCATGGTGGTTGGATGAATACGGAAGCGCCGACCAGCCAGCGCTTCTCGAATGTCCTTGTCACTCGCGTTCGTATGGTCGGCTAGGATCGTCCCGATGCTCGTCTGCGCGCCAAGCGATACTGCAGAGGCGATAGTACCGGGCTGACAAACACAGTCAGAAAGAAGGTCGCTGATAGAGTGGATGTGGTTCGTGACGCACCTGGTGTCGGAGGCGCAGCTGCCTGCGGTCACTGCGATGAATGATGTGGCTAGTAACCGCGAGAATGGCCAGCAAGAGAAGCGCGGCAGTGAGCAGATGGACAGCGATATCACTAGAGCCATACATCAGCCAATAAATGGACGAGCTGAACGTTGACGTACCTAAGGAATAGACGTTTCTTGAACGACTTCACCTCCACGAACATAAGCTGCCGATCGGGCACAAAATAAATAGAGCGTGCGATGAGCTGCAGATACGAGCTCTACGCCTGAAGTGAGCGAAGACCGCGGACTGATACTGCGCACATACGTATACTGAATCGCTCGAGGGCGTAAAGTCGTTATCATCGAAACTGGCTTGCAACCCTCCTTCCCGCTGCGAAGCCTGCTGGAACACAGCTGCCGGCAACGTCAACTGCGTCGCATTCGCGCGCTCGAGGACGTAGCTTGGGTTAGGCAAGGTGAGCACACGTCGGAAGTCCGGAAGCTAGCAAAAACGCACGAGTCAGGGTTCGTGAGGTTAAACACCACGCCATTGAAGGGCGTTCCGTTCAGGCTGCTCATGTTCCCTGCGAACTGCGAGAAGTTGGACGAGGAGGTAAATTCTCCCAATTCCGAGACCGCGGTAATATTTCCTGAAGCGTGGTCGACGGAAACGCTCACGTCGAGAAGCTCGAAGGAGGGATAGCAGAATGTCGCCGAGGCTGCTACGGAAGGCTGGTACCTGAACCAAGGTTACAACATGGCAATGAGAATGCTAGCGAAGCCGTAATTACGCACGTGAAGAACCAGAACACGACGGGAGCAAACTGAGGCGCGACACCAGACGTGCAGTTCAGGGCGTCCGTTCCGAACAGACTGACGGCACGGTGGTCGACCTGCCAATTTTGGCTACAGCCATCGAGCTCCGCACTCAAAAGCCATTCGTCCACGGTGTCGGTGATATGGTGAACTCTGTCGACGTCGACGGCGCGACAATTGGTAGACGACTTCATCGCCGTGGTGTTGGCAGTGACCGTGCTGTTTGGTGGGTTTATGGGAAGCTGAGAGGCGGTGAGGCTTATTGAACACGTTTCCAAAGAAAAAGGAGGAAAACAAGCGAACCTCAAACGGCGCAATAGTATACCCATCATGAATGAACGAAGGTTCCTTCAGGTCGTATAGCACATCCGCAGACGCGAAGCCCGCAGCAGTAAGGAAGGCTGTTTACCGTCATCTCATGCTACCACCAAACTACGAGGAGATGAACGCACGTGTGAGGTCGCTGTCAGTCAGATCCGTGGCAAGGCTGATCGACGATATGCGGTTGACGGTATTCTCTATGCGTCTCAATGAACAACTGCACTAGTGGACCGCGTGCCTCGACATACCGTCTCCCTGCAGCCACACATCACGGACAGTGAGCAGCGCTGCCGCCAGTGGCTGGAGCGCTAGCGATAGCAGGACCATCACCGTCGTGAGCGTGACCGCCCAATGGCGATTGTGGGCGGCTGAGACCCATACGATGAAATTGCTGTAGGGTCAGGGTCAGCCTTCGCATTCCGAGTCGGAATCAGCGCATGAGAAACGCAAATGCACGAGGGGACGAGGAAGCCCGAAACGTACTTCTGCCGCGTGTAATCCAGCAACAGACTCCGGTGTGGGGGCGAGTTACCATGCGCCAAATCGATGTAGGGCTGTCGCGTCGTCAGCCTCCGTAATCCTTACCTCGAGCCCGAGAGCGCTGCATACGCACCTGCATCTTCTTGACCTCGAAATCCGTCCACGCTGCCGCAGCGGCGATCGCTGCAGCCACGATGACCGGGGGCAGGGTGTACAGGTAATGCCACGCGTCGCCGGTGTCGTTGAAGTTGCCTCTGATGTGCCAGCCTGGGTGTGAGTCGCGCGTCAGTTCCGCCGATTCCACTCAAAAGGCACACACCACGCACCCTGAGCCCTCTTAGTGTACCGCAGTGCAATCTCTAGGCCCATCGCGAGAAGGACGAGCAGTATTGCGAGTGTCACCCAGAACCACTTGCGCAACGGCACAGGTACCCAGTCCTTCAGTTCCGGGGCGGGCGGGGCCTGCGGCATGTCGTACGCCGCCCATGCCACGGACTTGCGATCGGGAGGGTATGTCGCGTACTGGGTGTCGTCTGAAGACTCCGCGCTCAGCAGGCGCTGCTGAGTCTCGACGGCGTCGTCCACGGGGGAGGGTGACTGAAAGAAGCCATCAGTCATGTCCGCACAGAGCTTACATAGGTGATACGCGTACCTTCTCCCGCGGGCTATCATGTCCAGCACCCTGAGCCATACTCCTCTCAGGCAAGTTCGCTGTAAGCTCAGATTAGCCAAAGCCACGATCGCAGAAACGGCGCTTACTCGTCATGACAAGGGAGGGGGAAAGCAAACCAGTGCCCTCCTCACCCCAGGGGTTATAAGTACGTCTGAAGGAAGCATACCGGGCGCTCATCAAGCGCCCAGTGCCGTATCGGTTTGGCGTCGGCTTGTGCGCGTACCCTCACAGCCCCCTCCCGCACGAGGGACCTACGGCATTGAGTTTGAATCTGAAACAAGGGATCTCCTGTATCAATCTCCATAGCTCAGCCTGACCGCTTCCCTTCTGTTGGCACGGTGGAGATGGATAGAGCGAGGGAGGACACGTCGAGCTGATGAATCAGTGGAGAATACCGACAGGCTCCATACCTTCGTGATCATCCAGCAAGCGACGGCAGAACGGGGCCTTTTGAGGTTGGTTACAACAAGGATGACGGAATTCCAGCAGAGATATGACACTGAATACATAGAGTACGGATTGAAGGCGGGGCAGGAGGATCGCTACCAGCCGTTGCTCGGGGGCGGACTCGCTGGTGCGGGACTTGGTATGCTCTGAGGCAAGACAGTGCTGCGCGGGCCGATGGGAGGCTCTGCCTCCTTCCTCCACTCGATCTTCTCGACGCGGACTTCGCCTTCGACGAGCTGGTACACGTACGTCACCACAACGGGACCTTGAATGTCCATGAGCGCGAAGCACGGGACGGCATCGCTGGAGGGAGTGTCAGACACGCATTTGAAGAGAGGGAGACGCCAACGCACCCCTTGACATTGCCCGACCAGGCACCTGTGGCAGAGCCGGGGTTCACGAAGAAGCGATTGTCGTATTCCAGTGCTTGGAAGCTGGTGGGATGTGAGATGTCGTTAGTTGGGCGATGAAGGCGCGACGCACGTATGTGTATGGCCCGAGATGAGGACATCTACGTCCATCTGTCGCGCGAGCGCACCGAGAGAGTCGAGGTCTCCAGTGGGGACGCATTGGTGCCCGTGTATGACCCCGATTTTGATGGGGCTATGGTACACTGTCACCGACATGGGAAATGGCGTCTACGCGCGGGCCTCGTCAGCAACACGCCCTCAGAGAGTATGTATGCACGCACCTCATCATAATCACCCTTCACGACGTGCACGTCGGGGGATATCGTCCGGAGATAATCATACGTCTCCTTGTCGCACACATTGCCCGTGCAGAGAATCTGCTGGATCTTCCCCGGAACCAAGAGCTTCTTAAACTTCGTCGGCAGGTCGTGTATTCTGTGCGGGATGTGCAGGTCGCCAATGATGAGTACGAGGACCATGGCGCCTTCGGACGCGACGGTGAGGGCGACGCGCGGGGTGCGCTAACGCCACAAACGCGGGATCGTCTGGCGCAAACAAGTGCATCGCGACCACGTCCGCGGTGGCGGCTGCGGCGCGTCCTCAACTCGTGCAATGACGAGCATCACAAGAAACTTACCACCCTTTGTCCGCGACCTGGGCGTGAGCATCGTTGGGGAGGTGCGTACACTATCCATACTTCTCCCTATAACACGCGTTTACAGTCTGTCAGAAATGTTACGTCTCCTTGGTGGAGAACCTCGCGTTCGGCGACACAGAATGTCTCAAGACCGCGTTGTCGAAAGGCATGGGATGGGGCATTGTCATCGGTAGCGGTGTCATGAAGCTTCCCCAACTCTACATCAGTGCGTAATCGTTTCTCTTCGCTCGGTATGTCGCTCACAATGTGATCAAGTCTACAAGCGTAAATCAGCCAGGGGCATCTCCACCAGCGGCTCTGCATTCGAGACGCTCGCATACGCCGTCAACCTCACATACGCGTACCGAAACGGGATCCCCTTCTCGACCTATGGCGAGAACGCCTTCCTAACCGCGCAAAATGCCATCCTCATGCTCCTCCTCATCCAATACGCCCCCCGCCCCCGCGCCCTCACCTCTTCCACCGACTCCCGAACAACCAAACTCCTAGGCACCCTCCTAATCATGATTGTCGGCTTCCTCCTCCTCCTCTTCGTCCCCCCACCCATTCTCGCCACCTTCCAGGCCCTCACACTACCGATCAGCATCGCCTCCAAGGTCCCCCAAATCATCGAAAACCATCGCAACAAGTCCACGGGGAACCTCTCCTGGTTCGCCGTGCTGCTCCAGACCGCCGGCTGCGGCGCGCGCATCTACACCATCTACCGCGAGGTCGACGACGTGCTCGTCGCGCTCGGCGCGCTCCTCGCCTTCGTCCTCAACGCCATCATCGGCGTGCAGATGTGGCTGTACTGGGGCCGCGACCCCGTCGTGCACAAGGTCAAGGTGGAGGAGAAGCAGGAGCCGCTGCTCGCGCGGAGCGAGAAGGCCTTCGTCGAGCGCACGCCGCCGCACTCGCGCGCTGGTACCCCGAGCTTATCGCGCCCCGGGACACCGCTGTCCGCAAGTCGCAGCGGGCGGAACTGGTCGAGGAAGGTGGATTAATCTATATGCTGCAGTGTATGCTAGGTCTAATGGGAACAATTCTTTCTAAACCTATCAGTCCGTCTACGACGTCGTATGAGATCGGGGGGCTTCCGATACAGCGTGTGAGGCTCAGGACCGTCACGGTACAGTATATTTATCACCCCCATACCCCGTACATTCCTTCCCTTGTTGTATTCACTTCCAGCTCAGCTATGAAACATAAGCACTCGTTGCTCTACACTGGACACTGGTAGGAATACGCATCAGTGCGAGCCAGTTTGGGCCAGGAAATTGATGCTGCACAACCGAGCGTAACTTTCACACAAGGCATCCCCCAACCGATACAGCATCAATCCTCGTCATCCAGCGGCAAACACTACATCGCATCAGCATACACCCCACCCACAGTTCACGAAACGCACTCTGTACTCGATGAAGCAGTCGAGCTTCTCTCCTCCTCTGGGCTTCGTATACGGCATCAAGTACTGCAAGCTCAGCAGCCCCTCCTCATCGATGCGCAACGACGTCTTCGTCGAATGCTGGACCGCTTTCAGCGTCTTGAGGATGTACGAGAAGCGGTAGCTGCGGTCGATGATGCAACATCCCGGTCTGTCAAACTATCAGACGACGATGGGAAGAAACGCACCTGTAGTGTATCGCATGCGCGCACTCGAAGGTCTCGAGGACCTCCCGGTCGTCCGGGTAGTCCATCTGTGCAAGCTGAGGCAATGAAGGCAGGGTATGATGAACCACGCCCACCTCTGTACTCCCGTAACTCCCCTCGGCTCGTATCCTAAAGAGCGGTGGCGCTGCCGCATTCGCTGCTCTCCGCCTGCCATCCGACTCCTCTACTTTCGGGTTGCCCACGAACGTGAGCTTCTCGATAGACGGGTCAAGCTCGGAGAGGGCGTCGCGGAGCCAGGAGGACTGAATCTGATGAGCTGTCAGGTCGAAAGGGAACATGAGCAAAGTAGACCTTCAAGATGATCTGCAGAGCGCTATGACGAGGGTGAGACGTTAAAAACTCAATGAAGAGGAGGCGCTCACGTATTGTCCGGGTCGAAAGGCAGGTCGAGGTGCGGATCCGCCTCAGACGTGGATATATGGCAAGTCGTTATAGGTCCCGAAGCGTCTTCCGCCCTGCAACGTCTCATCAGCTTCAACGCCTCCACCTAACACACTCTTCACCCACAACAACAGCACCATCGGATGCCCCTCCCCCAAGAAGCTCAGCCGCATCCCCGTCCTGTGACCTTCGGATGCCCCAATATAATGCTCAATCCCCTTCCCGCCTCTCCTCCTCCCCTCCCCGTCCCCATTCCCATCTTCTTCCTCGTCCTCCGCCCGACGCCACTTCTTATGCGCCGCACTCGAAGAGGACGCGGATCCAGGCCCCGCACTGCCGAAGATGTTGAGGCATTCGAGGACCGTGGAGAGCGGGACCTCGAAGGCGGCGCCGGTGTCGAGGTCCTCGGGGTCGGGCGCGGTGTAGGTGAACTCGTCAAAGATGCCGGACCAGATGTAGGCGACGCCTATTGTTCAACAAGTGGGTCGGGAAGATAATTGATTCCTGTGAGCATATGATTCGATGCAGCCAAACACAGTGAACCAACCCAGTATAGAGCGCGCTTCCTCGACGATGACTTTGAGGCCATCTGGACTTATGGCAACGGTAGCACGCTGGTCCGATCCTTGAGCATATCAGCGCATATATGCCGACAGCGATCTCACATTCGCAAAGCTAACACCCCTCAACATCCCGGCAAAGAATCGTACATCATGGACGGAGGCTTGCAAGATCTGGGTCGTTCGACGGGTTCGTTGGATTGGCAGACTCTACGTGGACTTTCTCTCACAGGTGGTACGGAGTCGGCCTGAGATTGTGACTGGGACATCATCTGGACCTGAGGTCTACTGCTCGATGTCGTTGCCGGCTGTGGACGTTCCGGTCAAGATGAGGATGACGCGTCCAGCCGCGACGCGTAATGTCACTGATGGCGCACGTGAATGTGACTAGTCGCGCGGCGGTGGCGCGGGCGAACGAACGCGGTACGGCTTGTCCCCTTCCACAACGTTGATCTCCGCAAATTTGAGCATACCATGGCTCCCGAGCGCGCGACCAAGGCGAAGTCGAAGGCCGACGATGACTTTGCTTTTGCGGCTTCGCAGCAGAGCAGCGCGAGCAGTGATGATGCGTAAGTGAAGGGAATACGACATAGCCAGGGAGCTCGCGGACTTGCCTGCCTCAGAGGCGCGCATATATGCGCATCTTCGGCTCCCCCTTCACCCTCTCCCGAGCTATCCGTTGCTCATCACTTTCTCATTCACCACTCTCTAGCTTCCAAACGGCAGTCGCGGAGCAGATCATGGGTGAGTCACACCTTTCGTTCTGAGCAAGCTATCCTTCTTGAACATTCTCACCACGCAGCCGCCCAAGACAAGAAGAAGAAGGAAAAGGAACGCCGCTTCCTCACGAACGCTGGGAGGCGGATTGACGGCGAGGTGAGTCGACATCGAATTCATGACCAATGGTAGCGGTGTAGCCTCTACCCAATCACTGACGCACAAAAACATTCGCAATATCGATTGAGATGGGAATAGGCCCTGATACTGACCTCGTTCATCAGACAGAGGCCGCCGCAGAGTCCTTCAGAACGTCCCTGGAAGAGGTGTGAGTCGATTATGCCCATCTCATTCTTCATCGTCCTTCCTCCCTTGCCCTTGACCGACGCTCTCTCCTCGTCTAGCCAAACCGCCTTCAGCACCTTCGTACAAGATTACGCACAAGTCGAGGACGAGATTAGACGCCTTTGGACAGAAGTGGGGAAGATCGGCGTAGGGGTGAGTACCAATTCGCCTCGACTCGATCTGGCCATGGTCCCCCGGCATAATACCGAGCTCACATCCCTGCATCCTACCTCATCTGACCTTCACCTCCCCCGCCACTAATTTCCACCTCCACCTCTACTAACCCCCCTCCCAGCCCCTCGCCCAAGCCCGGCAAACCGCCAACGTCGAGGCCGACCGCGCGCGGAAGGACGCGCAAGTGGCCGGGCTGGCCGCCATGGCGGGTGCAGGTGCGGACATGGACGCGCTCATCAGTCTGATGGACGCGCCTGAGGGGCCAGGGGGAGGCGGGGAGGTTTGAGGGGGCTGGGTGGTTGAAGATGCGCTTCTGGTCCTCCGCTCGATTGTCTTCGCTTGCCGCTCATTGCCTCCGCACGCTCGCTTCTTCAATTTGTGTCCTCGCCCGGTATCCCGACCTATGCTCTCGCTCAGTGACTCAACTGCCAGCTGCGCTATTCCGGACCGAGACCTCTTTGCTCTGCTGCGCTTATTACTTTTGCTGCACGTTCTCGTTGCCTCTGCTCTGCGCTTGTAATAGCTGTATCTCCCTTTAATCGCTGTGTGTACCGCTTCTCCTACTGCCTCTAGAATTCCTTCGGCTTACTATCGCTCGGCCTGCGTACGAAGTACTCGCTGCATGACCGTATCCACTGCATTCTTGATGTGCTCGCTGCCTGCCTTGCGTGTCAAAGCGTTGTGGTCCCGGATGTGACGAACAATCTATCCAGGCCAGTGCATGAATGGTGACTGCATTAGTAGTGTATAGATCGTCTAGCAGCGATCCTCGTCGCTGCCCTCCCTACTTCAAATACCTCGACCGCTCCTTCCTCTCCTCTTTCAACGCCTCATACCTATCCTCCTTCTTCGCCCGCCCAAACACCGGTTCCTCCCTCCCGAACCACCTACTGTAGATCCCCCCGACCGCCTCGTCCCACACCTCCCTCCACATGAACGCCCCGCCGCCCTCCTTCTCCCCCACGCCCCGGCCCAGCCCCAACCCCCAGTACCGGACGAACCCGCGCACGTCGAAGCCCAGCCTATCTTCATCTTTCACTACGGGAATGTCGAGCGCCATGGACGTGGGCGCACCCGCGGGGACCGCCGCCGCGTGGTTGAGGGTGTACTGCGGGGAGGGAAGGCTCGCGGGGTCGGTGGCGCCCGGCACGAACCCCGAGTTCGACGCCGGCTGGGGGAGGAGGAGGAGGGTGTAGCGGTGGTAGGGCGTGCCGCGGGCCGGGTGCGGGGGCACGTAGGGCGTGTGCGCGGGCGCGAGGTCGCGGACGTGAATCGGGCCGCGCGTGCCGGCCGAGAGGGGGATGTTCGGGCTGAAGGGAGGAGGGGCGTGTCAGTGGGTGGGATGTAGGAGGGCGGGCGGTCGGGGAAACTCACGCCATCCAGTGCAAGTAGGTCGTGTACGTCTGGTTCTCGACGTCCGGGACGTCGGGGTCGACCATGAGCAGGGTGTACAGCCGGGTGTCCGGGTGGAAGACGTCGGCGTACAGTGTCGGCGGGTCGATCGTCTGCGCGTATTCAGCAGAAGCACCACGTCGTGCACATGCCCGACTCACCTGCGCGGGCGACAAGTAAGCACCGGCGTCAACAGGCGCTCTCGACTTGGGCGTCTTTGCTGGCGGCTCAACGCCCTTGTCCTTCGCCGCCTGCACCTCCGCCGCGTACGACCTCCGCTTGGCGGATTCCGGGGTGACAAAATTGCACTTGAGGTTGATGGAGGGGTGCAGAGCGGGCACGACGTCGGGGACAATGTTCATCTGATATATACGCTCCATCTAGACCGAATATTAGTATGAAAGAGGGATGAGCATAGGGAGCACACGCACCAGCAAGTCCAAGTCACCCTCATTCCTCCACTTATTCTCGAGGATTTTGCGGTGGCTGGGTTTCGTCAGGTCGGCTAGAATAGATCCTCGTCAGCTCAAGTATTACCATACCATTCAGTCAACACGCACCCTTTCCCGTCTCCACCGCATAGCGCACGCTCGGCAGGTTGACCTCACTCTGCACCTCCAGGACCTCCAGGTGCCTTCGCTTCTCCTCCAGCTGGCGCGCTTTCGCCTCGTAGCCCTCCGCGGTAGCGTTTAAGCCGTTCACCTCCTGCGCGAGCGCCTCCACCTCCTTGCGCGCCTGCGCGACCTCGTTCTTGATCGCCTGGCTGTCCTCTTCGATCAGCCGGAGCGCCAAGTCGTACACTGGCATCACGCCCTCGCGTATCGGCCTGTTCCATTGCTGAGGCGCGCTGGGTGGGGGAGCAGAGCCAGGTGTAGGTGCGTCCCCGGACCGGGCCGCAGCTGGCTTCGTCGCTGCTGGCGGCGGAGGCGGGGGTGTCGCGTTCGCGGAGGAGGTAAGAGTAGCATTGCCGCGCGCGAGGAGTCGGGGGAGCGAGCGCGTCGCAGCACGCGTTCCGCGGAGAGTCAGCATGGTCGTCGCGCTCGACGTTGCGCTCGCGTCCAAATTTTGTGACCGGGCAATCGGGCCGTCGGGCCGAGGTTCCGGTCGCTGCCTCGGGCGTCAACGGGCGTCTGCCTCTTGCCAACTCCTCCTTCCTGAAACTCTGCTCTCTTGGTGCGAAACCATCAATGCAAGTGTTCTGAGAAACGAAAACAAATGTGATGCCGCAAGAAACACGTCTACTCTCTCAAATCTCGACCTCACCAACGGACATTGGACATACCCTTTATCCCGCACATGACTTGAACATGTAAACCCCTCGTCTTCCGTCCCCTCGGCCCCCCTCGCAATCCCCGCCCCGGATTTATGTGTCCCCGCGGGGCATGCCGTTCGAACGGCGCGCTTCCCCTTATCAGCCAACCGATCCCCCAAGGTCTCTTTCCCTTGCCCCGCACCTCACTCTCCTCCTCCTTTTCCCCTAGCCCATCTTGAGCGAGTTCCCACCTCCTTGGAGCGATCATCCCTCCTCCCTTGAGCGAATTATTCATCCTCCCCAATTCCCAGCATGACTGCCACACTTCTCTCGCAGATCCGCAACACGGTCGTCGTCGATGTCGACTCGATGGACCCCACCGTCGCGGAGCGCCATTCGCAGAATGGCGCGGCGAAGTTCGCGGATATGACCTCGAACCAGGTGGGTATTGCTCACAATCTTTCGTCGCCCTTCCCGTCCCCGCTCTCCCCATACCCATGTCAAAATCCACCCCAAAGTGATCGATGCTCATCTCACCAGGCTATAACCTTTGGGCAAGTCACTCGCCCCGAACGCGCCGACCTCGTCAAACAAGCCATCGAGTACGTTCTCTCGAAGGGGACTACACGCGACGCCCCCACCTTCGCCTCAGATGTCATCGATGTCGCCGTACGTCCACTATTGATCACCACACTATAACCGTAACCCATCCAACTTACTCCCTCCGCAGACAGTTCTCCTCGCCAAAGCCGTCTACCCCTACCTCACAGGCAATGTCCACGCCCAAACCTCGCCCTCCACCGCCTACGATACCGCCGCGACCGTCGCGCACGCTAAAAAGCTCGTCTCCCTCTTTGCCGACGTCGTCGGCATCCCGAAAGAGCGCGTGTGCATCAAGATCCCCGTGTCGGCGGAAAGCGCGGTGGCATGCGCGGAGCTGAAGAAGGAGGGGATCCAGACGCTGGGGACATGTCTGTTCTCGCTAGACCAGGCGCTGGCAGCTCATCAGGCGGGCTGCACGTACGTCGCGCCGTACTTCAATGGTAGGGGGAGCGCCTGGCTCCGGACGCGGGTGCAACACTCACCCCCTCTCTCCCAGAGCTCCGTGTCCACTTCGAGCCCTCCACCTGGCGCGAGTTCGCCGACCCGGCGACCGAGCACCCCATGTCGGGCGTCATCCTCACCGTGCTCGACGCGTACAAGAAGATCGGCTCGAAGACGCTCGTCATGCCCGCGAGCATCGTCACTGCGAAAGAGGCCACCGCCCTCGCCTCCCTCCGCCCGCACCACCTCACCATCTCCGGCGCCGTGCTCGACCAGCTCGCCGCCCTCCCTGAGGTGCCCGCAGAACGCCTTGCGCCGCCCCCTGCGCCCAAATACTCGGAGGAGGGTTTTGGTGAGTATAATCTCTCATAGTGACGCTCTCACCTTCCTCACTTCTCTTCTCACTCATCTCTTCCAGCTACCGACTACCTCGCCTCCTCCGGCGCCGCGCTCAAGGCCGCGCTTGCCACGGACGCCGAGTCGACACGCAAGCTCGATGACGCGCTCAAGCTGTTCGACGACTGCGAACGGCAGACAAAGGAGTTCGTTTTGGCTTTCAAGGTGTAGCCATGGAGATGTCGTCTATTATATATTGATTGTGCAACTTGAGGAAACGGAGTAGAAGATTGATGGGCTCGCGGTAGTCGAAGATTGACGAGCTCCCAATGTACAATAAGTATACCTCAGCACAAATCTACCAACTCATCCTGTGTCCGGTCAACGATGCGGAGCGGCTGGATGGTGAGTGGTCTCGAAGCTAAGTATAGCAATAAGCTGCTTGACGACGCAGACCTGCGCCTGAATGAGATAGACATCAATGGCGGGTTACGTGACCTCATTGGCCATTGTCCTGAATAGGTCAGTCCTTGTCTATTCCCGTCATGCGCTCTTCCAAATTCAGAACAATGGAACACCATACACGTATAAAGTGCGCTCGCAGACCTCTTCATTGCTTCACTACTACCACATACACCCGCTGTCGCCCAACCGTGATCCTCTTTCCAGTCGTCGCTCAAACCTGCATCCACTCTACACTACTTAAGCCAAGCCAATTTCAACGCAAACACTCGTACCCGACATGGACGACCAAACGCGCATTACAGACATCGAGAAGGATGATGTCGAAGAATATGAGGTGAGCACCGGCTCACCGAACATCGATATCTCTTCACCCTTCTGTCCACTCACTGCTATCCCTCACTTCCTCGCAATAGACATGGCACATAAAAGACGTGCTTGTTAAATGGCTTGCGGAGTACTGCAACAGCGTAGACACCCAGGCAGCCCGAGCCGCAAGGAACTTCGCTGAGGCATTCACAATTTACTTTGACAGTGCGTTTCCATGTTCGGCGCTTTTTAAGCATGCCTTGACTGCACCATGCTCCTCACGACTCACACGCTCTGGCAGACGCGCATCTCGAGGCGAGAAAAATGGAATACCGTCATAGCGAAGCCCTTCGGGATTTCGTTGAGCGCGTGATAGGTAAGAAGACAGTCCTCCCTTCCCTCCCTTGCATAACTCTCTTATCCTTCTGACTGACTTCCATCCTGCACCAGGCTTCGGATACTGCGAGGCCATGGACGACAACATGTCCTTCCGCTCGCATGTAGCCACCATCATCAAGCACATGTGTCTCGTGCTCGACTTTGCGCGCGAGAACGATCTCATTTCCGACGAGTCAGACACTGTGCGGAAGGAGATCCTCTATGTGCAGCACTACCACCGCGCCGTGCGCGCCTTTCAAACCCTGGCAGCGTGCTACCACCAGGCCTTCGTCGTTCCCCGCGTGCGCTTGGGCCCGCGGAGGTGGTTCGTGCAGGTCATGGTGCACGATGTGCGCTCAGACTGCGTGATTGTGGGCCGCACGGGGGACATCAACGGTCTGGGCAGTAAGCTCGATGATCCAGGTAAGTGTGGTGTACTGCGCGGAATATCATGGCTATAATATCATTGGGAGAACGGATGACTGACTATGATTTTTTGCTCAGAGGTGGACTACTCCGACCTTCCACCAGATCCGCTGAAGATTTGCATCCCCAAGGCCGCCAGTATCCTCATGCAACCCACAGATACCATCCTTGGCGATCTGTATCGCATTGACGAGGATCACTTCATCCTCGGTAGCATGTTGTACGTGTCCCTTCCATTATTCTCCTTCCTTTCCTTCTGCCTTCGTTAGTCCTGTCACTGTCTCCCCGTAGCTATCAAATCGATCCATCAGTATTCACCAACTTCTCCTTATCTCTGAACCTTCGCCTCACTCACCTCTCGCAGGGCATACCGACCCTTCGACCTGGCCCATAAGCCCATTGGCGTCGAGCTGCTCGACGAAGACGAAGCGGATGAGCTACCATTCACCACCCCGTTCCGCGACCCTCTACGCGCCCGCTCCTTCGACCCTGCCTTCCTCGTCGGCGCCGATGGCACGGCGTACATCATCCCACTGAGCATCTTCCCAGTCCCACCCGGCACAGTCGACGTCGCCCTGACCCCCTTCAACGTGAACCACCACGCTTTCGCGGACTTCAAGATCCCACACAACATCGACGACTACCGCATCGAGGCGCTCGGCCCGCCCTTCCGCGCCTGGGGGCCCGACGGGCTACCTCTGCACCACATGCGCCGCGCACACAACGGGCCGGTGGCCACCCTCGCCGACTTCTGCCTCCCCCACGACGACATCGGGTACAGGGAGCGCCGCGCGAGGCTCCTCTCGCTCCCCAGCCCCTTCGACATCCACGCCGTTCCCGTCTACCCGCAGGGCGCCAACATCCTCCTCCCCGGGCCCGACTACGACGTCGCGCAGAGGGCAGGGCTGATGGACGCGAGGCCCGCAAGCGCGCGGCGCACATTCCTCGGAATCCCCATGTCCAGCGCACAGAGTCCGCCAGGGCCTCTGCCCAGCGGCCACCCCGCGTACCGCGTCTTCAACAGGCCACCCTTGCCAGAGTCATGGTACGAGGCCCGGGATCGCGTTTTTCAAGACGACCCCGAGGTGAGTCCTGCTTCACCCCTGTCGATTGCGTACCCTCTGATCATGCTAACAACCGCTCCAAGGACTTTTCTGAATATTTGCCCTGTGTTATTATGGCCGAAGGTGGCGAATGTGCATTGCACGCGTAGCACAAATCTAACTGGGACTTCACATTCTGAAAGCCATTGCCTGCCGCTGTTTCTGATCATATACAGTAACTCTTCGGTGTTACAGACTTTGCCCAGAGTTTACTGATAATTTGAGACGACTGACTCGTGTATTGGACATTCTTCGCCATTATCCAACAGACGGCAGCGAAATGTATAAGAGTAATCCTTGAGGGTATGGTCAGCATGCTGCAAGTGTATATAGTGCGTGCAAAAGAAGCGAACACCGTAGACAGCCGCCTCCGTCCCAAGGGGCCAGAGCAATGCCAGTTCGAAACGGTCGCCACAACTCACCATAGGCTCATCCTCATACATGGGCTCCCGGGCCTCGTACCACGCCTCAGACAAGGGCGGCATGTTGAACACGCGATACGCCGGATGCCCCATGGGCAGAATGCCTGGCCGGCTCTGTGCGGCGCTCGTCGGAATCCCCAAGAACGTCGTCGCCGACCGCACGCTCGCCAGCCTCGCGTCCATCAGCCCCGCCATGCGCGCGACATCGTAGTCGGGGCCAGGAAGCGCAATGTCGACGCCCTGCGGGTACACAGGAATCCCGGGCACATCGAACGGGCCCGGGAGCGCGAGCAGCCGCGCGCGCCGCGCCCTGTACCCCACGTCGTCGTGCGCGAGGACCGTGTCCGCCTCGCCCGCCGCCGGGTCGTCGCGCGCGCGCCGCATGTGGTGCAGCGGCAGCCCGTCGGGCCCCCACACCGCGAACGGCGGCGCGAGCGCCTCGATGCAGGAGTCGTCAGGGGGATACAGTTCCCGGTCCTCCCGGTTCCGATACCCGCTGTCGTCGATTCTGAAGGGCACGGCGGAGATCTCGTTCGCGTTGGGTTCGACGGGGATGATGGTCCCCGGAACGACGTCCGCGCGGCCGTCGGCGGCGACGAGGAAGGCGGGGTCGAGCGAGCGCGCGCGGAGCGGCTCGCGAATGGGGGCGGTGAAGGGGATCTCTTCCGCCTCGTCGTCGTCCTCATATGTCATAAATCTGTGCGCGAGATCGTAGGGCCTGTAGTCCCTGCGAGTCAAAGAATTGAGAACATTTTCCAAGGTGATAGAGCGGTAGCACGCGAAGGGAGGCGAGAGGAATCAAAGATGACACGCACACAACCTCACCAAGGACGAAGTGGTCTGCATCGACGCGATAGAAGTACGCAAGGATCGTGTCCGTGGGCTGTATGAGGATACTTGCCGCCTTGGGGACGCATATCTTCAGCGGATCCGGCGGCAGGTCGGAGTGGTCCATCTCTGCGCCCCGTCAGCCACACCCACACACCCCACGCCTCCGCGCATCGCGCACGCACCCTGATCCTCTATCCCATCCCCCAGCTCATCCCGCCTCCCCGTGCGGCCCACGATCAGACAGTCCGCGCGCACGTCGTGCACCAGCAGCTGCGCGTACCACTTGCGCACACCAGGCTGCCCGACGAACGGCACCGGATGGACAACGAACGCCGCATGGAAGGCCGCGCTCAGCGTCGCGTATGCGCGCGCCGCGCGCACGCAGTGCAGCGCGAAGATGATCTCCTTGCGCGCCTCCTGCGGGGTCTCCGGCATGAGGTCGCGGTCGAGCGCGAATTCTAGGAAGCGGCGCATGTGCTTGACGGTGGTGGCGGCGTGCAGGGCGAAGACCTGGCTCTCGTGCCTGTGCAGGTAAATTTCGACCGCTGGCCATGGGTAGGGAGGGCGGGGCACGCGGAAAAGTCAGACGGGGCATGCGAATGAGTCGGGACACGCAAATGAGCCAATACGCGCGAAAGAATCCGGTCACAGAACAGAGGGGACGAGAACCGGGTCAGCACTGCAGAGCAGACAACGGTCGCTGAAGACTAATCACCATTCACGCTCTCAAGAAAGTGTCTGATGGAATAACTGTAGGATTGAGGCCCGTCCTCGCCGAGATGCAGATCTGTCAAGGGCTACATGAGCGCTGATGGTTTTTGGGCAAAGGGAGTTACGCAGCAAAGGGAGTCACGCAGACTCGAGCGAAACGTAAAGCACCGTCTGGCCACGGGGGGGCCGCGAGAACAAAGGGTATGGAACGGTGCAGGCATCTCAGTGGAAGAGCAAATGAAGGTAGACAACGAGACGACAGGCGGGAGCGGACACCGAATGAAATGCTCACATTCAAAGAAATTGGTACATGCTGTCACGAAGTTCCTCGCGGCGCGTACTTCTTGGGCGTCTGTACTGTCATACTGCGCAAGCCACCGGGAGAGCGCGTCCTTGATGTGCAAGTCCTGGGGATCAGGAGAGGTAAGCAATCCAAGATGGTAGAAAAGAGCAATCAGGATCGGTAGAAACAAGCGATCAGGATTGGTAGAAACAAGCGAATAGGAGGCAGTAGACATGAGCGATGAGGATATACATGACATCAATGGATAGCTTGGACAGGTGCCAGTGCGGCCTGCCCTGTAGTCATGAACGCACCTCCCACTCCTGGGTCAGACCCCCGCTTTTGGGGACCTCGTCTTCCCCCTCATCGTCTTCGATTTCATCGTTTCTGTTATTATTATCTTGCATATGCGTTGGATCATCCATGTCGAGTGCAGGGGCGTCTGATCAAGCTGGCTAGGTGAAGGCACTTGGAAGCAGTCTCCACTCGAGCGTCCAGGTCTCTCTGAGAAGTGAAGGGCCGATATCAGATGGACGCCGAAGAAAGGCAAAATAGCGAGAAAGCGCGAGCGATATAACAGAACGACCTTCACACGGCGTTGCTTTGTTGACCTGCCTGAGCACATGATGGTGAAGGATAAGGGCCAAGAAGATCACGTTACTTGCCAATGAGTCACTGAGTCTCGGTACCACTACATCTCAGGATTATACGCAGCTCACAAAACGCCTTCAGAGGACTGTAGATTTCCATCTCCTCAGGACGAGCTCGACTGTAGATAGAGTGTGCTATGAGACGTAGACTGTAGTACATGAAAAACAGCTACTCCCGAGTCTCCCGGCGTTGGGGATGAGGCGGACGAAAAGCTCGCTGCCGGGCGTATCCCAGACGCGGGATCGCACGGCGGACGGCTTTCAACAGCCAAGGGGTGGAGGCTGGGGGCCAGGAACAGCCCTCAGCCTCAGCCAGAGACTCCGGGATCTTCAGCAGAGAAAAAGGGAGCAATGAAAGAAAAGAAGGGTGGGATGGTGGGCTGACGAATTTTCGCGAAAAGACTTGCTGCAACGCAGCGCGCGAGTTAGAAGCTGATGGTGGAGGGAGCGAAGGAGGACGCAGTCACGTGCAGCGTCTCGCTCGTCTCTCATCCGGAAACCACGCCGCCTTCATGCGTGCCTCCTCCAGGCGGCTTCCAGCTGTGTTTGTGGCTTTGATGAAAACTCTATACGCATCCCTCAATGCGACGTCAGTCTGAGATAGTTCGGCAAAGGCCGAGTACACTCGGGCGCGCGTACTGTCTGACGCATGTGCTCAACGGATGCCAAAGGTTAGGAGCGTACTTTTGTGATTACTGCTAACTCGTTGCTGAAACTGCGTCTGTTATCACAGAGAGTTTACAAGAGCCCTCTGAGCAGGCGGCATAGCAGAAAATAAGGCTCCGCTTCACCGACGCTCAAGGGTTATCAGAATTGTTCATAACTGCCAACCTGCCGATTCTCCTGCTTTTGAGAGATACACCTCGCAGTGACAGTCGCAGAAGAGCGCGTGACTGAAGTTTAAGTCGAACCGTGACCGACGTGACGCGGATTAATGCTGTCACGTGGTCGCGTTTGGCCCTTCGCGTCCTTTGCCTCCCACCACCATCATCAACGCGCGCCAATTCGAAAATCTGTTTCCTACCCTCCCTGGATGTACAAGACACTGCGGAGTACACTACTCACACAGCTGAACAACGTAGAAAAACTAGTAATTACTGATCAGGGAGAGCCCATCAGGCAAGTACCTTGAGCGCGTCTAATGAATGCGTTCTCTTTTCTTTCCCAAACATGCCTAACACTAGGAAAAGATTTTTGGCGTTTCACCGCTACAATGGACTACTCCGAAGTCCAAGCCAAGGTCAACCAGCTAGATGCCGAAATCAACGCATACACAACCGAAATCGCCAAATTAGAAGAATTGCGCGCAGCCTGCCGCGCAGAGAAGGACCGGATCCTCCGCAGTACTGCAAGCAAACCTACCGTGAAAGGGAAGGAACGACAAACAGGTGGCATCGACTACGACAGCGACGACTTTCCCTGGATGAGCGCGTTGCGTGCGAAGATGAAGGAGGTCTTCGGCATCAGGGAATTTCGGCTGGCGCAGAAGAAGTAGGCCTTGATACGCCGGCTGAAACATATCTGCTACTGACGCGCACTCCCCAGGGCCATAAACGCTAGCATGGACGGACGGGACATCGTGCTCGTGATGCCCACGGGTAATTTTCTCTGCGCTTCCTCCTTCGCTCGACCTAAAGCACACCGTTAGGCGGCGGAAAATCCTTGACATACCAACTACCGGCTTTAATGACTCCAGGATGCACCCTGGTCATCTCTCCTCTCGTAGCCCTCATTTCGGACCAAATTCTGCACCTCGAGGAAGCTGGCGGTACGTTTACACATCTGCCTGTTATCGGTTGACTCAGGTATCTCGCAGTGCGCGCCGTGAAGATAACCGCGGCCACACCGAAAGAGCAGTCTCGTGAGATAACACAGCAGTTGACAGCCATGGCCAACCGGAGCCTACCGAGGGGAACGCCAGAGATCAAGCTTTGTTATGTAACAGTAAGCTTATGCGCGTGGAGCTTCACCCCATACCTATCATTTCTCATGCAGCCAGAACGCATTGCCAAGAGCAAGACTTTCTTGAGCTTACTCCAGAGACTGGCGAAGGGTGCCATGTTAGGTGATGCGACCGTACAGCTCGTGGACAATGCTCACCGTATGTGCAGCTCGCATCGTCATCGACGAGGCACACTGTGTCTCGCAAATGGGGCATGACTTCAGGTAAATTTACGACCCCCTTCAAGACCGCTATCATATTCTCACAATGACACACCAGGCCAGACTACGAGAAGCTGCACGTCCTCCGCTCGTTATTTCCCAACGTGCCAATAATCGCGCTCTCCGCCACATGCCCGCCCCAAGTCCTGAAGGACCTGACAAAAACACTGCAACTCAAGCCCGTCATCAACCACACCAGTGCGCATAGCCCGCTCTTCCCCCCACCCCTCATCACTGACCCCGCCAGAAAACCGCGACGACGGCACGGTCTACTTCTCCTCCCCCCTCTACCGCGCCAACCTGCACTACGCCGTCGTCCCCAAGCCCGCCAGCGCCGACGCGCTCCTCGACCTCATGAAGGACTTCATCCTGTCGCACCACCCGGGCGCGAGCGGCATCATCTACTGCCGCAGCAAGCAGGAGGCCGAGTCCGTTGCGGAAGGCCTGCGGAAGAAGAGCGAGGGGAGGATCAGGACGGGCGTCTACCACGCCGACAAACCAGACAACGAAAAGGAGAACCTGCACGTCCAGTGGCGCAGCGGGCGTATCCAGGTCGTGTGCGCGACGATCGGTGGGTGCGCCCCATACGACTTGGCAGATTGCTGACAACGTTATCCGCTTCGTAGCATTTGGCCTCGGCATCGACAAGGGCGACGTGCGCTTCGTTCTACACCACTCCGTATGTACCTTGCGCGCCTCTAAGCCCATTCTCGTACTCAACGTCAACCCCTGCACAGATACCCGTTCGTCGCTAGAGACTTCCCTCCAGGCTTGCTAGCTCACGCGCGGCGCAGAAAACCCTCGATGGCTTCTACCAGGAATCCGGCCGCGCTGGGCGTGACGGCAAAGACTCGGACTGCGTACTCTACTACAAGCCCCAGGACGCCTCCGAGCTCGCCAAATTCGCCGCCACCGCGAAGGACGGGATGGAGAAACGTATGTCCACGTCGTTGCGAGAAGGCCCCTCATCACAGCTAATGTGCGTACCTCTAGTGAGGTCGATGCTAAGCTTCGTCCAAGATCTCACCACCTGCCGCAAGGTCCAGTTCGCCCGGTACCCCGATTCCCCTTCTCTCCTCGATTTTGATATTGATCTCCCTTCAGCTACTTTTCTCACAGCGCCCAAGTCTCCGAGTCCTCCTGGTCGACCGAGGAAGCGGACGTCAACGACCCCTGCGGCAGCTGCGACAACTGCACGCGAGATCCGGAGACCTACGAGGAGAAGGATGTCACGGAGCAGGCCTGGCAGGTCCTGCGCATCGCCGAGGAAGTCAAGGACCGCGGCGTGAGCATCACCATCAAGAAGCTCGCGGAGATCGCACGCGGGCTCGGCGGGGGCACGGTGTCGAGTGGAACCAAGCGGAAGAAGGGCAAGTCCAGTGGGCCGGAGACAATCGACATCGAAGACGTGGCGGGGGGGAAGGTGAATATGAAGCAGGAGGTACGTTCGTGCTTTGATTCATCCCACCGTTGGAGCTTCTTGTCTCTGACGGCGCCTCTCCTCACTAACGACCCCCGACTCACGCAACCCTCAGGACGTCGAATCCCTCATCGTGCAGCTCCTCATTGACAACTACCTCCGCGAGGACTTCCACGCCACCGCATACGACATCATCCTCTACCTCAAGCCCGGCCCGCTCGCTGGCCGCCTCACGCGCCGGCCGAGAGACGACCTGGGCAACGTGCGCATCCTGCATAAGTTCAGGGTGGTGAAGCGGAAGAGTAAGAAGGCGGCGGCGGGCTCGTCGGACAAGGCGGCAGCAGGCTCGGCGGAGAAAGAAGGAGGGTCATCGGAGAAGGTGAAGTCGGGGTCAAGCAAGGGGAAGAAGAAAGCAGCCACCAAGCCCTCTGAATACGACGAGGACATGGATTCGGACGATGACGTGCAAGAGACACCAGCTCCTCGACGCCCGCGCCGCGCGATCGCATTCAGTAAAGCGACTGCATCCAGTGAAGCGCCGACATCCAGCAAAGCAGAAGCCATAGAGATCGAAGACTCCTCCGACGCAGTAGAAGAAGTCGATGGGGACGACTCAGACGCCGACTGGGAACACTCATACAGAGGAGGAGGCTCGCAAAGAAAGCGCCAGCGAATGAGCCGGGACGAAGAAGCTTTCCTCGACCTCACGTCAGACGGCTGAATCTAACATCAGACGACTAACTCTAACATCAGACGACTGAACGAATGCTCATTATCTGCGTACTTACCATACATATGCAATGCGTGGACCTATCATAATCATACATACCCAAGTAAAGTAGCATAGCATAGCATAAACGCATCCGCAACCGCGACGCGCCAGGCATCGGCTGCTATAGGAGAGACCCCGAGTTCGTTTTCAGCACGGAGCGCAGTGGTTGCTTGGGCACGAGGCGGTGCTTCATGTCGATGCGCTTGCCCTCCTCGTTCATCCAGCCCTCGCCGGCTTCGGGGTACCCGTCGAGGTCTGGAGGGTATTCTTCGCCCGTGAGAGCCGGCCGGAACGCGCCCTCGTTCGTCCAGAGCTGGTCGCTGCAACGCATGATGAGCACGACAATCATAACCAGGACTAAAATTTTACTCACCCTCGGCGGTTGTACCAGCCCTTGCGGCGGTCGCGCGTAAGGATGGGCGAGGGCAAGACAAGGCCCTCGCGCCACTTGACGCCGCGGAAGCCATCGGTCGGTGTCTGCTCCCCATCCGAGTGCCGTCGTCGGTTGCTGGGCGGGGGAACAGGAAGAGGATCGGGCGAGCTCGGCCTCGGTGCGTCCGTGTCCGAGAACCTGCGCGAGGTTCGCTGCCGCGCGCCATAGTAAGGCTCGCGATGGTCAGCACGCTGCGCGTGCGATGGCTCCGGTGGATAGACCGGCGCGGGCTGCGCATGTCGCACCGGCGAAGTGGCGGATGGTCGTATAGGCGAAGAGGCGGAAGGTCGCCGCGTAATAGAGACAGCGTTGGTTCGGTGGTTAGGGGGCACGTTGGCGGGCTCGCGCACGGTCAGCGGCCCTACCCGTCGATCGCGGGGAGACGTCGACATGCTCTCCCTTCTGTCCCGTGGGGAGATCGAGATGCTGTCCCTACGACTCATGTGCGATGTACTCTCCCTGCGGTCTTTTGGTGACGATGAGTGCTCTCGCGTGATGGGCGGAATGGGCATAGACGGCGCCTGTGGACGAATGAAAGACGGCTTGCGGGTGCGCGCCTCAGCCTGTGAGACGATGGGAGCATCGAGGGGTGGCGGCGTGGCCAGAGACCGCGTCGAAGCCGTCGAGCCTGAGCTGTCCGAGCCAGCCCACACCGGAGCTGGCGTGTAGCTGATGCTGCGCCTATCGGACGGAGGCGCAGGTGTTGCCGAAGAAGACCTTCGCGGCCGCGGCCCGAAGACATGGGGGGCCTCCTCCTGGCGAAGAGTAGTAGGAGGCGACTGGCGGCGCTCCGGAACGCTCTCCAGGGCAGGCTCCCGACGAGTAGGTACAGCAGAGTGTCGCCAGCTTGTCGGAGAAGTCCCGTGCCCACCAGGTCCCACAACACTCGCGCGGCGCGTGCGGGGCTGTGGCGTCCTCGATGCATCTACGAAGGAGGTCAGGAGAGCAGGTCATACCAGAACCAAGGACACGCACCATCAACCGGCGACGACATCGACGGGGCCCGCGCCAGTGGGGCAGGCGGCGCGCTCACCTTGCGGCTGCGTGGAGCCCGAGGTGGCTCCTCCGTGAGCAGGGCATGTAGAGGCTCCTGCGCGCGCGGCGGCTCCTCCAAAATCGAGTAGCGATCGTCCTCGAAGCTGCGACCATGTCCCGCGCGCGACCCATGCCGTCGCCGCCCATGGCCTTCCCGGCCGCTCTCCTGCCGCTGCAGTTCCCCCGCCACATCGCGGCCTCGCCTCCGACTCATGGTCAACGCGTGGCTCTCGTACTCGTATTGATCACCCCCGCTGCGCCGGTCATATGCCCTCTCCGCTGAGTACGAAGAGTCCTCCGTCGATGCGTATGACGCGCGTCGTTGGTCGTAATCGCCGCGACGATCTCCGCGTCGCCCGCGGCGATCGTCCTCAGAGTCCGTGCTGCGCCCCTCGGAGAAGGACTCGTCAGAGTACGATGCCCGATCGTCCTCCCCCGAGTGGTACTCCTCCATCTCCAGGGGTATGAAGCCGAGCGGACGGCCAGAGTAGGTGCGCGTGGGCGGGAGCGCCCCTCTGAGCACGACGGTGCTGTCCGCGGGTGATGCAGCGGCGCGAGGGTCGAAAGGCGACGAGAGCGGCGAGATCGTGTCCGATGGGGAGTAGCCGATCGGGGAGTCGTAGATCGTGGGTCTGTCACCGTACCTATCGTACGGGTACGCATCGCGGTCGTCGATGGAGCACGCAGAGTCGGTGATGGACCGCGTGTCGTAGGTATCTTCGCTGCCGGCAACAGCGGCGACGGGGGACGAACCGTAGTAGGATTTGCGCATGTCGGTCGCTTGGCGGTCAACGAGAGCAGCTTGCCACTCCGTGTAGGGAAGACCCTGACGCTCAGGGTACGAGTTATATGAGGGAGAAGTGCTGGTGTTGTTCACGGGATGCGCTCGGGTCGGCGCGGCCGCGCGAGATGAAGTGCGCGCAATCGGCACAGGAGCTGGCGGGATAGGGGCGGCGGTCTGAATAGGCGGCGGGTGTGGGGTATGGGAGACCGGGGCATGATTGTTATGTGCGATGGGAGGCTGGCTCGTGTGCGTGAAAGCAGGGGGAGCACCAGTCGATACGACTGGGGGTGGTGCGGCGCGCGATGAAGTGCGAAGGACGGATTGAGGTGCAGCGGCCGCTCTGGACGAGGCACGTGTAATGGCTGGTGGGGACGTGCTGACGACCGGGGGCACGATTGTGGATGGTGAGATGTGCTTAACAGGCATGGGTGGGGGTTGTGGCATGGGTACGGGTTGCATGATCGTCGGAGGAGGAGCCTGAGCGACGGGGGCAGTAGCCAAGCGGTAATCATAGGGCGCGCCCGGCCAGCCGTGGCGCTCCTCTGGCGGTGACTTTTTCTGCGATCAGGGTCAATACTGGCGCAGCGATGAAGATCCAGTGAACGCACGCTGCGGAGGGAGAATGCACGCCACATAGCTCAACGGTAAACAGATAGGCGCGACGCGCAAAAGTAGTAGTCGATTATGCACCAGAGTGACGGTGCTGAAGCTCCTAGGTACAACGGTGGCCAATGTGGACGACGGTGGAGTGCAAGAGTCGTTTGGGAAGAAGGGTATAAGCGCGCGGGGCGGTACTGCCCGTAAGCGACGACGGCCAGAGGCTTTTGTAGGATGTACACACGCGCAGACCACGCCCATCTTTGTCCCTTGGGCGCGGTTTGTCCCTTGTGAACAGTGTGTCTATGTCTCCTGTATGCGGGGCTCTGATGAAAGGCGCGCGACGGCCACGAGGCCTCGCTTACCGCCTGATCCACCGGAGAAGGAGGCGGGTGGCGTCCGCGAAGATCGCTGGCCCCGTGCGACGACGCATACGGCTTGTGCGCTGCGCTGGACGTCGAGCAGCGCGGGTTCATCTCCCGGGGGCGGCGAGCAGCTGTAGGCACATGCTGGGGATACCTCGGCAAACCGATCGAGCTGCTTATCGCTTTGCAGATGACCGTCCGGGACCCTGGAGCAGGTCAGCCGAGAAGGATAGGATGGCATATGGGGGAGGTTCGCCAAACATTCGAAGCCTCAATGGGCAGCCACAAGTTGAGGACTGAATTTGACCCTCGGGGCCGTGTGCGGAAGGCGAGCTGGAGAAGTATATGACGCGAACATGGAGCTATCCAGCTCCTGATATGCCAGAAGTGCCTGCGAGAATAGAGATTAGCTCTGACGCCTTCGCCCCCTCTTGCGAACAAGTCCTCCGTCGACGGCTTCTTCGCATGTTCTATCGAGCAGGACCCTTGGCACCGGACCCGCGCGTTCGCCCAGACCGGAGTTCTAGAAAAAAGCGAAGATGAAGTCGGGCTTTCTTGCAAGCAGTTTCAGGCGTCGAAATTGCCCGGAACCAGGAAGGGCGCTTCGGCCGACCCAGCTTTGTGATGTGGACCGCATAGAGAGTCTACGTCCCAATCGGGTGGGGCTTCGCTTGGTTAGACTTGCAGTCACATCTTGCGGAATGCTTGCCGAATACCGCGTTGCATTACTTCCATCGGTAGGGTCAACCGAAAGGTCGTGTTGGGATATAGTCCACTACCCGCGCAGAAGGTTCACGACTTCAGAGCTCTACTCGTAGTGCCAGACGTCGCGGTATGACGGACTTGTCCCCACCAAAGTAGCTGCGCGAAAGCGTCAGAACACTCCAAGCAGCTGTGTCAAGAGGACGACATACCTATGACGTTCCTTCACGTCTTCTATCTCGCTGATACTCGCACCACGCAAAGCGATAGACGGAGAACCAGAACAATCTGCCTTCCTAGCCGAGGATAAGATACGACCGGGCGGTTTCGCTCGACGCAGGCCTTTAAGTCCCTTCGGAATGGGGTACTGCGATGATGACGGGAAGACGCAAGCGGCAGATCACAAGACTATGCCCAGGTTTCAAGGGCACGCACATTGCTGCTGTGCATGGACGTACACAACCTCGAGGGATTGCGAGCTACTGAATGACATGATCGTACGAGGGAAACGGATGACCTGTCCAGGTCGTTTATGGGGCGTTACGCCATTGGTGGCGTACCCAAAGACTTCCCTAAGTTCGGAAGGAAGGTCCAATGGGCTAGGAGCATGGTTAGCCCTAGCCTGTCTAGGAGTTCATGATGGTCAGGAGCAAGTGGGCGTGGGATGTAAACGACGAGACAACGTGATCTCGGCAACGTCCGAAGCGAACTTCAACGACTCCTTCAAGCAGCCATTGTCCAAATTACTGCCAGTCCAAGCAGCCTCTACCGGCGACTCAAAACCTGACTCTTGCCCTTCATTCATCCTGAGCAAATTGATATGCATCTTGATATACCTAGCTATCTTGCAGCCTCGTTGCACCGTCGACGGACCCCAGGCGCACGCCGAATTCGATGGACGAGGGGGACAGCAGGTTTCACCACCGCGCAGACCCAGGCTTCAGCACCAAGCCGTACAAGCCCAGCTTGTACTCCCTTTCCTTCCAGAATACGGGTATACTGAGCCCCGCTGCTCATGAGCCTTGAAACAGGGTGCACGAAGACGCGGGAGAAATTCAACGAACTCGAACGGTGCATGTCCGTCAGCCAGACTATTCTAGCCTTGAGGCCCGTCGCAGCTGCGCCAAGCTGCATCTAGCTCGTCCCAGTCGTCTGTCTCAGCCGGGCCTCTGGCAGCTCATCGCAGTAGTCGCCGTCCATAACGTCAGGCCCTGCGCAACGCATCCGTCTCGCACGCGACCTCAACGCGCGACGGACATTGCTCCGAGCCCTCGTGCTGTCATTGTATAGCGAGCTCTGGTGCCGCCATTCAATTGATCACTGCGGTCCTTCATAGCTGCTCGTAGCAAGGAGCATAGCTTCTCATCCTCGCAGAGGGCGCGCGTCAGCCAGGTGGGTAACAGCATCCGTACTGTGCGCGTGACATCGAGACTGCGCCGAACATCGCAATCGTGTTTGACCTGTAGGGTGGGCACCGAACAGAGCGGACATCTCTTCGCAGCGATATTTGTATCCCACCATACGCGCAATCCAGCTCTTGCTTGTCAGCGGACATGATAATCAACCTGTACTTCGCGCCACGATTGTCCATAACTCATCTGCACAACATCATACTCAAAGAAAGCCGGTACAATCGCATTAGGGAGACAAAAGCGAATACGTATATGTACAGTCGACTTGACGTTCCATCCCCACGTCCTTGCATTGACCAATGCCTACGGTAGACTAGCATACTCGTCCTCCCCATTCCTCTCATCATGCTCGTAACAATTCGTTCGGTCGTCAGATATCCTCTCGCACCAGTGTCCCACCACCTTGCGGGGTAACAAAGGAAAAGCACCCGAGGCGATGATAACCAGTGCATACCCCTTCTCCCCAGCCCACCGCCTCCCACCAGAATCAGCAACGCAGAGTAGCAGCCCCTGCCCAGGGCGATAGCCGCCTCATTCCGCCAGCGTTGCGCTGTCCCCATCACTCGTGTCCAGCAAGCTACGAAGGGAGTTAGCATCATACTCTAGCGTATAAAGCAAGGAGGGAGTGGATATAAACAAGAACAAAAGGATACAGCAGACATTCACAGACCAATAACCATATATCGGCGGGGACCCATTACTGTTGCAAAAAAGCACAAGCCGGCGAAATACAACGTGAATAGACAAAGAAGACATGTTGGGATAAACTAGAACAAAAGATGGTGGGACTCAAATCAGCACGCACCTGTACTGTTTCATCAATGTACATTCGCCGCCGTTCTCGAGGTCGATGCTGTACGAGTAGAAGTATCCTTCTGAGGATATGACCATGACGTGCGGCATTGTTCTTGATTCAGGGTGTTAGCCAAAGACCCTTGTCTTCCAAGACCAACCTCCCACTCACCCACTAATCGCAGCCACGCATCTCACCCCACCCCCGCCAGGCAGCCTCAACCACGCAAAGTCCCGCTGGGGCTCCCACATCTCCGTGAGCGCCCCCGGCAAATATCCGCCCACCGAATGCGAGATGCTCTTCGTCATCTGCAGGCTCTTCCGCCTTAGCGACGAACTGCAAAACAAAACAGAAAATCCAGTCAGTAAACGCCATCCCAGAAGACCGGTCATACGCGCCTAACGCCACCGGCCTTCTTCTTCTCAATAAACGCATCGTACCCTCCATCCATAGCCGGGACGCCCTCCCGGCTGTCAATTGACGCCGGCGGGCTGCTCGCCGCGCGTCCTGCACTGCTAGACCCCTGCCCTTGCCCCTGCTGCCCGCCCACCCGGAAGACATGCACAGTGCCGTGCCCCGAGGCGGCGACCAACAAGCTACCCACGACATTGAAGTTCATGGACCATATCCGCGCCTCGCGCGCGCCGCGGCGGAACTGGTATAGGCGCTCCCCGTTCGGGATGCCCCACACGCGGATGACGGTGCCCTTCTCGGACGCGGTCGCGAGCAGCGTGCCCGTCGAGTTTATGGCGAGTGCCGCAATGGGGGCCTTGTGCGCCGCAATAACATTCGCAACAGTAAGGGTGCGGGTGTGGAAGAGGAGGACATCGCCAGAGCTTGGTGTTTGCGAAGTCGAGGGTGTGGGCGTGGATGTGGAAGGGGCGGATGGAGATGGTAGCGGAGAAGGATAGGCAAGGTAGGACGCCTCCGCGGAAGGCGAGAGTGCAACAATCGCTAGACGCTAGGTTAGTTTCGAAAGCGGGAGACGAATGGTGTGCTGCGCACCTTCAGGGTTCGGCGTCGTCTCTATCACATGAAGTAGTCGCATATTAGAAATGTCGTAGATGTAGATCTCGTTCTCGAGGACAATAACGAGGGTCTTGCGGTTGAGCTTGACGGCAAGGATGGAAGAGGGGAAGAGAAGCTCGCAGATCATGGATTGCCTCTGAGGGGGAGGTCAGCTCTCCGTCCTCCCTACGTGTCCTAGCAAACGCACCTTCGTATTCACGATCTGCAGCTTCCGGGGGCTCGATTGGGGCTGGTCTGCCGCACCCACGAGTGCGATGAGGGACGTGCAGAACAGCATTTCGACGATTCCTCGAGCACCGTCATCTACCAGAAGTCAGCTTTCACTTCCAAAGTCCTGGGGATGCACGCACTCTGCGTATATACGCGTCCAAACGGGTCGCAGTTCGTGATCTGGTAGCCCTTCCGCGTGCCGACGGAGATGCAGCTAGCTCGAGTTTGGTGAGCCCTCAGGAAGACACTGAGCACCAAGCGCACTCACGAGAAGTCTTGGTTGAAGTTCGCAAAGAGCATATTCGCGTTCGTCTTCTCCGCCATCGTCGTCGACGTCGGAAGCAACCACTGGCAGCAGCAAGTGCGAATGACGCCCGAAACGTGCGCGGCCGAAAAGGGAAGTATCTCCGGCTGTCGACGTGTGGCGGCGTTCTCACATCTTCACACACATATACTGCAGGACTTGCATATATAGCCATAATCCACTACTGTACAGAAGAAATTCGATATGTAAAGTACAAAGAAAAACCGAAGATGACCCCCCAAAGAAATCGAACAGATGAGGCCCAGGTCAAGAAATCACCCACTTGAACGCGTTCAGTGCAGAGAGAAGCGTTCCTAATGTCATGTCAGAAGTGTATGATATAGGAAAGGGATATGCTCACCCTCAGGGACCTCCCCTTCCATTGCGTCCACGGCACCACGATGATGAACAACGCGGCGACAATCGCAGCCTCGCATCCGAACGTCTGCAGCGCACCATGCTTTTCTGCCCACGGAACCTGGAAGTACGCAACAGCGAAACCTGAGAAAAAACCTCAGCAAAGCCCACAATCATCGCACCAAGCCACCCACCTCCCAGTGTCCGGAACAAATTGATGAGGCCGCTAATCTCGCCCTGATGCTTCGGGAACGCATCATTTGCATACGCGTACACCGCCACCGTGTTCACCATCGTCGCCAGCTCCGCGATGCCCCAGCCCATCACCAGCGCACCCGCGCTCAGGTGCTCCTGCAGCGCCGCGCCCAGCACCACGAAGCCCACGATGTACAGCACCGTTGCGATGTAGCACGCCCACAGCCGGGACTCGGCCTCGAAGACGCCGTGGTTGCGCCTGACGGTGGTGCGCATGATCCAGTCATTGAGGTAGCGCCCGACGACCTCGCCGAGGAGGACGGCGACCTATGTTGAGGATGAGGTTAGGTATGAGAAATTGATGGAGCGAGTAAGGAGAACGTACGATAGGCGTCCCATACATCCCTGCGATGCCATAGGCGCTGAACCCGAAACCATGGGGCTTAGGCTCCTCTAAGAACACTGCGAAAGTGACATTGACACCGATGCCGAAGCCGAACAGGACACCCTATTTGTCGCATCAGTATGATGTTTTACAAGATGGCCCCCACTTACCTCGAAAATCATCAACGGCAACAAATGCGGCCTCCACGCCACATTAATCGGCGCCCAGGCCACCTCCTTCCAGCTATCCCTATACTGAGCCATCTTCTTGCCCGTGAATCCAAGCAGCGTCTCGACGCGGTAGCGCAGGCCAGACGTCGGGCGCTGCGGGAGGGGCTTGACGGTGCGGTCAAACATGCTGGTGGGAGGCTCAGCGCGAGATCCTGATTTGTTGACGAGGGCCAAAGGGAGAGGATGATGGACATGGCAGCAATACTCACGTCTCCTCCATGAAGAACATGATCATGAACACCACGATGGCCGAGTAGATGCACCCGATGCCATAGGACCATCTCCACGGCGCACGCGCGACGAGGAAGCCAAAGGCGAAGGGCGAAAGGAAGGGCGAGATGATGAAGCCCATAGTCCAGATATTCAGCTGCGGGGTCGGTCAGCACGCAAGCCCCCTGGAACTCCAAATGGCTTCACATACCATACGCGCTTGCAAATGGAAGGGATACATGTCTGTGACGATGTACAGGCCCGTCACTTGAGGCGCAGTACTGTAAATCAAACCCGTCAGTACAGCCCATCTCGACTCCACCGGGCAGACTCCAACGCACCCAAAGAACGCGGCCAGACACCGCATCGCGCCAAAAGTCGCCAAGTTCGGTGCGAATGTGCATCCGACGAGGAAGCCCAAAGACAGGAGCTATCGGGCATTCGTTAGTGTAAGTGCAAGTAATCCCGTCGTTCCCACTAAAACCCACCTGCGACCAAAACAAGACCGGCAGCCTCCCATACCGCTTCATGCCCATAACTGCAAATATCCCGCCCCAGCCCAACAGGAAGATGCTCCAGCTATCACACACACGCGTCAGCCTGGTTGTCTAGCGCTGCATGGAGCCACACCCACTTCGTCGTCACATTCACAATCGTCGCCGGCGTCGTGTGGAACGCCTTCGCCGCCTCGAACATCACCGCAATCCCGATCCCCGAGTCAAAGTCCGGCACGACCGCGGCCATCGTGACGATGAGCAGGTTGAGCGCCTTCCGCTTCGTGCTCCAGTTCTGCGGGTCCTCGGCCGTGTCGTGCGGCTGCGGCCAGAGGATGGTGTGCCCGTCGGGGGTCGTCTTGAGCTTGGAGGCGAAGTCGGCGCCGAATTCGATGCGGGCTTCTCTGGCGAGCGGGTGAGGTGAGCATGCGTTGCAATCGAGAAGAAGGCGGGGATAAATGTGGAGGAGGAAGACACTCACTCGGGATCCACGACCAACCGCCCGGCGCGCTTGACATGAAAGTCATGGATGTCGATGCTGCTCGTGTCACTCTGCACCTCCTTGCTGCTGATGCTCTCTCGCTCCGTCTTCTGCGTCTTCTCCAAGGTCTGTGCCTCCAGCGTGTCCATGTCGGCCGTCGATATCGCGTTGCGCGCTAGCCTCGACCAAAGTAGACAAAGTGCGGGGAAGGAGGGGGGCTCGCGGACAAAAGGTTTACCAGGGCACTAGCTTATATACCATCCATCCACCTACCCACCCACCCCATCCAAAAGACAATGAGCTCTCTCAATCAGGGACGCTAGCCAAGGAAGCATTCAATCCTGCGAAGGATGCATTCACTTCCAATCAGAATGCTGAACCCCACCGACACGCGTGACCGCACATCCAAGGCGATCTAGAGAATCACAAAGAGCAGGAAGACAATAGCGAGTCCAAGCGGTCAGCCCACCGCGATACGCCCGCGCCACAATTGCCCGATATGAGACTCGCGCATTGCACGACCCGGACATTGACGTGAAAGGCGAGACGTACAACGGTCTTGACGAGTACCAGATCCCAAGCGTCGGTACAGCAGAGCAGTGAATGGGGACCCAGTGGAAGCTCCCGCCAAGCCTCCGCACCAAAAATCACAATAGGCGCTGAAACGAATGCGCCCGAGATGAACAAGACGAAGAACAAAAAGAGCAGCGCTAATCAGGTCGATCAGGAACGCAGATAGAATCGGACGTAGACAATGTTGCAGGCTGGACGTAGACATCGCAGGTTCAACAAGCACGTCTCGGCAGCCCGGAGACGCCGTTCGCATGGAGAACGTGAACGTGTATTGGCAGAGGGAAAGTGGGCTTGACCGCGTTTGGCATTTGGCAAGTGTGACAACTGCTCGCGTGGGTCAGGTGACTGTATGTCACGGTTGAACTTGGCTGAATTTATTATTCAATGATCTTGAGTTCATTGCTTATGATAAAGTCACGTCATTCGGGATAAGTACCAGCATTATCCCACTTCGAAGGCTCTACATGTGTCAGAAACGGTCAGTCGAGCCTTTCATTCCTAACCCTCAGACCGACCTCCAACCCGATCCTCGTCTCTCACAAGTCACGCACAAGTCACACTGTGTACATATAACAGACAGACATAACACAGTGAAAACGCACGAAAGGGGTATCTTCTATTGTACAGAACATTTATGTGCTACGTGCACCATCGTACAAGTTCGTCACGCCTAAGCCACAAGAAAAGAGCGTTGATAGTTAAGAACTCATGCCCGAGTCTACCACTGACAGTCGTAGAATGCCAAGTAGTCCTTCCAGCTCTGCGCCCCATCGTTGCCAGTCACGACTCCGGCAGTCACAAATAGAAGGCTTGAACGTTTTTTACTACACCTATACAGCAAAGATATCCTTCCGCACAGCCGGAGCGCGCGCTAGCGACCGACGGCGAGGCTGAAGGGAGACACGGCGGACAGGCGGGGTGTCTGCGCTGTGATCGTCGCCACGCTCTGCACTAGGTACGTCGTGGGCGATCCCGACACCGTGTATGTCGCTCGAGTCGCACGTCACGTTCGCCAGACAGTCGGCGACCTCGTCCATCGAATCGGTGGCGGTGAGGCTGATCGCCGGTGTGCTGGCGTCGCTATCAACCGCGACAGGAGAAGACCTGGTTGCCGCAGAAGGGGGGCACGCAGCCGCTGCAGGACAGAACACAGCCGTCGCAGGAACATCGTCCGAGGAAGACCGAAGTCCAGTGAAATCGCTAGAGAAGGGATGCGCATCGCTACCTGGCGGAACATAGTTCTCATCCGGTATATCGAAAGACAGTGGGAGGATTGGCAGAGTCTGCACGACGTTTTCCTTCTCGAGCTTGCCGCGACTGAGATCCTGCATGCCGCGACCGAGTCCCTTCGCCTGCTTGCCACGGCCGAGTTCCTTGCCGTTCGCGCGACTGAAGAGCTCAAGAGCCCACCTAGAGCGAGGCTTCTTCTCGGGCGACCAGTACGAGACCTCTGGGTGAGGAGTTGCCGAGGAGTGGGAGCTAGCCGAGCCGTCAAGCTGCGAGGGAGGAGAGACGAGCGGCGGAGAGCACCCTTTGGGCAACGAAGGAGAGCACCCCTTCGGCAGCGTAGACGACCTCGACAAAGCAGGGTAGACGACAAGAGTGTTCGAGGACATCAGCGAGCTGTGCGTCTTCTGATCGGGGTCAAGTCTAGCCAGAGCATCTGGCATCGATAGTCCAGGCGGCGGTAGAGGGGACGCAGCAACCATCTTCGGCGCATCGCTGACTCCGACGGGCGGACCTGCGTCGTCGACCAGCAGAGTATCGCCACCCAGCCTCCCCTTCGTCGCCTCATCGTACTTCGACGCTCCCTGCTCGCCAAAGGACAGGTACGACAGCGTGCGAAGCTCGTGCAGTCTCCCCTCGCCGCTCGCGCAGAACGAGTCCCAGATGGCCGAGAGCGCGGAGTCCTCGTCGGATGCTTCGTGTTCGCCGGTGGAACTCTTTCCGTCAGCGGAAGGGCAGTCGTGTTCATCTTGGTCATCTACGCGCTGGCGACTGACGATCGGCAGGCGGAGGAACTCATGGCGCGGAGCGAGCGTGGAGAACGCGCGAACGTGGGTCTTTTCGTCTTCGATCGGCTCGGCGCGATGCAGATCGGCGGGTAGAGAGGCTGAGGTGACCGTTATTGCTGGGGGTTCTGTGATCGCGGTCTGCGCGCGGCCCTTCAGTCTCGCTTCCTCGGACGACGACTCGCCACACGCACCTCAACAATCATGCTCTCCCTCAATGCCTTTCTCCCCGACAGCACCGACAGCAAACGCGCTAAGGGCACACGCTGTGGCTGCTTATTCTTCTTCTCTTGCGTGGCGCTGGAGTTTTCGCCAGTTCCCTCCGTCGACGATCTCTTCGGCGAGTTCTTATTGAGGATGAGCACGCCGCCAGTGAAGACGCCGATGACGAGCACGAAGCAAACGAGGAAGATGGGCACGATGAAGGCGGTGTGGCGGTCGTAGTCTGTCCGGCGCTCGAGATGCATCCTGGGCGGTTAGTTTGTGCTGGAAGGCAAGTGCCCTTATGATGGCCAGAGACAGGCGCCGGTCAGCGGATGTTGAACGGCCTTCCATCACGCGGGATGACGCGCATGGCCGGGCGTGACGCGGACGACGCGCCGGTCCAAGCGTAGCGCCCCTTACCTAAAAAGGAAGCGATCGCCCGGTCACCTGTTCGCGGCAGCCCCGAGTTGGCCGCAGAGTTCGCCGCCCGTTCGACAGGTTGACCGCCGACCAAGGCGCCTGACTCTGCAGCCAGCCCAAGACCCGGGCGTGTACAGCCCTCTGACTCGTCGAGAGTCCTCAAAAGCCCTCCCCTCGCTGCTCACGACCTCACGAACGGAGAATAGGAGCCGCACGAAGTTTTGACGAACCCACCGCGATAGCGCAATACCTTAGCTCCCACCGCCATGTCCTCGACATACGCACACTATCAAGGGACTGCGGGCTCCCTCCCCCAGGACTACGGCATCCTCTCCCGCTCCTTCGGGCACCGAGAGCTCCAGCCTCCGGCCCCCCTCACTGGCACTCGTGACGAGGAACCCGATGAAGGGGACGAGCACAGGGCTACAGATCTCTGAATCGGCCCCCACGAATGATGGCACATGGCGCCCCCCGGGCCCTGCCTTTTTTGGAAGAAATTGATGGCAAGGTGTTGGCCAGGCCAGCGACTCGACTTGCAGCCTGAGGTCAGTGGTCAGTAACGCGGCCCTCCAGAATCGGGAGCTGTACTAGCTGGACTGCATAGAGTAGTAAAAAAAAGTCGTAAACCTTACAGTTTACAACTTCCTACGTGATTTTTGTTCAGGGCAGTGGCCGACTCGTTGCGGCTTGGCTGCGACATTGACAAGGGCGGCGAGCAACTCTCGCTCGAGTGGGACTTACATGATCCCGGTAAGAGTCCATCACAGATTAGTGTCCTCGAGACCAGGAATGAACGCGCAGGAACCAATGCATGGACCTTCGACTGCCGCCACCTCTGCCGTCTCGCATTGAGTAATATTGGTCTTTGCTGCGCTTTTCGCAGTGAGAACATTCCATGAGTATATATTCAGATATCGGAGCCCTTTCCATCCTCTCCGCGCACCTTCGAGGGTGCACAGTCGTCGACATCGTTGAACCCAGCAGCGTGGGCCGCTTTCGGCACGCCGTCACGAGGCTCGCCACGCGACATCACTGGTGGGCCCGATCCAGATCTCTGTCACCTCTTGGGGACGAGTTCGATCCGAGCAACGCCTCCCCGATACGCCGCCGTGGCAGCCGCACCAGCACTAATGCCAGACGGGAAATCTTCCTCGCGACCCACCTTCCTCCCAACGAAACCCAGGCCGCGAGCGAGGCCCAGGTGTCGATGCATCATTCCAACTCGAACGAGCGCACGCCGCTGCTCTCCGCCCCTGCCATACCCATCATCGAGGAGGAAGTTGACGCGAGGGGCGACCCGGATACGGAGTCGAGGACGGTCATGTTCTGGGAGGAGCTGCGCATTCTGACCAAGTATGCCGCGCCGGTGTTTGGGTGCGTGCAGGATGTAGTTCCCCCTGCTCGCTGTGCTGACCTTCGCCTTCCTCAGCACGCATTTGCTAGAGTATAGCTTAGTGATGGCCTCGGTCGTCACTATTGGGCATCTCTCGACCTCGGCACTCGCAGCAATCACTCTGGGGAGCATGACCGCGTCCGTGTCGGGGTTCTCCATCATCCAAGGCTTCGCCAGCGCCCTGGACACCGTCCTCCCATCAGCCTGGACAAGCGATAAGCCCCAGCTCGTTGGGCTCTGGTCCCAGCGGATGTGTCAGTGACCTTCTATTCCGCCTGTCGCTACACTCACTTATGCTTCTCCAGGTATCGTTATGACTATTTGGCTCACGGTAGGTCCCCCCTTTTGCATTTCATTCAACAAAGTCGCTCCCGCAGCCGGCTCGCTCACCATACCGCATCACCTGCTCATAATCACGCCCCCCTCCCCCTCGATCACGCCTTCTGCCATCGTCCTTGTTCAGCGCTCCACTTTTGTCGATCCCTCTCCCCTCCCCTCTCAATTCATCACATCCCCCCTGCGTGAAAACACCTATTCATCTTTCCCCCAGCCCACCGTCATCATCTGGGTCAACGCCGAACCGATCTTGCTCTTCCTTCGCCAGGACCCCGAGGTCGCGCGCCTCGCAGCGCTCTACCTGCGCTGGGAGCTATTGTGCTTGCCAGGTGAGGATGCTTCTCCATCCGATGCTCTTGGTCCTTCACATCGTCCGCACCCCTTCCATCGACGCTATCCACGTCTATCCGAGCACAATGGTCTACCCCGAGCATGGGCGCCTACTAGATCATCATCCGACGCCAACTAGAGTGCCTTTCATGGCGCGCTAGCCCGTCCTTCACTGCCTTCTATCCCGTCACCTGCGCTTCTTTTCTCGCGAATCCCTCATCTCGCGCGCCTCGTGTGACGTGCTTTACCAGAGTCAACCTTTCACGCACTCTATACTTGCGCCTGGGCTATAATGGGCTGCATGCTATAGTAGGCTCCGTGCGCTAGCTTCGCCTATGGCCATGCTATCTTCCAGCGTCACCCTTTTGTTTCTTGCTGTTCTTTTGCGTGCCTGTTTTTCTTTACAAAGCGGAGATGTTCATGATCACTGACCACCTCCCTCTGCAGCCTACGTCTTCAACAACGTCAGCCGCCGCTACTTCCAGTCGCAGGGCCTCTTCGACGTGCCGACAAGGATCATCTTCATCGTCGCGCCCATCAATGCCGTGTTGAACTACCTGCTCGTGCGTACTTGTCTCTTCCTCCTTCCCCCGCTCTCCCTCCCTTCCCTCTCCCCCCCTCTCACCACCCGCTAACCCCCATCCAGGTCCTCGGCCCCGACTGGATCCGCCTCGGCTTCATCGGCGCGCCCATCGCCACCGCTGTCTCCATCAACCTCGTCTCCGTCCTCTCCATCATCTACGGCGTCTGCTTCGCCCCCCGCACCGCCTGGCACCCCATCACGCGGCGCAGCTTCACGGGCCTCGGTGTCCTGGTCTCCCTCGGACTCGCGGGCGTCGGGCAGACGGCGAGCGAGTGGTGGGCGTGGGAGCTGGTGGCGCTGGCGGCGAGCTTGCTTGGTCCCGTCGCGCTCGCTACGCAGAGTATCCTGCTCGTGTCGAGCTCGACGACGTTCCAGGCGCCGTTTGCGCTGAGTGTGGCAACGGCTGTTCGGTGAGTATCTCCTATGCGCATACTTCTTTCGTATTCACGCACATTGCTTCTCTAGCATTGGCAACCTCCTCGGCGAAGGCCAAGCCCGGCGCGCCTGCGTCGCCTCTCACACTGCCATACTTATGGCGCTCGTCATCGGCCTGCTCTTCAGCGCGATGTTCTTGATATTCAGGAACTCGTGGGCCCTCATCTTCAACGAGGATCCCGGTACGTCTCGCCCCTTCCCCCCACACCCCCCATGCTCACCCCCTCCAGAGGTGCTCTCCATGGTCTCCGCCATTCTCCCCCTCGTCGCCCTCTTCCAGGTCTTCGACGGCACCTCCGCCGTCACCGGCGGCATCTTCCGCGCCAAGGGCCAGCAATTCACCGGTGCCCTCCTCAACCTCTCCGCGTACTACATCATGGGCATCCCCATGGGCGTCTGGCTCGCCTTCTCCTTCAACTTCGGGCTGCACGGGCTGTGGATTGGCTTGACGCTCAGTCTGGTGTACTGCGCGGCGTTCGGGTGGTGGTTCGCATGGCGGACGGATTGGGAGAAGGAGGTGGCGAAGGTGCAGGCGAGGGTGGAGAGGGAGGTGGGGAAGCTGGCGCCTGTGCAGGGGGAGGGGGCGCAGGAGGGGAGGCTGGAGAATGGGATGGTAGAAGAGAGGGAGCCGTTGTTGGCAAATGGCAATGGAGAGGCGCCATCTGCGTGAAGGGACGCCACGGACGCTCCAACGCTACTAACGATAGACATGTTAACTTATTCTGACTTGTGAGAGGAGGTGGACAGTCGTGACTAGTGATTTAGGTGTTGCAATGTAGGCAGAGAAGCAGTGTTACACACTGTTCGATTGTGAAATGTACGCGCAAATACCATCCAGTTTACATCGTCGGACACGATGCCTTCGCAGAAGCGCCTCATAATTCAGAACATCAACCTCGTCTTATGGAATCAGGTTTTTTGTAGACAAAGTAGGTCTGCCTCCAAGATCGACGGTGGCGTCGGCGGCGGGCCGCCCTGTTAGGCGCTCGCGGACACGTGGCGCGCCCGCTTCTCTTCGCATCTTGCAGTCACCACGGCCGTCCGCGCCACGTCCTCTGAACCCGCCGTGTCTTGTCCCGAGTCCTCTCCTCCTACTCTGATGCTCTGAAAGTCCTGACCCCTTCCCCACAATACGCTGCACAACGCGAAGCAACGAAACATTCCCGAAGTTGACACGATCACCACCTGCGCTTCTGCACATACGCGACCCGCCCATCCTCTGTCGCGTATCTACTGCACAATCCGTCCTTCTCGAAAGCAACTCCCTCCCCGGACGCCTCCCCTGACCTACCATGGGCGCCGGCCAATCCACCTCGCAGGCGCACCCGCCCGAGCAAGCCCTGCACGTCCTCCGCGTCACCCCGCACTCCCCCGCATCCCAGACCGACATCGAGCCCTACTTTGACTTCGTCGTCGGCTTCGAGGGCGACACGCTCGACGGGCACACCGCGATCGACGCGGCGAAGCTGGAGGCCATCGTCGAGGCGCACGAGGGCCGCGTCCTGAACCTGCTCGTCTGGAGCAGCAAGCGGCGTTATACGAGGGGTGCGTGAGGCGTATATCTCGCTCGTACGCCGTACGACTGACACTTGGTGCTGCACAGTCGTCCCCGTCACGCCCTCACGATCGTGGTCGCAGAAAGCGGCCGCGCCGCAGGGCGCGAAGCCCTCCTTGCTCGGCCTCAGCATGCGCATGTGCGAGCCCGAGGCGACGATGGACAACGTCTGGCACGTCCTCGACGTGATCGAGGGCAGCCCCGCCGAGTCCGCGGGTCTTGTTCCCATGGGTGACTGGGTCCTCGGTTGGTCCGGCGGCGTGCTGTCGCAGGAGAACGACTTTTATGAGTTGGTTGAGGCGGTGCGTATCTCGTTATGCTCACATACATGCGCAGACCTGCATATATGCGGTTCAAATGCATGTATGCGCCTGATGCACAAGGGCTGATCGTCATTTCAGCACGTCGACAAACCACTACGCGTCTACGTCTACTCCCATGACTTCGATGCCCTACGCGAAGTCGTCCTCGTGCCAAATCGACACTGGGGCGGCGACGGATTGCTCGGTTGCGTTTTTGGGTGCGTTTCTCTTCTGCACTCTCCCTCTTCCCCTTCGCCCAACATTCTCTCTCTCCCGCTCACTTACAACCTATCCTTATCTCCACCAATTTGCCAACTCACCCACCTCCCAGCTTCGGTCTCCTTCACCGGATACCTCCCCAGCCCGAAGGCAGGCAGCCTGGCACGACCCCGCCCGAACTGCAAGACGGCTACGACGACGCGATCTTCGTGCCCGCGGACGAGGGGTACGACGACTACTCGCAAGGTAAGGATTCGTCAAATTCTCCCCTCATGCGTTCACGCTCCCTCCCCACTCCTCCTTCCACCCTCTCCTCCTTCAATCCCTCTCATCCTCCTTCCACCCTCCCCTTCTTTCCCACCCCCCACCCATCACACCCCTCGCCCACCACAACTAACACCCCCTACCCAGAACAACAAGACCTGTACGCGCGCGAACAGGAGCACTACGCCCGGCTGCAGCGCGACACGTACGCGCGGGAGCAGGAGCAGGTGGGCGACTGGCGGCAGCGGCAGCATGCGCACTGGCATCCGGATGGGACGGAGAGGCGCTCGTCGGACACGGCGAGGACATCCGAAGGGCCTCCACGTCGTACCCCGGACGGTCCTGAACGTCGTGCCTCGGACGGTCCTGAACGTCGTACCTCAGACGGCCCTCCACGTCGCTCGCAAGAAACATCCCGTCGCTCACCGGAAACATCACGTCGCACCCCCGACCTCACGCGCGGCACGCCAGAGTCGGCGCACCGGTCCTCTTATTCCATCCCGGAGGTGGATGAGGATGAGTTGCAGTGAGCTGATGGCCTTAGTGGCCGAGCGCCGTCATTCAGTGAGCGCCGTCATCGAATGAGCGCCCTCATTGAGTGAGCGCCACCATTGAGTATGGACTGTAAATTATCGCATTGAATGCTATGGGAATATGATGGGCGTTTGCAAGGGAGACTGGGCATTTGCATAGGAGACAGTGCGCTTGCGAGGGGGTAGCGAAGACAAGACGCTTGTGCTCGAGTAGACATCCAGATCTGACTCGACAGCGCAGAATTGGCCAGACCTGCCCTACTGAATCCTGAAGGCATCGTAATAAGGAGTGCGATAGCCCACGGCATGGTACGTGCGCGTCAGGCCCTATACGGTTTTTTACTATACTATACGCTCGGCACCCCACCCAAAAATTCCGCCATCTCCCTTGCGAGCACATCATGCACCGCGCTCGTCGGGTGGAGCCTGTCCATCCATATCGCGCCGTTGGCCTTGCGCACGTCCGAGGCGGGGAAACCGTAGATATCTGGGGGCGTCCGTATGAGTGAAATCCAGTGGATCGTGAGCAACTGCGTTCAGAATTCGTTCTGCCCCGTGCAGAGTTCGTTCTGCCGCTCGCAGAGCTCGTCCTACCGCTCACAGAGCTCGTTCTGCCACGCGCAGAGTCTTCCGTACAAACACAAGTCGGTATCAGCAACAGCTGCTCCAACTCACCCGGGTCGTCCAGGATGTTGTCAATGGCCCGCGCGCTGGAGAAGACGAGGACGGTCGCGCCGGGATGTTCCTGCGCGAAGGTCTTCGCGCGCGCGAGGAGGGCGCGGTTCCAGGCGGGGAAGATGGGGGACGGCGTGGGCCGGTTCTTTGCTGGTGGGTGCGTTGACGGTGAGAGGTAGGGCGTGCGCGGGTTGATAGCGGGTGAGCAAGGGGGGGGGGGAAGAGTTAGGGTAAGGATAGACGCGTGGTAATGATGGTAGGGCGCTCGCGGATGGAGGCGAGGACGGGGGAGACGGTGCGTGGGTTCGGGGCGAGAGAGCTGAGATAGGGAGAAAGAGACAGAAAGAGGAAGAGAAAGAGAAAGAAAATTCAAGGCGCACCACCGGGGGTCCGGTCGATATGTGGCACGTCGACGAGCATGAAGTTGCGCGCGCCGGCAGCGTAGAGGTCGTGTTGGCCTGCGAAGAGCTTATCGACGGGCTCCTTGCACAGCTTGGGCTCGTGTATGAAGCTGGGGGGCGGGTGGCATCAATGTGCGCTGCCTTTGACTGTGAGTGAGTAGAGGAGGGCAGAACGCACGCGGAGTCGTTGATGCCGATCCAGGTTACTGTGCTCCTCTAAGCGATGACGGCAGACGGGAAGGGAGAGAGCCCGTACTAAACAATGAATTCCTGGACGTCCACATTCGCCAGGCGTCCGGGTCATCGTCAATGGAGGCCGGGGCTGCGTCGCGGTGCCACTCAGCCAGCTCCGGGAGGAATGCTTGGCGGATCTGATGCAGTGCGTCGGGCACTCTGTGCCCGCCCACTGCGTAGTCGAAAACGAGGAGAGGGTCGCGGGCGTATGCGTGATCTTGCATCGGTGGTTCAGGAGGAGGAGGATGCGCCGGATCCGCGGATTGGATAATTTGGACCGGCCGGAGCCCGCGAACGAAGGATCTGAGGCTGTGTGGTGGAGGCGCGGGCTGTCTGATGCTGGCTTCGCCCGCACTAGGACTGCCCCCCACCACTCCGTCATCTCCAGCACCGTCGGACGCCGCGCCCAGAGGAGGCCTATACCGTGGCTCAGGCCAGTACCGCGAGATGAGATGGCCGACCCAGTTGGGGCGAGGGTTGGAAGTGTCGGTATCACGGTCGGTGTAGCAGCCCCAGCCGGGAAAGGGGACGCCGAGAGGGAGAATTGCGGAGCGAGGAGAGCCAGAGGGAGGGTTGCCTATGGCGCAGTAGGAGGCGCCGCTGGTTGGAGATGAGTGAGGCATGTCGTACTTACCCCCTGCAACGACGCGCGCGCACTCACAAGACGACCAGACGCTTGATGTTATCGAGTCCTGGCCAGGACGAAGTTGCCTGTACGATCTCGTTAGATTCAGCCATGGTGGTCAAAGCTCTGAAGAAGCACGAGGCAGATAAGCGCGTAACTTTAAATAATACAGCCTGAGGTAATCGATGGGTTCTCACATGTGAGCGCTTGCCATGGTATTCTTTCTGCTGGAATACTAGCTGGAGTCTGCGTCATACAGCACAGTAGAAGATCTTCGGAAAAGAAGTCATTGAGCTTTCGTGAAAGACTTGTCAATCGTAAGTATATACTACAGCGGGACGAATTTATGTTCAAGCCCAATAACCTGAAACTGCCTATAACACCAATACTCTCTTCAGTGCAGTGAGAAACGTTCCTGTACTCGGTGTCAACGCTGCTATTTTTCAACCAATAGAAGATTCCTCAGGCTTGCTCACCCTCAAAGATCGACCCTTCCATTGCGTAAACGGCACAACAAGCAAGAAGAGCCCCGCGACAATGGCCGCCTCGCACCCGAATGTCTGCAGTGCTCCATGCTTCTCTGCCCACGGGACCTGGAAATACGGGACCGCGAAGCCTGCGAATGCACACCATCAGTATTTTCCCTGGCCCACCGCATTCGCCCTCACCTCCCAGCGTCCTCGCCTGATTAATCAGCGCGCTAATCTCCCCCTGATGCTTCGGGAACGCGTCGTTCGCGTACGCGTACACAGCCACCGTATTCACCATGATCCCCAGCTCCGCGATGCCCCAGCCCATGACGACGGCGCCCGTGCTGAGGTGCTCTTGGAGCGCCGCGCCTAGGACGACGAAGCCGCCGACGTAGAGCACGGTGGCGATGTAGCAGGCGTAGAGGCGCGACTCGGCCTCGAAGACGCCGTTGTTGCGCCGGATGGAGGTGCGCATGATCCAGTCGTTGAGGTAGCGGCCGAGAAGCTCGCCGAGGATGACGGCGACCTGCGGGAAGTGAGGGATGGGCTGAGCGATGAGAAGAGGGTGATCAAGGCCAGACTCACGATAGGCGTCCCGTACATCCCCGCGATGCCAAACTCGCCGAAGCCGAAGCCCAGCGGCGCAGGCTCGCCCAAGAAGACCGCGTTCGTCACGTTGATCCCGATGCCGAAGCCAAAGAGGGCTCCCTGTAGTAACCATGTCAGCACCGCTCCTTCATTCGCCTCTTCCCCTCTTCAGAACCCTCGCCCTATTCCGGTGCACTTATGCGCTCGCCAACATACCTCAAAGACCAACAACGGCAGCAAATGCGGCCGCCACACCAAATTGAATGGCGCATAGAGGACGTCCAGCCAGCTATCCCTGTACTTGGCCATCTTCACGCCCGTGATACCAAGCAGCGTCTCGACGCGGTAGCGCAGGCCAGTGGTGGGGCGTGGGGGCACGGGCTTGAGGCCGCGATCGTAGAGGCTGGAGAGGTCAATGGATGGCAAGTTAGAGATGGGGAGAATGCATGAAAGAAATAATGGATGGCCCCGGGGGCTACCCTTGGCCAGGTACGTCTACCTGACGCAGGGACACGGTGAATTCGCTCCACGCTACGACGAGACCCGTACGGACGATGGAAGTGCGTACTGCCTCAAGCCGTACTGACCGTAAATGGTCGCATCAGGTCATTGACCGAAATTTAGGATAAAAATTGACCCCGAGGGTCGCGCATAAACGAGAGAATATAAGCAGTGAACTCACGTCTCCTCCATGAAAAGCAGGATCAACACCACTACAACCGCCGAGTACATCGCGCCGATCCCGTATGCCCAGCGCCACGATGCGCGCGCGACGAGAAAGCCGAAAGCGAAGGGGGAGAGAAAGGGCGAGATGATGAAGCCCATGGTCCAGATGTTGAGCTGGGAAGACGATTTGTTTAGTACGGAGTGTATATTGACAGGGTTTTGCGTACCATCCTAGCTTGCAGATGGAAGGGGTACAGATCTGTGACGACGTAGAGGCCCTGGAAAAGACACAGTGAGCATTCTGTGTTATTGCTCGGACTCTTGCTTGCAGGAGAGGGCTTTGAAGAGAGTGGTCACGCGACTGCGAAGAAGAAGCATAGGCCGCCTATATCATGGGATACGATCGGCGGGCTGGGAAAGCCCTTGCAGCCGGTCCGGACGCCAGCTGAACGTAGACTGCATGCGTGAGGTGGGATTGACCACGGTCTCGTGGTCGTGTATGCAAGTGAGAAGGTATGCGAAAGAGCGGGTGTCCGACGGGACCAGAGCGAACGGGACGGACGCATCGCTACACGGGACCCGCTGGCTGAGCTTACTCACCGTAACCTGCGGAGCAGTCCTGGAATGCACGAGCGCGATATCAGCCTGCTGTCACAGGGAGTGCGAGTCCTTCACGCACCCGAAGAAAGCGGTGAGACAGCGCATTCCCGCGAAAGTCGCCAAGTTTGGGGCGAATGTGCATCCTATCAAGAAACCCAGCGCAAGGAGCTAAATTTCCGCATTTCAGCAGCAATAAAGCTGGTGATACAGACCGTCTCACCTGAGACCAGAACAACACCGGCAGTCGGCCATAGCGGCGCATCACCATGACGGCAAAGATACCTCCGGGGCCTAACAAGAAGATGCTCCAGCTGCGAGTGACGAATATTTGTTAGCCAGCATCGCCCGACAAAGCTTCCGTGTACGCACTTCGACGTCAAGTTGTTGATCACCCCTGTCGTCGTATCGTACTCCTTTGCCAGCGCGAACAGCGACGCGATGCCTATGCACGCGCCGATGAGTCTTACGTCCCGCGCCTTGGCTGGGCAGCGCCCGCTCCGACCAGAGATTGGCACATACCGATCCCGGAGTCAAAGTCCGGCACGATGGCGGCGAGCGTGACGATGAACAGCTGCAGCGCCTTCCGCCGCGAACTCCAGTTCTGCGGGTCCTCCGGCGTGTCGTACGGCTGCGGCCACAGGATCGTCTTCCCGTCCTCGGTGGTCTTCAGCCTGCTCGCGAAGGCATCTCCGAATTCGACGCGTGCCTCCCTGTGAGTGGGAAGAGATGAGCACCGCAGGAGCGCCGCACGCCACGGCGATAGCGGGCAGGACGGGGGGATGGTACGCACTCGGGGTCGACGACGAGGCGCCCGGCGCGCTTGACGTGCAGGTCGTAGATATCGAGGTCATCGGGCTCGTCTCCTTGCACCTCCTTGCTCGCGACGCTGCCGAGCTGATCTTTGTCCTCGGACTTCTCCAGGTCGCGCGGGTCCGGCATGGCTGCAGCACGCTCGCCTACCGTGGACTGACTGAAGTGAGATAAGGCGGGGAGGGGGACGCGGAGACGGGCTGCGAGCGTGCCGCCTTTATAGTGGAGTCAGGGACGGCATCGAATAGGGTGGGCGCGCGCGAATGAATGAATGCGGCTGCGGAACCCATGACCGTGCACTGTATGGGCTAAGCCTGGAATGGCGCTTCGCAGAGAAGACCGTTGGAGGTTGCTGTGATGTAGGCTGGGTGATCGGATTGATACGGGCGTGGCAGCTGCCCGCCCCGTGTGACGCGGGGATAGGTGGCTGGTAAGTTAGACTTCAAGTACATGTTGCAGTCTTCCCAGGTAAGCACAAGCGAGCCTTGGTCATAGATTGCGCCTTGGTGGCGGACACGAGACGGAGTTCAGGTGTCTGTTAGCTAACGATGCCCCAAAAATGGCGAGAAGAGGACAATGAGAAAGGTGAAACAGAGAGCAACTCCGCCGACTAGCGACTGGCCGTTTTCCACCACTGTAAGCAGGCATGATAAGGGCTTTGATTCCGGCTGAGAAAGAAGGTGCTTTACTTGCGGACAACAAGGAAAGCGGAGGACAAAAGCAACATGGACAGCACGTGGCGAGCACTTGAACTTCGCACGTGAGATGGGCGTGTGTCACGCCAACTCCTTGTCCTCGACTTCGACAGTAGGCGCCCACATAGATCGAGAACTCAAGTGGCACTCAACGAAATCCGCAGACATGTCCAACCAAGTCATGCAAGTCGGCCCCTCCTGGCGTGGACTGGCTGCCATCAAGCGCCTTATGGTCTTGTAAGCGCCAATCCCTCCGCCGGTCTTGCAATCACACTCACAGTAGCTGATCACAGTGGCGACTCGTACAGCGCTGTCGGTGCGCCCATAGAGGCCCCACGCACCGCCGCTCATCCTCTCGGCGTACCATTCCCTGGCCCTGGCTGCTTCACCGACTACGACAACGCACGCCACAGAAGCCGGCCCAACTGGGTCGGCCACTTCATCACACAGTATGCGCCGGAGCCTCGCTATCGCGACATCGCCGGTATCCAGGCGCAATACCCAGGCTACACGCAGGAGCAGGACCCTGCGTACGCGCGCGATCCACTGCTCGTGTATGACTACGCGCGCGGAGGGAAGACGATCCCGGAGGTGATATCGCAAATCGAGGACCAGTTCTTGCCTAGGTTGGGGAAATGGTGCAGAACGCAGCCGGCTGAGGGGGCCGGCAAAGGCGGAGATGCAGCGAAGGTGTGGACGTCGGAGAATGCGCTTTTCGGTGAGTATCTGGGTGGCCTACACTTCGATCTTTATACTACTTGGAACTGACGTTCTGACCCTTATCTCAAGTGACCTGGGTGGGCATCAATGACTGCGCGTAAGTAGGAATGCTGATCGGGTATCTAGGCCACCCTGTTGATTCCTTACACAGGTTTGGGTCGACCCGGGAAGCCCGCGAAGAGGCCTTCCAACAACTCTTCGCAGCCCAAGACGACCTCTACCAGGCCGGCGCCCGCAACTTTGTATTTATCGACGTGCCGCACATCAACAGAAGTCCTGCAGGCGAGTTTCCCATCTCACTTGACCCTACATCCTCCCTGAAACCACTTCACATTCAACTCCCTTCAATCCACTCCCTTGAAGATTATTCTAACCACCTCCCAGTGCCCATCTCCCATAAAGACAGATCCGAGCGCTACGACGAATACAACGCCATGCTCGCAGCCCACGCGCGCCGATTCGCCACCGCGCACCCCGACGCCACCGTCCTCCTCTTCTCCAGCGCGCGCACGCTCGACCGCGTTTTGGACGATCCGGACATCTTCGGGTTCCCGCAGGGGGATGCGCGCGAGCCGTTCAGCACGATTTGGACGGACCAGCTGCATCCGACGAGCGCCGTGCACGATGTGTTCGCAATGGATATTGCGGACTTTTTGTATGGCGTAGGCGCAAGTATGTGAAGAGTCAGAGTGTAAAGGTGCCAATATGGCGTGGCTGTAGCGTAGAAGGAACATTTTCCGGTGTATGAGAGTACAGCAATATAGCTCACCTGTGCTTCACTTGTACACCGCTGTGCACAGTACTCTATCGCTTTGGTGCACACTTCTGTTGCTGCTGTAGAAAATGACTTGCCATGCTTAAGACGGCTCCTGCTGTTGGCTCAGACAGCCATTGAGTCTCTCATCTCGCCGTACCGTGAAGAAGTCCGCTGAAGCCCACACCCTGTCAAGGCCAGATTCGAACTTTCGACTGCCCCGAACTGCCGAAACGCTTTCCTTCCGAGATTGGATCTCGTCCTTACCTGCTCCTTGACGCCAACGCCGAGCAGCCGCCATGTCCTCGTCCTCGACCAGCGACGCGCCGCCTACCAAACCCCCTGCGCCGCCGCGCATGCCCTCGCTGAACCAGCTGGCGGCGCGCATCAAGGTCGATCCCAACGTCGCCGCGCAGCAGTCGACCGCGTCCCCCTCCACCGGGCGCCCGCGCCTCGCCGCATTTGCGCTGCGTACCGGCTCGAACGCATCCCTCTCCACGACCGCATCCACGCAGGACTCGGTGGCCGTGAACGCCTCGACGACGCGCGCGGCCTCGCCGATCGCATCTCCGCCGACCGTCGAGACGCCGACGGGCGAGACGGCCAGCACCGAGGGCGAGCCGCTCACGAAGGAGGGGCTGGACAAGCTGAACGAGCTGCAGCCGCCCGACAAGGGCCTGCTCAAGCCCGTGGGGTACAAGAACATTCCCAGCCTCGATGCGATCACGGCGCGGCTGGCAAAGACGCGCGCGCTGAGCGTGGACGGGACGCCCAAGCCCCCCGAGCCCGAGATGATGGAGGATCCGAAGACGCCGGGCATCCAGGTGAAGAAGCCCGAGCACCCCCTGCAGTACACCTGGTACGTGCGCGCGTGCATGCCCATCGCCCGCCCGCCTTGTCTCACCGCGCGCCCAGGACAATATACCACGACACAAAGTCCTCCAAGTTCCCGCCCACCCCCGCGCCGCCCGCCAGCGCCGCGTCCGACACCACCTCCTTCCACCAGACCGAGTCGACGGACTACGAGGCCGGGCTCACCGTCGTCGGCAGCTTCGCGACCGTCGAGGAGTTCTGCCGGTACTTCAACTGGCTCAAGCCGCCCTCGCACCTCGAGCGCAACTCGAACTACCACCTCTTCAAGTCCGGCATCAAGCCGATGTGGGAGGACCCCGCGAACGCGAACGGCGGCAAGTGGGTGCTCACGATGAAGAACAACCCGCAGCTGCTCGACCGCTGCTGGAACTGGCTCGTCATGGCCCTCGTCGGCGAGGAGCTCGAGGAGGGGCACGACGAGATCTGCGGCGCGGTCGTCAGCCTGCGCGCGAAGGTCGACCGCATCCAGGTCTGGACGCGCGGGAAGGAGGACGTCGAGCGGCTGAACGGCATCGGGAAGAAGCTCGTCAAGCTGCTCGACATCTCCGAGGCGGACGGCATCGGGCTCGAGTTCCAGTTCAACACGGAGGACAGGCCGCAGCCGAACAAGTTCCTGTCGATCCAGGCGATGCCGCAGTCCGGCTTCCGCAACTCGTTCCATGGGCCCCCGGGCAGCGGCGCCCCCTTCCACCACCCTCCGCGGCAGGATACAGCCTCGCCAGTCGGTGGGCCGCAATCCGCCGTCAACCCCAACGCGAGCGCGTTCGGCGGATTCGGCGTGGGCATGGGCGGGCCCGGCTGGCGCGTACCGAAGCGCGGGTAGTTTGCTGCCGCTCGATGGTTGTCGCTGCACGAGGATATTGGGGCGCCGGTTGGCATAATGAGGAGGCTGAGGGCATGTTTTGCATACTACTTTCACCGCAGATTAGCTGCCATTGGCTGAAGTGCACATATGTAGGGTTTTTTTACCGCGTATTGACCATCTGACGAAACAAGTGTACTTGTATGCTTACCGCACATGAATTTTATACTGTACCCGTCCTGCGAATTCCTTTGCCTCATATACAAGCAAAGTCAAACAAGGGATGGCTCAACCAGTGGGTGCTTGCACTGAACGATTACTCGCCGGACCAGAACAAGCAGACACGCATCCCACAAACAGGTTCGTGCAGAACGAAAAGCATTGCATCGCATTGCATAACTTAGCTAAAGTCGCAACTAGGCGTAAAGAGGTCGTGATGGAGAGCAGGTTCCCGAAGAACACCTGCAAGTACTAAGCTAAATATACAGTAGTTGTCGCACGCGGTAGGTGCACAGAGTTGCACAGTAGGTGCGCGGAATTGCACAACAGGTGCGCAGACAGAAGGTGGTATGCGTTGCCCCGTTAGGGCGGTCATGACAGCGAGCAGTAAGGCTGCTGGGAGATACGGCTACAGATGGTGGGGAAAAGTCGTAAGAAAATTGGAGGGTGGGTAAACCAATGGAGAGATGCAAGGAACCAGTGCATGAAATGTGAAGAGGAATGAAGAGACCATGATAGATGATGAGGAGATGCAGATTACCAGTGCGCGAGAAAAATGAGGAAGTAATGACCGAGGCATTGAGAAGGAAAAAAATGGAGGAAGAAAAAGAAGAAAGTCTATGATGACGACGGAGCGAGCCCCGAAGTGAAGCTGCACCCCCGGGGCCCCGAAAGCGCCTACGCCCTCAAGAACATCTCCACCGGGATAGGTTTCCGGCGGAGACCCGAGCTCGCAGACGTGTCCCCACTGTCCGCCGAGTCGCAGCTCTGCCGGCTGGGCGAGCGGCAGACGACCGCGGGCGGCGTGCTCGAGTGCGGCGAGCGGAAGCCCGACGGCGAGCGCGAACCCGACGACGACAGGTACTGCCCGAACACCGGCGACGACGGCGAGCGCGAGCGGAACCCAGACGCCACGAGCGCGGGCGGCGTGCTCGCGGACTGCGCCCGGTGGTGGCGCTGGTGGCGCGGCGACGGCAGCGGCGGCTCCGAGGGCAGCGGGAAGCGCGACGGGAGGTGCGGGAACACGGACGAGCTAGCGGAGGGCGGGAAGTGCGACGACGTTGCGCTCGGCAGCGGGAGCGCGTTCGCGTAGTCGACCACCGCGACCTCCTCGGGCCTGAATTTGAAGTACGGCGAGCGCGGGGAGGCGAGGTAGGAGGACACGGAGCGCGAGTGCGCGTGCTTGGTCGTCTTGGGCTTGGGAGACTTGGGCGGCGAAGACAAGACCTTGGACGGCGGCGTCGAGGACTTGGAGGGAGATTTGGAGGAAGACGAGGTGTGCCTGTTCCAGATCTTCATGAGGCGCGCCTTGGGGGATGTAGCACCAGCCGAATACGCGGAGTCGAGCGTGGAGGACGACCAGCGGGAGCGCAGGATGCGCGACTCTGAGTCCGCGTTGCAGTCCTCCTCCTCCTCAAGCTCTTCCTGGATGGCGGGCTCGTGGATGGAGGGGCGGCGCTCCTCGAGCGTGAAGGGCATATGGCCCTCGTCGAACTCAAAGTCGACCGCGAAGGGGCTGGTGGGGAGGCATAGCGGGAGCTGGATCGGCGCGTCCTCGTTCTCCTCTTCTTCCTCGTTATCCAGGAAGAAGGGAATGTCCTCCAGCAGGCTCTCCTCGGAAAAGTCGGACTGCGAGGGCGAGCTAGTCGGCGACTGGAAGTATTCCTCGAGTAGGTCGTCCACCAGGTCCTCTGGGACGCGGCTCTCGCGCGGCGGCGTGCGCTCAACAGGCGGGGGCGGCGGAGGGCGCTTCGGGATCACGAAGGTGCGCCGCGGACAAGCCGGGTCGAGCTGCGGCGACGGCATGTGGCAGGGAAGGACGCGGGTGGAGGAGGTCGCGGCGACGTAGATCGACTCGGGCCGCGGACGCGTCCCCGTGATCGTAGGGCGGCGCGCGAGCTGGGGCTGCATGTCGACGACGCCGGCGAGCTCGCGCGAGTACCACGCGTAGTCCTCCTCGAGGTCGCTGTCGCTGTCCGAGGAGGAATCTGGGGACCCCGCCCGCGGCTTCTTGGCAATGTGAAGGGGCTGGGTGGTCGCGAACTCGTCGTCGGAGGTCGTGGGCGTGCCGGGGACGGCAGAGGAGCCGCTGCTGGACGAGGGGGAGGACATGTCGCTGCCATACACGTACGCAGAGGGCGTCGGGAGAGGGGGGTGGGGAAAGTCGAACTCCTTCTCGGTGAAGATGATGCTGAACTCGTCCGAGTCGCGGTTCGGGGGCGGGCTGGGCGCAGGGCGCGTCGGCGTCAACGGCGCGGCGCCGCCATCGAGGTCGGAGAGGATGGTAGAGGCAATCTTGATGTCGGAAGCGCTGATGCGGGCGTTGCGGCGCCTGGCCTTCACGCCCGACACGGGGGAGCCGACGCGACTGCTGGAGGGGGAGTGTGCGGAGGACGTCGACGAGCGCGGTTCGCTCTCGGACTCTTCCTCGATGATGTGTAGCTGGGGGCTCTTGCGCGTTCTCGTGCGCGGTTGGCGGCGGAGCATCGCGGCCATGGTGCCAGCGTTAGATACTGCGTCCCGCCGGTCAGCCCGAGTCGAACATGTTGTAAACGTCGAACACTCACAAATAGACATGTGGTGGTCGTTAGAGATAAGTCGTGAGTGTCTATGAAGAACAAAGAGATGCCTGGTGGATGCGGGCAGCGAGGAGGACGGAGAGCGGGCCTGCCCGTACTTTATAACGTCCGCGAACTCGTTGTGCGCCCGTTCCGGAAATGGACGCGCTATTGTCGTCACGTCACGCTCCATGTGCTTATTGTCTTCAGTCACAAGCACGCGTGACATATCACTTCGATCAATGCATTGTTCCCTAAACGGGCACCGACAATTGTCCTTGCCGCCGGCCCACGCGCCTTCTCCATACTCCCAGCATATGTGCATCATATGCAGCTGTGTTTGAGTCACACGAAGGCGGGAAACAAGTCATCTTCTACATTCTATCACCCACACTCCCATATAAGACAGCGAAGAGGCACGGTCAAGGCAAAGACAAGTTACATTCCCCTCGAGTGGTCGCCCACAGTACACCATTCCATACGTTCGTCCGGTAACCCTTGTGCTATTCGGCGAGCATGGATCGTACAGATATAGTCCGTTCCAATCCGCAAAATTCGCCGCGAGAAACGAGGGTGGGTAGTTCGCCAGCATCTGCACCATCCCGATTGACACCATCAACTGTGCCTTTCAAACCCAAGTCATTCAAGGCCGTATAGAGGCCCCGTGCTGCTGGTGCTGTACAAGTGCTGAAGGTCGAACTTAAACACCCAAAATATCTTGTCGTACACTACAAGCGCGTGCGAGCGACCGACGGCAAGAGTGGACTGAGACGCGCCGGACAGTAGGCAGGCTATTCTAGTCGTTGGGGGCATTACAGACGCGGGGACAGACGTCCAAAGCCTGCCTGCGGGTGCGCGACACCTGCCGAGTTGCACATTAGGTCCGCCAGACATTCGGCCACCTCGTTCATCGAGTCGGTGGTGGTAGGGGTGATGGCCGGTGTGCAAGCCTCGGGCTCGAGTGCAGTGCCATTCGCCACGCTCGACCTCAGACCTGTCGCTGTGTTGCGCCAGGCGCATCACTATAAGTCGCGTCCGGCAAGCCTAGTCCGTCGAGTCAGTGACGGCGACGGTGACGGTCGATGTGCCGGCGCCGGATCTGGTCGTAGCAGGAGGCGACCGTGGACTCGGATTGTACTTCAACATGGTGTAGTTCTTCGTGCGCTGTGAAAACCGGACGCTTTTTGTCGTCGCAACGTCCAGGAAGGAGCGGGCAAGCCAAGACTATCTGAGAATTGTTATTCTTCAGGATATCATGTCCAGTCCGTCCATGTCACATTTCAACGGTCAATGTTCAGTGTTTGGTGGTCTGTGAGCGCAGTATTCACCTACTGACCAAGCCGTCTCAGAAGACCAACGCACTGCAAATGCATCTGCAGAAGGCCCTTATGCATTCATGCCATTTTGTGAGAGGAGGCAAGATCCAGATGCTGCTCTAGCATTATGGCGGGAAATGTAGGTAGAAGTAGTAACATGGGTCCTGCGCAGTGATGTTCGCTCAGTTCGCACAAGCTAGCGAACGGAGGGCACGCACCGACACGCAAGGCAGGCCCAACTACCCTGCCCTCGCAACCACCTCCCCGCCCAGTTTCAGCTGCAGCGCCTCCCGCGCCTCCAACCACTCATTCTCCCTATTATTCGTGTGCACAATCGCAATCTCCCCCATTCCCAACGGCGTGATCTTCTGCGCGCGCCGCCCGCTGCACAGCAGCCTGATCTCCGCGGGCTCCATCACGACGCGCTTGCTCGGCTTGCTCACGAGGCCCATGTGTCGCAGCACCGGACGGTCCTCGCGGTACTTGAGGTCGGCCCATATGCGGCGGCGCGCGTCGCTGCCGGCTTCGTGGAAGGCGAGCGGGTCGGGTCCGTCGACGGTGCCACGGGTCAGGTTGGATATGAAGCCGGCGCGGAGGAGGATGGTGAGGATGCCGAGGTTCTGGGAGGAGTGGTTCACGGCGACCTTGGCGTGGCGCGCACGGAAGGCGTTCTGGATGTGCGAGCAGACGTCGTGGGGGAGGACCATGGTGGGCTGAGGGAAGTTGCGGCAGGAAAGGTTAGCGGAACGGCTTGGACTTGGGTGCGCTCACTCACCCGCGGCGCGCCTCAGCAGTGACCGGAATGTCGAGAAGAAAATGGCCCGGGCCGTAAGCGCCGCCGATGAGCGTGACGTTGTGCACGTGCATTTGTCACACAATCGTGATTCCCATTGTTGTTGACTCTGTCTCTTCTTGTACATTTGAATGCCCCGCCTTCATCTAGGGCTTTCTTTGCGCCTCTACACCAGCTTCTAGTCGCTCAATGTAAAAACTTTTGTCTCTAGTTAACTTGTAGATCAACTGACCTGGCCGGGGTAGCGCTTAAACTTGAAAAGGCCGGTGCATGCAGCTCCCCTCCCCGCCTCTGGTGCCCTCAACGAACATCGAACCGATGAGGAGACAGCTCAAGACGACGCTGCAGGATATTGGTTTGTTAACTTCTCGTCCCCCTTCCCCGAACTCAGTGGCACAAGCGCATGACGCTGAGAGTGTCGAGGGCGAGGATTAAGCCAGGGTGTCTCCTCTCAAAGGCATACTCTGGCTTTCCTAACTAGAAACAGGAGAACAGGAACAGAAGCGAACAAGTATAGTCTATGTGATTAATTCTATCCGAGCGGCAGACAACAGGTAAATCCTGTACCAAGAAAGCATTGCAGCAGAGCAAGCGAGCACCAAGAAGCAGACCAAGACGATCGTACACTATCACCATCCACCACACCACTCCATCCTCTCCTCTCCTCCCCCTCCCTCACCTTCCTTACCACCTACTGCTCCAACTGCTTCACATACGACCTCGCCACCGCCTTCAACCGCCTCAGCACCTCCCGCCTCCGCTCCCCATCCTCCGGCAGCTCCGCCTGCCCTGTCGCCAGCCTGTACAGATACACGAAATCCGCCTGCGCATAGTGCGACAGCCGCGCGGCGACGTCCTTGCTCTTCTTGTCCTGCAGCCGCTGCTGGAACTGCTGCGCGAAGGCCTTGGACACGACGTCTGCGCGGTTGACGACCTCGATGGGCACGCCGGCCAGGTTGGCGACGTGCGTGCCGAAGGAGGAGGTCGCGACGCCCTCCACGAGCTTGAAGAGGAAGACGATCTGGCGCGGGGTTAGGTGGGCAGTGCGAGGGAATGGAAGATTTGCGCATACCTCCTTCTTCTCGTCGTCCACGAGCGTCGACATGTGCATGTTCCGAATGCTCGGATGGTACGCAAAGTCGTCCGTCAACGTGCCGTAGTGCGTCGCGAAGAAAGTCAACGGTAGCGTATGCGTCGCCAGCTCATGTAGCACAGCCTGACCGATGATCAGCCAAACATTCCTCTATCAACTCTCACTACACTCACGCCCGCAATCGCCATCCCATCGTACGTCGAAGTACCTCGACCAAGTTCTGCAAAAAGGATCAGCCTAAACAACCCCCACCCGCACTTACAACGGCTTACCGTCGAGAATGACCAGCGACCTCGGCGTCGCATCGCGCAGGATCTTGCAGCACTCATCCAACTCGACCTTGAACGTACTTGCGTTCGAGAACATGTTATCGTATGCGCCCATCCGCGTCAGAATCGAGTCCACCGGCGTCAACCTCGCGCTTGTCGCCGGCACCCGCATCCCCAGCTGTGCCATGATCTACAGCCCGCGTCAGCACGACCTCACACCCTCGCCGTCACACAGCACTCACCACGCCCGTTGCCGTCATCCGCATGCACTACAAGCAAAACCGATCAGCCTCACTCCCCTTACCCAATTCCCAACCCTCACTCACCGTACTCTTCCCCGCCATATTCGGCCCCGTCAACAGCGCAATCTTGCCCACCTCCCCGCCCAGCCTGATATCATTCGGGATGAACTCCTCCACCTTCTGCAGCGACAGCGTCGGGTGCCGCAGCTCCTGGAAGTCCATAAAGGAGCTCTCGCTCTCGACGAACTCCGGTCGGCACGACGGCTCCCCTATGGCCGCCGACGACTTCGCCAGGCTGAACAGGCAGTCGAGCTCGGCGAACACGCGGATAATTTTGAGCCACAGCGGCCGATCAACGTCGAACTCGGCGTAGAGGCGCGACTTGAAGGTCGCGATGGCGGTTTTGCGGTTCTCCCGCGCCTCCTTGAGCTTGCGGATCTCGGGCTGGAGGGCGGGGACAACATAGCGGGTTTTGGCCTGGGAACCTTTAGCGAATGCAAACTCATGAGGTAGAGAGGACGGACTTTCGTCCCGCCGTGCTTCGTCCAGTCTCGAGGGATATTTTTCTGGCTGGCCTTCGTCTCGACGAGATAGATATCCTACGACACGTCAGAACGACGCCTTCGACAACCATACAATGGACGCACCTTGTTCCCCGTCGCACTATGCCAATAGGACAAGTCACCTCTACGCCATCATCAGTCTCGTCTTCCGACAAAACAACTGAACCCCCGACTTACCCCACCACATCCTCATACTTCTTCAGCTGCCTATTCAGCGACTTCTCCAGCGCTTTGATCTCCGCAATAACCTCATCATACACCGCATCCTTCCCCTCCATCGGCACAAGCTCTTCCGCTTCTACACAAACCATCATTACCCCACGTCCATCCCAGCAATCACGACCGTACTCACCCTTCTCCGACGCTGGCCGTTCGAACATCTCCTCGATTTGCTTGATATTAGGTACCACATCGGGCGCGCCTCGCAGGAGACCAGAGATCGTCTTCGACTCGAACTCGGCCGCCGTGTCAGCCAAGGCGTTCATGCCCCTGCTGAGCTTCTTGAACGACTGATGAATCCTTGTGAGTGACCATTCGCAGAGTCGACAATAGGGAAAGGTTTACGTACACTCAAGACCTTCAAAAAGTCCTTGATCTTGCAGCTCTTCGCATGTATGCGCGCGACAATGCGCTCAAGGTCCGGCAGTCCCTTCGCCACATCGGCAAACTGGCTCTCGAAAGATGGATGGTTGAGGATATCCTCGACGGCGTCCAAACGATCGTCGATGCTGGAGATCTCACGCAGCGGCATGCAGAGCCAGATGCGGAAGAGGCGTTTGCCTACAGGACCATGAGTCGAGCGAATCTGCAGTAAAGCAAAAAAAGCTTACCGAAAGGCGTAATACACCTGCTGAGCAACTTGAGCAGCGAGCCCTCATCCGTGCCCTCATTATTCATCAAGACCTCGAGATGCGCTAGGGTCTGCCCATCCAGCACAAGCCCCTCTCCACGCTTCATCGGGTCGTACACGTTGAAGTTCTTCATGCTCAAGATATCCTTGTCGATGTTCAGCTGGCGCAGGTACCTGTGCCATCATTGGCAATCCACCCTAACATAAAGGAGGACCATACCCACCAAATCATCGACCCCAGCGCCTCCATCGCCTGTTGCGAATGTGCTACGTCCCGGATAGATTGCGGGACCGTCTCCGGCAATCCCCCGTCGTCCATCGCATCGTCCTGGTCCGGGTACAGCTTGCGCAGCTCCTCGATGGTGTCCGGATACGTAAATCCCTCGACGTCGCGCAGGTTCGTCCACGTGCATTGCGAAGGCAGGATATTCTTCAGCAGGCGCGTACTCGTCACGGACAGTGCGCCAGGGCCCTGATCCACAGTAAGCATGATCAACAGCGCGACCATAGACCAGATCGTACCGATTTCTTCACCAAAATTTCCTTTGGGCGCAGCTGCCGCATCATCGTTTCCAGCTTCGTATGACAGACATCGTCGGTGAAATGGCTCATGTTGAACTGCGAGGTCGCGCAGTCGAGGACGCAAATACCGAACGTCGACTGGTCGCCACGGTCATTGTCCTCAATAATCGCGACGCAGTGCCCCGCTTGCTCGTCCGTGAGCATCTCCGGATCGACTAGCGTGCCGTTCGTGTAGACCTTGTTCAGTTCGCTGGTGGGTGGTCAGTCGCTATTCTAAGACATGGTCGTGCGGTCACGGACCGCTGCACAATCTTATCCTTCGCCTTATCCTCGCTGGACTTGGCCTTGCCCTTCTTGTCGGCCGCGAGACGCATCTCGGCGCCCAGAGCAGTCTCAGACTGGTCGACGCGCCCGACCTTATAGCCTTCACGAGACCAGTCAGATCATGCTCTGTTCGAAGCACGCTTAGCGACTCACCCTTGCCCAAGAATTTGCTGTCTCGCGTATCAGCGCATGGCCTACGAGAGCTTTGAAAACTTACGCAGCCCAGAAGTCAAAGCTCATCTCCGGTACGCCGACCTGCAAATCGTGAGCCAGTCGCTCACATAACAAGCGACGGTACGGACCATAGACATCTTAACTCGCGAAGTGATCTTCAGATCGAACTCCTGGTGGCCAATTCGAGCATCATCCTCGTACAACTGAGATGAGGTCAGAAACGACCCCGAGTCAGTGGTTTGCAAAGTTTACCTCATAGAATTTCCTGTCGGACAGCGTAAGTATATGCAGTCGTACCGTGCATACACACGCACCCCTTCTGGAAGAACAGCACGGTATCATAGTGATTTTGTTTGATCTATCGGACGGTGAGCACCAACGCAAGGGCAAATACCTGACGGTCCTGACCTCCCAGAACTGCCTCTCGAAGGGCGTAAACTCTTTCCACGCGTTCTTGGGTATGTAGATGGTTCGCGGGTCGTACCCCTTCTCGCCAGGCCGTTTTCCGTCTTTCTGTTGCGATCTATAAGAAATCGGAAGCGCGCAGGATAAGTGGCACCCACATCACGGATGTCCTGCAAGAACGAGTACGGATCTTCAGCCGCCTTCTTGTCGTTCTTCTTCCCCTGCTCGCGACGCTCGGCAGCGGTGAGGAAGCCAGCGCCCGAGCCCGACGACGAGGATGCCAACGCGGGCGCAGGGGGCTTCGCCTTGGCCTTCTTCTTTGGCGCTGGTTCCTCGTCGTCATCGTCTTCGGTGAAATCGCCAGCGCTAGAAGCCGCGGATGAGGTTTCCGGTCCGGCCTCATCATCCTCAGGCTCAGAGGGGAGGGTAAACTCATCGTCGTCTGAGGACGCAGCTGACCGGGTGCCGCGTTTCTCTGCACGATATATTAGACATGTTACGGCACTAGAGCAGTCTGGGCATACTTGGGGACTTCTTGAAGCGACTCAGCCGCTTGGTGAAGGACACCTTCGCCTCCGTCTCGTCTTCGTCTTCCTCTGAAAGTGGCTCAGACAGCCTGGGGCGCTTGGACGCGGCTGCAGACACGCTTAATGAGAGTTCACGCGAGGCTGTCTGCACGCACCTTTCTCCGAGACCTCCGTCTCTTCGTCTGATTCGTCTGCAATCACTTTTCGCTTGCTCTTGCTCTATGACAGAGTCAGATTCGGGTCAAGAAGCGTAGCACATAACGCACAGATTTCCTAACGCGCAGCTGAACCTCCTCCTCATCGTCCATGTCGATGTCGGCCGGATCACTAGTCGGCGGCGTGTCATGAACGCTGCTGGTACCCAGAGGAGAAGACGTCGAGCTCGTCGCAGGACCAGACGAAGATAGCTCCTTCATAGAAGGCCGCTTCGACTTGGGTGTACGCGGTACTTCTGTGGGCGCGTCCTCTGATTGACGCGCCTTTGGCTTGAACGCCGGTTTCGAGGGTGTTGACTTCGCCTTCGCATCGCCTTTGGTGAAGAAGTTTAGGAGCGTCTTCTGCTTCCCGTCGGCCTCTTTCGCTTTGGGTGCCATGGTGGGGAGAGGTGAGTTGACGATGCGGGGTACTGTAAGTTGGCTCGGCGCGGCGGACCGCGCGCGCGACCGACGCGTGTGGTCGTGCTGTGCATTCACTTTTGGGGGCCACAAAGACAAACAATTGTTCGACTCAGTGACTCTTCTTTTGGGTCTTCTCTCACCTTTCTCGCTCGTGTTATACGTGGTAAGCCCCTCACGTTATGGTTAGGGATGAAGTAAGGGCTTACTGTAGAGTTACTCTTGAACTATACAGGAGGAATCTTGGATAAAATGGCCACAATAGCCGCTGAGAAACGTGCACTCAGAAAGCTCGTGTCTGCGAAATTGAAGACCCTGTCGGTTTGCGACATCAGTCAACAATGTACGGAATATATCCGAATTAGCCTACCAAGTCTGATCGTGCGTCCAGCAGAAGCCATATCATCTCGGGTGCTCGCTCTTCCAGCTTTCAAGGAGAGCAGGCGCATAAGCTGCTACATGAGCATGCCCACGAGCGAAGTTGTAACTACTTCGCTCGTCAACAACATACTAGATCATGGTAAGCCTACCGCCTCTATCTCTGGGTCGTAATGATGACTGTATTATGTTGTTGCATAGGCAAAACCCTTTTCATTCCCCGAATCAGCGTAGAGACCCCCGGTCATATGGACTTCCTTCAATTGCACGGCCGGGAAGATCTTGGATCTCTCAAAGCCGGAACTTGGGGAATCAAGGAACCCGACCTTCATTGGCTCGGAAATCCCCGCCAGAGCGGTAAGCTGTCCCTCTAAACCCGGAGATGTGTACTCATGCCCGGGCCCCTTCCTCCTCTAGCTCTAGAGGCGCCTGGTATCGACGTAATCCTGGTGCCAGGTACTTGCTCTCGCCGTCTCCTTCGTCCTATACCTCTCAAATCTAACTCCAGGCGTTGCGTTCGACCGGTCTATGTCGCGCCTGGGGCACGGCAAAGGATACTATGACAAATTCATTTCCACCTACGTCGAGACGGGAAACAAGCGACCTCTACTGGGTAAGCCAGTCAATCGTCTTCGCTCATGGCACCAGCCTGAGCATGTTTCCAGTCGCCCTTGCTCTCCGAGAGCAAATAGTCGACAACGCTGCCGTACCCGTCACGCCTCACGACTGGAAGATGGACATGATCATAACACCAGACGAGGTCATCCAATCACAGTCCCCATAATCCGGGACGGAGGGTATTCATACATGTCTGTCATACACCGCGAGTATCTACACAGCACAGTCCGTCTCGCGCGGTAGCAGCGTCGTTATTGTACATCGTCCAGACCCGAAACCCAAGAGCAGCCGATAGATGCATATGCCATAGATAAAAGAACGTGTGCGCAAGGAAGGGGCATGAGGGGGACAGCAGAGAACAGGGCAGAACCTCAACCTCAGCTTATGAGGAGAAGTCTGCCTCGTCCTCGGCGTCCAAGCCGCACTTCTTGAGCGTGGCATGGAAGGGCGAGACGGCCGTGGCGACTGGCGGCACGGGGGTATTCGTCAGGTCGGATACCCAGTCGTGGCACATGCGGTTGATCCTGGTGAGCTTCGTCAGCCAGGAACTCGTGCGCGCACATCAAGCACTACTCACTCCTTCGGGTGGGTGACAGGCCCGAAGTGCGGTGCGTCCGGCACAGTCGACACATGCACATCAATGCCCGCCTTTTGCATCGCCTGCTGCAGCTCGGTGACGAACTCGAACGGGTACGCGATATCCCCACCGCAGTGGATGAGGTGGACCGGGCACTTGACCTTCGCCAAGGTCTCGATCGGGTGCGCCTTCCGTTCGACAAAGAAGTTGACAGAGATGGCGCGGAAGTCGTCGAGGTTTTTGAGCGACCAGTTCTTCAGCGCTTGGGGGTATATCCGGGTCGTCAGGCTAGAATGCAGTCAGAGGGATGCAGGAAGCCAATCAGAATGGGGACATACGCAGTGACCATGCTCGTATTCGAGCTGTTGAAGCCGAGCTGGCAGGCGCCCCACAGCGCGTCCTTGAGCGCCGACTTGTCGCCCTGAATGCCCTCGCACCAGCACTCGTAGATCTCCAAGCGACCGGCGGCAACATCTTCAGGCTGCAGATCGCGTCAGAGGGGAAGAGGAACGCCAGAGCAACGCATCATACCTCCTCAAGCGGCAAGGGCGAGATCATCGTCACCGACAAGACCTTCTCCGGGTAGGTGATGGCCGTCTGAAGACCGATGCAAGCGCCCATCGAGAGGCCAATGATGTGGCATGCTGGCAGGCGGAGGGCGTCCTACGGCAATAACGATAAGCATATTACCCCGCGGGGCGATGATCGGGGACGCGCACCATGAACTTCTTCACATCGTCCGCGGCTTCGACGCGGCTGAACGTCTTGCCCACCTTGCCGCTCGTGTCACCGTGGCCGCGCGTCTCCATCACAATGAGGTTGAACTTCCGCAGCTGCGGGTCGGCGAACTGTTCTGGGGGGAGGGGCGCGTCAGCGCGCTGCGCGCGACGCGTAACGGTAGGGGACGCGTACGGTGGTAGATCTCCTGGCCCATATAGACCGGGTGCAGGAAGATGATTGTCGGGATGTTCTTCTCGATGGACTTCGCGGACGGGTTCGTAGGCGTCGAGATCGTGTAGTTGATGTGCAGGGAGCCCGCATTGGTCTTGACCTTGACGCTGGGCATGATGGGCGGACTGGACGAGGGACGGACGACGGGTAGATGGACGGAGGGAACAGGAAAGGATGCCGGAAGGAAAAGTGGAAAGGGAAGTAGAAAGCCGTCGCGAAATCCTTATATACTTCCGCGCGCCTTGTCTCACTCCCACACGCGATTCGGGCGCGGAGATGTCGGGGCGATTGCCTCCATACCTGGTAACCTCATGGCACTAACACAGCCACAGGCTGAAGAGCTCCTGAGGCTTGTCAGCGCCCCCGGCTCGCGTTCTTGCCGGTAATCCGGGTCCTCCAGGTCCTATTCCAGCAGCGAAAGGTACCAAACGGCTAGATGACTACGCAACAGCCGTAGTGGCGTCGACCCAAGAAAATGGCGAGCAGCCTATGCTGACTGTCGGCAGTCGCTATCCACGCGTACAAATCAGCGCTCGCGCTGCATTATCTCCTTCTAGTAAAAAGCACCATCATCAACATCATTTCTCTGCCCAATCAGCTGCTTCTTACCACAGAATACGGCGCTTCGAGCGGCTTGTTCTTCCGTCGCGTATCGGCCGCCGATGCCTCAAGAAGCCTGAAGTGGCTGAAGCGACGTCAGTGATGCCCTCCTTGCGAAAGAACAATATTCATTCGTACCCTGTACTCGGGCTATTGGGCACAAGTATAACTCGCGAGGATCGTCCCGGAGGCATATAATTTGGGCCTGACGGAAAGGTCAAGGATTTCTATCCCCCGCACGGAACCATAAGTGCTGTACCTGGCGCAGGGCGCATTACAGCCTGTGCCCCCGAGTCAAAGTTGGAAGGTGACCCATCGCTGTTGAGGAGTTTCGTGGCGCACTGACACGTCGTTACGACCTGCAGGGGTTTACGTCGCTGCGTCAGATCCAGGTGGCATTGCGTACGGTGATGCGGTTGGTGGCGCAGATCTTGGAAAGCGCGCTCTTGATACGATCAAGGGCTACCGTACGGGCAGCTGGACTGGAAGATTGAAATGGGGCGGAGAAACAACCGAAGACAACCAGGGTGGTCTACGAACGAAATGAGAATATGAATAGAGTGAAGGACGAAGCCGTTCACTCTTGGAAGTCGGTTAAGCAGGGTAGGTAAGGTGAGGACTGTGAGGACGAGCTCGGCGAGTGTGTGCACCGCGGTGGTTGAAATGAGTTCCTGTTCGTCCCCTGATGACGTTGAGCTGCAGCCACCTGTTCAATAGGAATTAGGGTGAGATACGCACCCTCAAGATCTTCCAAGAAGTCGGTGTTGATCACATTTTGGCAATCTGCAGATTAGGGGCAAACCCGGCAGTAAGGATGTGGGATGACGTACCAACAAGCAGAGTTCCTTCCCCTGTCCTTGCGTAGGAGGCCGCAATCTTGAGGGCCAAGGCATCTTTAGGGACACCTGGTGGTCCAGATAACTCATATACGCGTCCTGGGCGCAGGCCTCCGTCGAGTAGATGATCCAATTCTTTACAGGACGTCGTCCTTGGTTGTGCAACACCAGCCTTCGACAACGAGGCGAGGGACTGGGACGCGGCCGTCGGTGGCGCGACCGCTTGTGATGCAGACATAACGAGCTGCGACTGGGCGATAGGTATCCTGAGTTCTGGGGGAAACCGTGTATACATCATGGCGGTAAAAGCGGAGGGTCCCTTACGAGTTGACAAAGCTTCCGCAGACTCAAATCCAGCAAGGTCGCCGACATTCTCAAAGCCAGCGCGGGTTAGTGCTCCCAGCGTTGCTGGAGGCAAGGATAGGGAGGATATCGGTCGTTTGTGCATGATTTGCAGGCTGACCCTGTCAAAGCTTGCGCTCTGCGCTGGAAAGGTTCGTTTATGACCGGCTGGGTAATGCGGGGTATGAGATTGAGGGGTCTGTCAGCCAAATCAACGGAGGCGGTGAGTAAAAGGTATCGGACGTGATATAGAGTGGTTGTGTTTATGGTGGTGGAGAAGAGGCAAGTTATGGTGGCGACTCTGCGGCGCCCACGTGCGTATCGGCGAGTACCGAAATCTCAACTTGGCCACGTTTGCCTCCGTTTGGCATCTTGCGGTCGACATTCACCGTCTTTTCCTCGCCCTTTTTAACGTATTACTGGCTTCAGCTGGAGTAGGGGCTCAGCAATGGGGCGACTGAGAAGCACGTCCGGCGCCGCTCCTTTGGCATCTTATCCCGCTCACGAACATAGCCGGGCTCCTGAATTTTACGGTTTCGTCGCCTGGACTTCGACCTACCTGCTCTTCGTTCTCTTCCTCCTGTGGGCACTCTTACCTGACTCTGCCATTGTATATCTCGGGATTGACTGGTACCCAAACCGGTAAATCTGACTAGCGCAATCCCTCCGATGTCGCTAACGTCTTGAAGCGAATGGGCGTTGCTGCTGCCGTCGTACACCATTGTACTGGTCCTCCTCACCTACTTCACGTACCTTGCCCTGGCGCTCTTTGGCCAGCCCGCCTTTTCCAGCGCCACTACGATAACAGGTACGCGAGGTCGTAATGTCGGGCGCTCTTCCTGACGTTTGCATATCAGACTCGTATGCGCGCTATCCACCGCGGGGACACTCGAGTTCCTTGGAAACAGCGGCCGCCGAGCTGCTGGACGCGCCCATCACCGTCGTGAACAAGGCTTTGTACTTTTGACGCTGGGCACGTCAAGGAGTGAATCGCGGTCGGAGCGCAGGCCATGGAGGAAAATATGGTTTATATCTCGCAAATCCTCGTGTCACGTACGTGCAATGCTGAACAGTTCAAAGCCAAATCAAATATACGAGAACCTGAAGCACTCATTGCCACCCTGCAGTCATGCCACAACACGCGACCCACCGAGTCTGCACATCTGAAAGGAAACGAGCAAGCTGGTTAGCACTGCGCTACTGAACGCGATGGCACGACGAACTCACCCAATCAACCCTTCAGATTGGCCATATACACGTGCCGCGACGCCCCAGCCGACGCCTGGCCGGACTTGAGGTCAATCTTGCGCGAGACGTGCTCCTTCGGCACCTTCGCCGGCATCCACTTCAAGCCCTTCCCGTTCGCGCGCGTCGGACTGTCCATGAGCGGGTCCCGCACATCATGCACGACGGGGTTGCAGAACTCAATCTCCTTCTCCGGCTTGTACTTGCGAAAGAATGCATCGCCGTGCAGGCGGCGGTGCCGCCGCGCGTTGGAGGTGGCAGCGAAGGCCATGTCGCAGCCGGGGAAGCCGCATTTGAAGGCTTGTGGGACGAGGGTTATTATCTTGTGTAGTATAGTTGGGTAGGATGCACGTACGTTTGTCGCCTGTATGCGTGTTCATGTGCGTCTTGAGACTGCTTGGGCTGATGGGCGTGAGCACGGAGAGGGACGAGCACTCGGGATTGTACCCACCGACTGAACACCTTACCGCAGTTCGGGCAAGGGTGTTGCTTGGAGGGCCTCGAGGACGTGCCCTGAGTATTCCCATCGCTCCCCACATCAACTCCCTCGTCCATCGCCTGGCCAGACGACGTCGAATCACTACGCGCCCCCGATTGGCTATCGTCCTCCGAAGGCATCACACTCGCGAAAACATCGTGAGGACAGCGGCAGGAGGCAAGGGCGAAGGATTTCCGCTCGCGCCAAATCACGGCATATAGGTCGCCGCATAGCTACTTCCAATCGTCCATCTCAGGCAAATGACCGCAAAATGACCTAACGTGGTATCCGGTACTCCTTGCCACTATGCTAGCCCGTTTGTATAGCCCGTGCGGCCTCATGCAGCCAATCCCTCGGTTTGCCGTCCCCCAAGCTCGCCGCAAGGCCTTCCAGCCCATTCAATGCAATTAAGAGAAAGCCTTCGTACGATAGATGGACGCAGATAGCCTGGGTACGATGCGCGCAGCATGGTCCCCTGACATGATGCAGTTGATGTACAGCGGTCTATATAAGGAAGTTATGATCTACGTCTCCCCGCGTTAAGTCAAGTACACCCGGCGGTGGAGTCAGCCCCATCCTGAGGACGAACTTCGGGGCCCAGAGCAAACCTAAACCTGTCCAACCGGCTCCCAGAGGCGGGGCTGTCCACCCGGACGGCGGTGCGTTGTAGGGGCAGCGCGTTGCGCCGTACGAGCTTACTCGAGCTTCTCGGGACAGAGCCGGGGTCGCGCGGCGGGCGCGCAGGCAGCGGCGTCCGGCGGCCCTGCGGCGTCACCGTCGTCTCGCGGCGGACCAGTATACTACTCACTCGCCCGCCGTGCGCCCACTTCTCGCGCCACCCCTTCGCCACGGCTTCGAAGGCCGCGGACCTCTGGCCCTCGCCGTCATCATCGACCAGCAGCACCCGCGTCTCGCCAACCTGCTGCGGCGTCTCCGGCGAAGGTGTCGGCGGCGCATCTGAGGACGTATTCCCCGACCCAGGATCGTCGTCGAACCCATCGATGTCGCTGCTTGGCTCATCTGTGATAATGTCTTCCAGACTCGGCCCTCCAACGACCGTCCTACGCGAGGATGATGCAACCGGCGCAGATTCCCTTCGAGAGAAGGGCCTCTCCTCCAGATTGATAGGCGTACGCTTGGCGATGGCGGGGAAGGCGACTCGCGGATGAGGTAGCGAGTGACGGCGCTTTAAGTGTGCGACCGGACTGGACACGGGCTCTACGCCAAAGTCCTCTTCGTCTTCGTCGTCGAAGTCATCTGTTCGTCGCGGTCGCGTGGGTGACGATAGGTCTGCCGCGTCCATGCAGTCGTACTGCGCAGGCGAGATGTACCCGTCTTCCTGATCTACGCCTTCCCCTTCGGATACATCCTCCATCTCCTCGTCCGCCGGATGCGCGACTACGGAGTCGAAGTCGTCAGCAGGCTCCTTCGAAGTCGACGCCCGAGGCTGCACGTTCTCCTTGTCTGGCGGCCTCGACCTAGAGTCGCGCGCTGATTCCGGTCTCGGAGTCTGCGCACATGTCGGCGTCGAAGAACGGAAATACTTCGACAGCCCGACGGGAGGTTCCTGCTCCTTCTCCTCCATCCGTGCCTTCTTTTGGCTCGTCTCCGCATCCATCACCTCCGCTAGCGTACGCTTTCCGCTGTTCTTCCCAATCGAGCGCGGCTTGACCTTGATGGGCGACTTGCTTCGCGAGCTCTCATGAGGTATAACAGCGTTGGGTCCTACACGCGAGTCAGTAAAGAATCACGACTAATGCTAGGACATCGACTAACCAAAAAAGTCGAGAATGCCACCCGACTTTGGGGTGGCACTCTTTAGGGGCGCGACAGCCTTACCTTTGCCCTTGCTGATGCTCGACTTCTCGATGATGTTGAGGTCGAGGGTCTTGAGTGGCCGTGGGGCGAACTTTGGGTAGACATCCCTCACAGGGAGATGCGTCTCCGGATCGAGCTCGCCGTGAGCAATACCCTTTGCGATATCCGGGGGAATATTCCTGAACATTGATTTAGCAAAAAGTTTGATCTGCACCACACGACCGGATTTCGATATTCCCCGGCGCATACTGCACGAATAACGTGAGTATATTCTGAATAAAGGGTCAACAAACGCGGCGGGCTCATTGTGTTCTTTTGGGCGACACATTGATCGGTACGGCCTCCAATTGGCTGGGCATCGATATGCTCCTTGGATGGACCTGCCGCGTTTATTGATCCCTTACTCAGAATATACTCACGTTATTCGTGCAGTACGCGCCGGGGAATATCGAATCCCAGGTGTGGTGCTGGTGAGGTCACTTACGGTCCCACGTACAAGTCCGCTTCCTCCGTCCAATCATCCCCGACATCCGTCAGGTGTACCAGCGCCTCGCGAGCTGGGTCGTACACGCGCTGGTGGAGGAAGCACTGCTCCGCCAGCTTAAACTGCGACACATACCCCATCGGTATCCTCTTCTTCCCCTCCCTTGCGATGGCCTTCACGCACTGCTCCGCTGTCTTGTGCTTCCGCACGTACACCGCCGCCGTCTTCAGCCCAATACCGGGTATGCTGGGCAGGTAGTCGCAGCCGCTGAGGATCGCCATGGTGCGAAATTGCGCGTCCGTCCAGCCGACGAGGGACACGCCGTCGCAGGCGGTGACAGAGGCGAAGTCGGAGCGGGAGATGGAGACGACGGTGCACTGGGCGTGGTCGAGCTTGAAGAGGACGTTCTTGCAGCCGAAGACGAGGAGGTCGGAGTCCTCGGTGAGGATGGCGTGCACGGCGCCGGTGCGCTCGAGGAAGGCCATCTGCGCGTCGGCCTCGTAGGGCGCGACGACGTACTTGACGTTCTCGACGCGAAGTGCCTAGGAGGGGATTTAGCTAGTGTTTCTGGGTCCTATTATGCGCCACGCACCTTGATGACCTGGTATGCCATCTCGGGGGTGACGTCCACGCATTTGAGGTAGTGGTCCCTCGCCTGCGAGTGCTTGCCCTGCGCGGCGAGCATGTTTGCGCGCGCCAGGCTCTCCTCCCGCTTCTGCCTGCGCTCATTCTCCGTCCCCTTCTTCGCCGGAAGTGGCCCCCCGTCGAAGACGATGTACGGCTCGACGCCGTTGTGCCTCAGCATCCGCACTCGATGCATGAAGTAGTCGATGTATCTACGCGAGGTCAGTGGCCCGCTGGTATCAGAGTGGGTTCGTCACGCACTTGTGTGTCTCCTTCCCCGTCGCGAGCTCGACCGAGCAGTTGTACACGCCCCGGTGCAGCCATACATATCCGTCGACCGCGATCGTCTGTCCCGCAAAGTCGGATAGCTTCCTCGTCGTCTGGATCGACTTGAGCACGGGGAGAAGGCCAGTGATGCCCATCGACGTCGCCCTTCAGCGAGCAATGAGAGTGTCAACAGCGTCCCCGAGTCGTCGGGGTGGCAGCGACTATTGTATCACACTGGGTGATTTCCGTGAATCCGCGCAGACTCCCGGTGAACGCCCCTTCTATCGGGTCGTTTCCTTTCGGGAGAGGTAAGGGGGTGAATTCGATGTCTAGCTTTCGGATGGTGGTTCTTTTGTGGCGGAAAATGGAGAGGGAATGAGGGTGAAAGCTGGGACAGAGCGCCGAACTGAGCTTGATGGCATCATTGACAGGCCACGTGTTGGCGTTCTCTTCCGACATCTACACTCGTTCTGCCCACAAAGCCCAGTCAAATTGGCACCATTCGATAGAGAGGCATCGAAGACATGACTTGGCTTTTTTCCTGGAGGAAATCGAATACTTCGAAGGGGTGTTCCCCGGGAGTTTGCACGAATTCGCTATTCCAACGTCGCGAGCGGGTGGCGCGTGACCGCGTTGTTTCAATGTTTGTCCCCGCGTCTTGTCTTTGTGCATCTCCCGCCCGGCGTCTGCCGAACGCTCCTTGTCCCGGACCTCTTCATTCTTGCTTGCTCCCCGTTGCTGCTCGCTCATTTGCTTCGCTCGCTTCTTGGTTTCATGAGAACAACATAGTCAATCCCATCAGCATGATTCACGACATTTCGAAGGTCCCACCGCCTCGTTCAGTCTTCAAATTCAATTCCGAGTCCCATTTCGTCAAGGTCGAGAACATACCGAAGGATGGTGAGGCGACGACGGGCAGCGATGCGATGTTCTGATGAAAATGGGCGTATCTGCCTCCTCCAGTCGACAGACAGGAGATTTTGGCCCTCTTCAGCGCCCTGATAGGTGAGTTTGCTGGACTTGCGCGGAGGAAGTACTGACCAGATCTTTCGCAGGCACAGTGCGAACCGTAGAAGAGCAAAAGGATGCCTCCGGCAACACCATCATGCAACTTTCCTTCCAAGATCGAGACGCCGCCAAGTGCGTGTGCATATATCCGCCTTCAGCCATTAATCATACTTTTTCAGGAAAGCCCTCTGCATGAACGGCTATACTGTCTCCGGGACGGCACTGTGTGTGTCGGTGGCCATGCAAATACTGCATATATGCTGATAGCATCATTTACAGGATCGTCACTCGCGGGCCCTCTACCGATGGGCCATCGATGCAGTCAAAGTACCCGGATATGCGCCGTAACCTCTATGTCTTGGGCCTTCCTTTTGCCCTCACGAAGTACGCAGGATCTTCAGTTTTTATTCGTGTTCCTCACATGCGTTGCCTCAGGTCCGAGTTCACCACAATCTTTTCCAAGTACGGAACGGTCGCCCACTGTGTGATTCTCGCCACCGTCGACAACGCATCGCGACGCAGGGGCTTCGTGGTCATGTCCACCCACGAAGAGGCGAAGAATGCCATGGTGAATCTGTCGCGCACGCAAATCAAGTACGTATCGATGACATCTTGTATAGGAGGTGCTTACCCTTCCTCCTCCAGAGGCCATACGCTCGACATTTCCTGGGCTGTCGTCCAGCGCTCGCAAGGTATGTATGCTGGCCCGAATAAATCCCGGTGCTGACTTCTGCAGGCTTTCTTGACGGTGGTGACCGAGCCATGTTCATGGCCGACAACCCGGACTCCCGCAGCTCCTCAATTCCCGGCGATGCCGAGAACGACGCCCCGGACGACGGCTTCAAGCCCGTCGCTGCTCCTTTCGAGGCGATGGAACCCGCTCTCAAGCCCCTTGGCGACTCTCGCTGTCGCTCGATGAACTCTATTGTCTCTCCGACTATGCCTCACGCTGCGTCGCCTGTAGCTGCTTTGTCCGGACGCTCTCCCGCTCAAGACACTTCCGACCTCTCCGCCCACGAGCTCAGCTTGACTTCTACTGCGACGATCCTCGTCACGAATCTGCCCAGTGTTCTGTTCTCCTCAGCGGCGGATCTGCGGCCTCTCCTCTGTCCCTTCGGTACCATCAAGAATCTGCAGGTCATCAAGACGGGCTCCACACTTGCGACCCAGACCTCCGTCCTCAGTTCTAACCAGGCGTCCTCGCTCACCTGTACCCCGGCGTCTTCCCTCAGCAATCCGGACCTCCAAGCTTCTGCCCTCTCGAAACACGGCACTGAGGAGAAGGAGAATGTCGACCCAGCGCACGCTAATGGGAGCAATGCCTCGCAGGAGTCCACGACCACCGTTCTCGTCGAGTACCAGCACGCCGCCGAAGCCGAAGACGCATACAAGACGCTCAAGGGACAGTCCTATGCGCAATTCTCCCTCGAAGTGCAGTATTTGCGTCCTGTTGCGCCGGTCGGAGGAGAGACGCACGACGGATTTTCGCCGCGTTATGACGGGTATTCCACGCGGATGGAGGGATATGGCGGGCGATTGGGAGGTCACGGCGGCAGACTCGAGGGCTATGGCGGCAGACTCGAGGGCCACGGCGGCGGACGCTTCGACGGAGGGCGCAAGCTCCCGAAGAGCTACACGTCGTCGCCGCGCTTACCCTCCTCGCCTCACCTGACTTCCTCGCCGCACATCTCGTCCTCGCCGTACCTGACCTCGTCCTCGTCCTCGCCGTACCTGTCGTCGTCCTCGCCGTACATGACCTCGTCGCCCAACCTGCTTTCGTCGTCGCCCAAGCTGCTCTCGTCTCCGCATATGCCGTTCGCGTACGTTCATCCGTCGGCGATGTACGCGAACGCGATGTCGCCCTCGTTCGTGGGGTGCGGGACGGCGTGTGTGGGTGGAGGTTTGCCTTGTGCGGGGGGCGGCGCGGCAGGTGGGGGCGGAGGCGCGGCAGGTGTGGGTGGAGGGTCGCCGGCGGTGGGCTCGCACTCGTCGTCCGTGGGCTCGCACTCGTCGTCCGTAGGCTCGCACACGCCAACTCCGGGATCCCACTCGTCATGCACGAATAGTTCATCTCCGTGCCCGCACGGATGGCACGGTCCTACTGCCCCAGCGTGGCACGGGCCTACTGCCACCGCCCCAGCACCCTCCGGCCTCTTCTACAACGCGCCGCACTATCTGGTCTCGCCGCACGATCTGGTCTCGCCGCACGATTTGGTCGCTCAGCAGGATGGGGCGATGGGGAATGATTATTTCAGGTGCGTATCCCGACCCTCCGCTTGAGTTTTCTTCGGCGTCTCTGCGTTGGAGTCACGTTAGTGGATGCTTGGGAGTGAATTGCAGGCTGATGATTATCGACAGACGCATGCCGGTGCTCCCTACGCAAGGCGGCCAGTTTGTGTATCCTGCGTTCACGGCGCCGATGCCTGCGGGGTATGCTGGGTTCTGAGGCGGTTATCGGCTACCGCGTCCTCGATATTCGATTCCAGTATAGTTCGGCAACGTCTGCGTACACGCCAGCGGCTCTGCCTCCTCACCTCCCGCCTGTCGCTCGTTCTCGATCTCACTCGTGTACTCGTCACTTCCGACTTCGCTTTTCGACGCTATCGACATCGCTTTACAAGGTTCTCAACATCGCTCTCGCCTGCACTTCGCACATCGCTATGCTTTCGCCCTCTTTATCTGGTCTGGATAATGGCTTTCATGTTACGTCTACACACATCGCTATGGCTGCTCTCGCTTTCTACTTGGCATTCCCTTCATCATCACGCTCTGTTAATCAACATTGCGCTGTCTCTTCCCGTCAAGCACCTCAGCATTGTCCACACCGTTCAGTATCACTGCATCGTCCAACACTTGCATCGTTCAGGCGAGTCGTCTGCTCCAAGACCCTGCCGTGAACTTACCTTGCTGCAGTACATCATTATGGGTTTTTAGGGTGGAATGGATCGATGGATCCTTTAGTATCATCGCGCACGCATACACACTCTTCCTATCCGTACACTGCATGTTCCCGGCTCTGTACACTGCAAGTTATTGGCTCTGTGCCCATAAACCTTTCCCTCTTTGTGGAAGATTGATCACTGGTATGTAGGATGATATGTATCAGGGCGAGCCTGCTATACTTGCCCTCGCACGTGTCCGAGGAGGCGACAAGCGCCGGTGATGGGATGATCATTGGAGGGCGCGGCGCATGGCCGTTACGCTCTTGGTTTCCGCGGCCGTCTTCTCCCCGTTCACAGTCGCCAAACTGTCTCTCCTTGGCCCCTTGGTCCTTGGTTTTCTCCCCTAAGCGATAATTTCTTGGCTCTGTGCCCTTAGCGATACTTGGCTACTTGTCTCGACCGACATTTAGCCTTCTGTCCCGAACGACACTTTGCCCTGACCTGACCTGAACGACGCCTGCCCTTCGATCCTTTACCTCTCACCCTCTTTCTGAACCACCTTCACTTCGATGCTCTACACTGCTCTCTTGGTCGCGCTCATCGCACAGCGCGTCGCGCAGGTGCAGGCGACGGCTTGGTGCGTTGATCGAGTTGCCCGGGACATCTATCCAGCTAACGTAGACGTATAGCAACGCGACGTCGCCCTGCCCAGCGTCCGCGCCGTGCTGCAGTGAGTGACTTCGTGCCCCAGGCCAGAAGAAGAGGAAAGCTGACGCAAGGCGTGCAGGCGAATACGGCTTCTGCGGGGATGGTCACGTACGTGGTTGGCCCAGCGGAGGCCCATGACGCTGAACCCGCCCTTAGTTCTGCCTCGGCGGCTGCAACCCCTTCGCGTCGAACACGCTCGACTCGTGCAAGCCGATGCCCTTGTGCCAGGATGCGGAGGTTCGTGATCGCACTAGCTCGACCGCTTCACGTGCCGCTAACGCTGCGCTCTTCCTTCCTTCTCTCTTCAATACCCGACATCTGCCTGCCGCCTCTCCGACACACGGCGCTCCTCCTCAATACCTCGCCACACAGTACTCCTTCCCGAACAACGACCGCATCCTCTCCAACTCGACCCAATTCGACGGCAACGCGACTGAGTATGGTGCGTCATTGCTGCCTCCATCCTTTTGCCCAGCTCGCCTCAGTAATAACGCGTCACCTCCGCAGACTGGGTCGTCGACAAGGGCTCCATCTTCAACACGAACCAGACCGGCGGCGAGCTCGCCATGATCCTCACCGAGGACAACGGCGGGACACGCATCTCGTCCACGCGGTACATGCACTACGGGACCGTCACCGCGAATCGTGAGTACTCTTGCCAGGGCTCCCACATGTTGCCAGCCCATGCCGCTTGCCCCGGCACGATGCTTGTGGAGACTCAACGCCCCTGTTCAGTGAAAACCGGCAAATGGGGCGGCGTCGTGACCGCGTTCATCACCATGAGCGACATCAAGGACGAGATTGACTGGGAGTTCCCCGGTGGCGCGACGACCGAGGCGCAGTCCAACTTCTTCTGGCAGGGTGTTATCCGTGAGTCGGGCCCCGTGTACGCAACAAATATCCCCACTGACGGTCTATGCAGCTGACTCCACGCACGGCGCGACACAAAAGGACCTCTCCGATACTTTCGAGAATTACCATGCGTACACGGTACGCTGCCTTTCTTCTTTATTCCCATTCAGCTTCTACTGTCCTCCGCCCAAAATATCTTGCTTTACTCACCCGCTCGCCTCAGATCGACTGGCAGCCCGACCACATCACCTTCTCCATCGACGGGAACGCAGTGCGCACGGTCCAGGCCTCCGACTTCGTCGACGGCAACGGCGGGAGCCAGTTCCCGAACACGCCCTCGCGCATCCAGCTCAGCCTCTGGCCCGCGGGCATCGACTCGATGCCGGAGGGGACCGTGCAGTGGGCGGGAGGTGCGTAACATGCTCTCTATTATCACCTTCTCCTGCATCGTGCCTCAACCTGTGTCGCTGGCGATGCACCTGCTCACTCCACGGATTGCCCACTTCACCTCCCGTTCACTCCGCCAACCGCCCACCTCACCTCCCGCCCACTAACACGCCCACTCCCAGGCATGATCAACTGGGACGACCCCGACTACACCTCCGCCGGCCACTTCTACGCGCTCGTCAAGTCCGTGTCCGTCAAGTGCGCCGACCCGGAGACGCGCTCGGCGAACGACACGTCGTACATCTACGAGTCGAACGCGAGCACGCCGAGCGTGGCGATGAGCAATCACTCGACGTTGCTGAATGGCGCGGGGCGGACGATGATGGTGGGGGGCACGTCGATGGATCTGACGCTGGGGCTGGTCGCGGTGGGCGGGGCGGTGGTGGCGATGTTGGTTTAGGGTGCAAGGGTGATGGTAGTTGTGCGCGAGAAAGTGTGTGAAAGGGGAATGGCTGCTTGTCGAATGTTGGTATGGGTTTGTGCTTTTTTGGATGGGTTGTGCATCTTGGGCCTCGCGCCACTCACTCGCTTTATATACCCTCGGGACTAGGTAGGGTGGATAGGCAGTAGCATACCCCATGTGGTTAATCAGTCTTGGAAAATAATGATGGTCAATCTTGCGCATGGGCAAGGAGGGGAGAGGTCCGCGACCTGACACACTCGAGTTCACAATTCGAAAAAGCAAGTAATTTATGTGTGCTGAGTACCAGAGATGACCGAGACACATCTGACAAAGTGCTCGCCCAGTACTAAGTGACCTATACAGTGTATTTGTATCCGACAGTCCGATCCAGATAAAGATTCGTAGCAATACAGTATCCGACAACATCCACTGATCACACCTGGCACTACGCCCCCATCGACACATCCCCGTCCACCAGCACCGTCTCGTCTCCAAACGTCTCATCAAACTCCTCGATCAACAATCGCGTCTCCTTCGCAATCGCCTCCAGCGCCTGTGCCCTCGTCCACGTCGTCACCTGCACCTCCGGCGCCTCCTCCGCGTCCCCGGGCATCGGCAGCACCTCGTCGTACCCCAGCACGCTCTGCACGACCCGGATCCGCTCATACGTCGCGCGCACCAGCACCATCGACCCGATGCGCGTCACCCGCGACGCTTCTGCGCTCGGCGAGGCCGGCCGCGCGTAAGGCGATGGCGGGCGCGACACGGGGCCCAGGTGCACGATGCGTGGGTTGCCCCCGCCGCCGTCATTCAACCCATGGAAGCCCGCCTGGCGGTCCTCCATGAAACCTGGGCCCGCGCGCGAGCCGCGGTACGAGTATGCGCCAATTTTGGGCGAATTCTCCGGCGATGGCATTCCTGAGAGGCGCCGACGCGGCTTCGAAAACGCGGTGGAAGATACGCGTCGAGAGCCCCGCGCGCCGCCCGGGCCGTGCTGCGCGCGGAGGTCATGGTTGAGGGTGAGCACCTTTTCCTGCATGAAGAGACGCATCTGGAGGAGGAGCGGGGAGCGGTAGACGGCGAGTAGCTCGAGGAAGGACCAGAGGGCGTAGTCGACGGCGCGAGGGCTCTTGAATGTTCGGGGCCGCTCGGGGACCTGCATGAAGGGGTTATTTGACTGGAACATGGGGTTGTAGACCTCGAGACTGGCGCGCGGAGAATGCAAGGGAGAGTGCGTGGGTGAGCGTAGGTACGAGGTGGCGAAGGCCGCATCACCATCGTCCAGAGTCGACATCAGGAAGGCTGCCACCCGATTCCATACACCAGGAAGCGAGCTCGACAGAATACTCTCCGCACGGACGACAATGACTTTGATAACCTGTAGTATGAAGACAAAAGTCGGGACGTGCGGTGTTGAAGAGGACTGCGAGCGTCGCTTCTGTTCGACCTTCGAGCGCCCAGAAGTCACCTGCTTGGCAGTCATTGCATACGCCAACAGTCGCATCCAAGCACTCGGAATCGCGTTGCTGCCCGCATGGCCTAAGTGCGCCTCCCCCAGATGCCCTTGTCCGGCTGGCAGAGTCATCACAAGCGGGAGGACGATGTGGGCAAGGAAGTCATGACTGGGCGTACATCGCTCGATCTCCCACAGTACGTCTGCGTGTTGCATATGCACGACCTTGGAGATCAGGTTGATGAGTGAGGTTCGGAAAGTCAAGGTGACGAGGAGGTTCTGCGAAGCGGCCTGCTCGCACGCAGCCAGACCAGCCGCGCACACCTGGTTCGTGACCATATGGGCGAAGTGCTTGTCGCTAGCGTAGAGCGGATTAGATGCAAGGTGAGCTAAAGTGTCGAAGACGCCAGAGAAGTCCAGGGTGCCCGCGAAGGCGCTGATGATCGGGGTGTTCACCTTGAGAAACGCGATGACCTCCTTCACCGTCCTTTGCTGATCTCGCCAGAGCATTGCTTTCGTGTAGCTGCAGAAGATTCGCGCAACCGAATCACGTATGTCGCCTGACGTGTCCTGGATGACGATACGGAAGACGTCGACAACATGTTGCATCGTGCTCGAAGGTAGATCGCCGCCAGCTTCTGCATATGCAACGACAAGATGGAGGTAGTCGAGGCGCATGGACAGGACGTCGCTCGAGCCTTTCGTGTTGTCCAGCACGGGCGCAGAGTCCAATAGGGCGTCAGCAGATGCAATGCTATCCGAATCGTCGCCTGTGCGAGATGTCGTGGTGGAGGGCTGTGCAGCTTCCGTGGCTTTTGCCTTGCTTGTGAGCTTCAGCAGCACCATGCTAAGCGCGTCTATCCCATCTCGCAACACAGCACCGGCCCCTGGATGTGATCTCGCGTATAGACTGGACGCCATATGCCGGAATGCGCGAAGAAACTGCTCAGCTCTCCTGATCGTAGGATCATGGGCGATGACGGTCAAAAACAAACGGATGAAGTTCTCGATGTGAGGTTTCTTCGCCTCAAATTCTTCCGGGATATCGACCTTTGTCAGCTGATTGTCGTTGCGCAAAGCAGCAAGGAATGCTTGTGGCGTTTCCTCGGCAGTCGAGACGAGCAAGGCTTCGCGCTCTTGCTCCTTGTTTTGGTCGTGGATACCGGCCGCATCCGTAGACCGAGACGGAGGCGTAACCTGGTGCAGCGTCCAGAAGAACTGGAAGATGTTCTCGCAAATCCAAGTCGCATTGACTTTGGGCACCATCAAGACATGCGACATGACGTCGAGCGTCTGGAAGATGAACACTTCACGGTGGAGGGCCCAGAAGCGATCTGCAGCGTAGTCAATCGCACTACGGATGCCGCTGTTGACCTCATTCTCGGCGTAGACTTTGAGAAGCGCAGGCATGAACATGGTGTACCCGCCTCCCGACGTGAAGAGCCGCCGGAAACGTGTACTCGCAACCATGAACGCTGCGTGCAGTATCAGTTCCACGGTGACTCGTTCGATAGCAGCAGCGTACCGATCAGAGTATGGGCCAGTATACCAATGTCGTCCCCATGCGCCAACAGGACACGATTTAGACCGTCTATGAGCACCGACAATTCCTCGCGATCGTTCAAATGACGCGGAAGGCATCGGAAGATCTGCGCGACGAGCAAGACATAGCTGCGAGAAAGCATGGACGATAAGGCGGCCATTGTGACCTCGTCAGCGCTCTTAGAGTGCTGCCCCTTCGCTCTCTTCCTTGGCACAAAGTCCTTCATCTCCAATGGCGGTGGCTCGATGGTCGGCGTCGAGTCTATCGGTAGCACGAGCCGCGTCATGGTCCTCCGAACGAGCTGGACATCCTGAGGCGTCCGTTTGAGCATGGATAGAAGGAGGCTATTCTGAGCAATACGAATCGTCGTAATGTGGACCAAGTCAGGGTCGTACGTGAAAGGGTTGTAGTGACTGGGAGCTCGCGGGAACATGTAACCGGCTGGAGCAGATGGCGGAAACCAAAGCGAACCCGAGGGTATCATAAACGGCTCGATCTTCGCCCTTCGCATCTCGCGAATCGACAACCGGCTAACCTGTGTGACCAGCTTCGCTGCTACGCCCAGCACGGCCGCAAAATCACTGAGAGGGTCCTGGGTTTGGAGATGTCGCGTATTGTGCTTCAAGTAGCCGATGATATTGTTGAAGAGCTGGAAGGCAAGCGAGGGTGGCGTATGCTGGTGTACATGAAGAAGGGCACGCAGCGTTGTCGTCGCACGGGGCATATCCCGAGATTCCGCGACGAAGAAGTCGAGTAGAGGGCGAAGAAGCAGAGCGGGATCGTTGCGCATGAGATCAAGGACAACAGCGCGTGCGGCAGATGCAACGGCAAAGCTAGGATCGAATACGAGCATAACGAGGTCCGGGAAGACACCCGTAAGCGAGGGTACGAACACAGGTCTACGCTTGGCTCCCTGTATTGGGCCACCTGTGCTCGAGTTGCGGCGAAGCAACATAGGCGAGATTGAGCTGCTATCAGATGCGCTCCTTCCACGTTCCTGTCCCGGCCGCTGAGGCGAAGCAGCAGGACTGTTGTTCGGCGAGGGCATCGGTGTCGCATCCCGATCTACAGTCAGGTCGAAGCGATCTGCTTGATAACTCGGCAGTATGGACAGCGGCGTCTGCGCCCACTCAAGCCGCTGGTCGACCGGCGAATCGTCCTGCGCCCATCCGATCTCGGCCAATCGCTTCTTCAGCTCCGCGGGCAGCGCGTCCTTGACATCGCTCGCGTTCGTCTCCAGGACGAACTTGTTCGACCCGATATCTGCCGCAACGAAAGGCAAAGGACCCCGAGCAAGCTTGAAGGGTCGATGTGCACGGTCCATGATCACTTGCTGGGACAAGATCTGGAAGCGATAGTTCACGAGCAAACCGAAGCGCCGAGCAGCCAACACGCGTGTCGACTCGTCCGAACTAGTAGATGCTCAGCGAGGAGGCTACATGGTTTTTCCAGATACTCACCTCTGCATATCAACTTCAATGGTCGCAATCAAATCCCTGGGAGCCTTCTCTGCACATTGCATGACGAGGAAACAAGCCTGTAAACTGTTAGAATATGGTCATCATCCTGAGAACAAGACAATTACAGGTCCCAACGTGGGCGCCTCCCGCTCGTCCAGATAATTCGCCCACAGGTACGTGCCGATTTTCTCTACATGGTCTCGCGACAACAACACAGCCATCGTGACCAGCAACTTCAGGATGCGCGCCGCAAAGCCCTTCGCAACCGACCTCAACAATTGCTCCTTCTCCTTCAGCAACCCCGACGCGCCATCGATCGTAGTGTCCATGCTACCCGACCGCGTGTGCAGGACCATTGTGCTTCGCCGTGAGTGTCCCAACTTCGCGCCTGCCTCGCTGGCCATGTAGAGCGCGCGGATCTGCTCAACATAGTCCTTGACCTCCTCATCGGTGCGTTGTCGAACACTTTCGTCGGTCTCGTACTTGACGAACCAGGAGACGCACTTGGAGAGCCAGGACGCGCTGCAACAGTTGTGAAATTGGACAGTACTAGGAAACAAGATTTTGCACTCACGGTTTGAGCGACCGAGTGTACAGACGACACTCACGCAACAACACCGACAGCAGGACTCGCTGTATGGGGGGCAACAAGGCTTTCTGCTCCTGTTCCATAGTCAGATACGCTCCACTTGAGCATAACTCACTCACACACCTTCGCCTCAATGAGCACAGTCAGCCGAGTCTCCAGCCCAATCACAAACTTCGACGAGTCCATGAACGGGTTCTCTGACTCCTGTAGAATATTCCATCAGCATCTCTCCACGTCTTCGACATCCTCCTCACTCACCTCGACCTCCCTCGTCCTTCTCGCCTCCTGTATCCGCGAGATCACCTCCACCATCAACGCCGTCTGCCCCAACCTCGGTACACCCCACGGTACCTCCCCATTCTGCACGCTCTCCCCCGCACTCTCCTTCCTACCACCCGGCTCGCTCATCAGCGCCACCGCAACCATCTCCGCATCCCTCGTCCAAAACTCCGGCACGAACTTCGACACCGCACGCAAGACGGCGAGATGGTGCGCTACCGCCAGCTCGCGGGTGGCTGCTGCACATGCAAAGAGGGGCTTGAAGAAGACCTGCGGGTACGTGCGCGAGAGAAGGTCGAGAAGCGCGGACAGCGGTGCACTATTGGCGGCGGGTGGGTCCTCGACGAGGCGCTGGGGAACAGTCAGTTGTGCACCGATGATAAGTCAGGGGGAAGGCCTACATCGTTCAGCACGGGCACGAAGTACGTTGCAAGCGGCTTGCGCATTGGCTCCGGCGCCGCACGCATAACGGCGCTCAAGATGGCGAGCACGCGCGGCCAATCGTCCTTTGAAATCTATGCACGATCTGTCAGCATGCACAACACACTTTCAGAGCCGCGTATGTACTGACCACATCCTTCATCGTTGTCTCGACCGATACACGCAGCTCTGCATTCGCGTGCCATGCCCCCACAAGCTCCGCCGCCCACTGCATCAGCTCCCGACTGCCACTAATGCAGAGCAACTCGAACGCGATGCGGACAACGTTGCTGCGCGCCTCAGACGCCAGTGTATCCGATAGTCGAGCGAGCTCGTCGACGACGCGGCGCTGTACGTGGTACATGGCGAGCTGAGCGGCCGATACCTTGCCTTCCGGGGTCAAGAGGGTAGTCGACGTCGGCTCTGAGTTTACCATCGCCAACAGCGCGCGGGTGAACGTGTTCAGCTTGCTCGCATGGATGATGGCCGGCAATGGGCGATGAGCCTCCGCCGAGTCCTCCGGTTGCCAGTACGTCTGCCAGCGTTGTTAGCTTCCAAGCACGATCGTTCAGAGCTCACACTCACCTCGATTCCATACCGCAACAGCCACCTCCTCGTCGCCTCGCTCGAGTTCTCCACACACTTTGCAAGCGCCTCCAAACATACCGCCCGATGCACCTCCGCCACACTGTCCTGCTTCACATACAGCGCCCCATACGCCTCCTCCACCGCATTCGTGTCGACCTCCCCGCACGCCCCCGCCAACACGTCCTTGATAATATCCTTCGCCAGCCGACTCTCCTCCGTATCAATCACCTTCCCCGACTGCGCCGCGTGCAGATTCGGCAGCACCCCAAACAGCGCCTGCACAAACGTCTGCACCGCGTGCGGCGTCTCCAGCGCATACGAGCCCAGTGGCGCGGACCCCATTGCATCCACGTCCTCCTGCTGCCCGCGCCCCTGCCCCGCGAGCTGCCAGAGCGCGCCCACGACGCGGTCGCGGTACGCGGACGGCAGCAGCGCCGCCTTGCAGCACCAGCACAGCCGCTCCACCGCCGTCGCCTCGTCCCGCGGCGGCCACGTCGCCGTAATCAGCAGGAACGCTTCCAGCGCGAACCACTGCTCCTGGTCCTGCCCGCGCTCTGTGCTCAGGAACGGCTTCAGAAGCGCCGACAGTATCTGCCCTTCGAGCGGCACCGCGACAGTGCGCGGATACCCATCTGTGCCCGGCATCGCGTGCGCCGTCAGAGCCTGCAGAATTGGCTTGACGGTCTGCCGCGCGAAACCCGCGTCGCTACTCTGCTCGGTGCTGTGCTGCTGTGCGCTCGAGGCGAGTGATGTCGTGGACATGAAGGGCAGGTAGAGCGTCGAGCCGGGCGCGCTGTGCGTCTCGAGCCTACTTCCGCCCGCGCTCTTCTCCGGTACGAGCGACGCGGCGAGTGCCGTATGTATATCGGCGGCGAAGCGGCGGCTGTCATCGACCGCGGCCTCCTTCGCGCTCTCGACGACCTGCCGGAAGCCCAGACGCGCGAGGCGCGACGGCTTAGCAGCTGGCTGCTGCGAGCGGCTGGCCTGCAGAGGTGAGGATGGTCTTCGTATATGCGGAGAGGATGGCCGGCGAGGAGAGGCAGGGCGACTTGGGCGCGTAGGCGACGCCGAGCGCGGCGTGGGCAGGACGTGCTGTCGAATGTGATCCCATCGAGCGGATGACGGTGAGCGCGGGTACTGCGCAGAGTCGGGGGACGAGGACCGCAGCTGCGAGACCTGTGGCAGCGTTGGCGGCTTCCGCTCCCCTCTCAGAGGCGAGCCAGCGCGATGAGGGGAGTCCGCGCGCGGGCGCTTGGGCGACTGCGGTCTTCTAGGTAGGAAGTAGCTGTTCGTAGGTGTTGTCAAGTCCTTGGGCGATTCCGCAGTCTCCTCCAGGCTATACATGCTGGCTGAAGGAGCTTGCTTGTGCTTCCATCTTGACGGGCTCTCGTCGTCCGGGAGGCTCGCAGTGTCGGACGCGTTGGTGCGCGCCGTCTTGATAGAGTCAAAAGAGAACAGTCGTCGCGGGGTTTTCCTGCCTTTAGATTCCGACATGGAGAAGGGCTATCGCACTGTAGACGAGCTTGAGTGTAAGAGTGCAGCAGCAAGCATAGTCTAGCGCACCTCCCTAGCCTGGAATAACGTTAATAGGATATACCGTGTCAATGAGATCCAGAAGCTTGCTGTGCAGATCAAGAGATCGCCTATAGAGCCGCTCAAGACTCGTGCCAGCAGAGGTGTGTGTAAAGCGTTGCGTCAAGATTTCTAAGGGTTCCCGAGAAGCAGATTCAGAGCACAGCAGATGACTGGATGGTTTATGGAATAAATCTGACGGTGGCGCGCAAAAGTTGGGAGCAAGGCGCGTTCCCGCGTCGACATCCTCAGTGCCACGTGTCATGGCCCTCCCGGGCCGGTGAGAACGGGCGCTAATGTGCTTCGCAGCTTCTGAATCTCAGCCTTCTCCCCAAAGCTTTGTAACGTTTTTGACGGTAACAGCGTCCCAGAGCATGTTTTCCTCCTTAGTGCAGCCGAGTACTGTTTCCTTGTTCTCGTCGACCGGCTCTCTCCCTCTCCAGCTGTTCGAAACGAGGAACGACACCACCCTCCCCGAAGACTCCTTCGTCCACCTGCTCAACGACACCACAAATATCCCTGCTCCCCCCGCGCCAGCGAAGCTCGTCCCCATTCACACTGGCCAGGAAGGCCTCAAGGACAGCAAGACTCTTATTCAGACCGTCCTCCACATCCAATCCCCGACACTCCCTACGACCTACATTCAATGTCCCCCAGACTCCCTATCCCCTAGTAACCCTCGCGGCCTCGGATTGAAGCATCCTTGGGTGCACGTGCAGTCCCGCGACCTCGGCAAGGAATGGAGCTTCGAGATCGGCGTTGCGGACCAGGCGAATCGAGTGGGCGTTGTGCGGCTCTCGACATTTCAGGTGCGTTTCCCCTTCTCGCAATCATCTTCATCTACTGACATATGACTCCTACTAGAGAGAGCCTCGCCTGGACACCGTCGGTCCTTTCCCTCTTCTCCACCTCCCCCTCATCTTCCCGCAACGCACCGACGAGTACTCCGGCACCACCTGGTCCACAATCGACCTCAACCTCCCCCGCCTCCTCTCCGCCTTCACTTCCCCCCAGCTTATTGACGAGAATCACCCTCCGCCGCAAGTCCCCTTACCCTCCAGCGCGTTTTCCCATGTCGTATACGTCCGCGTCTACGCGACGTGCCGCTTGCGTCGCATTTGGTTCAGCCAGTCGGGGCCGTCGCAGAAGTCGCCATGGGAATTCGATTTGTATGGCTGCGACCCCGCGAGGGAGCAACACCAGTGAATACAATGGCCTCGCACGCTCTCTCGAAACGCCCGCCTACGAGCTCCCCAGCTTCTCATCGTGCGAACCCTCCGCGATCGCATCGATCGCCGATATCGCGTTCTACTAGCCGCTCTCATCCGCCCGCGCACCATGGCCGCACCCCATCCCCCACCCCCCACCTCCTCCGAAGACATCCTCAACGACGCCCTCGCCTTTCTCGGCGGCGAGCCCGTCGTCGAGTCGCCCGATGACGACGGCATCCGCTACGGCCCTCTCCGGCTGACCGTCGCAGCCAAGGCCGGCAAGGCAAGCCTCCCTCCCCCACATCCCTACCCAACCCTCCAACCCACGCAGCCCCTCCTTACCTAGGCCAACACCCTCCTGGCCGATCACCTCTTTTCCCCGGCCCTCTTTCTCGCAGAGCTCATAGAACGGTGCAGGATACCGCTTGATGGACGGGCAGGTGCGTCTTTGGCTCCTGCCTTCCATTCGACCGCTTCTTCCTTTCATTCAACCGCTTCTTCCTTCCATCCGACCGCTTCTGACGACATGCTCCCCGCCAGTTCTTGAACTCGGCGCTGGCACCGGCTTGCCCTCAATACTGCTGAGCACGCGCTCACCCACTCCAAGTCCCAACTCAAAGGACTCCGCATCATCCCTCATCGTCGTCACCGACCACCCCGACCCCACCATCCTCGGCAACCTCCAGGCCAACGTCGCCCGGAATCAGCACCTCGTCGCCCCGGGGTGCAAACTCACCTGCGCCGGATACGAGTGGGGGACGGACGTGGGGCATCTGCTGTGAGTGTGCAGCACACACCGTCTTCTTCGTCCCTTGCTCCCTCACTACCCTCTCCCTCATCGCCACTACCCCCTCTCCCCCCCTCCCCCATCTCTCTCCTCTCCGCCTTGCCTCTCCCATTACCACCAACTCACCCCTCCCCAGCGCCCTCCTCCCACCCAACACCTCCGGCTACACCACCCTCATCCTCTCCGACCTCCTCCACTTCGGCGACGCGCACGACGCGCTGGTGGCCAGCATCACCAAGCTCTCCGCCCGCACGCCCGAGGCGAGGGTCTATGTCGCGGTGAGTGTTTTGCCTAGCCTCGCAGATCTGCCTCTATCCAGCTCGAGCTGTTATTTTTACAAACCTTCCACAAACCTGCCACGAACCATCTACCAACCTTCTACAAAGAGACTTTCTTCGCCCCGTCGACGCTCCCTCCGCCTTTGCATGCTCTCTGTGAGATGCGTCGCTCATCCACCCTTCCTCCAGGCCGGCACCTACACCAAACCCGCCGTCTGCGCCAACTTCGTCCGCGTCGCGCGCGAGGCCGGCCTCATCATCGACGAGGCTCTACCCGACTCGCAGTCGTCCTCTTTGCCCGACTCGCAGTCATCCTCTCTACCCGACTCGCAGTCGTCCTCTGCAGACACCTCATGCGGTTCACCTCGACAACCGCCTGACGCTGGACCTACTATACGCCACGAACTCACCGACCTCCTCCACCCCGAATGGCTCGGCACCCTCGAGGTCGGCGGGCTCGACAAGGAGGCGCTCGCCCTCCGGAAAGCGGCGTGCAGGCTGTGGATTGCGCGGTGGCCGCAATAGCTACAGCAAGGCTCTGTACATCGTCTCAAAGCGAAGAATTGTACATCATCTCACAGCAAAGCATTGTACATCGTCTCACAGCAAAGATCTGTTCATCCTCTCACCGTGCATCGCCCAAAACAACTCTCGAGTCTTCAATCTCCCCGCCTCGCCAGTCGAGTCTTCGTTCTTCCCAACACACCACACCAGTCCGGTCAATCCGCGAAGTTCATGAAGTACAATGCTACCACGTACAACCGTAACTATACAATCAAGTACCAAGAATACACAATCCATAAGGCGAACATTCTCTGTTTGGATGCGGATGAGCTTTTCATAACCGTGAATGAGGAAGATGCTCCTGGGATAACGCGAGGATGAGGAGAGCAAACAGACATCGTGGAGGTCATAAGAAAAAATAAAAAAATGCGTGAACACGTGCAACCGGGCCTTCCCTGCGCGACTGTAGCTTCCACCTGCCGCCGGATAGGGACGTAGCCACCCTGTACCACCTTACCCCTTCTAATACGGCGGCCTCTTGAACTCGTCGCTGATAATCTGCGCCTCCGGGTCAAACCCGCCCTTCACAATCCGCCCCATCGCATCGTACGCCACAAACGAATCGTCGTCCGTGTCCTTGTTCGGCTCCGGCGTCTTCACATATGTGGTCGGCGTGTTCACGTACGTCGACGGCGTCTCGAGGACGTCCATCTGGAGGGGCTTGTCAGCGGGTGCGGCGTGCATATGAGGCGAGAAAGAGGATAGAGAGTGAAACGATGAGAAGAGGCGTTGAGAGGAAGAGGAAGGGGAAAGGACAAGGAAACGAGTGAGGTGCAACGCCTACAGCCGCTCGCGGACGAAGCATCCGCGAGGCCTATACCCCGCGGATGTTTCGCCCCGAGCGGCTGTAGGTGGCGACAACGACGAGGAAGATCCTCCTTCGAAGCCCACTCCCATGCGAAACGCATGCCCAATTTCCTTCCAAATGCGGTCCTTCCCGCAACGCCCTCGCAAAGAACCCCACGCCACCACCCAAACGAAGTCCCATCCTCCCCTTGTTACGCGCACAATCCCCGCCCAATCGCGCGTGTAACAAGATGGTACGCGTAACAAGGTAAATCTTCACCCAACCACCCGCACCTCCCGAGCCAAACCGACATCGAAGACCCAGAATGAGCCCCCAAAAAAACACGTGCAACTCACCTGCATCCCCGCCTCCGACTTCGAAAACCGCGTGTTCACCTTTGGCCTCGATTGCAGCTGCCCGCCTGTCTGCGTTCGGAACGCCAGCGTCGATCCTTGCGTCGTCGAACTATACATGATATTCACGTCAGAACTTATTTTTACTCGAGGTGGCTTCGACTGTGGAGGCATACGCGCTCAGCGGGGACGGCGGGTACGCGTCCACGGGGGACGCATTGACTCCGTACGAGTCCATAGGCGACGTATATGCGCTCGAGGGTGACGCGGGCGTTCCCATAGAGGGCCCGTACGCGCCCATCGAGGCCGCATACGCGCGCTCGACCGATATGTACGGGCCCACTGGCGGCAAATATGTGCCAGTGCCCGACGCGTACGCGCTCCTCGACGACGCATATGCGCCCACAGAACCAACATCCGACACGCACGCAAAGACTTCGGGCCCCTCGGCATTGTACTTGTTCAGACGGCGAACAACTCGGCAAGCGACGATCTAAGGTGTCGTCAGCATTCGGAAAACACGACAAACAGAATTGAAAACAAATGGGGAAGAGGGACGAAAGTACTGAGCACTAAAAGAAGATAACACATACAGTCGACGCGATGGCAGCCGGTACGTTAGCGATGATGGACTGGGAGGACATGAGTGACGTTGGGGAACGAGTATATACCAAAACGTACCATGACGGGATTGAGGTTCAGTAGCATGAACGTCGTGGCGATGAGGTTTGCAATGAATGCGACCAAGAAGTAGATCAGGCCTATCATCGCGTCAGATCATTGCACCGCGAGGTGAACATAACCCTCTTACCATCGTTGAAAATGAGAGAAACAAGACGGCTGCGACCACCCGCCGGGAAGATCAGCTTCCACGCCGTAAGCGACAACACCGTAAAGTCGAACGCCATCGTGTAGATAAACGTCGCGGCGAGAATTTTACTGTCCGTCTGTGTGATAGCGCACCCCTGGCCTGGGACGTACACCGCCTTGAGGAGGATTCCGTGCAAGAGGAGCGACCAGTGGCCTGGCATGCAAAGTAAGTGCATGCGCGAACGACGCGTGGCGTGCCATACCGAGTATGATGCAGACCAAAGGTACGACGATGTACCATTTCTGGCTCCATATCGCCATTCTGCATGCTCGGTTAGTACGAGAGGTAGAATTGTCAGAAAAGCACGCACGTCCTAAGACTTAGGTTGATGGAAGCGAGACCGATAGCTGCGTTGCCAAAGCACTGGAGCTAGGATTAGACGCGAGCAGGGGCAAGGACGCAGCAGGGACGCACTTGGTTGAAAGTGTACAAGCCCTGGCAGTTAACTCGTCTAGTAGCGCGTGAGGCGAGTGCGTACTACAGAGGGCATGCACGCACTCTGTGACGTTCAGTGCTATTGCGCTGAGCGTGTTGTTAGCTTCGGGGCGTCCACCAAGCTCTGCACTGCTCACATTCCGATCAAGGCCATCAACAAGCAATAGCGGTTCAAGAAGTAGAATATCTGAGCAAGGCGCGTCAGCTCACGCGCGTCGGGAGGGCGAACAGGACGCACAAGTGGCCACTTGAACTTGCGCTTTCCTCGCACATAGTCTACGTCGAACGGCAAGCTGGTCGCCCACTCCCACCTGCACAAGGCTCCATGAGCAAAATCTGACGAGAGAACCGGGTATATGCGCACAGATACAACCCCAGCAGTGCGTGCATGAACTTCGAGAATACGTCTGCCGCCCAACTCGGATCAGCAGCCGAACAGCGATGGTAGCTCGTCGCGCACCGCTATCGTGGGCGATCTCCGCTTCAGACATCCAGTCAACCATGGCGGGCAGCGACGACGGCGACGACGAAGGGGAAGATGGTGGTGGGCGGGAGCAAGCGGAGGGTGAGAGGGGGCGGAGCTGCCAAACGAGCCTTCAAATAAACGCGCTTCTCGAGATGCTCAGATGTTTGCGCGTGTCTGGCGCTCCCCCTCGAGCTTGCCGGCATGGACGCTCTTCCGCCGCCGCGTCACGCATCTGCTTCTTCCAGCGCTTGACTTGCCTCGCTGGACCCCATCCTCCTCAGCAGGCGCCGGAGAGTTCGACATCCAGCGCAACAGCGCGAGCTTCAACGAGGACATAGGAACTCGGAGACCTCCAAATAGCCTAGTCGGAGACGTCAAAGAACAAACGCGAGGCACTTGACTTGCCGCATTAGGCAAGTCCAAAACGCGGAGTCAGATCGGCCGGAAGCAATTTGCGGTTCCCACGCTCCTCCAAACTTCCACCATCGCTCGTAAACTGCACCCTGATTCTCTGCTGGAAGCTCGCGCTCCTTCAAGACAACCTTCAGTCTTTACAGTCTTTACTGGCTACTAACCCGATCCTTACTAGCTTTTGAAGTCAGGTTTCAGCTTTTCCTCGCCCCATCGTCGACGTCAAGTCGCCCCCCATCGCCATTCGGTCAATCACGGACATCTGCATGTGCACTGTGACAGCACACTACGCCCTGGACTATCCAAGCGGTCCTCGGACTACTATCCACTTCTCCGTTTACGCCGAACTTACCAGCAGCGGCGAAGTCTCCTGCTTCTCAGCACATCTCCGGCGTCTCTCGAAGCCTGCGAATATCTTCCGCATCTTTCGTGGGCGCTTGGCTGTATAAAGATGTCTTCTTGAATACTAGTCACGTCCATATGACAGCGAACGCCGTCTACTACGCTATTTCTCACTCAATATACGCCTCGCCACAAACGCCGCTATCAGCTCGCGATGCCACACGCACATGCTCTCGATGAACGGGCTTCTGCTGCTTTCTATTAACTGTTTCCACTATACCCTATGAATCTCTGATCGGCACGCTAGTAATAATCTTGCAATGCGCCCTCTGTCCGTATGCCTTGTCGTCATTGACCTGGCCAATAATCACCTTCACATTCTTGGTCGAAACAGTGAGATGACTGAAATGTCACTCATTATATCCCTTGCAGATAGCGATCTACAGCTGCATCAGGTATTGGCGCCCATGCCCTCATCGTCTATTGCTTCCGTCCTACAGTACTTTGTTTACCATGTAGCCGCACCAATATCATTATTCCACGATGGGACTTGGACTAGCTCAACGCCCTTAACCCACAACCAAACGTCCACAAAATGCGTCTTATCACCTTCTCCCGGCTTCCATGTGGCGCGTCCATCCTCTCTCCAAAGCCGATTCACGGTTGATCAGCGCTGATACTGACCGTGCATCAGCACTACTTGCTGCGCTCACATCGGGCTCCGCCTTGCGCCCCAAAAGATCATGAGAAAACCCTCTGCGTACTAGCACGCTCTTCCGAACTTCCCATATGGCTACCCCTTTGTCGTCACGCAGTCTCGTCGAATCAGCAGGCGCCATGTTCCGCGCGTCGACCTCGGCTTGTACCCTTCGCCGGCACGAGTTGCTCGATATCCAAAGTCCAGCTCTATCACCCCGTCAAGTCGACCCGAAGTAGAGGATAACCAACCCACAAATTACTCGAGTACAGTACGATACAGTACCTATACAATAAGCCTTCCAGAACAGAAACTGATAATAACGACATACGCATTAAGAGTACGTATACGATCGCACGGTCCCTCATCCCGGTCACCCCACGCCCATACAAGTCGAATACCGCTCGTCCATCCCGAACGTACGCCGATACAAAAATCGGGCGCCGTCGAGTCGAATCGGGCGGCGGCGTATACGCTCTTCCACACATCTCCGTCGCCCCACCCGCATGTTCGTATTGACCCATTCATTACTGGCACCAATCAATTCAATATGATCACCTTTCAGTGGAATCGACCCATCCCACGCATCGCGAGCTCCGGCGTAACGTCGTAGCGGTCCATAATCACCTTCCAGGCGACTCATCGGCGCGTCCAACACAGCGACCCAATCACGGGCTCGCCATCGACACCCGGATCGGCAGCTCGCCCGCCTTCCCATCTATGATGGGCTGCCGGGTCGGGGAAATCTGCGAGACGGCGTCAGGATCGGCGGTATGAACGCAAAAGAAAGAAGTAAGAAAGGGAGGGTGCACGCGATAGAAGGGTAGACGCGAAAGAAGGGAAGACGCGATGGAACGTTAAACGTCGAAGGAAGGATGTTCGAAAGGACGGAACAAGCGCTGAGGAGGGATGGATAATGAGGAAAGTAAAGGGAGAAAATGGTACACAAGAAAAGATCTGCCCGCTCACCTTACTGACAAACCTCGCCCCCGAATCCTCGAACTCCAAATTCCGCACCAACATCGCCAGCACGGCCTTGAACTCGAAGGTAGCTAGTCCAGTGTGTCAGCCATCGCCTAAATTCATTCCACCTCAGCGGCACCCCTCGAGCACCTCCCGCCCCCCCCCCCCCCCCCCCCCCCGACACATTCCGCCCCAGTTGACACATACCACCCCCGCCGAAACGCCCACTCAGCGCAACAAAAAGAAGCAAATAACGCAACATAGAGACAAAATCAACTCACCCAACCTCCACCCCAAGCAATTCCTCGGGCCATCCAAAAACGTCACCAAGCCATTAATCCCGTGCGGGAGTGCGTCAGGCGGCGGCACGCCGCCTTCCTCCAGCCAACGCTCCGGGCGAAAGACCTCCCCATCTGGACCCCAGATCTCCGGCGACGTATTCATAGTGGTGAAGGGGACGAGGATGACCTGCAAGTAACGTCAGTTAATTAACGAAAAATCTCACGAATGCGCAGGCGCGCAACACAGCACTCGTGAGCTGAAGTAGAAATCGTGAACTGAAGTAGACAAATCCAACCCACCTGATCCTTCCCCACCGCCACCCTATCCACCACCCTCCCATCCTTCATATGCACCGGCCTACTCAACGGCAGCACATCGTCCTTCATCGCCACCCGCTCCGTCTGCGGCGACGCCGGGTGCACGCGCAGGCCCTCCTTCATCACGGCGTCGAGGTACGGCAGGCGCTGGATGGTGTCGTAGGACAGGTCGGGCCCGGCGGCGAGGATTTCGTTCCGGAGGCGGGTCTGGGAGAAGGGTCAGTTCCCGAAATGACGAATAGGAAGGGTTGGACAGGAGACAGCGAAATAAGCGGAATAATGATGTGAGAACGAAGCGTACCTGGACATCCTCGTGTCGCGCGAGCTCCCAAAGCGTGAAGGTGAGCGAACCGGCGATAGTCTCGCTCCCTACGAGAACCAGCGTACAAATCTGCGGGGAACGTTAGCTCACGAGTCCGAGACCAATGAAATGAAGACCGATGACCAACACTACGAAAACAACGGCCGTCAACCGTCAACAGAATGAGAAGACGTCCGTAAGATGAAAAGAGAGGAATGTTAAATGGAAAGAAAAAATATGAACCAATGACAAGAGATCGTGGCGTCACTAACGTTATCCAAAATCTGTTCGTCAGAAAGCCCATCCTTATCCTTCGCCCGCGCGTTCACAAGCAGGCCCAGAATATCCCGCTTCTTCTCCAGGCTCTCCACGGACCCCGCTTCGTATCGCTCTAGCACTCGCCTCGCCAACTTCCTGACCGTATCTTTGAGCACATGCCGGCTCTTTATGAGCGGCAGGGGGACGTTATTAATCCAAGGGGCAGCACGCAGAACCTTCGGCACGAGGAAGGCCGCAAACGTAGCGCCGATTGTTACATAGCGAGCGAACGCGCCGCGGATAGCGAGGGTGTCCGGCGGGGGCTGCGGGTCGAGCGCATGGAAATCCCACGCAAAGGCGACGCGCCCGATGATATCTAGCGTGCACGCGCCGAGAGGGTGCATAATGTCGAATGTTGCGGGCTGCGCGAGGACGCGATTAGAAAGCGTACTCGCTAAACGCTCAGCGCACTCGAGGATCGCGGGAGCCATGTTCTTGATAGAGTCCTGGCTGCGAGGAGATTAACGCCGCGGGCGAGCGAGTGAACGAAGGACGTACGAGAAAGCGGGAGATAGGCATTTACGGTGCTTTGCATGATCATGGCCTTCAGCCCAAACGATTCCTGGACTCGGTGAGCACGGACTTCGGGGCGGCCATCAACCCGCTTACCTCTGCCCATGATGTCCGCAATCGGGGGACCCATCGAGGGTGCCTTGATATAATTCCAGGTGTCCGCAAAAATATGCTGCACGGCCGCGCGGTCCGACGCAACTAGCTGCTCGCAGGTGAGTGGGACAGCAACGCGATGGATTAGGGCGCGCCACACGCACGATATCGTTATGGCCCAGCGCTCCCTGCATCTTGAACATGGGCCCAAACGCTTTGCCCCACTGCTTGAGCGTCTCCACCGCATCGGGCTCGCAGCTAAGCAGCTCGTGGCCGAGAAGCGTGCTCGCGGTGGCGGGGGACTGTGTAGATGTTGATGTCAGTCGCGCGCGACATAAGGGTATCACGTACAGGTCCGGGGAGATCAGCGACATCCTTCGTGAGCGACCTGGACTTGACGAAGAGCCTGTATAAGACATAGGTGGCAAGGGCAAGGGCAAGGGCTGTGGGGAGGTGGTTTATCATCATGGCGGGTCGCGTCCTTCGCGTCGCGTCGCGTGTGGGGGAAAGAAGGGCAGATCGTCGTCGCCAGGGGAAGATAAAGGGAAGAGAAAAGACGTAAACTCAGAGTCCGGCACGGGAGGATCACTGGCAGCCCGCTGTTCCCGCGCCCGCCCCGTCCATTCCCAACTTCCGGGACTTCTTGTGACAGGCGCGACGCGTCTCGTCACGCCGCCCGCGCGTCTCCTCGCAGGCAGCGGGCCTGGATCTACACTCGGCTGGGGAAACGAGACAGTTACATTCAGTTTTCCGTGCCGGACTCATCATGGAAGTTCGGTGCAAGTGCACTTCGATATTGAGCGCTGTTTATCTCCGTCCGCACGTGGGCCAAAAATCGGCACTTCCCGTGACGTCGCTCTTCTGCTTCCGTCTTTTCGACTCCGATGGATCTGGTCTTGCGCTCGCTGCAGACCTCGACGGTCTATCTGCTGACATTCCCGCTGCACGCTTTTCCCGCCAAGCAGGGCTAGCACATATGCCAATCCTAGTTCGCCGCCCATATACTGAAACCCAGCAAAGTCCGCGTCGGTGGCCAGCGCTCGCTGCGTACCTCGTCTATCATGCTTTCCGTGAACCATCGGGCTTTTTCCCTGACGGCTCATACGGACCTCCGCGCGCGCAACCTGTCACCTAAGCTGCTTTTCCCTCTGGTCCGCCTTCTAGCCGTATCGATGGTTCCTCCCATTCATTCCACGCGCGCGCCATCTTTCGCCAGCTCATTCGGTTCGATTCTATACCTTAGTGATGCTAGTCGCTCTCAATGCGCAGCATTGCACATATCCAGCCTACACCACTCTTGTCAACAACTGCAAAGTACTAACCACCGGCTCCGCTCTTCAACTCCTCAAGTCCCCGATCACGCTCTCGCCATAGTCCACCACTGACGTGTATCCGGATATTGCCTCTCTCCCTGAAGGTTAGCAACCGTTGGTGCGCCCGAGCGTGATGAGCAGGCGCCGATGCGCAGACGCGCCGCCTGAGCATGATGAGCATTCCGATGCGCAGACAGCGGAGCGCAAGAAAACCCAGACGCCGGAGAGCTAGAATACCTTGCCCCCACCCCACGCGACTGCCATGGCGCATCGTCATAAGTCGCCGGCGGCGCGTAAAGCTTGCTAGCAGCCCCTAGCATCTCTACCCCTCCTTCCCGCCATTCCTTTGTGCTGACTAGGACCTTCCCATCCTTCTTCCACCCAGCGTACCTACCTCCAACGTCTGACACTTGCTGTTTACACTCTGCCTAACTTACAATGGTCGACTGGGAGTCACCAGAAGAACTCACTAGAGACTCCGCGGTCTTCGTGAACCTCATGCATGGTCAGTGTCCGATCGTCTGTGCTCGTGCTCTACAAGTGCCATCCACTGATTACTGCCATGTAGTCCTCCTAGGTCTGTATATGTGCGTGTCTCTTGCGCCAACGTGAACTCGCCTTTGAAACAGCTTCTCGTCAGATGGGAAGTCTTCACATCCCTCGACTTCGACTGGCAATTTCTTACCGGGAAGTGCGTATCCGTACTCTATCAATTTCCCTACACCGCTAACTGACCTCGCAGGCGGCGCTTCCGATGGCCTATGGTAGGACGTTATTATCACCCTTCTATCACAAAACCTCAAGCTCGCGACTAGATCTTCTACTTCCTAAATCGCTACGTGCTTCTCGCCGCCCTATCCGGGATGTGAGTTCGCCTTCGCGCTCATCTTCCTGATCTTGCTCATCCACATTTACCCCTCATCCACCCCTTCAGTGTCGCCTCCCTCGACACGCATACGTACGTCACCTCACAGTACTCTCTTGTCTGTTTACTTGCGCTGACTGCGAGTGCACGTTAACTTAGTCGCATCAACTGCCGCTCCGTCTTCATCTTCAATCAGCTCGCAGGGAACGCAGCGATGGGGCTAGCAAGCATCAACCTCTCGCTGAGAACGTGAGTACCATTTCTCTTGCCTACTTCACTCCTTGCCGTCCATATGGCTCGCGCAATTAACACTCCCACCCAGCATGGCCGTCTGGTCGCAGAACAAATGGGTCGTCAGCGGGCTCATCCTTCTCATGTTCGGTAAGGCGTCGCGCAATGCCTATACCTCAGCACTATACTCGACGCGCTGACACCAATGTAGGACACTGGTCCCTCATCCTCCAAGGCGGCCTGCTCCAAGTGCAGTGGCTCGAGGGGAGCGGGTGCGCAATCACGGATCCAAATACGAAGATTTTGGCGGCGACGTTCATGTACAGTGAGTGTGCTGTGTTCCTTCATCTCTCCATCTGTACCCCTCCTTTATTCTTGATACAGTGTCCAACGCGCGTGCGCTTACACCCCAAATCCAGCCATGGTCTTCGACCTTATCGTCCTCTCGCTCAATCTGTGGAAGGTGCTGCGGAATAAGACGCAGCTGGCGAGGATGCTGCTGGGGGACGGTGCGTCTCGAATTTTCCTGACGACCTAGACCGACGGCCCCAGCGGGGAAAGGACAAGTCAGCTAACCCAGCTCTCCCAGGCCTCATCTACTTCATCGTCGCCTTCGTCGCCAACCTCATCGCCACGGTATTCATGCTCGTCCACCTCAACCAGATCATGGCGATCATATTCAACGTGCCCGCGGTCGTGGCGTCAACGGTGAGTTCGTTTTGCTTGCCAAGTCTTGCATCATAAGATACAGACCGCATCGCGCTGCCTTCGACTGACGTACCTCCCCAGATCGTCGCCGGACGCATCACCCGACGGCTAAGCAAGTTCGAGCGTACCGGGGCGGAGATGTTGTGAGCAGCAAACCCATGATGTCCGCAATGTCCATGCTCACTCACCCGTCTTCCTTCGTAGCGCCGCCTCTTCAGGCTCTGGGACGCGCAATCCGCGCGCCTCGGTCATCCTTGGCAACGCAAACAGAGTGGGAGGTGTGAGGGTCCATGTGAGTAGCCCTCGAAGCATATTCTGTACCTACAGCACGAAACTAACACCCTCTGTGCGCGTTAGATGGAAACCTTCACCCGCGGCGACCTCGACTCGCCATCGACCGAGAACAACATCGGGCGCGTGCGCTTTGTGGGCGTGTGCCCCTCGGAGGAACTCTTAGGTGGGTGTCCGGAGAAGGAGTTCGTGGGCGCGCTGCCGAGGGAAAGGTTTGTCGGGATCGTGGAAGGGAAGGATGAGCCCGATAGCGAGCGGGAATTCGAGACGGAGAGGAGGGGCGCAGGGCTGGATTTGGAGGCCAAGGGTCAGGTTCTGTAGGGACTGATATGATGAAGAGAAGTAGGGTGGTAGATGTACCAAGCGATACCTGTTGTACTTCAGATTGATCTTTCACTTAGGATAACGCGAACCGTCATCGCGACCGCGGACGCGCTCGACGCAAAGTCCTTCGGCAAATCCCGAAGTCGAACATGTTACCGTCACGCGTGACATTCCCAGCCCCGTGGGCAGGATTGTGGCACCATGACCTCACGCGCAGTGCCTGTTGCTCCTATAGCAGTGCTTGTTGCTCCTATAGAACTGACCTATGCTCCTATAGAGCCGTCATGACGCCTTCAAAACTGTCCTGTAGCTCCTCCATTCCCCGAAATCGACGTCAGAGATGAATCAAGGTGATGTGAATGGCGGGCGGGCTCAACAGGTGGGGAAAGTATAAGAGGGAGGCGCGCGGGGGTGAAGATGATCTTTATACGATCCACACACACACCTGAACCTGAAGAGACAATTAATCACCAACATGCCTCTTTTCTCGAAGAACCACCACACAACGACCACTGGCACGCACGGCGCTGGCCACTACGACCAGTACGGGACCGGGACGACGGGCACGCATCACGGTGTCGGAACCGGCCCTACGCACCATGGCGCGGGGACGACTGGCACGCACCACTACGGCACTGAAGACGCCTACGAGGGCATGGGCGGTCACACTGCTCCCCACGGCAGCGAGTACGCAGCTGAGCCCTATGGCAACAACGTACGTTGCTGTCTTTTCCCCTCAACTGGAGGCAGCCCCGCTCACCTGTCTCCCAGCTCAACACCCACCACGGCGGCGTCGGCACCCACGCAGGCCCCGGCGTGACCGAGACGCACGGCCCCGGATACCAGCGCGGCGCGGCGCCGCCTACGCACGGCGGCATCGGCCACCACGGCGGCGCGCCCGCCACAGGCACCGGCCACGCCTACGGCACGGGTGTCGGCGCGCCCCGCAGCACAGGCGCGGGCATGGGCGCGCGGAGCAGCGGCTCGGGGCACGAGACGATGGGCAAGTTGGAGCACGCGGCGGGGACGCTGCTGAGCTCGAACACGCTGAAGGCGCGCGGGGCGCAGAAGGAGCAGTGAGTAATTTTTATTGCGTTGACAGAAGGAGATGTTAACAGAGTCTGACAGGGAGGGACGCACGCTGAAGGAGCTGGGCGAGGCGGACCGAATGGAGGAGGAGGCGAATATCCGTCGTCAGCGCGCGCTGGCTCATGGGACTGCACCTGGTGCTGGGAGGACGGGTGGGTACTAGGCCCCCTGCAATTGCCGGAACGAGACGCCCTTGAAGAACCTGTCTTGTACTATTATGCCCCTTGAAGCTTTGAAGGGCCAGATGTAGCATAGTAAATGGAATTGGATTCTTCTACAATCGCCGTTTCAAAGCTTGACTGCAGGACCGAAGAGTCCTGCAGATACGGTGTTCCTTGAGCGTTTATCTACGTGTACAGTCACGCCGTTGTTGAGTCTTGAGACCAAGTATACGGTTTGGTATGGATGTTGATAAAAGGTGGAGGTCGAGGACAAGAGACATGTCCAGATCGCGTGACCGGCAATTTCCGAAAGAAGTGACCTGCACGGTCACGCGACGGGTGTAACGCGTACAGGTAGTACTCCCCCCTCTTGTCCTCTTCCCTCATCCCTCATTCTGCAGTGCAAGTCCTGCCCATTGATATGCCCCAGCGTGGGCCCCAAACGGAATACCCTGAGCCCTGCGTTTTTAGGAGCCTTGCATGTGCTCAAATCAAGTATCTGCACCCGCATATACCCAGTCGGGTCATCTCACTTCTCTTACAGGCAGGGAAGTCCCGCGCTGAGTTACTTCCTACATAGTCTGCAAGACGTTGACATACAGACTTCAATGTACATCGATGGGCGCCTGTCAGTCTTTGGCCATGTACAATCTATCTCTGGCCTTTTGCCCATCGCGACCCTCGCGCCCTTCACGAAAACAGGAAATCCTGACTCTGAACAGGGTCAGTACTTCATCTGGATTGGTATCTTCATTATCACCGAGCTTTAAGCAGATAAACACCGTCTCAGGCTCGTCCTCGCCAACCTGAATGGTACAAATTGCGCACCATCGGCACTCACGCGACTCTTGCGCGCGTCGTCGGCCCGTAAATAAAGGTGAGCAAGGGCTCTTGTGATCTTCTGGGCTTGAATACTCCCCCCTGTCTTGTCAACAGTGCATATTGCTGCTGCCGAAGCCATGTCACGTGACTCACTGTCCCCCTCATTCATTCAAGTTGAACTACTTTAGTGCTTCTGATCCTCGCTCAGTATATGCGATTCTGGCTGTTTCTTTCCCATATCCCTTCAGACGCTTGCTGACATTGTCCGTGTCTTTCTTCACGTCCGCAAGGTTGCCGTATGGCAATTCCTTCGCACGCCACGCCTAACCCGACATGGCGAATATGATCGACTTCAAATAGCGGAGTGGGCCGATTTCTGGCGGTCAGTTCATTGCTCTTATCCTTCTTTTCCTTTCCCCCTTCTTTGCCATCGTCTTGCGTGCGTTTTCTGGCTTGGCGACTTCGTATTTAGCTCAACAAAACCTCCAGACATACACACAATGGCTGCTGAAGCTCAAGCAGACGGTCGCGTTGGCTCGCGCATCGAGAACTACAGCAAGTTCTGGCAGAAGGATATCAACAAGGAGGGCGACGTTGACACGGACAACCGTGTCGACAGCTACCAGGACGTCGTGAACGGTGCGTCGAACACGTTCTTATGCGAAGAACACGTCGCTAAACACGCGAACTCGTGCAGGTTACTACGACGGTGCTACGCAGCTGTACGAGTATGGCTGGGGCCGCTCCTTCCACTTCTCTCGCTTCTACAAGGGCGAGAGCTTCGCCGCGTCGCTCGCCCGCCACGAGCACTACCTCGCGGCGCAGATGAACCTCCGTCCCAAAATGCGTGTCCTGGACATTGGCTGCGGCGTTGGCGGCCCGGCGCGCGAGATCGCTCGCTTCGCCGACGTCGAGATCATTGGCCTGAACAACAACGACTTCCAGGTGCGTGTGTACGCATCAGCAATAGACCACGCCTAACACCCGCCCCCAGGTCGCGCGCGCACGCCAGTACACGAAGGAGGCCGGGCTCGAGAACCAGGTCAAGTTCGTCAAGGGCGACTTCATGAAGCTCGCGGAGCAGTTCGGCGAGAACGCGTTCGACGCCGTGTACGCGGTCGAGGCGACCTGCCACGCGCCGTCCTTCGCGGGCGTGTACGGCGAGGTGTTCAAGGTGCTCAAGCCCGGAGGCGTCTTCGGCTGCTACGAGTGGGTCATGACCGACGCCTGGGACGCGAGCAACCCGGCGCACAAGGCGCTCGCGCACCAGGTCGAGCTCGGGAACGGGATCCCGGAGATGCGCCCGCTGCACATGGCGCGCGACGCGGTCAAGGAGGTCGGCTTCGAGCTCGAGCACGAGGAGGACCTGGCGGAGCGCGACGACCCGGTGCCGTGGTACTACCCGCTCGAGGGCGATATCAGCAAGGCGCAGACGCTCTGGGATCTCTTCGTCGTGTGGCGCATCAGCCCGACGGGCAAGTTCATCACTCACTACGGCCTCAAGGTCATCGAGATGCTCGGCATGGTGCCCAAGGGCACGCACGACGTCGGTGAGCAGCTCAAGGTGGCGCAGGATGCCCTCGTCAAGGGTGGCCAGACCAAGGTATGTCCCTGCTCTCCATGTCATTTGCTCATGCTCATCATCTTTCAGCTCTTCACCCCCATGTACCTCATGATTGCCCGCAAGCCCTCAGCATAGAGGCTTTCGGCACGGTGTTTCTCTCCCTCGACTCTACCTTTACTATACCCTTCTGTTGTTCCTAATGTGCGTAGACATGGCATTGGATTACTTACTTTTACACATCGGGGTTGCCTACGACAAAATACACATTCCTTGAAAACGGTCTGCGTGGTGTGATGCGACGGAGTGCGGGGGCGAGGGGGGCCGCGACGAGGCGGCGGTCGCCGCCTGCGCGCTGCGCGCGCGTCGCCTGCGTGAATGAGAAGGCAAACCTGAATTTATTGTGTCGCTACCTACGTTACAAGACGTGCTACCCCCTCCCCTGCTCCCCGCGAGCTTGCCGACGTGTGAAGCCTGTCTCACCCCCTCCGTCTTTGCACGCCGTGCGAGATGCTCGCTACCCCCCTCCCTCCCATCCCTCCCCTTCGACGAGGGGAGATTGTGATGCACCCTCCCCTCTCGGCATGCAGCTCACCGCGTCTTCAATGCACGCGGAGAACTCACGCGCGTGCACCCACCCCTCTACCCTCCCTTCCCCCCGCTCCTCCCACCCCTCCTTGCCACAAACCACCCCCTCGCGTCCCTTTCTCCTTCCCGCATAGCTGCGAGGGCGAGTGCAGTGACGCTACTCGTTCATCAGCGCACTAAAGCGCTGTACTCATCGAAAAGGGCGGTGGCGAAGACCTCGACTACGCCCCCACCCTCCCCCCACCTTCTCGCACGCACTGAAATTGAACGCCGTTGAGTTCTCCTTCACTTCGCGAAGGAAACGATGGACTTACCAAGTCATCTGAGCTCGCCGTCTCCAAAACGCTACCCCCAGCGTGCGTTTACGAAGGGAGGGGGTGGGGGAAGGCCTCGAAAAGTGGAGAAGGTCAGCTCACTATCGCGCCGTGCGTAACCCACGTACTGTCGTAGCCCTCGCAAGAGCGTACTTGCCCGCCTCGTCCACGCACACGCCGAACAAGGAGGGAGTTTACCCCTCCCCCTCTCCCTCCCTTCTCTGCATCCTCGCTTCCCCTCCCTTCTCTCCCCCTCGCCCTCCTTCTCTTCGGCCTTCCACCTCCAGACGTGGTCCCCGTTGTTATTGCGTCGCCGTTGTTTCTGTCGATTCGGGAAGCGCTGAGCTCATGGCGCATTCGAGGAAAGGATCCGGCCCTCCCCCCGCCGTCGCTCGTCTACTGACGCGAGTGGGGCCCCCGCGACGGCTAGTTGGTGATGTTGCCGAGGCTGTGAGCGAATGTAAGTACGACGCGATTTACTATCGACCGGGCACTCACCGTGTCGCACGGACATCGCGCCCCCTCCCTTTCGCGCAGTTCGCATTCCCCCTTCGCCCCTTCGCCCTCTCCTGCGCGTGGAAAAAGAGAAGTGCGAGGTTTTTGGAGAATTCTATCGAGTTGTGAGCCTCATCGTGCAGAAAGGATCTTACGACTTACCAGTTGAGGTGGGTAAGGGCCTTCGCCCCCCTCCCCCCTCCCCCTTCCCCTCTTCCTCCCTTCGCCGCCGTCTTAGTCGCCTTCCTCGCCCTTCGAAAGGCGAGGCTGAGTGAGGGCGATGTGACCCCAAATATCTAGGTTGCTTTGGTCAGTGAAGGCGCATCGATGATTAAAAAAGACTCACAATACGAGAGGGAAGGGCCTGACCCCCCACCCCCACCCTCGTGCGTCTTGCTATGCCCTCCGCAGGCATTCGTAGGTCGTTGTAAGGAACGGGGAGGTACTTTTGTTACCCTCGTGATGGGTTGTGTTGAGTGCGAGTCTGTTCGGCCATTTTGAACTTCATAGCTAACCGTCAAACTCCCCTTCTCCCAGCCTCTGCGCGCAACTCCGCCCCCTTCTACCCAGCCGTCAAGTCTGTCCGACGCGTGCACCGCAAGCGCGGCTCGTGCCGATGTCAGGTCCTCGTTCTAGGGTTAGGTCAGTACGAGACGACGAGGGGATAATATACTCTAGGTGGAGGGGGAGGGGGAGGACTTGGCTACGACGCGGCTACGTCCGCTTCTGTACCCAAAAAAAGAAGGACGTCACCCGTCCCTCCGACGGCGCAATAATCGGCCATGGTCTCCCCTCTCCGCGTATCTTCTTGTACAAGCCGGGCACCCGGCGCGCGAGGGGCAAAATTTCGGCTTACCGAGTCGCTTCGTGCGCCGTGCGTGCATAATCTCCCCTTCCCTCTGTCCGCGGCACCTCTGTAGTCCACCGCGGTCTTCGAGTGTCGTGCGACGGGACCGGGGGCAGCCTCGCCGTTGTCCGACGAATCGCGTCAGCTTCGTTCGGCACACAAAGAGTGTTTACTGACCGCGCTCGGCGAGGCTGTCGCGTGGTGTTTCCTTGGCGATTTGTTCTTGAGCCCACGGCGCTTTCTCGTGTCCTGCAGTGACGGCGTGAAAGTCAGTCTCGGCGGTGAGAGTACCAGCAAGACGACGTTACATACCTGCTGCTTATCCCGAAGCTGAGGGTGAGCGCTTGTGGGATCGCCCACTGATCGAGTGGGGCCGTGTACTGCACCACAGCAGCGTCCCAGCGCACGCGGCCGTCATAGGTGAGTCTGCCGGCACGTGTGAGCGTTGAAAGGAACCGGAAAACCATCGGCACGTACCTTTACCATTCTGTTCAATCACGGATCGCACGACCACCGGCACGATACCGCTGCATACTCGCGCGGCCGGTCGCTCGCTCCTCTGCGAATGAGAGGGAATATCTGCATCAAGGTCAACATCACGCCGCACCACGAAAAAAAACAAATGCAAAGCTCACCCGTTGAGACAATAGCGGTCGTGCGACAAGGCCGCATGCGCGAGATTGGGCGTCGGGAACTCGTCGACGGCGTGGCGGATCGTGCACGGGGTCGCGATTTCCCGGTGCAAGGAGATCTCGAGTGAGCTCGAAAACGCCGCTGCCGCTCCAGCCGTAGGTTCCCAGCGTCAAACCCCTCGCTGCGCGACAGTCGGAGGCATCGTCGATGCTCTGCGGTCGTTTGTCAGCGTTCCAAAATCCCGCAAGGCGTTGCCCAGCGCGCACCTCGTTGATTCGTCCGTCTTCGTGGCAGGTCAAGGTTGACTCTGGCGACGGCGTCGTACGGTCGGTCCCGCAGCCGTCGTCGAAAGGCGCAGCGGCGGTCGTGTTCGTGCGCTGACGCGTCCGAGCATGATGGTGGGAAGAGGAAAGGGTGTAAGCGACACGTGTAATATACAGATCTGAATAGACTTACGGGATGGGTGTCACCGTGCAGCGTGTCGTGACATCGGCGACCTCGGGCAGGCAGTCGTTGTGCCGCGTGAAGGGCGAGAGCGCGGAGGGCTAAGATATCTGCTCAAGTTCAATATAGGCGTGGCTTACCCATCGGATCCCGTCGCACCGCCGCATCAACGTCGAAGGGCTACTGTAATCGGCTAAAGGCGTAGAAATCCGCGACGATGTTGAGGAGGTCGTCGAGGGGGAGCTCGATGGTGGGTGATAGTGTTGACTTGCTGGCATCTGCATTGGGGCTTTGATTCAGCCGACCAGGTGAATCAACGAAAGCGAGCGGTTTGACTCACTTTGGATCTCATTCACGATGAGCTGAAGGTACCTTGAAATGCGATGATGTTGAGAAGGTCATCGAGGGGGAGCTCGATGGTGAGCCGTAGCATCGAAAGCAGCTCGCTTGAATCATTGCCGGGCCGCCCTATGCAGGTCAAAGTCAGCTCATCGGCTGTGAGCTGCGCCTGAGCGCACCGCAAGGAGCGCCTTCGCAAACGAATCGGAATCGCAGAAGGACCTATGAACGCGTTATATTGACGACGGAAGGCAGTATGAAGTTCAAGCTCACCGACGGGCAAATCCGCGCTGGGCCTGTATCTAAGGAGAGCGGGCTCCACAATGCTCGGCAACTGTGAAGGATTAGTAAGGCGTCAATGAATAGCGTAAGAAAGCCAGGACAGACCTTGAAAAGCAGACTCGCTACGCCGAGGCCATCTAGCAAGCAGCCTCGGATACGGCGAAAGCGAGGGGGAACGGAATGTAGCAAAAAGGCCGGGAGGGGTGGATGGCAGTAGAGTACGTGTTCGATGATATAAAGGGAGAGGGAGGGGACTGTAGAAAGGAGGAGAGGAGGAGAAGAGGCTGGGGAACTGAGGAAAACCGGCTACTCACCTCGCCTTATATACACTTCCAGCCAGCGCACGGACTTGTTGACATCCTCAGCAACGTCCACTTGATGCCCCACTGACGCGGCGAGGGCCTTCGTTGACCGCTCGCCCGGATTTCCGACTCCGCCGCGCAGACTCGCCCGCAAATACAGAGCGGCGCATATTCTGCCCTTCCCTGCAAAGTTCCCTGAGGGCGGGTCCGGATCTTCCGCGTTTCGGACATGACAAATGATCCCATCAAACCTGATCGCCGCTCGGAATTCGCTCCAGGGCGGTGGAAGATGCGCGGCGAGGCGAGGCGTGGGGTGCAGCGGTGGCAGATTGTGTACTTGGGCGTTGTGCACCTACCAAAGCACAATAAATCGTAGGGATGATCCTTCTCGGCTAGGGTAAGGTGTTTTAGAGCGGGTGGGTCCGCTTGTACGCGTCCTTGGGCCCTGCGAAGTGGAGACCGCGCATATAGCGCATTTGTCAGTTTGCTCGCGAGGTTGAGGGTACCTGAGGGAGAAGTTCAGGAAACCATAGTCAGGTGAATGCAGTTCGATGCTGAGTATGATCTTACCTATTGTAGTCGCACTGTAGCTTCCCGGCGCACGAGGATGGCGGTTGAAATCCAGGTTACCGCATATAGCAGGCTTTTAGCCAGCGCGGCGAAAGACAAAAGATCAGACTTTTTCCGGCGACCTCGCTAACGCGGACCGCGGACTGCTTGACTTATTCTACTCACCGTTCGATGTCTGTACCCGCCAGCTGCCCAGCGCTGTACACCCGCTCCCCACAAACAAGCTAAATCGCGAGCCGGTGTCCGCGCTTCCCTCGCCGGCATCCCCGCTCGCACCGACAGCGTCAAAGTTCAGTCGGGCGCACCATGTCCGAAGCTCCGTGTTTCAAGGGCTTGGAGTTTAGAGTTGCCGGCGAGGCGATGGAAGTTGGTTATCGAGGGGGAGAGGTGTTGATATGCTGAGGAACGTCGTTCGGGATGTACCAAAGGTCCTATGGCGGTTTCAGCGTCCAGAAAAGCATTCCATATGTTCTGTTGGACGTTCGACGGGTCTCTCGGAAGCCGCAAACCGCTTCGCGGTCTGTGGCGCGGGTAAAGTAGTAGTATGCTCGCGCTATGCTTAAGCGATTTAAAGGCTCGTCGCGGGCTTCCTGTGCTCGGTAACTATATGCAATACTCACTGTGCCTATTCCCTTCGTATTCTTGGCGTCTTGAGCTGCGACTGAGCGTGTCGGCAAGTCACGCTCGCGTTGCTGTCTCGTACTGGGCCCCGCCCGCCTGATGTCGAGACAGTGCTCTTACTGTTCACGGCTTCGGCTAGTCGTCTCGAGCGCGTCAGTGTATCGCCCGAGTCTCCCTTCTGGTTTACGGGTCAGTCGCTGCTTTCCCCGCCGGGTCGACGCCCTCGCGCGAATCCCTCGCCGCTGCTTATCTCGAAGGGGAACTCACTCTTTCCCTGCCTTGCGTGATTTGCCAGGTCTCCTCAGTCACGATGAGCTTGGATAAATAGAATATACCATTTCCTATGTAGATCTGGTACTACGAGGGAGGGGGGAGGGTAATCGCCGCGGTCGATGATGGGCGCGCTGATCAAGCGGTGGGAACGCGTCTCGGCGACTGCCGCATCCGGCTTTGGCAGTTGTGGGTCCGACGTTGGTCCTTGTTTCCGGCCGTCATCGTCAACCGCGGTGCTCGCTCCTCGTCTCTTCAGCATCGGCTAGCTTCCCCGACACCCCACCATGCCCCTCCTGGTCCAATGCACGCAGTATACGAGTTTGCACTACTTATCCTTATTGTCAGGTCCGACTTGAGGCGGGTTCGACGAAGTCGTAAAGGGCGTCAAGGAGGAATGAATAGAATAGGATAATAAGTGGAGATCGAATACCGAGGCGAGTCGAGGCGAAGGCGAAACGAGGCGAGGTGTTCAAGTGGGTTCAACAAAATATCAAGTCTAAGGAAATACAACAGGAATAGACGGTTATATACTGAGGTCCGAGGCTCTGTAGTGGCAGCGTCGCACTGGTTAGCATGGCAGAGCAGTGTACTGACTGGAAAAGAGTCGGGTCCTGACATTACCCCCCCCTCTAAACTCGACTCCCCGAGTCGACGAGGCTCGCGTGGGGTCTCGTGACCGTGGTTGCGCGTTCGGTGCCGGTAAGGTCCGGGACATGCCGAAGTTGGTCGTCGAGTTGCCCTTCTGCTCTCTGCCCCTCGATCGTGTGGGCTATGGTCTTTCCTTTCTCCCTGTAGCTTAGGTGGAAGGGGAGGCGTGTTAGGCTCGTCCTGCGGTGCGTAGATCCAGACTTTCGACTCGGTTAGATAATCTTTTCGGTTAGATCTCTTCCCTTTTCCTCGTTGGCGCGATCGACTTTTTGCGAGGGTCGTCCTCCTGATGTTCACGAGGCGTCAGTCTGGGTCGATCGTTGCAATCGTCTCGTTACTTGGATTGGATCGGCATCGGGAGGGCTGGTGCTTCTGACCGCGTCTTTTACCGCCGGTACGTGTCCCTCCCCAGGAGTTGTGTGGTTTCCGATCGGATTAATCCGCCTGGACTTTCATTTTATACTGTGAGAGGTCCTCGCCGAGTTATGGGGGAGGTGTCGGGGCTCGGATTGGTCGATCGATTCGTCCGCTCGGGGTCGAGAGCTCGCAGGCGTGGATAGGTTGGCCTTACTGCGTTCTCAAGGCGAGAGTTGTTGAGGATTTGGGATAAAAGGGTGCGCCTCCATGTCGTTCGTTCCTTATCCCCTTTCTCACCACCACCATGTCCAGCTCCAAGGCTTCTTCTCACCGCGCTCCCATTCCCCGCCACCACGCCGTGGGTTACGGTGCTCCCCTGCCCTTGATCGCTCCCCTTCAACCCCATCGGGCTCCTCGCTCGGTGGCTGAGGGCGGCGGCACGCTTCCTGTTCCTCCCCATTCGTCTTCCCTCCCCTCCGCTTCGGTTCCCCCTTCCCCCGCTGTCTTGCTCCCCTCTCCTGACTATCTCGCTCGCTTGGAACTCGAGGTGGGTGGGCTGCGCTGTTTGAATGCTTTCGTTCTTCTGACAAGGCGTCTAGAACTCTCGTCTCCGCGAGGAGACGCGCACTTGGAGGACGAAGTCAGAGGCGGCGAGTTCCGCGCTTGCGCAGGCGAATCTCCAGAACGTTTTGCATCGTCGCGCGGTGGAGGAGCGGGACGTTCGGCTTCAGCAGTCGGGATTGGTGCTCGAGCAGCAGCGTGACCGCGTGGATGAGCTTAGCGGGCGTCTGACCCGGGGGGCCGAGGAGCTCGACGACCTGCAGGGGCGCTTGGCGGACATGTCTTCTGCCTTGGTTCAGCTGGGTGACGAGCGCGCGGCTGCGCATGCCCAGTTGAGGGAGGTCAAGGATACTCTTCGGGGAGTCACCTTTGACCGCAATCTCCTGCGCATCGGCCTCACCGCGAGAGAGCGCGAGTTGTACTGGGTCCAGCAGGCTCTCGCAGGCCTCGAGGAGCGGAACACGTCATTGTGTGCAGCCGCGGAAGGCTCCTCTGGCGAAGTCGATGCGCAGTACCTCGCCCTTCAGACCCGGTATCTGCAGCTCTTGGAGGAGTTCTGCAACTCGCGCGTCCCTCGTTCCCTCTATCGTCATATGAGGTCGGATCGCGACTATTTTCGGTCGGCGTGGATCGAGGTCACCACTAGTCCTGCTGCCGTTCCGCCGCCACCTTATTCTGACCCCCATTCGCCGTCGCGGTCCATCTCGGATATGGCCGTTGAGGATCTCGGTAGCCCAGTGGCTTCCGGGTCGCGCTTCCGCAGCGAACGTCTTTTCGAGGAGGTAGAGGAAGGGGAGATCGCTGAGGATGGCGACCTCATGTCGCCGGACTAGGTATATTTCGTCTTGGTCGCGTTCCTGGGTGTAGTGGGTGTTTGTGGCTTCTTTAACTTACGGTCTCCTTATATATATGGGCTTCGTATTTGTGTCTCCATGGTCGTAGGATAATTATGGGTCGTGCTTCTCCCTTCCCTGTTGTGCGCTATAAATTATTTGCGTGTTGGGCGTTTCCCCTTCTTTTTTGTCTTGCCTTTTAGCGCCTCCCACCCCTCTACCGTACGTGGCTTGTCGGGGTGTTTTTTGTGGAACTCGTCAATCTTCTTTGGCGCGTTCATCAGTCCTTCGACTGGTTCCCAGGTGCGTGCTTCGGGTCCAAATCCTTTCCAATCGACCAAGTACTTAATCTTCTTCGTCCTGCCATAGGTGAACAGCTTGCAATCCAGGATGTTTCCCACCTCCCATTGCTCGTAGCCCTCCTCGTCCACTTCGACTGGAGGCGCCTTCTGCGGGGGTCTTTTGGCAAACGTGTCTTCAGGGATCGCATGCAGCAGGGATACGTGGAAAACGGGGTGAAGTCGAGATAAGCCCGGGGGTAGCTTGAGGCGGTAAGCGTGAGTTCCCACTTGCTTTTCTATGGGGAAAGGGCCTAATCGCTTGTAGTCCAGTTTCTTCGTGGGTCTCTTGGTCTTCACGTTGCGGAGATCTAGCATAACCTTCGTCCCCTTTTTCCACTGTGGCGTGGTTCCTCGCTTTCCGTCGGCGTGGCGCTTCATGCTGTCGGCTGCCTTCATGAGTTCGTCCTTCAGGTGAGCTTGTAAGCCTTGCAAGTCCTTCGCAATCAGGTTGACTTGATGATCAGGGATAGAATCGTATACCACCGACAGTCGGGGGTGGTATCCCTTGTTCGCGAAGAACGGGGTAACTCCCGTGCTCGAGTGCTGAGTGTCGTTATAGACGAACTCCGCCACCGGTAGTTGTGGCTCCCAATCGTCCTGCTCATAGTTGACGTATGCTCGTAGGTACTGTTCCAACGATTGGTTGACCCTTTCTGTCTGTCCATCCGTTTGCGGATGATACGCCGTGGATAAGTTGTTTTTGACTCCGAGCGCCTTACACAACTCCTTCCAGAACGCAGATACAAACAGCGCTCCTCGGTCGGATACTATATCCGCGGGCACTCCGTGCTTGCTGAAGACTTCTCTGATGAAGATGCGGGCGAATTCGGGGGCTTTGTCCGTGGTGTGGCAAGGCACGAATATTGCTTGCTTGGTGAGTCGACATACAATCACAAGTATCGCGTCGTAATCGTTGGACAGCGGTAACTCCACTATGTGGTCGATGGAGATGGACGACCATGGCCTCTCGCCTATTGGCAGGGGCTTAAGATCGCCATAGGGCTTGTGTCGACTTGCCTTGTTGCGGAGGCAATCCGGGCACGTCACACAATAGTTGTGGATGTCGGCCTTCATTCCTGGCCAGAAGTATTCTCGACTTACGCGGCTCATCGTGCGGCGTACTCCCGGGTGTCCCGCTAGCTGGTGATCGTGGCGGGCGTGGACGATATCGCGTCGGAGTGTGTCTTGGTCAGGTACGTAAATATGTCCGTCCTTGAGTAGGAGTTGTTTCTCCTTGTCATACCGAAACGCGCCCTCCGGTCTATCCTTTGCCTCCTCCCTCCCCCTCTGGATGTACTCGTCCTGCTGCGCGCGTTTTATGCGCTCGAGTTCTGCGGCGACGTCAAGGATGTGGGCCGCGCTGACGCGTTCCGCAGGAATAGCAATCCTCTCGTTGAAAGCTTGGGCCTGGGCCTTGAACGAGCTTTTGGGATACACGTCGGGTCGGCGTGTTAAAGCGTCCGGTTTTCCGCCTAGTCGTCCCGGCCGATAGTGGATTATGAAGTCGAAGGTGGAAAGGTACTCGGACCATCTCGCTTGTCGTCGGGTGAGTTGTTTTGTGGTCGTGAAATGCTGAAGGTTATTGTGGTCAGAGTAGACTTCTATGCGATGTTTCGCGCCCTCGAGGTAAGGCCGCCACACTTTGAATGCTTCTACTATGGCTAACAACTCCCTATCATACACGTCGTAGTTGCATTCCGCTGGCGAACAGGTGCGGGCGTGGAATGCTACCGGGTGTAGCTCTTGGTCGCGAGGGTCGAGCTGGGAGATGATAGCTGCGATGGCCCAGTCCGAGGCGTCGCTTTCGACTACGACTGGTAAGTCAGGATCAAAGTGCCGTAGGATTGGCGCTTCGGTGAACGCGGCTTTGAGAAGTCTGAACACCTCTTCGCAGCTATCGCTCCATTCCCATTGGCGGCCTTTCTTGAGCAGTCGTGTCAGGGGGTGGACGATCCCGGAGTAATTGTCAATGAATCGGCGGTAGAAATTTGCGAAACCTAGGAAGGACTGGAGTTCCTTAACGCTGGTGGGTCGTGGCCATTCGAGCACTGTTTTGACCTTGGTAGGGTCCATCTTCACTCCCTCGGGAGTGATAATCATTCCCAAGTACTCGATTTCGCGAACGTGGAACGAGCATTTTTCGGGCCTTGCGTGTAAGTCGTGCTCTTGGAGTCTTTCGAGCACCTTTCTGACATGCTCCGTATGTTCGGCGTCGTTCTTCGAGTATACCAGAATGTCGTCCAGATAGATCACCACGAACACGTCCAACATGTCGTGAAATATATCGTTGACGAAGCGCTGAAAAGTCGACGGTGAGTTCGTCATTCCGAATGGCATGACCAGATATTCAAAAGAGCCATAGCGTGTTCTGAAGGCTGTTTTCCATTCGTCGCCGTCCGCGATGCGGATGTTATTGTATCCCCACCTCAAGTCGATCTTGGTATACACCTTCGCGTCGCGGAGGCGGTCGACGAGCGTGCCGATTAAGGGGAGCGGGTAATGGTTCTTCTTTGTGATTCGGTTGAGCCCCCGATAATCCACGCAGAGCCTGAGCTTGCCGTCCTTTTTGGGCGCAAAGAGTACGGGTGCTCCTGCGGAAGAGGTCGAAGATCTAATAAAGCCTTTCCCCAACATTTCGTCAAGGTACTCTTTCAGCGCTGACAGCTCCTTTTCTGACATATTGTAGATCTTCCCGAAGGGTGGAGTTGTGCCGTCTTCCAGCTCAATTTTATGGTCGTGTTCTCCGCGATGTGGGGGCAAATCTCGAGCCGTTTCCTCCGAGAACACCTTTTTGAACTGGTGATATTGTTCCGGCACGTGTGAGTGTAAGTCATGGTCGAGTTGATCTGTCCCCCCTCCTTCCTGACGTTGGGAATCCGGCGTCGAGGCCGCGCACGCTTTCTCTTCACCCTCTGGTCTTAGGTATAGGAGGTAGACGGGTTCGCCTTGTTGTATCAACCTCGACATGGGATCTGCTCCGATGAGCGTGAAGCCCGCGTCTGCCGATGAGGGTGAGTCTCTCTCGCCTTCTTCATTCCCCCCCTTGTGTGCGTCTGGTTCTCTTCCCTCTCGCCGGTCCGGGGTCTGACTTCGGCTGCGACTCCTTCCTCTCCTCTTGGGCTGTTCTCTTCGTCCCATATACTTCGAAGGTCTCACGAGCCTTGTGCTAGGGGGCGCTGGCGAGATTGGTGTCGGAGGCGATCTCGTTGTTTTGCTTTTTATGCGCTTCCGCTGCTTCGAGTTCTTCCCTTGCGGTGCGTACATAGGTTGGTCCCAGGCTAGTGGCTCGTTGAGGTTTCTCGGGAGCTGATTCTCGCTTACGCTTTCCAGTACTACTCGCGGATCATCCGGTGTATCCCCTACCGCGTCCGGTTCATCCCTCGGTAGCTCTTCAATCCTATTCCTTTCTTGGCGTATTGTGGGTTGGAATATCATCGCCCGAAGGGAGGGTGCGAACTGTATGGAAAGTGTGGTCCAGTCGATGGTGGGGTTGTGCTTTCTCAGCCAGGGTAGTCCCAGGACGATAGGAGTGGACGCGTGCAGGCGGGTAATTAGGAAATTTTCTTTGTGTATGGTTCCGTCTTTGAATTTTACCGAGAGTGATATGCTATGTTTGAGGTTTCCTGCCGACGAAGGCGCGCCGTCGAAGAGCGTTAGAGGAATTTCTCTGGGTAAGGCTCTTCGAAGGTGTGGTACCTTTGCGCAGGCGTCGGCGTCGACGAAGTTATTGGTCGCCCCCGTGTCGATGAGAGCATGTTCCGCCTTGCTATCTGTTTCGATAATCCCCACGTCGAGAATGAAGGAGTTTGATGAACGCGATGGTAGCTGTGCGACCGCGTTGAGGAATTGTGGGTCATTCTCGGTCAGAGCTTTGGGTGATCCGGGTACTAGATTGCTCTGTTGGTACTCTAGACCCGGCGGGCATTTTCCTCGTCCGAGTAGCTATACGACGCGGCGAAGTCCTCCCCTTGTTCGAGCGGCTCTTCCCCCTCCGACCACTCTTCTTCCTCCCCTTCTTGGTCGGACTCCTTGTTCGAGAAGGCTTGCCCCGCTGTCCTCTCTTCTTCCCATTCCACGGCCAGCTGTCCATCTGTGAAGATGTAAGTGGACCGCCCCATCGCCGGCTTGGGTACGGTACATACCGGATCTCCCCAGTTGTGCCCCGTCTGTTTGCACCCGAAGCAGCGCCCCTCGCGTCGTAGGCGATCCATTTCCTCTCGCTTTAGGCCCGTGAGTTGGCGATACGTCATTCGGGGAGCGTTGGGATTTGGCTGGTTTCGAACGTTGGTTGGTCCTCCACTAGCTGTTGCCGCAGGTGGGGTTGCTCCTTCCGTTTTACGCGCTGGCGTGGCGTTGGTTTGTAGTGGTGGGGTTGTGTTTGCTGGTTGGGGGCTAAAGGTGCGAGTGTCCGGCCGTCTGAGGAAACGGTTAGCGTTTGTATTGGGGATCGACTTAGCGAGATACTGGGCTCGCTTCTGGAGCGCCTCCCGCTTTTGTCGGTCTTGCCAGTACTTGTTGTCGAGTACCGTGTATAGGTTTTTCATCTCGCGGAAGTTGCGGGGGGACGGGGCGTACTGCGCGGCGGTGAGTATTCGATCTGGCATGCTCTGTTCGAGACGGGTCATCCAATGTACCTCGTTGTATCCTGTTCGCTGTGCGACGCTTTCGAAAAGCACAATGAATGCTGTGAATCGCGCATTGGATTCCATCGCGAGGGTCTCGTATTCTGCGCATGCGTCAGCTTGTGGGTCGGCGAGGTCGAACATACGTGCAAATTCATGGATGAACTCCTCGTATACGCTTCGCGCGAGGTGTTCCGGGTGGAAGGTTTCTAGGTTTTGCCAATGGTCCTTTGCGAGGTCGGTGAGGTAGGAGACTGCGAAAAGGATTCGCGCCCTGTCTGATCCATAGGTGAGCGGTTTGCTGTAGAAGTGGAGGTGTATCGAGTCGACCCACCCTCTCCACAGCGTGGGGTCCCGTCCCGAGAACTTGTCGGGCTTGGCGAGCTCTACTTGTTTTTCGCGGGTCAGTTCGTCTTGTAGGGCTTTTCGTTCGCGTTCATTTTCGCGCTCCCTCCGCCTATTTTCTTCCTCTCGTCGCCGCCGCTCTTCCTCGCGAGCGCGATGCTCTTCATGGCGTCGTCGCTCGTCTTCTCGTCGCTGGTCGTCGCCGCGTCCCCGTCCCTGCCCTAGCATTTGCGCCAGTTGCCATAACCATGGTGGTGGGGCTTCCCAGTAGTTGTGGGGCATCCCTCCCCCCGGCGGCCCTCCTGGCGGTCCTCCTGGCGGCCCTCCCGGTGGTCCTCCCGGGTACCCGCCACCTGGCGGTCCCCCTGGTGGTCCTCCCCAAGGTGGTCCCCCTCCCGGCGGTCCAGTTGTTGGTGGGCCCCCTCCGCGGAAGGGATTGTCGTAGGGGTCACGCTGGTCGTCCCGGGAAGCGCCTCCTCTCCATGGGTGGTTTCTGGATGGCGGACGGCCTTCGTCTTCGTCGTCGTGGCTTGGTTCGTCCGGCGGGCCTCCCCCTCTTGCGTAGGTAGTCCTTGGGTGGAATATGTCGTGTTGTTGACTCGCGCTTCCGGCGTTCCATGCGTCCCGTCGCGCCTGCGCGATGTATGGGTTACTTGTGGCAGGTGGGTAGGCGTGGTTTGGGGATCCTTCTACTCGGTCGTCAGCCTGATCATGCAAGGGGGCGTGTGAGGGGGAAAGGTATCCCGGGATCGCGCGAGAGTACTCAACGGAGGAGTGAACGGAGTCGGTTCGTTTGTCGTCTTGTGGCGCTTGTCTAGCTAGGGAAGGGTCGCGGGGAATGGATCCGAAATACAGCGGTCCCTCGTTACTGGGCGCATCGCTTCTTCCCGGAAGGTTGTTCGTGGGTTGGGATACCCGTATCGGCGGGGAGGTTGCCCTACGTGAGCTGGATTGAGTGAGGGGGGAAGTGGGTACGAGGGACGGCGATGGTACTTCCGCTATGGTGGAGGTAGTGGGTTGCCTAGAGGGTCCTCGAGTCGACGGGAAGGCCACGAATCCGTATGGTCGATTTCCGTTAGTACTGGCGATTGGGGGAATGGGGATTCGTCTAGCGGGTTCGGGGCGAAGTCGATCGGGGTCCCAGAGCGTAGACTGCCTCCTTTCGCTGCGTGGTACGTGCCCAAGTTGATCGCTTGGGGGACCTTCGAGGCTCACATTCTCCCTGCGACTCATGAACGATCGTTCGGGGGCGGTGGTAGGTAACGCACCGCGATCGGGCCTTCCTCCCGCTGATTCCCCTGGAGTACTGCCTCGTTCTCCCCTCTCGGCTTGCTCAGGAGTTGCTCGTTGTTGGGGGGCTGTGGGGCGATTAGTACTGGCTGACACTTCTCCAATTCTTATGGGATCCTGGTTAGTGATTAGGACGGTAACCCCCGCTTCGCTGAGAATCTGTATCGGTGAGCGATGTGACTGCTCCGCTCGTTGTACTACTTCCGTAAGATCGTATTCTTGCAAGTTCATGGGATCGGACGCTCCGGTGGTTGCGTGCAATACTTCATTGAGTCTACGGACTAGTCGAGTGTTATTGAAGAAAGGCAGGTATGACGAGGACACGTGTCCCCTCAGGAAGCTCGTGGCTGCCGCGCGTAGCCACCCGACCAGTTCGAAGTAGAATTCGGCAGGGTTGGCTTCCACTCGTTCGTTGGACGCGGCTCCTAGCGCCCTTAGGACCCTCCACGCCTCTTCAGCGAGTTCACCTCTTGGACGACTCGTTCGGGCGGTGAGGGTTTGGGTCCCGATCGCATCGGGGTTGCGGGCCGGGGTGGACATGTCGTCTGCCCTGCTGAATCTCACGGAGGGATCAGTGCTCTGAGGTGCTAGGCGGTTGATACGAGCGTGGGGTCTCTCCATGTCGGACGCGAAGGACCCCGCTGTGCGTGGGGCTATGCCGACACCGCCATGTTGGGAGGTTTCGGCCTGAAGCAGTGTTGTGCTGGGTAAGGGTACTGGTCCTCGATAACCCCTCTGGGTGATCGTGTCGGAGGTTCTCGGCGCGTTCTGCGCGAGAGCGTCTTCCTCTTGAGTGATGGTTTCCGTGGCCATCGTGGCGCCGTTCGGACAGTCGTCGATAGGAGAGACTTGATATTATGTCAGGTCCGACTTGAGGCGGGTTCGACGAAGTCGTAAAGGGCGTCAAGGAGGAATGAATAGAATAGGATAATAAGTGGAGATCGAATACCGAGGCGAGTCGAGGCGAAGGCGAAACGAGGCGAGGTGTTCAAGTGGGTTCAACAAAATATCAAGTCTAAGGAAATACAACAGGAATAGACGGTTATATACTGAGGTCCGAGGCTCTGTAGTGGCAGCGTCGCACTGGTTAGCACAGCAGAGCAGTGTACTGACTGGAAAAGAGTCGGGTCCTGACACTTATGTCTGCATCTTTCGTGCCTTGAGTTCAAGATCGGAAGCTTGCCGTCAATCCGAGTACAATGTCTTCCCTCGTCATAGCATCGACTATGTATTCTGAGCCCCGTATCGCTTCTCTCTTCCCCTGCCGTCTACCTTGCTCATGATTCCGAGCTAATTACTTTCTCTCTTACCATGAACCTCACGACTTTGCAATGCTAATCTCCGAGCCCCATCGTTCTGACACTTTATCCATCTTCCAATCAGCCCGTCTTGCTCTGCTCAAGTTCCACCATCCTCTGAGCCTTCTACGAGTCAACCCACCTTGTCGCATTCATGCATTCTCGCTCGAGTCGACGACCATGCCTCCGTCTTATCTGCTAACCCCAAAGCCAATCACTCGACTGGTGTATTGCATTGCTCAACCGTTGTCAACAAAGTCTGTTGCTCGTATGCTAGCATTCCCTGAGCACTCTTCCTTGTGTGCCTTCTCCGACTCCATGAGTGCTCCGTCTCGACTCAGATTCCGTGAGCGCTCCGTCTCAACTCAAATTCCGTGGGCGCTCCGTTGCTTGCCACATCTCACCAAACAGGCAAGTACGAGGTGGTGAGACACGGGTTGATGGGGCCGCTTGCGCACGAGGTGATGCGTCCGCTCACGCACGAGGTGATGCGTTCAAGCTTCGCACGCCACAGCGGCGATCAGCGATCAATATTCTGCTACAGCGTGCTGGCTAAGTCTTTGCCTTACCATACTCCTTCATCCCTCTCTCTCCTCCTTCGTCTAGCCTTCCTCCTTCCTCCTTTCTCCTCGACCCACCCCAAGCTCACCATCCACCTCGGCCCACCCTCCGACTTGCCAACACAACCGCTCGCACCTGCGTAAGGATCAGCATGCTGCCCTCGACACGAGAGGGCTCGATGGCGATACCAGGCGTACGAGAGCACAGCAACACTGCGAGCAAGGCCCGAGGCGAGCGCGAGCAAGAGTGACAAGAGAGCACGAGCAAAACCGACGAGAGCACGAGCACAGTTCATCGAGACGAGCACGAGCACGGTTAAGCGAGACGAGCACGAGCACGATCCAGCGAGACAAGCACGAGCGAAGCCCGACGAGATGCGCACACGAGCGAGAGAGCCGGCGAGTCGTGGATCGACGAGACGAGCGTGGCCGTCGATGGGATCGGTGCGACGGTGGACCACGAGACGGGACGAGCGCGAGGATGGCGGCGGGCTTTGCGGTGCGTTCGGTCAGCATGCAACGAGTAAATGGAAAGCTTACGGGACTGATAGCATTCTCGACATGCACGGTGGCGCCGAGCGCACGCGGTCGACACCGGCCCCGGCTTACCCCCCATCGCAGCAGCTCGGACGTCGAGCGCGAGCGCAAATGATTTCATTCGCCTTCTCCGTCGATACACGGGACATCTACATAAACTCGCTCGGTGACTACCATCAAGCTCAAGCTAATCGCGGACGCGCGGTGAGTGAGAATGCGGGTACTGACGCGGGGCCTCTCCCCTTCCGTTCCCCGTCCTTGCTCTCCCCGCCTCCGTTCTCCCCTCGGCTCGGGAGAAGGGAGGAGGGGAGAGGGAGGAAGGGGAAGGGAAGGAGGAGAGGAAGGGGGAGGAGGAGGAGGGGAGGGAGGGGTACTCACCAGAGCCAATCCCGCCCTGTCGGATGGCCGAAAACGCGCAGCTTAAGCGCTCGCTCCGCTCGCGCGACGCAAAGGGGGGATGGAGCTCTGGGCCGGGCGAAAAAAGTGGATTTTCGGGAATTGCCGAACGGTCTTTTAGGGGAGGGGTAGGCGGGCGGGGCTAGGGTAGGCGTAGCGGTAGGCGTAGAGTGAATACGACGATGAGGAGATGGACAAGGCGGGAATGTGACTTGTGCGCGTGTGTGATGTGAGTGCGGAACGTCGGCGCGAGTCGCCGGTGACGAGATGGCGGGTTGGCGGGGAAGTGCGTCCTGCGATCGCGGGGGAGCTCGAGCTGTCATGCAGACGCGACCCCCCGAGAAGGCATGCGACTGCGACTGCGACTGCGACTGCCGCGACGGGCGTAACGCGTACAGATAGCGTTGCCTCCTCTTGTCCTCTTCCCTCACCCCTCATTCTGCAGGTTCTGCCCACCGATGTGCTAAGAGCAGGTCTTAAATGATATACTCTGGACCCAGCAGTCTCATGAACCTCACATGCGCTCAAACGAGGTAGCTGCAACGCAATAGCGGAGTGGGCCGATTTCTGACGGTCAGTTCATTGCTCCTATCACACTCACAATGCCTGCTCAAGCTCAAGCAGACGGTCGCGTTGGCTCGCGCATCGAGAACTACAGCAAGTTCTGGCAGAAGGATATCAACAAGGAGGGCGACGTTGACACGGACAACCGTGTCGACAGCTACCAGGATGTCGTGAACGGTGCGTGAAACGCGGCTGACACGAGGACGTCGCTCACGCCGCGCGCGCGCAGGTTACTACGACGGCGCTACGCAGCTGTACGAGTATGGCTGGGGCCGCTCCTTCCACTTCTCTCGCTTCTACAAGGGCGAGAGCTTCGCCGCGTCGCTCGCCCGCCACGAGCACTACCTCGCGGCACAGATGAACCTCCGTCCCAAAATGCGTGTCCTGGACATTGGCTGCGGTGTTGGCGGCCCGGCGCGCGAGATCGCTCGCTTCGCCGACGTCGAGATCATTGGCCTGAACAACAACGACTTCCAGGTGCGTGTGTGCGCATCAGCAGTAGAACACGCCTAACACCCGCCCCCAGGTCGCGCGCGCACGCCAGTACACGAAGGAGGCCGGGCTCGAGAACCAGGTCAAGTTCGTGAAGGGCGACTTCATGAAGCTCGCGGAGCAGTTCGGCGAGAACGCGTTCGACGCCGTGTACGCGGTCGAGGCGACCTGCCACGCGCCGTCCTTCGCGGGCGTGTACGGCGAGGTGTTCAAGGTGCTCAAGCCCGGAGGCGTCTTCGGCTGCTACGAGTGGGTCATGACCGACGCCTGGGACGCGAGCAACCCGGCGCACAAGGCGCTCGCGCACCAGGTCGAGCTCGGGAACGGCATCCCGGAGATGCGCCCGCTGCACATGGCGCGCGACGCGGTCAAGGAGGTCGGCTTCGAGCTCGAGCACGAGGAGGACCTGGCGGAGCGCGACGACCCGGTGCCGTGGTACTACCCGCTCGAGGGCGATATCAGCAAGGCGCAGACGCTCTGGGACCTCTTTGTTGTCTGGCGCATCAGCCCGACGGGCAAGTTCGTCACCCACTACGGCCTCAAGATCATCGAGATGCTTGGTATGGTGCCGAAGGGCACGCACGACGTCGGTGAGCAGCTCAAGGTCGCGCAGGATGCCCTCGTCAAGGGTGGCCAGACCAAGGTACGTCTTCAGTGCTCGTTATTCCATTCGCTCCTGCTCATCGAGGTCCTAGCTCTTCACCCCCATGTACCTCATGATCGCCCGCAAGCCCTCGGCATAGACGAGGCATCCCCCCTCCCGTTCCCCTCCCTCGACTCTACACTTTACTATACCCTTCTGCTGTTCCTAATGTGCGTAGACATGGCATCGGATTACTTACTTTTACACATCGGGGTTGCCTACGACGAATACACATTCCTTGAAAACAGCCTGCCTGGTGTGATGCGACGGAGTGCGGGGGCGAAGGGGGCCGCGACGAGGCGGCGGTCGCCGCCTGCGCGCTGCGCGCGCGTCGTCGATGTGAAAGAGAAGGTAAACTTGATTGTATTGTGTCGCTACCTACGTTACAGACATGCTACTCCCTCCCCCGCCCGCCGCGAGCTTACCGACGTGTGAAGCCCGTCTCACCCCCTCCGTCTTTGCGCGCCGTGCGAGATGCTCGCTACCCCCGTCCCTCCCATCCCTCCCCTTCGACGAGGGGAGATTGTGATGCACCCTCCCCTCTCGGCATGCAGCTCACCGCGTCTTCAATGCACGCGGAGAACTCACGCGCGTGCACCCACCCCTCTACCCTCCCTTCCCCCCGCTCCTCCCACCCCTCCTTGCCACAAACCACCCCCTCGCGTCCCTTTCTCCGTCTCGCATAGCTGCAAAGGCGAGCTCAGTCGCGCTACTCATTCATCAGTGCATTACAGGTGTTGAAAAAGCGCTGTACTCATCGAAAAGGGCGGTGGCGAAGACCTCGACTACGCCCCCACCCTCCCCCACCTTCTCGCACGCACTGAAACTGAACGCCGTTGAGTTTTCCTCTGCGAAGTGAAGGAGATGGTGGACTCACCGAGTCTTTTGAGCTCGCTGTCCCCAAAACGCTGCCCCCCGCGCGCGCTTACGAAGGGAGGGGGTGGGGAAGGCCTCGAAACGTGGAAAAGGTCAGTTCACGATCGCGTCGTGCATAATCCACGTACCTGCGTGGGCCTTGCAAGGGCGTACTTACCCGCCTCGCCCCCGCACGCGCCTAGCAAGGGGGGATTTTACCCCTCCCCCTATCCCTTCCTTCTCTGCCTTCTCGCCTCCCTTCCCTTCTCTCCCACCCTCCCCCTCGCTCTCCTTCCCTTTGGCCTTCCACCTCCAGACGAGGTCCCCGTTGTTATCGCATCGCCGTCGTTGCTGTCTATTTGGAAAGCGCTGAGCTCATGGCGCATTCGAGGGAAGGATCCGGCCCTCCCCCCGCCGTCGCTCGTCTACTGCCGCGAGTGGGGCCTCCGCGACGGCCTGAAGGTGCAGTTGTCAAGGATCTGGCGCGAGTGTGAGTACGACGCGATTTACTATTGACCGGGCACTCACCGTGTCGCACGGGCATCGCGCCCCCTCCCATTCGCGCAGTTCGCATTCCCCCTTCGCCCCTTCGCCCTCTCCTGCCCGTGGAAAAAGGAAAGTGCGAGGTTTTTGGAGAATTCTATCGAGTTGTGAGCCTCGTCGTGCAGAGAGGTTCTCACAACTTACCAGTTGAGGTGGGTAAGGGCCTTCGCCCCCCTCCCTCTTCCCCCCTTCGCCGCCGTCTTAGTCGCCTCCCTCGCCCTTCGAAAGGCGAGGCGGAGTGAGGGCGATGTGACCCCGTACATCTAGGTTTTTCTTCGGTCAGTGAAGGCGCATCGATAATTCAAAAAGACTTACAATACGAGGGGGCAGGGCCTGACTCCCCACGCCCACCCTCTTATGTCTTGCTATACTCTCCGCCGGCGTTCGTAGGTTGTTGAAAGGGACGGGGAGGTACTTTTGATACCTACGTGATGGGTTGTCATGAGTGCGAGTCCGTTCGGCAATTTTGAATTGCATCATGATAGCTTACCTGTCAACTCCCCTTCTCCCAGCGTCTGCGCGCACCCCCCCACCCATCTACCCAACCGTCATGTCTGTCCGACGCGTGAACTGCAAGCGCGGCTCGTGCCGATGTCAGGTTTTCGTTCTAGGGTCAGGTCAGTACGAGATGACAAGGGGGAAATATGGGTGGAGGGGGAGGGGGAGGACTTGGCTACGACGCGGCTACGTCCGCTTCTGTACCCAGAAAAGAAGGACGTCACCCGTCCCTCCAACGGCGCGATAATCGGCCATGGTCTCCCTTCTCCGCGTATCTTCTCGTACAAGCCGGGCACCCGGCGCGCGAGGGGGCATGATTTCGGCTTACCGAGTCGCATCGCGCGCCGTGCGTGCATAATCTCCCCCTCCCTCTGTCTGCGGCACCTGCAGTCCACCACGGTCTTCGAGTGCCGTGCGACGGGAGCGGGGGCAGCCTTGCCGTTGTCCGACGAGTGCCGCAGTGCGCTCCTGAGTCGCGTCAGTTCAGTTCGGCACACAAAGAGTGTATACTGACCGCGCTCGGCGAGGCTGTCGCGTGGTGTTTCCTTGGCGATTTGTTCTTGAGCCCACGGCGCTTTCTCGTGTCCTGCAGTGACGGCGTGAAAGTCAGTCTCGGCGGTGAGAGTACCAGCAAGACGACGTTACATACCTGCTGCTTATCCCGAAGCTGAGGGTGAGCGCTTGTGGGATCGCCCACTAATCGAGTGGGGCCGTGTACTGCACCACAGCAGCGTCCCAGCGCACGCGGCCGTCATAGGTGAGTCTGCCGGCACCTGTGAGCGTTGAAAGGAACCGGAAAACCATCGGCACGTACCTTTACCATTCTTTTCAATCACGGATCGCACGACCACCGGCACGATACCGCTGCGTACTCGCGCGGTTGGTCGGTCGCTCCTCTGCGACTGGAAGGAAAAATCTGCATCAAGGTCAACATGACGCCGCACCGCGGAAAAAACAAATGCAAAGCTCACCCGTTGAGACAATAGCGGTCGTGTAGGATGGCCGCATGCGCGAGATTGGGCGTCGGGAACTCGTACACGGCGTGGCTGATCATGTATGGGCTCGCGAATTCCCGGTGCAAGGAGATCTCGAGCGAGCTCGAAGACCTCGCTGCCGCTCGAGCCGTCCTTTCCCGGTGGCGAATCCCTCGCTGTGCAACAGTTGGAGGCGTCGTCGATGCTCTGCGGTCGTGCGTCAGCGTTCGAGAATCCCGCAAGGCGTTGCCCAGCGCGCACCTTGTCGATTCGTCCGTCTTCGTAGAAGGTCAAGGCTGACTATAGCGACGGCGTCATACGGTCGTCCCCGCAGCCGTCGTCGAAAGGCGCAGCGGCGGTCGTGTTCGCGCGCTGACGCGTCCGAGCATGGTGGTGGGAAGAGGAAAGGTTGTGAGCGACACGTGTAATATACAGATCTGAATAGACTTACGGGATGGGTGTCACCGTGCCGCGTGTCGTGACATCGGCGACCTCGGGCAGGCAGTCGCTGTGCCGCGTGAAGGGCGAGGACGCGAGGGGATCAGATATCTGCTCAAGTTCAACGTAGGCGTGGCTTACCCATCGGATCCGCCCGCACCGTCGCATCAACGTTGAAGGGCTACTGTAAGCGGTTGAAGGCGTAGAAGTCCGCGGCGATGTTGAGGAGGTCGTCGAGGGGGAGCTCGATGGTGGGTGATAGTGTTGACTTGCTGGCATCTGCATTGGGGCTTTCAGTCAGCCGAATCAACGCAAGCGAAGCGATTTGACACACTTTGAATGTCATTCACGATGAGCCGAAGGTATCTTGAAATGAGATGATGTTGAGAAGGTCATCGAGGGGGAGCTCGATGGTGAGCCGTGGCATCGAAAGCAACTCGCTTGAACGGATGCCGTGCCGCCCTATGCAGGTCAAAGTCAGTTCATCGGGTGAGAGCTGTGCCTGGGAGCACCACAACGAGCGCCATCGCAAACGCGTCGGAATCTCAGAAAGACCTATGAACGCGTTATATCGATTACGAAAGGCAGTATGAAGTTCACACTCACCGAAGGGCGATTTCGCTCTGAGCCTGGATGCAGAGGAGCGTGTTCCACAGTACTCGGCAACTGTAAAGGATTATTAAGGCGTCAATGAATAGAGTAGAAAAGCCAGGACACACCTTGGAAAGCAGACTCGCTGCGCCGAGGCCATCTAGCAAGCAGCCTCGAATACGGCGAAAGCGAGGGGGGACGAGATAGAGCAAAGACGTTGGGAGGGGGGGATGGCAGTAGGACACGCGTTCGATGATAGAAAGGAAGAGGGAGGTGAAGGTGGAAGGGAGGAGAGGAGGCTGGGGAACTGAGGAAACCCGGCTACTCACCTCGCCTTATATACACCTCCAGTCAGCGCACGAACTTGTTGACATCCTCAGCAACGTCCGCTTGATGCCCCACTGACGCGGCGAGGGCCTTCGTTGACCGCTCGCCCGGATTTCCGACTCCGCCGCGCAGACTCGCCCGCAAATACAGAGCGGTGCATATTCTGCCCTTCCCTGCAGAGTTCCCTGAGGGCGCGTCCGGATCTTCCGCGTTTCGGGCATGACAAATGATCCCATCAAACCTGATCGCCGCTCGGAATTCGCTCCAGGGCGGTGGAAGACGCGCGGCAAGGCGAGGCGGGGCGTGGGGTGCAGCGGTGGCAGATTGTGTACTTGGGCGTTGTGCACATACCAAAGTGCGAGAAAGCGTAGAGGTGACCCTCCTCGGCTAGGGGAAGGTGTTTTAGAGCGGGTGGGTCCGCTTGTACGCGTCCTTGGGTCCTGCGAAGTGGAGACCGCACATACAGCGCATTTGTCGGTTTGCTCGCGAGTTTGAGGGTATCTGAGGAAGAAACTCAGGGGGCCATAGTCAGACGCATGTAGCTCAATGCAGAGGATGTCCCTACCTATTGTAGTCGTACTGCGGCTTCCCGGCGCACGAGGATGGCGGTTGAAATCCAGGTTACCGCATATAGCAGGCTTTTAGCCAGCGCGGCGAAAGACAAAAGATCAGACTTTTTCCGGCGACCTCGCTAACGCGGACCGCGGACTGCTTGACTCATGCTACTCACCGTTCGATGTCTGCACCCGCCAGCTGACCAGCGCTGTACGCCCGCTCCCCACAAACAAGCTAAATCGCGAGCCAGCGTCCGCGCTTCCCTCGCCGGCATCCCCGCTCCCCTCGACAGCGTCAAAGTTCAGTCGGGCGCACCATGTCCGAAGCTCCGCGTTTCAAGGGCTTGGAGCACAGAACTGCCGACGAGGCGATGGAAGTTGGAAGTCGAGGGGGAGAGGTGTTGATATGCTGAGGAACGTCGTTCGGGATGTACCAAAGGTCCTATGGCGGTTTCAGTACCCAAAAAGCATTTCATATGTTCTGTTAGACGTTCGATGAGTCGACGGGTTTCTCGGAAGCCGCAGACCGCGAAGCGGCCTGTGGCGCGGGTAAAGTAGTAGTATGCTCGCGCTATGCTCAAGCGATTTAAAGGCTCGTCGCGGGCTTCCTGTGCTCGGTAACTATATGCAATACTCACTGTGCCTATTCCCTTCGTATTCTTGGCGTCTTGAGCCTGTCGGCAAGTCACGCTTGCGTTGCTGTCTCGTACTGGGCCCCGACCGCCTGATGTCGAGACAGTGCTCTTACTATCGACGTCTTCGGCAAATCGCTTCGAGCGCGTCAGTGTATCGCACGAGCCCCACTTCTGGTCTATGGGTCAGTCATTGCTTCCCCCGCCGAATCGACGCCCTCGCGCGATTCCCCCGCCGCTGATGATCTCGAAGGGGAACTCACTCTTTCCCTGTCTTGCATGATTTGGTTTGTTGGGTTCTCTCAGTCGCGATGAGCTTGGATAAGCAGAAAATACCATTTCCTATGTAGATCTCGTACTACGAGGGAGGGGTGGAGGATAATCGCCACGGTCGATGATGGGCGCGCTGATCAAGCGGTGGGAACGCGTCTCGGCGACTGCCGCATCCCGCTTTGTCGGTTGTGGGTCCGACATTGGTCCTTGTTTCCGGCCGTCATCGTCAACCGCGGCGCTCGCTCCTTGCCTCTTCAGCATCGGCTGGCTTCCCCGACGCCCCACCGTGCCCCTCCTGGTCCAATGCACGCAGTATACGAGCTTACACTACTTATCCTTATGTTTGCATCTTTCGCGCCTTGAGTTCAAGATCGGAAGCTTGCCGTCAATTCGAGTACAATGTCTTCCCTCGTCATAGTATCGACTATGTATTCTGAGCCCCGTTTCGCTTCCCTCTTCACCTTGCTCATGATCCTGAGCTATTCACATACTCTCTTACCATCTTGTTTGGTTGTGGACCTCACGACTTTGCAATGCTAATCTCTGAGCCCCATCGTTCTAACACTCTATTCATCTTCCAACCGACCTGTCTTTCTCTGCTCAAGTTCCGCCATCCTCCGAGTGTTCTACGAGTCAACTCACTTTGTTGCATTCATGCATTCTCGCTCGAGTCAGGCACCTCGCCTCCGTCTCATCTGCCAACCCCAAATCCAATCACTCGACTGCAGTATTGCATTGCTCGAAAGTCTGTTGCTCGTATGCTAGCATTCCCTGAGCACTCTTCCTTGTGTGCCTTCTCCGACTCCATGAGCGCTCCGTCTCGACTCAGATTCCGTGAGCGCTCCCTCTCAACTCAAATTCCGTGGGCGCTCCGTTGCTTGCCACATCTCACCAAACAGGCAAGTACGAGGTGGTGAGACACGGGTTGATGGGGCCGCTTGCGCACGAGTTGATGAGTCCGCTCACGCACGAGGTGATGCGTCCAAGCTTCGCACGCCACAGCGGCGATCAGCGATCAATACTCTGCTACAGCGTGCTGGCTACGTCTTTGCCTTACCATACTCCTTCATCTCATCTTCCTCCTTTGTCTCGCCTTCCTCCTTCCTCCTTTCTCCTCAACCCACCCCAAGCTCACCATCCACCTCGGCTCACCCTCCGACTCGCCAACACACCCGCTCGCACCTGCGTAAGGATCAGCATGCTGCCCTCGACACGAGACAGCTCGATGGCGATACCAGGCGTATGAGAGCACAGCAACACTGCGAGCGA